GTACGGGGTTTAGATGTAATTAATTTTCGGTCTTTGAGATTGAGCTAAACTGAACGGCGTTTTAGTATTTCTGAATATTAGCTGATGCAAACTATGGAAGAGTAGACTTTCACAAGAGTTTACACAATTTTTATTGTGAGTTTTATGTTCACTACATGCTGCTCCAATCACTTGTAATATTGTAGCCTCCTCTCAGCGTCATTTGTATAGCAGTATTTTTTTATTTTTTGGGGAGCGAAGAATACAAGAGTTAATCTACAGGCAGATTTCTGAATATTAGCTGATGCAAACTATGGAAGAGTAGACTTTCACAAGAGTTTACACAATTTTTATTGTGAGTTTTATGTTCACTACATGCTGCTCCAATCACTTGTAATATTGTAGCCTCCTCTCAGCGTCATTTGTATAGCAGTATTTTTTTATTTTTTGGGGAGCGAAGAATACAAGAGTTAATCTACAGGCAGTATTGACTGTTAATGTTTCATAATAAATTTATAAACAGTTGGACTTGTCACTCACATTTATTAGGAAGAACACAGTACATCTAACCACAGGTGTCCCAAGCTCACGTCTCGAGAAAAAGCAAACGATTAATTCATGTAAGCGTAGGTCGAAGTCGTAGTGTGCAGCCTTGCCTTCGTCTTACAACAAAAATAACAGTGATGGCAAAGCAAGCTTAAAACGGAAGAGAACGCCGGAAACCACAACGGACACACAAGATGTGAGTAAGCTCTATTGATTTTTGCTTTCTCTCGAGACGTGAGCTTGGACGCCTGTGATCTAATTGAGTCTTCGTCGTAGAATGTACATTTTTTTTAAATTTCATAAAGAACCATTTCAAAGTCATCTGGAGACCCAAAGAGACTGTTAAGTCACTAATCTAATGTTGTCACTTAAGAAAAGATCGGAATGATTTTGAGTTCTACGAATTTGAGATATGAAGAGTGAATCGGTTGGATGCCGCTCATTTTTAGTGCCCAGCGGAATCTTATTTCAGAAAGAGTCCACTTGAGATCCTGGAAAGAAAAGAACACTCTATGGGCGTTAAAGCATTTAACTGCCAGTCCACTACAACTCACTCTACCACCAACCCCCCCTCTCCCCTCTCTTTTGCGCTTCTATTCTCCCTTCGGAACAATAGGGATCTAAAGCAAACCGCGGTGGCGAAGGTAACATCTAGCCATTCGTAAAATTCTGACTGAAAATTTAAATTGTTTTTAATCGATTGCCGTCCAAACAGCTTAAGGCCAGCTCAAGGGGACCGTTTTTTTCCCAACTTTTGGTCATTCAACAACTTTTGGGTTTTCCTTTCAACTTGACAGTTTAACCTATGAACTTTAAGGTTCCGAAGTCTTTTTCAGTCCCTTCTGTCGTTTTGACAGTCACACTTCGGTATGTTAGTTATGTCATTCATACATTAGCTTGGTAAAGTGTTTGGGCTAAAAATGCAACAAAGCAAATAGGAGAAATTCTGGCGGTCCAGCGATATCTACTAATCTATGATAGACGGTAATTTTACATCGCGACTGTATGGCTGATGTTGTTTGTGATGGAGCGTAAAGATAGTAAGAAAAATAGTCACATAAAGTATCGTTTGCAAGATCCAAAAACCTTCACTGTTAAAATCAGATCGAAAGCAACATTCTTTCTTTCAGAAATTTTCTACCTCGTAATAGCCGCTCACTTTCATTCAAAAGGCTTTAGGAATATTAGCATTGAGTTCTTGTTTTATTCAAAGATATTTTGATATAAATATGACCTTGGCTTGGTGAGACAGGTCAAAATGCTCCAATAGGTTGGATAGTTAAAAACACAAAAAGGGGGCAAAGAAGGAAACCAGAATTAAGGGAGGGGAGGGGGGGACTACTCTTTTAAATATTCTGATTCTTGCATAAAACTGCAACATTTCACTAGACAAGATAATTGATTTGCTGTTGAAAATTTCGTCATTCGGGTAACTTCTACTTGCATGTAATGATCAGTACTGTTCTTTGTCCCTGATGCTTATCACACCTAAATAAACTCAACTTCCTTCAGAAATGCCTCCAAGAGACAAATTAAGTTGGAATTGGAATTGTAAAGCTTAGATCACCCATCGTAAAGTAGTTAGTGCGTTCCACTTTTGTTTGCATATAGATATCTTGTTAGAACTTTTGGTGTGTGGTATCGCTGAGTATTTTTAAGAGCTGTGCCGTATTTGGACGAGCCTTACGGGCACAACTCTCGAAAATACTCAGCGATACTACACACCAAAACGTCTAATAAGATATTTATTCTTCAACTGCTTTTTTTCTGCTAAGTCTTTCTGCTCATATCTCATATGGCGGGAAAAGCAAAGTGGATAGAGAAGCGTAGCGCGCGCGGCCGACCGGTTAAGCTGGTGTTTTTACAGTGCAAAATAACTAACTGTTCAAATAACCATACAATATCGCAGGATATTTGTACTCTATTCGCGCGTTATTCTGTGTAGCTGGATAATAACAGTCGATATTTTCCGAGTTGTACAATCAGCAAAGTATGGCCTGGCAGTGTTTTTTACTCTGGTCAATTATTCAGAATGGCAAAATTTCCGTTTACATTTTAGTAGAGCACTGGTTGGGCAGGGATGAAGTCTGTTTTTCCTCTTAAATGTGATTCAGTTGAATAACTTATTTCAAAGCACTGACTTAGGTTAAAACACTAATAAGACAAGATTTCGTGAATAGCCCGAGAATTGCAGTTTGTTATTTGTTAATAGAACACCTGTTAGTAATTCATGTATCATAGTCGTTGATTATAGTTGTTAACCATGAAGGTTTGAAGTCAATATTGATTCTATATGCAAACATATATTTCCATGCTTGATCTCACTTGTGAAATTAGTCGTCAAATCGCCGAGCAGATTTCTAAGGACAAGTTGTATTAAAAATTTGGGGCGTATGAATTGAAGAATTTATGTTAAATTTTTTTTCCTCTGATCTACCCAGTTTCCCCCATGCAGCACGCCACAGAAATTAGCCTAGGTTTGAATTTTTAAGAAGACCGCTGCCATTAAATGCATCACAACAAATCGTTTTGGAAGAAGTGCACACCAAGTAGTTTCAGTATTATTAGCGAACCAGTATAGTATTTGGAGTTACTTAACAACGCAGTTGATTCACAATACAGAGAGTTAGCATGTTGAAAAGAGGAACTGCTACGCATGCAGTGGAAATAGCAGTAAATGAAGACAGTATTCACATCACTTTGAACAATGATCACCAAAGATTGTGCATAAAACTTTTTTCTTATATCCTTCTCAGACTTTATGTTAAAATCACACTTCAGGACTGTTTTTACGAATCAGTATTATAGTTACATCCTGTTATTGAAAGGATCTTGATCATTTAGCAAACGTCAAAAAATATTATTGATGAATGAGAGAGTTACCTTTATGCGGATTCTGAATTTTCTAGGAAACATCGGTACCGAACTTGTTGAAATTTGTTCGAAAGCAGATAACCCCTGTTCAATGGTCACATATTTCTTTTTCAAAGGTCTTATTTTATTTAGAAATGCTTCAGCGAGATACACTGAGTTGGCACTGATTGAAAACGACGATTTCACTCCTCTAAATGGGAGGCCGACCTTGCATTAGTTCAATGCAATGAACTAACGTTGTGTGAATGACTAGTAGGAGACTCCTTCTAATGCCGGGTTGCTCAGAAAGACGATTTACTGTGACATAATTACCATGATGTTTTTTCAGACCGCGCATGTGCTCGTCAGGGGATGCTTTAATCGAGCCCGGAAAGACCAAAACTTCCAGCCATTTTACGCTCACCGTGCACAATCATTTATGCCTAAGATTTACTGTGCTATCTCCTTCGACCAAACCATTTTCTGTATTTTTATTGTAAATATATGTTATGCACTATTTTCACGTATTGAACTCATCAGTTACAAACCGTTTCATTTCATGGTGGAACTTTAATTATTTCTTGTATAAAATTGTTTTGTTTTTGTTATTTTTGTTTTGAAGGTGTCAGTATGCAATTTATGAGTTTGTTTTGCTCATGTAGAGAGTTTCCACGAATTCTTTCCAATTTTGTTTGCTAAAGAACGAGGAGTAAAGGAGTTGCAGAAAATGTAAAAAAAATTCTGGGTCGGGAGAACTTTTCAAACGCTGGATTGAAGTATTTGCAGAAAATGCACCAAACTTCCGGATCGGAAGACATTCTAAGGCGTATTAGTATACATGCAGCAAATCAAGTTATTACTACTAAATGTTCACCTGCTTTTTTGTTTCACCGCATAGACGTATGACAATGCCTTAAAGGTGATATTGTTCGGTTTCTTTCTTGAGAGTTCAAGAAACTGTTATTTTACAGGTCAACAGCATGTAGAATACAGCCATACAACATTCTGTCCAGAAATATAAGCCTGAAGTCAAACTACCATTTCATCATTATTTTTGGGTTAACCTTTCTTGAGGCACAATCGGACATGAGAGAGGAGGATGATTTTGGTTGGGAGTGTGATAGGGGTTATCATTTTCCAGCCATTTTCTTCCACTTGTTTCTCGTAATTTGAATCAGAGAAAGCTTAGAAATGAAGCCCTTTTCACAACGAGTGCCAAGGTGACTATTTTAAAACAGTCTATAAATTCACTTTATTTACGTACTTGAATGAAATCGGGCGTTTGTTAAATTCGATGGTAACCCTTGCAGATAGCGTATGCAATGACATTTAAAGAAAAAGGAATGAATGTGGTTCATCGTTTTACTGCAAATTCAGGCGTCGTTTACATGTTCGTATTTTGCATTCATTTGCACTGAAAACATTTGGCGATTATGGTGAGCAGGATGTTACGTGGAAAACTATTTGCTATAATCGATTAAAAGCTCGACAAAACTAGTTCTTTAAGTCGCTCATATTGACCGTTCCACCAACAGACTGGATGATAATTTTGGATAGAGCTGACACAGGAAAATGGGGTCAAATAATTCACGTTGAATAAAAGACATTTGAATTTCTAATATGTATCATAATTTTCTTTATTCGGTTGATATATTAACACATAAAACCTTAGAATAAGCAAAGTGTACAACCAAGATTTCATTGTGGAATCTTCCCATCTAAGCTAACTTAACATAGAATCTTTTTAGCTTGATTACGACAGTACTTCGGTGATCAATTACAACACTAATTCGTGTGTTAAAACATTTATATTGTAATCACACTATTCAATTGTTGGCACGGTCCTAAATATTTTACACCATCCCAGGAAGATGGAGATCCGATATACTTTAGATCGTTCTAAGCCTCGTCCAATATGTTTCTAATTACTAATTATCAATTGTACCAACATAGATCCAAGAACAAATTCTGTAGCTAATCGTATTTACAACAAAGCATATTCATCTGCTATAAGTGTACAAAGGTATCTACTTCCGCACTATGTTAATCCTTTGACCCCTTGGAGTGATCAGCATCTAATTTCTCCTTACAACATCACCCATGAATCACTCAGTAAGGTGACAAGAATTAGGAAAATAATCATCAAGTACAGAAGCTCCTGCTTGTTAAACAAATTCCCCTTGCCAGCACCTCAGAACTTTATACAGAACAACAAGGAGAATATGCATACTGATGTTATGGTGTAAAGGGTTAAATTCAACTCCTGCTTCGGGATCAAAATACAGCTCGCTTCCCCAGCTCTCTTTCGTCACTGTCTTACCTAGCGCACGTACCTACTTTCTTGGACATAAATTAAAAGGTATCTGGGTCATCCTTTCCTCATTTCAAGACATATCCTTCATTGCTTTGAGGGATGGGAGTTTCCTTTTTGTTAACCTTTATATTCCAAAGTCCTCCGTAGGTAGACTATACCAAAGGGGTAAAAAGACCTAACTGAACGTTCTGAGGCGAGTAAAATTTCAAAAAAAAAAAAATAATGATAAGTCCAACTACAAAATATACAGAGCGGTTGCTACTAAAGGTAAACTACTCTTAGATGGCTTCGTTACCGTCTCAAAGTCAAGGAGTCAAACATAGTAGTATTCACACTTCGGCTTCGCACTTGAGGAACACAATTTAAATGTACATTAATTCTGTTTCGCGCCGTTTTCAGCCAAACAGGAGCAAAACCAGAAATTACAAGGTTTTACAAGGAAATAGCCTTTTTAAAGGCCATTTGATAACCATATAAGGTTTTTTCTACATATCTGATGAAGTCTCTATGGTGTCCACGTTCACGTATGGACGTTTCATTTCTCTAGCACTTTGCAATCCTGCAGTATGAATCAATGGGGCGTACATGCAATTAGCTGCGCTATCGTTACGATTGCTAGGGGAAATGTTAGTATAGTCAGTTCTTGCAACTTGCGTGGCATCTTCAAGTTCGCCATCGTTTCCCTCGCGTCTCAAGCTCATGTAAAGCCCGTTTGAATCAGTCCATGCCGATATAACATCATATGGGAAAACCTCATCGTTATCACGCATGATAGTTTCGGTCCGTGACTCTGGTCTCGGCGACTCCATTTCCTCCACAGTTGCCATCTCAGTAGAGGTGCTCTGCACTGTCAATTTTCTGGATTTCCTTTTCTCAGTTATTAACTTTGTGATCTTTCTGTGGGTAAAACCCACAACAGAGCAGATTATGAGGAGAACGGACAAAACAGCAATGACGATGACCAAATTGGTTGACAAGGAGCGATCGGTACCGTGACCGACCTCTGATACTTCTTCAAAAGATAGAAAAAAATAATTAAACATTGAAAAGAAGGAAAATCTTAAAATCAAATTAATAACCAAATTATCATTATTAATTTAAGTTAGAGTATTTACTGTGCAGTTTAAAATTTCCGAAATGAGGTCGTGTCGTGGAAAACAATCCAATCAGACAGTGCCCACCGGTTAGCTTTGTGATTTTATCAAACTTCATGATATCTATGCTATTTGGTCATCCGCATACTCTAAACAGCTGAAGGGGGAGGGGGGGAATGGGGGAAGGAGCACCCCCATACCTCCACTCTAGGGACTTTAGTCCGAGAAAAGGTTATTTGACGCATAAGTTTTACTAAATTTTTACACTAATTTTGAAATCGATTGTCGCTTAACTAGAATATGAAAGTATTTTTGATGAAGATTTGAGAAAAATGAATCCTTCTCCTCACCTGGTCCTCCCATAGGGGAGATGACCAAGGATCTGGAAGTTTTTCCGGCTATGTTTGACACATGACATGTGTATTTGGTTTCATCGTCTTGCAAGGAAACTTTGACTGAGTCCTCTCCATTAATCAGCGGTTCATCATCTTTAAACCATGCGTACTTTAGCGGGTGTCTGTTTGCCGTGTTGCAAAGCAGCAGAAGTTCTCTTTTCATCATTGCGTTGTCGTTTTGTTTAAGAATAATTCCTTTAACTTCAGTTACAACAGGATGCTCTGATTAAAAATAATGAAGAGAAACATATTTCTAAGCTGCAAAGCGAGATTTCTTGTAATACTTTGGCGGTCAATCTGATGGACAGGTAAGGTGCATTTTACTGCGTGGGCCAAATTCTTGGAAAATTTTTGCATTCTTTTGGACACCGGCAAAGCGCTCTTGGCAGCTGAATGTACACATGTATAGGAGCCATTCAGTGCTAATGTAGGAGCCGTTAGTATTTGTTATGTCTTTATATATTTTTTTAGCTTCCTCGTTATCTATTTTTTTCGCTTTTCTTTTTCACTGCATATTGCCAAGATTTTTTTTTTGTTTGCTTGTTTGCGTCTCGATTTCGGGGTGTTCAATTCGTTGTATTGTTTCATGTTATTGATGACCTTTTAAAGCATAATAGTAATAGCGGAGTGATGAAAGAAGCGATAAGCCAGAAAAGACCTTTTGAGTTACCATCTAAGATAATAACCGTAGATGTCTAAAGCAAAGAAAGTCCTTTCACGCTGAAAAAGATCCTCCCTCTCTGACTATACAAGGTTCACACAATGTAAAAAAAGTAACATGCTAGAAAGGAAAAGTATACCGCCAAACTATTTCAGAAACCTTGCTTACATATGCATATTAAATTACCCTCTAGACCGATTAACCTTCATGGACTTACCAACAACCAGGACTATCATGGACACTCTCAGACCATTATCCACCTGACAATGGTAGGTACCTTCATCCTTTGAGGAAACGCTGTGAATAGTTAGTTCTTGGCCACTGACGTTTAGGGGTACACTGCTTTTGTCTCTGTACCACTGGACGGTCTGGTGCGGCTGACCACACCGAAGTGTAACAGAGTGACCAGCAATCACTTGGTTGTTCTTTGCTGGGGTGGAAATGACCGGAACATCTGGAGAATGTATCGAAATTTATGATTTCAACTACAGTTTCAGCCAACAGCTGGGAAGGGTACCATTTGTCAGTGACACAATGTGCAAAATTCTGAAGGTGCAGTAGATTCACTGACGTAAGACGGTACTCTGTGCATACAGTTTAACCGAGCTTAGCAACAAACGGGAGGCTTATTATCTTTGAACACATTGCATTGAAACAGCAACCCCCTCCCTCCCCCAAAGTTTTTCATTTTCGTCAACAGTTCTTACGTTTTCAATGTTTCTCTTTAACCTTAGACTGTTGGGTTTAAAGCATCGAAACGCACAAATTTGCATAGACTTCTTTGACGCGACTTACTTTCATTCGTCTTGAACGATACATACGGTGAACTTGACCCATTCCCCGCGGTATTCTCGGCTTGTACTCGCACTTTATATTGTGTGTTGCTCTGGAGACGTGTGAAAATGACTGATTGTTTTCCGTATGATGATTGCCGTTTGATAACATTCCCGGATGCAATAGACAATTCCACATAATGATTTGTTACGTTGCTACCAGGAAAAGGCAAATTCCATCCCACACGGACAGCAGAAGAGTTCATATATTCGATGGAAACGCCTTTAGGGACACCTGGCAATACTGTAAATATAGCAAAAGAAAATAAAATGAACTGACCTCAAATACTGGTACGAGTCAGGCTTGCGTACAAGTAACGTGAATCCATTGGCTGATGTACAGAGTTTTGACACCAAGCAAAGATCTTAGGAAAAGATGAAAATGTTCCCTTCCCCCCCTCCCACGTCACACTTTTCTTTAGAATCGCTAATAAATGTATGAGCATGGCATATCCGTTTAAAAAAGTCTGACTGATGAATAATTGACACTCTATGATTAATGCTAATTGTTCTGGATTAAAGGCCCATTTTCACCCTTGATGCAACGCGCGCCTCAACCCAATTTCCAGTAACACGAAATTCCCAGATTACTGAAAACCTTCTAAAATCGTCTTTCTCAAGAGCCATCCAGGACACATAGTCAACTGTTTTACAGTACATACATTCGCCGTTCGTCATTTTATAGTTTACAGTATTTTGTCTTCGTACTCTGTGAACAAAGTCGGCGAAAAGGACAACTTTCGAATTTTTTCACTTTCTGGAAGCACCTGATGATTCTAGATAGAGATGAAATATCTTCCAATAGAAATTGGATTTTTCAAAGAGAAATATAGAAAAATATCAGACTGCCGGAGGTTTAGTTATTCGAAGACCGTGTCCGGTAGTGTCCGCTGGAAATCTTGTAGTGTCACGCTTGGATCTCTTCGTACTCTGTGTACAGGGTCGGCGAAACGGACAACGTTTGAATTTTTTCGCATTCTAGCCGTGCTTGAGGATTGTAAATGAAGGTAGAATATTTTCCAAGGAAAAATTGGCATATTTCAAAGAGAAATGTAGAGTTATTTGAGGACCGTGTCCAGCCGTGTCATTGAAAAGTTTCTAAGTGTCAAGCGCTTGGATGGCTTCGTACTCTGTATACAGGGTTAGCGAGAAATATCAAGTTCAAAATTTAAGGCTGCCTGGAAGCACTTGAGGATTGTAAATAAAGGTAGAACATTTTCGTTTAAATATTTTTTGGATTTCGAAGAAAAATATGGAAAATATCGGACTGCTGGAAGTTTAATTATTTTAAGACCATGTCCGGCTGCCAAACGTTTAATCACTTCATTGCAGGAACGTCAGGGACACTGATGGTTTACGTTTCAATTTTTATTTGCTGCTTTGCATTCTCAGCAACCTCAGCCATCCTTTCGAGCGCAAGCTCCTCTCCACGAGCAGGAAACTTCAACTGACCCTTGGTCCTATTTAACAAGGATGGCAAACATCAATAAAAAAAATTGATGTATGAATGAAAACGTGGTGGATCAACATTTTCACCTTCCTCAGAATGCTCGCATGGATTTTCGTGTTCCTCTTTAGCAACAACCGATCCATAAGCATTTACTTCCTCAGAATCTACTAAATCAATGGATTAATCTGATTCCACACCGGATTAAGACGTCTAGTACTGTTTTAAACAGAACTATTTTGACAAGCTCACCAAACTCATCGGAGAAAACGCACAAGCTATTTTGAGACAACGTGACTAGGTAAAAATGACTGACCAATCAGAGGCACTATTTAAACAAAAGCGGTAGTTTCAAACAAAAACAAACGACCGCGTTGCATCAAGGTTGGAAATGGGCCTTTAAACTACGATGGTGCAACTGTTGGCATGCAATTTCAACAATCTGAAGATCAGAAAAAACTTGTTACGTTATTAAAATATCAATGCTTACAGGAAAAAGGCAACAACTTCCCTCTTCTCTCCCTTTCTGAAATATGTTTTGTGAGTAAAATACCACATGAAACAGCATGGTACGAGGAAAAGTTCTTTGTTTGATTTGTAAACAAAAGTTTGGGCGATACATGCAGTAACAGAACAGGTGTTATGTAAAACTTGATCGATGGACAACACAGTGGACCTTACTGACTCGAGTATACCTCACTGTGGAACTTATTAAGTTAACTGCACATAGCACTTAATACGAGGAACATGAGGCACATGAGCTATGAGGGACCAATCGATATTACCATCCACTGCTAGGAAGTGGGGGTGTGGGAACGGGGGGGGGGGGAATTCTGTTGTTGCCAGCAGAGTAAAAGGGGGGGCTTAAGAAAGTTGTCTGCCAATCAACTGCCAATAAGGGAGGCATCATTCGAATAATACTAAGCCTCATGAAGGCATCAGATGATTTTATTGCGACTTAAATCCTCCTCCACCCCACCCCCCCTCTTACACAGCGCAAGAAAAAATGCTTCGATCTATACACCCAGCGAAAAAAGGATGAAAACTCTTACCTCGTTCACATATAAAGGTATATTTTTCTGTACAAGCAGACTTGGATAATTTTCCATTTCTTGTATCTAATTTAGTGCACCTGCTTATCCTACCCAGGTGATTCCCCAAAGGGGATCCAACCCAAACGGTGAAAGCATTACTGAGGGGTGGCACAGATGGGAAGGATCGCCTGGATAGAACACTCAAAAAGCGTAGAGTATCATCATCTGAATCGCGTGAGACTCTAGCCAGCTGTGCAGAGGAGTCAGTGCAGTAAGAGGATGCTCCTCCCCACTCACGTTCCACGGCATGGGAGGAGTGCATGAAACACGAGTTCTTGTAGAAACTCCAGCCGTTGGCACAAGATAGTTTTCCTGGCTCTTTTGAAAGAAGATGACAGACTTACTGTGAAACTTAGTAAATTATGAAATCGGATGTTATTACGTTCCAAGGGAAAAGCCAATTAGGCGCGACAAGCGACAGCGGTAATTAGTTTGTGGTTTTGAAGCTTCCACGCTTTATCTTGATTGGACAGCAAGCAACTGACTTGTCATTATCGAGACAAAGCGGTTCACAGTTTTCTGAGTCACACAATAACGACCTAGTCTCGGACTGTCAAGCGACACTCCGGTCAAGAAGTGGAGCGTTGCGTGACTTCCTAGAGCCTTGTCCCATTCAACCCTCACAGAGTTCGCAAAAATCCCCCGTGCCAATGACAACTTGCACGTAGGCTAGAGGTCATACACCCAGATATATGCCCGATGTTTCGACGTGAGCTAGTACGCTTATCACATATTTTTTTAAATTCGATTACCTGGCCAGGTCTAGGCCAGAATTAAAACAACTGCCACTTATGCCTGCATACAAGTTGCAATCTCCTTAAATTCGCAGCTGTTTACTGAAATGTCGCGCGACTTTACTTCTAAAGTGAGTTTGGGGCCGAAGAGCGTTGCGTGACGTCCCAAAGAACGATTGCAAAGATTGATAGAAATGGTGAATGCAAATTGTTCGCACGCAGTTCGCATTGCGCAAAGCGAATTGTTTCTGTTCCCCCGGCCTCTCCTTTTTGTGCTTACGTGCACTTGTTAACTGGTCACTGCCTACTTTCCTTTCAAGATGAATTTATTTCGTACCAAATAGTGGGGTAATTTGGTATCATCAACTGAGTTGATAACGTAAATTGGTCACCGTAAAGAGTCTATTAGAGGCTGACGTTTCGAGCGTTAGCCCCTTGTCAGAGTAATTGCCCCTCGCTCTAACGAAGGGCTAACGCTCGAAACGTCAGCCTCTAACAAACTCTTTACGGAATCAACTTAGTTGATAATACCAAGTTACTTTCTTATACCCTCCCACGGACACAGCACCACAGTTCCTTTAGAAACTTACCCCCACCAAATATTGGGTGTCCTTTTTTGTTCTTATATCATATAACTGAGGCCTTGTTAGGTGTAATCAGGATACGTAATATCTGGGTAAAACATTAACGGGATACGGGATACTTGAGGGAAAAATAACGGGATACGGGATATTTAAAATAGAGATTCCGAGATAACTGAACTGGAACTGAGGAAATTTATGCCAAAAATCAATTAGACACGGAGTACTCAGATACGGAGTACTCAGACACCTCCCTCTCCCCCCCCCCACCCTTCTCATAGCTCTATAGAAACTTAATTGACTCAACGGATCAAAATGACTCAACTTGTTAGATCTGCATTCAAAACGATCTCAGTAACTTACCTATAACATTGACGAAAATGTGGTACGATATTCCCCAAATTCCCCATTCTGCAGCAGAGCAAAAATAAAACCCCGTGTCGTTAATGGCTGCATTCCTAATTGTAAAGGTTGGCCCTTTTTTCACTAGATTTTCGTTGACCTTATCACTCCGACTTATCCAGTGCCAGTAAACTAGGTTTTTAGGACTATCTCTTGGTTGACATGACAACGTCAGACTTTGATTGGCATAAATAGTGATCTCTCGAGAAACATCTGTCATTAAACCTGAAAAGAGAAGTCATTTTAAGAAACGTTCACAATAACATCGCAAAAAAAGAAAGAAAGGGAAAATAGTTTGATAATCAAATATTTCAAATTTATGGAAAAGTATCATTTAGCATATGCGCATCTACGGGTGATTCTCTGTTCCTTGAGCTCAAGTTGAACTTGAACTGGAATTTTGACAATTGGTATTCATAGAGGGAGAAAAAACCTCATAGCCAAACCCATACGCATCTGAAGCCAACTCCCAGGTTGAACCTAGTACCCTGCCCACGGCACAATTCAAGAATTATAAACCAGGCTCCTGTGAAACTCAAATACCTTTGCATTGATGTAACTTTCGTATCCCGCCCCCCACCCCCTCCGACCGCTGATGACTTGCCTCTTTCATCATTCGCTGTAATGACTGATTTCCGGTTCAAAATTGAAGAACTCTGACGATCGCGAGTCAGTGGTTTTTGATGAATGTTCAAATACAAAGCTCTCTATAACAAAAAATATGTCATGAGCAGCACGCCGTAAATGATTTCCCCATTGCAATTGACCTCCGACCGAAGAGAACCGCAAATCATTCAAACTCACGAAACTAGGCACAAGAGATCAAAACAACTCTTTTTGTTTTGATGATATTGTTATTTTCATATGTTAGCCATTTTATTCAGTAGGCGGTCTTCCTTGTGGTATATTCTGATTTCGTTTCGCTGGATAACACCGAAAAACTCCATGGATTCCCCTATACACTGTTTATATAATTACTGTTGTATTTTTTATGAAAACTCTATTCCCATTGCAGCTCCCCAAGGAAATTGTTTGCGGCCTTCGTACTGATCGTTTCGGGTTAGGGATAGTGTGTGCAAAAATGTTTTCTGAAACAACTGATATATTGTCGATTGTCTTGCCCCCTTTTTAAGTTACAAAAAAAAAAAAAAAAAAAAACACCAGACGTCTTTGTAATTAAACATCGTGGTCAAGTGCCAAAAAGGAAATGAAACCCGGTGAAAAAAGCAGATCGTCATCGCCAATATGGCAGATTGCCATGTTTGTTTAGATGGACAGAGCAGAACTGTGTTATTTCAAAAGATGCCATTGACAATACGTGCTTGGACGCTGTAAGAAGGCAGGACTAAAATCTTCAGTCAGGAACCATTTCAAAGTGTTTACAAAATCGTGCTTGCTATAGGTTTAAAGATATGTCCCAGACAAGCTTGGAAATTCTTGACAACATAGCAAAACTCACAACCACACTAAAGGATGAAGATGATAGTGATCATGACAGTAATGACAACTACTTAAACAGTTGTGAAAATTGCTTGTGCAGTTGCTGAACTCATGACATCTGCGATAAAAGTGCAGTGCTTCACTAAACGAGCTAACAAGTCAACTGGGAACTGTTTTTTTTTTTTTTTTTTTCGGTTCGTAAAACACCCGTGATTCATTAACCCTTTAACCCCCTAAGAGTGATCAGCATCTAATTTCTCCTAACAATATCCCCACTGAATCAAACATTGATGTCATAAGAGTAAAGGAAATGATAACCAACTAAAGAAGCTCTTGATTGCTAAACAAATTCTCCTTGACAGCAGCTTAGTAAATGTACAGAGAACAGTATGGAGAATATGCATACTGATGTAAAGGGTTAAAAGATTTAGATTCACATTTTCCTTCTTTCGACTTATGAGCGGATGAATCACAAAACAGCCTCAACTATTTTCTTCTCGAAAAGCTCTTTGCAAGAGCTCCTAAAAGTTGCCTGCGTTAGAGATGTCGAATCAGTTCTTTTAATTGCTAGCTTTGCAGCATAGAGTCATAGCTTATATACCTATCAGCGAACTTTTTATAAAGACAAAAATGTCTATTAAAATACGTGTGACAATGCTGTGCGTTTCCACGCCCACAATTATTCCTTATGCGCAAGAAGGATACCAGTCATTTGCTTGGCAAACTCAATCTAGCAACACTCCCCCGCATAAATTCCTACATTCATTCCAGAGTTAACGTGTTTGTACTTTTTTTCGCTTCCGCTTTAAATATGTTGAAGCTAAAGCCCTTGTAACGTTGCATTACAGATGGTTTTAAAGGATCATAAAGCGTGTTAAGCATCTTATAATAATTACCTTCTGAGATCGTGAAACCAATCAGGAGTACTAAGAAGGGTATTAAGGCACCCATTCTGCAGATCATAGCCAGTATCGGAGGGATTGGAAGGTATACACGCTTTGAGTTGTTACCTCACTCTGTGATGACTAAGAACTAAAAATATGAGACTATGATTCGGCCAAAATCAGCTTGGTAAGGGAAATCCTGAGCGGAAGTGGCTGCAACACTCTGAAAAAGAAATGCAGAATTGCACGAAAAATCTTTCAGCGGGATTTAGTGTTCGTCGGAAATGAGGTTTCCCAAAGAAAACCTCAAAATATCTCAGAACAATATTGCTACCACCAAAGTTAAGATGCTCAAGTCGGTGAACTTGTATTGCATGTGTAGCGATTTGGCAAAGTTCATTATATAGTTTTATTTGCGACTTCCGCTGTTATCGATACCTTCTCAAATAATACTCCGGAAATTGTAATAAACAAACAGCCTGACAAACATCTGGTCGATGAAAGCACCGGGAGTCTTTGTGACGTTTCAACAGGTCATTCCGTGAGAGTTAGCTACGAGCAGTAAGATTAGCAGTAAGACCTTGACAACGGTCGGAAGTTGCGAAAATGGTCGGAATTCAAAATCAACCATTAGCAAGAAAATTTAAGCTTGTGGCTTATGGTCAGTTACTTCAAATCCAAGACAGCTCCAGACCATAACGTCAGCTTGCCTCAGGACTTCATATCAGTAAATCTTAAGTCAAGAGGCCGGAAAGCGCCCAGCTTGCGTCATCGACAAAGCGTAAGAATGGCTTCTTGTTCCAGGCAAAAGCATATTAAAATGTCAACTAATGTGTTTTCATGATCTCTGATTACAAACACACAGTTAATGCGAAGGCTTTTTCAAAATTAATGTGAAGTTAAACTGTTTAAACAGGATCTGATTGGTAATTTTTTCAGACCTTGCACAAAATGATTGAACAAACGAAAAATAGGCAACTTAATGTAAATGGCTTATGTTAATCACCCGTTATAATTTGGCATAAAGAGATAATTCACTCATGCACTCAACAAGATAATTTGGCTCAATGGAATCTCAGTTCCTTGTGCAATCAGTTTTATTACTACGTAACCCTTTAAATGCAACTGATTTCCTGATGATGCTCATGGCTAGAATCAGATGATTTTATAGACGTGGCTGTGATGTGGTATATTCGGACTGATGCGGCTTGTGTCATCGCAGCTTGAAAGAAACCTACTCCCCTTCAAATTTTATTCAGAGACCGCGCTGAACTGAGCCAAACTAAAAATTACAACATTGGTACCCTAACCGTTTGGCGCGAGGCTAGAAATGGGTTAGTTGCTGATTGGCGCTCTCAATAAAAAGGATATTCTTGTACATAGCTTAAGATTTGAGCCATATCAACGCGCGAAAATGCAAAATATATCATCATGGAAATTAAGAGATTTCATCTCTGCGGTTTTCCCCGCGGAATATCGGTTCCCGGATCTGCAACAAATAAATTAAGTTCCCTTATTAAAAAAAAAATGTCTAGCCAGGTAAAACGCTACAACGAACGCTTAGTCTAATAAAAAAAATAGAAAAAAACATTAACAAATGGATAACGTCTTGCATACGTAAGAAAGGGATGAAATTTTTCCTTTCATGTTGTTGTTATATAAGTGCTCTCGGGAAATAAAGTTCTCCGTAGATTACATCAAATTTGGCGAACACTGCAGTTCAATATTTTTTATGTTGTGTTGATAATAGTGAAAAATGTTTCGGTTTATTTGAGCCGCGAAAATTTGTTCCCGCAAAGCGCAGAAGTCCATCAATTCACAACACAAATTTTTTCCATAGATGGACATACAGTGATTCAGTCAGCAGATCAAATAGACCGCCTTGTCAACACAGGCCTCCACAGGCGGCCCAAGCTCTAGCTGTGAGTTAATCATATTGCGAAATAAGAGTTATGCTGTTTAGGAATATTTTACGAGCGCTCTTAGGATTAAAAAAATACAATCAAATTCTCAATAAAAATACCTCACCTAACTTCCACACGGCATCGCTTGTTATCCGACCGCTTACTATGTTGAAAAGAATCTATTTTAGCAAGTTATCCATTTCTAGATTTACTACTTATAAGAGAAGCCCTACGAAATATGGTCGATTTACAACGATAAACATTTAGAAATATGAACATTTTACGCGTAAGACTTCGTCTTAGAACAGGAATGACAGTGATGGCAAAGCAAGCTTAAAGCAGCAGAGAACGCCGGAAACTACAACGGACATACAAGATGTGCGTAAGATCTGTTGATTTCAGGTGTAAATTGTTTATATTTCGAAATATTTATCGTTCTAAATCGGCTATATTTTGTTCCCCATATTATTTCTTAAAACGCTTCCTATCGAAACTTAACACCAAGTCACACAACGCGTGACGCATCCACGAGTTTCTCGAGACGTGAGCTTGGGAGCTTGTGTTGTCAACAGAGAATTTCAGTAATACCAGTAACCGCAGACAAATCGCAAACAAAATAATATCTGTATACAAAATAATAACTCTTCAATCTCTTAACCAGATTAACAGTTTATTTCGTTCATTTAATTAATTTCCCCTACCTACAGAATGAGTGCAGTAACATGACTAGTGAAAAACGTGGGACTGAATGGCGAAGGTAACTTATATGCCCGGAAAACGCCTTTCCGGCAAAGCTTCGTATTACTCAAATTCGAGTAAGCCCTATCCTTATCTTTCTAGGCCGACCAAATGGGTTGTAGGAACCAGATGCTTTTTTAAGAGCTTCGAAAACAATTTTAGATTACTTAAAGTTGCCAACGCGTGTAAATTATCTCTCATGATAGACGACGGTGGGGGAGAGGGAAAAGGTGAGCGTACTTACCCCCCCCTCGCTCAACAACAGTTAATTGACAACAAGTTAAGGTTAATGTTGGGTTAGGGGAGGGGAAGGTGGGCAGTTGCCCAGATACTTATATTGATCCGAGACCCGTTGGCCACCTAGCTTGAAGCCGGTCAGTGAAAGCCAGACATGTTTGCACACTGGGCAGTAAACACAAAATTCAGAGAAGACTTTTCTTTTAAGAAAATCTTTTCACTCATGCGCTTGCTTAGTAACGACCGCCTTGATTGGGGCATGGAAGTTACGACTGTTCGGTTTTGTTTCACCTTATTCAAGGTTAATGATATGAAATGTTAGGCTAGGGAGGGCTGCACGACAGATGGACTGATCACTATCATAGAAGCCGAAACTATTAATGATATAGTGCAATCTATCCTCCCATGACGTCAAATGCGATTTTTGTGACTGGGAGTCAGGTGGCACGTCTTCAGATCAAAGATAGGAAAAACCACGGCTGACCCCTAAAGCTAAAGTGGTGTCTTGTTTTGTCTTGAAGCCGGCGACTGTTTTATGAGAACAATTTTCAAGGCAAGTGGAAACAATCAAAACTGCCCCACTATATCCTCTACATGCTACGTGTAGAAAGACCGGAAATGTGTTTTATTTTTCAGACCAAAATAAACCTGACGATGAGTTTTCAAAATCGTGCTGCGGTCAATCGCTGTACGAGTTGCAATTGAAACGGGAAGTGACCCTAGGTAGGGTGTTTCCTGTTAAAGTTTTAATGTTATTGTTGTGACGCTGTTAAAGTGGCGGGGGCTTAGGGTTAGATCTAGATCAGTGAAGAGCTTGACAGCTCGCTAAAAGCAATAAACGATTCCCTCAAGGTTGTTTCAGAAAAATGTGGTCTTCGCTCGAGTGAAATTACAATATGATACATAGATAGGAGCAAAAAGCTTGTAGAGAGCACCACGTTTTGCTGAGAGTACCACGCTTTGCTAAAAGTACCGGGAGTCTTGATCTGTCCTCTTTCATTTCTTCTTATTATCTGACTGTGTTGTATGATCTACAAACCACTACTGCTATGTTTTTTGCTGAGTTCTAATAGCAAATGATTCCCCTCTAACAATCTCTCCCTCTCTCCTCTTCTCTCTATAACTAATAATTTCTATCTCTGGTGCGCGCTTCTGCATGCTTTATGCCTTCTGTCCGTAGGCTCGAGGCACGCCAACCAAGAGTCCTTAACAGATAAAACACCTCTAATCAGTACAGTTAGCCAACTTGCTAAGACTTTCACGAGTCTTATAAATGAATAACACCGTATTGAACCCTTCTTATCAAACAATCGAAAGGTGGAACAAGCGAAGATTATTAAAGGTCAAGTACAAGATCAGTAGTGAACCAAGTCAGCATGCCCATTAATGGAATTTATTGCGGGATAAAAACTAAACGATTTAAGCGTCGCACCCGCTAAAGGTAAGAGCTGAAAGCTTAAATCGTAAAGCTCATCAAAACCGAAGCAAAGAAACTCCTTGAGAGGGTTAAGCCCTGAACGAACACGGACGTGATAGATGAGGGAGAGGGGGAGTGGGGGAGTGGGGGAGTGGGGGACCTTAAACCAATAGAGACACTTCATAAAACATCTCTATTAGTCGTATTTCATATCATTACGAAAAGAGAATTTTATGTGGGATTAGCGTGCATCGTTCTTCTAAGGGTGTTAGTCACTTCCGGTTTTCCTTCCTCCAATGAAGCTTTAATGAAAGGACAAAAAGGACCACTATTAAATCTGTTTGAAATGAGTTTTAAATCGTATTCTTGATTTTAGAACTTCACTCAACACCGACGTTTTGGCAAAGTGACGACCATTGTTTTCCAGTTTCCAGTAAAGCTTGTACTTCCGGTACGGCGGCGTTTACCGCAGACGAGAAACCGTGTTAGTCAGTCTTCTTCGAAATCTTCGTTTTATGTAACGCAGTTCGCCTTCTCAGGGCTGAACCGTACTCGTAACTTCCATTTCTTCTCTACTAGTTGAGTACGATGTATCACAGCTCACGGTAGAGCTTGCTGAATTGAGGTATACATCGCACATTATTTCGAGAGTATTTCAACGCTGACTGATACAAAATTACAAGAGATGTGAGAGATTTGTAAGTGTCAACTGAGAGTTTTCATAGTTTTCTACGTTATCACTCGCTAATTCGTTACCAGTCCACGGGACACTTTCAAGACAAAATAAGAGCACTTTACCGAGTTTTAAGGTTTCTGAAATTTTTCTTCTATCGGAATTGGTTTGTACACATAATAAGCTAAATATTTACACATACAAAAATTTTGTGTCATAGGCACTTTAAGTAGTGTTCATTACTGCGAAGATTGCTTCAAACTTTATGTCATAATCCGCAGTTCATATGTACGATTTTCATATATTTACAATCAAGAAAAAAATTCAGTCAAACTGAGGAAGTTTTTTTCTTAGACATGTTAGATTGACCATTTAAGAAATAATTTATCTAACGCTTCCTACGAACCTCCTAAACAATTACCAGGTAATAATAAATCTGAGTGCTATTACTATAGGCAATATTATGATTTCGAGTGCAATTTGGTGTTAATAAGCACGAGTAAATCTTTTAATTTTTTAGAAAAAAACATCACAGAGAGTCAAGACTGACGTAAATTTTGACAGCGTGCACGCGCTATTTGTAATTTGCACTGTTACAACTTTGCACTCGTGATACAGCCAATCAGACACGCGTAATTTTTTCTTGTATATTATAAAAATAGTATCGTTATGAACCGAGAAATTAATAGATACACTTGCTTGCTAAATATTATTTACACCGTCACCTAACTTGTGGTGGATGTTATTCCCTTAGTACAGAGAAAATATACGAGAATACGTGCTGAAAGTTTTGGGGGGGGGGGAATTAAACTTGTTCCTTATCTCGTACACTTCAAACGCGATCCAATTTCAATCGTCTATTTATCTCTTTTTACCAATGCATCGTCCACCTCAGCTTCATCATACAAGCGAGCAATGCAAGCGACTGAAAGAAAGTGAAAAAGAGACAAAAAAGACATAAGAGCAGCACCATGACACAATGATGTCAAACTTAGGTAGAGTGAATTGACCCTCTATATACCAGCAGCGACAAAAATTGTTTTTCTTCTAAAATAAAGTGATACTTGTCCAATACGTTTAACCCTTCTGATACCAGCATAAGAGGCTCCCCAAGTTGCGATACAAAAAAGTATTTGAATCGTACCTCCTTTTGAGGTTGCCTCGCAGGAGTTCCATCTCCAGCCTGTCGTCAATGCTGAAAGGAATTTAAAAAAATTATCAATTCATGGGAAACTGCTACCTACAAAATTTAGTGATATGGAGGCATGACTTGACTGGGCTTCCTGTGGCATAGAGAGAAGTGGCGAAAAGGGCTCAGACAATGTCAAGAATAACACATAGATCAAGATAATGCAAAGATGACACAAGAAATTGTCATCGGTAGCCTTTTGCGCCTGGTTTTTCGTCGATTTTTTTATAACTATCAGCTCGACCAACGTAGACGTCTCAGTTAGGGGCGAAAGACGATTGCGCGTTGAGCAAATACCTTATTCATACCAGCAAAACATGCTTTGTTAAACTGGTTATTACTGAATGAAAATCATAAACAGAGAACTGAAAAACTTAATTTTCCATAGGATTCAAGTACTTGCTAACGTGCTTTTCCAATGTGCTATATCTTAACCCTTTAACCCCCAGATTAAAGGCGTACTTCTCCTTACTGTCAACCATACAATTCTTATAATGCTAGTTCAGAGAATTTAGTATTGGATCAACTAATTATTACCATATTGATATTTTCTTTATTCTCGTCACTTATCTGGTTGATATTGTATTGATATTGTAAGGAGAAATTCTGTCTTGGTCACTCATGGGAGTTAAAGGGTTAAGTAAAAAAATATTCGGTGAAGTAGTTTCTACGAAGAAAAAAAAACTAAACTGTGTTTGACAAAACAACTTTAAAACATGTTTAAGCTTTGGTGTGAATGGAGTATAAGAGAAGCAAAACAGATTTAGGTAATTTTATGCACAACATTCTGGTTCCTTCCATACATTGTGTCATAGCTTCTGTCAACTCGTTAAGCAATCGTCGCAACTTAAGGATACTAACTTATAATTAAGAACCAAGTTTCAACAGCTCACCTGCTGTTTTCGCTGCCATCTTTGTCACAAGGTAATTTTACTTGAAAAGCTCTAAAGCTAGTGCTGGAGTCGTGTAGCCCAACAGCTATGAGCCGCTCTTTACGACAAGCTGCTAAACAGGACCATTCTCCTTCCACAGGGAGGACACTGAGTAGGTCACCAGACTTGACTTTAAAGAGTCTAAGGCACTTAGTATTCTTAACAAACGAACTCACAATAATTTCCTCATCACTGATAAACTGGAAGCCAAAAGGAATAGGCATGCATGTGATGCAAAAGAGTGTGATTCCCGAAACTGCATTAAGGACCATCAAATCCTCTCCAAACCATTGCCTTTGCAAAATGACAAGACTTTCATCTGGAGAAAATACCCCACACAAAACGCTCATGTCCTTTTTCCAGAAAACAGTTTTATCATCCGACAACTGAACAGTTCGATCATCAGAGGTTATCACGTGGCATTTACCGTTGCATGCAATGCAGTGTTTTCCATGGGTAAACATTGTTGCTTCAATTTCACCTGAAACTGTATTTATGATGTTCAACTCAAACGTGTCTTTAGCACAAAGCACACGCTCTCCTGATACTGGGATAATATCTGCAATTTGGTGCAAATCGGGCCAGCGTCGAGTGCACTTAGACAACTGAAAATTCCATAGTTCAGGTGAGTCTTCATTTATTGCCAAAATTACACCATCTCTGACTGGTACAAGCCACGTTTGCTCTGCATTTTTCGGTAATCTCTTCCTTGCTCTGAGCTCTCCATTCTTTACATCCCAAGCCTTAACCCAAGGTACAGCGGCTTCATTAACGACGTATAAAGTCTCTCCATCCAAAGAAAACGCTACACCGCTGACTTGAGTTGAGGAAATACCTGCTGCGTCGTTGGAATTATTGGTATTCCGCATTACAATGTCGGTAGATACCTCATACTTTCCAAGTAGAGTATTTTTATCTAACACAAACTCTGTCGATGGAACTGTACTATGTAATATCCAGGGTAGAGGATCTCCATGCAAAAAACCACTTTCGCTGGGTGAATCATATCCTTTGCTTAAATTTGTTGGACTTTCGACTAAAGAAAGGTCAGTTGAAAAGGTTTGGCTCATCTTCTTTACATTGACATCTAAGACATACTGTTTTGAAGAAGTCAAGTCGGCTGTAGACTCGTGCAGGCAAATAAGGTGTCGATGATCGGGAGAGAACCGCATCATTCCGCATACTTCGGGGAGTTTTGTTTGCGTCAGTGTCTTAAAACTTTCCCTGACATCAACCAAATCAACAGAGCCACTTGAATAAGAAATTGCTAAAATCCTTCCATCGCGAGACCAAGCAAAGGACAACACATCTTCCTTTCTTGTTGTACGAGAGATCTCTAAACCAGACTCTAGACTCCACAAAGCGATGCATTTAGAGTTACGTGGACAGTCAGTTAGTATGGCGGTCTTATCTGCCGAAACTGAGCAAACTTTAAACTCGCATTGACTTTTGGGGAAAAGTGCCATCAGATCTCCTTTATAGGAGTAAGCTTGACTGAGAACTCCCGGTAAGACAACTTCCTGGAAGGGATGAAAAACAACTGAGCGGTAAATTGATAACACTTGTGAACATGGCACCATTCTGTACGCACGTTTGAAATTCGGCCGAAATCGCTTGGTGACAATCACAGCACGATTCCATAGCAGTTTGCCAGTGTTCAAAGACCAAAATTGAAGCGTACCGTCCTTACATTCGCAAACCATGTAGTCTCGATGTGGTGAAACATCGAAACAGGCTACTGCAGACGACATTTCAAATTGGGCTTTTAATTTTGTCACCTGAGTGTCACTATGCTTGGATACTATGCACGGTATCTTGGAATACTTGCTCGTCAAAAGGATTAACGCTTCAGAAGACAGTTCAGGCCCTCCCTCATTCAAGACAGTTTGGAAGATCACATGAGGTAGTTGCGTTATGTCAGCGATGAACTTTCTCAACAAAAACAATAGAGTGCTAAGCGCATTCTGAACATTTACATTCAACTCATTAAAACCCGATTGTTTCTGAACAAAATCGATGTCTTCTGACGCTGCTGTACTGTCTGCACAAAGCTTCAAATACACAAGTTGTAAGTCTATGACATATTTATTTACAACTTCCTCCAGAAAACGTTTGTCAAAACAGTTTCCCACTTCCAACATGTGTTTAACACCATGCTGCAAGGCATACTTTGTGGTGCTGTTAAAAGCTTCGCTGTGGACATCTTTATGCTTAACATCGTCAAGTTGCTTGGCACAAAGATTAGAGAGAATACGATGGCCTTCCCTTTCTTCCACGGTGAAATCGTGCTGTCCATAGGAGGCCATGTCAGTTAACCAGTCCTTAACTGACTTGTGAAAGAAGTAAATACGGTCATCTCGAACAGGTAACAGAGATGAAATGCATGTGATTGCCTTCCTTACTTTTCGCCCATCAGCTAAAGAGTTTTTACCAGACAGGATCATTTCAGTGACGAAAGGTACTGGCAAAGGTTCTCTTGCAGACACGAGTGCGCTTAGGAAAGTTAAGAACTGCTCCTCTTTGACGTTCAGCTCCTTGGAGAGTTCATTTTCTAAACGTTGGAAGTACGTCTGGTAAACAGAGGAAATTCCAGAGGGTAAAGTACTGTCCATGCTGTCAGGAGTGAGGAGGCGCACATTCTGACTTACAAACTCAGCCAGCAAATGTGCATATAAAATAAGTCCTTCCGATTTTTGAACCAGTTCGGATATGACGATTTCTTGATAACCTTGTTGAATTAAACAACCTAGTTTTTTTTCAAATAACAACCATATGTCCTTTAGACTTTCCTCATCGTCTGGCTTCAACTCAAGAGGTTGGAATTTCTTGAGACTGTCTGAAATGTTTATTTCTGGACGAGTTGTTACGAGAAATCGAATCCAACATGGAAGGTTGATAAAGTGTTCAGAGACAAGCTCAAGCAGCTCATTGCGTCCGCGGTATTCACTTTCATCCAATCCATCGATCACCATAAGAATGTTTTTGTCAGGAGCTTTTAGGCTTCTGAGAGGTACTTGAAACAGCAATTCAAACAGCTCTTTAACTTCCACGTTTTTAAGCTCGATTCCGAAATTCCTCGAAAGTGCATTAACAAGAGCTTTCTTGTACTCAGGAAGTGATTCTGACAAATGGCTTGCCAAGGACTGAAGCATCACTTTCGGATTCCTATGGCGTGCCTTATCATGCTGACAAAAATGGCTGCAAGACAATCTGCCGGTTTCTTGTAGCTTTTTGCAGAGAACTGCAGAAATGACCGATTTCCCCATTCCTGCATTTCCACTGATCACAGTTACACGATTTTGAGAGCTCCTATCGTCCAACCAATTCTCTACTTTTGTGAAAATGGACACACGAGTTCCTTCGAGATACCTTTCTGTGTGATATTTTACCTCTTCTTCTGAGTCAATTTTCGCGATTTTCGTCAGAATTTCATCCTCTTTGTGTTTTTTACCTTCCTCTGTCGTATTTTTCTCTCCATGCTCGATGTGTTTTAAGTCTGCAAGATGCTTTTCTTGATTTCGAAGAACTTTCTCAAGTTTGGATTTTGTTTCTTCAACTGCTTTATAATCTTCTTGATGTATCTGATGCAATTTATACATAACTTCCTGTGTGTCAATTTGAGTCTGATGTACTTCTCTCAATCTGAAATTGCTATCCTCAAGTAACTTACGGTTTTCTAACTGCTTCTTGCCTACCTCTTTCACGCATTGCTCTGATTTTGTTTGTGATTGAGAAATCTCGTCAAGCTTGATCTTACTTTCTGCTACTGCTCTGTGGTCTTTAATAGAAGTCTGAAGTAGTTCTTTGAGACATTGTCGCTGTTCTTCCATTCGTATGTGTTCTTCACGCTGGAAATTGTGTATGTAGTGAAGTTTAAAGTTGCTATCTTCAAGTATCTGGTGACCCTTAAGCTGAGTCTGGCGAATATCTTCAATACTTTGTTGCACCCCAGTTTGCGAGTGATGGATGTCATTCAACCGTGACTTGATTTCTTCTTCACTTTCACACCATTCAAGTAACAGGTCAAGGTACTCCTCCTCTCCACAGTTTTCTGCCTTTAATCGATCTATTTCTCCCTGATTCAAACCAAGAGCAACAAGCACAACACTAATATCCTTCCAAAGAGAGGAGAAAGTGGGCGTGTCGATACTAGTGGTGGACAAGTGACCATACAGCTCATTCCGGAAGAGCTTCACTCGCACGAGGTTGGCTTCAAGAGAGGTGTCACCTGAAGAAGGCTTTACATGCCATCCAAATGGGGGAGGGGATAGCCCGTATATGTTAGTTAAAAGAAGAAAGAGAAGAGTAATGTCAAAAGTTTTGGAATCTGGAGTCACTCCCCCGGGTGGGTATAATAGGTCCCACTGAGCAGCGCGCAAGACCTTTTTCTTCAACAAATTACTCAAGATTGAATAGTTAGCACTAAGAACCGCAAAGAGATGTAAAGGAGGGTGATAAGTGTCAAAAACATTTCGTAAAACTGTTGTTCCACCATCAATGAGAAGTCTGCTGAGTTTGCCTCCATTTGTCGTCCTTTCAGAGCTGACCAGGGTTGAAGGTGCAGCAGCAGTAGCCATCTCCTCTTGTACTTCAGAGTCTGAATCCTGAGCAAAAAGCATAGTTCGGACAGAGAATGTTATTTTTCAAGTAGGTAAGCATTCTGGGTTGTTCAAAGTATTGCTTTCGTTGTCGGGTAGCATTCACTGCTATTACACCAGACATTGTAATTTTTTTCCATATCTCCTTGCAGAACAAATATAAGACAATTTGAGTTCTGTTCCCAAGGAACTCAATTTTTCAAATTTCTGAATTTCTGAATTTCTGGCACTCCTTCCCTGTGTAAGTCTCAAGTATATGTTTTTTTTTAAGTGCCAGCTATTGCTGTAGTTGTTTTATCTGTGTTTAATTTTTTTCCTTCGTGATCTGAATTTGACCTGAAATATTATATTTATTATATGTAATTGCCCTTATTCAAACCGATATTTTATAATTATAAAATGGCACACTAAACAGAATAACAAATAAAAAAATTAAAAGTGAACGGTATTTTGAATGTAAGACAGCTGAATTAATAACACGAAATATGGAAATATATTGAGCTTTTCTAAATGTTTCTTTCACCCATGATCTCCTCTCAGTATCCTTATGTTTTGCCACGCTGTAAAAATTTCCCCCCAAGAATCATTCCCAACAAGTAGCTATGTAAAGTCTACACATTCAAAAATACCATAAAAGTATCGATAAAAATCTTGAATTTGCGACGTGAAAGGCAAAAATTAAAAAATCGAAAAAGCATATACATTGCTGATCTTAGCAGTATGCAGGACGCTTGTGATATGAACTTCGTAATAGACCTCGCTCATAGTGGAGTTTCTGTGGCTCAGTGGTTAGAGCCGATTCCTCATGGGGACTCAGAATTTTTTCTTTATTCCACTCTCGTGACAAGACGAAAAACATCTTTCTCTATGATTTGTCATGTGCATGATAATGGGTCTAGACACTAACACATTTTCTCCGTTTACCGGTTCCTTCCACGTCTACAGTGTCCGGAATTTCTCTACAATGGAACTCCAAAAAATGAATTGATGAGTTAAAATTTTGTTTCTCTTCACTGAAGTAGAATTTAAACCAGAACGCTAACTTTTCTTCATCTCGAGATCGCGATTTTTTGTTAGAAAAAAGAAAAAATAGGGGGCCTGGGAGTTTTGGTGTTTCACAAAAAATACAAGCCGTTTTTCGTGTTCAAAAAATACAAGCCTTAACTACCTTATTTCCACTTAATTTCGTGGTATTGATATTGGTTATCGGAAACGATGACCCAAATCATTCCTACATCCGCTTCCTCAGTTGTGACCACGAACAAAAGTTGAGAAATATTAAAGCATAGTCCATTGGTAAAACTTTGAAACATCATAAAGATCTTTAAAGCCAGAAAACGTTCTCTGTCACAAATCATTTGCCATTTTTCAGTCCAGATGGGAAAGATAAAGGCAAAGTTTAGATGGCTCAGTTTTTGAAAGTCAGTGTGTTCACAATCTATTTTTCACATGGCGTGGCATAGCGTGACATAACGTGACATGGCGATGCTAGCTTCAAATGCAAAGAGTTACTATGCGGAAAGCCGTCGTAATGCTCTTCTTCTGCAAGTGACGTCACGTAAAAACCACTCAAGCAACCAGACAAACAGCATTAAGTTTGTTCACAATCGATAGTTGTTGACAGACAAGAACTGAGGGGAATGATATCCCGATCTTCGCCGCATTTAGTGATTGAATTCTATTTACAGATGATGATGTATACGATTGACATAAAATCAGTTTTTCTTCTCCATCTGTTAACCCATGATTTTCGTTCAGGAATTGTAGTGCGCCTCGATATTAATTGTTGCTTCAAGACATCAATAGGCAGCTAACATGATTGCCCTCACGCTTCTGGGGCTGGCAGTCTTTTAATTTTTTCCTACTGAGTCACAACTTCCTACCTACATTTTTATCTTACGTTTATTAGATTGGCTTATTAACCTAAATTAACCATAACCGTGCACTTGTCGATCATGATGAGCGTTAGTCAAGTTATATATCGCACTGTTCTTGATACAAATTTTAGCATTACCCGACGCATTTCAGAGGACGTGTTGTCCTTAAATTACGAGATCAATTCCAAGCTTCACCTGACCATAACTAAACACTGTCTCTTTCAATTTGAAATTAAAAAGCAGCGGATGTAAATTAAGAACAGATGACTTGAAGAAATTCTCTTAGTCGTCAAATGAAATCTCTCGCCTCGGACTTGTTCTTTGACGACCGGTAAACATCGCCGAAAGTCGAAGCCATTGTACTGATTTTACTTTAACTCATATCGAAAAAAACCGGCTTACAGGTCGATACAAGGTCTTTTTGGATAATTTAAATATGCTGGGCAAGAGATGCATGCTCTCAACTGTAATCATGGCTTACGTACCTGATAATCGAGGAATAATTCTTAAGGATTGGCCATCCGAGAAAGAAGAAGATTAACTACACAGTTGAAAATATGTGTTGCCTATCAATTGGCTTTTGTGTATTCAGTAGTTTACGTTACTCCTCTGATTACAGTGTACCATGCCGTTTCCCTCGGTTGTTATTCTATCTAAATAGTTAATGCAAATCTTACCGCCGATTAGTTACGTTGGAAAATGAGGAATGCCGGAATTCGAAACCGAAACCGGAATACTCAAAATGCGCGGAACTCCCAGGATGACCGAAAAAATAAAAAATATTGAAATTACTTAATGATTTAAAATATAAACTTTAATAAATAAATAGTTAATTAATTAAATAAAAAATATGGTAAAAATAAAAATACAAGGGAAAAAGAGGACAACCAGTTCTTTATAGTTCTTTATTTGCAAAATTTCTCTCGATAAGATGAAGGGGACCATGCGACGTAACAAAAAATAACTACCTAGGGCACTGTTCACTGGGATGCACGTAGTAGAATTACATGTAGCTCACAGTCTAAAAACTGACGCCGAAGATTACTTCAAGGTAAATAAACCAGAAGCGTGGTTAATTATTGACAGACCTCGAGCACTGTGGGTGCTTAGTGGAAAAGTGGACGTAAATACGATAAGTACTTGGCGAGCGAACCCAAAGTGCGACCGCATTATTCCCTCTTTGAAGGAGGTTCTATTCTAAGTGGCTTGTGTAAGATAAAACAACTAGATTTATCTGGGGAAATTGACAGTCTAATGACGCACTTCCGTTCATTGCTCAATATGTTCTAAACCGCAGCCTTGCGACTCAATCAGTCTCGGTTCTCGCCTCAAACGCGTCAGCAGCTCGCTCGATTTTTCAGTTCCCTCCCATCTCTCTCGTTTAATAATTTCTTGTATTGTAGCTTTCCTTGTCTTCATGTGTTGTAACTTTGTTACCTTCGCCAGGAGTTTATGATTGTATTTTTTTTAATCAGGGTAGGCGGGTCTCGTTTAATTATTACCTGTCAATCGATAAACTGCCAGACTGTCACGCCAACACTGCTTGTTGTTTTATTGTCACGGACGTGTTTATTATTGTTTGGAAAGAAACCTTGAACCATGTCGTGTTCATTAACTTTATCAAGAGTATAAATCTCCACGCGCCAGTAATTTTTAAGAGCAACGCCTCTTTCAAAGTTATCTCTAAAACTGCTAAAACTGTGTTTTATTAATAAGAAAGAAGTTTTTAAAAGATTTAATCATTTCGCGCAAAAACAAGGTGATGATATTTTAATATCCGGAACATTTAACAAAAAACCAAGCATTAAAACTTTTCGAGAAATCGGACTGTTGTGCTCATATCAAATCATTTCATAGTTTACAGATCGATCTGCGTGATCTGAAAACCAATGCACTTTTTAAAATATTACGAAACAATAAATCATCGTCTCTTGCCCGAAACCATACGTAAAATATTACTTCTCCGAGCCTTTCCCAAAGTTCTTGCCACATTCCATTAGAGAGAACGAGTCACCCTTCCAGTCTCCCAGCCACACCTGTCAGGTGCGAATCAAAGACGATCTGCTTTCCTCACATTTCTTCTGCAATATGAGCATCAAGTGCACCTTTCATTGTATTTTTGGTGAGTAAATTTTATTTTAATGATTATTGTGTATTTCGCATAGGACAAAACATGCCTGAGCCCCACACGGGTTGTCAGTAATGTCATGTAAGTCTTTTATATCAGCAGTGTAGACGCTTTCTTCTTTCTTCTTCCGTTGCTCCCTTTCATAGCAAACCGCTCGTCTCTCGAAATTTGGAACTTGTTAAAAGGCTCTTTTATTTGGTAGAACTCAGATCCTAAAAACAGCTAGAACAAGCTCAGTTTCCTGTTCATCTTCAATTAATTCTCTAACAGCCTTGGCAAAAGCTGTCTCGCCTAATTCTTTTTCTCCCGTTTTGTGTCTCAAGCGACGGTTGGTGTTTTCAGAATCGTTTGTGTAAAATTTATCTGGTCGGTAACCAAGACCTGCCTCTGTCCGGACAGATGCGATCATGGACTCCTTCATTATCCGGGCTCGATGAAGCATCCAATTACGGAAACTCGATGTCCCACACTCTTTTTGTTCCCTTCTAGCTCACGGTTCCTGCAATGAAGCCAGAACAGCATGGAACATATCTTCGCTGGTGGCATCCGGAAAACCCATCTCGTGAATTGCTCCTTCTTGCTTTCCAAAACTGTACTCGATATATTGTTGTGCTCCTTTACGCCGAGAGATACAAGCTTAGCCTCGATGTTTTTTACGGAAATAGAAAAAGCAACGAAGATGAGTGGCACTAGGAAAACTATCAGACAGAGCATCTGACAGTGCACTTTCTCCATCGGTAACAAACACTAGCAACGGCTCAAGCTGGGTGGCAAGGCATTTCAAATTCTGAAAAAACTGCGCATGAGTACCTTTGGTTTTGCTGTGGTGGATGAAAATTAGTCAGACGAACACTGGACATTTATTACTTTTTCTACTACTACTGATGGTTATTACTATTTCTAGTACGTGCATCACCATGAACAGTGCCGATAAGTGGTTATTTATTTAACGTCACGGGATCCTCAGAGAAAATTTTTGTATTTAATTATCTAATTAAGTTATGAATTTACCATCAATTAATTAATTATAAATTAATTATTCATTTTCATTATATTATTATTTATTTATTTATCAATTTATTATGTTTTTAAATTTATTATTTTTCGGTCATTTCAAGAATTCCAGATATTCCTAGAATTCCAGATATTCCTAGAAGTCCGGTTCTGGTTTTGAACTCCAGCATTCCTTATTTTCCAACCTAACCGCCGATGAAATGGTCATAAAGGCTTTTGCCAGTTTTGTGGTCGTCCGACAATATCAGCTGCCAATACTGATATGTTTGATTTAAAACTTGTTTTTGTTCCAAGGTAGAAGTGGAATGAGGAACGGTTGATGTCCGCATATGGACTGGACCATTGGACTGGACCATTGGACCCTTGGACTATTTTTTGGACCATTTTTTAGACCTTTTTTTTTTTTTGCGCCATTTTTTGGACCGTTTTATCGGGGGGAGGCAGACCGTTTGTACTTAGGGGAGGGGTGGGATGCAATCTAACCGTACTCAGGGAGGGGTGGTAGGCAGGACATACTATTAGTACGCAAGGAGAGGTGAGTGGTTGTTGTTTTAGTGAATGCTACTGATTACTGGAGTTTTCACTGGATCATACAAATTATTTTGAGCGCTTTTTCGACTGACTATATTTATGTCAAAATTTTGCGCTGGGCCGAAGCGTTTCTTTATTTTTCTGTCATGCAAATGCGAAACTAGCACCTAAACAGTGGACTATATTTGTTATTAAAAATATCGCCAATTCCCGTTTTTGAGTCATGCCTGTGCCTTTTAAGGTGACTTGAGCCAGTGCTTGATGATAGCCACAAGTTATCACGAATCATCCATCAGTTGCTGTCGAAGCGTGTCATGTCGTATATTTTCTTAAGGGAGTGAAAGTGTGTTAAAAGCAATGATTATTAATAATGATAATTTCAATTCTGTATTCAAGACAACTTTGGCCTGAAGACATTGATTCCGCACCGACCAATAATTTCTGAGACGCAAATTATATACTCCGCTTTCATCACAGCGAAAATACTACAAAGGTTTTTAAGGACATTTCGAGTGTTTCGCAGAACTAGGTTAGTGGGAAAGGCCTCTTCTCAATGATTTCCCTTTACTACCATTTTTCATTCGATGTTAAAGGTAATCACGGAAACAAGATCTTGGATCATCGAAAGTGATGAGTACTCATAAAGTAGACAGAAACACAAGACAACATAGCAGAGTGCGGGCTGCTTTATCTTTCTGTTAATAAAAACAAACAAAATAATAAACGGACAAACAAAATTTGGAAAAATTACTTGAAGGGATGTATCAAATCTTTTCTTGGAAAAAAGGTCTGAGGTAAACGCTTGATGAAATCTTCGTAATTTGAGCAACACTTGAAATTGGAAATAGTTGTGTAAATAAACTTAAAGCGGTTGTAAAACAACAGTAAATTGTAATTGTGCTCTCTTTTCCAGTAATCCTTTAATCAAATTCGTGCCAAAATCGGTGAAAAAATTTTATGTACAGTTGATACGTATTTCCTTATTTGCGAGCAAAACCTATTGTAGCCAGTCGGGCACGTAATCAGTTGCGTGTAGTATCGATTACATGAGTCAAGCAACAAGAGGTGAACCCCTTGAGTTCCCATTTAAGATTTCCAATCTTTTGAAAACTAAAAAGCCATTAGATACGGTTAAAACTGCATATGTTTACGAATATTCTTAGAAATCTCCTTCCTTGCGCGTAGGGCGCTTTACATACAATGTCAGCCGTAGTTTACTGAGTAAAAGAGACTATGCGTTCTCAGTAATGTGTGATAAGCTGATAGAAAAGCTCTTCTAGTTGAGCTTCCATTCTGTCCGGCTTGCTTCATTCCAACTGGTAATTGAACCTAAAAAAAGAGGAAAAATAACCACCAGTTACAACAATGACATAATTGCAGGATAACATTAAGGTTAATTATTGTAAAAAGAATAAGTGAGATGGTAAGTTTTTTTAGTATCAACATGACTGACTTTGAGTTTTAATGACTTGATCTACAGGTTAGTGTGAAATGGGCGAGCAATTTAATAAGCTACAAATAATTATCAGTATGCTTTATCATTTTTAAAGGACATACAGCGGATCAATATCAGTATCTGGGCAACTGCCCACCTACCCCTCCCCTAACCCAACATTAACCTTAACTTGTTGTCAATTGACTGTTGTTGAGTTAGGGGAGGGGTAGGTGGGCAGTTGCCCAGATACTGATATTGATCCCATATAGCAATGCTACCTGACTAATAACTGTAATGGGACTGACTGAAGTCCGATTCGTTCCGTAATCATACGAGTGATTAACGAAATCGGACGACCGCGAGGCGGGAGTCCGATTTGTTAACCTCGAGTATGATTACAGACAGAATTGAACGACATGAAGTCCTGTTACCAATTAATAAAAATTATGGCAAAACCAAGACATCGATTTACCTCGATGAAATGTTGACAAAAGCGCGCGCACACGATGCTTTCGGTCCACTTACACAACCATGACGTCTTAACCGTCCCTTTAACTGTCCTATTACACTGTCCAATCATAAGCATGACGTGTACCCTATCCTATCAGTGCTCAAATCGGGCTGGTGAGATATATGCAAGCTTGCCTCTTACTAGTAAGGAGATGGCACTTACGAGTAAATTATACCTCAAGATTCTACCTTCCTCTTATTACCAGAGGACAACTATTTGTACCCTATGCGTTATGGTATTTGGTTTCAACTTAATATTATTTCAGTTCTTTCATCCTTAGATGTCACCAATCATAACCGAGTATATAAATCAGTTTCTAACCTTTGTTTTCTACAACTTCTTTGGCTCTTGGTAATTCCACTTGAACGAATTTCATTCGGGTTCCTGACAATCCAATGGCAACAAGATGATTACTGAGGCAGGCACCTAAGCTGAACGGTTGCTCCCCAATGTCTAGCATGCTGAGCTGTTCGCCTGACCTCACATTGAGCAAACGAAGGAAATTGTCACGAGTGCAGCTAATCAGAATATCGCCGTTAACAACGAACTTGCAGTCGACAATGTCGTCATGATCTTCAACGAAGGTGTGGCATGTTTTTCCGGTTTTTGTGTCAAGGATGTGCAGTCCATAGCCTGAATCTAGCGATCCCCACGTAATGAGAAACTCTTCGCTTGGAGAGAAGATAAAATAAGGGTCGAAAGGAGAATCCTCGATCCTTTGTGAATGTCTCCACCAAATGGGTGTTCCGTGGTTATTTTCGCTTAAGCTGAATTTTATTTTTTCCTCGTATACCTCATCAACTATTTCCTCAACGAAACATAATAGGATCTGGCCACGAAGATTGACTAAAACAGAATGAACTTTGTCGTTGGGAATCACCGTTGTCTTCATCGATGAAACAAACTCTCCGGTAACTGCGTTGAATATGTCTACATCAAGCATTCGACATGATTCACAGGCAATTGAGGTAACTATGCCAAGACTAAGTGCTGGATCGATGAAACGTGTCGAATCATCCACCCATGAAGAATCATCCACAGTTAGAGCATCCTCTTCATCAGATGAAACATCGCCGACTTCTGGTGAGAAATCGCTAAGTTCAGTCTCCAATGCAACATTTGGTGTCAATGATTCATCTTTATCTTCGCTGAATCGAGGGCACTTCAAGCGCCAAAATTCCTCAGGTGTCATCGTGCGGCAGTGTCTTTGACAAGCTATCGCCTCATTTGATAAAAAAGTCAGTTTTTCCGTACCGCTCAGTTTGGCAAGAGGTTTAATACATTCCAAGAGGTCAAAACTCCAGAGTTGTGGAGTATCTTGGCCAACAGACAGGACAATGCCTGACTTGGTGGGTAAAAGAGACACACTTCCACAGATGAAAGTTTTTTCCGTTAAAATTTCTTTACTCGAAATTCTCACAACGGTCACTAGTACCTTGCTATCATTGCAATCATTATCACATGAGCTAATAGAATACATAGAGTCTCCCTCTACAGACATTACAATTTCTCTGACTTTCATTTTGGTGGAGGCAGAATTGGTTGCACTCAGAACATCGACATTGACTGCGACGATGTAGTTAAAGGATGGACCACCCGTTAATATTGTCGTGCTGTTCAGCTTCTTGAAGAATCCTGCAGAGAAGCATGGAAAAACACTACGTATGTCATCAACCCAGTTGGAAAAGTAGTCTGGTATCGAATTTCCTGACTGAATTGGCCACAAGAGAATTTTACCTGATGAACGAAGGGCAACAAGATTTGTAAAATCGCAAAATGTGAATGTCTGGTGATGATCAAACATCCAGCCGTAAATGCCCACTCCAACATGTTCTATCTCACATGGAAGGTGGCCACAACAAAGAACTTCACCATCTGGGCTGAAATGCATTAATCCACAAGCCTTGCTAATGCGCTTGTGCAAAAAAGGTGTATTCCTTCTATCTATTTGCTGCAAATAGATAGAACCTGTTAAGTCGCCAAAAGCGATTTTTGAGCTATCTTCGGAAATTGTAAAAGCTGAAATGGTTTCTTCACACGTAAAACGGTTCAGCTCTGTCCCATCCTCCATACTCCACAAAGATAGTTGTTTGGGATTATCAAAACGGTCGGTTAACATTACTTTCTTATCCTTGGGGAATACGCAGTGAGCGAATTTGCACTCACTGTCGATGAAAAGCTCTACACAGTCTCCATTCAAAGTGTAAACATTCCTGAGGTTCCCGGGTAGGACATATTTTCCATTTGGATGAAAGATCACAGAGTTGTAAAAAGTCAAAACGTAACCACCAATTGGACGATAAGCACCAAAATCACTATTCCAGCCATAAGGATGTACCCCCTCATATTGTCTTGTGATAAACGAAGGTCTTTTCCATTGAATGTTCCCTGTTTTAAGAGACCACAAATGGACTGTTCCATCTCGGCATTCACAGACCATGAAGTTCATGTCAGGTGAAACATCAAAACATGCCACCCGATGAGAACCGTAAAAACGAGCTTTGACAGCACCATTTCCTTCTTCTGTGTGCACGTACTTAAGGTATGACACATGAGAAAGATCATTGTCAAGGATCGACGCGGCCATGGAAGACAGTTCAGGAAGGCCTTCGTTGACCAAGCTTTGAAAAAACAGCAGAGGATAGTCTCTTAAAAGAAAAGAATGTTTTCTAAGAAAATCCTGAAGAAGGTCCAAGTTGGAACAAACTTCTTGCGGAAGAGCGGGTCGAACGTGTTTTTGCACATTGTGGAGATCCTCCGAGGGGCAATTGCTATTCACACAAAGCTTAGCGTAAACGAGTTTCAGATCTGTTACGAAAGCCTCGATCAGACCATCAACCTGAGTAGTTACTGGGTCTCTGATAAATGAATCCACTTCAATCATGTGCTGGACACCATGCAGTAATGCGTATGTTTCAGTGTCACTGAAAGTGCAATCGTGAATGCTCCTTCTCTTTACGTTTTCAAGCTCAATCTTGCATAGGTTGAAGAGAATTTCGTGTCCTTTCTTTTCATCTAGGATGAACTCATGGTCACCATAGACAGGAGAACCAGACAACCAGTCTTTCACCGACTTGTGGAAAAAGTGAAGACGATCATTGCGTAAAGGCAAAAGCGTAGAGATACAAGCGATCGCCTTCTTTATTGTACGTTGAGCTGTGAAGGATTTTCCATCCAAATCGAACATATTCGAAACGAAAGCTATAGGCAATGGCTCACGAGAGGCTGTCAAAGCAGAAAGAAAGCGAAACACCTGCTCTTCTTCTATCTTTAACTCTTCACAAAGTTCCTTTTCTAACCGTTTAAAATGACATTGATAAACAGATGAAATTCCCAGCGGCAAGCCTCCTTCCAGGTGCTCAAGTGTGAGAAACAGCACATGCTCTTCGATAAAATCAATGAGATAATAAGCATAAAGGAATACACCCTCGGATTTTTTAACCAGATTCTCCAAAATAGAGCTCTTCTGTGTTTCCTTCATTTGATGGCTCAGACGCATCTCAAGGAACAGCTTAATGTCCCTTATGTTCTCCTCTTTGTTTTCCTCGAGTATAATGGGCTTTAAACGCTTAAGGCTGTCAGCAATGTTTATCTCTGGTCGCGTCGTCACTAAAAGTCGAATCCATTCTGGAAGCTTACAAAACTGGTTGGCAACCACGTTGAGAAGATCATTGCGCCCCTTGTATTCACTTTCATCCAGGCCATCGATCACCATCAAGAGGCTTTCGCCAGGGTTGCTAACTTTAATCAGAGGCTCCATGAAAAGCAAAGTAAACAACTCTTCAACACCCATGCTATTGAGTTCCAACCCCAGATTCCTTGATAGCTGTTCCACGAGAGCTCTCTTGTATTCTGGTAGGGTTCGAGACAAGTGAATAGCCAAGGACTGAAGCATAAGTTGAGGTTTGCTATACCGTGCATTGTTATGCTGACAGAAGTGGCTTCCCGACAAACGTCCTGCTTCTTGAATTCTTTTGCAAATGATAGCAGAAATAACTGACTTTCCCATTCCTGCATTTCCACTAATGACCATTACACGGTTTGGGGAGTTCCTGTCATTCAGCCAGTCTTCGACTTTTTTGAAGATCCACTCCCGTGTACCTTCTTGGAATCTTTTCACGTGATGCTCGATGTCTCCTTTAAACTCCGCTTGCATCAGATTCTTGAGAATTTTATCCGATCTTTCTCTCTCTTGTTTTTTCTTCAACTGCTCGATCTCGCGCTTGACTTCTTGAAAATCTGTTTTCAGTGTTTCATGTTGTTCTTGAACAACTTCCCGAGTTGTAGCTTGGTTTTCTGCTAGTTCTTCTAGTTTTGACTTGTTTTCCTCAAGCACTTTGCCACAATCGTGTTGGGTCTGCAGCACCTTAGAAACGATTTCTCGGTTTTCGGCCTGGTTACGTCTGATGTCTCTTAGATGTGATTTGATATCCTCCTCACTGCTAGTCCAATCGAGAAGTGCATCAATGTAGTCTTCCTCCCCACAGTGTTCATCTTTCAATCTATCTATCTCCGCTTTATCCAGTCCAAGAGCAACGAGAACAGAACTTATCTCCTGCCAAAGATTGTTAAAAGTTGACTCGTCAACACTAGTGGTTGTGACATGGCCATACAACTCATTGCGATAAAACTTGATGCGAGCAAGGTTTGCTTAAAAGGAGTTATCACTCGCGTGTGGCTTAGAATGCCATCCTGAGGATGGACAAGATAGGCCACAAATGTTGGTAAGAAGGAGAAACAACAATGTGATGTCAAATGATCTGGAGTCTGGGGCAACCCCAGACGGTGGGAACAGTAAGTCCCATTGCGGCTTTTTTAGGATTCTTCCTCGCAAGAGAGAACGAAGAGTTTTACGGTGAGAATTGAGATCGGTAACAAGGTTTGCAGGGTGGTGATAATGATCAAAAATGTTCCTTAGAACCGTTGTTCCGCCATCAATAAGAAGTCTGCTTAGTTTGGCGCCATTTGTCTTCTCCACAGAACTTGCTAGTGGTGCGGATGCACAAGTCGCCATTACTGGTGCAGATGCTATTTTCAATCCTAAAATGATACGAAACCCAGATAACAACAAAGTCTTAAACTGACATATCTCTATTGAAATACACAGCTCTGCTGTTTTTATTTTGATCCTTTTGGTTTTATCGAAAGTAGAATGATTTTATAGTCGTATTACGAAAATTATTTAATTTTCAGATTATTTTTAAATTGTACGTGTACTCAACTATATATACTCAACGCCAGTAGCTGGTTTTACACGGCCTAAGAATGGGTACTTCAGTTCGACTCCATTGTCCACAGCAATTTCAGAGTCGTAGGAAGTAGTTTCTATTTGCATAATTTGATCCAGCTTAATTGAACGGAAATGATTGACAGTTCGGTTTCACGTTGAGAGACTAATACCTGAGGCATGGTTTAATTACCTTTGCATTCAAAATGTTGGTGCCTCTACCAACATTTTACGTTCATAAAAGCATGAAATACATTACGATAAATGTGTACGGTAAGACTAAATCAAGAAATTTATTCGTTGGGTGACTGATGAGTAATTTACCGCAGAAAGAATTTCATTATCACTTCTTGAGCGCTACTACAGGGTTTGAGGTTACTCGGCATTCATTGAATTGAAACAGAAACTTGAACATGCGACAAAGTCCAATTTTGCTGATATTACTTTCATATAAATTCTTATGATAGGAGCATCAATATAGTCTATTTTGCTGGGTATGAGAAATAATTTCACCTGATTTGTAGGTCATGTTAGCGACTGAATTAACAGCAGTATTTACTACAAGCAGACGCATCAATATTTCAGAAATGTTAGGAAATTGCTATCAAATTTGTGCTCTCTCTTCTATATCAGAGTGGCCTATTCATTAAGAGTAGGTTATGCTCATTCTTCACAACATAATTATCCTCTGGAATTTCAAAATTGTGTTTCGAGAATCATCGCATCATTAATATACGATTGCTGTCCTTGGAGCTTCTATTCACCTGAACGCCTTCCAGTTTACGCTGTATGAATAGTTGATATTAAAAGCTTCACTCAGAATCTAACCTTTTTCCTCAACACTCTTAATTGATCTCGCAAAGTCATTGACGAGTAAAGGTTGTAGGATAGGGATGTTTCGTCAATACTACGCGATCGATTATCTAACCAACGAAACTGCGCATTCACGCATTGAGAGCAGGAGTATTTGCGCCCAGAAAAAGAAATTTGACAGGAATTCTGATATTACCTGTGTTCGCCGATAGATATTTTTCAGTTTGTCTCAATCTCCTCTTCAATCATCAGTGCCAAGTTGTACAATCAGTTTAAAATATTCAAAAACAAGACATTTCGTGCTCTTATTTGCATTTTAAAAATGTCCTTAGCAGCAAATGACATGAATGACTGACTTTCGCTCACTTTTATGCCGATGCACACCAGTGAGAAACACATGTTCAGTCTGCCGTGGTTAACCACAAGACCACTTAATTGTATGTGTGTCTTTTTTTAGTATGTTTTTTATCTTCAGCTAGGAAGGGGGAGGAGAGGGTTGGGGGAGATTGGGGTGAAGAGAAGCATGAACAGAGGAGTTGATGCCCTGTAAAGATTCCACGCAAAAAGGTTCCATCATAGTGCCTGGGATACTTGTTTCTCCCTTCTGCCGATGTTCTATAATGCAATGTCCAGACCACAACAATTCACGACATTTCCTTGTTACAATGAATTCGAAAGACAATCATACTTCAAGTGTGAATGAAAAGTTAAAGTTAAGAAGAAGAAAACAAGTCACATTTGCTAATTCACGCGTTTAATTGGCCTTAGGCTTCTAGCCTAACACAACAACATTTAAACAAAATGAAGCCCCGCTGGTGCATTTTCACATCTACGTCGCTTGAGACGTTTGTCTTCTTCAGCTCAAACTGTGAAATAAACATCAATGGCAGCCGAAAGCGAAGGTTTGTGCTTTGCAAAGAAAAAGTTATCGAATTTCTTCAGTACAAACTAAACTAAAATCCTAACGACAAAAAGAAAAAAAGATGCAAACCGAGCAAACGTATCAAGTCTCGAATGTTGGATTCTTAAGGTGAAGAAGGCGTCGGAGGAGAAGTCCATTGTACTGATCGACGTACAGTCATAAACGTTTTGTGGATTCCTTTTTGAGAGTTGTTTCAATGTTACGAGACGATTCTCGAGAGCAGCAAGAATGCTCTAAGATTCTTCTATTCACTTCCATTTGGTTTTGGTCAGTGAGCCTGCAAGTGATAAACAGACATGTTAACTTTAAAGTGAATTGGTGCAGAGTTCCGAATGGCCACAAAACTTAATTCATCGAAGGAAGTTTGAATTTCAGCTTAGTTTTCTGAAAAGCATAAATGAACAAAAACCCGGCTTTAACTCATCCTTTCTCTTCCTAATGTGTATTAAGAAATGACAAGCAATGCAAACCGTCAGTAGATTCTAAAATAATTACAATAAAAAAGATAAATCTATTGATTCAACTCAGCTAAGAAAATTATTGAATAAAACAGTGTAAAGAAGTACTTTAATGGCTTATAAAGTCGACTGTCTTGTTTAATTATGATTTGTACCATCATTATAAACTTAAGTGAACAATAACAGATCAAAAGCCAACGCCTATAGATCCGTTACTTTTATACCTTTACGGTCTGATTCTTTTCTTCTTGGTAGCTCCACATGGATAAATTTCAATCTACCCGACGACAAACCAAAGGCTACAAGATCTTCACGTGCGGAGGCCCCCAAACTGAACGGTCTTTCCTCTATGTCGAGTATGCAGAGCAGGTCACCGGTTCTTATTTGAAACAATCGAAGGAAGTTGTCACTAGTACAGCAAAGCAAGGACTCGTCGTCACAAGCAAATTTGCAGTCAACAATGTCATCGCGGTTTTTAAGCAGACTCTGCCTCGTTTCGCCGCATCTAGCATCAAGGATATGTAAACCATCACCTTCACCGAGGGAACCCCAAGTCACAATAAACTCTTCTGTGGGCGAAAAAATAAGCCGGGGCGAAGAAGATTCTCCAAAATACTTGCTACTCTTTCTTTCCCACAAATTTTTGTGGGAGCCGTTCTTTCTCAACGAAAATGTCAACTCTTCTATTTCAAAAAAGTCATCGTCTATTTCCTCACAACTACAGACGAGAAACTCACCCCGAATATTGCAGCAAACAAATTTAATAACAACGTCATGAGAAACCTTTGTTTTCCCAGAAAAGATAAACTCCTGAGTGGTAACGTTGAAGATGTCCACTTCAAGCATTCTATCGGCGGTTAAGCTTAAAAGAGGAAAACACAGTTGCATCAGTGCAAAATCAAATGAGTTGGGTGAAATTGCATTATCTGAAATTTCTGTTGAATCATGCACACCCGAAGGTGTTTCAGTGTCCACTGGTGAACACGAAACTCCCAATTCCGGAAGGTGGGTTCCTTCAAATAACGGATATTGGCTTGTAACCTCCTTTTCCGTTAAATAACGGCTATGCCCTTGACAAGCTATGAGTTCATGTGATACACGAGAAAGCCTTTCGTAGCCACTCAATTTGGGAAGAGGTCGAATACGTCTGGTCAATTCAAAATTCCACAGCTCTGGTACTCCATTCCCCATACTAAGTACAACGCCTTCTTTCACAGGGAGAAGAAACAGAGACGGAACAAGGAAATACTTCTTCGGCGTTAAAATTTTTTGATTCGACAATCTTAAAACGGTCACTTCACAAGACCTGTGATCCGAACAAATGGAATACAGAGTATCTCCCTCAGGTGAAAGCATCACCTCATTGACTGCTGAGCTTTCAGAGGAACAATCTCGATGACTCACGTCTACCAACGCAACGTAGTTGAAAGATGGGCTACTGGCCAGTATTGAATTGTCTGATAACCTCGTGTAAAACCCTGCACTTAAATCTGGAAAAACACGCCTTACACTCTTCACCAGACAATTCCCTCTATTTTGCTTGTAAACGTCGTCTAAGTCAAAAGTTCTTAAATCAATAGGCCATAAAAAAAAATTGCCTGTCGGAAGCAACGGCCATGAGACGCCTGGCGAGGAAGAGAATAGATCTTCCTTTTGGAATGAACATCTTTGGTACTGATTCTCACCATTCCACACCCAACGGTATTCATTGTATCCAACGTCTTCGAACCTGAAACCTAGATAACCACAAGTGAGGGTGTACTTAACATTGAAGGCGAGGTGGATCAGTCCTCAAGGGGAATAATTGATCTTCCACAAACGTCGTTCTTGCCTTGTTTCCAAGTCAATAATTAACACAGACCCAGGACTATCTGCAACTGCAACGAGTGATCCATCTTGGGAAATAGAAAAAGATGCAACGTTTTCTTGCAAAGACATGCACCATAGCTTCTTGCCATCTTCCATGCTCCACAAAGAGTCTCTTTGGATCATCACCACAGTCAGTTAAAATTAATCTTCTGTCTCCGGAAAACGCACAATTTGAAAAAAAGCAATCGCTTTTCGGAAAACGTTCATAGGATTCTCCATTGAGGGTGTAAACATTTCGCAGGCGTCCCGGTAGGACATATTTTCCACTTGCGTCAAAAACTACTGAGCGATAGAAAGTCAAACCATACTGCTTCCTGCGATATGCTCCTTCATCTTGTATTAGACCGCCACGGTTTGAGGTTTCAAATTCTTTCGCAATTAGGGAAGGTCGATTCCATACTTCATTCCCTGTCTGAAGAGACCAGAGATGAATTGTTCCGTCTCGGCATTCGCACACCATATAATCCATTTCAGGTGAAACATCGAAGCATGCCACACTATCTGAACAGTAAAATCGACCTTGTACCCCTCCTCGCTCTTCTTCTTTGTCTAAGTATTTCATGTACGAGGCATGAGGAAGCTTGTTTTCAAGGATTGCTGCTGCTTTAAGAGATAACTCGGGGGAGCCTTCGTTGACCAAACTTTGAAACAAAGCTTGTGGGTGGTCCTTCAACAGATAGGAATGTTTTCGAAGGGCTTTTGACAGAGAGCTTAACAAAGAATAAGTTCCCTCTTGCAGTGAGGCGAGGTTGACGTTCCTTTGAACACGTTGGAGATCATCTGAAGGAACCACGCTGTTCACACAAAGTCTGCGAAAAATGAGTTCTAAATCTATGACATAGGATTTTACCAGGTGATCTACGTTGTAGGTTGTTGAATGATCACCCAGTCCATCCAGCTCGGTCATATGCTGGACACCATGTTGCAATGCGTACTGTTCAGCGTCGTTGAACTGGGAATCAAGAAGCTTCTTGTCTTTAATTTTGTCAAGCTCAGCAGTGCAAAGGTCGAAGAGGATCTGATGCTCTTCCTTCTCGTCCACGATGAATTCATGCTGACCATACGACGACGTATTTGTTAACCAATCTTTCACGGACTTGTGGATGAAGTGAACTCGATCGTGGCAGATTGGCAAAAGAGAAGAGATACAGGCGATTATTTTATTTACCTTTCGTCTGGCAGTGGAACAGTTCCCAGTAGGTTGTAGTATTCTGGAGGCCAAGGCCAATGGTAGAGGCTCTCTGGAAGCGGCTAGGGCGCATAAGAAATGTAACACTTGTTCTTCTTCAATCTTTAACTCTTTGCAAAGTTCCTTTTCTAACCGTTTAAAATGATCAAGATAAACGGATGAAATACCCGAAGGCAATCTGCTCTCCACCTCCTCGACGGTAACTGGCGAGGCATTCTCTTCGAGTGCAGCACTAAGAAAATATGCAAATAGGAAAATACCCTCAGTCCTTTGAACCAGTTTGTCCAAGAGCACATTCTTATGTTCTTGCTCAAGTTGCTTTCCCAGACGTAGTTGAAAGAAACGCTTGATGTCGCTTAAGTTCTCTTCCTGTTTTTGGTTAAGGTGTATGGGTTGCAGATGCTTCAGGCTCTCCGTAATGTTTATTTCTGGTCGGGCTGTTACAAGAAATCGAATCCATTTTGGGAGCTTAAAAAAATGCTTGCCAACGACATCGAGAAGCTCGTTGCGTCCTTGATATTCACTTTCGTCCAAGCCATCTATTACCATTAAGATGTTTCTTCCTGGATCTTTAACAGCATTAAGAGGCTCCTTCAAAAGCAGAGCAAAGAGCTCTTCGACACCCATGCTGTTGAGTGGTACTCCCAGATTCCTTGATAGTTTTTCCACGAGAGCTTCCTTGTACTCGGGTAAGGTGTGAGTCAAATGACAGGCCAAGGATTGAAGCATCAGCTGTGGATTTCGATAGCGCACGTTGTTGTGCTGACAGAAGTGGCTCCCTGACAGTCGACCAGCTTTTTGCATTCTCTTACACGCAACAGCGGAAATAACTGACTTTCCCATGCCAGCATTGCCACTGATGACCATTACTCGATTTTCAGAGCTTTTGTCGTCTAACCATTCATCCATCTTTTGGAAGATCCACTCACGGGTTCCTTCCTGGAATCTTTGCGCATGATATTCAATATCCCCTCGGAAGTCGACCTTCGCTAGGTTTTTAAGGGCCTCAACTTCCCAATGATCTTCTCTCTTCTTCTTTTCGTACTCAGCTACCTGTTTAAATTCTTCGATACCTACTTGCATTTCTTCAACAGCCTCAAGAGTTTTTGCCTGGCAGTGGGACAATTTCTCCAATTTAGACTTGGTATCCTCAAGTGTTTTCTGGTCTTCCTTTTGGTTTTGACGTAGATCTGCAACGTCTTCATGCATCTGTATCTGGAAATTCCGTATATCCCTCAGCTGTGACCACGTATTTTCTTCACTCTCAGACCACTCACGTAACAAGTCAATATAGTCTTCCTCTCCACTATGTTCGGCTTCTAATCTATCTATTTCTACCTGGTCAAACCCAAGATCAACAAGGACTGCGCTAATATCCCGCCACAGAGACAAAAACACTGACATTTCAACGCCAGTGGTGGACACGTGGCCATACAACTTATTGCGGAAAAACTTCATTCGAGCAAGGTTAGCCTCGAAAGAGGTGTCACTAATAGGTGGCATCGCGTGCCATCCTGAGGAGGGAGGGGTGAGGCCACACATGTTGGTCAAAAGGAGAAACAGGAGAGTGATATCAAATTCTTTAGAATCAGGTGGATCCCCACTAGGTGGGAAAAGTTGGTCCCACTGGGCTAAACGCAGAACCTTTTTCTTGAAAAGAGTGTGCAGTGTTGTGAAGTGAGAGCTGAGACCAGCAGCTAGTTTGGTAGGGGGGCGAAAGGTATCGAAGCATTTCCTCAAAACCGCTGTACCGCCATCAATAAGAAGTCTGCTGAGCTTGGCTCCATTCGTCTTCTCTACAGAACTGGCAAGTGATGAAGGTGTGGCAGCTGCCATACCTGGTGCTTTAGGGCGTGGATTCTTTAGCGAAGATTACTCGTCAGAATAAGACTCGGTCCTCAACATCTCCACTGCGTTCTTCTTATGAAACAGTCATTGTAAGAGTGCCTTTATTGGATATTTGTAGTCAAATGATGTTCTAAAATAACCTGTACCTGTGTGAAAGTAATGAAAAGATGCTTCATAACTTAATAGATAACATGTTTAAAGACTGTAACATTGTCGCTCAAAAGCAAAGCCAAGAAGGCTAATTTGCTTGCAAATTAAAGGATAATCATCATATCCTCTATTATAAAAGAAGGTCTGTAGTCATAAACACGACAATAAGGAAAATTCATACGATTGTCTATCACAGGTAATTTTTGGCCTTTTTTTTCTGAAACCAAAGAAGCTCTACGGATTGGTATCAAACTCATTTCCTTTCAAGGGGGTTGTTCTCTAGCATAAAAAAGGAGACTGGGTTTAGTACGTGCCTACTCTGCCGCTGTAAATGATTTTACATCTGCGAATTTGAATCAGCAATCTTAAACGTTTCATGTCGCTACTTTCATCTAGTTATCTGATGTATTTCTGGCCAATCTTGTAATCAATTATCTTTCCCTTCTTACCAGTGCACCCTTTTTTGTTATGCAGTCAGCAGATGTATTTCATTCACCACTACCCTTTCAAGTGTTATCGATTGTACTTCTCCCTAGTTTTCTCGTTACTTTGAAAATTCAATAATCTAGTCAATTATATTTACACAAGCCGCCTCGATCAGCGTTTGCTATTTGCATCTTATGTGAATAGTCAACCTAAATTAAGGCATAAGTGAAGAATCTGTGCCGGTCAAGTTCAAGTAGGTGACTATATGATACTAAGATCACCAGTAAACTCGAGACTTGGTTAACATAAAAATCCCCTACGCAATATATAACACCACATGATGATACTTTTCATGACAAGAATGCTGTTGAACAGAGTGACCTCACAGAGTAACTATTGATTCTATTTAAAATTTTCTTCAAACACAAAAACAATTCTTGATCATGTCGCCTCATTGTTCGGGTGAGAATAGAGCTGGCCTTCCATGATATGTAAACATGTTTATATTGCGCAATAAGCTTATTCAAATGAATTCATTTTGATTAGTTAATATATTAACTTGTAAATGTACTGAATGACAGTGGCGAGAACTACATAATTTTTTGAGTCACGCGAAAAATAAGAACTTTTCTTTTGGTACGTCTTTGATGCTGTAGAGAATGCATCTTTCGCTAATTTAGTTTGTGTAGGCTTTTGTGATGTGATTAACAACAGACAACAAAGAAGTAATTATTTTCTCTCTCTCCTTATTTAAAACCGGTAAACCGCATCACTGCTTTGATCTAGAAGGTACGAAGGCAAAAAGCGGATAATTTACAACTTGTGTGCTTAACGTTATCAGACATAAGTTCAGATGATAATGATGATAAGTTCAGATAATGATAGAGCAGAAAAGAAGTTTGTGCATCCTTAGACACTGTTGGCGCATCATTATATAAGAAAACAGGCCGTCGAAACAAATACCTTAGACCAATCAGAGTTTTTTTTTTAACATTAATCACAACCCACCCCATGAAAATAAAATTTTAAAAAAATCGTCTTGGTATGCAGTAAACTATACCCGGAATCCAGTGCTCGGACAGAATGTCGTTCGAGGTGAGAAGGGTACTCTTAAATCTTAGTTTTGGAAACTAACTATGAACAGGACGTGCCGCAACATTACTATCTTTTAGACATACTAGTTATTTGCATAATTTGATCCAGCTAAATTGAACAGAAATGATTGACGGTTCGGTTTCACGCTAAGAGACTAATGCCTGAGGCATGGTTAAATTACCCTTGAATTCAAAACGTTGGTGCAAAGTTTCAACCAACATTTTATCTTGATAAAAGTATGAAATACATTACGATAAATGTGCACGATAAGACTTAATCACGAACTTCATTGGTTGGGAGACTGAGGAGAAATTTACCGCAGAAAGAATTTCATTATCACATCTTAAGCGCCAATATAGAGTTTGAAGTTATTCGGCATTCATTGAATCGAAATAGGAATTAACAGTAGTATTTACTGCAATCAGACGCATCATTATGATCATTTCAGAAATGTTAAGAAATAGCTTTAGAATTTGTGCTTTCTATTCTATTACAGAGTGGCATTAAAAGTTTCATTATCATTAAAAGTACGATATGTGCATTCTTTACAACATAGTTGTGTACCGGAATTTCAAAATTGTGTTTAGAAATTGATGCAGTAGTTAATGGCAGAGCACAGTTTCGAGAAAGATCGCACGATTGATCTACGATTGCTTTCCTTGGAGCTTCTATTCATTTGAACGACCTCCAGCTTACGCTGTGTGCATTGTCAAAATTAAAAGCTCCACGCAGACCCTAACCTTTTTTCCTCAACACTCACAAATAATCTGGCAAAATCATTGACAAGTAAAGGGTGTGGGATAGAGATGTTTCGTCAATGTAAAGCGGTCGATTATCTTTCAAACGAAACTGCACATTCACGCATTGAGAGCGGGAGTATTTACACCCAGAAAAAAAATCTTGATAGGAATTCTCGTATTACCTGCGTTCGCCGATAGATATTTTTCAGTTTGTCTCAATCTCCTCTTCAATCATCAGTGCTTAGTGGTACGATCAGTTTAAAATATTGAAAACAAGAGTTGCCGTGCTCTTTATTTGTATTGTAAAAATGTGTATAGCAGCAAATTACATGAATGACTGACTTTAGCTCATTTTTACGCCGATGCACTCCAGAGAAAAACAAAGGATCAGTCTGCCTCGGTTAACCGCAAGACTTCTTAAGTGTATGAGTGTCTTTTTTTAGTATGCTTTATCTTTAGCTGGGTTACGGGAGGAGGGTTGGGGGGAGATTGGGGTGAAGAGAAGCATGAACAGAGGAGTTGATGCCCTGCAAAGATTCCGAGCTAAAAGGTTTCATTAGAGTGCCTGGGACACTTTTTTCTCCTGTCTGCCGGCGTTCTATAATGCAATGTCCAGACCAAAACATTGCATGACATTTTCTAGTGTTAACAAATTCAAAAGATAATCATACTTCGAGTATGAATGAAGAGTTAAAGTTGAGAGGAAGAAAACAAGCCGCACTTGAAAACAAGTCACGTGTTTAATTGCCCTCAAGCTATTGGCCAAAAACGACAACATTTGAAGCCCCGCTGGTGCATTTTCTCTTCTACGTCGCTTGAGATGTTTGAATTCTTCAGCTCAAACTGTGGAATTGACATCAATAGCAGCTGAAGGCGAGCCTTTGTATTTTACGAAGAAAAAGTTATCGAATTTCTTCAATGCAAGCTAAACTGAAATCCTCTTAACAAAAAGAAAAAAAGATGCAAATCGAGCAAACGTATCAGGTCTCGAATGTTGGATTCTTAAGGTGAAGAAGGCGTCGGAGGAGAAGTCCACATGTCATTGTACTGATCGGCGTACAGTCAGTATCGTTCTGTGGATTCCTTTTTGAGAGTTGTTTCAATGTTACGTGACGATTCTCGAGAGCAGCAAAAATGCTTTAAGATTCTTCCATTCACTTCCATTTGGTTTTGGTCAGTGAGCCTGCAAGTGATAAACAGACATGTTAACTTTAAAATGAATGGGTGCAGAGTTCCGAATGGCCACAAAACTTAATTCATTGAAGTACGTTTGAATTTCAGCTTAGTTTTTTGAAAAGCATAAATGAACAAAAACCCGGCTTTAACTCATCCTTTCTCTTCCTATTGTGTATTAAGAAATGACAAGCAATGCAAACCGTCAGTAGATTCTAAAATAATTACAATAAAAAAGATAAATCTATTGATTCAACTCAGCTAAGAAAATTATTGAATAAAACAGTGTAAATAAGTACTTTAATGGCTTATAAAGTCGACTGTCTTGTTTAATTATGATTTGTACCATCATTATTAACTTAAGTGAACAATAACAGATCAAAAGCCAACGCCTATAGATCCGTTACTTTTATACCTTTACGGTCTGATTCTTTTCTTCTTGGTAGCTCCACATGGATAAATTTCAATCTACCCGACGACAAACCAACGGCTACAAGATCTTCACGTGCGGAGGCCCCCAAACTGAACGGTCTTTCCTCTACGTCGAGTATGCAGAGCAGGTCACCGGTTCTTATTTGAAACAATCGAAGGAAGTTGTCACTAGTACAGCAAAGCAAGGACTCGTCGTCACAAGCAAATTTGCAGTCAACAATGTCATCGCGGTTTTTAAGCAGACTCTGCCTCGTTTCGCCGCATCTAGCATCAAGGATATGTAAACCATCACCTCCACCGAGGGAACCCCAAGTCACAATAAACTCTTCTGTGGGCGAAAAAATAAGCCGGGGCGAAAAAGATTCTCCAAAATACTTGCTACTCTTTCTTTCCCACAAATTTTTGTGGGAGCCGTTCTTTCTCAACGAAAATGTCAACTCTTCTATTTCAAAAAAGTCATCGTCTATTTCCTCACAACTACAGACGAGAAACTCACCCCGAATATTGCAGCAAACAAATTTAATAGCAACGTCATCAGAAACCTTTGTTTTCCCAGAAAAGATAAACTCCTGAGTGGTAACGTTGAAGATGTCCACTTCAAGCATTCTATCGGCGGTTAAGCTTAAAAGAGGAAAACACAGTTGCATCAGTGCAAAATCAAATGAGTTGGGTGAAATTGCATTATCTGAAATTTCTGTTGAATCGTGCACACCCGAAGGTGTTTCAGTGTCCACTGGTGAACACGAAACTCCCAATTCCGGAAGGTGGGTTCCTTCAAATAACGGATATTGGCTTGTAACCTCCTTTTCCGTTAAATAACGGCTATGCCCTTGACAAGCTATGAGTTCATGTGATACACGAGAAAGCCTTTCGTAGCCACTCAATTTGGGAAGAGGTCGAATACGTCTGGTCAATTCAAAATTCCACAGCTCGGGTACTCCATTCCCCATACTAAGTACAACGCCTTCTTTCACAGGGAGAAGAAACAGAGACGGAACAACGAAAGACTTCTTCGGCGTTAAAATTTTTTGATTCGACAATCTTAAAACGGTCACTTCACAAGACCTGTGATCCGAACAAATGGAATACAGAGTATCTCCCTCAGGTGAAAGCATCACCTCATTGACTGCTGAGCTTTCAGAGGAACAATCTCGATGACTCACGTCTACCAACGCAACGTAGTTGAAAGATGGGCTACTGGCCAGTATTGAATTGTCTGATAACCTCGTGTAAAACCCTGCACTTAAATCTGGAAAAACACGCCTTACACTCTTCACCAGACAATTCCCTCTATTTTGCTTGTAAACGTCGTCTAAGTCCAAGTTTCTTAAATCAATAGGCCATAAAAAAAAATTGCCTGTCGGAAGCAACGGCCATGAGACGCCTGGCGAGGAAGAGAATAGATCTTCCTTTTGGAATGAACATCTTTGGTACCGATTCTCACCATTCCACATCCAACGGTATTGATTGTGTCCAGCGTCTTCGGACCTGAAACCTAAATAACCACAAGTGAGGGTGTACTTAACATTGAAGGCGAGGTGCATTAGTCCACATAGGACATACTTGATTTTCCACAAACATTGTCCCTTCCATGTTTCCAAGTCAATAATTAACACAGACCCAGGACTTTCTGCAACTGCGACGAGTGATCCATCTTGGGAAATAGAAAAAGATGCAACGTTTTCTTGCAAAGATATGCACCATAGCTTCTTGCCATCTTCCATGCTCCACAAAGAGAGTCTCTTTGGATCATCACCACAGTCAGTTAAAATTAATCTTCTGTCTCCGGAAAACGCACAATTTGAAAAAAAGCAATCGCTTTTCGGAAAACGTTCATAGGATTCTCCATTGAGGGTGTAAACATTTCGCAGGCATCCCGGTAGGACATATTTTCCACTTGCATCAAAAACTACTGAGCGATAGAAAGTCAAACCATACTGCTTCCTGCGATATGCTCCTTCATCTAGTATTAGACCGCCACGTGATGTGGTCTCAAATTCTTTCGCAATTAGGGAAGGTCGATTCCATACTTCATTCCCTGTCTGAAGAGACCAGAGATGAATTGTTCCGTCTCGGCATTCGCACACCATATAATCCATTTCAGGTGAAACATCGAAGCAAGCTACAATATCTGAACAGTAAAATCGACCTTGTACCCCTCCTCGCTCTTCTTCTTTGTCTAAGTATTTCATGTACGAGGCATGAGGAAGCTTGTTTTCAAGGATTGCTGCTGCTCTAAGAGATAACTCGGGGGAGCCTTCGTTGACCAAACTTTGAAACAAAGCTTGTGGGTGGTCCTTCAACAGATAGGAATGTTTTCGAAGGACTTTTGACAGAGAGCTTAACAAAGAATAAGTTCCCTCTTGCAGTGAGGCGAGGTTGACGTTCCTTTGAACACGTTGGAGATCATCTGAAGGAACCACGCTGTTCACACAAAGTCTGCGAAAAATGAGTTCTAAATCTATGACATAGGATTTTACCAGGTGATCTACGTTGTAGGTTGTTGAATGATCACCCAGTCCATCCAGCTCGGTCATATGCTGGACACCATGTTGCAATGCGTACTGTTCAGCGTCGTTGAACTGGGAATCAAGAAGCTTCTTGTCTTTAATTTTGTCAAGCTCAGCAGTGCAAAGGTCGAAGAGGATCTGATGCCCTTCCTTCTCGTCCACGATGAATTCATGTTGACCATACGACGACGTATTTGTTAACCAATCTTTCACGGACTTGTGGATGAAGTGAACTCGATCGTGGCAGATCGGCAAAAGAGAAGAGATACAGGCGATTATTTTATTTACCTTTCGTCTGGCAGTGGAACAGTTCCCAGTAGGTTGTAGTATTCTGGAGGCCAAGGCCAATGGTAGAGGCTCTCTGGAAGCGGCTAGGGCGCATAGGAAATGTAACACTTGTTCTTCTTCAATCTTTAACTCTTTGCAAAGTTCCTTTTCTAACCGTTTAAAATGATCAAGATAAACGGATGAAATACCCGAAGGCAATCTGCTCTCCACCTCCTCGACGGTAATTGGCGAGGCATTCTCTTCGAGTGCAGTACTAAGAAAATATGCAAATAGGAAAATACCCTCAGTCCTTTGAACCAGTTTGTCCAAGAGCACATTCTTATGTTCTTGCTCAAGTTGCTTTCCCAGACGTAGTTGAAAGAAACGCTTGATGTCGCTTAAGTTCTCTTCCTGTTTTTGGTTAAGGTGTATGGGTTGCAGATGCTTCAGGCTCTCCGTAATGTTTATTTCTGGTCGGGCTGTCACGAGAAATCGAATCCATTTTGGGAGCTTAAAAAAATGCTTGCCGACGACATCGAGAAGCTCGTTGCGTCCTTGATATTCACTTTCGTCCAAGCCATCTATTACCATTAAGATGTTTCTTCCTGGATCTTTAACAGCATTAAGAGGTTCCTTCAAAAGCAGAGCAAAGAGCTCTTCGACACCCATGCTGTTGAGTGGTACCCCCAGATTCCTTGATAGTTTTTCCACGAGAGCTTCCTTGTACTCTGGTAAGGTGTGAGTCAAATGACAGGCCAAGGATTGAAGCATCAGCTGTGGATTTCGATAGCGCACGTTGTTGTGCTGACAGAAGTGGCTCCCTGACAGTCGACCAGCTTTTTGCATTCTCTTACACGCAACAGCGGAGATAACGGACTTTCCCATGCCAGCATTGCCACTGATGACCATTACTCGATTTTCGGAGCTTTTGTCGTCTAACCATTCATCCATCTGTCGGAAGATCCACTCACGGGTTCCTTCCTGGAACCTTTGCGCATGATATTCAATATCCCCTCGGAAGTCGACCTTCGCTAGGTTTTTAAGGGCCTCAACTTCCCAATGATCTTCTCTCTTCTTCTTTTCGTACTCAGCTACCTGTTTAAATTCTTCGATACCTACTTGCATTTCTTCAACAGCCTCAAGAGTTTTTGCCTGGCAGTGGGACAATTTCTCCAATTTAGACTTGGTATCCTCAAGTGTTTTCTGGTCTTCTTTTTGGTTTTGACGTAGATCTGCAACGTCTTCATGCATCTGTATCTGGAAATTCCGTATATCCCTCAGCTGTGACCACGTATCTTCTTCACTCTCAGACCACCCACGTAACAAGTCAATATAGTCTTCCTCTCCACTATGTTCGGCTTCTAATCTATCTATTTCTACCTGGTCAAACCCAAGATCAACAAGGACTGCGCGAATTTTCGGCCACAGAGACAAAAACACTGACATTTCAACGCCAGTGGTCGACACGTGGCCATATAACTCATTGCGGAAAAACTTCACTCGAGCAAGGTTAGCCTCGAAAGAGGTGTCACTAATAGGTGGCATCGCGTGCCATCCTGAGGAGGGAGGGGTGAGGCCACACATGTTGGTCAAAAGGAGAAACAGGAGAGTGATATCAAATTCTTTAGAATCAGGTGGATCCCCACTAGGTGGGAAAAGTTGGTCCCACTGGGCTAAACGCAGAACCTTTTTCTTGAAAAGAGTGTGCAGTGTTGTGTAGTGAGAACTGAGACCAGCAGCTAGTTTGGTAGGGGGGTGAAAGGTATCGAACCATTTCCTCAAAACCGCTGTACCGCCATCAATAAGAAGTCTGCTGAGCTTGGCTCCATTCGTCTTCTCTACAGAACTGGCAAGTGATGAAGGTGCGGCAGCTGCCATACCTGGTGCTTTAGGGCATGGATTCTCTAGGGAAGCTTAATTGTCAGAACAAGACCCTGCCTTCAAAATTTCCACTGTATTCTTCTTACAAAACGGTCAGTGCAAGAGCGTCTTGATTGGATGTTTGTGGCCGAATGTTGTTCTAAAATGTAAGATGAAAAAGATGCTTCATAAATTCGTAAATAACATGTTTAAAGACCATAAAACTGTCGCTCAAAAGCAAAGCCAAGAAGGATAATCATCATGTCAGCTATTAGAAGAAGGTCTCTAGTCATAAAATATGACAATTGGGGAAACTCACACGATTGTCTATCACAGGTAATTTTTCGCCTTTTTTATGAAACCAAAGCACTACGGATTGGTATCAAACTCATTTCCTTTCGACAAAGCTGGGTTCTCTCGCATAAAAAAGACACCAGGTTTAGTACGTGCCTACTCTGCTATTGTAAATGATTTTACATCTGCGAATTCGAATCAGCAATCTCAAACGTTTAATGTCGCAACATTCATCGAGTTTTCTGATGTATTTTGTAGCCACTCTTGTAATCAATTATCTATCCCTTCTCACTGATGTACCTTTTCTTGTTATCTAATCAGCTGATATATTTTATTCACCTACCATTACCCTTTCGATTATGATCGATTGTGCTTCTTCCTAGTTTTCTCGTAACTTTGAAAATTCAATAATGTAGTCAATTATATTTACACAAGCCGCCTCGACTAGCGTTTGCTATTTGCAGCTCATGTGCATAGTTAACTTAAATTTAGGCTTAAGTGAGAAATCTGTGCCGGTCAAGTTCAATCGAACCTTTTCTGTTTAGGAAACACGCAATGGTGGCTTTCATTGCGGTTTTTTTTACAAACGAATATTACCTTTTGGCATGCAGCAGTGAGTTTTGTTAAACTAGGTGACTATATGCTACTAAGATTACCAGAGAACTTAAGACTTGGTCAACATAAAAACCCCCTGTAGAATGTATAACACCACATGATGATGATTTTCATGACAAGAATGATATTGAACAGAGTAACCTCTCAAGGTAACTGTTGATTTTATTTAATATTTTCCTCAAACAGAAAAACAATTTTTGATCATGTAACCTGGTCATTCAGGTGAGACTAGTGTAAGCCTTCCTAAATTTAATAATGTGTTTACCTGTTCGTGCAATGGGGGAAATGTAAGCCGGATTTTCATGGGAATAATAGGTCGCATTCTCAACCTAAAAATCTTATCTTCCATCTTATTCAAATTAGTTCATTCAGATTAGTTTTATTCGAGAGTAGAGTGACTGGTAAATGTACTAAATGACAATGGATGAGAACCGCATAATTTTGCGAGTCATGCGAAAAACAAGAACTTTTCCTTTTGTACGTCTTTGATGCTGTAGACAATGCACCTTTCGCTAATTTCATTTGTGTAAGCTTTTGTCAAGGATTAACCGCAGACAACAAAGAAGTAATTATTTTCTCTCTCTCTTTATTCAAAACCAATAAACCGCATCGCAGCTTTTATCTAGAAAGTACGAACTGAAGGCAAAAAGTGGATGATATGCAACTTGCGTGCTTAACGTTATCTGGATATAAGTTCCTCGCACATTTAAGACTACTTAATTGAAAAAACTTTTGCTTAGCGCATAAAATAAACACTTTAAAATAGACACAGACGATGAATTCTTTGAATTTTTGTCAAGCGATTGAACCTTGGTGCGCAGTTAAGTAACCGCGAGATCTAGCAAATTAGCTTTGTAAGTTTGCGACACGGATTGTGTTGAACGCAATTTATTTTTCTCATAGACTTTTTAAATGAGGTCTATAGTAGAAGTAAACTCGAAGAAAGAGATAACTAACTCAACCAGAACGGATTTTAAACACTAAATAACGCAGGGACTTAAATTGGCCAAGACGCATACACAATAACTCAAGCTTTCCCATCTCATCACAGAAATCTATTTGTCGTGTTTCCCCTTTCCATCAGCGTTGAGTGTAATAAATAGAAATCCTAATATGATATCCTTAACCTATTACCCAGATCTGGAGCAATTCACCCAGTAACTTTGAGTGCAAAACAAATCCACTCCTACGTAACAGATTTCTGATGCGGAAGTCACCCAAGGAAAACTCAGAAAGCTCCCTCACGAGTGAAAACAACAAAGTAGTGACGATTCTAAAGTAAATTTTGTTTCGTAGTTTCTAACTTTCACCACCAACCTGCACTTGCTGCTGTTTATTGCGGACGCTTGCAGAATCTTCCTTCAAGTCGTCTGTTCGCTTGTTCATCGCTCGATGCACACCCTTTGTTGACGCAGGAACTTTCATCCAGTCTCTTCGCCATATTCCTCCTACTGCCGAAAGTCGGCCAGGGAGGAGGGGGTTGGGGGGTTAAGGGGGCGAGAATTGACACATGGCTTTTCCTTTTCCGTCTAAATTACCTTATGGTTCTTGTGTGATTAAAAGACTTAACTTTGAAAAATATATATATCTGATCTATTAGATGTCCTTCGGTGAAATGTCACAAAAATCGATTACCAATAAATAAGGAGATCATTACTTTTCAAGTGAACCAAAGGTACGATGTTTTGTAACATTGCCTCAAACAGAGGGAGTAATTGATAGTCAAAGTAAAGCTGTCCCGGTCTCTTTTCATTTTTTTTTCTGCTGATTTTATTGCCGAGAATTGCTTCTCACCCTTCCCTCTCGAACTACCCTTCAGGCCCAGTCCTTAGCGTTAAGATTGGAACGCCTAGCGAAAGTTGTGTTTCTGTCTTTGCAGCACGATGCCTGTTGGTAATAGAATTGCAGGACCTGAAGTCACCCAACCATTCATTTTTACGGTACAAAAGCATTCGATAAACCTCTGGTGCTAAAGGAATAGAATCCTCTTCTTTTTCAACTTTCGATGTGTTCCTTGGTCGAGTGATTTCGTCTCTTACTTCAGATTAGTGAAGATGGTTTACGATTAGATGGCCAGAAAACAGACGAACTTCGACCTATGTGTAAGTTGACCCTAGCAACAGATAAATTTAAGTAGTTCATAGGAAACATAAAAATATAATGGGGAAGTTTCATGAAGGAGAAGTTTCATTAAGGTGGTCATCTGTACAAAGCACTAGGTATCAGAAACTTAAAACAGAGATTTGTGTCGCCTGTGTGAAAAAGTTGCCCGAGGAAACAATTGTTATCACAAAGATATTATTCAGACTCCAAGGAATTAATTTGGTAATGCATAAAATTCTGAAAGGACTGCTCCAAGTCGGAGATCAGATCAACTAGCCTAGTATGATGGTCACTTTAACCAGTAAATGGTGTAATTAAGTGTGTCTGTTTTGGTTGATATTGAGGTACTTTTATTTATTTTTACTGTTAGTATTAATGCTAAGTTCCTCTTTTACTACATTTTACAGTTTTGCATTCAGGGGTATTTAGTCAAGTTAGGGGCTCAGCCTATATTGAAATGCAGAACACCAAAGTTACATGTGCTATGTATTACAAGACTATGTAATGGAACTTGTACTTGAAAATCTCCAGAAGTTTCAAAGGCCAAAGCTGAAGGGTAAACAATTCCCACCTGGGACTTTGTCCTTTCAAAAAATTTGGATCCCTTGAATAAAACATTATTGTCTTCTTTGTGGCTTTGTGTTTCAAATTTAAATAAAAAATTGAAAATCAATGTCAAGGTTTGTGACAGTCAGGTTGATGTGTTCAAAATGATACAATGTTGCCAATTTGCTCTTTGATTCTCAATGCAATATTTATAGAAACATGTTCATTGATTGTTAGTACTGGACACTGAGAAAGAAATGTCAAGTGAGGACTTTCATGTTCAATATTTCCTTTTGTTCATCATTTCAGTTTAGAATAAAAATAACAAATCAGTTTTACTTGGATTCAGTGTTAGATATGGGCCGAGAGAATCACAGAGACACCAAGAGTTTGGTGAAAGGCTAATGGTATAATTTTATAAGTCATTATACAATAATGTACATTTAACAGTACAGCTAGTATGTAGAATACTTAGTAAAAGTTCTTTTGAATAATAAGCAGTTTAGAAGATGTTTATCTTAGATATTGTGTTAGTTTGGTTTTTAGTGTATTTTTTTTAATGTGATCATTTGTTGACTTTGACTTTTGTTTAGTACCAGACACAAAAATCTCAACATGATTCAAGGTAATGAAATTAAAACCAGATTGAAGAACTTTTAATAGGAAATTAATGATAGAGTCTGCAATATGTCCACCAAATATACTGGATTTATTATTATATCAATGAATTAAAATCGACCAAATCCTGAAAAGTAGTCGCCAAATTGGCGACTAGAATGCTTCATCATAACCATACTTAGAGATATAGAGAATTTGAAAGATTTTCAAAGAGAAACGTCCTTGTTAAGTTTGTTTAATTTCCAAAACGCAGCACACGCATCTCGATCGAGACGCCATCTTGGATTTAGGTGAACTTGAACGTTGTATATCACCTATCCTAGTGTCCACTTTGCAGAACTTAATTTTGGATGTCTATCTAAAACGCTGACAGCGTTAAAAAAAAAAAAAAAAAAAAAAAAAAAAGGTTTTTTTTGTCTTTAAAAATGGCGCCCAACTTTTTTTGCATTGGCTACCACTTTGAAAAATTTAGGAGCCAAGTGGCTATTAGAAAAAAAAATTAATTTCACGCCCTGAATTATGTATAATGCACTGTATGATGTTTTGATGTTTTGTTTATTCTTTCTTTTTAAACCTTTAACTCCCAGAAGTGATTAACATGTAACTTCTCCCTATAATATCCATACATTATTAAGCAAGCAGGTAATGAGAATACACAAACTTAGACGGGTAGAAGTTATTATCTTGATCTATCACCAAATTCTCGTGACTAATTTACAAGGGAATGAGTTGAAGCTAGAAGGGAGAATTAACAATTAGATCTTGGGAGTTAAAGGGTTAATGTATCAGAAATAACCTTCAAGTTTTGTTTTAAAGGGAAAGCTGGCTTGTGAGTTCAAGTTTGCACTATTTTCATGCTGGCATAGGTGACAACACATGCAGGTGATTACAACTAGTTGTTTTGAGGGAAGATAATTGATATAAGGAACTAAATGATTTGATGTGGTAGCTATAATATTTTTTCATGCAAGATATAATTTGGAGCTTTCTTAACTTTCTTTTATGGGAAGCTGGGCAATCAATCAAGAGGACATTAGCTTTTTGTCCAGATGTCCTGAAAGTTTGCTGGCAACCATTTATAACCCAAAGCCAGGTTGTTCAAAGCTGAGTTTAGATTACCCAGGATTAATGTGAAATCTAATTCAGTTTAATTTATTTGTCTAGAATATGATTATTGGATGCTCTATAAGGAATGGAGAAAATTATCCTAAAGAGGCTTTTGAATGTAGAAATAAAGAAACTTTGATTAAAATTTAACCTTGGGTTAGCACTAATTGACCTTCAAACATCTCAGACCTGGGTGGAGACTCCCTGAGGTAAATTTAGAAAGAGCAGCTTTCCCAAGTTTGAACAATTTTTGCCATCATGGCTGGTAGAAAGAAAGATATCTTAGCAACTACATCCTGTTAATTTGCTGGAAAAAGTGACCAAATTAGAAGCCTGTGTTTAGTAGTTAATCATGGATCAAGCTCCAACATTTTTATTACTTTATTTAGAGGTTCAATGCTATTAATGCTCTGTTGTTTCCTCTCATGAAAATAGTTGCCTCTCTCTTAAGTTGTTTGAAAGTGTTATTTTTTATTTACTTTTTTTTTCCAAAACCTCACTCACAAAGATGATCTTTGTTAAATTTCAAAATCTTTCAATCCAAAAACTCTCTAGCATTCAATTACTTTGTAAACTAATCACTGAAAATAGCTGTATGAGACTTATCATTTCTGTTGTTCAGGATTCAAAAGAGAAGGAGCTATCTTCATTTGTTGTCCAAGCTCTTCAGCCAGCAGTTTACTTGAGATGTTTTCAAGAATTTTTTGCATTCTGATGACTCAGCAGTTACAATGACAGTTGATAAAGAAAATTGGTCACCATAAAAAATTTTAAAGCTGACATTTCAAGCATAAAGCCTTTGTCAGAGTGAATGGTGAAGGGCTAATGCTGTAAATGTCAGTTTCAATACTCTCTATGGTGGCAAATTTATGTTATCAACTTCGGTGATGATACTGAATTATGCAGCTATACTCTCCCACTGGCGCAGCACCACAGTTTCTTAAAAAACTTTCCCCCTTAGTTACAAATGCAGTTGCTTAGTCTCTTGAAGAAAAAGTATTAGGTTTCCTGAAAGCACTTATATCAATCCTTAATTTTTGTGAGGAAACATGCAATTACTAGTTTGTTTAAATTATAAAGGGCACAATTTTTTTAAGGTAGTAAAGAAGGTCAAAAACATACGCTGTTTTGAAATTTCAGGAAGCCAGTTCAGTTTTCAGTTAGCCTTAATGAACTGTAAAACCTGCCAATCAGCTGAAAGCTAAAGCAATGAAACCAGTCCTGCTAAATAATATTTGGATATGTTGCTTTTGCATTGCAGACAGATACAAAATAATTATTTTACTTTTGATAAGCATCATGAGAAACAATCAATTTTATGGACTTTTGCCCAGGGTAATCACCAAACTTAGTGAAAAATGCCCCCTTTCTCGGCCAATCAGCATTTAATAAATTTCCCCTTTAAGTTTTAAAAAAGTGAAATCAAGAGCTATTGTAATTTCACAAAGAACTGTAATATTCCCTTGCAACAGGCAGTATGAAAGTAAAATATGTTCTTCAAAAAAACAACGCACTGACCCAGCCAGGTCTTTACCCCAGGCCTCTCAAGCCAAACTTCAGCACACTCTCAATTTGGCCACTGTGCCTTCTACAATACTCCTATTTAAAATGATAAAAGTGTTGCACTATTTTGTAACGAAAAGAGCACATTTAAACATACATGTATACGTCTTTGCCATGATGATTTCCAGTTAACTCTTCTTTAGCAGACTGTCATCTAGATTTCTACGATTAGAAAAGAGTTCTGTATCAAAAAGAAAAAACTATGTGGCATGTTCACCATACTTTGAAGCCCACTTAAACTGATATCACAATGCAGTGCCTTGAAGTGTTTTCAAAGAAAACAAACAAACAAAAAATGGAAGGTAATAATCATTGTACATGTCACATTATGGTAATTTCTTTAGAGCACATTGTCCGTTCTTTAGCCAGTCCCCCAAGATCCGCCGACCAGAATGGACAACGTTGGTGTTGTTGCTTTCTTACTGCTGAAGTTTCATCCTGAAACAAAAATATTAAGTAAGTCAAATTATGTCAAAATTGGGTTAAAAGATAGCCAATGGTAAGGTCCTTATTCGATGATCAATCAATCAATCATCTTTAGCTTGCTTGGGACGAACATCTCTCCTCTGACAAGGAACACGTTATGGTAGGGACAAAAGCCTTCCAACTGTCCCCTTTTCAGATTTCAAATGTTATCATTCAACTATTTTAAGTTAATCATCAATTAGCCACTATATAGTATCAATAGCTAGTAAGAATAACCCATGCTTGGAGAGCCATTTTCACAGAGCCATTTTCAGGGCAACAAAAACATCGTGGAGTTTAATAATACTGGTCAACAAATAAGCACTACTGAATGATCATGCTGCAAAACAAAGATACCTTATTACTTTTGCCCCTATTGAGTCTTACTGCATGAGAACATTCTGGGTGACGGGTGCAAAAATATAGTTAACCCTTTAACTCCCAAGATCTCATAAGCAGTTCTCTGTACTCTCTCCCATACAGTTCTTGTGATGTTAGTTTGGAGAATTTGTTTTTGGATCAACTAATAATCCCCTAATTAATATTCTTCTTTATTCTCATCACTTGTCTTCTTGATAATGTATTAACATTCTAAGGAGATATTCTCTCTTAGTCACTCATGGGAGTTAGAGGGTTAATCACACCTATTAGTACCTGGCTAGAAACCACTCATTATTTGTTGCCAAACAGATGGAAGGGGAAGAGGGGGGAAAAGGGGGAAAAGGGGGAAAGGGAGAAAAGGGGAAAAGGGGAAAAAGGGCAAAAGGGGGAAAGGGGGAAAGGGGCAAAAGGGGCAAAAGGGGCAAAAGGGGCAAAGGGAGAAAGGGGCAAAAGTGGCAAAAGGGGCAAAAGGGAGAAAGGGGGAAAAGGGGGAAAGGGGGGGAAAGGGGGAAAAGGGGGAAGGGAGAAAACGGGAAAAGGGGTAAGGGGGGATTCAGTGGACAGAGTATAAAGGGAGAACTATAGGAATTTGACTGCCATTGAGGGGGGATCACTAGAACACTACAGAGCCTTAGCGGGGGATCAGTTAAATGTTCTTGTAACATAGCCAAATCCCTCTCATCTCCCCAACCTAGACAATTAAAAATTACCAGTTCTCAGTTGGGAGATGATTCTCGGTCTCACAAAAAAACAGACCCTTAAAACGCAAACCCCCGCAAAACTTGAAATCATGCAAATAAGTTGGAATAAGGGGTCAGCGGTATCTAGTCACAACAGTTTGAGTTTTTGAGGTCTGTCTTTTCATTACACCAATGATTTTATAGGTCTAACTAAACATTGAAAAATGTTTACGCCACTAACCTTTTCACTTTCCTTTCATTGTTTTTCATCTTTGGAAGATGCACTTGAAAGAGCCGGAAGGAATTCCTCTCAAAAACAGCGGCAAACAGAGGTTTGTTAAGACAATTTGTTAGCATTAATGGCATTCGCTCCATGTCTATCAGGCCTATGAGGTTGCCAGAGTTTCCGTGAAACAATCGCGCAACTTGGTCATGGCAACAGCATACAAAGTGCACTCCATCATTGAGAAGTTCACAATACATTTCAGCATAGATAATGATTTTATGTTCACATGGTATATCGTGCATTGTAATTCCTGTAGCTGCATTCAAGATTTGTAATCCACTACCTCTTTCACGTGAACACCATGTAACAACAAAGTCTCCATTGTTTGAAATTAAAGCGCGAGGACGTGTACATCCCGTCTCATCATGAAGAATGTTTCTCTTCCACAAATGCTCCTTTTTATTCCAAACTGCTATTGTAATGACACTGCCTACAGGAAAGACTACAGGACGGCAAACTTTCTCGCTACAGGCTACGAATTGAAACTTGCTATTGCAAGCAACTGAAGTAATGTTACCCTCCACCATAGTTGAAAAAACAATCTCACTATTTGCAATGCTTAAAACGTCCACTTTGGAGCAGTTATTCTTACAAGGTCTTTGACAACCTACTAGTTCATCAGACACAGGAAACAACCTTTCCAATGAATCGATTTGTGAGAAAGATCGAACACATCGTGATAATTCAAAATCCCACAACTCAAGTATGTTGCCGACTGCTTTCTTCATCAGAAGCACTCCTTCTTTCACAGGTAGCAGGTCCAACGCAGTCTGAAATTTTCGAACAGTTTTCTTGCTCTCAAAATAGACATACACCATGGAAAGCATATCACCTATGAGTTTTCTTTCCCAAGAACTATGGGAGGTTTCTCTAATGTAACAACAACTTCCATCCACAGAAAGTGTCACATTCATGTCACCACAATACTGTTTTCCTTCACTTCTGTCATGGCTGGGGCAATCTTCAAATTGATCATGATGGATCATAAAAATTTCTTTATGAAAGGGGCTACAAACGACAACAGTTTGTTTGTTAACCACTGAGAGAAATCCTGACCTGAAGAAGGGAATTGCCTCCGATAGCATTGTGTTAATGTGGTCTTTAGATTCCGAAATCAGGAATTTACTCTCATCGAAGGATTTACACTCCCATGGCCACCACGAGACATCTTCGATTTCTTGAAAACAGGATGCACTTTCTAGGCACTCATCTTCGCAGAAGGAAGGGACTTTACGTCTGTGGCAAAGTAGCTCAAACTGGGCATTATCGCCCAAAAATCCACAAATAATCTCCTGGTTATCAGGGGAAAAATGCATCAGCGAACAAATGCTGGGACTAGCAATATCACAAATAAAATGAATGTTCATGTTACTTAACTTATACAAGCTAATATGTTTTGATTTATCAGATATTGCCACCAATGTCCCGTCAGGAGAAAATGCAAATGACGTCATATTCTTTGTGCACTCGAAACGAGTAATCTCTCTTCCATCTGACATACTCCACAAAACAACATCTCTTGGATTTGCAGGGCAATCTGTCAATATTTTAGACCTATCTCCGCAAAATGCACATATGTTGAAGAAGCAATTACTTTGAGGAAAGAGTTGCTGTACATCTCCGTTCAAGGTGAACACATCTCTTAAACTTCCAGGTATGACATAATCACCGTCAGGGTGAAATGCAACAGAACGGTAAAATGACATTGATGACTCCCACGTCCAGCCAAAGAAATCAAGAGTCAACTCCCTCACATTGCGAACGGCACAGTTCGGGGCAAACCTTGGAATGCCAAATGACTTTTCTATGAATGCGGAATGCAACCAGAGTCGATCGCCACTTTGCAGCGACCAGAGCTGAATGCTTTTGTCAACGCACTCACAAACCATGTAATCCATTTCTGGAGACACATCAAAACATGCTACCAAACTATTACAGTCAAATCGCGCTTGAATTCCCGTTTGTCCGTAACTATCCTCTTTGTTCACGATTTCGATGTAGGGTATCTCTGGATATCTTTCTTTGAGGACATGATTGGCCTTTGAGAAAAATTGCGGGCCTCCTTCGTTAAGTATTGCTTGAAAAAACTGCTGTGGATGGCAACGAAGCCTAGCTTTGTATTTTCTCATTACAGTAATGGCGGAGGTCACAGCAAATTTTACAGCAGAAGGCAAAACTTCAAAAGATTCTAGTTTTTTAATACTCAAGATATCCTGAAATCCTGAATCACTATCAATGCAAAGCTTTGCATACACAAGTTCTAGATCTGTCACGTAATTTTCGACAAGTTCTTCAAGTTTGTGGGGAATTTCTTTGTCTCCCATCACATCCAGTAGGTGCTGTACACCATACCGCAGGGCATATATCTCGGTGTCACTGAAATCTCCACCATGAATCCCTTTGCGCTTCAAATCGTTGAACTCAGTTTCACAAAGCCTTGAAAGGATCTGACTACCTTCATCTCTACCCACTGTAAACTCGTGACGTCCACGAATGGTTGTGTCTATAAGCCAGTCTTTGACAGACTTGTGAAATATGTGAATACGTCCGTCAATAACTGGTAGAAGGGTAGAAATGCAGGAAATAACCTTGTTCACCTTCCGATGTGAGGAAATTGCACGAAACTGAAACATCTTGGGGATAAATCCAAGTGGCAAAGGTTCTTTTGCAGCCATAACAACAGATAGAAAACCTAAAAAATTTTCTTCGTCGATTTCCAATTCTTTACAAAACTCTTTCTCCAAGCGTTTAAAATAGGACAGGTAAACAGAAGAGATACCTAATGGCAAGCTGCCATCTAAATGGTTGGGTGTTGGTAGAGGAACGTTTTTCTGAATAAAGTCTACTAAAAAGTACGCATACAAGATGACACCATCGGACTTCTCAACCAGAGCATTTAAAACAGCTTCTTTATCACTGTTTGGAATTACTTGGTCTAGCTGCTTCTCCAAGAACAGTCGAATGTCCCTTTTGTTGTCATCGTCACTTGTTTCCAGGTACAGAGGTTGTAAGTCGCTAAGGCTATTAGAAATGATAACTTCTGGTCTCGTGGTCACAAGAAAGCGAATCCATCGAGGAAGCTTGACGAAGTGGTTAACTATCACATCCAACAATTCATTGCGCCCCTTGTGCTCACTTTCATCCAAGGCGTCCAACACCAAGAGAAGGTTTCTACCGGGATCAGTGATTTTGCTGAGCGGCTCCTTGAAAAGTAATGCAAAAAGTTCCTCTACTCCCATGCTGTTGATTTCCATGCCCAAATTTCTTGACAGCTGCTCAAAAAGAGCCTCTTTGTATTCTGGTAATGCGCGACATAGGTGACTGGCCAAAGATTGAAGCATCAACTGAGGATTTCGATAGCGCACGTTGTTGTGTTGACAGAAGTGGCTCCCCGACAGTCTTCCAGCTTCTTGCATTCTCTTGCAAGTGACTGCTGAGATAACCGACTTTCCCATCCCTGCATTTCCACTAATGACCATCACACGATTTGGGGAACTTCTGTCATCAAGCCAACCCTCGATTTTTTTAAAGATCCACTCACGAGTTCCTTCCTGGAATCTTGACACATGAAACTCAATGTCCCCTTCAAACTCGGACTTTGCAAGGACGTTCAGAATCTCTTCTGTTCTGTTAGCCTGCCCTCTTTGGTTTAAGTCTTCAATACTTTTTTTCACTTCTAATACCTCTTCTTGTATTTTGGTTTGAGTGTGACATACTCCATGCAGCTCTGACTTCATTTGCTGTAGCATCTCAGCACCCTGTGTTTGGTTTTGGTGTACCATATCGATAGTTTGGTTGATTTCTTTTAGTTGTGACTTAAGATCCTTCTCACTATCAGCCCACTCAAACAACATTTGAAGATAATCTTCCTCTCCACAGTACTCAGCCTTTAGTCTATCTACGTCTGCTTTATTTAGCCCAAGAGCAACAAGAACGTCACTTATTTCCCTCCAAAGATGGGAGAATGTTGATGAGTCGATGCCAGTGGTGGACACGTGACCATATAACTCATTTCGAAAGAACTTTATGCGAGCAAGGTTAGCCTCTAAGGTAGTGTCACTCAAGGGTGGTTTTTTGTGCCACCCTGAGGGGGGAGGAGAAAGCCCACAAATCTCAGTCAGCAGAAGAAAAAGAAGAGTTATGTCAAAATTGTTTGAATCTGGTGTACTCCCACTGGGTGGAAACAGTTTGTCCCACTGAGGCTTATGTAAAACCCTTCTCTTCAGTAGATTGCACAGTTTTGGATAGTTAGCAGTGAGATCCATAGCCAGGTTTGCGGGAGAATGATGGCTGTCAAAAACCATTTTTAAAACTGTGGTTCCACCATCTATGAGAAGTCTGCTGAGCTTGGCTCCATTTGTCTTCTCTGTGGAGCTCACCAGGGGTGAGGGTGCAGAAGCTGCCATTTTAACTCAAAATTGAAAGGCACAGTCCTCCAATTCTACCTAAAAAGGAAAGAAAAGAACATGGTACATTCTCATGTATGTATGTATGTTATGCAAGAAGAAAATCTGGATTTAGTAGGCAGGCAGGCAAGGTGTATCATGGGGAAATCTGCAATTAATTCAAAGCCCTTTCAATCATGTCCAATTCTACTCATATCAAAGCTCTCTAATGTAAAGGATCATAAGGTTTCTAAATGTATCTTAGCATGAAAATCGACCAGTGATAAACAATGGACATTGGGCTCCAAGATGTATTAGAAATGCCTTTGGTGAGAAAGTTCATCACATTCTACCTTCAGTTAACAAAACTTCATTTCCTTTTTAAAGCCACCAAACCTTCTTTAGGGGTTCAGTCTCACAAAGCAGAACACTTTTTTTGTTTGAGTTGAAAGATCCCAAGGTAGGTCCTCAAAACAATCTTTCTTTTTTCAATGTGGCTAAGCAGGAAGGAGAAATTTTCACACTTTGCTACTATACAGTTACCTTAATATGGTATTGATTTTTCAAAAAATATTTTTGCTGATGGACGCCATATTTCAGCAGACAATTGATTACTTTGTGTAAGAGCTAAATCTCAGCTTAATCTCTCAAAATTTTGAAAAAAAATCTGATATGATTGGTACTCAAATAAAGCAACTAGTGGAATCTGAAGCAATTGTACATGTTACATACAGTGTATTTGACACATATTCCACTTCTGTGTTTCAGTGTTTCAGTCCAATTTGTTCATTTTGGCCCTGAAAAGCCCTATTTAGGGAGTGGTCAATTGAGTATACATCCACACAAAAATGTTTGAAATTTTGACAGTTTCTGTCTTTGGCACTTTGATATATCCAATGAGAGCTGCATGTACAATTTCTGTAAGGATGTTCTGATACATGTGTGGTGTTGTGTACCTGTTGGTAGCAATTTTTATAGGTTTAATTAGTGTGAATTTCAGTTTGGAATTTCCAACAAAATAGCAAGCCCTGCCCCTTATTCTTCTTCTTTTTCAAGAGTTAAAAAACAATCATTCGAACAACATGTTACACAATCCAGAGAAGTGAAACAACTCTTCATATCAGTCAAATTTTTTTTCATAATTCAATTTCTGCCTGACCTATAGTGTACATGTACATGCTGGATTGGGTAACTTAGAAAGACGTCACCTGAATAACTTATCAAATCAAGTATTCTGTGACATTTCAGAGCTAAACATCACATTCTGCAGCTGGTATCAACGGATCCCAATTTTCTTACTCTACCTCAGTTCACTAACTTGTAATTATTGGCAGTGTTTTTGTACTTCAAAAAATAATTTATATGAAGACAACTTTTCAGGGTTTTCAACATTTCTGTAAAGTAGTGGACATATTCCTGAAAGCTCTGGAAATGACATATTTTTTGTTGTGGCAAGGTGCCTTGCAAGTCCTGAAGGCACAAGCTACCTAGGGGGGTCAAGGGAATGCCCTTCAAGAAATTTGTAAGATAGAAAACTCAGAAATGCTGTTTCAACCTTTTGAGAATCCAAGAATCGGCTTCCCAGGTAGGGCTGAAGTTTACACAAATTCTCTTTTTGAGTAGGAATGATAACAAATAGTCACCCCAATTTTGTTTAAATGAAAAGAGAAACCAATCAAATATTCCGCATGATTAGCAAAGAAAGAAAAGTAGTGTAGCAGGTTTAGACAAATTAATTGTCTATTCTGTGATCCTTTGGGCCCAGTTGTTCAAAGGCTGATTAGTGCTAACCCTGGGTTAAATTTTAATCCGGGTTTCTATATTTCTCTGTTCAAAAGCTGTTTTGGAATAATTTTACCCATTGTTTTTAGAGCATTCAATTATTGAATTGTAGTAAAAAAGAAATAAACTGAATTGACTCTTCATGCTTTCAGATCTAAAATCAAATTTCACACTAACCCCAGGTTATCTTGGCCCAGCTTATCTTGGCCCAGCTTATCTTGGCCCAGCTTATCTTGGCCCAGCTTTGAACAACTCGGCCCTGGTCAGCAAGTTCATGAGATGCTTAGTGAAAAAAAATTATAGTGATAAAAAAAAAACAAACAAACAAACAAAAACAGAAGCTAAAATATTGGCATCAAAGTACTAGCAATGGAATGAAAAATAACCAGATGAAGCGTCTGGCCTCAGGCTCAAATGAAAACCTTGACTATTTTGTAATGGTAACCAGGTTTAACCATAATGGTAGTTTTACTTAACATAACTGAGGTTAATTTCAACTTTTGCTTCAGATGAAGAAACTCTAATTAAAATGAAATACCTTTGAATATTAATTTGAAGTCATGGTTAGATTTTCTGAGTTGCATACAATCTGTGATCACTGCTCTTAAGATGCATTTTAAAATCATCTTTTATTCAAACAAGTCCGTAATAGTTACATCATAATGTTAACAATGTTAACAATACATGTTTTCTAGTGGATAAGAATATTTTTTCTTGTGTTGATAATAATCTCTCACTTGAAAATGAAATTTGTATCACCTTTGGCCACAAAAGATCCTCTGTATATCTGTGTGCTTACTATTGTCAAGGTTGTCAGATTGATGAAAATGGTTATCAATGAAGATGGTTGTCGTACAAAGTAGATATGATTGTTTAGAGCAACTTAAATAAAGGTCAATGTACATGTCAATTTATAAGTCAATTTACATTTGAATGTACATGTAATACACAATGCATCACAAATCCCTATCTTGCAAAATTTATGGAGCTTTCTCTTTACTTTCTGTTTGTAAGGTTTGCCACACAATTCTTATGCTGTTGGTTCAGAGAATTTGATATTGAATCCACCAATAATTCCCAAATTGATATTTTTCTTTATTCTCATTGCTCTTCCGCTTGATATTGTATTGATGTTGTGTGGAGAAATTATGCCTCGATCACTAGATCATAGGAGTTAAAGGGTTAAGTTCCTTAAATGTAGTTAGCATTATTGACAATGTAATTCAAGAGGTTTGAATGAGAAGAAGCCTAGTAGCATGTTCCTTTAAAACATTGAAATATTCACAAAACAATTGGTTACCCTGAGAAACATTGCCCTCCCAAAGTGAAAATTGACAATCTGGAATTCAGCAGTACAATTTCCTTTATTACGTTCTTGAATTTTATGAATAAAATAGTGGTCAAAAATCCAAATTTCAATTTCAATAGTTCTGTGCTCCTGAGGGCACAGATTGGCCTTCCTCCCCTTCTCTCATAGCCATCCTATCCACCCATAAATGTGTGCCTTTAGCAAGTCACACACAAGGTACACCTGTACATGAATTGATAGTTCCTAGAGGTAACATGGAAAAATTATTGATTTCCTTGGAAACCAGACATCAGCTTCTTGCTCAATTTCATTAACAATATTCTACCAATCCAACACCTTTCATGTCCGTGCAATGTACCAAAGAATTTAAAATATTAGACAACAATGAAAATAGGAGGGAAAATATATGATTTCATTCTCAATTAAGCCACTACTTGAACTCAAAGAGAAAGGATACGCTGTCAACTGTTTTTAACAATGTGCACGAGTAACATCGACATCACAAAAAGGAAAAGCGAGGGCCAAGAAAAGACGATAAACTTCTTTTTACTTGGATTTTCATTGTTCCATGCAGACTTCATTCAAACATGTGAATTTCTCCAGACTCAAGGTGAAATTCCACGACTTGTCCGTGACCTTGAAGAAATATGTTTCATCCGAACTTTTTCCTGATTTAACTTTTTTGAATGATATCATCTCAGATCGCAAAATTCATAACAGAGAAATAATTAAAAAAACAGGATATTTATGCGATCAATAAAGAAATCAGGATTTCGAGTTATTCAATTGCTAATTTGTATTCTGAAATGAAACTCTTTTCGATCGCAACATATTCAGGTCGACGCCGCGACTTAAACAGTTTTAAAACAGTCCTGAACTACGCTTAAAGGAGCAACTTCAGAATACCCCGCAACTCATTTACATGTCATTAAATAAGAATAGCGTCTATTGTGTTAGGCCTCGATCTTCAAAGCCTCCCGACACATGTAAGTGAGGCGGACCAAAGTTGCGGGGTATTCTGAAGTTTAGCCCGCTTAAATCACCACAGCGATACATTCTCAGCTCTTCAGGAAATTCTAACGAAAGTTTAGAATAAAAGGAAACTTCCTTTACCTTCGAATTCTCAAATTTTCTGACGTAGAAGCCACCATCGATGCTTGAAAACCTCGTGAAGTCCTGGGAATCGAAATCTAAGAAGCAATCGATGATTTAACATTGATTTTCTATCCCTTTTCATGCACAAATCTAACATAACTGAATACACTTACCACACTAAAACGCTACTTAAAGCATAGCTTTTATGCCGAAGGCCCAACTGAAAATTGAAGGCGGAAATACCTAAAATTCCACCAGTTTTCACCTTCTCTCTTCTCCAGTCTCCTACTGCCCTCTCACGGAACCTCCTCCCCAGGGGATTAGTGGCACGCTCAGACAAAGCTCAGAAAGGCTCGGATGTGGTCGTTCTCTGTGTTTTCGTGACCTTCTAAATTTTATTCGCTTAAAAAAGACTCTAGATTGTTTTAAAGCGTTGTTCAGCTAATATTATGAAGCGAAAAAAAGTTTCTAATAAACTTGAAACCTCCGTCGGGACAAGAGCGACTTCTCAAGGGGTCCTCAAGTGATAGCGACTTTGTGTAGAAGCAATCTTTTTCGATGAATCGAGGATATGTTGTTCACTATAAGTAATCTGAAAGCAGATGAAATCATTCTCGAATCAATTGATCCTTTTCTACTCTTGGTTATTTTACTTTGGTTTCCGTAGCAACCTAGCAACGGGATCAATGAGGAAGAACACAGAAGAGGAGTTTTTCTCCCTCCCTACCCTAACCATCTTTTCGAATCCAGGCTTCCACGCCAGGCTCGGAACGCCTGACGATAATTGAGTTTCTGAATCTGTTATGCAGCGCGATGCCGGTCGATAACAGGAGAATCGCAGGGCCTGAAGTCACCCAGCCCGTTATTTTCACAGGAAGAAAGGCATTCGATAAACCTCTGGTACGAAAGGAATAGTATCCTCTTCTTTGTCAGCTTTCATTGTGTTCCTTCGTTCATGACTTTGTCTCTCACTTCAGATAACTGGTGACGGTTTACGAAGAGATGGACGGAAAACAGACGAACTTCGACCGTTGTGTAAGTTGACTCCGCAACAGATAAACTGAAGTAATTTAAGGGAAGCGATGAAATATGAAGTTTTATAAACGCACCCATCAAAACAAAGCATTAAGTTCTGAAAAATTAAAAACAAAAAACAAAAAAGCGAGTGTATCATAATATGTATAATAATTATACTAAAATAATTCTTATGAAACAAAATTATACGAAGAAGTACTTTATAACTATGATTAAAACTAGTACAATTATTATAATTACTATTACAATAATTATTATTATTATTACAGTTTTGCGTTCAGGGGTAGTCAGTCAAGCCAGAGGCTCAGCATACATTGAAATGCAGAACACCAAAGTCACATGTGCTGTGTATCCTTATACGATTATGTACATGAACATGTGCTTTTATAAATTAATCGATCCATCTCCACTACGTTTCAAAGACCAAAGGTAAAGGGTAGACATCCCACCTCTGGGATATTGTCCTTTTGAAAAATTTAGATCCTTTGAATAAAGGATAATAATTTGTTTTCTTTGTGTCTTTGTGTTTCCAATTAAAATCAAAAATTGAAAATCATTGTCAAGGTTTGTGACAGTCAGGTTGATGTGTTCAAAAAGACACAATGTTGCAAATTGCCTCTTTGATGCTCTGTTCATTGCTGACGTTATTAACAATGTATGATTTATAGAAACATGTTTATTGATTATTAGTACTGGACACAAAGAAAGAAATGTCAAGTGAGAACTTTCATGTTCAATACTTCTTTTTTTTTAATCATTTCAGCTTAGAATAAGAACAAAAAAAATCATTTTTGTCTCTTGACTCAGTGTTAGATATGGGCCAAGAGAATCACAGAGACAGCAAGAGTTTAGTGAAAGGGTAATAGTAAAATGTATATAATATAATTTAATATGTCACTATATGATAATGTACATTTAACAGTACAGCTAGTATGCAGAATGCTTCATAAAAGTTCTTTTGAATAATGAGCAGTTTAGAAGATGTTTAATTATCATCATGATAGATATTGTGATAGTTTGGTTTTTGATGTATTTTGTTAAATGTGATCAGTTGTTGACTTTGAGTTTCCTAAACAGAAATTTTAGGAACAAAAATGAAAATTTATTCATGATTCAAGATAATAAAATTAAATCTGGATTGAAGAACTTTTGAAAGGAAATTAATGATAACGTCTGCAATATGTCCACCAAATATACTAAATTTATTATATCAATGAAATATATGTAGCGCACTGTAGGATGTTCTGCTTATTCTGTCTTTTTAATGTCTTAGAAATAACCTAGAAGTCTTATTTTACAGGGAAAGTTGACTTGCGAGTTCAAGTTTGCACCATTTTCATGCTGGCAAAGGCGACAACACATGCAGGTGATTATCACTAGCTGTTGTGAGGGAAGATTACTTTGGGAACTAAATAATTTGATGAAGCAGCTATAGTTTTTTTCTTTTAAGATACAATTGGGAGCTTTGTTAACTTCCTTTTCTGGGAAGCTGGGTAATTAATGAAGAGGACCCTTAGCTTTTTGTCCAGATTTCCTGAAAGTTTACTGACAACCTTTTATATTCTAGGACCAGGTTTTTCAAAGCTGAATTAGGATAACCCAGGATTAGTGTTAAATCTGATTTCAGATCTGAAAACTTTAAAAGAAAATTCAATATAATTCATATGTCTAGAATATGATTATTGAATTCTCTATAAAGAATAAAGAATCCTGAAGAGGCTTTTGAACATAGGATAAAGAAACTTGGTTTGAAATTTAACCTTGAGTTTATGCTAATTGACCTTCAAACAGCTCCATGAGGTACATTTAGTGAGGGCAGCACTCCCAACTTTGAACAATTTTTGCCATCATGGCTGATAGAAAGAAAGATATCTTTAGTTAGCAACTATATTCTGTAAATTTGCTGATTTACAAAATTGAAAGCTTGTGTTCAGTAGTAAATAATTGTGCAAGCCACATGTACAAAATTTTTCCTTCTTTATTTAGAGGTTCAACATCATTTATGTTCTGTAGTTTTCTGTTTCGTAAATAGTTGATTCCCCTCTCTTTGGTTGTCTGAAAGTGATCTTTTTTTCTTTTCTTTTTTTCTTTGCTAAATTTCAAAATCCTTCAATCCACAAACTCTCTAGCATTCAATTACTTTCATTATAAACTAATGACTGGAAATAGCCGTATGAGACTCTTTTTTTTTTTTTTTTTTTTCATTTCTGTTGTTCAGGATTCAGAAGAAAAGGAGCTATCTTCATTTATTGTTCAAGCTCTCCAGCCAGCCGTTTGCTTGGTATGTTTTCAAGAATTTTTTTATTCTGATGACTCAGCAGTTACAAACACAGTTGATAATGTAAACTGTTTATGGTAGTTTTTTTCCTTTGTTTTTATTTTACTTAACACGAAATTAAAATGATAATAATGGGCCCCTCAAGAAACAAATAAACCTAATCATGGGCTCTAAAAACTCTATGTCAACATGACATACTTAAACTTAGTTTCAAGGATAAAAACTGATCAAATTTTTTTGTAATTCATAGGAGAAGTTCCCCAAAGCTCAAGTTGACATCTATATTACTGTCTTAGAAAATGATGGAAATGGTTAGTCAGTGGGCATGACAACTGCATTTTGTTGTGCAAAAATGTAGGAATCTGTTGTCGGTAGTGTAAATGCTAAAATGAGCTGGAATGGTCAAAATGATCTCAAATTATGGTTATATGCACAACGTGGTACTTACTTTTGGATAGGGAACATTCTCTTTGTAGCTCTGGCTGTATTGTGAACAAACAAAGGAAAAATTAAATTAAGACATTTAGTGGTCATTTTTACCTAAACTAGTCTTTCAAACCACAATACATGTATGTTATATGTAGTAAGCTCAGATTGAGTTTATAAAAATTGATGCTTTTTTCATTAAACCATCCTTTTAAATCCAACCTGATAATTTCTGATTGCTCACTCATAGTTCTTTACTGCTTTCTCATGCTGCTTGATGTGGTACACTGTTAATTGTACACTTCTTGTTTGTTTCTTGCATTCCATATGAGTTAATTTGCAATCTGAAACTGTCATCTTTCATCAGAAAAGAATTGTGGTAAAATTTTCACCAATATGTAGCAGTCATGTAAATTATCTCAGTTGAAAGTCTCCAGCATTTTGAAAAATCCACATGTATGATCTCATACAATAGAACTTGAGTAATTAAAATTGACTTTTGTATATTTGTTTAATTTGTAACCAATCTTGTTATTTCATGTACACACAGCTCTTTCTGCTGGCATAATTTGTGCATCACTGGCCCTTGGAGAGGCTGGAATAGAAATGTATGACCTTGTTTCCTCCTGTTCTTTGGTAAGGAAACAACTCTGCTTAGAAATTTTGGTGCTAGAACATTTCAATTTTGATATTTTAGTCAATGGATTTAGTATGGTATGGCTCACATTAATTATATGGCCTTGCATGCTCGTCAACAAGTTCTTTTTAGCTTGAGGTGGTTGAGCATAAAATTCTGTTATACTGTTGATGTACTTTTTTTTATCTTAAGTTTGCAGCATGAAATTAGGTATAGAATTATTATCAAAACTTAAAAAAAATAAAAATTATGAAATGGTCTTGGAAGTAAAAGGGTTCACTGATCGTTTATTACTTCCACAGGTGCAGAAAGGTGACACATCACTGGTGGATCCCACATTTCAAGAGGTAAAGATATTTAGTGAACAAAAATAATGGTTTAATGGATTACTTATAATAGGCACAATACCTATTACTGGTCATATTCTTTTCTTTTTGATTCCAGTCTGTTGTAGATGCTCAGTAAATGAAACAAAGCACAATTATTTTTAATGGTAAACAGCACCATAGTTGCAGAGAGGTGAAAAGATAGGGAGGTCTGGGACAGATTGTGTAATGAACTTCCTAAGAACTATTTATGTGACCCAGGCCCTAACTTTTCTTGTTTTTCACTCTGTCATTTCTATTGTGTTGTTAATTATTTCGCACAGAGTCAGCACTGGAACAGGTTAGTTTGATGTGGCTGTAATGAAGGGCTGATGCTTGAAATGCCAGCTTTGAAGCTCTTTACAGCGGCCAATCTACATTATCAACTCAATTGATAAAGCCAAATTTTCTAGATTAATTCAACACTGCTTTAAGCTTTCAAACCTCTTTTCAATAACCTACCTTTAGGCCACTGTACAAGTTTCAAATGTATGATGCTTTGCACTTTTTGACTTCTCTTTGTCCTTTGAAATTTCATTGCAAGAGTATTATTTTGACTTGAAAATAAATGTTAGATAATACAAGTTTTATTCCATCTCTTCTTAATGAATTATGGGTCTTTTGTTAGACTTCATCTTCAGATATTGATGGAAGGGTCACCATAGCCTTTCTTCCTACTATGAATGTCATATCTGGTTTGTCACAAGATGGTGAATTGACTCAGGATCAATCCAACAAGGTAATTAGTTGTGTGTTGCATCAGATCTTTGACTTTTATACCTAGGGGAAAAATTTCAAGAGTAGCGTAATTTCTGGCTCTATACTCACATGGTAGATTACACACTTGCCAGTTTTAAACAGCAGTTGAAAATGCAACACCAGATCACCTGCACCATTGGATAAATTGCATCTCAAGAACAAGGAAGGCTATAAATTAATAATTTTGCATGGTGCAAAATTATCGTGAATTTTTATTTATTATTAATTGTGGTACTTCTGAGTGTTTTGAAATCAATGTTGGTGGGGGGGAGGGTGGGGAAAGGGAGGGGGATGTGGATCATATACTGTACTTGGCCAATTCACATACCCCTTCCCAAATTTTCCACATGTTAAATGGCTTTTGAATGGTTTCTTTGCACAGCAAACTTCTTTGCCATCTGTTACAGGATTTGATCTTCTCTCTGAGTACAACTTTTGACAATTAGTGCTCATAGAAATAGCTACTAACACGTATTTGCGAAAAAATAGTCCCACAATATGTTATTTTACTGAGTGCAATCCTGTTGAAATAAATGATGGGGCTTTGCCACCCCTCCCCTGGCAAAAAATTACGTAAAATATTGAAATTAACTCTATATTAAAGAACCCAGAATGATGTATAATCAATGTTCAACAAAGTTTCTTAATATATAGTTTTATGTTTTGTAATTTTCATCTATCCCTTTTTTTCTTCTTCAGGCCATTAAGTGTGGTATGGAAAGTTGTGCAAGAATTTTTCCAGTTCTTCAAGAATCTCTTGTTAACACTGTAAAGCGAACTGTGAATTCCAATTGTAAAAGCTAATTTGAACGTTTTCTGCGGTATTTATGACAAGCTTAATATCATATCATGAGAGAATAGCAGTGAGCTGTAATGTCAAGGATCTTTGCGAAAAGATGAGACATGTCTTCTGTTGTCGGAGATCTACTCAAGTTTGCTTTGGGGATGAAACAGTGCCTACATCCAGTGCTTCCAATAAGACCTGGCACCCGCTGGAACTCTGGAGGGTATTCTGTTGTGAATCGCCGGGTATACTTTGGAAGCTCTCAAGCAAACTCATGAAGTGAGATCTAAAACTTAAAGACTTAAAAGCTTTATTTTACAATATGAAACACTCCTTTCCCACATCTCCCATAAATAATTATTTCACGAATCTCAGTTTAAATTGGTACAGCTCCCCTCTTACATTGTCGTTGTCGAAGTCCAGTGCTCCCTCTGCAGGTGATGCGAGGTCGCTTTCATCCGAAGGTTTGCCTGGTATTTCCGCCATGAATCTTGGAAGTGTAAAAGTTCTTTAAATCTGTTTCACAAAAAGGGTCATCGTTTTTTTAGATGAGTAAACATTTGTGTTTTGAGATGAATAAAACTCGCTCTTTGTTTTACGAGAAAAAAAAAACAAAACAAAACAAAAAACAAAACAAACAAATTCACTTTGAGTAGTTCTCGTTCTACAAAGATTGTTTCCTGTCCAGAGTCGTTAGCTAAATTTCCATTTAGCAACATTGGGGCCTTTTTGTAATACACCATTTTGCGAGACGCTCGATTTCTCTGCTTCAAAATGGTGCTAAGAACAAAGTCTTTGGTGTGAAAAAATATTTTTCCTGATATCCTCATGCAAGTCGAACTCGTTTTTCTCACAGGGGAAGCGCTGAATTTTTTTCCTTCTATTTTTGTACCTTTATCACTGATTAATTCCTATGTGATATTCAGCAAAAGTTTACCAACTTGCCCGCCGACGCAGCACAACAAGTTTATTTTTGTCGGAAACTTATAATCTCCTCCTGCTAAGTCTAGGTGTTATTTCTTCCTCGTTTCACGTTCAACCTGAAGAAACGTATAGAAAGAACTTGTCATTTCATCGATCGGTTCACAGTACAATTTGAGGTAGCTAGAAGCAAGGTTGTTTAAAGCAGGGCTAAAAATTGGCGGTCGCACGGTCGCCAGTGGCGAGTTAAAACTGACCAGGGCCACCAAAAGTGGAGGTTTGAACGCCCGATGTGCGACTATGCTACAGAATTTCGAATAGTTGCAATGTAAATTATGCGAAGTACAAAGTTGAAAATAAAACTCAATATGTAGTTTAATTTGACTACCTTTCTCTTCGTTTCTTTGCCTGGACTCTAAGATCATCCATTTTAGCGATTTTTTAGTTCTGAAGTGGAAATTCCGAGCCGTTTTAACAGTGATTTTATGAGCTTGTTCTTTCCTTTTAGTTAACGCTCCGTCAAAAGCCACGGGGCATTTGTTCAAGTTTTTCATTTTAAACTAGAGGAAATCGAGGGCCATTTCATTTTGGGATGGGCCACTAAGAATTCAAGGAAGCCGGCCCAACTGGCCACCGAGCACTGGAGTTAATTTTTAGCCCTGTTAAAGTAACATTAAAACAAAAAACAAAACTTGATAGGTAGAAAGTCTCGAGCGTATGGAACAATTTGATTATAATGTGTGAAAAAATCACGCAATTTTAGACTCAAAACGTTCGAGTAGTTGCTTTCAAAGTCATAATTTGCGCTATCGAGTAACGGGCTTTGTGGACGCTTTTGGCCATATCTTTTTTTCTCTTGGATCAATTTTTTTGCCAGTTTAAAGGGGACAATTTGTACACCAAAATTATGCAACCAAAAAAAGTCACCGTGCTCGTTCATTAGCCTAAGATCATCGTACCTCTTTACCTGGTCCATTTATTGAAAAACAATACCGCGTTCTCAGAATACTCGCGCTTACGTCAATTTTATGCGCAGTACCGGATGATCAGTAGTGCCATACCAAGGAATCACCTCAAAAGATACTGAAAAGCCATTAGTTATTCGGTCGATGTTGTAAATCGTTTTACTACTTTTTAATAAGCCATTTTTAATTTTTGAGACCTGGGCTTATTACTTAAAACAAAACCAAGATTGATTTAAATAAAAATATGTTTACTCTGAAACAGGATAGTCCTGGTCGTGGTTTAAGTAGTTCATACACTCCTGTTATTCACGGGAAACGTTGCGTGACATGCAAAAGAACGCGTGTGCTACTGCATTAGAGACAATAGAACTTGCTTTACAGTAGAAAATATGATTACTTAAAGAAATGAACTGTCAGTCATAAAACATTCAGATCCGTTTATCAGTATCAAATTGTAAATTGCTTGTAAAATACAGACTCAGAACTTGTCACGCAATAAGGTCACGCAATGGCCAAGGCGTGAAGCCTACTGGGCAGTGTCAGCAAGGTTCATATGGGTGCAAAGTAACTCAGAATTTTCAATAACTAGAAATCATTCTTCTGTTCATTTTTTTCTGTCATAGCTATGCTAAAATATCAGCAGAGGGTAGATATGTCATTTATTGAGGAAAGGTATTCATTGCACCACAAAGAGATCAATGGTAAATGCAGTGTGCATAACATATCACAATAGATAAATTTGGAGTGAATTGATAATCAATAAATAAATTATTAGAATGGATCACACAACTTTTTTACTTCTGACTTTTCTAGGGATTGGTAAAGCAAGTTCTTCTATTCTGGGAGTTGCCTGTGCTGCTTTTGCCCCCTGTGAGACTTTCCATGCATTAGCATCATAGTCTTCATTGTACTGACTGCGGCTTTTCGGCCTCGCAAGTTGCTGAACTCTGAGAGATGGGAGAGCCTTCTGGGCTGTCTGTGACACTTCCCATATCACAGGACGCCCCTCTTTGTAATTGCGGTGTGGCATCTTGGGATTCGAAAGCACAAGAACTCTTTCTGATGCTGTTGCATTCTTGGCAGCTTCTGTCAAATCAGATTCCCACTCACTCCAATCCCAATCACTATTTGACTTGATTTTTAAGGGAGTGTAAGTTTTGGGTTGTGCAAGGAATTCAGTTCGTTGAGAAGGCTCAGCCTTCATAGCTGCTTCACTGACAAGTCTTTGCACTTGTTGACAAGGTTGGTAGTCACGATGAAGAGCTTTTGCCTCCGACAGGGTCTCCAGTCTCTGTGATGCCGTGGCTTTCATTGCTGCCTCACTTACTGGCCAGATTGCACTTTTTCTGTTAAGTATACAATAGTCATCATTAATACCTTTGACCCATTAGAGTGATTAGCATCCAATTTCTCCTAACAGTATGACCCCTGAATCACATGTGAAGGTCATAAGAATGGAGAAAATGATCACCAACCAAAGGAACTCATGATTGGTAAACAAATTCTCCTTGTCAGCACCTTATCAGATGTAACAGTAGGGTGTGACAGGTGTAAGAAGCATTATTACAATTTGTGAATCTACAAAAAAATTTTTTTCAAAGGGTAAAATTTTCAAGTTTGTTAACTGTTTTAATTAAATTCACTTCATTCTGTAAACTACAACTCTACAGAATGATCAGTGCATTTAAAGCAGGTCTCTTGTTGATGTTGATTTAGAAACTTGAAATTTTATCTGTAATTATACAAGTGACGAAAAAAATTGAATGACTGCAAGATAGGAGTTTAATTTGTTAATAACGAGTATGATTGATTACAAACAGAAGTCAAGGACATGCAGCCCTGTTATCTAATTACCAAAACTACAGCATAACAAAATTTGAGAAACAAACTGGTCATTGGTTTTACATTTCCACAGGAAACAACAGTTGACTCGGAAAAATGGGCAACAACCGCAAGCACAGGTGATGAGTACTGTCCAAATGCACTGGCATGATTACACTGTCTTATTAGTGTTCAAATTGATTTGGCAATAACCAATTTATTCAAGCATTTTCTTATAGTTTGATTAATTTTGAAATCACTATAGAGTTGCAGTAAATTGTGCACAATATATATATATATATATATATATATACTGTTGTAATTTGCCTTACCTGTCTCCTACGTAATCTTTGTGAAGTTGTTTGCTATAAACAAGTTGTGCTTGTCTGTCACTTAACACTGTTGATTTATAATAAAAATGAGTTAAAAATATTTCAACTGGATTAGGTGAATGTTATCTATATGCTTGAAAGGAAAGCATCAAAGGCATAACTCAGTCAATATTCCTTTAAGGCTCTGGACATTTTGAGCATCGATTGAATTTTGTCCTTCTAATCATGATAAATAACGTAGAAACCTCACAAACAGTTGTACCTGATTTCATTAAAAAACCATACGTAAATTTGGTTTTCTTAAGTGGCCCCATGGTAAATCATTTTCCATCGATAGATCGGATGCAGTAGAGCTATTGTTTCGAATGTTTCAACTAGATGCTCTAATCAGCCTGTGCTCTATTAAATAAATATGAGAATAAAGCAGCACTCCACTCGAACTGATTAAAACAAAAAGGCCTGAAAAAACTCTCAATACATCTCTATTTTTCTTGAAGCTGTGGTATCTATTGAAAAAGCTAATTTTGGTTGCTAAGAACAAAAATGTTTGTTTTCTTTAGGAGAGCAGGAGACCAGTGTTACTCTAAAATACGACAAATTGCGAAATTTTTACCCATAATAATTATGAGAGTCAAATTTCGTTTAATTGTTTATTTATCGAGACACTTTACCACTTTTAGTCGATTGTATGTTATCCCAGTCCTTTGCAAAGTTATTATCCCAGTATACTGATCGCCTGAAAACATAATTTCAGCGGGCAATAAATTAGTAAGTCACCACATATCGGGGTATTGTTTTTCATGACCGCATGAACCATTGCTAACATGTCAGAAATTCCGAGCGTGACTTTACAAATCTTCCCCTTTTTCGGGAGCTAGCTGACTCGACCTTTTTATTCTATAATAACGGACGTGTATTAATGTAAGATAGATCAATTGCAAGCAATAATTTATCAAAATTAACTCTCTTGTGAATAAAGTGTGAGAAATAACTCAATGTTTTGCTTTGCAATCGAAACATTTCCCTACAAATGAGATGTTTCCGCTCTGATCATGTAAAGACACGTATACAATTTAAGAGAGCTTGGTTTTGAAGTTTTCCTAAATTGTTTGTTATGTATTCTTAACATAGTAGTTTGTCTCAGATCTTTTACCTATCCTCGATGAATCCTACAGGGACAGGCTTCGCCCGGGACAGGACGTCTATTCGAGAGGCAGCTGAAAGACAGCAAAAGTATTCACTTAGAATTACGTTGAATTTGAATAAAACAGCAAAAAGCGCAAACTTACTTGTCGCTGCCATGTTGTCTTGATTTTCAGCCGTAGACGATTTTTGTTTGTCTTTCTCCTGTTCACCGCTTTCCATGTTTGTGTTGACCGTCTAATGAATCGTCTCTATGAACGCTCCAGCAACTTGCTGCATAGCAACAAGCAGGTTGAGCCTGCGGACGGTCGGTGTATTTACCCATGGGAGCAAGATGGGAAACAAGATGGCGGGATGGATTTCCGCGTACACTGGTTTTGCAGGCAATCTTGTTCGCTTGCCAACGGTGGAACAACTCTCTCCGCGTGTCTTACGTATCCTGGGATGTAATCCTAGCCCCATGACACTCCAAGGAACAAATACCTATCTTGTCGGGACAGGAAAAAGGTGATAGCTTCCCGCGAAGATAAGCCTGGATAAGCTAACGTTAACCCTTTTTACACCTTGACATCAGTATGCATATTCTCCATACCGTCTCCATCCATTTTCTAAAGTGTTGGCAGGAAGAATTTGTTCAACAATCGAGAACTTCCTAGGTTGGAGATCGTTTCCTTTTCATGTGACCTTAATGTTGGATTCATATATGTCAGGGATGATGATATGAATATGAAAACGATCATCGCAGTAATGAACACTATTTAAGTAGAAGTGCAAACAGTGCTGTTTAAAAAACGAATAGGGTACTACACCGGTATCATAGAAGTCATGGGTTGAAATCCTGTACAGGCCTGAATTTTTATCAGGCCTTATTTTCTCCTTTGCTTAAATAGGGTTTATTACTGCGAAGATCGCTTTCATATTAATTTCTTAAACAGCAATGCACATATATGATTTTCATAAATTCACAGTCAAGGATGATATGGTGAGAATAAATCATATTTTATTCTCCTATCTCCGAAGTAGATTTTGGTCACTCTTAAGGGTCAAAGGAGCTTAATCCTGATTTTTTTTAGTCATATCAATAGCACACTATTTTCGTGTTACTGTGTTATTGTGTTTTGTAGTCAAGATATTCAGATACCTCATGTCCTTTAATTCAATCTATTTACATATTTAAATATCTATTTGCAAATCCCTGAGACAAACATGCAGATCTGTAAAGTCATTTATTTTTATCTCAATTTCATCATCTTACATCCTATTCCACTGAATTTTTTTTTATTATTTGCGATTATATCTATTCTTATTGTTCACAATGATTTTGAATACATGAATTAATCGTGTTTTCCTATAGTCGAGTATTGATTGACACAGGAAGTGGTGGTTCAACTGAATACATAGCGAAACTCAAAGAAGTATTATCAGAAAGTCGGTCTAGTATTCAAGAGATTCTCGTCACACATTGGCACCCAGATCATGTGGGAGGAGTTGTTGATGTTCTTAAGTGCTTAGATAATTCAGGTTAGTTTAATTAAGGAGAAATTCTGTTAGTTTAATTAAGGAGAAATTCTGTCTTGGTCAATCATGCAGTTAAAAGAGATGACCAGGAATCCAGTCTGAGTAACTGCTTCTGGGAGTCAAGGCAATACAGTAGTTGACTGATTATATTGTTGAATTACTTCATGCAGTAGGCCGGTCATCAATTTATTCTAAGAACCAAACAGAACAATGTCATTAAAAACCATGTGATGTGGTTAGTGGTTTTTTTTACACAAATGATGTGAATTCTCACAAATAGGATAGGAACGTTAAGTCGTTGAAATTGAAAAAAAACTGATATATGTTACATTATATAAAAGAAGTAATATTAAGAGGAACCAATAAATTATGGCTGTTCTTACACTTACAGGTCATGTGAAAATTTCAAAGCTTCCACAAGAGGGTGTTGCTGAAGAGATCATTGGCACTACTGAGCATAGGTACAATTACCTCAAAGATGGAGATGAAATTGTGACAGAAGGAGCAACATTAAAAGTTTTCCACACCCCTGGTCATACTACAGACCACATGATACTTTATCTGAAAGAAGAAAATGCTGTCTTTTCAGGAGACTGTATCTTGGGTCAAGGTACCACTGTAAGTACAATGTTATATACTTATAGACTTAGCGGGAGGGCCAGATGAGAAATTATTTAGTTCAAGGTTATGGTGTACTGACCAAGTGCAGCAAGGACAGTGGGTCTGATGACTGAGAGCCAAATATTTTCCTATCCAGCCCGACCAAACTCAATCAGTAGGCATTTTATCACTTGACCACCAAGTGTTGAAAATTTCTAAAGTTTTGTGTCAACCTAAATAGGATTCACTTGCATACAAAAGAAGGGTGCATATTGGATAACAACTGAAAAGGTTCTGCAGTAAAAACTCTTCTTTCTTTTCTTTGAGTTAGAATAAGGTACTGATAATTCACTGAGAGAAGCCCGACTCATTTTTTTTAAAATTAAGGTAAAGTCCACAATATCAATCCATGTTCTCAGGAAATTCAAAAGAGCCATTTGAATTCAGGGCTGGATGACTTTTCCAGACTGGTTCATGTCAACCTGTCCAGCCATGTAACAGTTATAAAAATTTTCTTCAGACTAGAACCCAAATCACGTATTAAATATGAGGTACAGCTAAGCCTCCTGTAAGCAGTCACTTTTAGGGACACAAAAACTGTTTCCTATAACCCTCTTACTCCCATAAGTGACCAAGAAAGAATTTCTCTTTCATTATCAATGCAATATCAAGTCAAGAAGACAAGTAATTTAAACAATGAAAAATATCAGTTTGGGGATTATTAGTGATCCATAACAAATACTCCAAACTAACATTATAGGATTGTATTACAGACAGTAAGGAGAATTGCTAATGAGATCTTAGGGCTGAAAGGTTAAGAAAGGTTCACAAAGGAAAGGTTGGGCATGGTAAAGTTTTCAGTTTCTCAATTGTAAATAAAGTTAAATAATTTTAACCCTTTAACTCCCATGAGTAACCAAGACAGAATTTCTTCTCACAATAATATATATATTTAACCAGATAAAAGTGGAGAATTTTTTTTTAAAGAAAAAATATAAATTAGGGGGATAATTTGCTACTAGAAGACTAAATTCTCTGAACTAACACTCGAGTAGTGCACTGACCACTGGACTACTAAATATAAATTAGGGGATAATTAGTTGATCCAGTACTAAATTCTCTGAACTAACACTATTGTAAGAATTATATGGTTGATAGTAAGGAGAATCACAAATTTGATATGGGAGTTGAAGGTGTAAGAAATGTGATTTGCATTATAAAAAAAAAAGAAAAAAACTTTTGAATCAAGATACAAAATTTAACAGTGTGTGTGAAATCAAAAACAGCAACACAAAGAGTGTTTCACAAGAAAATACAAGAAAATTTGGAAGACGAATCAAGCAGGCAGTATTTTTTTTCCCCAAGCATTCTTTAATTTGTGTCTGACTTAAAAGGAACTTTGTAAAAGACATTCTCTGAGCTAACATCATAAGAATTTTATGGCAGACAATAAGAAGCAGAAAATGATGAGAATAAGGAAAGATCAATTGGTGAGTTTGAAAGTTGATTTGACAGTTAAAAAGTTGAAACAATGAGATCTTTGATAAAAAGTTGAAATAACTCTTTGGAGAAATGAAACTTCTACTAAAGGATACTCAATTCAGTGCAGGAAATTGATTGTAGTTTCAAATTTGCTGTAATGCCATCATATTGGTCAACTTGCCAATCTTTTTCAAATGATTTCAGGTATTCGAAGATCTTTACACCTACATGAAATCCCTAGAAGTCATCTTGAACTTGTCTCCAGATCTTATCTACCCTGGGCATGGTCCAGTTATAGAGGAAGGTGTGACAAAAGTCAAGGAGTATATTGAACACAGAAATGCAAGAGAAAAACAGGTACATGAAGTCCATTTAACCCTTTGAACCCTAGGAGTGACAAGCATCTAAATTCTCCCCACAATATCACCCCTAATTCACATATCAGGGTCACAAGAAGAAAGGAAATGATCACAAACTAATGAAGCTCTTGATTAGTAAACAAATTCTCTTTGTCTTCTCTTTAGAAAATGTACAGAGAACAGTATAGAGAATATTCATACTGTTATTTGGGTGTAAAGGGTTGAACAATTTTGGTGGCGGTTGACCAGTCTGCAGAGTACCGCAGAACTCAACAAGATCTTGAGCATGCAAAGGTTATTCTGCCACATGAAAAAGTATGTTAAGAAAGAAAAAAATTGCAGGTTCATCTGCCATACTCTGCAGACAGGGCAGGTAAAGTCTCTGAAAGGTTTAAATCCAATTTAAATGCAAGTTTGTTGAATCAAATATATTTATATTGGTGTAGAGTAGTTAACCAACTTCAGAGGAAGCTCTCCCTGAAGAGCTTCAAGTTTTAATCAAGCCCTGTGACAGTCATTCCTTTCTAGAGAAAACTCAGAACCAGTATTTGGTGGTTGTTGTGCTGTTAATTTGGACCAGAAAGTTCATTAGCTGAGCATGAGATACACTGTTGTTTCAAAGGCTGAAAGCAGTTTCTGTTTGAAATACGATCGTTTGATATGTGTTGTGTTTTGATTTTAGATCCTTCAAGCCATAGGAGAAAGCTTGGAAAATCCAGTGACTGCAATGGACATTGTAAAGAAAGTTTATGTTGTGAGTTTTTTTTAAATGTAGACTGAACTAATTTCTTTCATAATAACATACTTTGCATGGTACCTGTGGGACAAAATGTATTTTGCAAGACACATATTTGATATTCAAAAAAGGAAATGGTGCCACTAGTTTTGAAGTCTCTAATGAACACATATTCAAAATTAAATTAAATTTAATTCTGTGCACAAGCACAATAATACTGTTTATGTTTAACCAATCACCAATGTATGGCTTGATTTTTTTAAGTTGTATGTATTAGTTCTCAAAATTATCTTTGTATGGTAGTATTAAGAATTGTATCCATTTTTCATTGTAGCATGAATGAGGAATTTTTAAATTTTCTAGACTTAGACTGTATTTGTGGTAAAAAATCCTTGGTAATTTGGGGAAGGTTTGAGTTGCTGTCGGGTTATCTAGGGTAAAATTGTAGTAAATGTATGACAGAAATCCAGGTAAAATCCATTTTGGTTATAGAGTTAGGGCAAGGTTTGAATTAGCAAGGGTATGAGTTATCTGGATTTAACTGTACTCTCAATTAAGAAACTTCTTTTTGATTGTCTCCTTTAAAAATTTACAAGGTTTTGATTGAATAGTTATTGAATAGTTTTTCTGGTCGTTATCAAATTGATTTGTGTGAGTATTTTAGAATTGAATTACAAATTGTTGTCTTAAATAATGATGGTATACTTTCAAAGATGTTCAATTTCGTTATTACTTTATACAATTCCTATTTGTTTATTAAAGTGATCACACATCTCTGACAGGAAACTCCATGGCACCTTCACAGAGCAGCTGAAAACAATGTCAACCATCATCTAACAAAACTGGAAAAAGAAGGACATGTTTGTGAGTCTTATTTAATTAAATCATTGAATCTTTTTAAATGGCTTGAATGACTGAGACAATCCACACAACTCTGTAGAAAGAAAACCCAGTAACCCATTTGCACCAAAGCTTTAACACGTTTTTGACCTGTTTTGTTAAACATGGTTGAAGTTTCTTTTTCTCCAAAGAAATGTAGCAAGTTGGAAATGAAAGCTAGTGATTACTTGAATTCTATGGAAAATTCAGTTTTTCAGTTCACTGTTTCTGATTTTTGTTTAGTTGAACCTAGTTTAATTAACGATGTTTAGCTGATTACTCTTAATTATCATTTGCAATTTCTTTTAGACTCAATTGACTCAAGCAGTGGGAAAAGATGGAAGAGCTCTCTGTAAACCTGTTCTGTTGAAAAGAAAATCAAGTCTGCCTCTTGACATTTAGTGGCAAAAAATGGATTTCTGCACTGATTCAAGTCAATCCTAATTTTAGTCAGGCCAGATCTCCAGAGAGAAGCTCTATGGTCTGTTGATTGTTCAGGCCCTCTCTTCTCTTTTGACAGCAAAAGCAGACATAAAAGCCCCCACAATGCTACCCCACTCTTTTAACTCTATTGAAATGCAACCCGTTTACTGTCAATCCAGTCATGAAAATGTGACCCCATCCAATGGTAAATCCCATTAGCCTATTGCAAGGTTGTAGCCCCCCAGCCTAAGATGTACTTTCACCACAAGGTAACCACCAAAGTTCTGGGGAAGAATATGGAGGCTGTATTTTGCATCTGTGAAGTAATTTACCAGTCAGAGATCTCTCAAATTACATTGCTGAGACAAAGAGTAAATTATAAATTAAATGTGTTGATTTAAAGGATTGTTTTAAAATGATAAAATAATGGCGTCACAAATAATACACATGGCAAAATATTTCAAGACAAGTAATTAACAATTACTCTAAATTTATATTTTGGCAATAGTATTTTCAGTTCTCTGGGTGTGTTTCTTTCTTCATATTTAATTATATCATTCTAGATAATATTATATGCTCTGTAAAGTACTTTTGTTTGTAAATTGCAAGGAAGATTTTTGAAAAAAATCTCCATTATGATTAATGTTTGATGTAAACTAAGAGCAACAAGAGGAGATGAACATGCAAGGATAATAGAAATTACTTATTTTTTCAATTTGTATCAATTACTAAATTAAGCCTCAGATATCAGACAGTTTTTGCTCATAGAAGAGGACTGTACTTGTATTAAAAGAGATTGTATGTAAATAAATCTGTAAGACAGTGTGAATATTACTGACACAAGTGACTGGTACTCTTTTTAAAATTTTAATACTCTAACATTACTTTACATGACTGGCACTCACCTTCCCTCAGTTCATTTGTATGGAGAGTCTTACAGAATTCCATGACTACCAGGGGCCTTCTATGAACTGCACTAACCTAGTATTAAAAACCTTAAGCAAACTACAACAGGGATGGTAATATTGATATGGGAAAACAGAAGATTTAATAGGCAGAATAATAGCTCATCATTTGAGTCTTCCACCTGTGTATATTTCTTAGCCTTCCTCTGCGAAACATGAAATCAACAAAATTGCATGTTCTGAGAATGGAAACCCGGCAGCAAATTATTTAAGTTTTCATTTGGAAGTCAGTGCTACTCGATCACACTGTGCTGAAATTGTGCTTGCCAAATTGTAGCTTAAATATAAACTTATTTTTTATGATTAATTGATGTTTTCCTCTGCTTTTTCAGTCCTGACTGCTCCAGATCCCTACCATAATTACATTTCCAATTGCATAAATCAAACGTGCATGTTAAAAGTGTTCAGTTTATGACAATCAACGCAAAGTCAAAGTGCAACGAATCTTGTCCTTAGGTGATAATGTTGTCTTGGGTTCTTCATAGTTCAAATCCTGTCCAGGAACCAGTTTGAACTTGAATGACTTCACAAACCGCGACATGAGTACTTTGAACTCAAATTCAGCAAATGTTTGACCGATGCAGTGCCGTGGGCCAAGTGAAAAAGGAATGTAGGCATAGTGTGAGTGTCCTGCTTCATTTTCATCATTTAAGGTTGAAAAGCGTTCAGGATTGAACTTCTCAGGCTCATTCCAATACTTGGGACTGTTGTGTAAAGTAAACACCCCAATATTTATCAATGTTCCTGCTGGTATTCTATGGCCTCCTAATTCACCATCCTTATCCATAACTCTTGTGAAACCAGGGACGCTAGGGTGAAGCCGAAGTGTTTCTTTCATGGCAAGACCTGAGTAGCTAAGTTTGCCAAGGTCGTCATATGAAACATATTGACGAGAACCAAGGATATCATCAACCTCTTGAACTAACCTGCAGCAAATTTGAGAGAAATTTTCTTCGATTATTTCACAGATTCATACATTTTATAGAATACTGTTGAAATTTAATGGCATAATGGATGCATAAGACAGTCGATTGAAAAGAGATTTACATAACACCTCACTCACTTGTTCTTGACTTCAGGATTTTTTGCCGCTTCAGCCAGCATGAAGGACAAAGCTGCTGAAGTGGTTTCCTGGCCTTAAGCAAATGAATGAAAATATGAATTAAAAAAATTAAATTTCATGTTAGTTAACCTTTATCTATATACAGCTGCTGAACCTACTTGTGTACCCAATATTTCCAGGTTTTTTTGGTCTCCTTAGACTGGACACAATTCAATGAGATGGATTACTATAGAGTCAAACAGACTGAGGAAATTATGATCATGACTCTGCTTTTCCATGACACATGAGCTTTGAAATTTAGTTCACAACATTAATAATCTTGCCAAAAACAGTTCCTGTTTAATTGTGAATGTGAGCAAAAAACATTTGGGTGGTCTATCATTTAAAATTTGGAGGACAATTTGAATTGCAAATTGGATGATAACATTAAGAAGTACTTTCCTATATCCTACCTGCAATGAAAAATGTGATAAAATGATCCAACACTTCTTCATAGTCCAACTGAGTATCTTCAGGAGCTGACTTAAGGATATAAGTAAGAATATCTGATGGAACATCATCTCCATTTAATATTGCTTTTCTTCTCTCATCCATGATTTTCTTGCCAGTATCTCGTAAGAAATGAACTGCTGCCACCACAGTGTTTTGGTAGCCATAGGTGGTGAAGTCAATAGCATGAAGAGGATGGGATAAACACCAAACTGGGGCAACTAAACACTCCTTGATAGCCGCTGGGAACAAGGAATCAGGATCATTGACTGCATTTAGATCGATTCCAAATGCTACCTGGAAAGGAAAGAATGCATAATTTCTATATATGCATAGGAAAGGTGTCTGGTGTTTGTGCAATTCCAAAAAGATGCTAATGAAACCAGAAGAAAAGTAGTGGATAATTGGGTTGATCATAGACTGAAGAAACAATGCATCAACACTGGCAGAGAGAGAGAGAGAACAAAAAAAACAAAGTATGCCCCACCAATTGTTATTGGGTAAAATGGCGAGTACATTTGTTTTTCCAGAATTTCAATTAAAACACGAAAATTTAATTACATCTTAACCGAGGATTAAACTCCTTACCTTCCCGATTATATCCAAAGTTATTCTGTTAAACTCATCTGCCATTTTCACCTCAGTTTTGCCATCAGCTAATTCAGTCAATCTTGCCAAAAAAACATCGCAACTCGCGTTAAACTGTTCCATAAGTTCCTTTAAATACTTCCTATGAAATGCAGGATTGATTGCCAGCCGTTTAGATTTCCATTTTTCGCGATCAGTCTCCGAAACGAGACCTTTTCCCATAAATCTCTCTTTGAACAAGTAGCCGAGCTGATCGTAAGACCAAGCATCTTTGGGGAGATTGGATGCTATCAGCACTTTTTTGACTAGTTCTGCACCTGAAACGTATACAAACGGGATATGAAAAATCCAGATGATTATAACAGGGCCGTACTCTTGAGAAAGAAACTTGAAAACTTCGAAGCCGTTAGTGAATCCGTGTAGTTTCTTCAAGCGTTCTATTGTCTGGATATTTCCTCGGAAAAATCCGTCCCGTTTAGGGCCTGGAATGTGGTCAAGAATTTTGTGTTTATGTTGCAAATAAACCACGAAGCAAAATACGAGGGTAAAAACCGTCATACACAAAGTTATAAAGATGAAATAGAGCACTGTGAAAATAAAGGACGCCATCTTTATTTTCTAACAATCTTTTCCCGACGTCAGAGGGGCAAGGAGATTTATTAACAAACTTTGAAACCATTGGAATTGAAAGAAAGTATTCAAAAAAGAAGCTGTGGGCCTATAAAAGCAATTTAAGAGTTTTTTTTTTTTTTTTTTTTTTTAAAGATGAAAGGACCAACATTTCAAATTTCGAAGTCATAAAATGCCGACTAAAAACTATCCACGCACCAGCCCCTGGATAGTAAAAGTTTTGACAACTCTCTCCAGTGCCCTCGCGTTAACCAATATGGCGAATGGCGGGCTATTCGGGTTTAATGAAGACGAAATAGGGAAACTTTACAAGAAAGTAATTTGCAGAAAGAATGAAATCGATGCACTGTTAACTCTTTTTGGGAAAAGAGAGGCATACACTTGTCCAGCGATCTTCATTTGTGGACACATCGGTACAGGGAAATCATTTGTTGTGCAGACTTTGCTAAAAGATTTAGAGGTGAGTGCAAAAGTTTCATTAGGAAGAAATCCTCGATTGATTTTTGCTAAGAAGGAAAAACGTTTCGTGATGATGTTAAGTGTCTCTTGACGTGAAAACAGACTGTCTTACCTAATGGATTATAAGTTGAGTTTTACAAATTATAATATATTATATTTTTCTAATTATACTGTTTTCTATGCATTTCCTAAGGAATTTATTTATCACTCAAGAGCTTCTTTAGTTGCTGATCATTTCTTATATTCTCGTGACCTTAATGTCAGGGGTGATATTGTAAGGAGAAATTGGGTGTTAGTCACTCTTTGGGGTCCAAGGACAGGGGCCTAGCTGGCACGGGTGGGGTCCTAGGGTACCTGTGACCCCCCCCTCCCTTTGGTAAGCCTTTTTTCAATCAAACAACCTACAATATTTGGGCGGGAAAAACTGGTGAGTACCCTCTGTTTGACACAGTGTGATCCCCTCTTTGAAAAATCCCGGCTACCCCCTGGAAAGGCTAATGAATGGGATACAGGAATAGGGAGCTGAGGTCTCACAAGAGGTAACCTTAAATAGATTGAAACTACCCAAACAGCTGTCAGTGAATGGTTGAGCTGCATACTCTTGATTTAAATGCGAAGGTGTGCTTTGTATACTGGCCATACTGATTTTTTCCAATCCCTTGAAATGTATTGTTAATCACATTGTGTGGGCACGAGGAAAGCAGATGCCATCATAAGAGCATCAGAGTCAAGTAAGGATCAAATTTGTTAGTGAGTTGGGTTGTTGTTCAATCTTTACTCATGTATGAGAGCGACATCAATTTCTGCTCAGGCTGTCTAAAACCATAGGTAAAAACAGCAATCATATCTGGAATCAGCCCAGTGTTCTCCTTTTCAGGTAGTACCTGTCCAGTAAAATTTGACATGTGTAGTACCATTTCTTACTGCCTAAAATTGCTTGGAATTCTTGAAAATTCAGCAAGTAAAAGAATTGCTCACTCCCAAAATCTATTTTACCAGTCCTGCCAAAAATAAAGGAGAACACTTCTAACCGCACTTGATCTTGTAATTAAATCAACTACTCATATTAACTCTCTGATTTGGATTATTCTTCTGATTTTACAGCTTCCTCATGTGTTAGTAAACTGTGTTGAGAGTTTTACAGCAAGGCTGATTTTTGAGCACATTTATACCAGCTACAAGATCTGGATGAAGATGATGATCAGAATGCTCCTCCCAAATGCGAAAATATGACAGACTTTTTACGACTCCTCAAACATTCTATATCAGCAAAGGAACTCACAAAGGAAACCTTCTACATTGTGCTTGACAAAGCAGAGCAACTTCGAGATATTGAGGCAAACCTTCTTCCTGCCTTTTTAAGACTCCAGGAACTGACTCAGCTAAACATTTGTGTTATTTTGCTCAGTCAAATTGTTTGGGAAAAGTTCCAAGTTGGTACAGGGTTTTATGAGCCCTTTGTCATTCACTTTCCTGACTATACAAAGGCTGAATTGCTGCAGATCATGGCAAGAGACAGTCCATCTTCATATCCTGTGGAATTTTTCAAAGCATACTGTCAGCTTCTCATGAGTGTATTTTATTCTGTGTGTAGGGATTTGAATGAGCTTAGACATCTGGTAAGTGGAGGATTCTTCCTAGGAGAGAAGTATTGTGTATCATTGAATAGCAATCTGGATATCAAACTTCCTCTTTCTGTTAAGTTTTGAAGGATATGTTACAGTCACCATAATTTTTTTGTTGAATAAGGTAGCTCTGCACATAGTGTGGATTTAATGTTTTTTAAAACCTTGCAGTGAGAAGAATCTTTATATAGCTGCAGATTACTTGTCAGCTTTATTAGAATCTTTTTATTTTTCTTTATTCTCATCACTCATCTGGCTGACATTGTAATGATATTCTAAGGAGAAATTCTGTCTTGGTCATTCATGGGAGTTAAAGGGTTGAAGTGGTTGCTTTTGAGAGGTGGGATGGTCACTTACAAGAGGTTCCATTTGTTGTGCTTTGACTTGGAAACTTTTGGTATAACCTCTCGCTAATGAAAGGTGGTTGCAAAAGGAGGCTGGACTACACTAGGTTTACCATCATTAGAAATCATCATCATGTGGCTAAATAATTAATTTAAAAGGAAATGGTTGTTAATTTATTTGTTTTATTACTTTAATTTGCTTTTTTTCTTAAACAGTTAAGAATTTATTTCTCTGCCTGCAGGCTCTTCTTCATTTTCCAAAATATTGTGAACCAATCACATCTGGTGAAGCTCAGTTGACAGACAGTCGTAAGCTGTGGCGCAACATTGAGCCTCATCTTAAGAGGGCTCTGCACACAGTCTACCTTAGGGAGGTGTCCAGTACTCAGTGGGAGAATATCCTTGGACAGGAAACACAGACAGGCAATGAAAACCTTGGAGCCTTGGGTAGGAAATGGTCTTCATTAATTTTGTATTTTTCAATCATATATCATTAATTTAAATTGAAAAAGTATAGACAGCTCTGCATTAAGCTGGTATGGCTTATCCCAGTTTTAAATAGATTTAGAATTAACCCTTGACACCCTAACATCAGTACCCATATTTTCCACACTGTTCTCTATACATTTCCTTTGGTACTGGCAAGGAGAGTTTGTTAAACAATCAAAGCCTCTTAGAGTGTTGATCATTTCCTTTATTCTCATGATCTTAATTGATGATTCAGTGGTATTACTGAATGGAGAAAATAGATGCTGATCACTCTAAGGGTTTAAAGGGTTCAAGCAACCAGGATCGTTGCATCTTCTCCTGAAAAGGGTGCTTGTCCATCTTCCCCACCCTTGTCTGACAGACACCCACCTTGGCTTGTAGAAAATGGAAGTCAAAATAGGGACTGTTTGAATATTTTTTCTTGCACTAAACTTGATGCATTATTGAACATAATCCTGAAAGAGTGAGATTACATATATGTGCATCGTGCACATTTTAAGTTCTTCACCTCAGCAGTGGACTCGTTTTCCACCTTCCCAAGTCCGGTCTTGTTCCTTGGGTAAGGAGGGTGGGCTTGCTTTCTGAACAGTTGCTGGTTATTTAACTCCAGAATGAAAATAACCAGAGAAACAATTCTGACATAAATTAAGTTAAAGTATTGAACAGTGATGTTTAGCATGTCATGGAGGATGTCAAAAATGGAATTCAAAAGAAAAAAACAGTTGAGGGATAGTTGATTGTGGGTTGTAGAGTTGGGGTTTAAATGCACTTTTAAATATCAGTAGATTTATGTGCAATATTTCTATATCATGCAGCTAAATTCCTAACAAGTGCAGAGGTCTTATCCGAGATATGCGATCTTTGCAGGTATATCAGTTCGTTCTCACATGGAACTGCCTTTCTATGCCAAGTATCTGTTGCTCTCAGCATATCTGGCGTCGTATAACCCAGCTCACACAGACAGGAGGTTCTTTACCAAACAGGGAAGAAGAGGATTAAGTAACAGAGCAAAAGCTGCAGCTAAAAAAAAGAAATCCAACACGCAGCTGACAGGTTAGAACTTTTCTAGTCTGAAGAGTGTGGTTGATAGAGGTTTGCAACGGAGGCGTTTTTTTTGCGTCTAGTCCGTACACCCCCGCGATAAGCCCCGATTAGGCGAAAAACGCTACAACGCCCCTTTCTGAATGATCCAACATTCGCTTGCAAAGCAAGATGTTCGATGAAAATGTTTGATAAAAAATGGAAAGCCAATCAAATGAAGGTGTGAGACAGGTGAGTAAAACGGTCAAATGCTCATCTGTCAAGACGTTGGATGAAAATGTTTATCGTTTGATTAGGGTCTTACTCGAAAACTTTCTGTTGTATTAATCTTGAAAGTAGAGGAAGTGCCGTTGTAGCGTTAACATTTCTTAACAATTTGAAGTGCTACGCTGTAAGATTCTTCAAGTCGTTGACGGCTTTCCAAATGTCTTTCTATATTCCGCAAACTAGACACCAACCGATAGCGACCCAGTGCGACCGAAGACTAACAGTACGATCCTCAATGCTTACTTCCGAACAAACAAAATTGGGAATCCGGAATGAAATTGTCAACATTCAGACGATCAAGGGTATTTTTTAATTCCGTGTTGGAAAAGACGCGCGATCCAATAAAATTTCAGTCGCAGGCTTATCTACTTATGATCAATTACTTATATCTCACCCCCCCTCCCCCCTCCTTTCCTTTAAACCTACCTACTGATTGAGAATTGTATATAACCGTCATTAATCTTTTTTGTCCCGTTAGGTCCAAAGAATTTCCAAATTGACAGACTAATGGCCATATTTTACAGTATCGTGGAGGATAAAGTCGCTCCAACTGCTAACATCCTTTGCCAGATATCATCCCTTGTTTCACTGAATCTCTTGGCACAAATCACAGCAGATGATCAGATAGATTGTCCTAAATACAAATGCCTTGTGAGCTTCAACACCATCTCAGAGATAGCGAGACAACTGGAGTTTGATATTGTGCAGTATTTGTACGACTTTGTTTGACAGACACCACGTTGGCGGGCTTTCGTCATGATAAAGGCAACCATTTTGTTTATGTGCGCGTTGCCGTCGCATGAAAATCGAGCGCCGTAAGAACGTGCAATTCAATGAATTCCATGGTATTACTCTGGACTGGAAAGTTATTAGAATAAACAAGATTAAACATCTAATTAATATCGTGGAAAACTTTATTTTAAGAGACTGCAAAAGTGCAAAATCTTGTTTTCATATAAAAATTCCCGAGTTCACAAAGCTCGTGTGGGACTTAAGTTATTTACAAAACACGGTTTTTTTTTTCGGTGCAGGGTTCTTCGAAATTTCCTGAAGGAAAAGTATCGTTACTCGGGGAACCTTCGTTGAATTGCACGAAGAGACTACGAGTCGTATGATCCCATTAGGAAATTCTACAAAACACAGAGAGAAACTGAAGAGTTACTTACAAAATAAATAACTTTCACACAGTGTCGACAACTTCTAATCCTTCAAGCGATTCCAACAAATCAGCCAATCAGGTGCATGGAATCTGTAACGAGCCGTGACTGGCCCCCACCCCGACGGGGTATTTTTTTTATTACCGCCCGGAACCAGGATTTTTGTAGACAGTACACTTTCGTAGAAGAGCTCACCTACAGTTACGATCATAAATAGTTCTTCCAAACCATCTTACTGGAATGTATTAGAGTACCGGTAGTGGTACCCCTGAAGAAATTGAACAAAGTAGGAGCAAGATTTTCCTGCGTCAAACTTCTCTGTAAGAAAAATCCTAAATAAAATTGACATGCTGCAGTAAAAACCTCATAAAATGTTGTCATCAGCGTGTGAACGTGTCCAAAATCATGGCATAAATAATTCATCTATTCTATGGCTTTTAAGTTTCTTCCACACAATTTCCTTGTGTTAGTTATTCGTATATTGATTCATTTTCAAGATAATATTTAACTAATCACTCGAGTCTATAATACAACAAAGTCTCGTACTCTCGAGTCCTTGGATTTAAGTCGCGTCTCAGGGTGTAAACTTGTAGATTCGACTGAGGTAACAGACTTCCTTTAATCTACAGTGCTGCCAAATCATTATAGAGGAAAAGCATTTCCCTAGCGTGTGAACAAGCTGCTGTACGAAAAAACCGAGTATGTGCAAGGGCTGCCTAGTTTTTCTCCCCAGGCTCCTTTCAACTCGTGTCACTCATATTGCGCTTTCAAACGTTGCCCAGAGTGAGTCTGTTTGCCTTTCCTAGTGTAGTTTAAGAGTTTAAAATGTTGGAGGAAGTCTTGTATCTGGGAGATCATCTGATTCAACGTCACCCAAGAGACTGTCAGAAATTTTTCCTCTCAAACGACCAGTATGCTGCAAGAAGGAAGACGAGTATTTAGTACATTCTGGACCGAGAAATTGAAACGTAAAATTGGGTGTCGAATGTAATCCGGGATTCCTTTGTTTTTGCTTTACCCCTCTCTGTGATTGGTCCCGAAAACTCACGCCATTCTCTCAACCAATCAGACGCAATACACATACCAATCGAGGTCACCCGCGTTTTCCCGCGCTTTTGGTAGTTTGTTTTTGTTATGAGTACTCATTGGCTAATAATGATGTAATCCATTAATATGATTGGCTGCAGTGATAAGATTGGTCAGGGTTTCTGACAGTCAATTGAAAACTGCTTCTATTGCCCCTTTTTATGTTGTTGTTGTTGTTGTTTTGGTTGATGTTATCTTTTACTGTCCTTTTGAAACAAATATTTCGCGGCATCCTTCAAGCTCAAGGCAGTTATGTGACACACGTCCTTCATTGAGAAGTTAGAATCATAATTCATCTCGAATCTGAAGGACGAAATGACTTAGGCAAACAATATCGCTCATTAAGTACTTACAGTTTTTGGCCTTTGAATTTTGGGAGGCGGCGAATATGAACTACTCACTGTAACATCAAAAAAAAATGGTGAATTAGATAAAATTAATAAATTCAGAAGACACATCTGGATATACTAGAGGTAGAATATTGCTTTTCTCATCTTCACTTAACTGTCAAAAAGAAAGAGAAAAAAGAAAAAAAAAAAAAAAGAAAAAAAAATCATCAAATATTGCTGAGACCATATTTAGCTCACCAGGGTCCGGTGTAGTGGCTTGTCTCTGTGGAAACACCACAGGGGGTGGCCAAAAACCTCCTCCAGCTACCGGCTGCACCACATTGACAGGCTTAGATGGACGGGCAGATGGAACAAACAGCGGAGACGCGGCGTAGGTGTCCGGCACCGTCCGGTACGAGGACAGGGGGCGTTTGTCTGTGCGGGATGCAGATCTGGAGCCTGTAAAAGTGACAAAGATAGTAATTATTTTGATGATTTTGGCGCAGTTACTATATCAGCACCAAGAATTTTCAATTTTATTCGACTTATCCTTTGGTCTTTGGTTTTGCACCAGAGTGACTCACATGGCCAGAGCTGTTGCCAGAACAAATGCGCAGATAATTCGTTCATTGCTGCGGGAATCATCTTTGTTCACTGGCGGCGCTTCGCCTCCTTCAAGAAGTAAGGAGACTGATAACATCTTGTTCAAGGGGTTGAAACCAATTTACAGACTGAAGTACGTTTATTAAAAGTGGATCAGGTACATGAAGGAAAATGGCACCGTTTTATGTAACGCGCTGAACCCCAAACTTTCAATGACATCGAGAGTTTTGAAAACGATTTTGGAAGTCTAACTTATGTGCTTAAAAACTGATCAAGACATTTACTTCAATTAAATATAGAATACGGGCGCTAGCGATTCGTTATGGAGAAAGTCGTCAAAATAGCAACACTATTGGCAGCAGTGACTTCTTTTTTAACTCGAAAATTTTTGTGCTGTAAAGCTTACCTGCTCCAGAGCCTGGCCTCGAAAGGCCGCTGGTCAGATGTTGCTCGTATTCATAAATCTGAAAGGAAGGAAAAAGAGTTATGGAGATCTGCAAAAACAACAACCAGTTTACAATGCCAGGTCATTCAATCAAGAAAACAAAAAACAGACGACAAACCTGTCTCTGTAGATCTTCAACGCGTTCAAAAGCGCCAAGTTTCAAGTTTCTTTCATGGTCCAATTGCTGCATCATTTGCTTTAGGGCCTGAAAAGGAAAAAAAAATTACATGTATTCCACGAAATGAAAATAGAGGGCAGAAGTAATTTGCGAACATTAAAACAACAACGGACCCGTATTTAATGAGGTTAGGATACGATTTTCATCAATTAGACACGACTTTACTTCCAAAGTTGGCTAGCCAATCAGATTAACGTGAAGTTGTAGCCGATCAAAAGCAAGTTAAGGATATAAATAAATTAATATAAATGGTAAAATAAATGATAATGATAACGATGACGAGAACAATGGCGATGATGAAAACGATAATGATAGCACTTTCTTGCTGGTGTAAACTGAGCACAGTCGAAGCAAGCTCATGTTACTCGGAGGAGGTACATAACGACGAGAGAATGGGAAGATAGAGCAAAATTGTGACTGTATCTTTATCTCACTATTTACTCCAGCAAGCTGCCGACAGATTGCAGCTTCCTCTTTTGCGTTCAGTGCATCCTCATTTTCGCTCGTATTACGTTCGGGAAAAAGATGACAAAGCAATTGCCAAAATTGTTATGTCAGTGTTGTGATTAATATCACTGCCACTGGCCATCACTCCAAAACCACTAGGAAGGAGGGCATTAAGAATCAAAATACCTTCTTGGATTGTTCTTGCGCGAAAAGATTTCTTCGCTGATCTCTATCCAAGTTTTCTATGAGAAAAAAAAACAAAAAACAAAACATAAACAAAAACAAAAACAAAAGCAATAATAAAAAAGAAACTCGATAAGCATTTTTTAATTGAAAAAGAAATGAAATGAAGTGAAATTAATAGAAGCGAAATGTGATGAAATAAAATGAATCCGTCGACAATGATATGATAGCCAACTTACGAGTAAGAAGACGAAGCTGCAGTTCCTTCTCTTCCAGATCTGCTATCTAGAAACAGAAAGAGAATTCCAATAACCTGTTGAAATACTCGCATGGAAATCGTATTGAGTCCAAATATAAGTTGTATACATGAAACAAGAAAAACTCTTATAAATATCTTCACTCCGTAAGTTACGCTTATCATTGCGCGAAACTTGAGACAAGCTTCTGTTTATAAAATGGAATAATTCTTTTAAAATCGGATGATCAATACACTCACTAGTTTATCGATGTTTGTAGACTTGGCGAGCTCCAGTTGTCTCATACTGTGCGCTTCTTGCATCTGAGCATGCATCTTCTGCAGCTTGGTCTTTTGCTGAAAACAAGAAACATACAAACACTTTAAAACCATCCAAGTTTAAATCAAGTCAAGTCAACCCAGAGTTAAAGCTGTTACAGCTAATTGAGGAGATTTAGTATTGTGATAATTTTAATTCCCAAAATATGATTCCTAATTCCTTTTTCAGGCCGCAACCAGCTATGTATTTGGTAAGAAAGTTAAGAGGATTATGTGCATTAGTATGAGACCACCTCGCCGTTGATGAGCCTAATCAAAATGATCACATTTTTGCTGGCTAACTAGCTAAAATTACGAAGTTGAGTTACTGGCCAATGTTTCTGAGACTAAAAGACTTCATTTATACGCTAAAGCACAGTTCTTTTCAATTTTTTTGTATATCTTTTTCGTACGAAAACCAGAAACTCATTCAAGCCATTCTTGTCCATTCCTACCTCGTATTGTAGCTTTTTACGCAGTTTCTGGCACTCTCGCTCCACCTCTGAAAGAGCCTGTACAAAAAAAAAAGAAAAAAAAGAAAAAAAAATCAATACTGATGATGATAATGACAATAAAAACAGTACATAGTAATAATGATGGAAATAGTCTGCCAAGGAGTTGTTCATCTTCAAATTCAAATTCGTCTTCAACGACGATTGCTGTTTGATTTATTCAAAGTCTCACCTTGGATCTAAACATTAGTTACTAGAATAAAGGTAAAATCTATATTTTTAAAGTAACTGCTGACAGTTTCCTTGTGTACGGTACTCTTTAAGACTAGATTACATACCTTTCTCAGAGCTGCCTGTTCTTGTTTAAATAGTATTTCTTTCTCTTCTGCAATCTTCTTAACTCCTAAGCACTCTCGTTTGGCTTTGTCAGCTTCATCTCGTAAACTCTCGACCTTTAAAACAAACAGACAAATCATCAACGTCAATCTAAAAAAGTGATTATTAGCGAAGAATCGAAAAACTAGAACCAAAGTAAATGTCTTCATGCAAAGCAATAACAGTCTTTGGTAAAAATATCTCTGGCCGAACACAACCAAGCTGATGGGTATGACGAATAGTATTACGTGGATTTCGGGGGATGAGAGATTCATCCCCCTACATTTTGCAGACTTTTCCTTGAGACTTCTCCGGCACCCCCTAAGGTAGTTTCGCGTTTTTTCAATCATCAATTCCTTAGTAGATCAAACCACTCACACATATTTGCTTGTTCCCTTGGAAATTCATTCTCAATAAGCTGCAAGTAATTCTCTTTCTTTCCTTTTTTTTTTTTCATAAATACGTCACCCTTGGAAAACTAGATTTTCTACGAAGCAACCTTTTTTTTTTAGCTTCACGCGGCTTTAACTAAAAAGAAAGAAAAGTCACCCCAACTTTTGACCACTGACTTGCAATCAGCACATCTAGATTCAAGTTTCTGCAAAGTTTAAAAAAATCCTGCACACTTGGCTTAGAGCCAGCTAATGAACTAAAAAGGATAACGGATTTCTTACCGAGTCGTGATACCGGATAAAGAGACGTGTTCGCTTCCAGTTATTCATTGTCTTTATCTTTAGGAACTGGAAAAAAAAGCAAGAGACAGGAACAAGTTCAATACTCTTCTACCAAAACTGCTTCGGATTGGTCAAAAAGTTGTGTATTTAAAATAAAGAACAGGAAAAGAATATATTAATGGATATTTCTAGAACAAAACAGAACCTTTACTGTCCAACATCTCCTTACAGCTCCATCCTCCCTGGACCGCCCCACCTACCTCATAGAGTACATGTACTCTATTCTTTTCCCTTACTTTTGGTATTCGACGGTAATTACTTGCTATTCTTTTATAGAAACGCTTGTACATACTTTTTATTATTGTCATTTACATTTTGTGTTTCTGTATTCTTGCTAGAATTAGTAATGATTAAGAAATAAATGGGAAAAAAATGAAAAAAAAAGTACATTTGTACTCACCAGTTGTCCAAGGTATTTGTTTTCTTCTTGGAATTTTCTGATTTGTTCTGACTTGGCTAAAACTTGTTTCGAAGCAGCTTCGCTTTCCTCTGCAGAGTTATAGGAAAAAATGTCACTTATCACCTCCTCTGAAAATTTAATACTCCCTTAGAGGGATTTTTCGTGCCAATACTAGGTGAAATCAGCCATCTAGACATATTTGCTCTCATGCTTCCACCTCACCCAGGAGTAAGCGCAATTCACCATATGGTTAAAATAGGAGACTCGTCCTCTACCATACAAATGTACCACAAAGATAGCACATTCTTCACGTATATTTTCTAAGATGCTGGGTAACCGTGCGATCCGAGGCTTCCCCTTGGCAGTGGTACGCTCTGTAAATAACTAGACGCATACTCCTCATTAAGCTACAGAATGCATGTAGACTTTGGAGCGGTAGCATGCGAACAGTGAAGAATACGGGTGTGTTTTTTTATGTTAAGAAGGAAAACGAACCTTCTAGGAGCATTGCCGAAATCAAAATGGCTCGATGACGTTTGAGATATCTCGGGAAATTTATTCAAAGACTCAGATCCACGCCAAGGAACCTGGAGGTTGATATCGGGTTTGCGAAAAAAGAATCTTGACTTAAAGAGAATCGATTGTGTTTGCGTCAGTAGCAACAAGTCTAAGAGCCGAACAAGACCTTTTAATGTCCCAGACTTCTCTCTAAGTTTTTTCATGTCTTCCACGGCTTTACGGCGCACGTCGCTCAGTCCCTCATGAACGTCATCGTGTAGAAATAATCTGGTAGGAATGGAAACGAGAATTATATCATGTAACATGCCAAACACAGAAGTCCGTGTTTAGAAACTGGAGAATGAAAATCGTCAAAATCTATGTTAATATGTCAATTTATTTACAATGATCACATTTCTGATTTTCTTAGTTTACATTTTAATAGGTTAATTAACCGTAACTGCGGGGGCCTGTGTCACCTTCCCCCCCGCGATATATTTTTAGCTAGAGCTTCCCCCGTCACCCTTCCCTTCACCACCAAATACGAATGAATTTGTAACACAAGAACGACGTCTGCTAAAGGTTAGGTTATCTAGTCACGAGGGTGAGTCGTTGAACACAACGAATCCTTTCATCAGGATTGGTTTCGAATGGCACATCTCAACAAAAGCATTATGACTATCTTACCTGAATTCCTCGAAACTGTTTTTCATCGAAAAGCAGTTGGAAAATAGTTCCTGAACTAGAAATGCAAAGTCGCTCTTGATTCGCTCTCGGAGTTCCTTTTCCTAAAATGTACGAAAGGATACGAGTAAGTGAGATGATATTTACTACCTAGAGGGTACGAAATTTTTTTCTTACCTGATTCATGAGGGACTCTCTCATCTCGGCAATCTTCGCTCGGAGAGCAGTGATCTCTGTCGAGAGAAATGTAAAAAGACCAAACATTGAAAAATACTTTCCCAAAATAACAAACGAGACGGAAGCAAACAGGCAAATAAACTATTGATTGAAAATAGCTGCAACTTTATTTCGCGAAGTTGGCCGGCACACTTTTTTTCATGCCCGAATTGCTCCGTATCCTCATATTTCCAGATCGTCCTCACCGTCGACTGAAGAATGTATTAATTTACGACATAAAATCTAAACTGTATTTACTCGTCTTTACATAAGTGGTTTCGACTCTATGTATCGGATTGTTTCAAAAGTCCGGCAAAGTTCCAAGGATACCGATTGTTTCCCGAGGAATACGTACCAAGCAGTTGTTCATGGCTTCGGTCCGCTAATTGACAGTGAACATCCACGATGGTAGCAGAGCTGTTAGCTTCAATTGTATCTTGATGCTGCTTTATCTCCTGCAGAGTGTAAAACGAAATTCATTCTGTTCAACGACATTTTGCTAAAGATACTAATTGGTAAGAGACCTTATCTCTTGTTATCGTAGCAATCCACTACAGTTTCGATAATTTTGAGCTGGAATCTCGTGGTTAACACAGGACTTAGCGATAGATTTCACTCGTCTTGTTACGAGTACAGGGCGAGGGAAAAAACTGCGAGCACCCACGAGGAATCGAACCGCAGACCTTCAGATTCCAGATCGCGCGCTCTGATGCTCTTGTAATTGGAACTTGTTGGTCAGACGCTAAATGTGCTGCCTAACAAATTGAAGTCCATGTCTCTCGTTTTAGTAGTGTTAGGGATCTCTTAATTTCATCCACCGCAGTGCAAATATATGAATTTTCATATATCTAAAATCTTCATTTATAAATGTAGATTTGGGTTTTCATTGACCAGCTCCCATTGTTAGCAAATTGGCAGCGCTCTATTGGGTTTGATATTTTTCAGGAGAAACCCGTTTCAGAAATGTTCTACCCATACAGAATATATGAAGTCGTGACGTAAAAGCATGATTGCTATCCTACACTTTAACGATTCTTTTTCAGATATCATAACGCCAGATGTATCTGTTCTAATAAATTCTCTGAAGGTTGGGCTATTTTCAATGTGAATATTGTCTTCTTTTTTAAATCATAGCAAGATTAGCAACTGGTAAAGTGAAAGAAAACTGATGACCTAAAATGTTGATATTCAACCTACCTGCTCCTTCATGTACAACAACTGATGCTGATGACGGAGGAGGTTCTCATAGTACATGGCGTAGCTGGAATAAGCACAAGCGAAAGTTAGTCCAAATGAACGTACCAAAGATTGTTTAATATTAATCGAAGTTGAGCGCGCTTTTCGAATGAGTGTCTCAAAACCGATTCTAAAGTAATCACAATGTCAATATCACAAACCGCAAATAGGTGCGTAAGGAGAACTCAGGTCAAGGTTGGGAAACTGAGAGTTACCGAGTCACCGTACATTGTTTTTAGTTCTGCGAAAGAAAAGTTGAAACTTTGGCGCGAATTTCTTGACCAAATCACTGAGCAAAGACAAGCAAAAACAATGCCATCCTTGAGTACTTTTGACACTCAATTGAAGATTGCACTTTTTTTTTTCCGAGTCACCGGAGTAAAGTTTCGCGGTTTGATACTCTCTGCTAGGAATTGACTGCGTCGCTGAAAGAACTGCATTAATTCGGAAATCTATGGCAACCACGACGTTACCTTGCGGCGACTAAATTGCGGAATTCTTGACCAAACGTGTTATTAGATTTTGGCGAATAATCTCAAGATAAGAAATTTACGTTTTCAAAGTTACTGCCTAGCCTATTCAAAAATTTTCATATTCATTTCACAGATCTAAGTCTGAAATATTGCTCTTAACTTCCAGTTACCAAACTGCCAAAGTTTCTACTCTTCTCTTCCAAAATTTTAAAATACATGATAGTGTACGCCTGACAACTACCCAACTCTTATCTAAAATGGCTCCTTTCTAACCTGTATTCTACATGAACAAACTTGCCAAATTTAGTTGTTTTCTGTCGATTCACCTCAACTAATCAGACCTATCAAACAGTTGATCACATCCTATGTCTTCCTGTCTAAAGAACACAAGAACAAACAAAATGATTATCTCTTTATAGGAGGGCTCTTCCAGGCAAATCGTTATTTTCAGTGCTCAGTGTCAGGGATATGACAGAGCACGTGGTTTATCTGATAGACTAGATTAGAAATCTGAAGTAAGCGTGGTCAAATCCTCCACTTTGCTGCTGGGTAACACCTGGCTTGCCCTCCACCCGTTGATAATTTTTTTTACAATTTACGTTAATTGTTTTTGTATTTATAGTGTCCCCAATTAGCACATAACTGCTTAAAACATATTTCCTGTTAATCTCTTATCGTGGCATTCGTTTGTAGTTCCTTAAATCATCTCTGTCTAGAAGCGTAAGATTTTACCTCTCGAAACAGTTCCTTTCCCTTAGCATTGTCTCAGAGGCTAGCTTTACTAAGCATCTGTCCAAATGGTCCTTAAAACAAAACAAATGAACAAAAAAATTGTAAGCAAGTAGAATAATTCAGCTTAATCCTAGTAAAAATGGAGAAACGCAGGGCCTCATAAAAAGATGTTTTAGAGTTCAAAGAGACGACAATGAGTTTGAAAAGAGAAGCACGTGAGAATGATGAGGAGGATAAAATTCTTCACATCACCATCAGAATCAACATTACTCAGAAGTAGTTTCCCTCCTTCTCAAAGAAGAGACGAAACTATAAGGTTATCGTGGGAAAGAAAGTGGAGGGAAACTAACCCGTAACCCCTTTAACCCCTAAGAGTGACTAGCATCTAATTTCTCCTTACAATATCACCCTCGAGTCAATCATTATGGCCACGAGAGTAAAGGAACTGATCACCAACTAAAGAAACTCGTGATCAATTCAAACAATTCATTACCTCAGAAAATGTGCAGAGAAGAGTATGGAGAATATCTATATTGATGTTGGGCTGTAAAGGGTGATTATCCCAATAGACCAGTCCTTTTAAGGTGGAGTATGAAGTCCAGCACTTCCCTACCAAAACGTCAACCCCTCCCCTAATGGATTAAAAGTGTTTATACACACAAAAAACCCTTCATACCCTTGTAAAGGAAACGCTTTCGTCCTTCTCTGTGTGTTCTGACATTAGATCCTGTATGAAATTCTCTACCAGATGAGGCTTAGCGATGGTGCAATTTTCTTTCATGACCTGTAACATAATATAACAGATAAATTTGGCAATAAGCCACTTTTTGTTGAACTTTCTTAACAGCTTTATTGTTTTCCCAGCTAAAAGTGAAAATTAAGCATAATCCTACAACATACAACTAAAGGTAGAACAAGCTCTAAGCCAAGACAAGTGTTGAATACAGGGAATTATTTCCTTACCGGTCTCTTCCACAGATCAGTCGGTAGTGTTGCGTCATCTCTACCTCTCTCAGATACGACCAGGGTGTGCTCACGGGATATCCTCCTAATGACGTCATAAATCATGGTGCACTCTAAGTTCTCCAGTAAACGAATGAGCTGCAAAAAGTGCCAAAAAGAAAAAATCCTCAATGAAACACAATAATAGCGACAAACGGTTAACAGTTATTCTTAGAGTACCTTTCAAGGAATTTTTGTAATAAAGTTTCAACACATTTCACTTTGTAGGTTTGAGGCAGTCTGGATCAGTTCCAACAAAATTCAGGACAAACCTGTTTGACTTTCAGCTCCATCTCTGTTGCACCAGGGGGAGAGGACAAGGGTTCGTCGTCGTTCACCAACGCACCGAGGGCGGCGTACTCTTGGCCCTGTTGGTGGAAGGTTGAGGTAACAATTCAATAAGAAAAAAGACGAGCAATGCACTCATTTGTGGCAACAGACGATAACTTCTTCCTTATTTGTTAGCTTTAAGGTTAATATTTGAAAATTAATATTTCTTATCCTACCTGGCCCATTTTAACAGCAACTTGTTGGTACACAGGCTGCAGGATTTCGATCTTATACACTTTGCTGAAAAATGACGAGAAACGCTAATTTAGCTCAGGTTCACAATAGGGCTGTGTAACACCAGTAACAAAACTTCTCATGTTTACTGCGGTTTTAGCGGCAGGAGGCATAGCAGTTAACTATTACGCAACATATAGAAGCCGCTTTTGTCACTGAGCGACTGAAACGCAGGAGGCTGTGTGGCCGAGTGGTTAGGGCGCTGAACATGTAATCTGATGGTCCCGGGGTCCCTTAGGTCCTCCACATCTCATTGGTGAAACCGGTATATTGACATGGAAATTTCATTGAGCCTTATTCTTCTCCTCTTTGAAACCTCTATTTATAAGCTGTTAAGAGGAAAATCAAATCTGGATTTGTTCTCGGTTATCCCGTGTTCAACTCCTTTGCTGCATTTTGTGTGTAGTCAACTGGTCTGCCTGTTGCAAGTTGGGATTTTAAACAGTATTCACTACCCAATTCGAGTTTGCCCCAGAAAGGCTTCATTAGGGGAGTAATCAATTGAGTGTACCCACATACATACAAATATGCATAAATATTTACAACGCATTCACACCAGTTGGTCTGAAACACGTTTTAGTGAAAGGAAATAAAAGGATATAGATGGCTTACCACATGGTTCTGTAGAGTCTAGAAGTCGCTATCTCGTTGACTCCAAGCTTCCGACATCCCCAGTCAGTTTTTAGAAGTTCCAAACGGGAACACACCAACAGAAACAAATTTATCAGTTTCACGGCTGCTTGGGGATTAGTGCTGAATGATACCACTCCCTTGGGGATGTCTCCATAGGGACCAGTCTCTACTGGAACAGAGGTTTCGCCGCCTTCATCTTCATTACTGTCCCGCTTGTCGCCATGACGGCTCGGAGGTCTTCGGGAAGTGCTCGTGCTCGGTCTAGAACGCTGCCCTGTGGAGCCGGAGGCTGCCGAATCGTCTGGTTGTTGTGAAAATAATTCGGGAAGGCCATTTTGAAGAACATCTTCCAGAAGCAGGGATACGCCAAGGATTTCACCATTGACGACATGTCTGCGTCACAGGAAACCAAATCGTTATTATACTATAAGTCTTCCAGTCAAAGAGTGATTGTTTTCTACAGAAGCAGTTTACTTCTTGGGCGGGTTTTAAATTTTCGCCCCGACGTTGAAAGAAATAAATTAATTGCCTTTGCGAATTTGGAAAAGGCAACGTTCCATAAAAGCACAGAGGAAGATAATGGTTTCTTATGTACTTCATATCATGGGAACAAAGCTTCGAATCCCTTTTGAATCATATTTGCCAAATGGGTGAAATTTACGGATCCATTTTGTTAATATTAAAATAATTAGTCACAGAATATGGTATTTTGGGTAATTCTAATTCAATATTTTGTTGATTTAGGGCTTCCAGCTTCCAAATGCTAAAGCAAAAGGAATTCATTTGCCAAATCATGACCATACACTTAACAAGGACGACTTTCAGAAATCACTGTTTTTTCAAAATACTACCTTTCATAAGAAATGACATGCGACCTCCCAGAGACAATCTGCATTTACAACTTATTACTAGGGACTTTAAGAAAACCACGACGGCCACGGCAATGAGATCGTTGCAAAAAAAAAAGATCTAATCAGTAGAACAATAGCGAAACACGTGCGTTTTAAATATTTGTACATTCTTGGCCGTCCCATGTAGATCTAAAACGTGAAATCGCCAACGTATTTACGTCTTGGGCTTCTCAAACTTAGTGTTCAAGGAAACAGCATTCGACAGCAATTAAGTCTGGGATACGTCTTTACTACGCGTTTGAACCCAACCATACACCTGTCTCAAAACATAGGCATGCTATGCACAAGAGTTATTTTTTCTAGGGTGGGTGGACTTGAAACATTGTAAGTGGTCTACATTCTTACAAAAAGAAAGAAGTCGCGGGAAAGAATGAAAATGTGAAGATGTCGAATAAATGTAACCGTCACGGATACCTGTTAGTACAAAATGTAGACAGCAGACTGCAGACCGGATACAAAATATAGACTACAGAGTGGGTAAAAAATGCAGACTGAGAATCTGAAGAGTTTTACGTCTGGTATATAATAACATGTCATCTTACAGCTTACCGAGCGTCACGCAATCGCTTTTCCGCGATCAGCCTTCACGATTATTTGCACTATTGTGGAAAATTCCGGGCCCATTTCTTGACGAAAATCGATCGTAATATAATTTCAAGTCTTCAACATAGTCTTCTTACTTTGCACGCGAGTTGGTTGGTGTGATGTCTGTACAGATTTTACCAATGTAATAAAAGTAGATGACGTGAATATTAGTGATGGTAAAGCAAGCTTAAAACGGCAGCAATCGCCAGAAACTACAACGGATACACAGGGTATGAGTAAGTTTTATTGATTTTTCGAGAAAAATCTTTATATTTCGAAATATTTATCGTTGTAAATCGACCATATTTCGTTCCCTATACTCTTCCTTATAACGTGTTCAAATATTCAACGGTTCCTAGAATAACTTACTCTGAGTCACACAACGCGTGACGCGTTCGTGAATTAATCGTTGGCTCTTTCTCGAAACGTGACCTTGGGTCGCCTGTGACAAGACAATTGCGTAAACAATACTTGACATAATAACTTATACACAAAAAACACGGGTTTTTGGATCATGTATTTATTAAAAAAGAATATCCATTCAACTATAATGAAAACACCTTTCTGATCGTGAAATTAATACCATTCGCACTGTTTTTACGTTCCCTGGCATCAAGTGAATCCAACATGGCATCTTTCTTCACTAGCAGTTTGCATCCATTTGAATTTTGTTCTTCAGTCTCACGGTAGTAGTGTTGTTCAATAGATTGCATAGAGTATATGCAGTTTGGTTTCAGATTTCAGATTTTGCTTTTTAGTTTACGTTTTCATCTAAGACATTGGCATACTTGGCATACAAGAACCACTGTTACAACCGCCAGAGGAGACAAGTTCTTCCAGATCGCAAAATAAAGTGGATTATATGTACAACCTTCCGCTGCGTGCTCTATGTGCATTTGCGTGTGTTAAAGCGGTTCCCGAAGCAATTTTTGTTGGACGTAGAAATCCTCGCACTCCGCCATACATTTTCTAAATAACTGTCCAAAGGTAGAATAAATTGTCGAAAATCACCTCACTTCGCGGGTTCACAGGAATGTTCTTCCAGATCGAACTGATTTGCTCACATGCTAAACTTCATTTATAGTGCAAAATTAGGAGCCATTGAAGCCACTAAATCGGTTCCAAACTTGGTGGAAAAACAGCCCTGTTTCCTGTACCGAAACTAGAGCTTGTTTATTCGCCATGTTTTCATTAATGGTCGATCGGCCGAGAGCACGCGTTGGACTAGGTTTGAATTGTTACGTCATCGTTTTCAAATCGTTTTCAAATTTATCCGGATAAGGCGTAACCTGTCCATCCATCACGTAATCCAGCTAAACACGTATAAATATTTAGTTTTCAAATTTATGCGTGTGGATATTCTCCCCAATGAGGTCCCATTGCCAGTACATCATTGGGAAAGGACCGTACCTGAAATAAAAGTTCTTACAATTTGATACTGGAGGGATTGCTACGCATCATTCTAATCATTCTATAATATCGTACCGTTATTTAACCGTATCGCAGACCCATCGCAACAAGAATAAATGGGTAAATTTCCAGAGAAAATGTTGTGCTTCGTCGGTGGGGCGTTACAAGATGATTTTGTTTAATTAGGTTGGTTCATAATGCAGACTGGCCCCCGTAAATTGTTACCTATGCTGAAGATTCCTGCGTCTGCTCTTCGTCAGAGGAATCTCGCTGAGAGTTCGCAGTATTTCAGTGTCAGAACATTCTACGGGTACTCAGAATTTCTGGGTTCGATCCATTGCGAACTCTCGTAAAAAATGGATTAAGAAATTCTTTTTTTATATACATCAAGTATTCCATATATATAGTTGCTAGTTTGACTGCAATGGTAAGCAAACCAAAATTAACACTGGCTTAAACCACCCGTTTTCGCCCTTCGCGAAAGTTATTGAAGTTTTCTTTGAGTTTTCCTTGAATCACTTTGCTAAGAGCGCTTTCCAATCGAGTGTCGTAAAAACAAATCCAAGACAATCACGAGGGCCAATCAGAAGAAAGGAAAATACTTTTAAAAGTAAAAAATAAACAAACTGCCTAAAGCGCGAGAAAACGCAGGCGACAAATTCGTGATTTGTTTTAGTTTTGCATCTGATTGGTAGAGAGACCGACGCGAGTTTTCTAACCCAATCACGGAGCGAAGTAAAAAAACCAACAAACCCTCGAATTATATTCTACATTCAAAAGGAAATTGCTCCATTCTGCGTGCTTTTTGTCGCAGCAAACATCTTGACGGAGGTTCTATTTTTCCTCCCAGTCCTCAGGTTTGTTTCTTTGCATCAATAGTTGGTACATAAATCTTGCATCTTTCATGAGAGAAACTGCAAAGATTAATGCGAAGAAAGGACTCCTCTTGGAGCAAATATCCATTGTATTTAATCATTTTCCGACAGAATCTCGACAAAGGGATTTTTGAAAACAATAAACCCAAGTGCAATGCATCACTAACCTTTCTAGGAAGGCTCTCCAAGGATACAAACTTCGTGCCAGAGTCTCTTTTGCTTCTAACGGTTCAGGTAACGAGATCTGGGCATTATAGATGCATGGTCTACGAGAAAAGAACAGCAAATTAAAGAACAGTGCATATAAAGGCGACATTCAGCATATGGAATGTTTTTGGTTTTCTTCTTAGAATTATTTTTCGCCAGTATTAGAAGCCATAAAGATAGCGACGGGGGGGGGGGAGGGCGGGAAACCAACATCTTCACCAGTAAGCCAGTAAGGAGATCACGGCCACCGTGGCAATTACCACGACAAATCGGTGGATACTTAACCAAAAGTTAGGGGAAGGGGAGTAAGGAAAAGCAAGTAAAGTCGAGAAGCAAATTGAAGACAATTCCTCTGCAAACCTCTTTTAGGTCCGCCACATCTCATTGGTAAAGCCGGTATATTGACAAGGAAATTTCATTGAGCTTTATTTTTTCTCCTCTTTAAAACCTCTATTTATAAGCTGTGAAGAGGAAAAATTAACACAAATCAATCTACTATCATACCTGGGGAGATTGCTGAGGTTTTGAAGAGCGAACTCCATGTTATCTGTAATGCTCTGAGAGGCAAAATAGGGACAATCATGGTGTTAGCGCGGTCTGATGATGAAAAGTCAAATGTGAACTGCTTACAGTCGGGTGAGAAGCACGTTTCGACTGAATACAAAAAAAAATAAAAAAAAAAACAAATGGACAAAAAAAATCAAATCTAAAATGATAACAATAGTCTATGGCATCGAAGGAAAGTATCGCCAGTAGGCAATAAAAACCCAAATGGATTTTACGTACACGGCCTTGTGAGAGATAGAGACAAAAACTAGAAACAGAGGATAAGTCAGGGCAACATGTAAGCTAGCTTTGGAATAATCGGCTCACTAAAGTAACTGAGAATTTTCAATTGCATGCTGAAAGAAATGCGAGAATATTTTGGATTTGTTTACTACATATTTGCTGTGTGATTGGTTTAAAAAAACGTGCATTGCCATCTCAACCAATTACATGCAAGACGTGAAACAATCACGAGTTTGTGTTTTTCACGGTGTACAGCCCTTGACACTGGCATTGTATATTTACTTCGGGTTTGACATGGCTCCTCGCGACAAAAACATATGGAAGGGTTTTAATCACCCTACGAGATTGCATTGGTTGTAAAACGCTATCTATGCCTCTTTTCCAAGTATGCTGACAACTTACTTTATAGGCAGACTCGTTTCCAGTAGAAAGGAAAGTGTCCCGCACGGAGTGGCTGATGGAAATGTCGAACTCCAAAAACATATTATCGCGGCGTTTGGCCAGGAAGTCTGCAACCTACAAAAAAACGAATTACATTATTAGGGCTTTAAGAAACAGTTGATGAAATTTTGTTAGAATAAACTCTGAGCTGGCTGACCGGTTCTCTCAACGTAAGCGTTGGCTCCCAACAGCCATGATTGATAAATTCTTCCTACCTCCGATATCGATAAAGCGAAAAGCAGGTAAGTGAAGAGACGCAATGTTTTAAGATTGATACTAAATTCTCATAACTAACAATGTACGAAATGTATGGGAGACAGTAAGAGGAATTGTCTAAACTAATTCGTGTACCTCTTGAGGATCGTGCGGGTTTTCCAGATGGTTGATTTGTTTCTGAATCTCACGTAACTCAGCACCTGGATTAATAAGTGAAGAGATAAATGTAATGAAGCATATTTTCAGCGAGTAGTGTCAAAAGTATTCAATCTCTAAACCTTTCACAGTCTAAACGTAAGAGGGACCTGGACTTTCGTCCGCGTGCGCTTACGAAAAAAAAAACTAAAACTACCATTACCTTAAGGACTTCGTTACAAAGAGATTGTGCAGTAATGCAGAGAGCTGGTAATGCAGATAGCACAGATAGAGCGCTTTTTCATCGATTTTCACCAAACCAATACCACAGATTCATACTCCGAACAAAAAAGCCAATCGGGACAAAGGTAGAGGTAAACCATATCCCATTGAGATGAAGGCTACTTAAAAGGCTTTCTCTAAGCTGTATACTCACCAATGCCCTCAGTGCCTCCCCAGTCAGCTGTCACCCCTGAAAATTCCAGCTTCTGCGATCCAAGTCGGGCATGCGAGCTGCCAAGGCGGGCATGCGCACAGAGGTACTGACAGATGTCGTGAAGCGATGAAATAAGTTGCTATAACACGAATAAAATAGAAACCGCATTAAGATCATGCAAGCATCTTTGTTCACAAGTGTTCTAAATATAGAACAAAAAGACTCTGAGGGAAAAAGTGAAGTTGGTTAATTGGTGAAAAAAAATAAACACAGGATCATTTCGATGACAGGAACAACTCACCAGCATCACTTTGAGAGCTGCGTTTCTTTGATCTCCTTTCATTTTAGAAAACATCCTTGTTATCTGAAAATTTAAAAAAAGCAAGAACATGATTTAAGAGCGCCTATCGATTGAGTTTTTGTTTCGTCATCAGAAGAAAGGAAAAATCTTTAACAGCCAATGAGAACTCAAACTAAAACCGGGTGAACTGCCCAAAGCGCGGGAAAACGCAGGTGACCAAGTCGCTTTTTGATTACTTTTCACACTCAATTGAGACAATCGTTGAGTTCAGTAAAAAACTAGCAAGGTTGTTCATATTCCATAAGGTGTAAGGTTATCATGTGTAAAAAGCTGCATCAATAAGTAACTTATTTCAGGCCTTTTGCTGATCACCCATTGAATGTTCTCCCTTTACCTCGGTGTAATGAGGAATAAACCAGAGGTTTAACAAACTTTTGCCATCGGACGACAGCAGCCTTCGAGGTCTGGGTCTGAATTGCCTGGGGAAAAATTAAGGCTTAAGGTGTGAATGTACAGATTTAATCTTAAAAAATAAATAAATACAGCGCGCTATTATATTACATTTTTTCACGTGTGTTGCACGATGTTAAACACAATAGCTTCTATTTTGTGCGAAAATATGCACGGATATTTGACGTGGACATTATCTGTTCCAAGAAGCGAACAGCTTTCCGAAAGCGAACCGTAAGGAAAACTGTGAGCTGCGATACTGGCTTTCGACATTCCATCGCTCTACCTCTTTAACTTGCAATTATTGAGACATTGTCTCGTTTTCCAAGAACCTGAGGTTTACGACTGCCTCGAAAGCAAAATCACTCTTCTTAATATCATTTCCTTTTTCAAAGAAAGCCCTCAAGAATACAATATTAAGACCTTCCAATAAGATAAAGTTAAAAACAAAAACACGAACAAAAACAGAGAGAAAAACAAGATAGGTGGAATACAGCAAAAGAGAAAATTTTGTCATGTACAGCAAATGAATGTAACGTACTTGGGATCAGAAACTAAGTTATCGTCTTCTTCAGTTTTCTTCTCATCTTCCTCGCCAATAACAAAATGAGCATCTCTAAGAAACGAAAAAAGAGTAGGATTTAATGACAGTTCTTACCCGGCCAAGGTTCCATAAGTTCGGGGTGGGAGAAAACAAAACTGGGTCGAGTTCACGAAGTCGAGGCTTTGTGGAGGGAAAATAAAAGAAAACTCGCCCAGTTCTTAAGACTTGCGTAATCGCTGACTAATGTAGACTGGCGCTTATCCCATAAATTCTTCGTATTACTACACTTCTTCCAACAAAATATAAAGGTGCCAGCGTGACAGAAATGTTATTACGCTGGTCTTAGAATCAGGCAGTCCGGTTTCAAGCACTCCCTCCTGCTAACCACAAGATTTGTTCTACTTAATCAAGCCTTGTTCATGGCCACTCTTTGTTTAACGTTACTAAGTATGCCAAGCTTTTTTAAAGGTTCTTTCCTTGTCTGAAATTTTAAACTGTTACATAAGGTGTGATGGACTGAACAATGAATTCTCACACGTACCTTGTGGTTGGAAAGTCAGCCATAAGATTTAACAGACTTGCAGAATAAGCGATTATCTACAAGATACAGGAAAAGCGTATTTAAGAAAAAAATTGAAAATACTGAAATAAAATGGCCTTACTCCTAAGTTTAACCTCAATTTTTTGCCTCGAATATTTGTGAGGATGACGAGTCTCCCCCAACTACGGCAGTCTTAAAAAGATTCAAAATACCACATAAATCACTAAGAAGTCTACAATCAATCTTGATTAACCCTGTTTTATTAACTTTGGCTTGAAAAAATCACTTCAGGAAATTTGAAAACCTTTTTTCTGAGAGCTTAATTTTCTTCAACAACACAAAATTGTAACATTGATATGATAGGGTAAGCACCAAAATGGGGATAATAAACGAAAGAGATCGAAGTTGTAAGGAATATTAACATGAATTACGGGCGGCCACCAGACATTGTGTAGCTCAGCCAGTGTCTTAGTATTTCAATACGATTTGGCACATGGAAATTTGCAGGACAGAACAGCTACCTGAGACTGCAGGGAATACTGGGACACTCTCTTGTGAAGGTTTTCGCAGAAATCCGTGACTAATTTTCTGAAGCAAAGAAGCGTCGGAATAAAGTAAACAAATAATCTAGGAATGAATTAATGAATAAAGCGGGTAATTTTCTAAAGAAACTGTGGTGCTGCGTCGGTGGGGAATATTTTAAGATAATTTGGTTTTAACAACTGAGGTAATGATGTATATTGGCCATCGTGAAGAGTTTTCTTAACCTGGCGTTTTGAGCGTTAGTTCTTCGTCTGTGATTAATGTGTTCAGTTCGGAACAAATTCCACCTCCAACTGGTTTATTGATCTCTTTTACAAATTTGCTTCCACAACTGAGTTAGGAAACTCACCTTTTCAGCTTGATAACCTCATCGATGTTCTTCATGACTGTTCCCAATTGTTCCTTTTTGTGTATATAGTCATTTAACATTTTATCTCTCAAAAACGTCTGGAAAAACAAAACGCTGTTTTATTCTTTGGAAATTTTATATTTGACAGATTACAAAAATGTAGCGTGATTTCTAATTGATAAACGCAATATTTTGGAAGAATCAAACATTGTGCAGAAAAAGAGAAAACAATAATTTTTATAAAAGATGTTTTCCTATTTTGCAACACACCTTCTCCAACTGCACCGATACAAACACCTCCTGAAGCTTGCGTTCAAACTCTCGGTCCAGTCTCTTGGTGGAGAATGGTGCAAGATGAGCAGACGTTCCCTCGCCTGAACTAGGCCGACTGGCAAAGGAAGTGTCATGCGAGGAGCCTGGGGACAATCCAGCGCTGAAAGCGAATCAAATTTCAAGAGAATCAGGTGACCGCTTGGGAGGACAAAATTATGCATTTGTTCAGGCTTTTTTAATTCATTCATGTAAGTAGATTAGAAGCGACATTTCAGTCATTTTATCGCACCCTATAGGGCCCGGCGTTTCCAAAATGGTCACATTAAAATCAAAGTTATAAAAAAAAAAACCAAAAAAAAAACCAATGATTAAAATGAAAGAATAATTTAGATGCTTCAAATACTTAGCTTGTACTCTGCCCTTCGCTATTGTTTTACAAAAAAAGAACTTATTTTCTCGAAACTGCGATGGAGGTCCTCGAAACGTTCTTCAAGCGTCTCGATCCTCACTAGTTTCGAGGATGAATTTCCCTTGGGGTTTGCAACATCAAAAAAAGCAATTCAATGTCACTTTTTCATCTCGCAGTTCAATTGACTTAACCTCTGGACAAATACCTTTTCTCGGTTTCTGCTTCCTTTGCTTTTGCAGCTTTGATGATTTTTGAACAGCCGTCGAGTTGAAGAATGGATGCAATGATAAGATTCTTGTGAACAACCTACAGGCAAAGCAAAAGGTCAGATACTCAAGGTGTCCAAAGTAATTATAAGTGATCAAATCATGCAACCGAAAATCACATGGTATAAGTAAAACGATTTGACCATTATTGATAAATATACAAGTATGCATGGAGGTGGAGGTATCCATCCAAAGCTTGTATAGAAAGAGAGATAATTTAAACCGTTTCGTATCAATTGTACTGACCTGAGCCATTAGGATCGTTTGTAACTTTTCCACGCCTGTTCCTGACATAATCTACAATGGAGGGATTCTGATCACATATACGATTGATAATGGTTAGGACCGAGAAGAGTCCAATTCGGTCTGTAATCATGTGAGCGATTAACAGAATCGAATAAAAGCGAAGCCGAAGTTCGATCTGTTAATAACGAGTATCATTTCAGACAGCTTTTGATGCCTGTAGATAGTCTTATAAAGTATGAACCTCGACCTCGTTCACATCCTAAAGACCTTTTTTTAGCGCAATCTTTATACAATTATACACTGGGTTGTTCGATGTGTTATCAACGTACCTGCAACACTCCTTCTCTTGTGCGAAAGCTGAACGTGCCCAAATGCTTTTCATCCAGTTCTTGAATGGCCAGAGGAGTATATGCTGGTGTGTATCTGAAAAAAAGTGCGAAACCCAGATAGAGTGAGACACGGGAGAAAAATGAAAACCAGAATAACACGGTATAATCATATTCAATTGTGGACATTGGGAAACGATCCTTCATGGTAAAAAGCAAAAAGGGTCTTTCTGATGTTTTCCTTTCTACCGATTGGCCGTTGTGGTTGTAAAGTTATTCGGATGTAGAACAAGAAGGCAGAAACAGTTCTACGACTGTGTTGTTTATTCAACGCACACACACCCAGGTCGAAAAGCTGAAGCGGAAAGCCTGGTCTGCCGGTTACCATGGCATTAGTGACGTAACATAGACCGGAAATGAATTAACGATTACATCTATATCGTTACAGTGGTTACTTAAGTTTTGCTCTCGGGACACTTAGAAAAGAAAAGCTCTGAATAGAGCCAAATAGACTTAACCAGAACAACAACAAAGGAAAAGGGTTGTGTTATCACCTGTCTACCCTACTATCGTCTTCTTGTACCACGGTGATGAGAACATTTTGTATCTCAGCATCTGGTTTAGCCTGTGCAAAGTCAAACGACACGGCACGAAGAAACGCATGGTATTCATCAAATCCAATCTCTTTGGCTTGTCGCTTGTATGCCTATGGAAAGACAAATGTTGTTAACTCTTTTAAGGTCATCATCACCGAATTTAGCATGAATAAATTTTTAATTTGGCACGAGTCTCTATGAGATGGGAGTGTCTGTGATGCAGAAGGCCATGCACGTAAATCTCGCCATTTTTACACTTGTGACAAACACAATTCTATGATTTTTGTTTCTCAGTAAATAAAATGTGTTAAAGGGAAACTGTGTTTACCTTCATCCTCCTCATGCAGAAAACGCCATAGCCTATGAGCAAAGCCTTTTGATGGGAAATATTGGGTTTGGGCCCTGATCGGGTCACTGTGCTTTGCTATTAGGATGACACTTTACTCTGACTCACAAACTTCTCTCCACTCTAGAACATTAATGGGTAGGGGAGAATTGTCTGTGAAACTTAATAAAAGTGCGTGGGCTGACCCTTCCATGGAAAATATCCCGTTCACGAGATAGTAGCAGTACTCCAAGTCGCTTCATAATACTGAAACTGGGATAAGTTCTGGCTTTAGAGAATTCGCTTATGCTTGCCTCTCCTGGGATTTGGGCAAGGCGATTGCGTGGCCTATGGCCATGATCCATACTAATGTAGGTAAATCAGAGGATTGCTGTCGCGATAGGGTGTTAAACAGAGAAAGACTACCTGAGTAATCGTCCAGGAAACACACTTACTTTCGTGACTACATCTGTTTCCTGGGCAGCAGTTATGAGCCTGTGTCTTAAAGTTATAACCTGAAACATTCAAAGGAAAATATGAGCCGCTTTGTAAAGTTCCTCACACCGCAAAAAAGGTAAAAACAAAAGTTATTTTCTATTTTTTGGGTATGTACCCGTTTAAGACATCGCACTGCTTACCTCCAACAGTTTTGACCAGGTTTCCGTGAGTATCTTTTGCTTTTCCTTAACAGACTTTCGTCCACCCTTTTTGGAATTGAAAGCTTGGTTTACCAGGGACTGTGCAACTTCACAAACAAAGATAGGATCTTCCACGAATACTTCAGAAAAGAGCTGAGATGAAAGAACAACATTGAGGTGTTAGATATTAATTTTGAATGTTTACTGACAATCGGTTCAATTTGTCATAGTGAAAGTACCAGACTAAAAGAAATTATGACAGAAATTGCGATAGGAGCTTCAATGATCCACCTTTTATATAAAAATTTTATTATTGAAGCGTTCACAGTGGCCCATCCCTTTGTTTTAAGGCTGTAGTACTCACGTCTTTCTGTGTCTGCAGTGCAAATGAGTGGCCAGTTGGTTCCTGACTGTCCCATTCCTTTTGTGCTACTTCATATAAGCGACGTTCAAGTGATATCATCTCTCCTGTACTTTTTGGTTTGTGTATCTGGATAAACATCTAATAAGAGGCGAAAATCACGTTGAGAAACTAGGAAAATACCATGATCACTTACGAGATAAAAGGCCACATTAAAAAATTCATATTAGGTTAAAATAACATAAAATGAAAATGCATGAAGAAATAAATAGATAAGTCGGTAGATAAGTAACTAAATGGATAAATAAGTGAACGCAATGTCAGGGTGTAAGGATGCTTACTTGATAATATCGATAAAAGTGAAAGTGCTGAAGATGCTTGCTGAGCAAAAATTACCTTGGCGACTTAGTTTCTTTACCCTTTTTTAACCAAACTAACAGCCAACAGTTTTACAAAGTCGTGTTGTAAGAGGATCTTCCATGATATTTACGATTTAAAGGTTTTTGATGACTTGCTTCCGAGCGCAACTCATAGATGCATGAGCAGGTGAGTTTAATTTTTTTTGTTTTTAAGGCACAGCCTAGCACTCAAAAAATCCACCAAGAAATACTTTATGCAAGTTACAAAAATAAGGGAAAAAATGCATACCTTCAAAGCGCTCTGTAATGCCTCGTATACTCTGCTGGCTAGACCAAGGGATGGATGGAATTCCAACATGTAGACGTATCTAAGGGCGGGTCTGTGACAAAAATCAATTCATAGTAAAGTTTTAATACATGCTTGCGTCATCCGGAAATAGAATAAATTTAAGACCACAAGGTTTAAGCTTAATACGAAAATATATTTATTATGTGGCTGTAAAAAAAAAAATTCACCATTGGCGCTAAAGTTTGGCTTTTTCGTACGTTTGTGTTTTTTTAAGGCTAGCGACAGTCCCTCTTCAAAGGCTTCTGTATTGCAAAAGCGATATGGTTAGGGAGGGAGCACCTGTGATCGAGGAAAATCGCAACAAATTGGCCTGTTCTGTTTAGTAATAGATCTCAGATTACCTGAACTATGCTAAGAACAAAAAAGTGGCATACGAGGCACAGCTGAGTGCGTCACTGATCTTCCTACCACTTCTGGTGACCCAAGGCAACTTGGAATCTATTTATTTTTTATCATACCAAAGCAAAATGTTAAAATGGCTTTAAATATCTGTATCAGTTTCCTTACCGACTGGTGTTCACTGCAATATGCTGTTGAGGAATGATCCGATGGGGAAGACCAAACAATGCTGTAAGAGTTACATTAAAAAAAAAAAGATTATGGTTTCATCAAAATCATTCTATTAAGTCAAAAATTTATATTTCCTCTTTGCCGGCTTGTAAAATGCTTCTTTTTAAGTATCATAAAATTTGCATAAAACGTGTCCCTGTTTCATTACACCAAGTATAATTAGGTGAAGAAGAAATAAATGCATTCCCCTGTCAAATAATAGCATGACTTCGAAAAGCTTGTTAAAATAATCAAGTTCTAATATCAAATATCAACTTACTAGAATTATCTTCCCTTGAAACTTTCTGAATGTACTCTCGCTCATCGTCAATCTGAAATTGAAGAAAAAAATTGAATGATCTCTCTGTGAGTTCGTTTGCAAATCAAAGTTAACGTGAATGTTATACATGTCAAATTTATAAGATTTTGTTTGGTAGTTACAGCCTTTACATCCTAACATAGGCATTCATTTTCTCCATATTGTCATCTTTACATTTTTCTGGTACAGACAAGGGAATTTGTTAAACAATCAGGAGCTTCTTAAATAGGTGATTATTTACCTCATTCTCATGACTTTCACAGTATCAAGGGTGATGAAGTGAGGATAAATTATAAGCCAATCACTCTAGCAAAAGCTCTAACTGTTGGAACAAGTTGATGCATTTTAACTTGAGGTTCCCCCGAATAAATGTGTACCAAAATACATGTTTCCATACTACACCTGTTTGTCGAGAATTGACTTGATTAAGTTGCAATGAAGTCGCAGACAGACACATTCAGCTCGATATGTCTTCACGAAGTAGTCAGCAGAAAAATCGTATCTTGGTCTCGAATGCATCACATTAACCATAATCTGAGATGGAAAAAATAAGGAGAATCAAATGGGCTATGCCACAGTTCGTCCAACTTGAAAAATTTATCACCTACAAATTTCCCGCCGTAACCCTTATCAGTGCCCCCGTAGGTACCAGCTATGGATATCAGTATGTCTATTTTATCACACTGGGAGGAAAACTTCCAAGGAAATTTAAAAAAAAACTATTCAACGATTATAAAAAAAGAAAAAAAGTAAACAAACAAATAATAGACATTCAAACTTAGGTGGAAATAAATACCGGGGATCTTTAATAAAAAAATTGTCAATCATTTCGACTTCGACAAACCTGAGCGAGCCGTTTTTTCTCTTTTGGGTCAAAGACATGATGATAAGCCTCCAGATAACAGTCTAACAGCTGGATAATAAATAGATAAAAAATTAAAAGAACATAAAAAGATATCCTCAAACTTTAATTTCAATTTATGGGGAACTGTGGTATTTTAGGTTCTCGCTCACTAAAAAAAGCTCAAAGACAAAGGCAAGGAATTGAATTCAAGCCAATCCACCACTTTGATTCTAGCGCAATATCCATGAGGCTGACATCTCCCCCTACTGAATGACGTAAAACCCGCCCTTCGCACCGCCAGGAAATAATACAGGTATATGGAAAGTATCTAGTCAGGACAGTTACCTGTCTCTTGTTTTCCAAATATGCAGCTTCATTTGTCCATAAATCCAAAAGAACAGCAAATCTGTCCACTTGCTGATGACCATACGCTGCCAGATCAATATGATCTCCCTGAAACTGATATAAGCACAAAATATGCTGTCAAGTCTAACCGGTTATAAGGTATTAAGGTTTACATTAATCTAGAAACACGTTCAATGTATCATTCTGTGTTAAACAAGAGAGTATAGACACGCAAAGAATTACCGCTTTTTGTCCACCACCCCAAAAATAATGATCAAAGCGTTGAAATGCAACGGGGACATTTAGACGAAGGCTAAATGGTGGAATGATCAATACCACTAACCTTTGAATTTTTGGGAAGCCTCAAATCTTTGTCTTTTTGAAGGAAATGGGTGGCCACAAGCAAAAGTTCAGTCTCCAGTTCCCTGTAGTAAAATATTAAACCATTTAAAGTCCAAAAAAACAAACAAAAAACATATAAGCTTGTGTAAACTCTGCTTGTCGTTTGTCGCGTTACTTACACTCTTTTTTAAGAGGAAAAAAATTTTGAACAAGTTTTCATCATTCGCTGGTGTTAAAGGAAAATGCACTTACTTAAAGGCTGCAAGCGCCGTATCATACAAGATGTAGTAGCCTCTTTGGTCCTGAATATGCACCCGACCTTCCTTCGGTTGTGATGAAATCATCATGATTTTCGACCTGGAAAAGGTTGAACACAGGCTTAAATTGTTAAAACGCTCGTGGCACAAAAAGAAAGGCATTATGTCATAGATACCTACTCATTTCTTAAACGGCTATTCCTCTCTACTTCCCAGCTCTCTACTTTCAGTGACTTCTTAACATCAGACTGCTACATGTACGACCCGCCATCATTCATATGGTCAACTATTCGTTCGGTTTTTTTTTTTGTTTTGTTTTTTTTTGACATTCGTCTCCTTAACTCTTTATTCCCTAAAAGTGACTGGAACCTAAGTTCTCCTTACAGCATCATAGCTGAATCAACCATAAAGGTCATGAGAATACGGAAAATCATCACAGAACCAAAGAAGTTAAATGCTGTGATTGTCAAACATATTCTTCTTGTCAGTACTATATGAAAAGTAAAGAAAACAATGTGGATAAGAAGAATTTTAATGCTAGGGTGTTAAGGGTTAACACATTCGCTAGTCTGGCTTAAGCACAAAAACACTCACCTCTGAAAACTCCATGAATTCAGACTGTTCAACCCTTTAAAGGAATAAAATAGAAATAAAAGCTACATTAGCAGCAGAGTGTATTTGAAAGCAAAACCAGAGTATTCATGCAAGAAAATTGTAACAAAGTTAAATATAGTCAAGAGCAAATAAAAGTTGGACTAAAATAAATAAATTGCCTGATGCGGGGAAAATAAAAAAAACGTTTCTTTCCTCCTATCAATTTCTTTTTTTCAGAATCAGTGAAATCAAAGCATACCGGCTAGCCACAACGCAGATAAAAGTCTCAAAAGTTTTACCGATGCAGCTGTACCTTCTCACAATCTAATAAGACATGTTCCCTACCGAAACTCAACACTAAGATGTCATGAAGTCAAGTCAAGAAGTCATGTCAAGATGTCAGATACAATTCGTTCTGACAAAGTGCTAACGCTCGAAACGTCGGCTTTGAAACTCATAACGGTGGCCAATTTACGTTATCAACTCAGTTGAGATACCAAATTAAATTGTTATACTGTCCCACCGACGCAGCACCACAATTTCTCAAGAAACCGACCCCCTTTAACCCTTTAAACCCTAGGAGTGATTAGCATCTAATTTCTCCCTACAATATCAACCCTGAATCACACATTAAGGTCATGAGAATAAAGACATAATCAACAATGAGAGAAGCTTTTGATCGGTAAACAAATTCTCCTTGTCAGCACCTTAGGAAATGTATAAAGAACAGTATGGAGAATATGCATACTGATGTTAGGGGTGTTAAGGGTTAATAGGATGTCTTGTTCAGGATCTCAGGCTGCCTGAAAACATAAATGTAGCCGATGATATAACTACCTCTAAAATCTTTACCTGTAATCAGCCGGAGTGTTGTGAATGTACTGATGTGATCCAACACCTGAAATTCCACCGCCATGGAACACCTGATGTCTGAAATGGTAATAAAATTTAACGTATAACCTATAAGGTTCCGCGCACGCAATTCTTTAGGAAACTAAAATTACAACTGACGTGTGTGAACGAAGGGCCGGCTGGGAAAACATTTGGCCTTTCGGTCATCGCGTAGCTCGTTCAATACTTCATCACCGCGAGCCAAATATTTCCCCCTCATACCCTTCCCCTAAGGCAATAAATGCATCGTCATTAAGCACGTGATTTTCAACGTAAAGAAGTACATGTAGGTGAAGACGTCGAAGATGGATTCTTTACTCATTTATACTCAACGAAGAGGAAAAAGGACGATGACAACGAAGATAATGCTTTTCCTGATATTCATGCACACAAGTTTAACACATTACTCTCGTTTGATCGAACAGATAACTCACTTGGACGCCTTTTGTTTTCCTCCTTCCAATGACAAGCCACCATCATTAATCGTTAACGTTCTCTCAGTTGACTTGAAGTAGTTGAGTATACCAAGGCACTGAAAAATTACAATTCAAACGAAGCCTTGTATATTGTGAAAAAAATCTTTACCTTTTCTTAGTTGTTACAGACTGGTTACTGTCATTTAAATCATGTTCTCTACGGTTGAATATATTGCAACCTTTCCTAAGGCTAACTAATTTGGACACGCATAGTGACAAAGCCCCCCCCTCCATTTCCCAAAAATAGTGAATAGGGCCATTTCCTACCGATCGTTAAAGATCCCTTCCTTTTGAGGTAACTTAGAGGGAAAAGGGGCTTGCAGGTCCCTTGTGGATAAATCCCTTGGGCACGGTCATTGGAAAAGATCCCCCTCCCTTATCAATACTGAAATGGGGACCATTCATCACCCCTCAATTGAGATCCCTACGCCTAAGGTGCCTTAGAAAGACGTAGGCAATGTGGGCCCTTCGCAGTTTATTCGTTTGGACACGCTTATTAAAAAAATATACTCTCGGCATTTATGAAATATGGACCATTTCTCACCGATCTCTGCAGATCCCTTAGCCTAAGGTGCCTCAGAAGGAGAAAGGACATGTAGGCGCCTTGAAGTTTACTGGCCTGAGTCTTAGCATCTTCGTCATCCAAGCCGAGAAGTTCCACCGCAGTACCAAGATCAAATTCACCAGTGGAGTTACTATTACCACCCATGTCGTCTTCACTGATTTTGGTGTCAAACTCCAGAACATCATCCTTGGAGCTCAAACTGTTCAGCAAATGAAAGAAGATGACAAGAGAAAAGCTATGAGTCCCACATACAGATGAGAAAATGGACATTTTCAGGTTAATTTGTTTTGACGCAAAACTTGCTAAATCTTGTCTAAGTGATGCTCTAGAGTATTCCGCGAGGTTTCCGGCTAAGCGCTAACTTTAAATCACTGGTAGTTTACAATTGGACATGTTTAAGTGCCTGGACGAATAATGTTTTCTCGTACAATACTTCTGCAATTTCAATAGATTCAAGTTAAGATATTAATCGCCAAAATTTAGCATATGTAAGCCTTTCATTCCCCAGAACACTCTCCTTTTTTTGCCTATGTGTATTGACTAACCTACCTTAGCCGGTTTCTCGCCAACCGCAATTGGATGTATACAATTGTTATTTCTAACAACAACAAAATCTTTTACCGGTGTTTGGCAGATCTGCTGATAACCCAATACTGTAAACACATTGGTGACCTGCGCCTTTTTTTTTTGGGAAATCTTAATGAAACTGTACAAAAATTTCCTCTTTGAAGTGTATAAAAAGTGCACACCCCGTAGCGTCGCCGACCACACACCGATGCGCGGGTGCGCGTAAGAAGCCATATCCCACGCAGTAAGAAGAGTCACTCAACCACCACGTCTAATGCAGGCGTCAAACACCTTAAAGGTTACGATATCAAAGATTTACCTCACAGAAGCATAGCTGAAGATACGTTTCCAAACGGCAGCCGTGTCATTCTCAGCGCGGTAAGTCGTCACAGAAACTGCATGAGGTTTTGGCGGCTCCAAGACAGCTTTAGCATGTTCTTTTAATGATGATAGTATTCTCTAAAGAAGCGATATAATCAAAATCAACAATTTTTTTTTTCTAACGATGTTAATAAAGAACTCAGCACTAAGTTACAAGTGGGGTCCTATGTAAAGCACCCAAAAAATTTAAAAGAGGCCAGCAGCTTTTCCAAAAAAAATGGCCAGGAAACTTTCGAGATACTTTCTTTTCTTTGAGGAAGTTATCAGTAAGTCAGTCTTTGCTTTAAGTAAAGTTCTTATGCCAACATTAATAAAGAACTATCCGTCATTTACCAATTATGTGCACTATACAATATGAAATATGGTTATGTTATGGCGGTATTTGGGGTCATCACAGAAATATGGTATTCATTTGAATTGCAATCATTCAACTTATGAGTAACTTTCTACATGTACTTGTATCGGCACAATGAGGTATATGATATAAAGAGGGCAAATCTACTAGCAAGGTCAGGGATGAGAAATAAAACCACTGTCCTGTGAAAGCAGACTTCAATATATTTCAAGTTTTTTTTTGCACATTTCACCTCACCTGGCCATCTTGTACATGAAGGAAACGTGAATGAGCTTTAAGTAACTAAAAGGATAGGAGAGAAAATATTATTACTTCAGTATCATTTGTTATTATCTGTATTGATTAAAGTCTAAAAAAATACACCACACAGCATGTAAAACTGGAAAGGTTGCGTAATATTACCTCGTCGATGTTGCCTTTATGTTTCAGCTTTGTCATGGTCTTAACTTGAATTGAGGCCTGCTCTGGCCTACAGGAAGGCAAAGTAACACAAAAATATCCAAATAAGCCATTTATATATATTGGTGGAGCAAATACAAAGTAACTGTTTTTCACGGTGACAACGACAAGAAAATCTCGGCAATTCCAATTCGCTCATTGAATCTGCAGAATCTTGTCAGCTTTCTCAATACTAGTATCACTTTGAGGCCGGCATAAAGGTTTATTAAAAGATTTTCCTTGCACTTGTAAAACAATGCGACAAATAAGTAACCTTTGGGAACTCGATTTCAAATAACTAGATCTTGAAGCCATTTCCTTAAAGTCCCGGAAAAAAGTATTTCCAATTATTCATCATCAGCCACAGGTACATGTAAGGTACACACCCGTTACCTCGTTCCAGTAGTTTCGAGCTTTACGTTCACCAAAAAACCCCTAACAGTTCCAAAACTACACTTCGTAGAAAAATCACAAAACCAATTGTTCGCGGCCAAGGGTGAAATTTTTACCGTTTGCTGTTCTCTTAGCTGCTCTTGCTTCCCTTAACCCTTTTACCCCTACGAGTGACCAGCATCTGATTTCTTCTTACAATACCACCCCAGAATCACTCATTCAAGATCACATGATTAAAGGAAATGATCACCACCTAAAAAAAGCGTGATTGCTAGACAAATTCTCCCCGTCAGCACCTTAGGAAATGTATAGAGAACAGAGTGGAGAATATCCATGCTGATGGTATGGTGTAAAGGGCTGAAAAATCGAGTGCACGGGGTTCTCGCTGCGGAGACAGTCACAGAAATCTTTTTTTCTTTTTTTCCAGTGTGTGTTAGAATTCAGGAAGACAAGTTACCACCCGGGGTTTCGAGAAAAACCGGTTTCCGGCGGTCTACCGCCGCCTAAGAAACCTCTTACCGCCGTCTGTTTAGTCTGCGGACATGCTCTCGTGTTTCAGTTACGCGGTACGGACCCTTTCCGGGCACAGCTGCCTATTACGCCATCCACAGCCACTTATGGAAAACTTTATTAAAATCCCTGAACTACCGGTTGCTTTTGCGCAAGTCATTACAAAAGCTGAGATGCAGTACCTTAGAGAATTAAAAGAGGTCCAGTTCGACTGCTGCTTGAAAGTGTGCAAGGCTCCTTCGCTTCTTATTTTGCTATCTCCAAACTCCTGTAAAACAAAAGCAATTAATTTATCAAAGAGGAACAACTTCTGGACGAATACGTTCCACTGCATCAGGTTGAAAGGGTATATTTCTCTCTGCGTTACTTCTTTTTAAAAAAAAATGCTTCTTTGTAACATTCAGTCAGGTCGATGTATTGAATTCAACAAGACAGTGTACATAAAGTCACTGCCGTATCACATCAAACTCTCCAATTCGGTACGATTTCGATTCACATTGCCTAACTGGCGAGAATTTGAGAATGTATCACACCCATGACAAAAATCATCAAAATCCTTCGCCTAGAATGTTACTTCCTTTTCTAATTCAGCAACAAATATTTATCTTTACAGGACCTTCTACGCGCGTTGCACAACCAACGCCTTTGCAGCTTCCTACCACACGCACAAGCGCATACATTTGACTAACCTCGATTGAAGCGTCGTAAACGGGGAAAGTTCTCATTTGTTCTTGTTTTGAAAAAACTTTTTTGAATCTCCTTGAGACCATAGTAAAGAGATCCATTTCATCTGCATGAGTGTTGATTTGATTGATGTCCTGCAAATAAAGAGTTAAACTCAAGTAAATGACGACGAAAATTGTTTATCTCTTTCACTCCATAGATCCCACTAGTAATTCTCCTCACTGTCCGTCATGCAATTCTTAAGAAGTTACGTAAAAGAATATTTATAACTGAATCAACTTACAATCCCCCAATTGATATTTATCTTTATTCTCATCACTAGTATGCTTGATATTGTATCGATACTGTATGGAGAAAGTATTTCTTGGTCACTCAAGGAAAAAAAGGTAAGAAAGTCTCATTAAGCCTAGCGAGTTCGATGGAAATACACCATTGTAATTTTGTTCTGTTTCCTATTATATGGCTATTGTGGTTGCAACTGTAATTGGTAAGTAAACGTATACGCAACAAAAACACTAAAATCTGCACAGGGCCAAGTGTTTTATTTCCTTACCATCTCAACAGCATAACAAGTCATAAAGAACTCCAACAGCGGCTTTATGGTGGTAAAAGTTGTCTCGTGTAGTGGCAACTTCAGGTTTATCTCGTCAGACGCCAACCCTCCGCCCGAGGCAGCCGCTGCTGCCGCAATGGAGGGATTCGTTCCTGACACCAGCTGATATGGGGTCAGACTAAGAGGAGGAGGTGGTGGAAGACTAGCATCGGGGGTGGGTTGGGGCCTCAGGACATGGAGATGGGCCGTAATCGACACCTGACTGAGAATCTTCTTCAGTTGGCCTCGTGCTTTGGAGGGCGGTCCCACAGAGGCCTTTCGTTCCTGTTCAAGAGGTTTTTCTTCTTTTTCAGCGACTTGAGGTAAAATAGTGTTCTTGTGTGTCAAAGGAAGCCACTCGACCGTCTGAGAAAAAAAATGTTTTTTGATTTTATATTATTGAGATTGTCTTACTTTCTCAATGTCAACCACCAGGTTTCTCGTGAAATGCCATACATTTCTTGAGATGTCCCATTTTTCATAAGATATGTCTCGTTTCTCGTTTCTCGTTTCTCGCAAGAGATCTCGTTTCCCGTTTTCCTCGAATGTCTCTTTTTTTCGTTTCCAACGAAATGCATGTCGTTTTTTCACTCGGTGACTTGTTTCTCGCATCTCGCTGGATACGAATTTTTTTTTTGCGAGATGTGCCCCGCCTCTCAAAGGACGTGTCTCCTCTCCAGCGACGTATTTCTTGTTTTTTGCAAGTATTAGGTATGTTCCTAGGAGATGCTTTTTACATCTCACGATGATCGGTCGCATTTTCGACAAGACGAGTTTTGTTCCTCAATAGATGTGTCTTCCAATAACAAGATACGTCGCAATCATACGAGATCTGTGCACCACGTTCTTAAGTGTTTTTCTCACGAGATGACCAACACTTTACTCAACAGGTTTTTTTTCTCGTTTTCCACTATTAGAGTCTCGCTCTCCTTCACCACATTACGAACATAACAGCTCTGATTTTACACACTACGCAATGATAAACCAATAAAAACTCCAAGGCAATCAATCAAAATAGACACTTTTATGCTTTCCTTCAGGCCTTCTCTAATTCCAAACAATGAGCTAAAGAGCAGGACGTTGAAACACCAAACCAAAGTAATCCCGGCGACCAATCAGACGAAAGGTGTACATCATCATCAGCCAATGAGAAATCAAAGTAAAAACAAGTACATTGCTTGAAGCGCGGGAAAACGCTTATGACCAGGTCATGATTGATTTTAATTTGTATCTAATTGGTTGGGAGGATAGCGCGAGATTTCTGGACCAATCACAGAAAAATGTGCAATCGCAAAACCAAAACAATCTCGGATTATTTCTGACACTCAGTTGAAAATTGCTCTACACTCGTAAAAACACACTCACCCTGATGAATGCATGAATATTCTTCACTGAATGCAACATACAGATAAACCATCGACTGTAAATCAGCAGATCATCCATGGTAACTACACTCATCGCCGAATCACCTCCCGCTAGAGTTACTTCACATGCCACGGCCAGCCTTCTTGCGCGCTGGAGACAATCTTGATATTCTTCCATGATATAACTAATAATATCAGAGGAGGTAAAGAAGGGTTAATCATGTTCCACTGCGCTTATTCACAAAGAGAGTCCTACCACAATTATGACATGTATCTTTACCGTGAAATATCTTCAATCCTGAGATACAGTATGATGGATATCGCCGAATAAAGTTCAAATTTAGTCGGATATAATAATAATAATAATAATAATAATAATAATAATTTATTTCTATAGCGCATTTTCCTAACGCCCAAATGCGCTTTACAGTGTCAAATTATCATAACCTATAATTAAATAAAAATTTAAAGTCTAAAAATATGCTTGTCGAAAAAGATAGGTCTTAAGCTTAGCTTTAAAAATAGAGACAGATGCGCTGCTTTTAATCTCAAATGGAACCAAATAGTTCTAGAGGTAAGGCGCACACACTGAGAAAGCCCTCAAGCCAGTCAATTTGAGCTTGTGTGTTGGTTGCTCCAGTGGAAGTTGGTCAGCAGACCTGAGAGCTCGACTAGGAATATAAGGAATGCTTGCCTAGGAACATAATATGTGACGTCAGTATGCATCATTTATCCACACTATTCTCTACACATTCCTGTGGCACTGCCAGTGAGACTTTGGTTAACAATCAAAAGAGTATAAGTTGGTGATCATTTCCTTAATTCTCCTGATCTCAATCTTTGGTTACAATGATAATGTCAGGAGAAATTAGATGCTGGTCACTCTTTAAAAAGTTTAGGGGTAAAAGGAGAAGTATACTCTAATTTTTATCTCAGCTATGGAAAAGTATATAAAACAAGTAACTTCATGTGCAATTTGAGACTCCAAAGAATATCTGTATTAACCAAACTTTTCTTCTAAATATGCTAAAAATTCAATGGTGGATGGCCCATTTTAAAACCACATAATACAAAACTGCAATTCACCCTTTCATTCCTGTGATTGACCAGCTTCTAATTTCCCCAAACAATATCTGTACCAACTCCAACATTACAGTCATGAGAATAAAGAAGATTATCACCAACTAAAGAAGCCCTTGAGTGTGTAATATATCCTCCTCGTCAGTATCATAGGAAATGTATAGAGAGAAATATGGATAATATGCATACTGATGTAATGGATGTAAAGAGTTCTTAATTGTCAGTGAGTAATAAGCGGGTCTGGCATTCTAACCTGAGCCTTTTCTGGTACACAGGAAACAGATTTTCTATGGCCTTTGTGTGCTCACAGAAACGGGCCCAGCGCAGCATGTGCATGTGTTTACACTGAACCAAGTGTTCTATTCTGTCCACGAAAAACTGTGAAAAAGAAAAACAAAAATTCAGTGGAGGTGTGGTGGCCTCATGGTTAGTGTGCTCAACTCTGGATCTGGTGGTCCAGGTTCAAGCCCTGGCCAGGGTCATTGTGTTGTGTTCTTAGGCAAGACACTTTACTCTCACAGTGCTTCTCTTCACCCAGGTGTACAAATGGGTATCAGCAAATGTGCTGGTGGTAACCCTGCGATGGACTCGCATCCCATCCAGGGGGGAGTGGCAATACTCCTAGCCGCTTCATGCTAAGAAAACTGGAGTTAAGCACTGGCCCCATGGGCCACTTGGGCCTGTATAAAGGCTTTACTAGTTCTTAAAATAGTATCAAATCAATTATGTTTAAATCACATGAAGTGATCAGTCATTCTGAGAACCACAAAGAAGTGTAATTAAGACTCTTTACTTTTAGCTGACCTGATGAAGCAAAAGTGGAATACTCTTTGCAGTATATTCTACTTGACAACAGCTGGTCATCTCCTCTTGCATCACATCTGATTGTATAATCAAAGGCTGAGCTTCGCGAACCTGTAGAGCAAAATCCACCAGGAAAGATTTAGTGTAGCTTGAACATGTTGTTCTCTATAGCAAAACAGTTGAATAAGCAGGAATAAGTCATCAAATAAACTGATTTACTGTCAAGCTTGAGATGTCACAAAACCAAGATGGCTGCTTTAGGAAAAAAAGTTCACTGACACCCATGGTTCCCACAGGCAAATCCACAGAAGGGCAGGAAAACAAGTTATATGCCAACAGGATAAACATAACTAGAATATACATTCCTTAAATCCTTCTTTAACACATGTATGTGGTGATTGAGAGTATGCATTGGTAAGTGAAGATTAACACAGCTATCTGTCAATTAGAACACTGACGTAATATTTAAGCTCGTAATTTTTTCATGTACATTATAACCAAAATTACAGTGGCGTACTAAAAGTCATACAAACAACAACAAACATACATAAATACAGTACCTGAAGACTTTTGTTAATGGCAAGCTTCCTTTCTCTTTTAAAGTGATCGACATCCTTAGGCAACGGAACAGATCTTTTAGAGAATAAAAAATTGAAAAAGGAAACACCTTGATCACTGGCAAGAGCAAATATTTATCACACACTCTCAAGTGAGGACAGAACAAAGCTGTCAGCAGTAATTTAATAATTTATCCTCATTGTCTGTGAATTATTTTTAGTCTTCAGATCTTTGGTAATAATAGTGTATAGTCAACTTTGATCAGTTGATACCGTGACATCGTCAGCATGGCAATCGAAACTGTCACCTTTTTTTGTATCGTCGATTACAAAAAACTAACCACAATCAGTAAAATACGACAGTAATTTTTAATCATTTTCATTCAAACTTCGCGACTTGATCTTGAGCATAAACTGATGTCGAATGGAAAAATACAAACACAGATAGATGACAAACAGATAAGATAACGATTTTTTCACCACAAAGGTTTAAAAAGACTGAACTGATAACAAGGCTCACCCGAATGCCTTTGGCGCTGCAGACGAGCTCAGGAAATTTCCCTCTTCGACCTCATTTTGTAATTCCTTCAGCTCTTTCTTTAGATCTTCTTCCAGAGATTTGACTTTTTCAGAAGACGATACTTCATAAATTCCTTCCATATTCTTGTGATCTACGCAAAAGTTGCGATCGCGATAATAAATTCTAGAAGTCAATTAGAACACCATTCCGATCTAGGACTGTTAGTACTTTTGTTTTGGGCGCCATATTTCACCTGGTAACCAAGTCCACCAACGAAAGCCTCGTTTTCATAGTTCATAATCCACCGGATGTGAAGTTGCAGGCAGCTTCCGGAAGCTACAGTTTATTCAGTTCCAGACTACCAGAAATCCACGCCGACCAGCTTCAGATGAAACAAGATGGCGCATTCTACTGAAACGTAAACTAGGAAAATTAGAGGTACGTTTTAACAAAAATGGTTAAATTTGCTGTCAATTGAATATCAATTTTTACCAAAATATCCTTACATTGCATTTATCAATCTTCCCTGGTGAAAAGATTTCTACTAGAGAAGCAGAGGTGAAACCATGCTAGTTTTAGCGAGCGAATTCGCAACGTAGTTATTGGGGTCGCTGGTTCGAGACCTGCTGGGACTGAACATGACGGCGCAATTCTTTGTTTTAAATTCTCTTTTTTATTTTATTTCCAGTTAAATCGATATGTTTCAGAAAGCCAGGGCTACATTTGTTTAAAATTTTAATCAACAGGAGTCTGCAATGTATGAAAATAATGTGCTGAATCGTGTCGTGTCAGTTTGCCTTGTTAAACTTAAATAGGATGTTACTCAGACTATCATTGTTATTTACAGAAATTTAAAATTAAGTGTTGGAAGTACATGCAATTGCTTGAGCTTTGCTTTACTTTGTTCTGTGATTGGTTCAGAAAATGTATGCAACCTTCTTAATTAAGCAGATTCGATACTTAAACCAATCACAACTTGGTTAGATATGCTCTAGGTGGTTTGCTTGGTTTACTTTGAGCTCCAATTGACTCCAAGTTTAATAATTAAAAAGCATTTGTAATTCAGCTCATTAATTCATAATTTGCCACATCTTTTATAGATTGAGTAATTACTGCCATGTCACTCCTAAAAGACACAGATGACTTACCTTTCAAACTAAACTTGGATGAACTAAAAGAGGAACTGTCAAAAAATGGGCTGGTACTATGTCCTGTTAAAGGTTGTGATCAAGACTTCAAGTCTCTCTGGGGCCTCAAATACCATGTTAGACGAGCCAACCACCAAGAGGTCTCATCAGAGAGGAAGTTTAAGTGTGAGCAGTGTAATCAAACGTTTCAGTCTCGAATTGCTTTACGTGAACACAGAACATTGGATCATTCAGGGAGTGAGAGTAGAAGTCCACTAGCAAGTCCAGGGTGAGCTATGTTATGTTAAATTAGTTAAGGTGATAAAACCACAGGGCATGCATACTATGTTATAGCCTTCAGAGCAGGCCTAATTAACTGAAAATTATGGCTGCCAATTCTTTGATGTTAATGGCAGTGGAAGGCTGGGAAGAGAAAGAAATTTATACTAAGGGGGTGAGTGACAGTAAAAAATAAGGAGAGGGGTGGGGGTGATCAAGGAAATATTATGCTGTCTTTTGGCCACTCCACACCCCCTCCCCCACTGTCCACTCTAGCTCCAAATCAAACATGGCAGGTTAAATAAATGATTGTGCACTTAACTGGTCCTAAGAAGATGCCTGATATTTGAATATCTGAAATAAAATGTCACTTAATAAATGTCACTTTATTTGACTATCAAGCTAAGCTCCAAACTCCAAACCCTTCCTCCTGTATCTTGAAATTATTTCCAGTTATTTGAGAGTTTGTCGCAGCAATTGTAATACATTACCACATTCGAAATAAGCTGTGGGATTTAGCTTTTCAAATAAATATTTTCTGCTAGAAACCCACAATGATAGAAATTTCCTAGACTATTGGACCAGGCATAAATTGTCTACTATTAATAAGGATCAATCTTTACTTTATAGAATTTTCAATGAAATGGAGGGAAATGCTACATCATCAAAAGGAACTGTAAAGAGGAAACGAGGTAGGCCAAAGAAAAATACAGATACATCAGCCAAGAACAATAACAGTGTAACTTTTGATTCGACGGAGATGAACAAGGATACCAGTGAAACATTATCTCCATCAGTTGAATTACTCAAGAAAGGAGAAAATTCTGATGGCACTGGAAGAAGAACTTCTACAAGAGTACGGACCCCTCGAAAAAACACTTTTGTTTATGAGGAGGAAGATACAACTAAAAATAAAAGGGGGAACAAACGAAGGAAAGAGGACAGTGAAGCTGGTGTTTCAGATAATACCCCTAAAAAGAGAGGAAGAAAACCAAAAAGTTCATTAGTGGAAAGTCGTAATGTTATTGAGGGACCTTGTAAAAAACATGGAAGGAAGCGCAAAGGTGACACTGCCAGTTATGAATCTGATGTTGTTAATGTTGGCAATGAAAAAGTGAGAGGAATTGGTAATGATAAAGTGGACAGAGGTACCAATATTGTTGGTGATGGAGAGGATAATGTTCATGAAGGTGATGTTGCCAATGAAGTTGACATTGTAATTGAGGATGGTGACGGTATTGATGATGACAATGTTGATGATGAGAATGATGATGGTGATGATGATGACAGTGCTGGCCAGGAAAGTGATGATGATGATGCTGAGGATAGTGATAATGATGATGATGATGATTTTGAAAATGATGAAGAAAGTACTAAGAAAAAAGCTAAAGACACCAAAAAAGCAGGTATAGTGAATTTACGAGGATAATGATGATAAGAGATAAACTTTGTTCATTTGTCTCATGATAAAGTCTTTTTTGATGTTGATCGCAACATTTCAACCACAATACTGCCAGTCTTCATCAGGGGATGAGGTCAATTATTTACGTGTTGCTATTTGTAGCACGCTGGTACACTGCTATTGGCGCATTTCAATCCTCATTATTATTTCAGTTGCTAGATGATGTTCCCTCATAGGTCTTTATAGATTAGCTGTTGTGTTGTTTGATTGTGATCAGTTTTGGAAAGTAAAGCTGGTATCAGTGGTCACACTGTAAGAGTCCTTCTTAAATGTCTAGGTACTGTTCTTATTCATGATAGTCACTTTCTTTCATATCATTATTTAATGGAAAAGAAGCTACCAAGCCAGCAAAGAAGGGCAGATTATCAAAGGTTTGTTAAACATTGAGGTTTAAAAATTAGTTGTAGTGTACTAAGTGTATCTGAGTCAGGTGGAATCCTTTTGAGAAAAGTTGCTGCATTATGATGAATTTATTTAGGAACAGTAAGTCGTGTTTACAAAAGAGCAGTGTGATATTAACCTTCAATTTCCCAACTATGGTTTCGATAAATTTTTTTACATAGAATTGCATCATTATACTGCTCCAAAACCTTTTTGTTTAAAACAACTTACTAAATGTGCTTTTGTTTTTTGTTATTCTGAGAAACTACTAAGTACAAGAACTAGTTATTTCATTTTGTGTTACACAAACTTCCCACGTTTAAACCTTAAAGATTCTGCTGGCTGAATTGTACATGCCACTCAAAACCGCCTTACGCAAGAGCATTTTTGGGACTGTAAAGATTGAACAGCATCATAAAGGGTATCACATATATTTTCATGCTGTTATCTAGATCATTGTTAAATGATGATCATACATTGATACCTTTTGCTTTTAATTTTTTTCCAACAGAAGGAAGTGACTGAGGTAATGTTTCCTATTAGAAACACATCATGATGCAGAATCATGTGAATAGATGCCAGTAGTTTACAAGGCAATAAATAATGGTCCTATAATAATTAATATAGGAAAGCAAACTATTGATGGATGTAATTTTGAATGAAATCCTACCTACTGCATATTGCTCCTCAGAGATACATGATTTTATTAACTTCACAATTTTCAACTTGCAAATAAGAAGCACTATTAATAATAAATGTAAATGTTTAACCCTTTAATTCCTGTGAGTGACCAAGACAGAATTTCTCCTTACAATATCAATACAATATCAAACAGACAAATGATGAGAATAAAGAAAATTATTAATTATGGGATTACTTATTGATCTGATACCAAATTCTCCAAACTAACATAATGAGAATCACTTGGGAGACAGTAAGGAGAACTAGTAAGGAGATCTTGGGAGTTAAAGGCTTAATTCTCTATGATCTTCATCATGGGGGTGTTTAATTTCAGTGACTGAATGGTTTTTCCTGGAAATGACCTTCATTTTATTTGTTTTTGTTGTTGATGTAAGTTGTTTTTTTTTCTTCATAGACGAGTTTGTTTGATATTCAATGAAACTCCTAGTTAAATGAAACACACTCATATGATTAAGTTAAATTGCATGGAAAACTTAAACATCAAATTTTGTAACATTTCACCATCACCCATGCCTTTACTAACTGTAGTATGAACAGCCTAGAATATTTACATCTTTCATTTCAGTCTACAAGGCTGAAAAGACTCGTGAAGTCAGGACAGTCTTTAGCGTGCCCAAACCAGGGGTGTAGAGCGAAGTTCACGACTGCCCTTGGATACCAAAGCCACGTGAAAATATGTGGGATAAAAGAGGAGGAGAGAGAGAAGTTTCCTTGTGAGATTTGTGGAAAACAATACATGTCCTATCCAGGACTTACATATCATATGAAGGCTAAACACACCCAGGTAACTTTTTGTGCTGTGCCAATTTAATTAATGCAAGATACTTGATGCAGATGATGTTATTTTGTGTATGCTGTCTTCATGTATCTTTATCTCCTGTAATTGATGTATTTTTTCTTCTACCTAGAGTGAACCCATCAACAGTGATCATTCTGAGGTTAAGGATGAGGTACAGCAAGATTAAATTGTTTTTTCTTATTTCCAGTTACTATGGAAACATTTTTTTTTACGCTTCCAACTTAGAGCCCTGTACCATCGATATCCAAACTTTTTATTTCTACCTAGATGCCCTTTAGGATTCTTTTGTACTAACTTTCAAAATGTTAGATTTTTGAGCACTTCCATTTTTAAAACTTATGGCCATGTTGCTCAAAGGATGTGTGCGGTTTGGGGTCCGATGACCAACAAAACAATAGGATTGACTCTAAACACAACTTTAATCAAAGCATGCTTCTTATTACAACATGGCCAGTTCATTCTCATGTCCCTGATATGCCGCTTATATAATGTAAGTCCTAATGGGATACATAGAACACTACAGGATGGATAACACTTTTGACTGGATAAATTTCTATCTGGTAGATAGTGCATTATTCACTGGATAATGATTTATCCTCTGGATGGCTTGATCCACTCTTTGATCATCTGACCCTGATGTTCATCCTTGTACTCTGATATTAAAGTGTTCTGGAACTCAGACACTTTTTGTAAAGCTCAACAAAATGTCAGTTGAAGCCTGAGATAGAGGACTTTTGATGTTGATTAGCCTTTTGCTTTCTTAGGAAGAGGAGCCTGAAATTCTACCAAGTGGAAGAAGAAGAAGAAAGGCAGCTTCAAGGTAAAGTGGAACGCTGCAGGAATGCAACACAGTATTCTTGTTGGCGTCTTAATCTTGAATCCCACTCTTTGATGCCTGCTCTCTTGCTTAATTTTCATGGGGCTACAATTTAGGTCTGATTAAAACCAAGTCAGTGCAGTGCTTTAACCCAGGGAGGTTTTCAGGGGCATTGCTACATGTTTTTGCTTGAATTTCCTGCCGCTTTTCTCTCTATTTTCTGTCCTTTCCCCTTCCACTTTTGGGTGAAAATTTATTCCACATACCAATTTGTAGGTGTTGTGTGACAGGTGTCTTGAAGTGGCCTGCTGTGCAGTTGCCATGGTGACTTCCTTGTTCCTGAGGAGTATTGCTGCCCTCCCCTCCTTTGTGGTTACCATACCCACCCTCCACTGTTATTGAAGAAGTGTTAACATGTGTTTGAGTGAAACAATTTCCAACAAATTGACAACCTACTTATAAGCTCTTGTTAGTGCTTGGGCCATAAGTGGAAAAGCAATGAGAGACAAGTTGTCAAGTGACCAGCTTTTTTCTTGTGATTTTTGCCCCCATGCCCACCAATACTCAGAGGACCTGCTCCTGGGTTAATGCATTTAAGGGGAAAGAACCTGAATTTTAAGTGTACATGGCGCCTTAACTACTTACATGGGAATTAAGGACAGTTTTTTGGGTCATGCAGCTGTAGTTATGCTACCAGAAAGCAAAATCCTAGGCCGACAGACCATAGATGCAAGCCTCGCCTTCTAGAATTCAGCCAATTTAATCTGTTTCATCATTTTTTTTTAATTATTATTATTATTATTATTATTATTATTATTATTATTATTATATCGCTAAAGGGCCATATCAAAGGTACAGCAAATAACAACAGACCAAGAACTTGAAGAAATCAATCTGGCCAAAAAGACAGAAAAGAGAGCCCTTGGCCAGCTGATATCCAAAATTAAAGGAAGAGTTGTTTCAAAGGAGCAAGAGGACAAATGGAATGAGATGCTGAAGACAGAGTCAGATATAGTTTGTCCTGGCGTGGTGAGTTTTTATACTGCATGACAGTCAAGTGTTGTGTGTCATGTTTTGTGGGTAAGACACAGGAGGGGAGAGTATCAGACATAAAAAATTATGCACTCTTTCGGGTGTTGCACTGGAGTTTCAGTAATTAGGCTGGTTGCTAGTCTACCGCTACCTGTGAAACCTCTTACTGCTGTCTGTTTATCCTGCATGTAAAGGCTGTCATGTTTGGGTTGTGCCAGCATTGCAGCCTTTTTTTTTTCGGGCACAGCCGCGTATGGAAAAAGTTATTCAAACTCCTGGTTTTACATATATTTTGTTTTCATTCTCGACTTTCTTCAGGGGTGTTCAGAAACATTTAAGGAAGTGTCAAGCCTCAAAGAGCATCTGCAATCCTGTGCGAAAGCGATCTCTTACAAGTGTCTGGCATGTGGCAAGAAGTATCTATCCTTACTAATCATCCAGAAGCACATCAAGCATCTTCATGTTGGATATATGGTAAATATTATTTTTTAATCAAAGAACAGTGTCATTAATTAAGGCAAAATGATGGCTGTTCTTGATAACATCCATTGCTGCCGGGGTTTCATTAACAGGCGGCAACCAGTGGTTTACCCCCACCTCTAAGCCTCGTGTAGCCTACTTCATTTCGACGTGATCAGTTACCTCATCGCGTGTCCATTTGTGCTGTAATGGATTAACCCTTCATAACCTAATATCAGTATGCATATTCTCCATACTGTTCTCTATATATTTCCCAAGTTACTATTAGGGACAATTTCTTTAACAATCAACAGTTTTTTAATTGGTGATAATTTCCTTTATTCTCGTGACCTTTAAGTGTGATTTTGCGAAGATATTGTAAGGAGAAATTAGATGCTGGTCACTGTGAGGAGTCAAAGGGTCAGAGAGGCTATCAGAATAGCCAGCTCTTACATGTGATTTACTTTTTGTAAATTAACAGCCAAAGGGAATGGAGAAGTCCGACAGCAGTGATGTGGATTTTCAAGCTGCCAGTTCAGGAGAGAGTGAAGATGACAGTGACGATGTAGAGATTGAAGAGATCGACGACAGTGGTAGCGAACTAAATGACCACCTGGAGGATGCAGAAGAAATTGTTGTCTGGGATGACACGAGAGCAAAGTTCAAGAAACCAAGAAAAAAGAGACAACCGCCTAGCAGAACGTCTGGCGAAGATGTGAGATTTGGACCTATTGGGGCAAAGGACTCGGAGAGTTACACAACAACAGAAAGCTGGTAAAACAGTAAAGTCTTGGTGGTAATGAAAAGCATATGCGCAAGACAGAACCTTTGAAATTTTGGTGCGCTTAAAAGATGAAACGCCCGAGTTGATATCGATTATTTTGCTATGGCTTTTGCGGCCCCTGCATCCTTTATTGCCCATCAATTGCACAAAAAATTCCCGTACGACGACCCTCACTTTTGAAACGAGACTGATAAGTGCAAAACCTCTGACCAATTAATTTCATAGCAAACGGTTTAAACCTACCATTGTCAAAACAGAGATTGTGTGCAACTCGGAAATAGCTTTTTGATGTTGCCTTTTTTTGTTTGTTAAAGAACTCATTTTGTACCTCAGGGTCTCTTAATTTGATTGTGTGTTACTACTGTTGTAATCTTTAGGCGCAAGCAAGAGTATACACATAAGGACCTGTTCCCAAACTTGAGACCCTCCTCCTCATACTGGTGTAAAGTTGAGCTCAGGTAAATCGTTGTCATGGTTTAATTGCGTTTGGTATTCCATTTTCGAATTTTCCAATGTGTAATGGATGAAGTGTCCGTATAGTGCGTGTATCTCAGTCCAGATAAGGCCTAATAAAAGTTCTGCCAATGATCATTGTAAAAAAGTTTACCCTTAATAGGATATGTTTGGGATTCTAAAGCCCTCTCTAAAAATGTGTTTGTGGCTGTGATCACATGACTGTAAAAGGTCCTTTGGATTTTGTACGTTCTGGAAACCTGCTACACCATTAGGTACTTGGCAAATACAACATCTAAGTATAAAGATACACTTGATAGTGATTATCCTTCTTCTAAAATATTCTGCAATGATAACTTCAAATACTTTCTTAATTCACCCAGTCACAACTAATTTTTCCAAGATACACGAACCACAGTTTTTAGATTTTGTGTATCAGTACTTATATTTATACTTAGATATTTCAGATAAAGAGCCATCTAATCGAAAAGCTAAAATAAAGTCATTTTTGCTATTATCATTATTATTTTATTATATATTGTATCATATTTTGATGAGAAACGCATGAAGACCAATTATCCGAGTTATTCACCATTTTGGATGTGTTTATTTAATTCGATTTTTCTCTTCTTTTAATAGTGAAGTCGACCAGTATTTACCTGAAGCAACCACCTCACCACCGTTTCAAATAAGAAGAAAAGGAGACAGTCAGAGCTCGGAGGAGAGCATAGAACTTCCATTGTTTGAGAGCACATCTAAAGATCATAGTAAGATATGCAACGGAGCCTCGTTCAATTAAATTTTGAAGATAATGTGTATTAGGGTACTAAGGTAGACGAGTCTAGTCACTCGAGCTGAAGGAAATACTAAAAGATGTAAATTCTACATTACTCTGTCCTGGTCAAAAAAAAAAAAAAAAAAAAATGAACGATGTGAGGGCTTTGCCGTTCACAACAGACCTTTCGAGCATCAAACCGTCAATAGCGGCGCATATTTCGCAAATTTAGGCTGATGCCTTGATCTTGGTTGAAAATAAAATTGTCAGGGAATCAACATTTAGTTTCTTCTTCAAGAGGTGAGCATCATAGCGTTGAAATGAAAGAAAGAACACACTTTCAAGTCTAATAGCAAAAATTATAACCTAAAATAATAACAAATAGAAATGCTATGAAAGACGACATAACTTATACCGCTGTATTTCATGCCGATAATTTGTGCTTTGTACTTTGCTGGCAATCAATAAAGTTACTTCTTGTTAGGTTCTCTCCATGGTGACGTTACCTTCAATGTTGGTGGACCAGTCTGGGCAATGGATTGGTGCCCAGTACCAGGTAACTCATCTAGTTTGTGTCCCTTTCAGACCTGTGTTATTTGGAGTTTGATGCAGTTATCCAGATGGGGTACAGAAGATTAACCATAAAATAAACCATTATTTACCTTGCTTTGTTTTGTGATATGTATTTTAGACTCAACCAAGAATTCAGATCAGTATTTGGCAATTAGCACTCATAGATCATTCGATGAGGTGAGTCGACACAACGTCTGATAATCTGAAGTATGATTCAAAAGGGAAATCAAAGTGCTATGGTTTTTAGAAAGCAAAGTAACAACAAAGATACTAAGAACGAATCAACCAACTTGGTACATGAATAAAGGGGGTTAGTTTCTAAAAAAATTGTGGTGTTGAGTCGGTGGGGGAGTATAACAGGGTAATTTGGTAGTACCAACTGAGTTGATAACGTAAATTGGCTACCGTTAAGTGTTTCAAAGCTGACGTTTGGAACGTGAGCCTTTCTTCAGAGCGAAAGACGAAGGGCTAACGCTCGAAACGTCAGCTTTGAAACTTTTAACAGTGGCCAATTTACATTAGCAACTCAGTGGATTCAACCAATCAACAAACTTGGTAGCCGATTAAGAAGACACACAGAGATCATCAATCCATTGTTCCTTTCTCTCCAGATGGAGAGTAATGCTACTATAGCACAAAAAAGGGCATAGAATGTCTCTGTTTTGTTCTCGCTGGGCGACATTTAAGACCATTTGTGTTGTTCAAGAATAGGATGGGAAACTCGCTCAAAGATTAGTTAGCACAGAAGAATACCCATAGTAACCTCTCGGTGAACTCAAAAGCAGTTGGAGTATATTACAATGAAACACTTTGACCTATTTGATACGGTGTTCTTGTATGATATATTAATTGAAAACAATGACTTTCTTTCAAATATTTGCCCCATATCTAAGGCGTCGCATCATTTCATCCTAGGTTCACAATGTTCATAAATGTTTTTCAAGAAAAGGACTTATACAACTGTGGAATGTTGGTCAGTTAAAAGTGAACTCAGCTAGGTAAGAGTTAATGATAGTTTTTTTGCTAGAGTTTTTTGCAAACGCGCGTATTTATACTTAACGTTTTTTGTTGTTGCTGAATTCTTCATTTTTAAAAAAATCTTACAACAAAGAAGATTTTTAGTGTGAGATATATTCAGTGCGCCTCTCGTTTGTGTGATAATAGTGATTTCTTTGCGGTCATACTTAACTAGTTACTTTGCAAAACTCCATGTAAAATCGGTCGCACTCGCCTCCTCTGACTTTAACTGTTGGTGACATTTATGGTTATTTTATTTGTTTATTTACTTACCCAACCAGATATCTTTAAGTTGTATTAAACAACGTTTTATTTCAATTCCTTTCAACTGTAAGTTGTGATTTTTATTCTAAAGGATCCCTTTATTACCAACAAAAGGGGCTTGCAGAATCAGTGCTCGACAAGTAACGTAAGCCCTTTTCCTTTTCACAATTTAGCTGGAAAGCTCTTCTCTCTTTCAGTTCAGGGTCGAAACCAACCTTGTCACTCGGCATAGCGCACGATTTTGGTGCCATATGGGACATCAGCTGGTGTCCGTCTGGAACATGGGAACCTTCCTTATCTGATGAAAACCAAGTAAGTACACTATGCCCCCTTAAAATAAACATTTCCCATGGTGAGAGAGGCGGATGGACGTGATTGCTTACTAGTCAAAACTGATGAAATCCATAAAAATCCCTCCTGTTGTTTGATCTCGAAGTCAGACTGGGAGCTAGATTCAAAGATGTTGTTTGCCTTTTCCTCCATTTGTATCTTGAGACGCACTTTGCTGAAGTTGAAATTTGGTAGGAAATTATTTTTGAATCCCGATTGGCGACATTGGGAATGACAGAGAGCCATTTACTCGTTGCCTTTATTTCACTTTGAAATTTCTCACAAAAAATTCTCTTCACTTTGATCAAGTTACAGGGAGCCAACATCCAAAACTCGCCTTGGTAGGAGTTTAAGAAGACCACGACGGCAACCCGTCATCTAAACAAATAATGAACTCAATAGTTTTTATCTTGATCACGTTTACATGACAAGGTGGAATAACCCTTTGCGTTGCCCAGGCGGATTGCGCACTGGTTCTATAGGAGATAGGCGAGAACCAGACTTAATGACTTTAGAGTGGCGTTCATGTTTTATTAGGGACCTTTAGCAGTCAGGACGGCAACGCTAATAACGCTCCAAAGACGTTAGGGCCTTCGATTAAAAATGAATTTCTGCCTTTAATCTCTTTTTAGAATTTCAAAAATGGCTGCATGTGTTTATCGTCTCATACGGCGCCACACCTCAACTTCGATTAAAAATGAACTGCCTTTAATTAAAAAAAGTGTTCAGCCACACCTCAAAAGGAAATTAAAATAATTTGCCGTCGCGGTTTCGGTTCGCAGACGACGCAAATTGTGGTGATTTCACGTCGTTGTTTTGCATGGGACGGCTAAGAAATGTACAAAGTTTTAAAACGCACGTGCTGAGCTATTATTCTGCCAATTAGATCTTTTGTTTTTCCATGTTCTCGTTGTCGTCGCTGTCGTGGTTTGCATAAGGTCCCCATTTACAAGCGCGCCAACAACCTCGCCCCGGGATCCTGGGGTTGTGAAATTGTATGTAAACGCGGGCTTTTTCTCGACCACGGCTAGAAAAGTTACCTAACCTACTTGGGATCTCCCACCTTCTAGTAAACAGGCTCTTAGAAACTCTTTAGGGAGAAGAAAATTTACCATCATCATCTCAGTTGTTAAAACCAAATTACCTTGTAGTTCCCCCCTCCAACGTAGCACCAATCAGATATTTGATTCCATTACTATGTCATCTTTGCTAGACAGAGTGTCTTCCTCGTCTTGGTGTTATGGTTGTAGCATGTAGCGATGGCTTGCTTCGGATTCTGAGGTAATTTAAGAAACCTTTTTGCTGTAAAGTTATGATTCACAGCATCTCTAGGCACACACTGTGATACACAGCGTTTTTTTGGTGATTGGGATGATATTTTTGACTAGAAAATTGATTGGATTAAATTGTCGAAAGACATGATAAACTATTTAGTTTTAATGGAGAAGAGCTCACTTTGATATTAGTCAATAACCGACAAAATTCCAGTCAAACACCTCAATATTCCGAACAGTGAATATTTTGTTAACTGTCGGGCCACCTTTCGCCATCCATTTGTTTCCTTGTTCTGAAAAACTTCATGATTGAAAAAGGCTACCGAGACGTAATCTGGCAATGTTTTAAGAAGGCATGTCTTAGAGTTTTGCGAAATTGAACTGAAAAATACAGCAAAAAAGAATCCCTGTAGTTATCTGTAAATAGTAGTCGAGTGGCGTAGATACGACTTACAACAACTTAAATCAGATGCAGTACAACATTACCGGAGAAAAAAGGATCAAAGGTGGGTAATAGTTTTAAATTAGAGGCCAACTTTGCTTCGTCTTTGTTCAACTCAACTGACGCTGTTTGTTTCGCAGCATTCCTTGGCCATCTGAGTTGGAATCTACCCAAGAGGTGAAGGACTCAAAGAACAATTTTAAGACAGGTGTGGTTTTTAACATGATTTTAGACAGTTTTTTTTTCATGGATTAAAAAATTAATTTTAAAAGAACGTCCTTATTTAGCGGAAGTGGCGAATTGCGTTTTTAAGGTGATTATCCAAAACAGCATGTAGCCTCGCACATTCTTTTGGTTTTTGTTGAAAACCGCCGGTCTGGTCGCGCCATGGGTATTTCGGCTTGGCCAAACTGGGACTTATATGATGATATGCTGGATGTTATACCGTTCGAAAAGGTATAACAAAGTGCAAGAACTGATCGGGAACAAGTGCTGATTTTGGGTAAAATTCTATAGTTGTTTCATACTCTGTATTATCGGCCAGTTCTGTTTCAGATAACCACAGAGACGCAAACAGATTTTTAATGAATCTTCCTTTTCATCATTATCAGTGATGTTTCGTCCCATTCCCCATGCTAAGTTGATTCCATGTTCCTTGGGCGTGGCTTACAGAGGAGAGAGTGGTCAAGCTTGGTGTGCAAAGTGGTTCCCCTGTGCCATGCACGAGAAGATAGCGGCTGGATTTTCTGATGGTGAGAACTGTTCAGCACGAAAAATCAATAGATTTTGCTAAGTTTCCTCCACAGCACCGACACCTGTTGCTATATAATTTGACATGGTGATTTGGCTATGCCGTTGTAATTTCTAAAAAGCGCCTGTGGAGTAAAAGATCAATTTTTGTGAATGGTATCGGTGTTACAACTCAGGCTTAACATTTGTCCTTAATCGTTACTATTGACTTCGTAAGCTGGATATTCCTAGAGTGATAGAGTTGATAGAATGTACAATAAAAATCGACCTCAGTGTCTTGTTTTTTTAGGGGGTAGGGGCAGCAATTTTCCTTGAAAGAACCCTTTTCGGGTTTATTGCATGCTAATGTTGACACGTCTTTCAGGATCGGTGGCAATATGGAATCTCACGACAGAATCGCCATTGCTAAAGGAAACCGAGAATGAAGGAAAAACATTTCGTGAGTATACACGTACTCATTCCCATTGACTTTCGATAGCTTCCAGACTTAACCTTTACTGTAGGGCAGTGGTGATGACTGAACGTCTTGGAAAGAAATTTGTATAATGACTTAATGAACACAGACTTAATTTAGGCCTACGAATGAATGAGACATCCTTTACAATTTTTGAGACATGGTATAAACTTTTGTCCTATTTGTACCAGAAACTCAGAAAATTAATTAACCACCGCAGAGGTTATATTCTAAAGCTCTCCCTTCCTATTTTTAGTAGAAATTCACTGCCTTTTCAAATAGGTGGCATCATCGAAGGATAAATGATTTGCCAAAGTCTCCAATCTCAATATTTCATAAAGAGATACCAATGGGTGGCTTCTTGTGTAATTCTCTGGAGATGGAAGTTTGTTTGTCTTTTTACTGCATAGTTCGCTGATTTTATATTTTTAATGTCATCTTTTGCAGGTCTGGCTCCTTTTCTTCATATTCTAGCGAACTCATCAGTGATCAAAGATCTGGCTTGGTGCCGAGAATGTCCTGACTACCTTGTGACAGGTAAACCATAAACTTTGTGATCACAGGTATACCAACTATGCTGCAATGCTGACATCATTGGCAGTAAGATGAGAAAAGATTAGCGCAGGAGTTAGTGGGTGTTAGGGAGGGGGGGTGGGGGGAAGGGAAGTTTCCTTGATACCACAACGCATTTCATGTCACATTTTTCACCGTTTGATCTTTTTGATATCGTGAGTTGTATCAGTTGCCCCTTTTCACCCTGGCGTCAGTATACATTTTCCTCATACTGTTCTCCATACATTTCCTAAGGTGCTGACAAGGAGAATTTGTCTAACAATCAAGAGCTTCTTTTGTGGGTGATCATTTCCTTTATTCTCATGACCTTTATGTTTGATTCGGGGGATGATATTGTAAGGAGAAATTAGATGCCAGTCACCCTTGAGGTCAAAGGGTTAACTATATGTCTTTGTGTCTGATTTCCAGGGAGTTATGATCGATTGTATAAAGTGTGGGATCTTAAGTCTCCCTTGATGCCAGTAGCTGTCATAAAACGAGGTACTCGTTTGAATCAACTTCGCTTCATATTATTGTTTACATGAAAGAGAAAGTAACTGTTACGAATTACATGACCGGTGAATTATGCCCATTTAAGAGGGGTGGTCACTCGGCTGCTTAATGAACACTTTTATTTATGTGAAAGATGATCTTATATAGTGAATGACACAAAAGGAGCAAATTCTATGACCCAATGATACTTTCACTTTTCAACTACTGCTGAGTAATCTGGGATGGCTGCGGAAAAACAAATCGAGACTTCCTGAACAAATTGCAACTTCGAACAGCTCGTATCATCGAAGGACGTAAAGTAAAAAGTGCAGGCGGTACTTTCAGCTGGCCCTCCTTAGAAAATCACACGAAATATCACACTTGCCTCCAAGCGTTTAAATGCCTACACGGTCTCACGCTCGCCTATCCCTTGAATGGATCTAGTTTTTCCACCAAATATTATGCCTTCAATACCAGATATAGAGACCTTTTGCAATTACCCCTGCTAAAACATCGAAATATTAAGGTTCCTTTAGTTACAAAGGTGTAAATGCGTGGAATACTCTGACTTATAAACTACGAAACATGACTTAACTGCCGGCCTAATTTTAAGAAACTTCTCAAACTTCATTTATGTAATTGATGCGATGTACTATGAAATGTAATGTATGCTTTTTATCTTAAGTGTAAATTGTAATTTGTTGTGGGCTCCTCTTGTGTTTTATATTTCTAAGTCCATTTTTTTTTACGTAATATCTCCTAAGCAGGCCTCTATTCAAACCTGCTTGAAGCTGAACTGGGCAAGCCTGCATAAATATCACTAATAAATAAATAAATAAATAAATAAATAAATAAATAAATAAATAAAAGGAACTCTTAGTGCTCTCAATGGAAGTGGAACTTGCGACTTTCCGATTAGTACTTTCTACCACTGAACTATGAGGGCCGGTCATTTACACAAGGTCTAACCCAAACCGTGGTTTTACGTAAGCAGTGGGCCTCGGTGATTCAGTGCTAGACCCCTTGCAGACCTCTTTCGACTTGCGTTTCTCAAGGAACCCTACCCATCTGCGGGCAAAGAAACACTCGTACAGAAGCGCTTACAATGAGAAGTGCTTGTAGGCTAACTTGGTTTCTACGATGAGGTCCAAAATTAGCATTGTAGCAAAATTGAGTTTTTAGAGCGATATTTAAATCTTTTTTTTTTTTTTTTGCCTCACAACTTACAGGTGTACCGCATGAGATTCATTGGCCGTACGGTTTTGCTAATATTATGAGCTGTGAAGACGATGCATTTCAGAATCTGACGTACCCGTGCGTTGCAAGATACTTCACATTCCAAACCAACAAAGATGAGAGATTGACCAATCTAGCGTCCACTCATAACTGCACAATCTGGGTATGTACATTGTCTTAGAAATTCTCGATATACAATCATCCTTTTCACCGACTGCCTTCCTAATGAGCTCACTAAAAAGATCCCGCTACTGCGCTTCCCAATCTTGGTCTTCTTGGCAAGCTCTTTCGAGTGTGACCTTTGCGGCCTTCATTACATAGATTAGGACAGTCATTGCGCGATTGGCCTTGGGAAGCACTTTTTTCCCCTCCCTCTCCCTGATGAATGTGACTGCATCACCCAGTCTCCCTGCGTACTTTTTCCTTATACTTTTACGGATTCGTGCCGTAAGTTAGCCTACCGTGGCGATTAATCATTTAACCCTTTAACCCCTAAGAGTGACTAGCATCTAATTTCTCCCTATAATATCACTCCTGAATCACATATTAAGGTCATGAGAATAAAGGAAATGGTCACCAGGGAGGGAACCTTTTGATTAGCAAACAAATTCTCCTTGACAGCACCTTTGGAAATCTATAAAGAACAGTGTGGAGAATGTGCATACTGATGTTAGGGTGTAAAGGGTTAAAGACTAATTTTCAAATAAGTGTCGAAGGTAAACCGGGATTGCTTTGTTGTTTTTGTTTTTTTTTTTTTTATTACTTAGCTCTGTCATTGGTCCAGAAAACTCGTGCTGCAAAACTTAAACCAATCACGACGTGGTCGCTCGCCTTTTCCCGCGCTTTAGGCATTTGGGTGGTTTTTCTTTTCTTTGAAATCTTATTGGCTTTTGATGGTACTTTTCTTTCCTCTGATTGGCCGTTAATTTCGGGTTTTGTTTTCACGACACTCAATCAAAAAGCGCCCTTATACAGGAAATTAGTCATATTTGGCCTGAGGATAACAGGTAATGAGCTTTTTTTTACGCTCCAACAGAGTATATCGATGTCTGAGTGGTCAAACATCTTGGCCTGTGGCGATGCTGCCGGCGAGGTTGTAGCTGTCCATGTCTTACCGAAGAAACGGAAAACGTTTGCTAGATTTGTAAGAATGAGTGGTAAACTTTTAGATGTCTAATATTGATCTCCGCAAGGTAGAAGCTTTTCGCTACATTAAGTCTGTAACCCTGATAATGTCATATTTAATCAGATGATCCCATATATCGTTGAACGACATTTTCACTCGAACAACTCACAGCAGTTACTTACTGACTAGTTATATTACAATCGCTGGTCATTTTTCATCAGACATTTACTCTCGAAAAAATCGTTTGGAAAAGTAACTCGGCTAAGTTGGTTATATATTTTCTTGACGCATTCGTACAAAAAGACGTATTCGTTGTATCACTTATCACCTGTTCTTTTGGTTTGTCATTGCTCGAGATTCTCACCCACATCCTCACTGGAAAAAAAATGGAAACTGTGTTTGTAAGAACGGAAGCGACAGGTGAGCGAAGAAAGCGAGGCTCGTTCCAACAGCAAAAAATCTGATATTTATTATTATTATTTCTTCAAGGGCATTTACAGGGCGTTTTTGGAAGAAATTGCCGGTAATTCTTCATCTAGTGAACAAAATAAGGAAGATTTTTCTCAAAGAGAACAGAAAAACGCTGACTCAGTCGAGGAAACTCAAACGGATGGTTCTGCCGGTGACAATGGTTCATCTACTGACAGGAAGATGAAAGAAATCCTTGCTTCTAAAGAAAAATCTTCAATGAACGTGTCAACCTCGAAATCAGATGCAGACGAGATGATGGAAACCACCAATGCGTCTGGGAAAACTGATGCTGACGCAAAAAAGGGAACACCCACTCCACCAAAGACTTTAGGAGAAGTGTTTGAGAAACACAGACTTGTGTTTCATGATGTTAATGCAGTAAGTTTCTTAATCGGAAGGTCGTATGTTCGACTCCCATGGGGAGCACTTGGAGTTCCGTTTCTCTCTGTATGCTAGTTTCGTTCATCAAATAGCATCATCTTCCACTTAAAAAATATCAAGCTTAAAATTGCCATCTTTATTTACATCATCATTGAGCAGAAGCGTCACATATCGACAATCTTATCCTTGTGGTATGCAAAAAGTTTGTCACCGTGGACCTAGTTAAGCGGCCAAGCCTGCCACGAGTCTCCTATAGCTCAATAGTAGAGCATCCGAAGTACTAGTCAGAAGGTCCTGGGTTTGACTTCTATTAGGAGCGCTCAGAGTTCTTTTCTTCAAGTTTGACGGTTTCATTCACCGAATAACATCATCTTTCGCTTATTAACACTCTGGGTGACTTTTTTGTCTCTCCTTCTCTACTTATTTATTCACTCATCCATCTATCTATCAAGTTATTTATTTATTCTTTCACTATTGATTCACTTACGTCTGTGAAAATAACGCTCATTATATTTTTTTTATGATCATTTGGCGACATGATGCATATGTATGTTTTTCTTCTCCTCTTTTAGTTGGAGTTTAAGGACAGAGTTGACAAATCAGATCCAGATTTCAAACGCCTTCTTTCGCCGAGCACTATGCAAACCATTCCGTATGATCAATTTGCCAATCCTCAAGCGATACATAAGGTGCGAAATATTCGTGACATGCGTGAGTTGTGGTAAAATCTTCTCGTCATTACTTCAGCAGTATCAAACTACCCTTTCCAATGAAAGTAAAGGAAATTTTTAAAATTAATGGTGAGGAAAAGGGTCTACACTACAAGAAAGCACCTGATTTAAGAACTACATACGACAAAAATTAAGAAGATGGTCTTATTTAGAGTCGTTTTTGTTACCCGACGCCCATTTCTCGAAAGTCCCGGTAACTTATCAGGCCTGAAGCTATATATTTAAAATTAAAATTGAAATAAAAGCAAATTAGTTTGTGGCTTTCAAACCAGTCCACTTTGTTTCTCTAGCTGATGAATCTATTATAAAAATTTCAAAACTTGAAATTCCCATCTTCAGTGAAAACAGAACAGCTTTACGGGCCCGTAGAGTTACCTGGGGCTCGTTCCTCGAAGGTCCCGGTAACTTATCGGGCCCACAAACCTGTTATGTTTTCATTCACCCGAAGGGTTTAAAATTTTTCAAAAATTATCCAGCAAAAATTTCAGCTTAAGAAACAGAATGGATTGGTTAGGGTGCTAGAACCTGTGTCTCTACTCAGGAACTTCAAGAAAAGGGCCCCAGGCCTGCAAAGCTGTTATGTTTCCATTTAAGATGGGTGTTTAAAAGGGTTTGAAAATTTTAATAAAGAAGTATTAGCTGAATTTAGTAGGGTGACAGAACCTGGTTCTCTACTCTTTCAAAATATGGTTTCGGGACTTTCGAGATTCGGGTCCCTGGGCTATTGAATTTACCCAAAACCTTACAAACGCCCACTTTATTTCATTTATTTGAAACTTTGTGTGATTACCACCTATAATATTTACTTTGATTCTAGAAATGTCAGTGGTTAGGAATTTCAAACTCATTTTGGAGTTATTTATGTTAAGAGGTAGTGTCGCTTCACGTTTACAATGTAATCTTGAAAGCTTGAGTTTTGAAAAGCCTTCTTAACGGCAATTCCAACATTTCGAATTCAAGTTAACCTTTAACCCCCTCAAGTGATTAATGTGTAACTTCTCTCTATCCCGATATCTCCCCATACAGGTAATGAGAATACTTAAACTTATCAGCTAGAAGTTGCTATCTTGATCTAACACCAAACTCTCGTAAATAATTTACAAGGAATTGTGTAGAAGCTAGAAGGGAGAATTAACAATCAGATCTTGGGAGTTAAAGGGTTAGAAAGACATTGAATTTTTTCACTGACTACTTTTGTTGTGACTACTTTCATCTTCTGGTTTGATTCATATGTCAAGTTTATTTATTTATTTTTTTTCCAGGTCCGTTTTAATCCTAATAAACAATCCTACATGTGGCTCGCCTCAGGTTGCGCCTCGGGTCTGGCAAGACTCCATTTAGTCAAGCAGGTCACCACGTGACATGGCATGTTAGGACACGTGTTGCTTCCTGGATTGTAAAGGATGTTGAGAATTATGGAGATTTGAAAAGGCAATGTCTCCCTTTAAATCGGCAGCATGGCCATGCTGATAAACATGATGGAGTTCATCCGTGACTGATTAACCAGGAGCTTTCCTGAGAGACGATAAAACTAGGGGACTGGATCCCCATTCAGGCTTTATTTATTCGGCAATCGATCTCCAGTTATTGGCCGTTTTAACCTAGAGACGTTAAAGTTGTCTAAGACGTTAAAGTCGTCTCGAGACGACTTTAACGTCAAGTATAAAAACGGTAGTTTACCGTCTCGAATTTAAAGTCTCGAGACGACTTTAACGTCTTAGACAACTTTAACGTCTCTAGCATAAAAACGGCCATTCATTCATAAATCACTCCCGTTTTCAGATATGCTGGAGGAATAGGCAATCGTGTGTTTCGAATTTTTCTCATGTAGACAACCCATACGGCGTCCATTCGTTTTCCTCACCACTAAGTTATCATGACCTTATGCAGTCGGAACAGCGACGCTAAAGAAAACTTCGATTATCTTAAGGAGGCTGGAAAGGGTTTTTAGATGCACGCGCGCGCGCAATCTACATACGTCATAACTAAGATGCACGCGTCAGCAGAATGAATAAAAATCAGCACACCGGAAGTTAAATGTTGCTTGAAATTGCGCGAACCGGAAATAAAATCTGCGAAATACATCTGTTTCTAGCTCGAAATTTTGTTCGGTGACCTATCTTGATTTTTTGCATGCACGCACCATTCACGATGGCACTTCAAATATAACAGTTTCGGGAAAAATTATCCAGTAGAATTTTCTGTAAGCCATAAATCGCATTTTCTTTAAATATATTTAATTCTACTTGATAAATTTTTTCCATACTGTCTGAAAAGTTAAAGAATTCAGAGAACTTTCCAACAAAGAAATAAAAATGGTAGGTCACCGAATTAGTTTTTCAGGTAATTTACAAAAACTAAAATTTAGTGGACGTTTTTGTGGACCTTGTGCGTTGCCATGGTAACTGATATGACGTCACGAGTACCCTCAAAGTATAGCCCAGCAATAGAATTGCAAGGAGACATATAGTTTGCCCACTCCATTAAATATCCTTCTTTGTAATCTTCCATCGTTTCACAAACACTGCAACAACGAAAAACCCTTTCGAGCATCCTTAAGATTGACATGAATGGTTGTATGTGTTTACTCTTTTTAAGGGTGCTGGACCTCACCTCGCTTCGATATAAATAGGCAAGTTCATTTACAAACCTGATTAATTTTCCATCAGTGTCAACACAGACGTTGGTGTTTTCACATTGTCATTTAGAATTGGATGGCTGTAGAGTGAATATTTTTTTTTTAAATGCACGTGCAGAGCTATTGCTGTGCTCATTAAACCTCTGTTTCTCTAAGTTCTCGTTGCCCTTCACGTCTTGATATTCTCAAGGTCTCCTCAAGGAACACGGACGGTATATGTTGCATTAGTCCTGGGATAACTGATACCTCGAGTTAAAAAATGAACTGAGATAAAACCCCTTCCTTTGGAATGAGATCTGTATCCAGTCACAATCTTGGTTTAATCCTATCCTTGCTATTCATAAAGAAACCGACAGATTATTTAAGTCTAAGCCTGTGCTTTTGAAAGAATAACTGGATATCACTAATAAGAGGACACTTGTGTTGGAAATGTTGGATACCTACGTCTTGCCATCGTTCAAAACAGTGTTATTTAACTCGCCTAAAGAAAACAGCGGGTCGCTTGTGGCACCTGGGCTGCCCCTACCAGAGCACAGTTCTGATATCTGCAACTGCATTGGTTAGTAGTTGGTAATTTGAGGGGATCAGGCCCCAGCTGTTTGTAGGGCAATTACACTATCCAACAGATAAATCGCTATCCGGTGGACGAGTGTTAGCAAAACCTCCTTCGCTATCTACTGGATAGAGAATGATCCAGTTGATAGCGTTATCCAACCTTCGGGGCCAGGTCACGCATGCATGTTGTGTTAAATTTGTTTAGCAATGAGAGATCATTCAGTTGCCCGACGTTTCTCAGGTGAAATGTTCTTTAGAGTGCTCTTTGTTGTTAGTAATGTAAGTTGCGAATAGGTTATTGATTTGAAAGGAATAAAAAACGGAAAAAAAAAACGATTGAATACACACTGATAACTGTACTACCTTTTTTTTATTCGGCACCAAGTGAAAGTTGTCTTATACCTGCTTTGAACTGGTCCATGCTCGGTCCAATTGGTGTTACCTAGTGTAATTGTTATAGCACGGATCCATGCCAATCCGGGTGTTACTGTGTGTGGGAATTATGCGTTGCCATGGCAATCAAACCTGGATTAGCGCTTACCTTGCTTCGCGTAACATGGTCATTGTTTGCGCGCTGCCTTAATTATGCACATTTTACATACAGTTCTTCTACATTTCCGAACGTGACAAGGAAAAATTGTTTATCAACGAGGAGCTTCTTCAGTCATTGATCATTTCCTCTACTCTCGTGACCTTCAGGTTTGATTCAGTGGTGACACTTTAAGGAGAGAATTAGATGCTATTCACTCACGATTAGCCACAACAACTAACAACAACTGCGTATTACGAAGAAATAGTGATTTAAGATTGATATTGCTTTTGCATATGAGACAGTGGTGTGATGTTTAGGAAACAATCACAATACAGTTAAAGGAAAAGTAATGAATACATTCCATTTCGACACTCTCTCGCTTTAATCCCTCCCGTTCGCCTATTATTAGTTGAATTTCACAAACGAATGTCAAGTTATAATCAGACAATCGCAGGTTTTTGACTTGTTTACTTTCGTTTTAGCCATGCCAATTTTAACGCATGTTATTATATTCTACCGTAACATCTTAAACCTAGAAGTTACTATTGATACACACAGAAAGCTGGTGAATCTAACCATAAAAATCGTTTTTACATGTGTGTTCATTTTAAGATTTAATGATTGCTCATTTCATTTTCCTTTTCAAACAATTTCACCACCTAAAAATAAAAATTACGAATTATTAACGCCGCATAAGTTACACACAAAAAAATTAAGTTAGGGCTATTTCGGGGCAATCTGTCACCTGGCTTATTTAATTACAAAACACAGCCATTGACTGAATCTACTACGCCTTACTTAAAGAAAGCAGGTGGCATAAACTGGAAGCGTTCTGGTTTATTTATCTAAAGGAAAAAGCCGGGGTTCGCTCTGTTTTTCCTCTCTGTCGCTATATTTAATAAAAAGAAAATCTAATTTTCAGCAACAATTTTTCCTTCTCTCCAGCACACACAGGAAATGCCTTCAGAAATGGTAAGAAATTATATTAGAAAGAGTAGCTTTTGAAGACTATTTTCGTCATTCTACGATCCACACATACTATTATAGTTAGGGACAGTTTATTTCCAATAGATGATGTTGCTCTGCTTTTATCCACAGACGTTTTCAAAGTTTCATCGTGCACACTTCATCAAACTGGTCTATTTTTACTCCATCTTATGGTTGCCAATCGTGTTCAGCAATAGTTTACTTGGTGATAAATGCGTCACTTCTATTCAAAGATTTAGTCTCTTGAAACAAGCATTCAAAGCTGTGAAGACACAGGATATGTTTTCCTGTTACTACCTCTGCAAAGGAGATGACATCTGCCAAAGCATAAACTTCAACAAAGACAACAACTTGTGCGAGTTGAACAACCGAACACGTTTGGTGAGACCGTACCATTTTGTGCCAAATTCAAACATAATTTACTTGGAAAATCCGTTTCGAGGTAACTTAGATTAATTAAAATTCAGAGTATTTTTTTCGTCTTAAACATCTCATATAACATAATATAAGCTGCAAGTAACAAAACGCAACGCGGGTGAGTTGCAGAGCGGCCTTTTCTTTTCTTTCTTTTTCCTTTTTTTCTTTCAAAAAATTAATCTGTTTTTAAGTCTAACAGCTTTAATGGATCTCTATCACAGAATGTTTTCGCAGCCGAATATCAACCCATTTTAAGTTAAAAGCACTCTTAAAAATATAGACCTGGAAAAGTTAGGGGTTTTCTCGTAGGCAATGTTGAAAATCAAAGTTTATGTTTGCTTAGGGTCAGAGTGCCCTCTTTTTAGAGCTAATCCGTTTGATATTACACCAATTTCATATTTTCCACGTCTTTTGAAAATTTGGAGACTTAATGTAATGCATAATTTCCCACCATCAAACGGCAAATGATAAACATTAACATCAAACAGAAATAAACATTTTCCAAATATGGTCAGTATATAACGTTTAAGTTGAATGTTAATGTGTTTGGTTATTTTTTCTTTTTTCAAAGCTTTCCCACCGCCGTATTTTTCTATTTTGGAAATTCATTTCAGCTCAAAACAGGAGGGCGTCTCTTTGGCCCACGTTTATTTCCACGCACACAATTTTTTCAACTAAGACTGTTGCTTTCTTTCTCAATCAGACGATGAATAAATAGAAATAACAGCTGATTTCAAATTATCAGCAAGACGTATCATCTACAAAGCAAAGCCGTTTGATGCCTTTCGTTTGTTAAAACTAGCTACGGAATAATTTAATGTTTGTTGTATGAAATACATTGTACGTTGGACAAACGTCTGCCTTTAGCCTGTGAAAGCGGATAGACATTTTTTTTATTCATAGATCAATAAGATACCTAACAAAATTTTTCGACTGTACACTAAATTTATTTTGATCATATTACCATCGCCCTCAGAATTTTGGATACTATACTATCACTAAAAGAAACGCTTTTAAGTACAGGTAAATAGCATGAGGCCGAGTAAAATTAAGTATTAATATCACGTGTTTTTTTGTTTTGTTCTGTTTTTCTTTTCAGCCCTGCTAAAAAGCATTCGCTACTTATGAATTATCACACCTTTAGGCAAAATTAAGCCTCTTTTAATATTCTCGTTTTAAGTCGTTTTGGCAGCGGCAATTGATGAAAAGTACCTTCTGTCTCAGCCAGTCAGCTTTAATTTATTTTGCCCTCTGTTATAAAACAAGAAAATCCAGCCCAGTGGTTGAATTTTTAGTATTTTTACGTCGAAGTATGCCACAGAAACTAAAAAATTTTATCTTAAAAATTTACCTATGAAAATATAATGCTCACAAATATTTGTCACCAAGGTAGGATTTAAAACCAGATTTAAAATGGTTTACTGTTTAGACCTCACAGATCAATTTCAAATTGGATATTTGTGTAGAATTTCGAGTAAGATTTCGCTGGACGGGTTAGGTTCGGACCGAGATTTGCAATAAAGGTTCAGCAGTTTAAACATCGTCTTCTCTGCATTCAAACAGATGTTCGGAGTCGAAAAAGGAGATGAGATAATCTGTTGTGAAGTTAGCTTCGAGTGTCTTTCTTATGTAAAACGGAAATGAACTATTATTACTTTACAGCTTTCCTTGGTTCGTCACCAGTACTCCCAGCCTCGTCATGCCAAGAGATTAAAAACGCCTCCGAAGGACTGGCCCCTAGTGGTAGATATTGGCTAACCTCGAAAGGAGCTGGAGATCAACCTGTAAGCGCTTATTGCGATATGGATAGAGAAGGTTAGGTCTAATGAAAACTTTGTGTGAATTTGAGGATTGTTGAAATTCTTATAAAAATCCTTATGTTAAATATTGAGTAAGGGGCTAAGTTGTGTCTGCGAATCTTGTGGCATATCTTGGATCAGTATCGGAACAACTGCGCATCAGGGTATGCACACTTCTTTGTTATCAGTTGACGGTTGTTGGGCCAGAGGAGGGGTAGCAGTCTATCGCATTTCGTTCCTCTCTTTTATGGAAGTTTTCTGATGCCTATATCAAAATAAAATGACCTCCCAAAGAATAAAACACAACTAAGATGACCCAGGCTAGATTTCATTTTTATGACTGAAACTTATTTCGTGAAACTTTACCGATTTAGCCATTTTTTTCCCCAGTGACTGTAGAGTGTTCAGGTAACCCGTGCCAGAATGGTGCAAAGTGTGACTTATATGGGAAGGGACAGTACAAGTGTCGATGCTTACCAGGGTACACTGGGGAGCACTGTGAAATTGGTAAGTTTTTTCTTAACGATTGTTCACCGAATAATTATTTAGGTATGAATTTGTGAATGTATTTTATTTTATCAACAGTTAATCAAGCTGAGAACAAATACACCAAAAAATGACTTTTACTGACAATGCAGCAAATTATCGTGAATTTAGCTGGTAATTTTGTTCCGTACGAGACTCATTAGCAGTAATTTTTTATTTCCGTTTTGCTCTCCTGCGTAAACAAAGGAGTCTCTTGTGTCTTTTATCAAGAGTCACTTTCTGTTAGTTATCAAATTGACAGTGGCATGGAATTCCCTCTAGAGGTGCGAATGGTTTCAGAGTTTAGGAACCAAAATCTGATTGGTCAGAAAAGGGAAAGGGATGTAGTTTTATAGTACACAACCATTAGTGGGGAGGAGCGTTGCGTAGCGAGTTTAAGAACGGCTGCGAAGGAGAATGGAGCCGAGAAGCACTTTGTAAATCATCTTCAAGTTAGCAAATCAATGTGCGCGAAAAGTATTTCTTGTTAATGTGGCTTATACATTGTGCGAGAACAATTTATCATAGATATTGTGGACAACTGAAGTAACGGTTAGTTAATTAAACAGCTACTTTTGGTTTTTGTTTTTTCAATCGGACGCAGACATTGACGAGTGCTCCAGCAATCCGTGTTTGAATGGAGGCACATGTATTGATTTGGTAAATGGTTTTAATTGCTCCTGCACATCATCATTGACTGGCAAATATTGTGAACTCGGCATGGGTAAGTTGTTGTTTCCAACTTTCCTTCTGCATTATAGGATGCTAGTTTTATGATACGCTTTCGTTGACTGTAGGCATCGAAATTAAAAAAAAAAGAGAAGTTAGGGAGGATGGGGGATGCTAAGGCCCCTCCTCCTGCTGCTCCCTTGCCCATATTTCAAATAAAGCAGGAGCCTCTCATGCTTCTTTAGAAACAATTGCTCATACCAAATACGCCATGATCCAAGAGGTGCCATGTAGACTTTTTTCCACCCAGCATCATGCTTTGTAGAGGGAAAATTACGTTTCTTTTTAAATCATATTATCATACACTTTTAAGGGAAGTTGATGACTTACCCCTTTTAGAAGCTTTCCATTGAAAAAAATACCATTATTTCTATAATGTGAGCAAAACAACCGTGAAATTTCTAGCGATACCGACTACGCATTCGGATAATAAGGAAAAGGTTTGACTTACTTTCCAGGAGCAGAGTGCAGCTCGTACTTATTCGACACAGAGGAAGACCGCAGCATAGCATATCAATCGGGTGCGTCAAAGAAATGTGACGGCGCCTTTTCTGGAGGCTGGTACCGCTTTAACAGCACTGCAGGCTCAAAGATGCCTACAACTTGTGTGCCAAAGAATATGTGCAACACAGATGCACCCGGCTGGCTTAGTGGGAGTCACCCTTCCCTCCAGGAAGGAGTTGTCGCTCGCACCGTTTGTTTTCATTGGAGCAGTAATTGCTGCAACTGGATGGTTACCATTGATGTGAAGAACTGTGGAGAATTTTTCGTTTACAAGCTTGTTAAACCGGGCGCATGCACTCTTCGTTATTGCGTGACCAACTGAAACCTTAGTTACTAGAACCAGCTGCGGGAGGCGACTTCCTTTTGTTTGTGAAAAACAAAGCTGAAAGTTACGTCTTTAATCTTTAGATGAGCACGGAGTTGACACTAAATTTTAATAAGATTTTTCTTTGTGCCAAGATAAGTTTTTCCCTCGTTTGTCACAGAAGAAGGGAATTATCATTCTCTTTATGACACAGTTTTCAGCTTCACCTTTAGATGGTACTGAAAATTAAGAAGAAGACCCTAAAAGGAGATTCTCGAAATAGAATAGCATCTTCTTTTCACCCCTTTCACCCCTGAATCACACCGAAGAATAAAGGAAATGATCACATACCAAAGAAGCTCTAGATTGCTAAACAAATTCTCCTTCTCAGCACTTAAGGAAATGTATGGAAAACAGTATGGAAACTATACATACTGATGATACGGTATAAAGACTTAAGCTTGAAATTTGTAGTTTGGTTAATAATTTACAAGAATAATTCCCAAAGTGTACACTTAGGCACCATCGGTTTTGCATGCATTTGTTTCCAATTTCTGAAGTCCGTGCCTTGCTATCTTTTCGGCCCCTCCTCATTCTCTTACACTACCTTCTTCGTATTCCTTTGCGGATTTCGTTTGACGGCAGAAGAAAAATCTAAAGTTTGGAAATCATATTTACTCCATGTCACTAAATGCACACAGCCCAATAGAGCTTCACATATCAATAAAGGAAAACGAACTTACACAATCTTCAACCATCCTTGCAATCAAAATTTGTATGAAAGACCCGCCATAATGGAGCGTACACAATAACAACAGTAGACAATGGCTTATATGGATGTTGCGGCATCATAACAGAACGTTAGCTGTCTCATAGTTAAGGATTGTAGAAGAACTTACAGACAGAAGCAAATCCCTTGAGTGTTGGCTTCAAAGCGCAGGTTTCACAACGGATGTAATCTCGTCTGTTTGTATGCATTTTATAGTCCGACAATAAAAGTTGTGGTCGTCTTTCTTGATGATATCTAATAGAGAACCTAACCAAAACCACTATTTGCTCCATTTTCTCCATATAAACGCACACACAACCCACACTTTCCTCCAATCGCTCTGACGAAGGACTAACGCTCGAAACTTCAGCCTTTAAACTCTTCAAAGAAATTTTTAAGAATTCAATTAAGACTTTTCTTTTCAGGCAATTCTTTCAATTATAGTGGTTAAGTTATGAATTGTATATAGCCAAGTTAACTGTAAGATGCAATTATTTTTTGAATTAGTTTAGATTTTAGTATTTAGAGACACTAATTGTAAAGCGCTATTGATCTGTCATTGTAAATAGCGCTTTATAAGAAATAAATTATTATTATTATCATTATTATTATTATTATTATTACGGTGGCCAATTTATGTTTTCAACTCAGGTGATAACACTTCATTACCCTGTTATATATACTCTCCCACCGACGCAGCACCACAGTTTCTTTAGAAACTTACCCCCTTTATTCATGTATTTTAAATATCTGTGCATTTTTTAGCCGTCCTCTTAAAAAAGCAACAACGTGAAATCACCAAAATTTGCGTGATTTGAGAGAGGAAATCCCGACGACAAATTGTTCAGTTTTTCATTTGGAACTCAACACTGTTCACGCGAGTAATACTGAAATTGCGATGTGGCGCTGTAAGAAACTTTAAACACATCAAGCATTCGCAAAACGTGCAGTTTTCCATCTTTTCAAAAAATCAGACATACATACGGGAATAAAAACTAGAAACCACCATGTAATAACCAATAACCATAGCATTTGAATAATCATAGATAGTTCTATATATTTTTCGAAAGGTTATTTTTGTTCTACGTGATAAAGTCCGTTATACAATTAAGCCATCGAGCGTTGTATGGTGGCTTAGCCCACAGTTGTGATTAGTAGTAACTAAATTCTTTCGATTTAATGGTGGCAATGTTACTACAGATCTTCCCATGGCATCCAGGATCGAAACGAGTCTAGATACCTGCATGAGATCGAGGCCAAGTGAGTCAGTCAGTCGAAAATGGCGTCAAAAAGCTGAAGAAATGAATAGTATACCTTTTCTTATGTGGAACGCAGTAAAAGGCAGTCGAAATATTCAAACCCTGACACCGTTTGTGTCTAGTAACAAAAGTGCGTTTGATAACGTTTCCGGACGCAAAAACTGGCAAAATACAGCTGAGTTCATTCATAATGAATGACTCCGATCAAGGTCATTGTTCGTTGTGTAATTATCACACCCCACCCCTGAAATGAACGAAAAGAATTAAAAACTTTCAAGTTTAGTTAAAGCGTAAACTTTAAAGTTTACGCATAAACATTATGAAATGGTCGAGTACAGTTGATTATGATCATTATCAGTTTTATTATTATCATTATTATTATTATTGTCACTATTATTACTGTTATTGAATGGTTGTACTGTTGTAAAGGTTGGAGCTGTGGCTACTTTTCTTAGGTGATCCTGATGTTTAATACGGTCCGCTCTGCAAGAAGTGGCCATGTGGATCTATAGATTTGTTGCTAAAACCTGCAACAGCGAGAGACTGAGTAACGCGACCTGGTTGAAAAACGGACCAGAAATTGAATATCCCACCGGGGAAAATGAGATTACAGAGCAGTTTTCTAAACGTTAGTAACGAGGACAGCTGGTATTATACAGGGGCAGATGAAAGTTCACTGCATAAGCTCTTGATACGGCCTAGGTTCACAGACCACACCAACCCTTTGCCTCCCTTTTGCTTTTTCTCCATACTGTTCTCTATAATTTTCTAAGGAACTGACAAGGAGAATCTGTTTAATAATCAAGAGCATCTGAAGTTGGTGGTCATTTTCTTTATTCCATTGACCATGATATTTGAGTCAGGGGTGAAATTGTAAGAAGCCATCAGATGCAAGTCACTCTCAGGGGTCAAAGGGTCTGAAGCGTGGTAAAATCTGACTAACGAAAACTTAATCTGATTGAAATTGGTCAGCATCGTGCTGATAGTGGCGCTAATATTCTACACCAGTCATTGAGCCTTGTTGCGCAGAACCAATGCAATCACAAGCTACTTCTGACAATAAGTATAAAATGCCCTTTGAAATTGCCTTTATCGCAAAACTTACCTATACCGATCTCGCAGCGTACACCGGTTAGCAATGGCGAACATGAACATGTAAAACCACTCGCGGAACACGCATCTATGACAAGAATCAGAGAAGACGATGTTTCACGTAAAATCTCCATGCGACTTCAATAAAATATCAAACAGAAGAGCAAGATAAATCAAATGTTCTTAGTGGAGAGAAATGATGATAATGTCGATTGATAAAGAGGATGCCAATAATGATTGCGATGATATGCGATATTTTAATCATTATTATAATTATTATTATTATTATTATCTACTTTTTTTATTGTTGCCATTAACTAAGATGTTATCACAAAAACCATGATGAAAACCATAATAGTAAATTCCTTTTTTTATAATAAGAAGTATAGGTAATAACATAATTTCGAGTGAACTTTGATGCTAAAAAGCACGAGTAAATTTTATAGACAACAAAATTGCACGAGCCAATAGGGCAAATCTAATTTGTAGTCTTTGAAAATTTACAAACGCTTATTATACCCAATTGCTAGTAAGAGAAATCATGTTATTACTTGTTAGTAATGTGCACGAAAGACATCCCTGAAAGTCGAGTAAGACGACATTGTGAAAGTGTACGCGCGCTATTTGTAAATATAATTTGCACTCGTGTGACAACTTTGCACTCGTGTTACATGAGAATGCACTGGTTTTCAGGCAATTATGTACATTATTAGACAATGATGCTTCTACTGATTTCTCTTTTTATTGATACTTTTAATACTTAAAGTTTTGTTTAAAATTTCTCTGACCTGAACACCTAACAGTTACAGAGTAAAAATGTATGCTTGAGAATCTATAACCATTTTAAGTTCTTCTCATCGCATTTTACCTGGTGATTTAATTTTTCTCACCCTTTTCGCAGTGATCCCCACTGTACCCTTGTGGACAACGGCATGTATACTGTCCCTCCCCCTGATATTCACATGTGCCACCATTCTGACATGGATTGCCGGTGCATTCCACGATGACTGCAGGAGTAGATCAAAGAAGAGAAAGTAAATCTTATCAAATATTCGAATTAGACTGCTGACGAATAAACAATGCAACGTGCTGCAAGTTCAGATGATAAATGGGGTAAACCCATGAATAAACACATCAATGAATGAACAGGTAAATTAATCGGCAAAACATGACACAGGCTGCTCAGACAATTTGTATCATGCAAACAGATAGATTTTAGTTAAGTTTTGGTAGCCAGTTTGGAGAATAGAAGGCTCAATTTTCTATCGTTTTCATAAGGTAATAATCATTTACAAAGTAAGAAAACAGACAAGAACGGAAATTAAGAAATAGACTTCATACCTCTGAAGGGGTTCTCCATGTAAAAGGCGCCTTCGCGTGGCTGAAAATGCAAATGTCCCACGATCCGAGTGCGGTTGTTCAGCTCACAAATTTTGGTCGTTTCGTAAAAGTTCAAGCTCTGACATCGTCTATCTCCTATACACTGGTAATAACACGCGAACATATTCTGCACGACAAATGATGCGTAATTGTGTTTCGTGAGAACAGCTCCTTGCAAACTGTCGCTGGTAGCAATTGCGATGTAATGAAACATCAAGATGAAACGACCAGTTATGCATAAAAGCGACAATAGGCGAAACCTTGTACGGCTAATCTGCATGTGAAAAGATAAACGAACATTAAAAAGCAGGTAAAAATGCCACAATTGTCATACGGTTTACACAATAACTCTTAATATCTATATAAAAAAAAAAAAGAATATTTACTAAATTCGGCTGTTATTGTAACAAACCAACAATAATCTGCATGATTCTCACCTCCGTTTTGTGATTCTGTTTCATCTTTCGTCGATCGTATGCAAAATCCTTGCTCAGGTGACCGACAGCGAGCGCCAAGAATTCGTGAGTACTCTAAGAAATGAAAGATTTGTGGTTAAATTTTGCTCTCTTATTCGCCAGGGACAGATTTCCGTGGCCTTTAATTGTTAACGCTCCGATTACATCCATGTTCTTGACGCCAGTCTAATAAATTAGTTGTAAAGTTAACGAGGACCCAGTGAAACCTTATATTTGTTTGAAAAAAATATTGTGTTAGGAGAAATAGCGTTCCGCGAGTAAAAAAGAGTAGCTGAACGGCGTTTGAATCAGTATGCACGGCTCGATGTTATAACTCTTTCTTATTGCTATTTGCTGAATAGAGAAAATGATTTTTCTTCTCGGTTATCATAAAAGATTGAAAGACAGGGGATATAACTTCTTAAAACTTGGCAAAAACTTTTCAACGAAAGTTGAAATCGCGGACAAGAAACCACTGACCAAAACTCTTGAGTGCAACGGCTTTGACTTCAGTTCGCAAGCGGTTGATTTTCAATAAATTCCTGAATGAAGATCTGGTACGTTTGTCGCTTCAATTTTCTTGAAGCAAAAAGATGGCAACTTTTCCTTCCCAGTGAGCAGCTTAAGAAAGGCTAGTGAGGAATTCATGAAATGAGTTCTTCCGCGCAGCAAAACCTAAAGGCCTAAAGGAGCGCAAACGGTTACTTAAACTGCATTTAATTTGAAAAGATTTAATTTTTAACTCTTGGAACCCATATGACCGATCGATGACTTTTCTGCACCCAGAATTTAAAAATAGAAATGTAATTAAAATCCTATGTCTTTTTTTAAGCTTTCAATCTTTTATGATAGCGGAAAAGAAAAATCATTATCTATGGTCAGCAAATAGCAACAAGAAATTAAAGAGTTATAAAACAGACAGTACATGTTATGCTCGACTAAGAATACAAAAATAGGAACACTGAATAAAAAGAGAAAAAAAAATCGAAAGAGCTTTGCGAACAGGAATTTTTTTTCATTGTTTTAACGTGTTTAGTAAGATATGTATTAAAGGAAGCCATCTGTGAAATGATTTAAATGCTTGTATTCATCTGATACGAAAGCAATTTTATATTAATTTCATCTACATATGGAGTCTGCCTCTTTTTTCATAAAATTTTCAATTAAAATCATTGTTTCCTTTTCATTTTGATCAAAGACGGGTGCTAGTTCCTCTTTGTTTTTTTTTTATCACGATTCTTTTTTTCATAAATATATATATATATATATATACCCTCAAATACATGTACGAAATCTTTGTAGAGCGGATTATAATTCTTCTTTTCCTTCCTTGGCCAAAATATCTCGGAAAATGTTTTAAGGCCATTCAAAGAATCTCGATAAGTTGATATTGTCAGGTTCAAATCGTTGTTCAACCTATCTTTAATTCATGACGACCGATAATAATATTCCATATAATAATTAGATGAATCGTTGTTCAATCTATCTTTAATTCATGACGACCGATAACAATATTCCATATAATAATTAGTGCTTTTCATCCTAAGAAATATAAAGGTGATTTTTTATTCCTTTTGAAACGCTGAGCAAAATCCCCATCGTTGCGCAAAGTAAATATTATTTTCATGCACTTTTAAAGTAAAGAAGAGAGAATGTGCATAGTTGTATGAATTTTCCTTCCTACAAAGAACCTACCTCTCTTTTGCGTTGTGGTGTTTTCCAACCTCTTCAGCAAGAAAATTGACGATACATCTAGAGTATTGGATGAAATGAAATGAAATGCTCGCGCTGTGAATAGTTATCTTTTCATCCGTCACTCAGCTGATAATTATACAAGCTGCCTCCTTCTTGTTTGTGCTCTGGTGTCATCTGACTTTTTCATTTGATCAAGTTGATCGTTCTCCAAATTCTCAACACCATTGTTCGTGACATTATATCGATGTTGGTGAAGAGAATTGAGATTTCGATGAATTAAATGAAGTGTTATTATGAATTGATTCAAAATTTACTCATTTCGTATTGGTTTTGACAGAGCGTAAAATGCACATTTAGAGCGTAACTCACAGGTACTATGGTTAAAAACTGAAAGGAATCAAGTTGCTTTTGTAGTAGAGAAATACATTAGACATTCGATCTTAATGTAAATATACTATTTATCTTTTGTTTAACTTATGGTGCGAACGTCGCAAAAAAACTATTTATATCCGTTTTATTAATCTTTAGATGTAAAAAGCAAAAGAAATGTTAGGTTTGCAATTTTGTGGTCTAACCGGTCTGGTTATTCTCATAGCCAACTGAATCTGCTTAAGTATCTACGTTAATTGAAGGTAGAAGGAGAAATTGTGCCTTTATCACTCTACTGCAATAATTGGAACGCATTTTGCAATTTTTACATCACGTAAAAAGAATAATTAATTCAGCATATGTTTTCTTTTTCTTCCGGTTGTTATTCAGTTTCTTATCAAGACATTTGAAAACACGGCTTATGGGACGACTCGACAAAATCGAACAGTGGTAAACTTTTTTTTTTTTTGAAGATTATGGCCGTTACTCTGTGAATATAACTGTTTATCGTTTACAAACTGATTGCTTCGTGTCTTTTTCCTCGGATGTACTTTAACTTTCAAATTAACGTTTGAACAACTTACAAGGAATATGTTACCCTTTTGGTAAAATTCACATCTCCATTGTAAAATACCATTTCAAAACATACGCTCCGAGGGTAATTCTACTATTTTTGTTTGTCGAAGAATTTTGGAGTCTTTTTTGTATCGATCTTTTTATATTATTCCTAAATTCTCAACATCATTCTTTTTGAAAATGTACCGTTATTGGCAAAGAGAAATTTAATTCTGAGAAATTATGTGAAGTGTTATGAAAAAGATATTTATGTTTCACTTTTTTAGTGTCCTTTTTTTCTCAGAAAACGCGGAAAATGCACCTAACGATAACATCAAAATCACAAAAACAGAGAAAGAAACTAAAATGATCGAATTACAGAACTATGAGTTTAGAATAGATATTGTGGTAACAAACATAACAAAAATAATTTCATCGAAAAGATCGCCATCTGTCGACATCTAGGAAGATAATTTCCTATCAACAAAAAAAATGCTGACCATTTTCAAAACTAACTTTTGTACCGTATACTGAGTCAGAGGGATGAATTAAACTATTATTAGATAACAACAGACAGAAACGAAGCTCTTATGTTAAGTACCTGAATGTTGATTGTCCCTTTACTCTGTAAGACTCTGATTTCATTTATCCGCATAAACGGAGGGGAATTAATTCACACAAAGGCTAAGGTTTTTACAGCTGTTTTAACTGTTGTTTTTAATAAATCGAGAGTTTTGAGTAGACAAAAATTTCCTTCACGTAATTTTTCCAAGTTCACGTCCACCTCAAAAGAGAAATTGAAATAGGATCCATTAATTTTTCTTTTGTTCTTCCTTTTCTTTTTGAGAAGTTTTAATAACTAATTCATATGATGTTACAATGGACTGAAAACTATTTTTTTCTTTTTAATTTCAGAGAGCGAACTAACAAAAAATATAACATGACTAACATGACTATTCATCGGCAACCGACGCTTTTATTATTTCATAATAGTATTTGACTTTGAAATCCAAATTATTTCAAATTTTCTTTACCCTGAATATTTTTTTCCATTTCATGAACAATGACTTACTCTTTTGAGCCAGGAATTCCAAAACTACAGATCTCATCCCAAAAGGATTTTCTTTTAACAACTTTTCGAACGCGAAAACTTTATTTCCGCGATGTAATATCCCTGGATTGAAAATGACATGTCAGTGGGACTGACAGGTCATTTTTATTACCGACTGGGAGGTCCTCAAAGTATAAATCTCCGCTAGAGGGTAGCATTTTCAAGTCCGAGGTCGGTTTTTGTTACAATACGGATCTTCCCTCAGCCGGTTAATAGCTAACCATTACTTCCTCTTTTTTTCTCAGTGGTAAACATTTTGTAACAGCTGATACCGTGCGACGGGAACATTCAAGACAATCCCAGTGACTGCACAGAAATCTGTCACATATGTGATTAATGCTAATTTAAAAAAATTTGGAGTAAAGGGTCGTATAAAGTTTTAATGCATTTTCTCATAAATTTATGGGTTCCTCCCTCCCCATAATTCTCCATATCTTCTCTACATTGTTTCCCAGTCCCTCTGTTTTTTTCTTTCACTCCTTCTTCTCTGGTCCTTACTCCCTTCCTCTTCCTCTCATTTTCTCCCTCCCTACCTTCTTTTTCCTTCCCTCTCTTTTCTCATTCTCATCCTTTCTCTCGCCTTACTTTCCGCCCTCTTTTCCTTACTTGCTTTCCTGTCTCCTTTTCTTCCTTTTCCTTCCTTTTCCCTCTTTCTGCGCTCTCTTTTTTCATCCATGTCATGTCTCAGTCATGCCTCCTCTACCCCACCCTCCCTGAGCACCCTACTCTCTTCTCATCAATTTCTTTCCCAGCTCTCCTTCTATCCCTCCGTCATCCACCCCCTCCCTATTGTCTCTGCTGCCTTCTTTCCCTACCTCCCTTACCCTATTACCCTAGCTTACCATGCTGTTTTCTTTTGTACCCCAAGACTCTTCCTCTTAAAGCCATGTGAGTGTATGCTAGTTCACTCTCTTCTCGATTCCATTGCTGCTGCTGTCTAAGAATTACGCAGTCTCTCAATCAGCTACAATTAATTTTACAAGAAGTTTTACTCTTTTTATCAAGAGAGGCAACCTGCGAGGGCATAGCCAACTTTTGCCAATCAGAAAATAAGATTTACGCAGTAATACCCGCTCGCATAGCTGGTCACAGGACAGAAATGACTGAGAGTTCTGCTTTTGTTTTGTATTTTTTTTACTGTTGATTGCGCTACCTACTGTAGACATTGTAACTCTTTGCAGGTATGGTGTTTGCGTTTTTTGCTGCTGCTGACAAAGCAGCAGGTGCTGTAAATAATTTTAAAAGCTCCACCGTGCACAATAAAGAGCTGTTTGTGGGAGTGTTACCCATCATTCACGTAAGTAGCCGCAAATGCGAGAGCATTTTCTAGAGTACTGAAAAAAAAACCGTTATCAAGCGTTATCAAGTGTACAGCCCTACAGAAAGAGACCCATTATTAGGGTATGTTAAAGTTGCCCTTCCCCCTCCCCCATATCTGGAAAACTGTAAGTCGAGACGAGTTCCTACCCGAAATCGTTGAGGTTACACGGAATTTTTTTCTTAATAGGAACTATTTCCTTAAACTTTTGTGTCTACGAGAATTGACCGAGGCCGAGCTAATCGAAAGCAGACATGAGTAGGTGCAGAATCTATCTAGCGCAGATTGCACTCCTTAAAGGGCCAAGCCTCGCTGTACTCAAAATTACGAGCCTTGTCTTCTTCTCTCAGCTTTGTCCCATCGTCTTGAAATCATTGAATATCTAAAATTTGAATCGATTTTATCTTTGCTTCAGATGTTATGCTTTCCGATTTATTCCTGATTTTCGTGTCTTGATCAGTGGTGGTGATGGCACAGTTGGCTGGATGCTGTCATGTTTGGATGATATTGTTCAAGAGATGAAGTGTAAGCTACCTGCAGTTCTTCCTCTTAGCACTGGTAAGGGCATTGTTACAAATGATTCCTGTGCCCCACGATTTTGGAGCAAATTTATTTCGGAGTCGAAATTAACTTGGCATTGTGAACGTTTTGTTTTACGGCGATATGTCATAGATTTCAAAAGCTGTTCGACAAACTTGGTCTATCGGATGGAAATCTGAAACCAATCATGACTTTGTCACTCATGTTTTCATGTTGTGTAAAAAATAATGAAATAAATAAAAACAGAAAGAAGGTAACGTTAAAAGAGAAATATGTTATCTTAATCTACCTTGACGTGCAGTCACTGAAAACTAAGCTCCGACACAGCTCTGTGAATATTCACAGAGGGTGAATCTTAGTAATGAAAATATTCGGTCAAATTCTCAATAAAAATACCTCACCTTACTTTCACAGAGCATCGCTCGTTGTATGACTGCTTACTTTGTTGCAACAGGCCATTTTGGCGTGTTATCCATTTCTTGGTTTGCAGTAAACCGAGAAATGGATAACTCGCTAAAATGGCCTCGCAGCAACCATGTAAGCGGTCAGACAACAAGCAATGCTCTACGAAAGTATAGAGAGGTATTTTTATTGAGAATTTGACTGAATTTTTTTATTTCTAAGAGCGGTTGTAAATATTCCTGTACAAACTCTTATATTTTTGCCATTACTCTTGTTACGCAAGATGATCATCTCACAGCTGGAGCTTGGGCTGCCCCTGATATGAAACGTAAAAACACTCGCAGGTAATTAACACGTAAACGCAATACACACAGAAAGCAATATGGCAGTAGTTTTTGCCATAACAATGTATCAGAGGCAACGACGTTACTTTCCGTGGTCCTCGTTCCAGCGTCATGTACAATGAAATGAAATTAAAGCTGCCAATTCCAGTTTAAAGGTTTGCTGAGAGCCTTCGGATGAGGCGTTACTCAGATATCGCGGTACCCAAACCGTAAGTGCTTTCAAATTATACGGTGAATGTCGCCACAGTTAAAGTTGAACGTCAAGGAAATTTAAAACATATTTTTCTTTTAAAGTACTCTTCTTTATACACGAAACGAACTTTGAAACAGTGTTGAGGTCCTTTTAGTTTTTATTTTATTTCATAACTATTCTTTTACAAGAAAAAAAAAAGGATTCTGCAGGTTCCGGAGGTTCCTACAGATTCACAATTAAGTAACGCTCAAGGAGTTGCCCGAGCTCCATATAACTGTTTACAAGAAGGTCGTCGGAAAAGCGCAGTGCACGCGACAAACCCGAAAGCCATTTTGGGTAGTTTTTTGGTCACGGCTCCTTGACCTCAGGATATCAGGGAAATCTGGGAAAACATCACTGTAAGGACAAGGCATAGCGGCTTTTGTTCGTAAGAATGACGTTTAATTCTAAACTTGATGGAAAACGAAAAACAGAAGGAACTGATTCTGAAGACAAAATGTTAACAACGTACCATAGCCTTTCTACTGTTTTCCCCTCGTATTCACGTACGTGTAAGTATTTATCTCATGTTTATAAGTATTTTTGCCCCTATCTGTTTGCTTCACCTCCTAAAAATTAATTGATTGCCAAATACCAAGATTATCTTTGGAGATTGTCTCGTGCACTTTCTCCTTTTTTCCGACAACCTTTCAGCAAACGGCTGTATACAGTATATGTGAAGAATCTGAACACAGCTTCGTGTGCTTGATGACGCAGCCATCGCGAAAAGAAATCGACCAAACGAAAACTCTAACAAGATTTATAGCCACTGCAATTTCCAAGGAAATATTGCAGTGATAAAAATAACCAGCAACCACATACTGTAAATAATCTGGGTTTTTTTTTCAGCGTGTTTATTATTGTATATTTACACGTAGTTTTGATTTGCATGTGTACTCTGACTTAAAACGCAGCGAACAACAAAATTGTCTGTATTCATACGTATGAGTATAATGCTCGTAATGTAAAACTCCTCTAAGCATGTTCTTTCCCATGTCATCTCCCACCGAAACGTTTGATTCCTGACCTAAATGGTAATGGTGAGTGCTCTGAATGAATTTGTCCCGGGCTGGATTGTCGAAACGACAACTTTCCCCAGTTGGTTACGTTAGTTTATCTACATCTATCACTCTTTTCAGTAACTAATACAGCTTTTTACTTCCCCGATGTGGCCAGTCAAAAGCCTCTTTGGAAACTACTTTGCCACTGAGTCGAACTGAGCCAAGTCGTTCAGCTTTATGCTACTTAGCTTCTAGTGTCACGCAGTCTAATTTGTCACGCAATACCTGAGGTCACATTGTGTAGTGGGCGACAGTTTATACGTAAAAAACAACCCACAATTCCTCATCATTATAGCTGAGGTCCACGCGCAACATTTTGAGCTGAAATTGAAACAAACGGTGCGGTTCACGGCACCCTCTTGCGGAGTCGGGTGATTCCCGTTGAGCCAACCAGGAGAGTGAGTGTTGCACATTGTCGTGTTCACACAGTAGTCTGGTATTCTTGTGCCCGCGGTGCTATTGAAGCGGTACCAGCCCTCTAACAATGCGTCATCGCATTTACTATCGGATTTAAGTACATGAACACTCCGATCAAGGTCATTGTTCATTGCGTAATTATCACACCCCACCCCTGAAAAGGAACGAAAAGAATTAAAAACTTTAAAGTTTAGTTAAAAGTGTAAACTTTAATTTTTACGCATAAATATTATGAAATTGTCGAGTACAGTTGATTACGAGTGTAGAACCCACGCAGTATGAATTTCTACTATTATTATCATCATGATTAGTTTTATTAGTATTATTATTATTATTATTATTAGTAATAGTGTTCTTACTATTACTATTATTACTATTATTAAATGGTTGTAATGTTGTAAAGTTTGGACCTATGGCTACTTTTCTAAGGTGGTCCTAAATTTTTATACGGTCCGCCCCGCTAGAAGTGGCCATGTGTATTAACTGAAAATACTGTGGACTGCTAGAAATCACAATTTTTTTATCTATAGATTTGTTGCTACAACCTGCAACAGTGAAAGACTGAGTAACGCGACCTGGTTGAAAAACGGACAAGACATGGAATATTCCACAGGGAAATGAGATTAGAGAGCAGTTTTCTAAACCTTAGTAACGAGGACAGCTGGTATTATGCAGGGGCTGATGAAAGTTCACTGCATGAGCTCTTGATACGGCCTAAGTTCACAGACCACGCTAACCCTTTAACACCCTTTTGCATTTTCTCCACACTGTTCTCTATAATTTTCTAAGGAACTGACAAGGAGAATCTGTTTAATAATCAAGAGCATCTTAAGTTGGTGGTCATTTCCTTTATTCCATTGACCATGATATTTGAGTCAGGAGTGAAATTGTAAGAAGACATTAGATGCAAGTCACTCTCAGGGGTCAAAGGATCTGGAGCGTGGTAAAATCTGACTAACGAAAACATAATCTGATTGAAATTGGTCAGCATCGTGCTGATGGTGGCGCCAATATTATACACAAGTCATTGAGTCTTGTTGCGCAGAAACAATGGAATCACAAGCTACTTCTGACAATTAGTATAAAATGCCCTTTGGAATTGCTTTCATCGCAAAACTTACCTATACCAATCTCGCAGCGTACACCGGTTAGCAATGGCGAACATGAACATGTAAAACCATTCGCGGTAGCATTGCATATGCCTCCGTTCAAACATGGCTGGCTGGAACACGCGTCTATGACAAGAATGGAAGAAGATGATGTTTCACGTAAAATCTCCATGCGACATCAATGAAATATCAAACAGAAGAGCAATGATAAATAAAATGTTCTTAACAGGATAGAATTAATGATAATGTCTATTGACAAAGAGGATACCGATAATGAAAGTGATGATATGCGTTATTTTAATCACTATTATCATTATTGTTATTATTATTATTATTATTGACATTATCTCAGTTTTTATCATTAAATCCATGATGAAAACCATAACGATAACTTACTTATTTCAATATAATGAGTATAGGTAAAAAGCACGAGTAACTTTTTCAAAGACAACAAAATTGCACGAGCCAGTAAGGCTAGTCTAATTTGTAGTCTTTGAAAATTTATAAGTGCTTTTTACATCGAATTGCAAGAGAAATCCTGTTATCACTTGTTATTAATGTGCACGAAAAACATCCCAGAAAGTCAAGTCAAACGACATTGTGAAAGCGTACGCGCGCTATTTGTAATTTGCACTCGTGTTACACCTTTGTACTCCTGACATATGAGAATGCATTGGTTGTCAGCCAATCAGAAACGCGTAATTTTTTATGTACATTATTAGAAGATGATACTGATAAATTTTTTCATTGATGCTTGAGGTTTTGTCAATAATTTCTCTTACCTGAACACCTAACAGTTACAGAGTAAAAATGTATGCTTGAGATTCTACAACCATTTTAAGTTCTTCTCATCCCACTCTACTTGGTAATTTTATTTTCTCACCCTTTTCGCAGTGATCCCCGCTGTACCCTTGTGGACAACGACATGTATACTGTCCCTTCCCCTGATAGTCACATGTACCACCATTCTGACATGGATTGCTGGTGCATTCCACGATGACTGCGGGAGTAGATCAAAGGGGAGAAAATTAATCTTATCAAATTTTCGAATTAGACTGCTGACGAATAAACAATGCAACGTGCTGTAATTCCAGATGATAAATGAGGTAAACCCATGAATAAACACATAAATGGATGAACAAGTAAATGAATGGGCAAAACGTGACACAGGCCCTCACCTCCTCTTTCCATATCGCAGTAAGCTGTCTTGAGGTTTTTACCAGATTCCCCTGAATGTAACCAAAATCTTCCGCTAGGTACCAGTCCGCCGGAACTTTCCTTTATTTCTTGACAGGAGATTGCAGGAAGCTCGGAAAAGGAGCCTGGTGTGGCTTAAGTAGCGGGAGAGAAATTGACATGTGATTAAAAGTTTTCTGGGTAAGATAAAAATTTTCATTTTGCACAAGGCTTAGCTGCAGTAATCAATCAGTCATCTCCGGGCGAAGACCAATCGCAGTGTCGTGACCACCCCATGGGACCAAACTATAAACTATACATTCTCAGAGGCAATTTAAAATGAAATAAATTTCATTTGATGCAAATTGTTATCAGGTTCCTCCACGGGAAATAACAACCCTTGAAAATGTGCTCCACTTCCAACGTTTAGTCCAAATATAAGTCTGAGAGGCACGGGTTTATTTCCCGTTGGAACTTGAATTTCTTTAAGGTGTCTTTGCTGCAATTGCTAACTTTGCAGATCACCTAAAAGAATCATGGCTTTATTTGAAATTTCAGGAGGATGACTTTGGTAATTTGCAGTCCATATCAAACTTCCCCGTCCTTGAAAACAATCCTTTCTGAATGGGTCATATTCACAACCGCTATGGGTATCTTTTTTATGTTAATGTAATATTGCACTTCACGGCTGACAGACGGCTAGATGAAGACTGCAATTACCTCAATGATCCTTCGTACACTGTACGTAATGGGAAACAGCAATGACACTAATTAAATCAAAATCTTTTGTTTCAAGGACGAATGATACTAAGCGCCGACTTCCTCTCAAATGCGTCGAAAATGGCGGCTTAAAATTTCAATCTTTACTCATTAATCTGCCGGAAATCTGTAAATTTTCAAATTAAGCACACCCTATTCAATTCTAGCATCTTCCAAAGTTTCATTTACCCTTCTACTTTTTCAGCTGAGAAAATTTTTGTCAAAAGATGTAAAAAAGACTGATAATATAACAATGATATTATAGACTTTTAAATAGATCCGGCCCACACATTTGTGCCGTACCTCAAGTCTTAAAAACTTTCGTAACTGTCACAATTTCATGAGGTTTTTTTGCCAGACAAGCAAGTCGCCTGAAACTGCCTTTGGATTTCGCTGCTCAGACAATTTGTATCATGCCTTTTCCTGCCATCGGTATTGTGTTTTCTGAAGACAGGTTTTAGTTAAGTGTTGGTAGCCAGTTTGGAGAATAGAAGGGTCAGTTCTCTATCGTTTTCATAGGGTAATTGTTATTTACAAAATAAGACAACAGATAAGAACGGAAATTAAGAAATAGACTTCATACCTCTGAAGGGGTTATCCATGTAAAAGGCGCCCTCCTGTGGCTGAAAATTCGAATGTCCCACGATCTGAGTGCGGTTGTTCAGCTCACAAATTTTCGTCTTTTCATAAAAATTAAAGCTCTGACATCGTCTGTCTCCTTTACACTGGTAATAACACGCGAACATGTTCTGGGCAACAAATGATGCGTAATTATGTTTCACGAGAACAACTCCTTTGATAGATGATACACAGTTCTCACCGCTTTGCAAACTGTCGCTAGTAACATTTGCGATGTTGTGCAAAATCACGATGAAATGACTAACTATGCATAAAAGCGACAATAGGCGAAACCTTGTGCGGCTAACCTGCATGTGGAAAGATAAACGAACATTTAAAAGCAGGTAAAAATGCTACAATTGTCATACGGTTTACACAGTAACTCTTAATGTCTTAAAAAAAAAAAGAATGTTTACCAAAATTAGCTGTTATTGTAACAAACCAACAGTAATCTGCACGATTCTCACCTCCGTTTTGTGATTCTGTTTCATCTTTCGTCAATCGTTGGCAAAATCCTTGCTCAGGTTCCCGACAGCGAGCGCCAAGAATACGTGAGTACTGTCAGAAATGTGGTTAAATTTTGCTCTCTTATTCGCCAGGGACAGATTTCCGTTGCCCTTAATTGCTAACACTCCGATTACATCCGTGTTCTTGACGCCAGCCTCTAATAAATTAGCTGTTGAATAAAGCTTTCACTAATAAGCCGCCTAACAGTAAATTTGGTTGGCTTGTTAGTCGATGTGTTTGCTCATTTCAACCTATAGAAGTTATAAGTAGTAAAGTAGGCGCAACTCTCTTCTGATTTTTTTTTCTTTTTTTTTTTCCAACAAAATATGCGCCAGTTTCAACAGCAGTCACAGTGTGTTTTTCTAGCCTTTCATTGCAACACCTTACAACCTGCTTTGCGTCACATATTATTACAAACAATCTTCCTTTTATTTATTCTTGTGCAGGGAGATTTTGATAACAAAATTTTGACTTCTTTGAGTGCATTTGTCATTAGCCGCAGAGGTAAAAACAATCGGCTCAATAATAATTTATTTTGCAAGCATTTCTGATTCATAGTCTACGGTGCCTCTTTTATCCTTTTAATTTTTTTTTCAGAAAGCAGATCACCAAAATCAGCGTGAATCAATTGGTTTTATCTTCTTTAAATGGTTTATTTTCGTTGCTTGACGCACAAATTTAACTTTTCTTCACTGCCGCCATAGGAAACAGTATTAGTTACCAACAATAATCAACGTACGTGCGCGATAACCATCGACTTATCAACGAATTTCAATGTAAAATAAACATTTTAATTTCGCTGTTGCCTGTTCACCGCAGATTGATCCGTGGGACGTGCGAAAACAAAAAATACACCTGCCGAACAAAGACCAAGCAAGAAATAAGAATTATTTATCCTATCTTGAAAAATGACAACCCTCGCATTTGATTTGAAAGGGAAAATCGATCCTCGCATCAAGAAAACAATAAATTGTGGTCATTTGCTCAATTTCTTTTTTTTTCTTTTATCTGGTTCCTATTGTACTGTATCGCTCGTGTTCCCAGTTACATTGTATGTAGGGACAATACTACAATAAGTTGCAGGAGCAGATACATCCGTATAAACATTGATATCACGGAAGACTGTCGCTGGGCTCTCGGCTACACGGGCAGAAAATTTGAATATGAAACCGTGAGATAAAATTACAAATCGAACATGCGTGATGTAGACTTTTGTTGACGTATATACTTATATCAAAATTTTGGCAAATCATAACTGTTTTTTACATCTTATTCTTGTTGTTTTTTACAACTTCTTGCTGTCTCCATTTGTGTGCATTATAGGCTATGATTTTTAAAATTCAATTATTTAAAGTTTCTTGTACTCTTTAATATTTGTGCATGAGCTCTTTGAAAGTTTCAACCTCACAATAATAATATTTTGAAATTGTTTTTTTTCCCTTCCGCCTCAATTTGCCACAACGCTATTTTTCGGGTAGGGAATAGTGTATCCTGAATGCCATTTAAGTGATGAAAAACTTGAATTTGAACTTGAAGTTTAGTAGTGACAAAGATTGCAAGCGTTCTGGATAAATTAAATGTATCAGTTTTTATTTTACTGCGACATAGGTTCATGTTTTTATCACAAAACTTGAATATTTCCTCGTGTATAATCAAGTACTTTCATTCAATTTTACTCGACTTACGACGTTATTAACTGGATTATTAACTTCTTACTAACCGAGCGCGAGGACCGCACTGTTGTGATTATTGGCCCGAGGTGGTAACAGTGCGGACTAAGCGCAGCGAGTGTTATACAGGAACGACCGAGGACCAATGTTCCTAGCTCAGTACGGTTCGAGCAATCGGAATAAACTTGATGTTTATCTGAATTTTCCGGCTTCCGAGAACAAAAAGACACGGCTTATGGCCATTTCCGTGCAAAATAAAATGAAATACAGACTAAGTAAGGTCAAACATGAAGCACGAATTTACTTCATGACTACCTTGCCATATAAGAAATACTTTTAACGAGTTACAATTGGTGATCCAGGTTGGTCGCTGCTGACTATGTGTCAAGAACTGTTCCACCGATTTTCAATGCTACCAAATATTTAGTAGTGAATTAGCGCAAATATATCTTTTTTCACCTAGCAAGGTTATTTTTTTAGTCCCAGGTATATGATTTTATTAATGCGTGTTTGAGTGGTTTACAGACTTCTGGAATGTTCTCCCAACATCCCAAGTAGTTTACTGCGCCGGTAAAGCCGATAGGAAGTGTAGTTTATTGCTTTTATGACACAAATATGAGTGAAGTTTTTCAGAGAGAATTATGAATTGATCCTTATTTTGCGATCAAGTTGTTGATTCTTATAAAAGCCGTCAAAACAAGGAAATGTTGACCAGAGAAATTAAGGCTGAAATTCATTTATTAATAAATGAACGCAATGGCCGGGTACCCAACCAGAAATTTTTACTTTTATGCTTAAAAGGTCAGTTGTATTGATGAAATTCATTTTCACTGTGAGGGCTTAACTCTAAAAAATTAGATAAAGTCATTAGACCGCACTAAGACAAAAGCAGCAAAATCGAAAGAAAACAACATCGAGCCGTGTGCACTTGTTTACTCGCGGTACACTATTTTCCTATCGCTTAAAAGCTCTCACCGAGTCCCCGTTAAATTTTATAGAAAGTACTATATACACTAAAACTTGGCAAAAACTATTCAATGAAAGTTGAAATCGCGGACAACAAACCATAAATCTTGAGTTTAACGGCTTTCTCTTCGCAAGCGGTTGATTTTCAATTAATTTCTGAATGAAGATCCGGTAGGTTTGTCGCTTCAATTTTCTTGAAGAAAAAACATGGGAAATTTTCCTTCCCAGTGAGCAGCTTAAGGAAGGCTAGTCTAGAATTTATGAAGTTTTTTCTCTTCAGAACGTAGAGGCCTGGAAAAGCGCAAACAGTTACACTGCATTTAAATGCCGCTCGCGCTAAGAGCGGTCCCCTCGACTTCCCGTAGTAGCTCTGAAAAAAAACACGTTAAAAATTTATAATGATAACATGCTGAAAAATGGCTGTCAATGGTTACACAATACATATGGCATAATATCGTGTGTTGCCATATAAAGACTGCATAAAACTCACTTTAAGTCTAATTGGAGAGGAGGCGAATGATTTTATACAAAATGCATTGTCTTGCCAGAATTCCGCAAAAATCTCCCTCAGTTTCGTTTCTAGTTATTCTTGTCTTTCGTCTTTTCCCTTTTTCTTATCATTCATTTCTAATCATTCGCTGTAAATTCGCACCGAAATTCTGACTTGCCGAGAAAAACCCGCTTTGTAGGTTTGGAACAGGCATGAAACAAGTCAAGTTAAGCCATCTTTAATAAGGCAAGGTGGCCTGTTTAGCTCTACACTAATAACATTTCGCAACTAATGATTTTCCATCTCATATATATTCTCATTCGCCGCCCCTCGTCATCATAATTTCAAGAAGAAATTTAGATACTTGCAAGTTTTTTTTTAGCATGCTCAACTAAAAATCCCAGCTTTTTATGTAACTAGGCAAGTTTTAGCAGTTTTTAAAAAAGATTCCGATGGCTCAAGGCAATGTTTATTATTCGCACTGATTAGCCTCCTCAGACGATGATTCTCATCCTCCAAAGCGTTTATCTTCGCTCGGATACGCAGATTTTCCTCCTCAAAGAAAGTCGCCTAAGGCAAGTTTTAGAAGTTTTCAAAAAATGTTCCGATGGCTTAAAGCAATGTTTGGTACTCAAGAAGTTCGCACTTGGTGAAAGCATCACACTTGGTTACTGATTAGCCTCCTCAGACGATGATTCTCATTCTCCAAGGCGTTTATCTTTGCTCGGATACGCAGATTTTCCTCCTCAAAGAAAGTCGCCCTTTTCTGCGTCTGCTGCTCTCTCAATCGTCGCGCGTCACGTGACCTCTTTGCTGAAAGGTTGTTCTTCCTTCTCCGTTTCCAGTAACCTTCTTCTTTCATAGCTAAGCTGAACTTATCTTCGGATTGTACCCCTTCTTCGTCTTGCCGTGTAGTTTTACCAGTGTATAGTTCCATTTTCTTCTCTTCCATCCCGTTGTTCAAAAATACACTCTTTTCTGTTGAAATGTTTTCAGTCCCATTGTTAATAGGTGGTGGCTCTTGTGCAGATGAGCTCGGGCTTCCTGATGAATCCTCTTTTTTATCAAGTTTAGAGGCAGGAGCAGTTACATTTTTAGAATAAAGGGATATTTGGCCTGCAGTCGAAACGAACGGCGATGTTAAGTATGGGTATTTTACATCCACAGATTGCCAACGTTGCTGTTTTGGTGAAAAGAGTGGCGATTGGCGTGATAGACCTTCGCTGAACATACTCATCCTGGCAAATTTATCAAACTGAGTTTGACTTCTCCACATTCCTGGATAGTAGGTCTGGCCATGTCTTGGTGGAAACAGTCTCGATCTTTTGAAGGGAAATGCAAATGGCTCGTTTACGTCCCAAACGCGTACAGAGTACTCATTCGATGTCAAAAGCTTTTGATACTCTAAAGAAACACTAGGGAAGCTTTCGCGAGCTGTTACAGATCCTCGGCTTTCCATCTTCGGAGGTCGATGGGTTGTGCGTTAGTTCAGTGCGTGTCTGTTCTTTTTCATTTCCATTTCTGTGTGTTATTACAGTTTATTTTATCCTTCCCGTCAAATAAATAAACCTCAGTAAACAAGAAGCATCCGAGAGACATCTGCTTGTTCGCTTTTGTGTGAAAACCATTGAGTAGCAGAGCAAAGTTTACATGGAGTTTGTTTTGGTTAGAAGTTTTCCTATGTCCTGAACTCGGTCCAACTGGGCGTTACTTGTTATCGTGCACACCCAGGTGTTGCAGTCTATTTCTCTTCAAATTTACACGTTTGCCAGGGTAGGAATTTGGTTTCCAAGGTTAGGCTTTGCGATTGGAGTACGCAAAGAATCTGCAAGGCAAACTTCGGCTGGAGGTACCACTACTGCTGTCACTACTGCTGTCACCACTACATTTGAGCTTGTCAACATCAAATCTTCAAAAAACAAAAATGGACAAAAACGATGACCGGTTGTTGATTATTGCTCTGCTTTCACCTGGGGCATTATTGATCGCTAGGATTCTTAGAAGTTATGTTTCTTTTTTTTTTTACTTCCACGAGGCACAGCGGCGTGGCAAATATTTGTGATACCATTAGAGATTTTCAAGCAAACTCGTTAAATATAAAGCTTGCTTCAAATTGATCGATAATATTTGATTTGACAGATCCAAAATTTTCTTATGACCGTATTTCGCCGCTGCTCAACGATAAGAAAAAATGATAATAAAATAATGGAAATGTTGGTGAAATATATTGCTAATGTTTAAATTCAAAACAGAGAAAGATGGCTAACGAAGACGGGGTGATGGTAAGGCAACTGTGAGACATAGAGGCTACGGAATTTAGTAGTGACTGTCTTATATAGACTTCACTAAACACTAGAAACTACACGTAACATCCAGAGCGGAGTGGCTGACCGTGAAAACGTAACTCTGTTCCAAAAGGCCTGAAGCGGAAATTGCTTGGGTTGAGAATTTATAATTTTTGGGGGAATTTCAAAAAACATGTAAATTAAGTGCTTACGTACGATATTTCCGCACGAGTTTGTTTTCACCACACCCTGGTAGATCAAAATGCAATGAATGGAAGAGCCAAAGTGTGTTTATCAATGCTTCCCCATTTGAAATTCCCAGGGGGCTTTTTTTGTAGAGAATAATGATCTCATCATCGCTTATGGCTTGTGCTGTATTAGGCCTATTACCTTTACCCTCCTTTTTACGTTACTTGTTTAAAGCTTCAATGAGTAGCTTCACATCTCTTGTCGTCTCAGCTCGCGTTTTTTTTTGTTTTGTTGCTCGATAATATAGTCTTGTACTAATATAATTCTTGTACTTTTCTAAAAGTACAAGTATTTTTATAATTTCGGTACGAAAGTTTTCTCGCTATGGATGTTTGCACGCAAGGACTTGAAGTTGTTGAATGAAATCAATGGTATGTTTTGACAAGTCTCTCGTGATTGGACGAAACGCTTTACGCACGTGTGATAAGGCCATTTCGAATGGAACAGAATTTTTAGGTGGATTTTCTAATGAAGAAAACAGTGAGTAAATCTCAGTATATATGTGATTAAGTTGGGTTCACAATGCTTACCATTATTTTCTAGAAACCTCGTTTATTTTACTTTTTTTCTATAGACCTTTGTAGCTTACTTTGAGCGTGGCCTTTAAACCAATTTCTCTGAGACAAGTTAATTCACCAAATTGTGTAGGCCAAACAAAGTGTTTTTCCTATGCAGTTCAATTGTTTATCGAGACTACAGACGCAGGTGTCACTCAGCTGCTTCTTGTTTCCTAAATTTGTGTCAACACTGAAGTCTCCTGCTACTTTGTTGACTCCCAGTGAGAATTGGAAGCCAGAATTTCAAAGTGCGACTCGCAAAGGCTCGGATAAAAGCGACATTAAGCAGGATGTTTGCGGCAACGACAAACGGCAAAAATGAGCCCTGTTTTTTTGTTTTTTCTCACTTTTCTTATAATCCTGAAATCAAACCGATAGAAATACGCCAAAAAATTCTCTGGTTCTCAAATATTTTACATTGAGTGTAAAAATTGCCAGAGGTAGAGGGCAAGAAGTTCAGTTTTTGTCTTTAGCCGTTTTTCCTAAATGTTGTATTGTTTTTTATCTTTCTTATATTATTATGTACTTGCAGAGACGTTCAACTAAACAAACAAGTCTGCAGGGGCCCAATAAAATTCCTTCTATGAATTCGGCCGAAGGGTATCGGCGAGAGCTAACCCATTTGTCATCTGCTCTCAGCCGTTTACGATTTCAATTATTCGACGTTTTTAATGAAGAAAACATCTCGGAAAGGTGGGAAAACTGTCCCTTTAATGCTCTTCTGCTAATAGGGAGACACAAACGGTGAGCCAGTTTGAATATTTCGACTGTTTTATTGCGTTTGACGTAAGAGAACGCATACTGGTCATTTTGTTGAATCTGTCCCGTGGGTTTTATAATTCCCCGTGAATATCGTTCCGAAGCCAGACTGTTTCAGCTTTTTGACGCCATCTTCGACCGGCTGGCACACTCGGCCACGATCTCAGATAGAGACTGACTGATCTCGATCTCAGATCGAGACTGAAGACGTCCGCATAAGTTACGCGGGCATCTTGACTGGCTTCAGTCCTGGATGCCATGGTAGGATCTGCAGAAATATTGTAACCTCTTGATCAAAAGAAATCAGTTAACACGAATCAGAACTGTGAGCCAAGTCGCCTTAAACTTTAAGAAGCTACATCGAACGATTTCCCTATCTTTGTCCTCTATTTAACCAAGATGACAAATTGCATGCTTTGCGAATACTTTTCCAAGCAAGGCATTCTAGTCCTTCTTATTTAAGACAATTTCCTGAAAGTTAGAAAACCTAGCTTGTCAGGACATTAGGCAGCAACACCAAGGAAGACATCGATTTGCAGAAATTGTATTTCTAGCTAGAGAAATCCATCTGCTGGATGTGTTTATCTTCAGTTTTCTAACAGTGGCACATCGCAACTTCGATATAACGTAAGTGAGCAGTGTTGAGTACAATATGGAACACTGAATAAGTTGTCGAGGAAGTTTCTGTTCTCAGACAACGCAAATTTTCGCGATTCTACGTTGTTGTTTTTTTTACAGGACGGCTAAAAAATGCACAAAGTTTTAAAGTGCACATTCTGAGCTATTGTTCTACCCATTAAATCTTTTGTTTTCTCGCGTCGTTTTTACCGTTGCCGTTGCCGTTGCCGCACAGGCAGACCACACTATCTGTTTGTGGTTAATACGAGTTGACGTGAGACGAACAAAATATATGAGGGTTATGAATAAAGCTCTGAAAATTGCATATCTAAATTACATTTCGGTCTGAATAACTCAACAAAGTTCAATGAAATTTTAATGGACGCATTTGTGATATTTTTCAGCCTTCACAGGCCGTTTGAAGCGTATTTTTACGAAATTTGTTTCGGCCGGAGGCCGCTAAGAGAAGAAAGGCTTGCAACTTGGTGGCTGCCAGCTATACGACCTCCTCCACTCCAAATTAGAATGAACGCTAAAAAAAAAATCTCTCCTAACTAGCGAAGGTCGTTGATCGCTGAAATGTTGCTTATTCTCCCCGCTACATTTGAGCTTCATCCCTTCCGGAATTTCCGAGAAAATCGATCTTGAAATGATGAGCTTGACTTTCTTAATATGATCGGGGCCAAACTCGGCGACCAAAAGAATTCGAAGCATGCAGGCCGTTTCAAATTTACCATACAGTGCAGCAACTTGCCATGTCAGTCCACTGCGGTTCAAAACCAAGCCAAGCGCTTACGTTATAAATTATTCTGTCTCTAGATTATACAAAAACAAGGCAAAAATTGTCGATTATGCGTTGTTTACGCAATGAAATATTGTCGGAAAAGTGCCCTCTGTCTCAACCAATCAGCATTTAGCAATTTTGTCCTCTATGTTCTAAGTGTTGAAAAATTTCTTGCCCATAAAAATTGGTATGTCAGAAGTCAATTTAGATCTACAAAAAAAAAAAAAAAAAACTTAAACTCGCTTTTAAGAGTTTCACAGAGTGGATTATGGAGTTTTCGTAACGGCCACGAGCAGGTTGGTTCTTGGGAGCATACATTTGGAAGAAAGAAATTCTGATCCCAATAACATGGCGTTGTATTTGGATTTACCACTGCAGCAGTAAACGACTCATCTTTCCTCTTCTAAACGAAAAACCACAAAAACAGACAAACAGTCATGCAAAGCACAATCGCCACTTTTTCGAGTCAAGCCTTTATTCACTTAAAACACGAGATAAATTTTACAGTTCTTATCAACTTCAATTTTTTTTGTTATTGTTCTTACGGCACGAAAAAGAAGTAGCCAACTCCGTGACGAAGACCTATCATAAACCCTTATTATTACAAATATTCTAAAACCTAAGTTGTTAGAAATAGGTAGACTTAATAAGATTTTTGCCTATGAAAATGGGAAAGTGTTACTAGTGACTGGAACACTAAAAATTATCCTGATGTAGTCTGCATATGAATCTTTGAAGCGGAATTACAGTTCAACTTAAAATCTTGCCAAGCGAGCGTTATGAAGTGAACTGGTTACAACGGACTTCTGCATCAGTGGGTTAGTTTAGTGGTTTTGTTCATTAAACTAATTTCAAAGTTCCCTTTCGACCTAGAAGGTGCATTAGCTGGCAGTTCTTTGGGATGCTTTATTATAGACACAGTTCCTATTACTCGGGGGGTAATAGGAGTTCTCCTCTGGTGGTAGTCATCTTGGAAGATTGGAATTTCCAAGAAGCTCTTTGTGAAATAAGTTTGTAATTTTTACGTGGCAAGATCAGTCATAAATTTCAGTGGTAAACTTTGGCCCTCCCCCGATTCAAAGGGCCAGTTGTCATTTTATGAACTATACGTTTAGTAGCGCTACTTCGAACTTTTTCTGTACCACTTCAAACTACATTCAGTATAATCTTAACCTACCAGTATTTCACAAGTGCACGCAACCCATAACATTATTTACACTCAAGCTATTAACATAACTCTATGTACATAACTTTTGTTCTTGTACCTTACCTACACATGAAACCACCCGGTATTTGACTTTCTCCCTCCCAGTCTCCACTGAGGGGGCAATGAGAAGTTTTCTTTTGGTTACCGAGTCCTTCAACGTGTTTTTGACTTGCTTTCAAAACTTATGACACTGATTACACGGATGATTTCAGACATCTTTCTAGGAGAGAAGGTTGGACTCCTTAGCTGCTGATTTCTCCGTTTTCGACCGAATCATTTTCAACGTCAACAAATTCGTCTTCAGAAGTTGCGCTTTGTTTTTCGTCGTGCATATCGACGTTGAGGGCGTTCCAAGCCGCCAAATACCACGTATATGGAAATCGAGTCACATCTGTTGAACAAAAATCAGCGTATTAGATTTTGGTGGAAATTGAGAAGCCAGTTTAACTTGAAGGCATTCAATGGTTCCTAATGATTCGGTAGACATCTTAAGATCGACTTTTACTGCGGAGCAGACTTCAGCCTTACGTTGGCGAGAATTCCCTCACGCTTTCGACGGCAAGAGTTATGTTTTCGCGTAAGTCATTTACCTCAGCTTTTATATGCTGGAATGTTTTGTTATCCCACTTATACCTGTCACTGATATACAAAAACGATCTTTGTCTCTTATTTCAATTGAATTTTGATATAAAAAAGCCAACAGTTTTGTTTTTTACGAGGTTTGAACAATAACTGCTGCTTAACCTTAAAATCCAACAAGGCAGCTTCAAAATACATGCTCAAAATCAACATGACTCTCAGGAGGTATACCGAGAACAGCAAACAGAGAACAGTAAACGACAAACTTGGAAATGTGGTTTGCGTTCCGCATTAAACTTCAATCTGACGGTGTCTAACAATTTCATGGGGTGGGAAGCCTATTACGCCAGGTTCTGGTCACTAAAGGGTGAGTGAGAACTGATATGTGATTCATCGTCTATTCCTAAGGTCCCAATACTCTGAAATACCCAACAGCTTTAATTTACAGGGAGGAAAGGCAAGGCTACACGAAGCTGAAAACAATTTTAAGAATTAGTTTTCCTTCTCACTGCCCTGATAGGCATATTAGGGACGTTAAGCAGTCAGGACGGCAACGCCAAGGAAGACTTCGATTAAAAAATAAATTTCTACCTTTAATTAGAATTTCAAAAATGGCTGCACGTGTTTACCGTCTCATACGGCGCCACACCTCAACTTCAGCATAACGTATAAAAGAAGCGTTGATTTCCAATTGCAAACTAAACTAATTTGCCGTCGCGGTTTCGGTTCGCAGACGACGCAAATTGTGGTGATTTCACGTTGTTGTTTTGCATAGGACGGCTAAGAAATGTACAATTAGATCTTTTGTTTTTCCATGTCCTCGTTGCCGCCGCCGTCGTGGTTTGCTTAAGGTCCCTATTCTGTTTGCGGGACGCTCGAAGGTATCGCAGCCTTCCCTTTTAAATTAATCGAAGTTCGCTTTTAATTAAGAGTGATAACGTACCTTGATTAGACTTGCTCGCAACAAGACTCTCGAACGCTGGGTATTTTGGGTTTGCACGAGGAGCCACCACAGGTTCCTCCTCAGATTTAGCATCGCCGGGGGAATTCAACATGTCATCCACCATCTGGCGAAATAAAAGCGTAACCTCGATAAAAAAAACTATGTGAGATTAATTATCAGATCCATGCACTTATTTGAGGAGACGGGGTTACAAGACCTAAATACCGGGTGGACCTCTTACAAGAATCAGCGAGTATACAGCGGTTCGATCTCTCAGCCTGAAACCATAACTAATAAAAATTGTCTTAAAATCACAGACGCCGCCATTTTAAATCTTGCATAGTAGACGAGCTTCATTCTTATGCCGTAACAAAGACTCACCCCCTACTCCCCTCGTTCGTTTTTAACTTCTCATGGCAATGGTTTGAGATCGGTCACGCGCTATACAAAAGCGAGTATACAAAAGAGCAGTCATGACACAATGAACTATTCTTGGCGATAACGGAGAAGCGGCTGTATTGTGGATCGCGCATTTTACTTTGGCGCGTGAGGCCAGGTTACCGATTCTTTTTGAACATGATGACGTCCATAGCGTAAATTTCAGTGCATTCTCAGAAATATTATGGAAGGTTTGGCTATTCTTTGAAATCTGAAGACATGCTTTTACATGGCACAGATAATAACCATGTGATGATAGACTTCCGCTTTGATAGTCAACTGCTCAGTTTACCCTCAAGTGCGCGTCAAGAAAACCATTATTTAACGGTTGCTCTTATACGTTATCAGTTGATAATGCTGAATTACCCTGATACACTCTCCCACCGACGCAGCAACACGGTTTCTTCAAAAACTTACCCCCTTCATAGATGTTACATACCTCAACTATTACTCTTTCAAATGACCCAAGTGCCTCAGTCTCTGCAAATATACATTGTCAGAAATTATGTCAGTACATTCTAAATGTGGATCAGTTTTAGTCGACAGGCCTACACATTGTCGTTCGATGGGCGTCTTCGGAAAATAACTAAGTAAGGACCTTAAGCAATCACGACAGCATCGCCGAGAGAGACGTCGATTGAAAAACTACTTTTTGTTTTTAGTTAGAATTTCGCAAATGGCTGGAGGTTTTTACCGTCTCTTGCGGGGATACACCTTTACTTCAGAGTAACGCATGTGAAAAGCTTCTGTTCTCAGACCACGCAAATTTTAGTGATTTCATGTTGCTGTTTTGCAGAGAACGGCTACAAAATGAACAAAGTGCAGAGGACGGCTGCGAAATGTACAAAGTTTGGAAATGCACGTGATGAGCTATATTGCCACGTCCTCGTTGCTGTCTTCGTCGTAGTTTGCTTAAGGTTCCTGATTGACTATTTGGCACGCAGGCAGTCTACCTACAGTTTCCTAGTCACAGTTCAAGTCTCTTCCGAGAACAAGTCACATGCGCTAAAGGCCCGCATTTTAAATTGTCGCGAAATCTTTCAAGCATCAGAAATGTTATTGTGAGTTGTTTACAAATGGAGAGTACGCAAACTAGTATAAGGTTGAAGTATTGCACTTGCAATTTGTGCTCAGAATTAAAGACATCCGAATAATCAGGCTAACATGAGGTAACAGTCAAACCACATGTTTCCAAGAGTCTGTCTTGTAAGACAAACATGAGCGCTCAAGTTAGACTAAAAAATTAACGCTTACTTTCAGTAGGTTAGCTGAAATATCTGTTGCGTAGGAAATTAAAAATAGCTCGAAAATTATCCATTCCAGTTGATCACAGAATTATTACGATAATTTTTTATTTATTTGTCTCCGCAAAATGTCTGGGCAGTTATGATCGCCATTAAAACTCTTAGAATCCAATTTCCAGATCACTTTCGCTTCGTTTGTTTCTTTGCTTTATTATACGTAATTTTTCTCTAAACAAAGGCTCATTCCGGTGTATTCAAGTGGTTTTGAGGTAATAGCGCCAAAATAGAAATGATTATGTAACGTTTTTTGAATTTAGCTTCTTTCGTCGAATATTTTTCAAAGGAAATGAGTTTTAATTGCTTTCTTCAATTTGGAGCATAATTCACATAAGGGTTTCCAGGATGTCTTAAACTGATATCGTAAGCGTCTGAAATCAGTTGTTGGCGCTCTCTTATGTAGTTTCGTATCGGATGTTTTTCCAAAAGAAACCGCTTTGTGTTGCATCTTGATCTATAAATGTGGAAACCTTTCGGTTTTGAGGGCAAAGGTAAACACTAGAAAAATGTAAATTAGATCAGAGGGTTTGTTTTGACGCGTTCAGCTTTCAACGACCTTTCTTGGAATCATCAATCACATATATGAGGTCGATCACGCGGAAAGCTATAAATAGTGAACAGTATGTGGGCGGTCGAGCGTGGCATCCACGCATCATGTGACATGAAAAGTAGGCTTGAGCTTATGTAAGCATTTCTCGTCAAAACAACACTTGTGCCAACTTAGCATATTTTTCCTTGATAGAAGAATTTCCTGCGTCTGAAGCTAGAATTAATATTGGATTAGGTGTGGTAGACTTAATGAGAATCCTTCTTGATATTAGATAAGAGGAATGGACATATGATATTTTATATCCGAAACAAAGAAATCTAATTCCAATAACTCTTATGGCGTTTCTTAAAAATCTGGTTTTTTTTTTATTTTTTTATCAATAATCAGTATACTATTTGCTTCATATCAAGGTACTCTTATTTCACTTTCTGGCACAGTGACTGAAAAGCTATTCATAGAGCGTGTTTTCTTCACCGATTCGGTAAATGCGGGTTTGGCTAAATTTTATGTAGCATTCCCTTATCTTGCCGACAAGGTCAACCTCTTAGTTGTGCGCGTAATGTCCTCTGGATTTCGTTAACTCAAAGTAGTTTTGGCGAACCAAAACATTCTAGAGGCAAATATGGACTCTCTCTCCCACACGAGTCTTATGTTACTAAATGAGCCGGAAAGCGTGGATGTAATTTATTCGGATAACAACCTGTGTGAGATACGCTTTCCCGTATAACTTACTTTTTTCTTCCCTCTTCACAAGATCTGTTTGTTTCTTGTTCAACCTGTAAATCTTGTAGGCATCAGGGCCACGCGGACTACTTTGCTGTCGAATTTCTTTGAAATCGGGAAGAGCATTTAAAGTGCATCTAAAGTTTGTCTTCCATTTACAAGGATCCTCTACATCTCTGCCTTCCACAAACTTCCCAGAATGTTTCGCCCATTCTTTGAAGATATCAGCGTCTGTTGGACACCAGTTTCGACCAGAACCGTGTTTCCAAGGAATTTTGAAGACTCCTCTCTGTTTATCCAGCCACTGCACTCCGGTAATTTCTCCACTATCGAGTTTGCTGATCAACCATTCTCGGAAACGCATTCTTCTCGTTCCCGACAGTTTGCTGTAATCGTGCATATTTTTTTTCTCCTTCTCTCCCTCTCTCCTTCGCTTCAGAGGAAACGACTTTAAACTCGAAGGCCAATTTTTTTACTCCCGATCAAGATGAATGGCAATAGCTTTTTCTTCCAGTACTAGCTCACATCAAGTTTTAAAGCTAAAAATTTCAGCGGATTTAAAATTCGGTTTCGCTTTTAAGTTGAAGCGTAAAGGGTCTTTCGTCAGTCGTTTCGCCGAGGATACTCTACCGACGTTTTAGAGTTCTCAAATTTTATATGCTCCTTCCACTGTCTTTGGGGAAGTCCCTTTTGAAAAGGGGTTTTTCCCTTTGCGGGGGGTGTCTCCGACTGTCAACAACGCTCGCGGTACTTTGAAATGCTGTCCAGACTGGCTGTCTGTCAAAAATACATTTAAGAGATCTTATTGCATACAAAGCATTTTTTTATGTCTAAAACCCACGTGCGATGTCTTTTTATGTTCGCTTTTAGAGTATTGTTATAATATGCAAATATCATCCCACCTCAATATTGAATAACTTATCGTACCAGCTGTTCAGTAGAAGGGGTTTTTCCCTTTTTTTTTTTTTGAAGTACCTGTTTGTTCAAGTAACCAACTGTAAACAAGGCAGCGACTTAGTTTTCGACCATACGGTTGCTGATGATATAAGCTAATTTTCATTTCTTCGGCAGCAATTCTAACAAGACTTCTTCTGTGATAAGAAGGAGTAACTTCTCTTTTCAATAAGTTAGCTTTCGCCAAATCGGCAAATGCAAATTTTTTTGTATATTCATTAAATCGAACGGTTGGAATGATCATCCGAATTGAGTTTTATCGAAAAATGTTTATTGCTTTGGCCATAAACGGTTCAAATTTCGCTTAGTTCTATTTTATAAAGAAACAAATAAAATTGTCTCAGCCTTTATTATTATTAGAACTATTTCTCTAGTCGCAAGATGCTAGCCATCGATTAATGTAAACGCAAATATCTTCAGAGTCCTAGACGGGGAATCCCCGAATAGTGGAACTGATGGTTATCTAAGAGCTGATCATGATACAATTTTCGTGATTATTTTCATTCTCGCGGTGTAGAAAGCAGCGATGAAATAATCGTTATGAAATGTTTCGCTTCAGCTTACTGCTTCACATCAGCAGTCTAAGCAGAAAAATTTATGTTTAATCGCCCTCTTACAAAGTCATTTCAATATCTGCGCCACCATCAATTACATTTCTTGATGACCTGCGAAAAGAATATTCTCGCGCTTTAGATCGCAAGTGCCCTTATCGGTCGTCTTTATCAAAGTTTTTGGATGAAGATCGATGCTTCGAAAGATCTGTTCGAAGTGCATTAATATGATTAACCCGAAGTAAGCTTTGAAATTAGATTAACGCCTTTAGCCAATAAATAGAATTTGATGACTTCACACCTCAGGCCGAGATATTTCCAACCTGGAGTATTTGGAAAATAAAAGGGTCTCCTTGCCATAGGATAGTTGAAGAATAATGTCTAAAAGCTAATACATCAGTGTTTTCCTTTCGATTCTCACGCAATCCCGTTATGTGTGCGGTCACGCCAAGGTCAACGATTGTAATTTTGTAAAGGAAAGACGCAACAAAAACGATTTTGTGTAGAGCAACTGGGCAGTTACAACAACTACAAGACACAGAAAATACAGGTGAAATGTATTTTCTATGTCTTGTCGAAGAAAACGCGTGACAGAACACGCCGCTTGGGATTTAGCACAACAGATTGCCAACATCCGCATGTGTTTCAAATCCGACGACAAATCTTTTGCTTCGGTACAAAATACTTTCACTGAATTGGGCGATATATCTAGGTTACCCGAAAACAGCATCATTTCAGCCTTCGTAAGGTTACGTTTTGACGAGTGTACTTCGGCGTAATGTATTAATCCAAAGAGCTTAACTTGCTGACGTCGGCAGGCTAATTTGAATTTGCAATACTAATGACATTTGCAATTTCGTCTCGATCAAATAAAGCTCGAATTTGTCACGAAAGTGTGTTTATCATGTGGGCTCGTGGTAAGATTGAAATGCGAGATCAACTTTTTGATGTAAATGAAGTTTTGATGCACGTTACCTCTGTCTCCCGCTGTATATCCATTTCCTTCTTCACCATTTCGGCTTAGTCGGCAATGAGGTGAAAAAAAACAAACACCAATAAAGTTCACACCGAATGTTTTGAAGCTGCACTTAAGTGCTAAATGAGAAATATTTCTGACATCAAAACTAACGGGGAATCCCCCGGTTATATCTTTTGTTAATCTAACTATTTTGCTTAGAAAGCACAATCTTGAGGCGATTATACAAACTGCACCTATTAATTATTTAAATTTTTAAAGCTGGTGTGGCTATTGAAATATTTTATTTTATTGAGCTGCTGTCATGTCTATCTGAGGAATTCATTCGGCAGAAAGTTACATTTCAGTTCGTAAAGAAATTAAAAAATCGCATAGACGGAACAATTAACAATGTGCTGCGTAAGCGTTTTATAACATTACAAAATGACTTGTAAATATATATTTTTCGAACTACTATGACATACGATAACAAGTCATATTAGAGAGCGTCTCTTTTGCATCTTAAAAGCGTTTGTTTTTCTGTCTGGGAGATGAGGTAATCGTGATATTTTTAATTGTTAGCCTAAAAAAAGTGCAACACAGTATTTATTGGATATGCTGACAAAGCATGTGAAAACTTAAACCAAAATGTCAACATTTTTGAAAATTCAATTTTTCATACGGAGCTAATTTTTCAAACTTTTGTCAATAAAATACCGCCAGGAATTTCGCTTAAAATCTAAAAGAAATTTTAAAATAAATATATTATTTAAAAATTAATGTTAAAAAGCGACGACGTTTTGTGTGAAAAGTGTGAATTATTTTTATTTCAAATCGACAATCTTTGCCAAAAATTAATTTTGGCGGTAAAAGTCAATGTCTTTGTATTCTCCGTCTGCAACTGAATTGAGGGTCGGACAAGAAGACTTTCGTGAAAAAAAAAATATGTTCGTTTGAATATTCAGAAAATATGCTTGTAATGTATTCCCAGACAGGTCTGAACTGGTGTGAGAGTATTACGACCTAGAAGGAATTATTCTTTCTTGAAAAAGATTTTCCTTTCGGTGAAAGATGGTCAAAACAAAATTTGCTCATGGTGGTTTTGATCTTCCCTCACAAATAAACTTAACCTTTACACCTTAACAAAAGTATCTATATTCTCCATATTATTCTCTATACATTCCCTGTAAAGTACTGACGAGGAGAATTTGTTTGACAATTTGAATAAAGAGCTTCTTCAGCTGGCGATCATTTCCTGTATTCTCCTGAACTTAATGTTTGATTCAGGGCTGAGAGTGTTGGGAGAAAATAGATGCTAAACGCTATCATCAGGGGTTGAGCGGTTAACGTACTTCACCCTGTAAACACATTTCGTTTATTTTCCATGATAGAATTACATTCCGACGGAGCTTAACGTACAGTTTCGAACCTAATTATAGACTACAAACGAGGTGATAATGAAACTTGACACTGACCATTCTTACAGGGTTGGGTAATGTGGATGATGTCTGAGTTTCAGTCATTACATAAAGAAGTACTACCACAATTTCTCTCGTACTCAATCTCAATAATTATCAAATTATTTTTACTCAACAACTGATCAAAAGATTCTTCACAAAAAATATGACTGGATGAAACAACAAGTAAACTCTTTCTAAATTTGGTGATGGCTGCCACTTAATCCAAGAACTGCTTTGTGCCAGCACATGCCAAGCATGTACACATTGGTGGTAAAATATCTGCGGGTGATTGAAGATGAATCACCACTAATTTTTCGATAGAAGTGATCATTTCTAGAAAATCTGAGCTTTCCTTGAAAGAGTTATATGACAGAGAGGTTTAAATTCTAAAACGGTCGCTGATGTATCTACCATTCAACCTAATTCAATTTCAAATACATTATTTACCGGATTCTTACTATATCAAACAATCTGTGAGCATAGGGAACTGCTAAACCTGAACAAAAATGACACAAAACCTACGAAGATAGAAGTCTTGGCAGTCACTACGTTTGTCGCCTTTGGGCCGGCATCCACTGAAGAGGATGGTCACTCATGCCGGTCATAAGTTGCCTTCTTATAATCATTTATTTTGCTTTCCTATATCACGTGAGAAAATTCATTCCCTTTGCTTATTAAAGCTTACTGTACTGACTTAAATCTCGACAAGAGTTCTTAACTGTCTTACGATCTGTTAATGACGCTTAAAATTTCCCTAGTGGAGTCTGGTGTCAAAGGAAGGGTAGCAGAGTATTCATTCCCATAGTTAGTTGAGCCCTCGGACTTCAAGACCAACTGCAATGGAGGGCCCTTCTTTGGAGAAGAAGACTCGTCAGCGAACTCTGCAGAAATAAAAAGAAAAGAATACAGTCGTGACATTAGATTCACGTGTATTTTTGGGTGACATTTTATGGGAAGACCAGAGGAATTATTCCGCATTTGCATAGCCTGATAAAAACAATTGGGGATAGAAAACATGCAAACTTCTTATCTTCCCAGTTCTCTTGCGGTAAGATAAGGCTATGCAAGATTTATTTTCAACCACCTTTAAATTAAAGCTTTTTTTTTTGCAGATGAGATTTCTTCTGCTTTTATCTTTTAATTTTTTTTCGTTCTTTTTTTGTTATTATTGTTGTTACTTTTTTTAAATTCGATTTGTATTCTGCTCTATTGCTTGACAATTCAACGTAACCACACTTAATGGTATTTGCTTAAAGTGATGAAATTAAACAGACGTTAGATTAACCCAGTCCTCTCCAACATCTACACGTAAAAATCAGTTCTCTGAACTGTCTGCCATACATTTCTGATCATTTTAGCTCAGTTTAAATCAATCAATATCCCCTCCTTTTTAACATAAATATGTGTTTACATCTTTATGAGAAATTCCTATTCGATTTATCCTGGTAGCGAAAGGTACATGAGAGGCTTTTGAAACTTTCACATGTAGATCTTTATATTGTCATTGTGGCTTTTTTTACCTTGTTCAGGATCATTGGAACCCTCCATTCCTTCCATTTCGTCAAGTGAAGACCCACTCTGCTCTGACATTTGGTCCACCAACTACAGAGAAAGGGAAAAATAGATCTTATTGGGTTACCCCTTTTAAGAATATCATCTTCAAAGTGTGTGTCAGTTGTAAAATTTTCTTACATCGATGATTTCTTGATCACTGGGGACTTCGTCTTCTGAAAAGGGAAATAAGGAAGGAAAGGTTAGCTGTTAAGTTAGCAAGCTAGAACACTGCTGAATACAATCGGGAAAGTATATTGATAAAAGCAACTTCACAGCATCAACGTACCCTCTTTGACTATTACTTTGGCGCCCTCTGTAGAACTCTGGAAAACAAAAGGAACCTACTGTTCAGTGTCTTCAGTGTCTGGCATTAACCCTTTAACTCCCAAGATCTCATTAGTAATTCTTCGTACTGTCTGCCATATGGTTCTTGTGATGTTAGTTTGGAGAATTTGGTATTGGATCAACTAATTATCCCCTAATTAATATTTTTCTTTATTCTCATCACAGGTCTGCTTGATATTGTATTGATAATGTAAGGAGAAATTCTGTTTTAATCACCCATGGGAGTGAAGGGGTTAAAGAAAATATAGAACCTTCAGGCACAAGGTGTCCTAGAATAGCTATTGAAAAGACTTCTTCTCTAAAGAGGATACAATCAGACTTTAAAATTCAAGTTTGAGACCGAATGGTAAGGGCATTGGGTGAATAATACAGTGATTCTTAGCTCAGTTTAAGCCCTCCTGTCCGTTCACTAAGTTTTTTCAGTAGCTCGAAAAATTAGTAGATGAATGGATGAATTATCTCCACTCCTACTTAGCAGGTGGGCCATGATGAATTACCTCATCCAATTCATTAAGGTCGCGTGAGCATGACGGCATCATCCCATCATCTGGAGACAAAGGTTCCTGTTTAATACCTGGTTGAGTCATGACGCCAATGTCTAAAGGAAGAAGAAACCAAAAGTTCGGTACAAGACAATGTCAGTACTTTGCATGAGAACTGCGTTTCCAGTAGCGGTAGTAGATCGGTGATACCTATTTTGGGGACAGCTAGAAGCTATCAGATTAATCTGGAGACAGAACGAGGCGGTCGAACAAAACAATTCACTCAACACAGAAGGGGATAGCATCCTAGTATCAGTTTTCTTTAGTTTGCCGAACCATAGCACTTACCAAATCTAGCTGATCAGATGCAACAAAAATGGCTTTGTGGAAACAGGAAACCAAAAATTTACATGGCATGACAAAACGCAGAGGAAAATATTAAGGAAAAATCGGCGGTGTACATAAATAGCGCAAAGAAAAGAACAAAACCCAAAGATTAAAGATAAACCATCGAGAGCTGAAATAGAATCAAGAAAGATTCAGTCTTTGTGTAATGCACCAGTGAAGATCTAATAAACCTCCCATTTATTGCTATTAATCATAATAGTTTTATCTAGCCTTGAATAAGTTATTCGAGCATTTTGCGACTTAAATGAAACCATCCCTTGATTTATAAACACTGAAGTGCATAGTGTTTGCAATATCTACCTTTCATTTCAGGCCTTGGGTCGAACCATGGGGTCATGTAATCGTGATCCAACAGATGTGGCCAGGTGTGAAACGTTGGCCAAAACCCAAAGCCATTGAAAGGTTTAGTACCCGATAGAGGGTAATAAGGAGCCTTCCTTGGTGTTTCCTGTGTAACGAGAAAATGTGGTGAGTCACGGGGTGAGAGTGTTTGGTGTGGTTTCTCTTTCATTTAACTCTGAAAAACACCGAGTACGGATGTTCATGGTTAGGAAAAGATTAATTTACAACGAAGAATCGTTAGCAAACCGCACTGACTTAGAGACAAACTCGCTGTAAAAAATAATCTCGCAAATGAAGCGCAGTTTTTAAAATAAACTTTATGATAAACTTTATAAATAAATAATGCGTAAGTTTGGCGCACTAATGTATGCAGATGTGACTTGAATAACATGGAGTTAAGTTCCTTGGAGACAATATGGGTTACAGCGATGGAAAAGGAGGAAGAACTCTCACCAAAATAGATTCCCTGAGGATCTAGCGCGTTGCAACACTAAATTCTTAGTGATGCAATTGTGTCCAAGGTTGCAAGCTTGCGTGTGTTTTCACAGGAAGTTTTTAGTTAAAGTCAATTATTCTGAATATAGTACATTTATGGTGCACCGAAGAGAACCACAATTAGCTGCATAGACTTAGAGTCACTCCTCATTTTTATAGCGGCGCGCATCAGAGTTCCACATATTGTTTCCCTTTGTAAAATTCAGGTATTATTTCATTTCGTCTTTAATGAAAAAGGGACTTGGACAAACGAATGGACTAAAACTTTCACTCAAATCATCCGATCACTCACAAGGAAGCGAAAGAGCTCAGAGTAAACAGAGAGTGCTTTTCCTGCTTTTATTCAGTAAAAGATACGAAAAACACGAATAGCACAATAAAGTTAAACCGAGGGCGCTATTTCAAAGAAATAGGTAATTAATGTCGTCGAAAAATATTTTTGTATTGTTGCGCACTTGCACTTGCTAATACAGTTTTACCCGCGATTTTTCTTTCTCTATGAATTCAAACAAACCCGTACGATCCGGACAAATTTAAAAGATTCACCGTTCATATGACGTCCTTCATTCAGCTTTCGAAACTGAAATAAGCTGCAATGCAAATCCAATTGTATTTTCACAACGATTACACTGAAACGAACTGAAGAACTTAAAGAAAGCGAAACCACAAACGGTTCGCACCACAAAACTTTCAATTTCCTCTTTCAGTTGAACGATTCTCCTTTTGTTTTCTAAAAAGCTTTTAGATCTCCACATTCTAAGAAAATAAATTATCATGTCTGTTATTTTTTTAACTCGTGATCTGAAGTTTTGAAGATAAACACAGAATTGAGCTTTCTAGTTAATAAGAATTCCAAGAATTGGTTGTAAGGGGTGTTTATTGTCTTGGATTACGCAAGAACGTCTTTAATTTAGGGGCATTTTTCCCCGGAAATATTTGTTTGTATTTTTAGGTAGATGATTTAAAAAAAAAACGTGCATTATTCTTACACCTTTCGCTGAATTTTTGGCCACAAAAAAAAAAAAAACAAACAAAAAAAGAGCGAGTCACCCTTGAACAAACGTTTCTGTTCGTCAACAGACGCGCTGGATCTTCGGTTTGTTCAAATCGGGCCTTTTTCCAAGAAGTATCATCATACAATAAAATCGAATGTAAAAATTAATTACAATGATGTTGTAACCTTTAGTTTTGCCAATGGGTTTTGCTTGAAGGTAAAATTCAAGAGCGTTAAAAGGTATTTATCGTGGACACAAATTTATAGTTTGAAGGACGATTCTAAACGAACCAAAACGCATTTTTCAAATGTGGCTTTAAGATTTGTGTCACTCTTCCGATTTGAATACAACTGAGATTGCCATCCTAAACTCTATTTGACATTGATCTAGCCTCTAACTAGCCATATAAGTCGGCAATCCTCAAACGATATAAACCTTTATTTTCAACCTTAAAACGATCTATAAAGTTAGCTGGGGTCAGTTAATTAATGTGTGTTTTGCAAAGACATAGACTGAACGATATTTGTGAAGTGTTTTCCACAATTTGACTCTGTTTTGACTGCCGTTGCTCTGTGATAGGAAAAAGACAGCTTACTAGTAGTTTATCTCTTAAACAGTCGGTGAATCTCTCACTGTAATCGCTTGTCTACTATGAGGTGTGTGGAGAGCATTTGACTCTGTTTAGACCGCCGTTTCTCTGGGAAAAGTAAACTAGACAGGAGAGTTTGCCCCTTAAACAAACTGTTAATATCCCACTGTGATCGCCGTACTTTTTAACCAAGATCACTTACCCCTATACTCTGCCTGTTCCTCATCGGGCCAGGATCACTTCTAGCCGCTCTCTTTGCTGAGGAGTGTTCTCTCGTCGGAGGTGCCACATTTGGAGTTGTAGAAGTGCTGGTTGAGGCACATGCTGTAGGCGCTGGAGACAAACAAATAATTACAGATCAAAAATTATTCAGATCATACATTTATTCTGGCATGTTCTTGCAGTTCAACGTTGGCTAAAAGCTAAGCTGATTTAAGTACAGAAGATGGCAAAACAAGAATTTCGACTCGACTTTTCGAGCTTCTGGAAGAAGGAAATCGTTCACTCGACCTTGTTCTTCGAAGACTTCTCGCCAAATCGAAATTAAAGCCATTCCTTTTGAAGAGCATTCATCAGTCTATTGATTGTTATCCTCAACCAACTCAAACCCTCTGTTATGTCAAACTATTTCTTGTTCCTCTCAGTTGGAAGCAACGGTTTACAGTATGTGTCTTTTCAATCTCTTTGGGGCTCTTGAACCTTAGTTAGTCATGCATAGCTCAGCAAACTAAACCGTATAAAAAGATGATGACTTTTATGAAAAGGTTTGCAGAAACGATTTGCAGCTGTTAATCAGTTCATTTCGGCATTGATCACCCCTTTTATTTGATTATCTGATAAGTGTAAAGAGGAAAGACAGCAACACAGCAGAGCTGCCCACGATACGTTTCAGGTTATAAGGTTGCCAATAAGGTGAACTAGGAGCGGCTCCGAAATTTCCAGGAGACGGTACTCCGAAGCTACGTGTGAATTCTTTACTAAAACAGCACTGAGCTAAAAGAACGTAGGTTTACAAAAATCACTCGAAGAACCGTCGGCAAACATTTTTGAAGTGTTTTTCTTTGACCGGCCCTGTTTGTCGTTTTTGGATACGAATGACGTGAGTTACGAAGCCACCGCTTCAATTACACCCAACGACGCAGACGTATGTGCATTCATTATATCATTGCCCTTTTTTGTCTTTCTATTAACGAGAAGATCCTAAATACATCGTATTTTACCCTAAAATAAAACAAAGGCAACAAATTCCGCATTGCCTGAGCAATGCCTCTTGACACAGAGTTAGCTCGCCTTAAATTTAGACGCCCTTAATTCGTTTTCCCACGGGTAAGTAAATAGCTTGATCAACAGGGTTTAGTTAGGCTGATGACATTCATCTCATCATAGAATGAGGCGGGGTTTGCTAGAGAAAGATTCGATACTGACCACTTTCCGCATTCTTCGACCCTAATTTTGAATACTTTACTCCACTCCAGGGTGCAATGCGTAATGCCATGTTTGAAAGATTGAATTCTCGCTCTTAAAATTGACCTAAGCTTCTGCAGTTGTACAAAGCAATGCCTATTCTGATGATGTGGACCAATATTGTATACCTTTTGAAAAGCTGTTCACAATGGAGCTGGGTATCAATGCGGCAGCAGTGATTTATGATATGCACTTGTTAGAAACAAATCCTGTCTAGAAAACGTATATTCTAGTTACAATATCGCGATATTTATGATATACCAGACTGATTCTAATAACCGAGAGCGTCGTGTCAGTGTTTTGAACACATTTGTCACCGCAAGTAACAAATGCAACTAGGTTTTGCAACGTTCGTGCTGTTAACTATTCTTAGAGTCTAAGTCACATATTAAATCAGTTGCTTTATTGTTTTTCTCGGCGATGCAAGTTCGCGTGTGAAGGCGTTTTCTCAGCAAAGTTTATTCCCCGAGTCTACTGAGGACACAGTTTCCACGCTTCAGCTAGGATACGCGACTGTTGCATAATAATGAAGATGCCTAACACCGTGAGTGGTCCAATAAGATCGCATCTCAGTATTCTACGACGATATTGAAAGATTCGTTAAGACTTCCGAACCCTCCTAGTTTCAAACAAAGAGTGCAATTAGGAACCTAATACGAATAAGTTCAACCCTTGGTTCGAAGCTTGAATTTAAAGGCTACTTACCATCCCGAACCACTCGACAAGATTATTCCCGCGTCAACTAGTTATGTCTGAAATACACATTGGCGACTTCAGTTGCCCTTTTTAGGCGAAGCTCGCGAAATTACAAAGAAAACGTTTTAGCTTGGATATGCAATTCTTGTTTGAGCTCTCGGGCGTCTTCTTGTTTCTTGTTAATTCATGGAGAACTGAGAGCTCTTCCGGACGACTCCTTGAGGCGTGCCAACCAGGAAGTATGAAACGAATCATCTTTCTAGATCTCAAAATATTCTTTTTCGTATCATAATTTTGCTAAAGCTCGCGCCATTTCTTGGTGAAAAGCTTATAAGAACTCAGTCATTTCAGCTATTAAAGTATATATGCAAATTGAGTTAATTTAAGCTCTTTCTCGGAAAAGCTCTCATAAACAATTTATCGTATCTTTCTAGGAATTGGTCACGCTTTGTTGTGTGGTTTGACTTTTCCCTCACGCTTTCCAAAAGATGTCGGAAGAAATATACATTAAAATCAACAGATAATTGTGGCAAGCTATCGATCGACTATTTCCACGACTTCTCTTCAAAGGAAACTGAAATACAGGGTAAAATGTGCATGAAAGTTTAAAATTTCTTAGGTCACGTCAGTCAATGATCCAGACAAACGAATACGAAACGTAGACGTTTTCTGTTATATTTTCCCGACTATTGGGGCAGTCTCTTTCAGAGAAACTGTTCCTAAGGAAGCATTCGGTAAATTTAACACGTAAACAAATCAGTATAAAAAAAAATCGATTCGATAAGCATTCTGGACTTGTATAATTTTAGTAAATTCGCAGCTGCTAAGCGTCGTGGTCGTTTATAAACTGAACTTCACGCACGCTACTCACCCTTGTTCTGTCGTTTGTTATGTAAGTCTTTCTTGGCTGTTTTCTTCACTATCTGATAGACTTTATAAGCGTCTTGGCCTCGTGCTATTCCTTGATTTGGAAGCTCGACGATATCCGGGAGGGCGTTCAGAGCACATCGAAAATTCGCCTTCCAACGCCGCGGATCAGGTCTGTCGTGTCCTTTCCTGTAGCGACCACTGTGTATGGCCCAACCTTCGAAGACGCAGGCGTCTTTAGGGTAGGACCAGCACTGCCTTGAGGCATGCTTCCACGATACTTTAAAGATGCCTTTCTCTCGGTCGTCCCACTCGAGACCCGGTAGCTTTCCACTGTCTGCTTGTTTTTCAATCCATGCGCGAAGCCGAAGTCTTTCCGCTGGCATCATGAAATTGCTGTGGAATAATGTCCTGAGTAAAGGTACTGCGACTTTGTAGTGAAAAAATCTTAAGCCTTTGTTTCAAATGGAAGAGACTTCTGTACTCTGTGGCGCTTACGTTTCAGTTGAGTGTCGAGGCAAGTGACAATTTTTAGCTTTCACATGATGTTTTGGGGAGTCCCCTTACGTTTCCGAGAATTGACGTCACTATGTTTTGACCAATCAACGTACGGTATTTTCCCGTTGATCTGTTATTTATTTTGTCTAGAAAGTTAAAAGCGAGAGAGGCGATGTTTAAAACTGAATAATCTGATTCTTACGTATTTTCCATACTTGTTATTTACTCTATTTAAAGTCGCATAATGTATGGCGCTGAAATCAGAGCCAGTGTTAGTTTGTTGTTTTCAACTATTAGGGTCACAAAAAGTGAAAGATTAAACAAGAAACCGAATACGAAATAACTTCGTTTCAGAAACGAAAGAAATAGTTGCGAAACCTTGTATGAATGGCTAAGTGAAAGGTTATTCTTCTTTCGCGATGATATCGAGTGTAATATTTACCAAACAACACTTGTGTCACGGTCTTGTGAGTCGCTCATCTCTGACGAATCTCCCTACTTCACGCAGTTATTGGATAATTTACTGCATCAGAGTTCTAACTAACAAAATATTCCTGATGAAATGAGGAAAATGACATCTATTGAGCTAAGCTTTGCCTCTTATCGTCATCGATCATGTGCTAAATTTACCCCAGCTTTATGCTCTTGTTATGCTAATATATTCACAAATTAGTCAGTGTTGATTCAGAAGGTCATCCTTCACCGGCGAAGATGAAGTTTTACGCGGCAGCACAGCAATTTCTTCCGTAAATTTTGCATTAGTGGAAAAATTAAAAAATGAAAGATATAAATTTTCAACTTAGTGGCTTTTAAAATCCGAAAGGGAACCCTTGGTGCGAAAGTCAGGGATGAAGTTTGCGTGACAGGTCCGGTCTTTGGACCGTCGGCTCCTCGAGACACAGGAAGCTGTGTTTAGTCGAGAATTCAATATGTTCACCCAAAGTAAACCACGCTTAAACTGAAACAGCAAGAGATCGTCGCTGATAATATTTCTTCTTCTTTTGTTTTCAGCTTTCGATCCATTTGATTGAAGGACAGGGTTATTCTATGAAAAATCAAGTATTCCACGTGGAGTGAATGACTTCCGCTTCCAGGAAAACTCATCATAATGCAAATTAGTATTTTGTATGACAAAATCGTTTATTTTTTATCATTTTCACCTAATAGGTCGCTGCCGTTAACCAACAGTTAACATTTCTTTTTTCATACTATTCGACGAAGGTAGTATTATCCGGTCTCGATTTTGAATGATCTATCTGTGCCATCTTTACACCAAGCTTGGTCGCTTTACCGCGGTGTTCGATTATCCGATTTAATCTTTTGAATGAAAGGCATATCAATTCCTAGCCGCACCCCTCAACACACCTAAGCACTAATAGTTTAAAAATAGCTTATAAATTCAACTTCCGCGTTCAAAGAGGGCCACACCACGGGTACTCGTGACTGGTTGCCCGGGCAAGGTTACCAAGGTACACTTGACAAAGATTTCGCAGAACAAAAATTGCTTTAGAATTACTTTGAAATAAATTTTTTTTTCAATACCTGATTTTGATAGCATTTTTGACTGCTTCAAATACTCTGTAGAGCCAAATCTAATGGAGCATTGGTTAATTCAAGCTACTGGAGGTGTCATCAAATCGGATTCGAGGGACACTAACTCAAATAGAGCCATAAGGATCAGAGCTTGGCCGAAGGGAATTGAAAACATCAATTGGTGATTAATTTTGTTTGCAAATTACTAAAACGAGACTTCGTCCGCTCACAATATAGCTCTAGAGCGACAAGTTCAAAAGACCATCGGTAAAAGATATTCTTGTCGCGGTAGGGTAACAACGATATTAGTTTCAGCGGAAACGCGGAACCTGATTTGAAGAAGTTGTGAAAACGCTCCATCAAACATGTTAAGTTGTGGACGTGGAACAGGAGAGTAAACTTATTTAGCGTGAAAAAATGGCCGAGCAAGACCTGTTTTAAATACATCAACCCTCCGGTGAAGGACACCACCATAAGCGAACAGTTTCCAAATTTCAATTCCCCGCCTTCCCTCCCAGCCAAACTCTGCATTTACACATTCTCGAAAGCGGACGCGAACACTTATGAAAGTGAAAATTGGATTTTTCTTTTCTTTCCGCTCTCTTGTGAGCGGACACCCATGAATAATAATAGACTTTTGGCAATGAAATTTTCCTTTAATTTGCAAATCAACAAAAACATGACCTTTCACAGAGCAGCAGACACGGACACTTTTCCCAATTCTCAAGGGTGTCCGCTTACGAGAGAGTTGATTGAGTTCCTACTTGAGTCGCTTCTTAGCCTTTAAACGGTCTACAAGCTCCAAGTACCGCCTTGAAAGTTTTGGTTTCGTAACAATCAAGCAGACACCAACTTTAGCAATCAAGTGTCCTCTTAAGAGGGGGAGGAGGGGGGCTGGTGTACTGCTTTGAATCCTCCCTAAGAGTGTACTGTACGGTCCACAAAGTCCTGACCCTTTATCAAACCATAATGCAAAAAAGTGTGTGCTTGTTTCACATTTAAAGAAGTGCCGTAATCAAGAAATAGATGGTAAAATTCATTAGAAAAATAGGTTGGAATTTTACATTTAGGTAATTTTCCTATCCCAGCATTTGGCGTTGAAAACTTAAAAGCATAAAGTTGCAACACCCTTGGAATCCACAATCAACTTATGACTAATTGATCAAAATTCTGCGCCTGTTTGTAAAACCAGGAAGGCTTTAAGCGAACCTCACCACATAAGGGTCAACTTGGGAGGTAAGAGAGGGAGGAGAGGGAGCTTAACCCCTCCTCCCAATCCCAGATACCCAGCAGCAACCGCAGCGATCTCAATGACACAATCTTCGTGATCGACCCCAAGCGTTCGTTAGGCCATGATCTTTAATGCATATGATTGCTTCACTTCATATTTCAGTTGCAATGGGTAGCTGAAAAAGGTAAGAAAGCCTTAAACTTACTATCTTTATTTGTCTCGACTCTGCTAATGTAATCACTTTGACAATGTAATAAATTTTTTACAGTTTTGCAGAATGCCCAGTTTTAGAAATATACGGTTAGTTAAGCTGTAATATTTAAGCGAATAATCCGACAGAAATCCTTCTTGATTTGAAAAATATCACTATACTTTTAAATTCGCAAATAAGAAGTCCCCAAAATAAAAGAGTCATTAAAAAAAGACTTGCCAATGACGAGACTATTTAGATTCAAATTGAAGCAAGCAAGGTCATTACGGTGAAACACGCTCTAACAATTTTTTCTTGCCGTAAAGGATTGTGTGAGGTTACATGGAGAATAATTGACATCAGCTTTCGTGAGTGGTTTTAATCTCCAAAGGATTTCTCTCATGACTCATTCAAATGAGATGGAAGAAAGCCAAAAGCTGCTCAGTTTAAGTAGACAATCATCACTTGTTACATTTCACCGGCATAAGCATCTTCATGTTCATTTTCCCACTTGGTGCGTCCCACCAAGCGCCACTGAATCAGGCTGGCTCCGTTTAAAGGTTAAAACGTTTGGTTTGTTGAACTGCGATGCTGCAGGGCAAGTCTGCCTACTGAGATCTCTGTAACCGGGGTAAAACCCAACGATTGCTTCTTATCGCTGCGATAACCGTGCTATCTCCATGAGAGCTCGAAACCAAGCCGAACTTTTTAAATGAAAGGATTTTGACTTCTATTAACTTCAGACTGAAAATTAAACTCAATTAAAGGCGGTGACTACTTGTTGTCTTGTCCTTTATTTCCAAGGCCGTACAATTATTTCCAAACAATTGTCTTGGGTGTGAATGCCGGTATGTTACGCGTATTCGATTGTCTCATTGCAATACCCAGACAGGAAGAAGATGACATTTGCAGCCATTCTCATTGGCATAACCTCAAATATGATCACCTACCAAGATTAAAGGATAAAATGAAATCGTAGCAAATCCTAGCAGCTGCTTACAGTCTGAATATGAAAGTTTTCAGGTAGAAGTTGCGATTAGAGTACATTTGCTTCATAAAGGAATTTCAGCTTGGTTCCTGAAATAAATTAAGCGTGATCTCTCAGGTTTATTCTCAAAGCTGACCAGAATTACCGATGCGGGGATGTTTCAATACCTAATGATATACCTGGAAAAATTACGCGCGGTGCAGACAAGGAATCGTAAAATTTTAAAGACTACAAATTACACCCGCCCTACAAGCTCGTGTAATTTGGTTGTCTTTGACTGAAAATTTACTCGTGCTTATGAACAAAAGATTTTGGTGTCGAAATCGTGTTGTTACCTATACTAACATTCCTATATTTAATGGGGAGTTGGTGCAGTACTGTAAAGGTACTGTAGAGTGCATAAGAATGTATCCATATGGAGAATGCACTATACATACTAGTCATTATCAATCGTCTGTCCTTGGCGGAGTCCGGTCTGTAGAGCTCACTTAACTAGTGCAAATATGGTAAGCGTTATCCCTTTATCATTGCCAGTACAATAGTTTAACGCTTAGGTTCATTACTACTCGGCGAACGGACTGTCTTTGTAAAAGTTGGTTAAATCTAGTAAAAGAGCTACAAGCCATTTTCAGCTGAGGAGCAGCCATAAAACAATCGTAAGAGGGATGATAATGTGAAGGAAGTCCACTTTGAATGTTTTCTCGCACATTTAAGAGTGTTCATCAGCAATGCTTGGTGAAACTAGGGTCGGGATCATTGCTTTAGAAAATGTTCGAAAATATGGCGCAACATACCATTCAAATCTCAGTCCGGGTCTTTTCCCACGAAAACAACTTCCTCGATACTATCAATCTGATTAACCCTAGTCTTTTTAGAAGCAAGCATAACCACTTACTAAGGAAATTCAATGATTCAATTATATCAATATTAATCTTCCCTGTGGATTTCCTTTAAAATGTATTCACAGGGGGATAAAGCAAATGTAAAAACATCCTTTGCGTATGACACCCACTCCACTCGTGTTATGATTCCTTTGGAAAGTTTGAATTGTGAAATTTGTCTCATGGCATATATTGAGTGTGCGGGAGTCTTCGAAAAGAACTGTTACTCCCCCAAATGAATCCTTGTATAACTGATTTACTTTTTAAAATCCCGTCCACTATTTGCACAGATTATCTTCTGAGCACTACATAATTAAATAACCTTGCTGTATTATTCTCATACAGCGATTAGGCCGGACGTATAATCCTCTCGTCTATCCAAGAAGCTTCAGAACTCAATCGCTAAAAACAGCTCAACAGCATATACAACATACCTAGGCAAAGCATTAACTCTATTTTTTTTAATCAAATATAAATCATGTATACTTTTTCAAAAAATTGCACCTCCTTGTTTATAATCGTAAAAGCGATATTTTTTTACTAAGCCTTCACAAGTGGTGGTTTTGTATTCGGTGAAACCGCTTAGGGAATGGTGACCAAGAAACTAAGAGAGAATCTGCTGCAATTCAAGGGCTAGGACTCTCGGTTCGCGGCTTCCTCGCCTTCATACCCTTCAACCGACGCCCACAAAACCGCCACCCGCGAAATTTTTCCTTTAAGAACGCAACAAGTGTAAAGCTATGAAAGTGTGTAAAGGTAACCAAACGTTCATTATGATGAGCTTGCACGCCATGTCAATTATTTGTAAAAATGAAATACGTACATTGAATAGTTCCAACAGCTGTAGGTGAAATACACATCGATTTCTTTGGTACTCAACGGTAAAGGAATACCGAGAAGTGTAATCCAAAAGAAAGCGACTACGAAAATTACCAACAAAAAATTGAAACAATACTGCCCCTGCCTTCATTAGGACATTCGAACCAGTTACTTTGTCAATCGTGCCATTAAATTTGTGTGACCTAACCGCTCTACTGGAAATTGACTTTGTGCAAATAGTGTATCAAATTTTTTTTGAAATCTCTATTTTAACTTAGTATAAAACTATGACCCTAGTTCTTTGTTTTTTTTGACACGTTTGCAACTGGCGCTACAACCTACTCATCTCGGACGAATAGGGGTGTTAGGTACTCGATAGGCATTTCCTGGGGACGGCCAGGGGCCGGGCAATGTAAGAACAGGGCGTGCCTGCCACATACCACGAACAAACACAGGTCTACCATAGTTTGGAAATCTGGGGTAAACTAATTGAAACCTGGTCCGATTTGTAATGCCTCTCTGTGAGTACCGGTTCGAAGCGTTTGGAATAAATTGAGGCAGACCTTTGATCTCATTGTGTTGCAAAGAGGAATGTCCAGGTCGTATTGGTGCAACCCAACGGGGATAAGCGTACGCTTGATTATTAGGACTCAAAACGGTGTCATTTGTATCCAGCCCTTGATTATGGTCACGATGACTACTTTCAGTGTAGTGTGCGATAAGACGTTTGTCATCAGAGAAGATCGGCACAAAAACATTATTGGGAGCTTTTGGTTCAAAATTCCGGCGCCTTCCAGTGTTACTCAGTAGCGGTGTCGAACTCGACTTCAATTGTTCATTTTCCCTCTCCCCACTTATCGTCCTGTTACAGGCGTGCGTATCTTTCTCAACATCGTCGAAGTCCCCCAAAGGCTTAATCCCACCAAGGGGTTCTCTGTCACGTCTTTTTTCAGAACGACGATCCTTGTTTATATCAACTTGAACATTTTTTTCAAGCTTTTTCGAGAAGTCCTGCTGACTTATGGTAGCGTTCACTGATTTTTTAGGGTTGGTGATCTTATCCTGTTTTAGATGCCTCGCCGTAAAAGCATTCCGGTCACCCCACTTAAAACCGATTTCTTTTATTCCAGCGGGGTCTGAGGTGCTTTTTTCTCCACTGCGTACGTTCTGGCTGCTGCTTCGCCCTTCTGTTGGACTATCAGACCCACTTGTTTTCACTGCATCCAAAGTAGCTGTAAAGTGTTTGTCATCTCTCAAAGGTGAATTCTTGAGGTCACTTGCAATTGGGTTTTTCGGATACGCTTCTGATTGAATACCGCTGGGGGCCACTGGTTCTTGCCCTAAGACTTCTTTAGCCTTGGGTGACTCATTCATGCTTGGTCGCAGTTTATCCTCTAAGTTTTCAGGATGCCTATCCGCTTTCACGTCTGGGTGACCTGACGAACAGGTTAAACTTGATCTCTGTTCCCTCCTCTCCTTAATCAAATCTTTTCCTTGGCTTTTCTTGATCGGAGTTGGAGCAAAGGTTACAAATTTCTTCTTCTCCTCTTGTGCCGTGTTTTTTGCTTCCATCCGGGCCTTACGTTCTAATGTTACGCATGCTTTGCCTGAACGTATCAAATCCACTTTTTTTTCTGCATTTGTTGCGTGTGTCCTACTGTTCTTCGCTTGCTTGAGTGGCAGTCGCTCCATGGAGTCTTGAGTTTGTTTTTCTTTCCTGTGCCTTTCCCTCGCGCAATACAGGTTACTCATGCAATTATCTGTTCTTAGAGAATCTACGTCATTTTTTTGACGTGTGTCGTATCCCTGAGGTCGTGCTGAACATTTTAATTTATCTAGGCAATTTTCTGTTTTAACTCGATATCCACACGTTGGGGTTTGTTCCTCATTTTCCTGCCCTCGATTTGAACATGGAAGTTCACTCGGGAGTTGAAATATTTTCACTCTTTCTATTGCGGCTTCAGTTCCTTCCTCTTTCCCTTTCAATTGAGCTAAACATACCAATTTTCGCTGGCGACTTTTAGTTTCAATTTCTCTTCCTCCCTGTGCCTCCTGCCTTCGCTTCCTTAATGGCTGTGCTTCTGTTGCAGTCGTAACCTTTGCCTCGTTCCAACAATCCCCAGCAGTCTGCAATGAACTGTTGTCTACGGCTTTCATCAAACAGCTTGACTTCGTATGAAGGTCCTTAAAAGGACAGTTTTCTCTTGCTGATGACTCGTTATCAGGCTGTCTTCGTGATACCTGATTTTCATGCACCCCTGATTTCTTTGATTGGATTGCAACCCCTTCTTTTGACGATTTCAAAATCTGAGACGCTGCTGTCTCTGACCATTTGTTTGATCGCCAAAGCATTGTATATTCCTCTGTCTCTGTAAAGCGTGGTTGTCTAGGACTCGAGTCTACAAACAGTTCAGAACCTTCGAGAACGAATCCATAACTTTCTGGTAATTTACTTGTTTGTAGTTTCTCATTTGACTTTTGAGGAACGGAGGCCACGGAGACCACCTGCTCAAAAGGCTCTACATTTCCAGAAACAGACAATGTTAAATTTCGTTTTGAACTGGCCGTTTTGTTTGGACATTTAGCGCCTGGTGACCCGACTAATCCCGAATTATCATGGGAGCAATTCACGACCACCGGCTCAGCAAACACCCCTTGTAATCTTTTTTCCAAAAGTAGAGTTTCCTCTTTCGTAGTTATAATTTCGTCGGCGAATTCTTCAGCCACATCGCCCTCAGAAGCGACTTTTCCTGGATATCTCAATGTGAATGTATTTACCGAACTCGGTGGTGAACAAATGACTGTGACTGGTTCAGGAAATTCATTTTCAATCTCTGACCAGATATCAGTGTGGCCATGCGGTTTGTCGAGTTCAGAATGTACATCACGAACTTCCACTGATCTATTTTCTTCAAAATGCAAGGAATAACTGTCCTTTCTTAACTTACTTGACCGACCTTTAGAAGCCCTTTGTAATCCCCAATCGTGAACCAAAGATGTTTCAATAACACCACCTTGGTGTGCTCCCGTGTCTTCGTGAAAATCTTCAACCTTTTCTTCAGCCACGCAGCTAACAGCTAATGGCTTGCAGTCACTCTTTTCATCCATTTTGGAGGGCTGAACATCACACTCTCCTCTACTACAGGAGGTACCTTTTAACAATACCACTCCTACGTCATTAATTGGCGCTTCATGACCTTTTCCGGTCGAGGTTAAAACTGAAGACTTAGATGGAGACACCGAGGAATATTCACCTCCTCTCTCTATTAGAACACTCAAATCGTAAAATTCAGGATAGTTTGGCGTGTCTGTAAATGAATTTTGCTGTTGTTTGACTTGGCTCGCGGAAAGTTTACAAGATTTCACCCGCGTGTCGGGGTTCAGTGCAAGATTTTTGCTAACAATGTTTTCAGAATGTTGTTGTGGCAAATGAAGGTATGGCCGTTTCCTACTTGACAATTTCTTTACAGGATTTTCTTTCGGAATTTTTGCTACTACTTCCTCCAAACGTTCTTCTCTGATTATTCCAGATCTCCCCGGATTACCACTTTCAAAACAATTTTCTCCGTCTAAACAAATATCTTTTCCCCTTGCCGCTAATTGATTAGTATCAAAACCATGAAAATTATCCACAATCTTAGTTAATACTTCAGTTGAAACTTGCCTGGTGCCATTTTCGGAGGCTACCCTGGTACATAGCTGTCCTAAGTCAGTGGTAAACACACAACACCGCTCCTCAGTTGTATTAGTATTCTCATTTCCAGTGACGTTTTTGCAAGGGCTCCTAGGACCAATGATAATAGACGACGGTCTCTCTGAAGTCGGTGTAACAATCAGTTTTGAAATGCAGTCTGCTCCTGCAGTCGGATTCAGAGAGCTTGAAAACGCTTTCGGCACGAGTTTTTTAACAGTATCATGTAATTTGAGGCTTTCAATAGGTGGTGAGTTATCATTAGCAGCATTCTTAACGTACTCTGGTTGTCTTGGCGATAAAAGGTAAGATGATAACTGTGGAGACTCAAGCACTTCTGCATCGATAGTATGAAGGACATTGTGCACCTTAGAGATATCTGTAGTCTTTGTCTCCTTAAATGCATTCTCCATAGGCTCCTCATTAGAAGGGCAAATAAGATTTACCTCCGTTGGCTGGTTAACTTGATTATCATCGTGCGGGTGCGGGATTTCTACACGGGTTTCTCTTTTCTTCAAGTCGTTCTCGCCTTCCAAGTTGACGAGCTCGGAGGAAGCTTCAATAATACCGAAACCTGCGGTTTCAATGTGCATTGTTTTCTGGGGTTTCAAGAATCCTTCTCGTGATTCTGCTTCCCTCAACCTGTGCAAGTTAGCTTTGTCATTCAAGAATGATGAATTCAAGTTCCAATTCTCCAAACAAAGGTTCGATTTGGTATGACATTCACCTTCGTATGTAATGAAGGGCCTTCCCACTGAATTCATTGAAGTGGAATCAGCATTTTCTCTTCGCGTCTGAACTACGAAGGCTGCTCCAAATGATTCAACGCTTGGCTTTGGCAGATTCACACTTAAATCCTCTTTCGGAATCTCCGAAATGGCTTCTATGATATCCTCGGCTTGAAGTGTTTTCACAGGTGTATCAGAGAGAAATGGAATCCTTTCCCGATCGGAAAACAACACCAGCGGTGATTCAGGCCAAAAAGGATAGAAATTTGTACTTGTTGTTGGTGTGTGGGGCCGTTTATATTCTGAGTCGACTTGTAAATCACTTGTAAAAACGTCCTGGTATTTCATAGTCTCAGTTTTAGATTGTTCCTGGCTTTGTCTGGCAAAAGAGTCATTTTGGAGTCGGTACTCGACGTTCCATAACTTTTTTGAGGATTGCCTCTCTGTCGAACCGTTTGACTGGTGTACTGATTCTAAATTGTTGTTTTGAGTATTCGTCGAAACGTTACAAGACCTTTTAAAAGTCCTCAAAAGAGAAAGGTCTAGTGCAGGTAATTCAGGCTTGGAACTCTTCGCGGTATCAAAGGATACACATGAGACCGCTGGCAACTCCGAACTACTCTCAAGATGCTCTACGTCTAGACTATTACAAGTCCGCCCTTTCAGAGATTTCGCTGAACATGTAGTAAAATTCGAACATGATGGTAAACCTTTCACGACGTTTGCTTCATTTCCCTTTGAATCTACTTCTGGCATACACGATTGATTATTAAAACTCTCTTCTTTACTCGTTGACATGATATTATCGTTAGAAAAGTCTGATAACATTGTGATGTCTCCCTGAAAAGCGACGGTACCAGAGATACTGGCACTCCTCAAAGTTCTTTTAGTTCTTTGTAGGCTCTTTCTTCCATGCTTAGCTGGACTGTATGAAAACGACAAGGACCGTTTGGCGATGTGACGAGGATGCAAGTGTCTAGAACTATCGCCAGGCGAGGATACTACAATTTTTGATCTGTGTCGCACTTTAAAATCTAAAGATGCCGGTCTTAAAATGGATACAGCAGGCCCAAGAGGAGTACCTGGTGAAGACGAAGCGCAGCGGCTGACTTTCGGGGAAGTGAGCTGAGAGACTGAAGGTGGAGACTTCGTTTGACGACGGCACACGATGCAAAACATTCTAAGTGGCTCTGCTACAGCGCAAAATCCTGCAATGAAGAGCGTGTTTACTGTTGACAATGCATACAAAAATTCGCTCAGAATTAATCGATATATGTAGAAGTGTAATTTGGTATTATCAACTGACTTGATAACGCAAATTGGCCACCGTTAAGAGTTTCAAAGCTGACGTTTCGAGCGTTTGCCCGTTCGTCAGAGTGAATAGAGGAGTTGCGGGTTGTGTGTGTTTTTATGCAGAAAATAGAGCTACGCTATTGGCGGGAACATAACGACGAGAAAACAAGAATAAATTAATTGAATGAAAAGCCCTCATTGATTCCGTGGGGAACAAGAGTGCCAATTTGAAAGATAAATGTTTGTTCTAGAGTTTTACGGCTTTCTGAATTGCCTAGATGTTGGGTAAAGCCAAAAAATATCATGCTTCTTTGAAAGATTAGGCAGATTAAATTGTCTAGTAACTAGTTTGGATAAGTCGTTGACATTTCTTTCTACGAAGGTGTTCTCGGAATTGGTCGCCCAGTCGTCTTCCTGTTTCACCAATGTATAACTTTTTGCAATAAGTGCAAGGTATATATCCAATAAATGACATTGGCAGTGTTGCACGTGAAGTGATCAGTAATCTTAATAAATCTCTTGGGTCCCCACATTTTCTCTACGTTATAAATGAAAGGACAGGTTTTGCTACGTGAGCGAGCGCATTTGAAAATTCCAGGTTGGTCATTAGTTTGCAATGAACTCCTGGCCAAAGAGATGCCCATATTTTTGTCGCGTTTGAAAGAAATAAGTGGATGTTGCGAAAAGATAGTACCAATCTCTGAATCGTTTTGAAGTAATTTTAAATCTTTAAGAATGATAGATTTAACGCGTGGTTGTAAGGGTGAAACGTGCGAGTATATAGAAGTATTTCATGATTTGTGGGTAAGCACCACCACGCAAATCTTTTGCCAGGCATCATAAGAGAGGTGCCCTAGAGAGGCAAAGTGGAGGAAAGATCACAAGCTAACATCTAACTGCAAGGAAACTCTTACCAAGACGTACAGCTAGTTTTCCCGATGGAACGAGGAACATTGTAGTGAAAGGATCAATGCACAAAACGCCAGCCTGTTGGGGAAAAAGTGAGGTTATCGCCGTAGAATAGGATCTGTTTGCCAGACGCCAAAAATAACATAATTTGAACTGCATTTAACCGCTTATGGAAAAAAAATTGAACATGTGAAAATCCACCTCTTGGTTAATAGGACAATAAATCAAAATGTAGTTCGAAGACATGGATTTTTATCGGTGAATAATGATCGTCCCATGAAAACTAAAAACTCGTTCGGTGGGGTGCAAATCCTAACTAAAACTAGCGAAACGTAAACTACTGAATAGATATCACCGCTGACTTTTAGCTTTTCACTTTTAGGTTGAGACGACGTAAACGTTAGTATCCGTGACGCCTTATCTGAAGGCAGATATCTTACTTCTGACAAGGGAACAAATATTTTACTTCTATCTAACAAGAAAACTCACCGCCTTGGCTTTAATGGCCAGGTGTCTTGTGAAGCTGGTGAATGTTTCATCTTGTTGTCTAGATGCCACCTTCATCGTGCAAAGACTGAGCACATAGTTCCTGTAATCAACTATGAAGATTTTGTGCAAATCAACATGGGAAATGTGGTTAATGTTGACCACACTTCTCATTTTGATCAGTACAAAATCTTAAACATTATAATAGGATAATTATGCGGTAGGTAGTGCAGTTTAACATAATAACCGTGAATCCAGGCAAATAACTGATCATGCACTACATCTAGAGAAGGAGAATTCATCTAGACTTAAAGATATTCTATCAGAGGTAAAGGGTTGCAAGTGTCTTGCCCTAAAACAAAACTTGGTTAGGCCAGGATATTTTGATCTGGAGCCCAACAAACTCCATTCTGCGTTTTTTCTAAACCAAATGCACTTTGCAGCGCTGTGCGTGACCAAGGTCATATAACCTTTAACATGATGCTTGACTTCCTCGTGTGATGTATTGTAAGTGCTAGTAAGCTCTTTTAACGATGGGTGGCCTTCCTTAAGTTCTTGTTGTTTCTTAATTTCATATACACCCTACACTTATTTCTCTAGTCAAATACATTTTTTATACTTTACAGGTGTCACTGATTTCTTATGCGGCCAGGGCCATAGAACTCTGATACAACAAATACAAACAAGATAAATTGAAATACCGTGATATAGCTTTAATTAACCCCACGCCAGAGAGGCTAGGAACTAAGCACAGGTTTTTAATAATTTAAAAACTTACGGGGCAATTTCCATGCGCTTCTCACGTCCCCTGGCAGCAACGCACCTAACTGTTTTAAAGGAATTTTTGAGGAGACATCCAGATACGATTTCCTGCGAAGGAAAAGGTAGCGCTTTAATAAATGCAGTGTAAGCGACTTTAAACAAGCCTTGAAGCGAGAACACCACGAAAAAACCGTGGAAAAATGTATAGAGGGCGCTCATAATCATGGTAGGCGTTTGAGTTGAGAAGGTCGATCATGTCAAAAGAAGAAACAAAACAAAACAAAACAAAAAACAAAACAAAACAAAACAAAACAAAACAAAAGAGAGACAGCGATATACTAAAATTATAAACAAAACGCAATAAAACAATGACACAAAACCCCCGGCTAAACAAACAAACAAAACAAAAAAAAGCGAGCTGAACCGCTGGACGTCATGTATCAATCATGACAAATGAAGTGACTAAAAAACAACAAGAAAGACAGAAAAAAGAGAAGTGGAAAAAAAGAGGAAAACTTGCGTGAATTAATCATTTCTCGAGGCTGCCGGGTAAACTCACCAAAAGTTGAATCCCAATTTATGTCCTGCTAGCAGTGATACGCATCCAAGTCTCTTGTCTTTACATGTAACAAGGCCTCTCCACGCTAGAATGCCGTCTTCCTCTTTAAAAAACGGAGTGTAGATATCCTATGGTGAAAAAATACTGTTAATAATCTACAGAAATATCAACTAAATTTACTACTACACTTAGGGTAAAAAAGAAGACAGAAAATAAATGTGATGTTTTGACGATCAAGTATGTAGACCTTGGCAAACACATCAACAGAACAAGACGATAATAAAACAAATAAACAAAAGCACTTAAAACAAAATGAACAAAAATATATGAACCAAAAACACCAGCCTCAAACCTTCATTAAGGAATAACAAAACGGGAACTCAGCGTCCTTACCTCAATCGGTATTATAGAATCCTTAACAGCACTCGCTAAATTCTCTAAAGAGACAGGTGGTTTTAATGGACTGCTCATGTCTTCGCTTCTCTGAAGAGCGATAACGGCAAACGGGAGGCAGTGTCGCGGGCGCCTTGATGGTAGTCCTTCGTCATCGTATTCATAGAGGTAATACTACAAATAGAAATGTGATATCGACATAGGAGCGTATTTCGATTGAACTTTGTGAAACCAATACCAAAGTTACCTCGAGGAATAATGATGAGAAAGAAAGAAATGATACAAGGAGCACATAATGACCCGAATCAAAGACAAGCGAATTGGCTGAAAACCGCGAGAAGATAGCAAGAGTTTTCGCGTCCAGCTGCGGAATGAAGTAAAGCGAAATCCAAACAGCACCTTTAATACGATTTTTAATGAGGATAATGCAATCTTTATTTCAGCGGAATTGAAAAGCAAGAGATGATGCGCAGCTTTTGTTTACATACGAAGTCAAACAGAGATCTTCATCAAGAAAGCATGGGGAAGAGTAACGGGGTGACACAGACGCGAGTTTCCCTTTAAACAGTGTCTGTTAAGCAGTTCCCAGTTCTACATACTTAAACATGCACTCGACTCATTTTTGTAATCAGCATTAAAATTTCTATCCACCAAAATTGTTCATCTCTGACTATAAATTTTGTGTCGGTAGTGTGCAAAGGCTAAAATACCTGAGTGCTTCGCATGAGTGTGGTCAAGTCTGTAACGGAGGGACAAGTCGTGTTTCTTGACACGTGGCAGTCATAGTTCGGACTTGGTTCCACTGTATCACCTACAGGCGATAACTTTGGCGATACGAACTTCGCGCGGCCCTTTACAATCTGTAGTGGAAGGAAATGAAGAGTTTAATTTAGTACTTTAACCACCATCGCCGTTACAATGACAATTTTCCTGAACGTAAAGGTCACCATACACTTGTGTTAAAACGACCAAGACAAATTCAGCAAGAGCAAGGGTGTAACATAGATAGTGTTTAGGAGATCCGTTTCTATAACAGTAATTTCTTGGAAGCTATGATCTCGTAACCTATGTCGTTGCCAAAAAAAATATCTTCATCATGAACAAATTCGTAATCATCAGTGTTATTTTCATCGCAACAGTTGTCATCGTCGTCATCAATATCGTTACAGTCACTACCTCGCTCCATCTAACAGCGGTGGTAATATTAAAAGAATGTTGCCGAAATGCTGGCGTGAAGATGTTCTTAGAAAGTCTAAATATGTTTATAATAAAGTTCGGGTATAACGCGCGCTGTCATTGGTTGGAAGAGCGTGCTCTATGAGAAAATAGAGCATAGAGCTGAGCTAAAGCTGTCACGCCATCTGCCAAATTGTACTGTTCGACCTTTTCCGGGACTTCTTTCTAGCTTTTTTTCAATAATTGAAAGTGAACTTTCGGAACAAGGGAGTCGGCAAGTAGCAACAGAAGAACCAACAAAGGTTAACATACCAGGCGCCGTAATTTACGTTACTAAAACGTGAGCAGAGGCGAAAATCCTCAAAGGGAAAACAAAATAAACACGCCGAGTTTTAGAGGTTTTCACGCTCAGTTAGATTGCAAGCTTACATTCGGAAATAAAAATCAGACACAGCTAACACCCGTATAGTATATAAAGTTTTGTGTTCAAAAACGAAACAGAACAAAACAGGAATGATGACAAATATAACTAAACTAGCATAACTGTTAAAATTCATACAAATCATGACGGTGTCTGAGCGAATATGATCATGCTAAGGTTCATCGCGGCTCGCTCATCCTGGCGAGCTCCGGTCATCGCAGTGAAGCAAGCCTCAGAAACTTCAGTGTCCGCGTGAAAAAATAAGAGCTTGTTCTGATATCCTTTCCGATGCGTTGAGTGGAAAGCCACATCAGTCACTGCAGCCGAGTTTTGCGGCGCTGTCATCCCGAGCGATCTTCATGTTCCGACGAATTCGGCTGTCGTTCATTCATAAAACACTCGCCTTGAACAGTTTGTTTTCTACCTTGTCATGTGGAAAAACTCGCGTGTTTTTATAAGCCTTAATTCGGCTAAAGTTCACAGAACATTTCACTTTAAGACTCTGTATTAGAGACTTAAAAACTTCAATCAAAAGTATTAGATTCGACCTGCTGCACTATTTTGGTTTGTAAACTATCGCAGAATGTGAACTTTGATGGTTTGACATTTTTGAAAGCTTTAGTCTTGTACAGCCAATCAGATTTTTTGAACCATTCTAACAGGGATTCTGATTAGCTTATTGTAGCGTGCTTTATGAGAGTATGGAGCATGCTGACGACTTTGTTGTTCGCTTTGGAAATAAAGTTTGTTTTGAAAATTTAAAGTGATGCTTGGGGAATTCAACGGATTCTTTATTGTAAAATAAATCGATTTATTTATTCTTTCGTGCTCTAGCCGCTTCCTTCGTGCTTTATAACAGAACAGAGCACAGTCAAGGCTTCTCTAATTGTTAACGAGATGAAAATAGGATAATTATGAGTTGACCATGGAGTCAAACATATATTCAGTTTGCACGCTTAGAGGCTAAGTGAACAGAATATATCAGATTCTGCATTTTCTTTCACCCTCAAAAATTCCTCAAGAGTTCTTTAGAGAAGGCAGAACGTGCAGAGAATTTCTCCTTCGTCTTCTCTTTTGACTGAAAATCATTGGCAAGGGACAAAAAGGCCTGATACACTTATCTTGCCTAAAGAAAGGAAACAATATCTCCTATTTCTGGTTTCACTCTTCTGCACTTCAGATTTTTGCTGGATTTTCGCGTTCCACTCCTTAGATGATTAAGTACACACCTACCTTAAATACCATTAGGTACGCAGTTCCAGACGTGGGCCAACTGAACGCTCTGAGACACAAATCCGGATACCTCCACACGGTCACACCCATGTGTCCATCGCCAAGGGAGTGATCCACACCATCGCAAACCAAACCTACCCGACAAATCTCCTTCACACGACTATCTTCTTTCTCAACACAAAACGCTAATTGTTGTGTGAGCTCTTTGGGTGATCTTCCCTCATCCCGCATTGACGCTCTTTTCTCGTGATACTCTCGCTCTAAGCCTTGATTTTCCACCTTTTTTATGTAAGAGATGCTAACAGCTCGATCGATGAGGTCGTTGGTGTCCCATGTTAGCCGCTTGACGCTTTGCTCAATTTCTTTTGCTTCTCGTGAGTTCACTGGTAAAACGTACTGACAATCTGTAACAGAATTAAGTAAAGTTCAATTTGGGTTTGATTTAATTTGATTGTCGAAAGCAATACGGAATTGAAATGGTTTTACTTCATTTCTCTCTTTTATTTTCCCAAATAACTCCGCCAAACATCTCCATGAATCAAATAGAGAAATAAAGCCAATCACGACGTGATCGCCGTCTTATTAGAGCACTAGACAGATTGTTTGCTTATAGAGCTTTTTCCAATCTTAGTTCTGACCCTTCATTGGCTCGGTGAGAACACCAGGTTAATCACATTATATTTCTCGTCCAATTTGGAGTAGATAAGCACCCGAAATTTTTCAAACATTTCTGAATTCACTCGCTCTACGGGTTTGTGTACATTCGCTGGTATTTAATGAAAGAAAAAAAATTTCGTGCATATTTGATCCATATATCTCTCGCATCAAGCGGAAACTTGCTAATAACTATCCCCGAAAGGAAGGCTTTATCCCTTCCTGCCTTCCCTGAGAGGGAAAATAAAGAAATATTCCGATATTCCTTCACTCGATTGAAACCATGATAAGCTTTGGGAGTAGAGCCATTTGGTCCAGGTTGTAAAATTACATTCTTTAAAATGGAATTGAATCAGAGAAGGTGACGCTGCTTAACAGTAGAGGACACGCGATTCGGATCTTAACAAAGAAAGCAGTGTACGGGTACACACGAACTAATTTTGTATGCTTTTCGTACACACAAGAAATTTTACTTGTGTGTTTCCTTAAAAACCGATTTTAGCACACTTATCGTTCTCAATAGTAACTGAAAAATATGTGAAAAGACGTCTACTCTTAAAAATGGGTTATTTTACTGAAAACTTGGTGTGTTGTACCATGTTTGTGTGTACAAACGAAATTCTTCGGGATGCGTGCACGAGAGAAAGCGGTTGTTATCCACGAAAGTGGCCGGCCTGTATCTAAGCTAATGTTTGTACAGAATGGCATATCTCTACAATTGCAAACGAAAATACCTAACTGCTAGTTTCTTTAATGCTTACATGAAAAAATGCAGTCTATGTTAATTCATTAACTTCGACCATTTTTCGTGTTAGAACTTCTTCACCTGTGAGGCACAATTTTTAAATCCCTCTTAAATCCCATTTAATTCCAACCGTAAAGGGAAAGAAAACCGAGATAAACTAATCTTCATTAGCCGAAATCAATTTTGGTTCAACTTTTCTCCACTTAAATCGCAAACACGTGAGCTAAGTGAAGGTTTTTGTTGTCAAAACTAGTGGCGGCTAGCGATTACTCAAGACGTCGTCTTAAAAATCATTTCATGGTTATTTTTGCAAGGTTTTCCATACAGCAGTTTACTAACAACTCTTTTACGCAAAGTCACTAAAACAAAGTCGAAAGCCCCTTATTTTTTCAATGTTTATTCGTTCATCAATTCATCTCCTTTTTATTAACAAAAACGAAACAAACTAATCAATAAAAATTTCATTGGCGTATTAATTCTGCAGAGGAACATGCTTCCTCGGGAAACGTAAACATCATTTTTCGCTAGTTCTCTCTGGAATAAATTTACATGAACATAGAATTGTTTTCTGATCTGAACTAGGAACAGGGTTGACATAACTGCGAGCGCTGCTAATGGCTATTTAAGAAGTTCCGTGTTTAGGAACTTCACTGGTTAATCACACATTTAAATAACTGATCAGCGTGGGTGTTTAACTTTTTTTTTTTAGATATTTGGCTAATGGACCGAGCTAGAAATTGAAAGTGTACACCAGATGAATTGGCAGAATTCAAATTGAATATTACCGAGTTCATATTCACATAAACCGAAATATTTTCAGCGACATCAATACGAGTTAGAAGGTTAATCAGAGCTTTGTCTTCAAGAATATCCAAAAGCTAAGCAAAAAAATTATCAATAAAAAAGGAACTTGATGAGGGAACAACTAAATAACAACAACCACCTCTAAATGTTTCCGTAAGAAAATTGAAGGTGTAATAATGGAACTGTTTTGTAAACAAAACCAGCAATTTGAAGTCACATCGACGTTTAACTGTCGGTTTTAAACTTACCATATCAACTTCTTTCTCACTTAATTAAATGACATTTTCACTTTCAACCATATTCCATAAAAATGTTTGATTTTCCTGACGTTCAATTTCGACTATATATATGGTACTTAGGGGGCACGTACATTTTCATATTTCTGAGGGATACTGTTTTGCGATTAACAACAAGAACAACAACAAGAACAACAAAAGGACGAAATATCACACAGCTATTTTTCAGATATCATCTCTAAGATATTGAAAATAGTAAAACAACAATCGTTACGAGACCAAAATGTTTAACTCAGTTAAGTTAATGATCGGTAAATTTGCTCTAATTTCTTCATATTTTCGAGGACATCTTTGTTTATGATAAGATACTAAAGTGTACACTGATATGTTCATGGTAAGTATTTTGTGTCTGAAAAACCCCACGGGAATGCGATAGCAACCTCGAAAATTGAATTCTCAATTTAGGTACAATAAACTTCAGAACGGGAAAAATACAGCATCGACTTTAACAGAAAACGCATCAAAATTGACATGGAACTTTTTTACCTTCTGAAGGCCTTCTTTCTTTACGAGGGATTGTGTATGCCTTGAAGGACCAACTTAGATCTCGAACATCTCCCATTTCCACGGCCAAATTTGAAAGGCTAGGAAAAAGAATAAAAACATTAATTAAAATGCACTTTAAATTCAAAGTTAAAATCTGGATCAGCGAACGCGAGAAGCAATCAATTTGAAAAGCGCACCAAGTTAGGAACTCAAACACAAACTCGCAAGTACTTGAACGAGTATTTGCAATTACTTCTACATTAAAACTCTGCGACTTTCCACGCAAAAGCTTAAACAATTACAGTCACACACAAACACACACACACACACAAAAACACATCCTTTAATTTACATTTTCATAATGGCACCTGTTTCAGGTCGGTTATAACTAAACAATGACGTAAGCCGCACGCAAACAGATAACAGTGAGCTACGAAACGACCAGACATTTCGGCACTGATCGTAATTTCACTCGCTCATTTTATTCAATAAATAACTTTAAGTCCTATCAATAAAATAAAACTGTCAGTAGAAAACACCTAAATGCAAATTAAGTGTTACAAAGAAAAAAAACACAGTGAGCAGCGACTCCGAAAGCGAATCATTTATCAATTTTGTGGCGCTTGCAAAATTGCGAATTACGCTCTGCCAAACTGTATCAATTCAATATTTCTCCTTAGAAAATTTCGCGCCTAAGTTTAGGCCTCACGTAAGATGCTCTGAACTAAAAGGATTTCAGATGTTTTGTTTGCTAGTTATTTCCTTTCACAATTGACTCGCACTGGAACAAATTATAAATGACTTCAACGGCTGGGGAATCTAACATAAAATATTCCGTACACGTACCAGGATAGCCAAACTCTACCACAGTTGCATTCTAGAATGTTTAAAAGCACTCCACCGAGACCGTCAAACTGTACTCCGATTCAATAAGAGCTAAAAAGAGAACAAAAGTGACACCTAGCTTCACTTTCCAAAGCTGAAAATTCCGACAAGATGGTTGCCGTCTGGCTGTCAAACGTCACACAACGGATAATTTTCCCGCCAACAAGAGTCGCGGCTGTCAACCTATCAAATAGTGCCAAATCATTTGTTTTGGCCCTCTGCTGGCAAGGCGTTTGGCCATCTTGATGCACTATTGTAGCATTCAACAATAATTTGACGCAAGAAAACAAAGAAAAACTTAAAACAATGTCGTACTTAGAACTAAAGAACTAAAGAACAAGACTTCGTTAAAAACAACTGTTGAATATTTTCATTTTACCATATAATTCGTACTTATTGTGAAATTTTCCATAGCACTTTCCCCTGATGATATCTACGGTTCTTAACCGAAACATTGGGATTTTCTGATATTTTAAAAATATTTTCAGAAATTTTCATTCATGCAGTTAATGTCCTTACAGTTTGCATGCGCTCAGATCTCACAAAATTACGGAGCCTAGACAGTGCCATCTCTTACTTCTCACCAAAATTTTTTCCACCACCTCTGTTTTTTTCCAGCACGACTTCAGTGAAAAACGGAGAAAAGACAAGTCTCCACGCTTTAACCGCTCCACAGCATTACCAGAGAGCTGAAAAAAATTTAAAAAAAGAAAAGAAAAAAAAACGGTGAAAATAAATAAAAAAAAGCTTCAAGAGAACATTCCTTTCGCAAGGAGACCGTATCCATCGATTTTACAAAACTTGCAAAGTTTATGGGCTTAACACCCTTTGATGGTTGTTTTTTCCTCCATGTGAATAAAGCATCTCACCTTCCAAAACGAATGCAGAAAATTTGATTAAAAAGATTTCCACCTCATGACTTGGTAAAGCTTAATAATCCTGTAACCCCTAAGAGTGACTGCCATCTAATTTCTCTTAACGGTATTACCTCTGAAGATCATGATAATAAGGGAAATGATCACTAAATTATCCTTGTCGATACCACAGGAAATGTATAGAGAAACGTGAGGAGAATATGCATGCTGATATTAGCGTTAGAAAGGGTTTATCAGAGCCCATTGTTCACAAAAAAATTACCGACTAAAACACCAGAAGGAAATTTCCATCAACTGTCCCTTCCAATGTCCCTGCAGATGGTCCGCAATACTTGGAGCTGGGCTGGACGTGTTTTTGCTGGACCGTCTCACATCATTCGATGTAATGCGGTCCGGCATCAACAGGTCCAGCCCAAAATGTGTAGCTTTCAATATGATTTCCGAAGAGATCGCGTTAGCGGAACCATACGAGCTAGGGCCTCTCCGAAATAGCGAAAAAATGAAAAGGAATTGTCCCGACAAAATCAAATGTCAAATTTTTTCAAGACAAATTTTTGTCTCGTCTTTTGCATCCGCATGAAAAATTTCAAAGCTGTCAAATTCCGTCAACTTCTAATCTGCTTGAGCTCACAAGAGCGGCCAGCATAGTTTGCCTATGGATTAGAACTCCGATCGCCAAGATTCGTCTGAGGTCGTTCAGTGAAAGTTCTGAAATCCAAGAGTTTCGCAAAAAAAAGAAAAGACAATTATTCTCCGAGCTCTGATAATAAGACGAACCCAGTTCAATTACACGCTTTTGGTAGCTTTTGTGACAAATGATTGGCAAGTTAAACACTGCTTTGTTTATTTGGTCGATTTTGTCAAGTCTTTACCAGGCTGGATAAATTCTGTCCTAAGTACGTTAGGAGATTTGCCTCGTCCAAAATTTGTCAGGTCGTAACAAGCCAGCAGCACTTGTTAAGCCTTAGTGATGAGCGCAGCTTGTTCCAGGCATTCAGTCAGTAAAACGAAGCGAAATAGCAAAAGGTGCAATACTAGCGGCGGAGTGAAAAAGCGAGGGAGACGACTCAAACCAAGCCTCCCCGTTTTTCACTGCTCTGCTACCTTAGCGCTGTTTCCTTCGCGCTTCGTTTTACTAGCTGAATGCCCAGAAAAGGCCATGATGACCGAATTTTTGCAAGTCCGGAGAGGCTCCCAAAGACCATTTCGTACAAACTTTGGTCACTTCAGATATCAAGAAGACTTTTTTTTCAGAACGTAAGTAAACCAAGAAGTATAAAGAGATCGGTTGATTTCAAATGGTTTAAATAAAGTAGTATCATGCGATCTTGTTATTGTGGAAATTTTGCCGGTTTCAGAAAAGAATCGAAGTATAAAAAAGCCCAGGGCCTGCTGGTGACAGGGTTTTCAGGCCCTCCCCCACCAGATGTTGCATCTGGTGAAAATTTTTTTCTATAAGAATCTAAATAAAAGAATCACTCTCTCCGAAAAAGCCAAAAGAGAGAGCAAAAATTGATGTGCAGGTCGAAAAGGTTGACATTTCAAAACGAGGGGGAGGGGAGAGAGTGCCGGCGGAAGGTCCGAAAACCCTACCATCAAACCCCAACTCATTTTAAGTCAAAATGATTTTTAAAAAGTAACTTAGCAAGCCAAATAAATGGAAAGAATAAAAGCAAAGCAAAACTACTTATATCACTAGCAATGACCTAACCTCAGGAATATGTTTAAAACTTAACATAATTTAGCGTCGAAACTTCAACCCGACTCTAATAGAAAAGACTGCATTTCATCCTTTAATTTACACTTTAACATCTGTATGCGTATTCTTTATACTGCTCTCTAGACATTTCCCTGCAAGAGCTTACCAAGTAGTCAAGTTTTCTGTATTCGCATAACTTTCATCAGTTTTGAGTCAGTTGTTATGGTGCAAAGTGAAACCAGTCGAACCTGTATTAAGTGGTCATCCACGGGGAATGGCGCTTAATGCGGGTTAACCGCTTAATGCAGGTTCCACATGTTATGGGTATTAAAAAAAAAAAAAATAATAATAATAAACAACGCCTCTTCATGCCATAAGTGACCACTTAATGCACAGAATCTCGCTCGAAAATAGAACTCACTTTGATTTTGGGAGAGAAATGTGGATTAAAAATTACTTGAAAGATTATTCTTAGGTTTATATGAAAAGTTCCACTTTTTTGTGACCGCTCAATACAGATGGAGGACAATAAAGAGTGACCGCGACCGCTACCGCTTAATAGAGGTGACCACTAAATAGAAGTGAATATGACACTGATTAAGGAGAAACTAATTCTCTCTCTCTATTATTTTTCCAGAAAATATGGTTTTATCAACTGAATTGATAATGTAAATTGGGCTCTGTGAAGGATTCCTAAAGCTGACGTTTTGAGCGTTAGCTCTTTGTCTGAGATAGCTATAAGCCTTCATTCACTGTTCAAAAAAAAGGTGTTTCGATATATATCGGCTGACGAGATCTTGAAACGCGCTTTTGTTAAACATCGACTAGGCTGTAGACTGTGTCCAGGTAACCGTAAGTGCATTTGGATAAGTGCAATTTCCGCAGTTTATTGAAAAGCAAAGTAAATTATCAGGTTAACTCACGGTAAACTAGTAGTCCAGTATCAGTTTTAGTAAACAAAAGCGGGTATCCATATTTTAAAATAGCAAGGCAATTGATTTTTCATTGACGTTTCTTGACATATGCAAATTCTAATACTTTTAATTAAAACGCTCCAAGCAAGTGCGAGAATTGTTTTGATTGCAACCGCGTGCACCTTGCCTTTAATGGATCTCATCTCTCAACTAAACAAATACACCTGGAGACTTCTTTTGGCAAAGCTCTTTTTTCATTTTTAATGCTTATTTGATTTTTCCATCGAATGATTTAGCAAGGAAATCCAGCAAGGAATATTATTTTTCTTATGCTATGAATAACGAAAGAGGTAAACTCAGAGCTTGGAGTACCTTTCGAGTGCAAAGCATAAGTGACATCGACCAACAAAAACCTCATGAACTTCCTTTCGATGTAAAGATTGAATTAAGAGCTCCATAATAAACGAATAGATCGCTCAGGCATCGTTGGAAACTGATCGATTCCGCCGAGTATCTCGGGTACAAATTGTAAACCAGTATTATGTTGAATCTGTTGCATTGACTCTCTTTGTCCAGGTAACAATTGTAATTCAAATGGTAGCGGGTATATTTACATAAGCTTGCCTCCGCGGAAAAAATGAATATCTGGAGTTATACCTGTAGTATGAAGCAATTCGATGACTTCTTTTCCAAAATAATTCATCTTCCAACAAAGTTTCTCACACAGTTAGAAGACTTCGTTGGTGATCTGAACATTTTGAGACATAAAGCTTAGATAGCCTCGAAAGTTGGATAAATATAGTGTTACCCATAGCTTGGAGTGGACCGATGGAAAAAAAAAATCATATAGTCGTTGCTGTTGTGAATGCACACACGCACAAGAAAGAGAAAAAGTATATTGAAAAAAAGAAAAGAAAAGAAAGGAAGAAACATTTACAACAATTTACAAGTCAAGCGAGCCGACTCGCATAGTAGAATTCGAATAACTGACACAAACGCGCGATCATGGTGAACAGTCCTTCCCTAAAGAACAACAAATAGACCGTACCTCTTGAACGGGACTCCGTTTTGAAATCGATTTGAATCATGCAAGACTATAATGCACCTCACTTTTGGAACAAGTCGTGCAAAATTAAATAAGCTTGTGCGATCCACTTATTTCACAACAAACTAAAGGTTATCTGAGTGAGAGCTCAAAATAAATAATTTAGAGCCAATTTGAGGATCACAACATCGCCAGCTAGCAGTCTGAATTCAGTGAGAACGAAATATAAACCACTTACCACGGTATTATTGGCATTTTTTCTGACCATACTCTCCACTTTCTCACGTAGAACGTTTGACGTTTTCAGCCAGAGAACTTATCAGGTCGCCTACGATCTGTCAAAACGTGGATTTTTTTGGGTGTATTTTTTATTTACTTAGCCTTTGTTTTACATATATTTTCTATGCTTACGTCCTAAGCGTAGCGTTGAGGAGAGGGTGGAGGGTCTGGTGAACAGCTCTACATGCTACACTGCACTCCCATTCATGATCAGGGCAAGGTTTTTCGGCTGTTTGGTCTTAAATCGGCTATTATTTTCTATAACCTGAGAAAACACAAAAGTAGATCAACGTTTTCGTATTTCAACAAAATAGAAGAAACAACCTTATCATATATACCAATCGGGCGAAATTATTTGGGTGAATTTAATAACTTCTTTATTACTTCGAGGGGCACGGAAAATTCATTTGAACAGACACCTACCAGTACAAGGTGCTTAGGGACTGAAACCTGGTCGCAGTTTAGCTTTTGCTGAAGTAGATTTTAAGTAAGGGACTGGTTCTATAACTTCAACAATGCACAACTGCAATCTTCACTCTGGTTTAATGACTTGGACGGTTACTACAACTTTTCACGTTCAACTCGGTAACTGAACTGCTAGCGAGGTTGTTACTGACCACGTCGACAAACCGACAGAAAATAGACAATCATGCATTCATCAAACTATCTCTTGTTCCTAGTTTTTGCTCACGTAATGCTTTACGAGTATTACAGTATAATTTGGTTCTATCAACTGAGTTAATAGTGTAAATTGGCCTCCATATAGAGATTCTAAAGCTGATATTTCGATTGTTTACCCTTTCATCAGAGCGAATTGTTAACTAAACGTTTAGTTTGACGTTTATGAAAATAATACGTCGATCGCAAAGAAAAATTTTAACTTATTTTTTTCTGCTTCCAGCTGTTTGCTCACTCAAAGAATGCTGATGTTATTTGAGCCGTATTTTTCTGCGGGCATGAACTTCGGGTTATGAATTTCTATTAAGGACAAAACCGATTTCTTGTACGCGTGACCGGTAGCGTGACAATCTGCGATAATGTGACTTTTAATCTTGCGTTACATTTTTCCAACTCTGACCAGTACTGGATAGCGGGCTCCGGTCTATCATTGTTGCTAGCCAGTCCCTCGCTCACGTCAAAATCTTCGATAGTTTTAACCTCTCGCATTTTGTGCCCAAAAAGTGTCAAAAGCCCTTTAATTAACCACCTTCTTAATGGATTTCGTGCAGATGTGAACATATTTGTGATGAAATGTCGTACTTGCACACCCACTGGAGAGATGTTGATGTAAGTTTGCCTCATGTTATTTCTATCGGTTCCGTGCTTACCAGATACCCCCCTCTCCCCCTCTTCCCGATCCGTCTTTCCGATGCAGCAAGTTAGGATATACCCAGAGATATCAAAATAACCATTATTTGGTAGGCATCTGTTGTTTTTACCTGCTAATTTAAGATTGCACGCTTATGTACTTCCTATCGGAAACAGACGTGCCGGAAATGAGGATCGAAAAACGAGAACGATGACAAAGCACAAACTAATCAAGTTGGTAGACCAGCTAACTTGAGCAAATCGACGTGATTTGTCTGCAGTTGCAACGTAACACTGACACTGGTTTGAACCAAAAATAAACCCAGAATGAACAAAATCTTTTTTTTTCAAATTTATTTATATTGTAATCTTTATTATGCCATTTTGTAATATAAATACATCAGTAAGGAATAACATGTACAAAAAAAAATTATATAATTATCGCGACCTACAGAAAATTCATTAAAACCAAGAGCCATTGATTTTTGACAGGCTTGATTATCTTCTTAGCTGGCGATGTTTGCATGCTTTCTTGCTCGGTTTTCACATGACTTAAGTTAGTTACACTCTTTGAAAATAGAGCAACGCATGGTGAGGGTGTAGATAATGTTTCAGCAGGATAAAACACATTCAATATCATTTTAAAGGTGCCTCTTTTCAAGAACTCTCTTTTAAATTTATAGGCATGGAGGAAAGAAGGTCTCCCACTGTCAACAACAAGTAATGAAGCTGCAAAAATGTTTGATGCTTCCCTCACTCAGGTTAGCAGGGGTTTAAAAACAAGCCAGCAAACACTGCAGTTCTGCTGGCCATTTGATAACATGTCACTAGTGACTCTGGTCAAAATAATTACCTTTTGGTCCTTAATGAACTTTTTACAGACACATTCTTTTGCAGAGTCTGTTGCCAAAACTTCAACAAATTCTGAAACCCCAGTGTTGGTTCAAGCAGTAATGGTGTAAATGTATTGGGTCATTTATTACAAAGAAAAACATACAGCTGGTAGTAGAACTTTGGAGGAATGGGACAAAGAGGCACAGATTCCAAATTTAAAGGAAGGGGAGGGGTGGGAATGTGATTCAATATGGAACATCTTCAGATTTCAGGTTTCTATAAGTCAACATCTTTGGGACAGTGCTGAGATATGTAATCTATTATCTAAGATCTCAGATCTATCTGTGGAGGAATTATGGGTCACAGCGGCTGAAATTAATTGGACATTTAATTTTGTGAGCTAAAGTTTCAGTGGATGTGTTAAATGTAAGTCATATTTATCTTAGATATAGCTGTCACTGAAAAATTTGGTGTATTATGTATTGTTTGGGTAAATAACCTCTTATATATGATTATATGGTTCAAAGGTTGTTGCTCATCATGATGATAAAAGTGTTGGTGGTCTAGAGAGTTCAGTTACCAGGATGTTGCAAGCAGATCCTGATTTTGGTAAACATCACCTAATAATTTTTATCAAAGGTTATACTTGTACATTCAGGCCATTTAAATTTGTTCTTGATAAATTTGTGGGTGTATGATAATTCACTTTAGGTATCTTCTGTAAAGCGTGATGATGCAACAGTGCTCTGATTCAGACAATTAATATTTACCTCATATTGGACCCAATTGGTACACACTACATCTCGAAAAGTAACAAACTGTCAAAATTTGATTCTCAATCAAGGCTGTGTATGAAGTGAGAAAAATTATGCAATGTACATAGGCCCTCCAACTTGTACATTTCTACAAGGTTGATCGAGAAAGTTATGGCTTAGGATTCTATACAGAATTAAGATGAATTGCCTAATTTGCTGCACAATAGAAACCTCCTTTTTTGCCATGTTATAATATTATGACTGTAATCGGTGCATTATTTTTATTATTTTTCAAGGAAGTAAAGACTTTATAAAAGATAGTTTGTTTGAACTCAAAGTAAAATATTTTGCAGAACTTTAATCAACATGGATCAAAATGGATGAATTGAAGTAGGCAAATGTTACCTAAACAAATACAAAAAAAAGAAACAAAATTATAATTAAAAAAATTAATTACAAATGAATAGACAATACATATATGTTAAACTTTATTTTGAGAATTTGTTAGGTATGCATAACATCACTCTTATTTAATGTTCACCCTTTTTCTTGTTGCTACAGTTATGGGTCATGTTTTAGCATCTTTTTGTCTGCCTGGTCATGTAAAGCATTCTGATGTTGCTCAATTACTAGCCATGGAAAATAACCTTACTGACAGAGAAATGCTCCATGTTAAGGCTTCAAAAGAGCTAGCAGCTGGGTAAAGTATAGTATAACTAGCTGTTAACTTTTAACTAATAATTGAATTACATCTGACAAAAGCTTGGAAAATTTTACACTCAATTTAAATCCTCTTCACCTCCTCCTGGGTCCTTATAGCTTGCAGGGTCATGTTTTGTTCCCATAGGCAAGGCAGTTTATTCTCACTGTAGTACCTCTCTCCATCAAGGGGTTTGTAAATGGGTGCTGGAGAACCTTTGGGAAAACCTGACAAAATGCTGGGCCAAATTGTTCAAAGCTGGGTTAAGATAATCCAAGGTTAGTTGGAGATTTGATTTCAGATCTGAAAACTTGAAATGGAAATTCAGTAGAATTCTTTTTGTTTACATGGGATGCCCCATGAAGAATAGGTAAAATTATTCCACATAGGCTTTTGAACAAAGGAATAAAGAAACCTGCATTAGAATTTATCCATGGTTAGCACTAATTAGCCTTCAAACAACTGGGCCTAGGGGATTAACCTAAGATGGAATAGCATATCATCATAGGAGAAGAGCAATACTCCTACATGTAGTCTTTCAGAAAAATCAGGATAAGCTCAGGCATGGCCTAGTGGGCATAAGGACTGGTCTCACATTCCCTATGAAAGGGTAACTGTGTTTTTCACTTTTGAGCGTTTAAACTGTGCAAAAAGCATGTGACTGAGTTGTTAAAGGTGCTGGATTTGAAATTTCAATCCTTTGCTGCATAGTTTAAGCCATTTCCCTTGACAATTTTCTTTCATGCCTATTGAACTGTTTCTAGTTTCCTATGGTAGTTTGAGTTGGTAGAGTTCTGATGTACATTTAATTGATTAAACTTTGTTTCAATGCATCTAAATATGCAAAATTATTGTACAAGTAGTCGTATATATCAAAAAAATGTTACATATATCCCTCCTGGGTGTTGCAGATTGAATTTTTTTTCAATTTTTTTGGTTTATATTTTACTCTGCTATAAAACTTTTCAAACTAGTCTTTTTTTTTTCCTTTGCCTCACATGATGATATTGGATCTGAGACAAAGTAGAATCAAAATCAAATTGGTCTGATAAGTTTTTAAGTAGGTAAAGTCTGTACTCAAGCTAGAAAGCCAATCCAGCCAGAGCTTAATTTGATTTCCATAACATGGAGTGGCCAGGAGTATTACTACTCCTCCCTGGATTGGAGGCCAGTCCATGGCAAGTTTACCCCCTTCCTACCAGCCTTTTATCAGGCTTCCCTGACAATTCACAGGTATCCATTTAAACTCCTGTGTAAGGAGAGGCACTGTGAAAGAAAATAGTTTATCAACCGAAGAAAAGTGTTTGAACCGCTCGACAGTACATCCAGTCACATGCCACTGTCTTATTACTGTTGTAGAAATATGATTAAAGCACAAGCGATGTGGGATGACATTCTGATCGCATACCCCAGGGACATGCTTGCACTGAAAATGCTTTCCAACCACAGCATATTTGTTGGACCTAAGGATTTGTTAAGAGATAGTGTGGCAAGAGTGTTTCCACATTGGAAGCAAGAAATACCACTATATGGGTACAGTAATGGTATTGTTCTGTTGACAACGTCAAGTTTCAACACTATCATGAGAAGAAGTTAAATTCAATTTTTATCCAGCATTTAGAAAATACCGCTTCGTAATTTCTTTGTGTCATAGTGTGCAAATACCACATCACCCACGTATAGTCCATCAAAGACTTTTTCTCGCCCGCGATTAGTCTGAACGCGTCAAGTGATCGAATATGCCCTTGCTAAGACTGGGGAACCTGGTGATATTTCCCAATTATCAAAGCTTACGTTCAATGCGATTTGAAAGTCTTCGTTTAAAATTAATTCAAAATGAGAAAGGGTTTTGCTGTCGTTGCGGGAGAAGCTACATATTTGTTTGTTCATAGATTTCATAATACTACATAAAACTTCATAAAAGACAACCGAAAAGTGAACGTCGGAGCAGTAAACAGTAAGCTGTTAGTAAACAGTTTGTACTGCGCGTTGCAAAAAATATTTATTTTAAATATTTATTTTCATTCATTAAAGATATCTAAGGCACAAGAAACACAGCACCTCCGTTTGGTGCGAGAATATGCACAAGTATTTGTCCTTGGACATGATCGGTTCCTTGAAGCTCGCACTTTTCCTTGAATTTGACTCTCGGAAAACTGTTTGCCTCTCGGAACAGATCATGTTTGAGGTCAGGTATCCCTGCATACTTTCGCGCCAAATGGAGGCTATTGTTTATTTAGAATACAGGAATCACTTCATGTTGCCTGTAATTACGTGTAGCCTGCCATAATTATAATTAACAATACTGATGACAGTAAAAATACTATGTGTTCAGTAAGGGAGAATCTTATCGTCACTCAGTCACGTTTTGACTGAATATTAAAACAAAAAAGGATATTTCCTTTCATGCGCAAATTAAACCCAAGTTAATTAAGGCTCATCAACCATTACAGGTATCTCTTCGGTATGCATGCCTTTGGGTTGGAAGAGACGAACTTCTACAGAGAAGCAGAGAAACAAGCTCGCAAGGTACCAACAACAACCACTTAAAAGAATGTTTGTATACTATCAAGTACTGCAATAATATATTTGGTCTTTCTTCAAATTTTGGTTACCTGTTAACGTTGCAATCCACTAAATGCAGAGAGCGGATTAAGAGCCACAGATAATATGCATACAGTATTTAAGATGGAGCCTAATGGAAAGCCTTATAAAGGAATTTTTATTCATACCCATGCGATGGAAAGGGTCTTCATAGGGAGAGAGTGAGTCAGTACTGCAAAGTTGAGATCGATCTTTGAGCTGCCATACTTAGCGTGGGTGCATTTTTCCTAACCATCCTGTATATTCGCCCCTTTTTCTTCGTTTCCCTGAATCGTCCATCGGAAACGTGAGGGGAACATGGAGATCACATTTGCATGAATTAATACACAGTTCTGTGCAACCAGAAATGCAATGGTGTTTATAATAGACTAAGATAAGTTGTTTGTAAGTTTTGATGTTGCGCACGAGTAATCAATCCTCTTAACGAGTGTATCCTTAGGAACATGAAAAAAGAGAAACTATGGGAACCAGGGTGATGTATGCAGTTTTCAAAATGTTGACCGAATATTGACGCCTGTTCATATGAACGATAGGGATTGGAGCTGATTCCTACAGACACGTGGGCAACACATGCCTTGGCGCATGTTATGGAGATGGAAGGCCGACAGGATGAAGGGATTGAATTCATGAGTAAAACCGTGGAAAACTGGAAGGTACGATTTTTTTCTTGTTCAACATGTGCTTTAAATTTTTGGACACGAGAGATCTCTGGCTTTTTTGTGTGTAATGTATGCTTGTTTAATGCCTCACCCCCCTTCCCCTTGGATTACGGCCGGGGGTTTATGGGGGGAGGGGGGGATGATGCTAGTGAAGGCATATCGATCCTATTTCCGTTAACTTGCCATCTTTCTTATTCTATTTACCAACATGACGCTATCGACATTACTTATCCTAGTAGTATGCTGGACGTGTGTCATAAATGAACTTCGTAATAGGCTTCGCTCACCGTAGAGTCTCTGTGGCTCAGCGGTAGACCATCGGAGCGCGGATTCCAATGTTGTGAGGTTTGATTCCTCATTGGGACTCAGAATTTTTTTCTTTGTCCCACGCTCGTGACAAGATGAAAAACATCTTTCACTCTTTCTGAATTATGATATCGTACAAGTAGTCATTGTAACATGAAGTATGTTTTTTATTATCTGGCCAGCCTTGCGAGTCTTTGACCTGTCACAATTTCTGGCACTGGGCTTTGTATTATATTGAGAAGGTATGTTTGCAATAAAAGTACAAAAATGACATGTTATGATAAGTACTATGAGTTTGAAATGGGAAAAAGTTTCCTCTAACCTCCAAGGATGCAGCAAAAAGGATTGATAGCATTTACTCGTGAAGTGATTCGGAGGGCCAAATAAGAAATTATTTGGCTAGAAGTGATAGATAATATGTACGCGGAGCGCAAGGATGTTTTGATCCTGAAAGGAGAATTTGGGCTTAAACAGCTTGAATTAGTTTGTTGAGAGGGCACCACTGCCAACTGAAGTTTGAAGGAGTAAGTTGATAGCATGGCAATTGTGATCAGTTCCTCACTTGCCATCCGCCGTAGTTCTTCTATTGCATTGTGCATTGTTTGAGACAGAATAATTCTTCTGTTTTTTTGTTTTGATCACCCTTCTCACTTGTTTTGACTTTGTCTCTCACGTTACTAAACAAATAAGGAATTTGATTCGTCTATTTTTCTATTGATTTCAGGGAGACTATGAAGCAGCGCTTAATGTTTATGATACTGAGGTACGGAATTGTACATGTCAATTGAGTCTCTTTCTTCGTCAGCCAAGCTCGTCGCTACCATCGTTGTCACCTGGAATTGTTATTGGTAAAGTCGCCTCCGGCTGCTCTGAAATTAAATTTTATTGAACCATTGCAGATGGCTCCACGATTTAAAGTAAGCAAGGTTTTTACGCTGAGGGATGGATCATCTCTATTGTACAGACTGAAACTTGAAGGTCAGTTGACACAGTAGTGACATGAAAAGATGATCGTAATGATGCATGAAACAGATTATATACCCATGTGCATTTTTCAGTTTAAGCTTGCGTGCGGTGCATATTTCTTAATAGGGCACGTGATTTAAGTCCAAAACAAAAAGAGGGCTTAAGTCTCTTTCTTTGTTGGCAGGAGTCGATGTTGGAGACAGATGGCAACAGCTTTGTCAGTATTGGGAAAGCCATGCAAACGACCATTTAATGGTGGGTGAACTTGTTTGAAAAGATCGCATGCAGGCTTGAGATTTTCCCGTGCATTACAATCAAAATTAACACAGGTCTGTGCTTACACTGGTTATCTACAGGCATTTAGTGATACTCACATGCTTATGAGCACGCTGGGTGCCAAAAATGAAGACTTAACCATGAAACTGTTGGATTCCTTGAGGAAATATGTTAGGTAGGAATGCTGTCGTACTTGTGAGACTTTGGTCGTCATAGCAGTCTCTTAGCTGGATAATCAAGTATTATCAACTGAGTTTATAACGTAAATTGGCTACCGTAAAGGGTGTTAAAGCTGACGTTTCGAACGTTAGCCCTTGGTCATTTCCTCTGACGAAAGGCTAACGCTCGAAACGTCAACTTTTAAACTCTTTACGGTGGCTAATTTACGTTATCAACTCAGTTGATAATACTAAATTACCCTGTTATACTCTACCACCGACGCATTAACACAGTTCTTATAGAAACTTACCCCATTCATTCAACAGCCTCATAGTTGTTTCCTTTGATTCTCATCAGAGATGGGTCAGGCTACAATTGTGAAGTATCACGTACGGTTGGTCTCGCCATCTGCGAAGCATTTGTGGAAGCTGATAAAGTGAGTGGTCCCGGAGAGTGAAGACTAAGAAGTTTTTGGTTGAAATCAAGTTCAAAAGTTTCTTTTCCTGTTTTTTTTTTCCAGGGAGACTTCGATAAAGCTGTGTCGATTTTGAAACCTCTTCGTTATAAAGTAGATCTTATAGGAGGAAGTCGAGCTCAGGTAAGGTTTAAAAAGCATTTTTACAGAGTGCGTAAATCAGATCTCAGATCTCTGACATAATTTTTTTTTTTGTTGTTCGTGTGTATAATGATGGCACAGAACTTCCACTAGCCGATCAAAACACTTCTACCGCTCTCTTGATGTTGAACGGACATTTTAGGGATCCTTTTTTTCTTAAATTCCGAGAGGCTACCTTCAGATTTATGAGATCTGAGCCGACAATCTTATCTTCCATGAATTCATTAGGTCCTAAAAGGCTGTTTGGTAGATATCTCAAGAGAAAACCTGTTTAACTCCCATAATGGTGTATTTCTAGGCGTAGTTTGGTTGTACTACGTTCTTGAGAGAGGCGCACGAGTGCCTCTTACCAGGTACCCATGAGTAGGAAATGAGCTGGGAATACAGATATATGATACATCCTACAGTCAATGAGCCAGGTTCCTGGAGAATATGATACTGCTTAAGTAACATGTTAAAACAAAAAGTGAAGGAGGAATTTGGCCGATGGCTTTTGCCCCATCATTAAACAAATGCAAGTAACTCGAATATGTCATGACGTAATATTTTGAGCCTCCTCAAAGACGTTTTTAGATGGAGGAAAACTGTGCTGCAAAACAAAAATCCTTGCGTTCTTTTGTCTGTTTTAGCGAGATGTTTACGAGTTATTCTTGATAAATGCTGCCATGCACTCTCATCGAAAGGAGGATCACCAATTTGCCAGGTAATCACTTAGTGTATCAATTAGTTATCGACACCCCTACATTGTGTATCTAATGAAGGGACATGCGCAGCGGATTATTTCTGACAAATTTCGGACTTTTCCAGATATGTTGTAGTTACAACAGTTTCTCTCCTGTGTCTTGTTGGGTTCTGCTGTGTTATTAAAGTCTCTCGATGTGGGTATTAATATATTTATACTTTGTTCTAAGCTCTTCTCCACTCTTCTGTTTTGTTTTTTTGATCCTTTTTTTCTGTTTTTTTCTTTTATTGTTGTTGTTGTTGCTGTTGTTTTTTCAGATGTCTTATTGCTGAAAAGAAAGCCAAAAAAGATAACGCACCCCTGACGGACAGACTTATGGCACAAGTACTTCCTCTTTTATAACAATGACATGGAGTAATAATAATAATGACCTAGTTGACCAGGGTAAACCCATCAGCTGAAGTTGTTATTAATTGGTGCCCTGGGCAACTGAAAAATTATCAGTTAATGAAAAAATAACTATTACAGATGAACCATCAGAAAAATGTAAAAGATATGTACAGTGTCGATGGATAAAAACTGAAGTGATATGTTTTATTTTTGTCAATCCACAGGGGATTATTTCGTGCGGACTCACTGAGCTTATATATACTGAGTCTCTCATTATTACTTACCTTTCACGTCTAATCGCAACGCTATCATCATCATCATCATCGTCACTTTATTTGCCTTTTTCAACTACGCAAATTATTTAACTACAGCATTCTGATTTAAAAAAGGCAAGAAGACCCACGAAGCCACCGAGCTTATGGGAGAGGCCACCTCACTTACCACATTATATTTAAGAACAAGTGCTGCGCATGAGTGGCTCAGCCAATTCAACGATTATTCAGGGATCAAACACTGTTTAGATCTCACTTTCTTATTTAACCTTTCAAACGGGAGTTAAGGGAGGAAGGTCTTTCACACTAGTACCGACCACACTGAAATAACACCCGGAGTCAATTCAGGAGCGAATAGAATTGAGCTTGCTTCTAGAAGTCAATTCTGAACATTCTATGAATTATAAGCATCTAGACCATTATGTCATATATTTTAATTCTCTGTAAATATATGTAAATGTAGAGTTGATTTTATTTTTGTTTGTAGCTGTACCTTTAGATATTTTAGCCGTTGTTTAAATCATCTTTCTGTTGCAGTTTTAGCATCTACCCAATAAAGCAATAAAAGGATATTCTCTACGTGGTTAACATATGCCGGAGGGGGGTCATAAGAATACTACAAATCCTTACAGGGGGATCAGGAAAATTTTATCGTGACACAACAAAAATTCCCTAATTCACCCCCCACCTCTACCCCCACAGCGTTCATAAACGATGAACGCTCCTTCGAGTGACTTTTTCTTCAAAATCGCCTGTGTTTCTTTTATCCTCCTTGTAACGTAATTGTCTCGACCTTTTCTGAAAGAGATTCTGTCTGCCCATGTTAACCCTTCCACTTTTCAACCAAACCTAGTAACACACATTCCGTACTGCAGTAAAAATCCATTCAGAATTTCCTCTTTCCCCCCAAAGCTCTCGAGATATTCCTAACATTTTCTTAAAATTTGCATAATTCTCACGATTTTTTTTGTCCAAGTCTAATATCATGACAAACTTCCCTTTCACGCCAAACCACTTATTTCGTTACTAACTGAGTGACAGGTTTGCATGACACGATCTTACGTTACGTCATCACTAGCACTGACCAAAAGAATAGCAGGCTCTGGACCTAAATTAGGGGGCACCAGTCCCTTAATAATTATAAATACTTCGCGCGTGCTTTGTCATTCTCTCCGTGACATTGGACAGGTGACAGTGGTTGGAGTTGTCTGCGGGGAAGTCAGTCGTTGTCCAGATTCGTGCTTGATTGCGTTGAAAATGTCATACCTACACACTCACTGGCGAGATGTTGATGTTAGTGTCTCTATTTGTTTTGCTTTAGATGTGATGCATTCGCCTCTACCTTCTAGTTCCGCCCTTCTTCCCAAGGGGATATGGTGTTTAAATTATGTGACAGGCGGACAATTTTTTTTTTCGCTTTAATCAGACCCCCAAAAACTGCTTTTTCATGCTTTTCGTAGTAGACTTGGAGTTGGTATCTTTTTATACTCGCAAATTGTAATAGATCGTAACTACATGAACATATATGCTGCAGGTCGAAGATCGGGGATCGAAGATCATTGTAATGGGGAGCCATGACCAAGCAAAAATAATAAAGAAATTGATTCGTAGTAGTTATTATCATTAGATGGAGGAAATAAACCACCTTGATAATTTTCGAAGAAAAAAAATTTAAGATTTTTCTGAGGGCAGATCATCACGATCAATATAATGCTAACTATAAAATGCTGCATTTTGTTTTTATGTCTGTTGCCGTAAGGAGAAGTAAGATGCTTATCACTCTTATCGTTAAAAGGAAGAAAAATGTTTTGTTTTGTAGGCATGGAGGAAGGAAGGTCTTTTACTGTCAACAACAAGCAATGAAGCTGCGAAAATGTTCGATGCCTCCCTCACTCAGGTTAGGTCAATATTGAAGGAGTTGTTAGTAATTTCAGAATTGCTATAAAACACATTTTGATGGAAAAAAGGAGACTTTATTTTCCTCTAGAAAATGTGTCAATATTACTTGTTGGTCATCCATATGCATGTTAGACTAGTTGAACACATCAGCAACCAGATAAAGAAAAGTACCAATTTCTATCAAATTTGATCTCTGATAGATATTTGTAGTGGACAGGTGGTTAAATTTCTTCCTCTAACTATATTGGTTCATTCATGATGATTTCCTTTCTATAATCATTTGATTATTCCAACTTGTAACCAATAGTTGCTGTTTTTAAGGTTGTGGCTCACCTTGACTATGACAGTGTTGGTGGTCTGCAGAATTCAGTAACCAGAATGTTGGAAGCAGATCCTGATTTTGGTAAATGTACTAAGCTTTCTTAATGGGCGTCCATCTATAAAATGAATTCAGATGGTCCTAAATTTGTAAAGATTATTTTCAGAGTTACAGGTTTTTTAAATTCATTTTTGAAATAGTATTTAAAAAAAAAACTGCATAATATGGAAAACTTCTAAACTGCTGGAACTCTTTCCAAATGATAGTTTTAAGTGCTAACTAAGGGTATTACACCTACTCTACTGGCATTAAAGTAGTTGGCACTTTTCCTCTTCGCAAGTGATCAATGACCATCAACAGAACAATTTAAAAATCAACAATTTTGTAAATGCATGATCTCTAATAAGTTACTGTCATGTATTTGTAAGTCCCCACATTTTCACCAAATCAATGTGACAAGAAAAGAGTGAGCATGTTTTAACATTTGAAAACATTAAACTGGACGAGATAGGGAGGAAAATAAAAGTTATTGATTGAAAAAATTGAAATGGTATTAATTGTTGAGTTTGCCAAGACTTTTGTCACTTAATTTTTTTACAGCTGATTTTTTTCCTACTTCCACAGTGGATTTTGTTGAAAAGGAGGGACTACCTACGGTTTTTCTGTTTTGCGTAAATGACATCATGATACTGATTTTGACCTTTTGTCTTTTCACAACCGACAGCCATGGGTCATGTTTTGGCATCTATCTTTGAAGTAAAGAATTCTATGGATGTTGCCCAGTCACTAGCTTCAAAGGGCAAACTTAATGACAGAGAAATGCTCCACTTTAATGCTGCAAAAGCACTAGCTGCAGGGTAAGATATATTTAGATGTCATTTCATATGTCTTATAACTTTATTTATATCTCTTATTAACTGAGTTTGAGGTCTTTACTGTAAGTTACAGACCAATTTTTTTGCACCTGGATTTATGTCTCAGGTGTGATAAATCTGAGTGGAAAAAAAGCAAGCTTCCGTAACTTACAATACAGACTTAGTAAACTAGGTTACTGAGATACTTATTTTATCTCTGGCTTGAAATAGAAGATTTCAATTCAAAGAAACTTTTGAATTTAGTTGGCTGTGCAGTGAAGTATGGCCTGCTAAATTAACCAATTAAAGCACATGTTCTAACTGAGAGATATAATGACTATCTTTACCAGTATACTTTTATTAACTTTGAATATAACAACCTCGACCTTTTCATTACATGTTATTATACTTTTGGATTATGGAGGGTCACTATAATCAATTTTTTTCCTCCTTTTAATCTCCTGAGTTTTTATAAGTGCTTAGTAATAACAGGAGCTTGTTCATTATACAGAACATCAATGGTACTTAGTTTTCATAACATCACATTCACCAAGAAGCTTATCATATTAGACTTTTATCATACTATAAGTGTTTATGTATTAAACCCTACCTGCTAATTTCTATAGTATGCAGATGAATTTAAGATGCAGCACTTCTCGTTTGCATATAGCTGGATGGGTCTTGAATCCGCAGGCCTTAGATTCCCAGGTTCTATTAGAGCCATTGTTTATTTCTATACAAATATCCAACTTATAGATTTGAAACTCAACCAGATCAGAACTAGAAAGTTTAGGCAGCCTCGGGCTTGATGATTTATTCAGCTGTATTCAGTCAGAATTTGTTAACCTGAATGGTTAATTAAAATGTTTCCAGCCTGTTTTCTTGTTGTTACCCTCTAACTCCCATGAGTGACCAAGACGAAATTTCTCCTTACAATATCAATACAAATTATCAAGTAGACAAGTGACGAGATAAAGAAAAATATTAAGTAGGGGATTATTAGTTGATCCAATACCAAATTCTCCAAACTAACATCACAAGAACTATTTGGCAGACAGTAAGGAGAATTACTAATGAGATCTTGAGAGTTAAAGAGTTTTAGGGAGGTGGGTTGGCCCAATAGTGAGTGCATGGGACTCTGGTTTGAGAGTTATTGGTTTAAGAGCACTGTAGTAGGGTCATTGTGTTGTGTTCTTGAGCATGGTGCCTCTCTCCACCCTGGAGTCTAAATGGGTACAGTGTTTTTTTAGCAAAGTGTCTGGGAAGCCTTAATGCTGTGGGTAACCTTGCATTGAACTGGCATCCCATTCAGGAAGTAGTAATACAATTTACTCCTACTTGTTTCATGCTATGGAAACTGGGATAAGCTCTGGCTACAATTTAATTGGGACACTTAGCTTGAGAAGACTTTACTAATCAACCCTTGTTGTTAATGACTGTATAGAAATATACCAAAAGCACAAGAAGTCTGGGATGACATAGTGATGGCTTACCCAACAGATATTCTGGCACTAAAGATGCTTGGGAATTATGGCATATTTTTTGGTCCCAAAGACAGGATAAGAGACAGTGTAGCAAGAGTGTTGCCACATTGGAAACAAGAAATACCTTTATATGGGTAAATTAAGTAATAACAGTACTTGTTTATGATTTTGATTCATGATTATAGTGAGCAATCAATTAAAATTTCATTATTATATGTACACTGACTCTACCAACCCAGTAACTGCGGCAGTTGTACTATAGTCTTCTTAACTTTTAAGTTAATAAAATATCACATTTATGTATTTTTTATCCTGTCCATATGGTTTGAGGTTTTCCTTGTATTTACTTTGATTAGGCTATTTCTTTTGTTGTAATGGGAATTATGATTTAATTTCATTAAAAAAAATAGCTGTTGAAATTCTCTTCCCAGGCTTAAACGTCAACTAGGCAAAGAGGGTTGGGGGGGAGAAGGTGTTTCTATGGTGCAAGTTACCTTCCTCTTTAAGAAAATAACATAAACACTAATAATCTATGAGTCAGTTATAGAACCCCAGACTTAATCGATTCTACTTTTTTATAGAATGTGTATACATCTTTTAAGATTGGAAATTTTCATCTATTATCTTGATTGTGTCAGGTACCCATTGACACAAAATAAAACAATGTTATGTTAGCCATTTATTCTAAACCAAATGATCGTCCTTGACATATGGTATTTTTTTTAACTGCAGGTATCTTTTTGGTATGTATGCCTTTGGATTAGAGGAGACTAACTTCTACCAGGAAGCAGAAAAACAAGCTCGAAAGGTAATTCATGGAGACAACTGAGAAAAACCATTTAGAAGTTGTTAAGTATTCGTTATAATAATTTCCTTAGTCTGGTTAGGATATCGAGCAAACTTCTTAAGCATAGTGTTTCTAAGAACAGTGCATTGAAGTGGAATTCAAAGCAGTATATGGAGTGTAATCATTATGGGATTGACAGATGAGGGTTGGACTCAAACTGAAACAAGAACTGAACAAACAGACAGACAAGCAACTGAAACACTTTCAGCGGGTTATGGAAATCTCAGACTGAACACACTACCGAGTTAAGATAGTTGGGTTTTATCAACTGAGTTGATAGTGGAAATTGGCCACCGTTAAGAGCTTCTAAGCAGAAACGCCAGCTTTAGAAACTTTTTACGGCGGCCAATTTACATTGTCAACTCAATTGATAAAAACCAAATTATCTTGCAATAACTCCTTCCCCCATCCCCAACGGTGAAGATGTACGTTTAGCTGTATCCACAGACTGGCATAGAATTTCCTTGTATACGGTAACGGAACCCCGAAAAACCTTGTGGTACCATATACTGTACATTCTGTTTTCATTGGTTTCATTAAGAGTGCTTTTCGGTCCTTTTCGATTGAGTGTTGTAAAACCAAATGCAAAGCAATAACAACGGCCAATCAGAAGAAAGGAAAAACCCCACTGAGAAATTAATCAGTAATGAGTCAGTGAGCCAATGAGAACTCATAATAAAACCAAGTAAACTGCCTAAAGCGCGGGAAAACGCGGGCGATCAAGTCGTGATTGGTTTTTGTTTTGCATCTGATTGCGTAAGTTTTCTGGACCAATCACACAGTAAAGTAAAGCAAAAGCAAAGTCATCACGGATTACTTTTAACACTCAATTGAAAATTACTTTGACTGTCTACTTGCTAAGTCTCTTAAAAATTTAATTTTGAAACATGCCAATCTAAACGGTAGGGATTGGAGCTTATTCCCAGTGACACGTGGGCAACTCATGCCTTGGCTCATGTTATGGAGATGGAAGGTCGTCAGGATGAAGGAATTGAATTTATGAGTAAGACCGAGGAAAACTGGAAGGTAGAATATTAACTGTTTGACCTCTTGATTTTTTAGAATGAAGGCAATGTTATATCTTTTTTTGTGTGTGTTCATTTTTCGGATAAATGTCTGGATGTTACCCCACTAGTTCTGTGAGAACATTTCCTAACCGTCTGAAAAACGTCTGATTTTGTCACTAGATACTCGAATATTCACGCCCCCACCCCGACCCCTCTCCTTATTTTTGACCGTTCACCGCCCCCTCTTCCCAGCCTTCCGCTGCCATTAAAATCAAAGATGGCGGCCATAATTTCCGTTAAGAAAATGCAGAGCAATCGCTCGACAAAATTACGCCTACTCTGCAGGCTAGGTACTCGTAAGCATTGAGTAGTGGTCCAGTCATTTAATATTAATTGAGATGAATATTCTTCTTTTTCTGGCCAGCCATGTGAGTCTTTGGCCTGCCACAATTTCTGGCACTGGGCTTTGTACTATATTGAAAAGGTATGCTCTTTCTAAAAGCTAACAGTGGCGTGTATATGTATAGATAAGTAAAGAGCAAAGTTACCACTTCTTGAAGCTTTAAGGAACCACCGAAAAGATTATAGATGGTGCATGAAGCTGATTTCAAGGTACACTTCTTCTATTTAGCTAAAGGTGAAGTATGCCACGAAAACCATATGTCGTCTCCTGTATCAAAAGGTGTACAGAAAATCTACCCCGAATGTTGTTTACAGATTCGAAAAAGCAACGTAACCTTTTGGAATAAGTGCTAAAATTCGAGTATGGACGAAGCCATTTTGATAGCAATTCTAAATGCAAAGGCGTCGCACTCGTCGCACAGAATTGTAATGTGTCCTGTTCGTGTTCTGTGTGCATTTTAGAAAGGTAGTGAATTGTGAGCGTCGGATTACTGATGACTATCGTTTTAAGAAAATTTTGCAAAGGAGCCACAGGGTTGACAGAGCAACTGCATTTCGATGTTTCTCTTTTTATTTCCTTACTGATTTGCGATTTAAGCAGTTGCCACCTGTTGGGAGAGATATAACCTCATTCAGTTTATAACTTGACATCCAACGACTAAATGTGATTACTTAATGAAGTACTTTACAGCGTGAAGGCACCCTGTTTTTTCCCTTTATTTTGCGCTAAAATCGTTATGTTATCGCTCTTCAGGGAGATTACGAAGCGGCATTAAACATCTATGACACAGAGGTAAATCCACGTGTAACTTCAATTATTTTTTTTCTTCTCTAAATTTCTTTCCCCCTTAGAAGACGTCTTCATTATGGCTGGCATGATTATTGTTCGTTTTTGTAAACCCACCATTAGGGAAATAGACCCCTTTTTTATCGTATTCCAATAAGATCGCTTTCGTCCTGTTCGCAGTTAAATTGCATGATATACCCTATTTGCAGATGTTACCGAGATTTAAAGCAAGTGCCACTTTTCCGCTGACGGATGGATCATCCCTGCTCTATCGACTGAAATTTGAAGGTTGGTAAACAAAAGTTGGGAAGTTTTCTTGTTTTTTCTTTGTGTTTTTACCGGCTCCTTGTATTGTTTTCCTTTGTTCTGGTTGATTATTGTAATAAATTTCAATCGGCTTTAGTACAAAAACAAACTAATCCAAACAAAAAAACAAAGAGGAATAAACAAATACAAGACGCGATTAAACTTTCTTATTGCAGGTGTCGATGTTGGTGATAGATGGCAACAGCTCTGCCAATATTGGGAGAGCCACGCAGATGACCATTTTCTAGTAAGTGAATTGAATGAAAGAAAAAGCATTGTTTCTCCGTTTTCCGCGTCATGTGGTGGCAATCGAAGATAACACAAGTCTACACTTATGGTATCTACAGGCATTTAATGACAGTCATATGCTTATGAGCACGCTGGGGGCAAAGAATGAAGATTTGACCATGAAACTTTTGGATTCCTTGAGAAAATATGTTAGGTATGAAGTAAGTTTTGAGTTTTTACCATCGACAATGGGTTGTCAGGGCGCAACCAACACAAACAAACAAACAATCCAACGAACAAGCGAAACCAAGAGAAGAAATGGGAACCTTGCAATGATAATATACTACCAACTCCCAGGAAATAATTCACATACAACAGTTTCGATTATTGTCACATGAAAATCGAGAACACGTGAACAAGAACCAAAACCATGTATAATTATTTCCAGCCACACTTCTCTTCCACAACACAGGGAACCAACGAGACAGTGAGTCTGTTTGGGTATCTTTGGGGCACGCGGAGCTCCCAAGGGCTGAAGGAAACCCCATGGGACGGGAGGGAGGGTAAACAAACAGCTAAAACGATCGAACAGACAAAACGAGGTAAAGTTAACAGCATGGAGGTCTGGGGCTAATGATGTTATTCCCCCTAGGAAAATTAACCAAATTTATCTTGGTTACTCAACTTTGTAAGGTTTTGAGCTCTCTATTTTGATCATTTTGACAATATCCTTTTCTTTTGGTTTCTTCTTTCTAGAGATGGCTCGGGAGAGAATTGTGAAATATCACGTACGGTTGGTCTCGCCATTTGCGAGGCATTTGTAGAAGCTGATGAGGTGAGTGTATAGTGATGGTTTTCATAGCAAACAGTGCTATTGCTTTGCGATCGAGTGGTCCGACTGTCCGGGTGAGTGTAATCCTGCGAAAGAATGTTGTCTGTAGTGGTGACTGACATTTCGACAACCTTAGCGGAAGTCATTCATTCTGATAACGACTTCCGCTCAGTAACGTCAGCTACTGATACCGTCAACAGTCCTTCTCAGGACCACCCTCACCAGGACCATGAGACTAAATGATCACATGTTACCCCCTGGTTCAAACCATTTACTATAAACAGCGCTTTGCTTGAAATCAAGTTTACATGTTACTGTTCCTGTTGCTTTCTTTTTCTCTCCTGTTATTTCTAGGGAAACTTTGATAAGGCTGTAGCATTGTTAAAACCTCTCCGTTATAAAGTGGACCTTATGGGCGGAAGTAGAGCGCAGGTAAGAATCAAAACGCCTCTTTGCTTGAGGAAAAAAATTAAGAAAGAAATACTGCCTTGAGCTATTGTCACGAAGTCGTGATTGGTTTCGGTTTTGCATCTGATTGGTTGAGAGGGTGGTGGAAGTTTTCTGGACCAATCACAGCACGAGGTAAACCTAAACCAATGCTAATACATGTAGCCAAGTAGTATAGTTGAAGCTGTAGTGGTTTTTACTGGAAACGGCTACGACCCAACTCCATAAGGCGGTCTTCCTGGGTGAATGGGCGTCTGTGCTGGAAGTTGCTAACACTCGACGTGTGCTTATATGTTTATTTGTAGCGAGATGTTTACGAGTTGTTCTTGATCAATGCTGCTATGCATTCGAAACGCAAAGAGGATCAACAATTTGCCAGGTAACTATTTCGTTTACTCATTCCGTCGTAGACTCTTTTATTTTATTGGTCATATCTTCTCATAATATTTGACAGATTCCCGATCGGCATATTCTCTATGAGTTTTAAATTATTCGCTGATGTCGGTTTCTAAGAAAATAATTTTTTTCCACGTTTACTAAAGTAACTTCTCATTCTTGTACATTGTATGTGACTTGTTGAAAGAATTAAGTTATGGTTAAAGAGGGTGGCCGTGAGTAGGGATTAGAGACCATCAGCAGAATTCGTATGTCACATTGTCATAATTCAGTTGATCAGGCAAAAATTGCTTTTTAAAGGAAAGTCAGGTAAAAGGCTGGGAGTTTCAAAATCCCGGCTGACTGTAGGAACCGTGAACGCGGTTTTGTCATCCAAATTGCTGCAAATTTTTTTCACTACAATCGTCGCAGATTTTTTGGTTGCTCTAATGATGGTTACAATAAATTCATTTGATTACATACCCTCGCAAATCCCCGCTGCAGCTCTATGCTACGTAAGCGATAATGGCACTCTTTAAGACTTTTTTAGGAGGATGCGGGTCAAAACGTACATAGCAAAATATAGCTAGTTTTTGTCAACTACCTTTCTGATTTTTTTCGTGTAGTTTTGTTTGAAAATTCTTTTTTGTTTCTTTGTTGGTTTTCCCAGGTGTATTATCGCTGAAAAGAAGGCTAAAAAAATTAAAGCTCCGATGGCGGACAGACTTATGGCACAAGCTCTTCAAATGGATTAGGATGTATATTGTTTATTAGATCTGAAGAAGTATTTTATTATTTTTTTTTTACAATATGAGCCTGAAATACACAATCACTTTAGGGCTAGGACTCAAGCTATTACAATAGACTTGTAGCGCTTCAGTAACAACACATTTTGCAAGGGTGGATCCAGTAACTTCAAATGGAGGGAAGAGGGAGGGGAGGGGGGGGGCACAGATAACTTTTTGTTTGTTGCAAGTTACATCTCCAAAAGGGCCCCCCCCCCATCCCCCGCCCCCCCTTTCTTTATCAGGTTACAGGTCACACTCCAGGTCGTGTAACAAGGCATCCGAAAACGACTTTTTCCAGATTCCGAAGCCTCTAAGCATATAACCTATTGAGCGAACTAGTCTATGGAATTTTCTCCCTGATGCGTTCAGCTTTTTGCAGAATAGTCCTTGTTGTAGCCGGAATTTGTCAATGAACGATCATTAGTAATGAGCCCACAAAAGTATTTAGTAGAGCTTTAATTTAATTATTTTACTTGAAAGTAAGCGTTATGAAGTTAGTTTTTTTAAGATTATTGTTTTTACACAACCTTAAAACATCTTCAAATGATTGGACCATTTACGATATGTGCCGTCACATGTTCTTAGATGTATAAACACTCATAAAATGATAAATTTGATTCACTTGAAGTACGGAACATAACGTTTCCCCAACCTGTAACTCCCAGAAATGACAAGCGTGTGACTTCTCTCTATGATATCAATACATTGTACAGAAATCAGGTAATGAAAATACACGAACTTATCAGCTTCAAAAGAAATAATTTTATTTACACTGAATTGTATCGGCTTATAAATAAGAAAATGCATTGAAGCCAAAAGGGAGTACTCAGCATCGGATCATGGGATTTAAACAGTCAAAAACCGACAATTTTCCAATCTTGTTAGTGGTGTAATAATGTGCCTGGAAAAATTACGCGCTTCTGATTGGCTGAAAACGAGTGCATTCTCATGTACACGAGTGCGAAGTTGTAACACGAGTGCAAACTACAAATTGCGCGCGCGCGCTTTCAAAAGTTCCCCAGTCTTGACTTTTTGTGATGATTTTTCCATGTACATTATTAACAAATAATGGCATGAGTTTTCTTGCAATTTTGTGTAATAAGGACTTGGAAAATTTTTCAAAGGCTACAATTGCACTTGCCCTGCGGGCTCGTACAATTTTTGTTGTCTTGAAAAAATTTACTCGTGCTTATTAGTACCAAATTGCACTCGAAATCTTGCTTTTACCTACACGAAGTACTCACCAAGGCCGAAGGAGAGTAGATGGTAAAAAAATGAAAACCAGTGTCATCTTTGTCAAGGCGTAAAACCTTGTTGGTTTTTCTTATATTAATGCTGTGAGCGTCTAAAATAGAATAATAATGACGAAATAAAATAATGTATTCCGTGCCCCTTCTCTTCCCCCTCCCCCTACCCCCCCATTCCAAAAAAAAACGATGGGATTAAGATCATCTTAGAGAGATTAAAACTAGACCAAAAATTTAACGCATATGGAGGTTCGCGCAGGGTACAAAGCAAAACGCAACAAAAGCTAATCCTGGGGAAAATCTGTGCAAAATAGACAAAAAAAAGACAACAAACAACAAAGCGAAAGACAAATGTTAACCAATAATAAGCAAAAAAAAAGGGAAAAAAATAAGAACAAAATAACAAAACTACCCATGAAGTATCTCACTAATTGGCTTATCGATTCATAAATCAAAGCAAATTTCGAAAATGTTTGCATTGATCTTAGCCTCGGTAGAACCATGGTAGCCCTGTGACTAAAATTCGGTGGCTTAGATTTGAGGGTTTTTTCGAGGACTTTTAGGGGGACGCGGGTCAATACAAACATGGCAGAATATAGCTCGTATTCGCCGACCAGTTTTTTAATTTTTCTTTAGTTCTGTTGTTTATGTTTGGTTGTTTCTTTGTTGGTTTCCCTAGGTGCATTATTACTGAAAAGAAAGTTTAAATAATTAAAGCACCGGTAGCAGACAGACTTAGGCACGAGCCCGTAAGTGCGTGACTAACTTGAATAGTGCGCTACTTTGCATATACTATTATTGCGTTACTTTCTCCCAGTTCTGACCAGAACTATAGCGGGCTCAGGAAATGGTCACTGCTTGCATGAACGAAAATTCTCTGTAATTAATTTCTTTTAATAAGTCAAGGTTCGATTGACTTTCGAAGCAAAACTTTGGTAAAAACACCAGAAGATCTTGACTTGAGCACCCTCAAAATGCAACTTTGTGTATTTAGGTGGAGGTGTAGGTTTTTGTTTTCTTGACATGGAAGGGTTCAGTGTCTTCGATCGTCCTGACCGGATTTGATCTTACGTATCGTTGTACTGGCAAGGAAATGTCATACCAGCACACTCATTGGAGAGATGTAGAGGTAGTATGTACTTATTACAGACTGAGTTTGGTCGGGCCGGACGGCAAAATATTTGGCTCGAGGTCGACATACGGATCTCGCTTAGCTCGTTTCGTATGCTATGACCTTACGCCAAATATTCTCCCATCCGACCCGATCAAATTCAGTCATTAAGCACATTATAATATGACACATCGATACGTGTTGAAAATTTAAGCAATTTTGTTTCAACCTAAAAGGCGCACGCAGCACAACCAGAAAAAAAGATTCTACGATACGCGAGGCCATACTGGTCTTATGAATTTCCTTAATTAAGTTTCTTTTGTTATGGTATTTTTTCAGGTCATAAAAGTCGTTATTAGCTATGTGATAATGCAGTTCATTCATCATCCCTGCTGAATTGCATTTTTTTTTCGGTTTGAGAAATGAAACTGATGGAGGAAAAAATCATGATGATAAAAATAATTTTTATTGACCCCTTAAACAACCACATGTTCAGAATTTTCAACTTGACAGAAGGTAATTATGTCGTAATTTTGATGATTATCATACGCTATTTAGCATTTTGAAGTTCAGTGTATGATTAGAGGGTGTAGTATGTTTCAGGAAAATTATTTAATGCTGATTGGCAGAGACAGACAACATTTTTCCAATCCCAGGGGCACTTGAATTGATCATTGTAAGCTGAGTGTGTGTCATCAGCACTGAAATGGTTTTGCTCTTGAAATGAGTTTCTGAGAAAGTTCAGATATAATTAGATTCCATGACTTAACCCTTTAACTCCCAGAAGTCATTGAGAGGTAACTTTTCCCTATAATATCCATACACTATCTAGCAAACAGGTAATGGGAATACTAAAACTTATCATGTAGAAGTTGTTATTCTTGATCTAACAACAAATGCTCTTAACTAATTTAAAAGGAAATGTGTAACAGCTAGAGGGGAAAATTGACAATCAGATCTTGGGAGTTAAAGGGTTAAATGCAGAAGGGAGTGTGAAGGAGGACATAGGACAGGATCCCTGATGAAGAATAGTATAAGGAGACTGGGGGGGGGGGGTCAATCTCCTTCCCAGGGTTTCTCTTTTTTCCTCTGTGGTTGGTAGGGAGAGAGTTACCAGTGAGATAGGAGAGATCCTTTTATTAGGTATTAAGTAATGCGATCAAGAATGAGCCTCCTGGGCAGAGGACCTTTCTGAAAGAGCATTGATGTTTAACCTGTATGTTTTGTAGGCATGGAGGAAAGAAGGTCTTCCATTGTCGACAACAAGCAATGAAGCTGCCAAAATGTTTGATGCTTCCCTCACTCAGGTAAAGGTTCATATTCAGGCAGCTATGTTGTGATGTTCTGTGTCTTTTGTTGCGGTAGACCTTGTTACCCCCCCAGATACACTTGTACTAAAGATTATCCTTGACTGAGATGATATCCTAGCTAAATACTATGTGTAGTTAGAGACAGTGTCAAATTACCTGTAGTAAACAAATATACCAGGTTTTTTATGTAGATGCACCAAAGGTTCACTTTGTTACATTTTACATTCATTTGGATTTCCAGACTGTTATTTATAAATGACTGTAAATATATACATAAAAATCATACATGTGAACAGTGGTTAATGAGTCAAATATCGAAGCAGTACTGATTTGCAGGTATGAACACTACTTAAGTAGTGAAAACAAGGTCTGAAAAAAAAATTCAGGCCTGAATGGGATATTATTTATTATTTTGTTATTTTTTGTTATTTACTGTTATTTATGTTTGTTCATGTTTGGTCTAATGTTTGGTTTTAAGGTTGTTGCTCACCTTGAAGATGACAGTGTTGGTGGTTTGCAGAATTCAATAACCAGGATGTTGCAAGCAGATCCTGATTTTGGTGAATTCATTTTAAGCAAATTTTATAATGATTATTCCAAATTGTTGTTTAGTTCAGTGTTTGAGATTTACTTAATTTTAATACTTCAGAGACCTTCCACACACAATGAAAACTGAAAAGTTAGCTAGATTACATTTAGCTAGCCACTTAAACACACATAATGATATTCCCAACCATGATATTCAAAAGGGCTGCATCTTTTGGTTCTTTACTTGGCACATTTTGCAATTACTCTATATTGTTCTATTTTCAGTTCGTTAATAGGAATTATGAAAAGTTTTTTTAATCTCATGGGTTAAATTACAGTGATAAATGAGAGGCAGTTATCATTCTCTATAGCAAGACACAATTTTTTCCACCGTAAATGATTTATGGAATTCTTGTTATTGAGTTTGTTATTGAGATCCCATATCGATCCACGTTCTTTGTTTTGATCCATCTCGTACAGTTATGGGTCATGTCTTGGCATCCACTTGCCTGTTTGATATAAAGCATTCAGATGCTGCTCCATTACGAGCTCCAAAAACTGACCTTACCCACAGAGAATTACTTCATCTCAGCGCTGCAAAGGAGCTGGAAGCTGGGTAAGATACAATTATCTAAGTATTTACGGCATGAAACCAAGGTAGTCTAAGCTAGGTAAAGGATTACAACGATGGGAGAGCGGGGAACGAAAAGCGAGCTCATCATTCATAAGTCGGACCAAAAAACCTGCAACAATCAAAGTAACAAACTCACAAGCATGCTAAAAATTTTTTTCTTCAAAACTAATCCTGGAGGTTAGGTAATAAGGTGATCCAACGGCTTATTCTAATAAGGTTCCTCGAATTTGCGAGTCTAGGTGGGCAGTGAAGTTATGAAAATAATATCATATGTGTCAGTGTACCAAATTGACACATAGTTCCCATCATGCAAAGTATCCAACCACTCCTTTCTGTTCATGACACCATTAATTGCTGTTGTAGAAATGTACCTAAAGCACAAGACATTTGGGATGACATAGTGATGGCGTACCCTACTGACATATTAGCATTGAAGATGCTCTCTGACTACAGTACGTTTTATGGTCCTAAGGAGAGGGTTAGGGACAGTGTGGCAAGGGTTTTTCCACATTGGAAGCAAGACGCACCGTTATATGGGTACAGTAATGGCAATTTCTGTGGTAGTGGTGACATTTTCAAGTTTTCAAAATGATTAATATCCATCATCAAATTTATCATATCGCTTTATCAATTTGCCTTGCGTGTGCCGTTAATCAGTTTTGTTTGAAATTTAATGGTCTGGTGGATTAAAACAAGAATGTTCAGTTGGACCATGGTTAAGGCGTATTGAGACTTTGAAATGATATGCATGGTGGTGTGCAATGTCGTTAAATGACTTGAGAGAGCCGCAGATAAACGGAGGCGCCTCCACCAATTTCTTTCGGTTTTATAGATAACCACATTACACACGTTTGGCACGTTTGGCCACCCTGTTGAAAAATGTGCAAGATGTTGGATGGTGTTGGATCAAGCTTTTGTAATGTAACAACATTTCCGATGTTGTAAGATGTTGCACGCGTTTGGCCAGCTTCTTCACAACATCCCTCAACGCGATCTAGCAATGTTGTAAGATGTTGCGTTGAAATGTTGCGTACGTTTGGCTTGGCCTTTATGGAAGTTGTAGCTCCGTCAGCACGCTTGTTGATGTGGAGCTCCGCTACCACAAATGACGCTGTTGATTGTACCTACGTTATCTACTCACACATTAAAAATAACTGAAGTTACTTTGTAAGTTGCATGCAGTTTATACAGAAAAACCATTTACACATGCATCAACTGCAGGTATCTTTTTGGCTTGTACGCCTTTGGTTTAGAAGAAACAAACTTCTACAGAGAAGCAGAGAAACAAGCTCGTAAGGTATGTTCCAAACGAGAGCAAAAACGGAGGGTGTGGGGATGTTGTATCAATATTTAGAATGGTAAGCTCGCTAATTTCGCGTGCTTGTTTGTTCCGCGACGTTTGAATTCCAGTCGACTTACGTATGTAAAGTGCCAAACTGTAATGAAGCTTAATAGGTTAAACTAGCAAAAAAAAAGCTTTAAAGGAAAACTACAAAAACAAAGAAATAAAATAAGGAGAAGTACAACAAAGCCGACAAAACGAAAAATAAAACAAAGAAACAAACAAACCAAAAAGAGATAAGTTGATTTTAAGAACTGCGAGTTGATAATGACATTGGCCACCGTAAAGAGATTTTAAAAACCTGACGTCTCGAGCGTTAACCCTTGTTAGAGTGGAAACAAGAGAGAGAAACGAAATAAAAAAATGCGCTTAAAGATAACGATACGAAAACGAAGTATTAGCAGTTGAAACAAAGAGCCAACAGAGAAACAGAGGGACAAACAACAACCACAATTACAACTTGTACAACTCCAAAAAAAGAGGGAACGGACTTTTCCCAAATAATGTCATAACCTTTTTAAGACCACACATGAATGTTGTTTTCCAGTTTCTGTTACTGTTTTGAATGAGGGTCTATTACAATAATATGCAATATCTGAATATTAATGGTTTCCTTTAAATGTTAGGGATTGGAACTAGTTCCAAAAGATACAGGAGCAACACACGCCTTGGCTCATGTTATGGAGATGGAAGGCCGCCAGGATGAAGGGATTAAATTTATGAGTGAAACCATAGAGAACTGGAAGGTGTGTGAAATGCGTTTTTATGAGATTGCTCCTTTTTAAGTTGTCAAGCTCCATTTTTTAAGTCGTCAACTCAATGTCTGTTCTTTGCAACAAATCGTTTCATGTGTACTGCCTCCATTACAAGCCACTGCGATTCGTCACGGAGACAGGTCATGGCGACAGTTTTGCCGCTTGTGACATGAGCAGAGAAATATTTTTATGTGAAATTCTTGTCTCTACGACAACATTTTGTCGAGGTCTACGAGTTTAAACCAGTTGAATTTGAGCGACTGATCACAGTAACAAAGTTGCATCGGAAATGCAAAGATATTCCACTACCCTTTAGTGCTGACTGATCAAGAGTGGTACACGTATGTTTAGATAAAAACGACGGAAATTGTCGAGGGCCGGGAACAAGTCATTAAGGCATTTTTGCGTTTCATTTTATTATTTTTATAACAATTATTATTATTATTATTGTAATTAGTATTAATGTTATTATTATTATACATACTTTACAGTTATCTTTTTTTAAGAAACATTTGTCTCTGCTCCATTTTCATACAAATTCTGTGTGACATTTGTGTCCCAGCGACCAGTTTTCAAGTGTATCTCAACCTTTCAGACCTGCGAGTCAATATTCAGTTCACTAAGACAAACTTGTCTTTCTTTTCTGCCAGCCATGTGAAACATTAACTTGCCACAATTTCTGGCACTGGGCTTTGTATCATATTGAAAAGGTATGCTGTCAGTTAACATTCGCTTGCGACAACAGGTAAAGATCATTTCCCAAGTTAGACTTACGACTTTTCAAAAGTGAAATAAGAATTATTTCTTGATGAAATGAAATATTATCTTGTTAAATTCTGATAGAAACAAGTTGCTAATCTCGATACAAGTAATCAAAGCCATTGTAAAAAACTATTGAACAGTGACGTGTTCGCTGCGTAGCTTCACGGAATCGATGCCAACTCGATCACATTTTGCTCCCACCATTCAACTGGAAACGCAAGAATAATGATATTTGGGCACATGGGCGATCTAAACCATTGTGCGACGTACCCAACATCCGGCACCCTTTTTATCACCTGTGTTAAAAAGAAAGACAAATGCACCAAACCTTTACACCAAAACTTAAAAAAAGTGGCCGGTTACAAAAAAAGGGGGTTGGTGCCATCTAATGTGGTTTCGTTGGCACTTCTGTTAGTCCGCCAACATTATTGATATGTTTTTGTTTTTATGTTGTATATTGAACTGTTTAATTCCGCTCCCCCCACTTTTTTTTCCTATTGAATACAGGGAGAGTACGAAGCAGCCCTGGATATTTACGACTCTGAGGTAAATATGTACGTGGATTAATCCTTACACCCTAACACGAGTATAAATACAATGTATTCTCGATATATAGTTCTCTATACAATTCCTGAGGTGCTGACTCAGAGAATCTGTTCAACAATCAGAACTTCTTTCGCTGGTGATCATTTCCTTTATTCTCATGACCTTTAGGTTTGATTCAGGGGTAATATTGTAGGGAGAAATTAAATGCTCATCTCCTCCAGGAGTTATGAGGGTCAAGCTTTGTTCTCCGTTAGGCGCGTAGTCGTATTTCGTTTTCTCTATGTTTTACAATTGGTAAATCTGCTTTGGAAGCTTGAAGTACTTTCATTTCCCTATTCGCAGATGTTACCAAGATTTAAGGCTAGCAACGTTTTCCCATTGACGGATGGATCATCTTTGTTGTATAGAGTGCAACTCGAAGGTTAGGAAGTTTTAGTTGAAGCTGACAGAATCCCTGCTTGTTGAATTATGTATGTCTATTATTACCACTTGTCAATACCTCATATAGCCGTGTGGCATTACCTTTTCGACCCTTCTCCTCTGTAGGGTATAGAAATGTGTCAGGTAAGATTTTGGGAATGAAAATCTCTTTCATGATTCTAGCTTCTATTTCAATAGTTAGACGCGTGGCCAATAACTGCAGGTGTCTGTTAACGTAAGATGCTCTTAATCATATAAGTTTTTGGGTATCCATGTCTTGGTTGTGGTTGTATTGTTTGTTGTTAGGAATAGTGTTGTTTAAGCATTCTAAGAAAGTTTTATTGCACGAATTTTTGTCACTTTTCAAAGGGATGAGAGTATTACTTTTGAGTAAGATCATCACTAGGTGCTGCAAGCACACTGTGACAGAAACCAAATAGCTAATGGGTTTGTTGGATGACTTAAGTTACGAGACGGTTCAAGGCACTATTTCTGAACATGATTTATGGGAATAAAGAAGACAACAAACCAAATGAACAATAAATAAACAACAGGACTATAAGTGTTGTTTTTGCAGGAGTCGATGTTGGTGACAGATGGCAACAGCTCTGTCAGTTTTGGGAGAGCCACGCAGATGAGCATTTTCTGGTAGGTGGCGTGGATGAAAGAGCCAACCTTTTCATGTGGTGGCTACCGAAAGTAACACAATTCTTTTTATGGTTTCTGTAGGCATTTAATGACAGCCACATGCTTATGACCACGCTGGGTGCAAAGAATGAGGCTTTGACGATGAAACTGTTGGATTCCTTGAGAAAATATGTAAGGTGGGGGTTCTGTTTTCATTGATGGCCAAAGGGATTTTGAAAGCTGTTTGCCGCGATTAGAAACTAATCACCTCGTATTCTAGTCTTACTTAAGCTGTCAAGGACGAACAGTCTTCTCTAGTGTTCGAACAGTAATTTTAAAATATTTGGAACGGAAGCCTTGATTACCCTGGCACTCCTCAGAAGGCCTGAATTGAATTTCGGGCTTTGTTAAAAATTGGAAAAGTTCAACAGAGTGTCCACTGATGACCCGCCCAAAAGCAAGCAAAGTCAGAGACAAGTTCTACAATCGTTATACGACGTTTCTTGGTGTTGTGAACGGTTCTATCGCCAAATGACTTTCAAAAGCTTAGAGTTTCGAATTAGAAATACTCCATTGTGTCTTTTTTTTTTTTTTTTTTTTTAAATGAAGAAATGATTCGCGTAGGTCAGCTGCGATTGAGGAAACTGCAGAAAAGGGTCTAAAAAAAAAACGGGCTTCGAAGGATTCGAACCCAGGCCTCCAAAACACTACCAACTGAGCTACCTAGCCACATTTTGGGAAATAAAATATTTTCTGACCATCTAATCATATCTTTACTTGTATGTCATCTGCCGGTCAAAGTATGACTCCTTCCATTTATTGCGATCAAATAGCGTAGACCTCCTTAGGTGTGCCTCGCTTGCAATATGTGGCTCGTCGAAGCCTGAGTTGTTTCAGGCATCTTTTTCTGCAATTTCCTCGTAGCTCACCTATATTAGCGAATCATCTATCATTTGTCTTTCATGCACTGGTCCAAATTTCATGATTTACTGGTAGAGACAACAACACCACAACACAAGATGAGCTTTCCAAAACCAATTGGTTTGTAAATACCTTTGGCTTTGATTAGACGTTGCCTTTGCCCAGCCTAACAGAACTGTATTTCATATTTTCACTTAAGGAATGGCTCAGGCCCCAACTGTGAAATATCACGTGAAGTTGGTCTCCCAATCTGCGAGGCATTTGTGGAAGCTGATAAAGTGAGTTTACAATTTTTAGCTTTCAGGGTGGGTGAAAACTGTGTTTTGATTGAAATCAAGTGCAAACGAGTTTTTTTCCCTTTCTTTCCTCAGGGAAACTTCGACAAGGCTGTGACGATTTTGAAACCTCTTCGTTATAAAGTAGATCTTGTGGGTTCAAGTAGAGCTCAGGTGAAAATTACAAATCTCTCTTTGCTCAGTGCGTAGATCAGTAACCCCTAGGAGGAATAAGCACCTGATTTCTCCCAACAGTACCACCCTGAATAAAACATTAAGGTCATGAGAATAAAGGAAATGACCGCGAACGCACTAAGCTCTTGATTGTAAGACAATTTTTTTTTCTCAGAAGTACCATAGGAAATATATAGAGAACAGTATGGTGAACTTCCATACTGATGTCAGGGTGTAAGGGATTAAAGTGAATCTCAACAACTCATTTTTTTTCTGTGGTAGTTTAAGGAGGCTCGAAATATCCTATCGCCGAAACTTTTTAAATTTAGTTCTCTTTGTTATCGTGATGAGGAAGCATGAACAGACCCAGTTCACGGATTTGTTTAACAATTTACAAAAGTATCTCGTAACGAGCTCATATGATGGACCACACTCGATAGGCTTGGACACCAGCCAAAGAAGGGTCGAATACATAAAATCTTTCTCTGCATGAGTCTCTTTTGGAGACTTTTTTTATTGTTGTGCATTGAGACTTGATGTGGAAAATTACTCACGCTCCTGTCCTTGTCTTTGTTATAGCGAGATGTGTACGAGTTGTTCTTGATAAATGCGTCCATGCACTCGCAGCGTAGAGAGGATCACCAATTTGCCAGGTATTCATTGAACTTATCCAAATACTCATCGACCACTTCATGAGCAAGAAGAGACATGTTGTCGTTATGTGTATCAAAACAAGAGACACTATTTCACCACATCTCCAAGACGATGAACAGATTCCAAATACTTATTTCAAATTTCCAGGCATGTCTTTCGTCTGTGTTTTTTAAGATTGGTGCCAGGAAGGATCCAATCTCCGAACAACTGTAACTACTTACACAACTATTTGATCCCTTATTTAAGACGCTCCTTATTGTCAAACAAATTCTCCTGGACATTACCACAGGAAATGTAAAGAGAGCAGTGTGGAGAATATACCCACTTATTTTAGAGTGAAATGAATTAGTTATTGTTATAATAAATAGCTTTCCGATGAAGTGTCTAAAACCAAAACCAAATCAAAACCAATCATAGCAAGGAAAATATCACGACCAGCCTGATGGAACAAACATATCAATCAGTTTGCAGGTGGAATTCACTTATTCTTTATCTACGATTCGCTGTTCGCTGTTATTGTTCTGTCAATATTGACTAGCATGTCCCATATGATGGGGATGTTGCTGTCTATATTGTGCATCACAGTCTCTGGCTCATGTTTGTACCATTTGTCTGTAATCTCGATATCATGATCTTTACAGATGTTCCAATGGAGATATGCTGCAGCATTATTGTGCTTGGAGATGTACTCTTCTTTTTATTAATATTATTATTATTATTATTATATTTATTACCATTTTTATTATTATCATTTTTATCAATATTACTATTACCATCATTGCTATTTTTTATTTTCTACTTTTTGTTTGTTTTTCCCTTTACTTTTTTATGGCTTTACAGATGCCTAATCGCTGAAAGGAAAGCAAAAAAGAACAAAGCTCCGTTGACGGACAGACTCATGGCACAAGCTCTTGCTCTTCAAGTGGAATAGAATGTAAATGGTTGTGTATGAAAATATGAATTTTAAGCTCACCTCGCCAATACTTCTGTTAGCCAGAACACAACAGAAAGAAACTCTTAATGAATTAATTTTTGACGCCAACACCTGGCAGCTTCTTGCAGCCGGACTATTCTATTTGGTTTTCTCGGCAAGCTATGACCTACACGCTTTTCCTTCACGGAGAGTTTACTGAAAAGGAGAACCGATTTTCCTATGGATATATTGGCTTGGGATCAGGTCGTGAATATAAACTTGAGAGTACCTCAAGGTGTTTTATCGCATCCTCGTTCAACAGTGCCAAGACTAAACGTATTCTGTAAATGTTTGCTCGAAAAAGTTAGTTCGAATAATTAGTGTAGGTAATTGCATGGGGCAGAATAAAATTAAAGATTGATATCAAGCGTGTTTTAAGAAGTTGCAGAAATTGCCTGTGACGTGGGCAATTGTGATATTATTGCGTGATTTTACAAGGGAACTTGCGATCACTAGTTTATGATATTATGGGCAGAATTTTATGGCAATAAGAGTTCAAAAACCGCACGCTGTTGTGTGAGTCTATAGGAAGCCATTTCAGTGTTTGGATAGCATCAAGGAACTATAGAACTATAGAATTTTGTATATTGAAAACTACGCCTATTTTGTTTTTGTAGTGATCCAACGCATTTTTTCATTTTGAGCCTTAGCGTCGATGCACTTTACAAAGCCGGCAACGGGAAACCCGAACGATGTATTTCTATCTAAAATGCATCTTTCCGTGGGTTATTTACCTGAAGAAGAGTCGTGAGGAGATAAGAAGTATGTATCCTCGACGTGGATTTTGGACCACTCGATTTAGCACGAGAAATACACAATCCGACTTGGACGGAAGTGACGATACCCAAGGCAATAGGGCCGAAATTATATGTGGTCTTGACTGCGTAGACGCTGGAGAAGACGCGAGCCCTTTCCACGTGCAAGACAGAGTGCGCAGATGAATGTTAATATTAAGATTGTTTGAAACCCAAATGATTTTTCCTTCGTTGAAAGGCGAGTTCAATTGATGGACGTCGAGCTCTTCGATCAGTTTCTTGCAACTGAAGAACGATTAGGATTCTCGCCTCAGGTTGGTTTTCAACTCAAGAAGTTCAAAAGAGAGCTGCATATATTGTTGTAATTCTAGAAATATTGACTCGAACTTAGAAGGACTTGAACTTGAAGAGCGTATACAGTCATTTACTATCGTTCAACCGGAACTCCCCGATATGTGGATCTATCTTTTTTTGTTGTTGTTATTTTTTCGATGACAAAGGCGGAAAGATTGAATGAGCATGACAATAGCTTAAAAGACGCGTTCTAAGCTATTCGCTCCGCTGAGTAAGAAATATTCAAACGGGATTAAGCTCGATTCTTATTGAATTATGAAACATAAACCATGCTATTTTCCCTTCTATTATAGTGGTCGTATCAAATGAGTTCAAGTCGCGGTCTGTATCCGATGAATGGTTGCACATCGGGGCAAAGCAGTAAACCATTTAAGCGTGTAAAGTTTTTAAAGCTTTTTAAAGAAAGCGATCACTTTGAAGAAGTAATTGACCCTTTTATCTTCTATTAGCCTTGGAAACTTCCTTTGTTACAAAACACAGTTAATAAAGTCTTTTTGACCTCAACACAATGGCTGCGTGACCCACGCGCAAGAGATAATCCGTGTTGTTAAGAGCTGGTTTTTTTAGCGCCATGGTAACGTGACTGGAACGAGTATGTTCAGACTAGTGCCCGTTCTTAAGAACCGAGCACAGGTACCTAACCTGAACTGGGCCAATATTAGCAAAAGTTCATTAGAAATCCAATATTTTAAGCAACCAATTTACATAATCACTAATTCGTCACCTGAGGTTTAGAATTTCAGGTGTTCGGTCGACGAATGATTTAAGCAAACAGAGGGAGAAGTGTAAGGTATGCATAAATAGTTCTTAAATTGACTGTCCGTGACTGTAATTTGGTAATCACTGCCTTACTTCGATGAAAATTGAAAATTGAAGACAGTTATTTTACTAATCAGCGTAGGTTTCAAAGGTCATAAATAGTAAAGGCTGGATCAATTTTGCGAAGCATCCGCGGGAAGATACTTTTTCCGGCCACAATTTGGTTAGGGGGCTTCTTTCATGACAAACGTGAGCAAGTGATTCTTTAATCAGTGAGAAATAAAGAACCCATGCTAGTCCGCATGCTATGTAAACTCAAGCTTGTTACTTATAAGCAATTCGGCTTTTAATGAGCACAACGGATTAAAACTTGAATCGCTTTTAAATTTGTACCAGAAAGCTATTTTTTCCTCTCTAAATTCTACATCAAACGTTAAAAACATTGATCGTGCGTCTCTCATTTAGAGAGCAAATGAATCAACATGATCCCTGTTTCATTCAAAACGTGACTATGAAGTGCATCGTATTGACTCGTTCGTGATTAGAAGACAAAACCTCTAATTCCTTCACTTCCCAATATAATAAAGTGACGAATTGTTCCTCCTAATTACGAGAGCAAAAAAAATAACATAATTTCTGTTTCGTTCAAAACGTGACTATGGAGTGCAACGTGTATTCACTCATTCGTGCTAAAGTCTGAAATTTCATTTGTGCTCGATCAAGTGACGAATTATTTATGGAAAGCGCCGGTAAAAGTAGTTCTAGATTGAAGATCGATTCACAATGACTCACGGAGAACTCTCAGTTACCTATGCTTTCTTACATTCAGTGTATAACTTAACTGCTTAGTTTAAAGTTGAGGCTTTAAGACCGGTTTCATAGAGTTAACATAAGTTTCATTAAGAGATTAATGGCCTCATTATTTTCGCTTGGTTTCATCGATCACGAAAATCACAATCAAACATCGGTATTCTAAATCAGCGAGAAAAAGAGATCTATTATGATGACAGTGTCGTAATTATGACGTCTTTGCTTCAACAAAGTATCGAGTACTTACTTTATTTAGCGTACAATGCAATATAGAGCGTTTGTCAAGGAAGGTGCCAGAATCACGCATTACTTGCCTTTGTTCATGCTTTCTTGCTTTGCTTAGTTTAGCGCCATTCAGTCTTATATTGTGTGCTCCTTTTGTTGTTTCTTTATATTAGGTTTTATTCTGAATTTTGTGTATCTTGGCCTGGTTTGTTATTTTTTTGGTAGTTCAGCGCAGTTCTGCGTCTGTTTGATTCTTGGGTAGATTCAATCGGATCAATTCGTTTGCTTTGGTAGTTGAAATAAATAAGCCGCATAAAGACACCATAGTCAGCCGATAGAGCTTTTGTTTACATTCAGAGTGCATTTTTACACTCCCTTTCCTTTTTCAACTATTTTTCTTTCTGATAAAACAGCGCCATCCTAGCTCCTCTCTATGGCAAAATTTGGAGTTTCATTCTCTGGCGGCGGTACTCGGTCAGCGGCGTTCTGCTCAGGGGTATTACGCAGATTGCTACAGAAGGAAGTGCAAATAGATTACCTGAGCTGTGTATCAGGGGGTGGTTGCTCTGGCTCCGCCTACGTGGACTGGAAATACAGACATGGAAAGAAAGACAACAAGAAGTGGCATCAGGAGTATTTTAACCATTTGAGAGAAAATGCCGGCTTGGTGTGCAACTTTCAAAAGCCATGCCGTGGATTTGCGGAGTTTGTGGTCATTTGTGCCATGATATTATTTGTATCTGTCATAGCTCCTTTCATTCTTTGGGGTTCATACGCCTATCCGTTGGCCTTCGTCATCGATTATGTGTTTGGCGATGTTCTCAGGGGCGGCACACGTTCGTGTCAGGAAGTTGCAAGCGAAAGCCCGAACATAACATTCGAAGACTGCGAGGAGAGCCGTCAAACGCCATACATTATGAATCGCCGTTTTGCTCTATTTGCCGCACCTCTTGTCTTTGCTTTCACATGCTTCGTCCTGAAAGGTTATGTCCGTAAAGGAAAACGGCTTCTCCATTGGCTTTTGCTTTTAAGTGTATCGCTCTTTGGAGTCTTATTTTTTCCATGGTTTTTGTATTTCTCTCTTCGTTTCCTACCAGACTGGATGAAAATAGTTCTTGTTCTACCAATTCTCTTTATTTGGATTTCATTCCCTCTCGCGCGCAGAAATGCTACCCTGATGATTGTTATTTATCTGTACTCGTTCACAACTCACAGCAGAATATATCGCATGAGTGTCTTTGGAGTCATCTACACTAAGAACACCTTCAATTATCTACTAAGTGTATCAGTCATATTACTGTGGATTGGTCCTCTGATTGAAGCCATTCAACGAAGTCTTCCCCACATTTGTGTCAGGTAAAAATGAACATAAAGCTCAAAGAGAGTTTAGAACTTAGAGTACATTTTTCTCACTAAGAACCCAATAGGACTTTTGATCAATTTTGTAACTAGTTATTTTAATCATTAATTTACTTTTAGTTATTCCATTGTTTTATTTCATACGTTTTTGAACAATTGCAATTAGTATATACCACACGGGTTAATAGCGCTATTCGCGCGCGCTCATTGGCTAATTCGGAAGTGAATTCACCTCCACTTCGGTAAATAATATTTTAGTGGCTGGGAGGAGTGGACGGTAACAGGAATTAAGAACAGTACTGTAGTAGTAGTGATCTTAATTGAGGGCACTAAACTTCACAAGAGACGCACGCATTACAGATGGGACCTCAATTACAGATATTAATCAAAGGAAAGTAACTGTAAAGAGCTTAAAAATACAAACAAATACACACACACAAAAATGTAGAAACATCCGAGAAAAGTCATGAATAACTACAGTCGGACCGCCCTTCATGACCACCTCTCGTTAGCGATCACTTCTTCAAAATACCAAAAGTTTCCAATGAAAATCACTTTGAAAGGAACCTCTCGTAAGCGACCTCTTCTCATAGACGATGCTTGTTTATAATTTTCAAAGGTTTTTAATGTCCCGTATGCGACCGCTTTATAGACAATCGGCTTTATCCCTCACGAGCGAAAACTGAAAATTGTTTCAACAGATGTCGCAAAATGGAGCTACCGGAAGTGTTTCCCCAAATACAAAAAAGTCACCCGTCATATGAACCCCCTGTGGACTGACCTCTGGTATAAACGACCACCTCCCGTAAGCAACCAACCGCACTTGACATTTCGAGTGGTCGCTTACGGGAGGTTCGACTGTAAATAACTTAAGACAGGCTAAGGTTAAATGCACTTAGTGACTCTGTTTCCTCTTTGAAAAAGAGTTCAAAAAAAGGCGTGTAGAGTAGATGGAGGATTTTGCAAATTGAGTGCACCGCAGTTGTTTCGTGAATAACCTCGATGTTTTTTCTTTTCTTTTCTTTTCTTTTCTTTTTGTCTTGATACATTTTTTTTCAAGATGGATTATCCAAAAGGGATTCTACTATCCTCAGACCGTTGGTGAATATGGTTGCAGTGGAATCTCTTGGCGTGACCTCATCCTTTTTTGGCCGGCTTCCAAGAATTCCAGAGTCCAGCACGTAACCTCTAAGCAAGCGTTGACCTTAGATGATGTGGATGACCTCTCACCTATCTACATCGCTTGCACTACCGTCAACAGATGGCGACGCACTTCCTCCCCCGGCGAACCTCATTATGAAGTCCTTACCATGTCCCCACACGGTATCGAACGGCTCGATCGCTGTTCTGACGAGCAAGAGCTTCACGGTAAGCTATTGGCCGAAGATGTATATCTGTCTGATGCTGCGGCAACGTCGAACGCTGCGGTCAGCTATGATATGGGAGTACAGCAATGTGATGAGGCACCCTCTCGGGATTTAAAGGTCATGTTGGGACTCTCCGCCGGAGCGTATATTGTGGCTGATCAGAGGCATGAGACCAAACGTCATTTCTGCGTTCAGGTGATGGATAAGGAAATACAGTTACATTGCAGCGGATAATCCCTCACGAAAAAAAATTATTGAGGGAACATTTCATGAAAAGTGATTGATTGTTTGCTTGATTGATGTAGCTAAGTTTTATGACATGCTAAATTACTCAGCCTACGTGTAGCCGTACCCTCCCCCGCAAAGTGAAACGAGGGCGAGCTTCCGTCTCACCTTAGCGGGGAAGGGTAGGGCTAAACGTAGGCTAAATTACGCACGTATTTGATTGGATTTCACTAGTGATCTATTTGAGGAAAGGCGCATAGAAAACGTCTCCATGAACAACATTTCGTTTTTTTTTTTCAAAGTTTTATAACAAATCAATTCTATGTTGCCATAGTTCTGTACAGTAATGGGTCACAGAAGATGCCAAAGGTGATAACAACATAGGCTGCACTTCATGGTCCATTTTTTTTTTGTTCTTACCACACTTTGACGTCATCTGTGATCAATTTCAGGACAGACACACAGCAACATGCAGTCTATTCGTTATATGATAGAGAATCCCATGACAACAGTTGACAGTCTGTATCGTTATTGCTTCTCCTAGCCTTAACCAAGTTTGTAATTACAATACCGGCAGCATGCCGCGTAAAGTGAAATCATAATTCAACCATCCATTTGTATTTTCGCTCGCTTTACATACATTAATCAAGCATTAGACAGCACTTCCTATTGATTTATAGGCGGGATAACCTACGTGGGATGTTGGCGGAACGCGTGAAGCATCTCGCGTGGGTTATTGCACCGATAAACCAGTAAGAAGTGCGGTCTAATGTTTCTAGGAAATATGTACTAAATATTTTTCAAATTTTTATGACTTTTTCGATAGATAGATTATTGACCAATCAGGTCGCTCGTACTATCTCGGTTATTTCAGAATCTCTACTCTCACATATTTCATTCCAGTATCTTCCTCTTCTGATTGAGTTAATCCGATTGGTTCCTTTGGCTCTCATTCTCTTCCTGTACGCCAGGACTAATAATGAAATCGTCTTGGTTGCTGGGATGTTGATTCATCTTGGTATCTGCCTAATATTTTCCTTATTTGCGCTGGTACCAACTGGAGGAAAACATCTCGGGAGACTGGAACGACTTGCCAGGTAACGGCTTGCTTAACCGTTTAACTCCTTAGGGTGATTGGCATCTAATTTCTCTCTACCTATTTCTCTTTTTATCTCCACTGAATTAAACACTGAAGTCGCGAGAATAAAGGAAATGATCGCCATTTAGAGAAGGTCTTGATAGGGGATCAAATTCTCCATGTCAGCAGCTTGAAAAGTTTATAGAGGAACAGTTTGGAGAATATTGATAGGGATGCAAGGGGTTTAGATTACATACAAAGTATCGGTGGGTGGACACAGTAACCCAAATCAGAAGAGGAAGTGTGTAACTGGAGTCACGCGTAATGGTGTTCATCATTTTATTTAGAAATATCCACACGCCTACAGTACTAAACATGAGAGGAGAGTACATATTAGAGAACAAAAACTAACAGATAAACTCACAATGAGGTAACATATTTACCTCAACGGTACCTAGCTTTACCAACGAAAAACGAAAAGTGATTGTGTATATTTATTCGCTTTCCCACTTGGGGTTGTTCTATTTCTCGATTTATTTATTTATCTTATTTTATTTGACAGATGGTTCACGATCAACGTTTCTTCCGTACACTACTATCGTTTGATGATGGATATGACCAACGTAGGACCCAATCCTCCACCCGTTTTATCCTTGAGTGACGGCGGCCATCTTGAAAATCTTGGTATTCTACCCCTATTGAAGCTGAGACTCGAAAAGATCGTGGTAGTGGACGGAGGACGCTCTATTTTAGACAAGGACTACGGAAAATCCCTGATGATTGCTCTGGATTTGGCCAGGAAAAAGTTAGGATGCTCATTCTCAGCTGTAGATGGACGAGATATTGCCGAGGATATTCGGGATAACTTCGTGGAGAGGAGCCCTGGGTCACAGCCAAGTAACTACAGGTACGCTATGTAAAGTAGGATTTGCTACCCCCGCTGCTTTGTTCGCTCCTGAGAAATCGCATTCAGTTTGTCCAACATGTGTTACACCAAGTTCTTCCCGTAAAATATGGGTTTCAGTTTGCAGTAACCCTGCAACCACCAGAGGTGCTCGACACTCCTTGAAATGTTACGCATCATTCAGCGACGAGCCTAGCATTGAGAAAACTATCCTCGGATTGGCGAGATGTACTTAATTTAACCTTCAAAATTTTTTGACGAGTATTTTTCTGGGTGAGTAACATCATACCTTTTTCCAACTGAGGAAACCAAGGAAATGATGGAAATGTTTCATGGAGGAGAAAGTCTTCCTCAAGGGCAGAATTTTATATTCAATGTTACATTCCTAATTTTCTATACAGCGATTGAATGATAGGCGTAAATTACTGAATAGCAAATGATTGATGGGGTTTCAGAGAGTAAGCTTAAAAGAATGTTTTTTTTTTATGATTCATCATGATAATTTATTGAAAAAGCAGAATTTATCTGTACACTCTTTCTGGCCCAACCTACGCGCAATCAACTTTATAAAAAAGGTAAAATACTTGCTGCCTTGAACAACCGCGGGGGCTCGCGGACGGCTAGGTGGCCAGTTGAGGCAAATTGCAAGTCGGTAATTTTTAAGGGTTAGGTAATAAGTGGCTAGAAATGCATTCTATAGACAGCTGTTGCCCTACTTAATTATATTTGTTCTTTATTTTTGTCAGATTTAAGGTACATTATTATGATAACAACGTTAACAGCGACGGGAAGACTAAAGTTGGCGAAGGGGATATCCTATACATAGTTCCCAGGCATCCTGAAAAAGCAGTGAAAACTTCGTCTTATGTGACCTGGAAGGAAGCGTTGCGTGACACGGATGGAGATCTGGAGGCTGGTCTTTGGGGGCCTGGTCCCGAGCTGTCATCGGAAGAGGCCAATCAATTGACGTTCTGTTGCTGTGAATGTTGCCATGGGAATACATGTCGCAGCTTGTCTGAGGCGTTATGTGGGATGTTCCCACATCACTCTACTAACCATCAGTTCTTTACACCAACAATGTTCGCTGCTTACCATAGGGAGGGATATCGCGCTGGCATGGAGGCGAAAGTAGCTGAGTTTGTGCCTAATAGGCATGAACCTTCCACTTCAGAGACTATCTTAATATGAATATTGATGAATAACGTGTAAACTTCTTGTAGGTTGAGAATTAACTCTTTCTTTATGACTAAGTAACCTACATGTGTAACCAAATTAAATAGGATGTCGAACAATAAATCGACTAAAACACCATTACTATAGAACTTGAGTCTACATTGGTGTTCTCCTTTTTTGCATAATGACATGCAATGGTTCTGCTATAATTACAGTTTCATGAAACTAAAATAATGGTGTAAAAATAATTACAGTCAAAGTCATCAAATCCTGGTTGTAAGGTCTCGATGAAACCATAGCAACACTGAATTTTATTTTTTGCACTCGTGTTTTGCATCCTAGTCTCAAATTTAAGGGTCTGGCGACGACTTTACTCCACGTGTAGAGCTAGGGCCTGCCCCATGAGTCGGTCTGTCATTGGAGCGTTTTCTTTCATAGCCTTTCTCTCTGTTAATAAGCTCCTGAAAGAAGACAATACATAAATTCTTAAGGGTTGATTTCGCAGGCTTTTCTCGGAAAAATAGCATTTATTTTACAGGCCTTTTTAGATGTTTGGTAGTTACGCAACCAATCGGTGAACAAAGGTGAGCAGCAAAAGATACAGATTAAAAATATTATGTATTGCTTTGTTTGTTTTGAGATGGAAAAGGACACATAATTAGTTGACACATCCTGTTTGAACTCTTGTTTCTGCCACAGTCCAAATCATTGACAAGACCCCCTTCCCTATTCAATGTTGCCTGTATGTAACTTAAGATTCATGGAATCACGATACAACATTGTTTTTTTTCGGTGGGGGGGAAGGGATGCGAATAGGTTGACTTAACAAGGGCAAAAGAGATAATATGGCATTAATAAGAGGCTGAAAAGGTCAATGTTTAAACAGCTTTGGCGCCGAATGTAGGTTGTATTTAGCCTAAGTGCCGCAACAGTGAAGCAACGCTTGACGCTTTGTTAACAAAAAAACTCACTTTTCCGAAGGCTCAGCCCAAGCAATGCTAAACAGTATTCAGATAAATTCGGTTACATTTCACGCATAAGATGAAACTCTAAGGTGATAAGAGAAGATAGGGATTCGAATAAATGAAACTATACTTTACCTCGCCAAGTAATGATGCTCTTTACGTGAAGAATGTAAAGCAGCGTAAATTAGGAATAAGCTGAAGATGTCCCGCTGTAGGTAAAACGAAAGAAGCAGGACGAGATCTCACAAAAAGTTGCACTCATATGCGTGAATTTTCAATAAAATTCACAAACCTGTGCATTACTGCCTCCAATGGTGACTACATCATAACGGAGCGGTTTTAAAATGTCCACAGCTTTGTCGAAGTTTCCCTTTCACATAGAAAAAAAATTAAACTTGTTGTCCTAGATCAGAGTTTTGTGTGTGTTGACCTGTTAATTTGCTTGTTTGTTTTCAAATTTTATAAGTTTACCTCGGAGGTTATCAATAGCGAGAGATTGCACAGTTTGAATTCTAAAATTCAACGATGAGATGCGACTCCAAACTATTTCATAGCTAGCGGTCCCCCGTCTCTTCGCAACAACAACAAAAACAACAACATCAATAGGGAAGAGTGAAGCAACATCGATGCAATCAAGGTCAATTTTCATCACTTCACTGATAATTTCTCGACCTAGCAGCAAAACCGAGCAAACAGTGTCAACGACATAAGCCTTGATCGTAGTTATGGAGCGATGAACTACTTTTCACGTAACATAATTAATTGATCTAGTCAAAAGTTTGGTAAGTTTTAGGGGAGACGAAGCTGGGAGACCACAAAGGAGACGAATTTACCTTGTCGGCTTGTTCAAAAGCTTCACAGAGGGCCAGACCAACCCCCCTAGACACTTCGCAATTTGTTCCTGAGCCATCCCTAGAGAAAAAAAAGAAGAAAACAACACAAAACATAAACAACATAAAAAGAGACATCATATGGCTGAGCCATAATCATAATCGATTCAATGTCTTAAGGACAGTATCGTTCAAATATCACCGAGATATCGCGATTATCGTTTCCATTACTTTCGCACAGTGCTGCATAACACGAGTCATGAGTAACAAAACTAATGAAACGTAACTCAGTGTCTGATGCCAACGTTTACGTAACCTGCAGAGCAGGCGTAATTGTGACAACATTGGGCTCATTATTTCCTTGGAGAAAATTTTAGCTGCCACCTTTGATTTTTACGGCAGCAGAAGATTTGGGAGGGAAAGAAATTTGTACAAAGTGACCCTTTCAATTAAAAATAGTCACTTGAGATAATTTTCACGAGCACCTATTGGAAACCAAGCCTCTTTTCGGGAAATTGAACACGAAATTCCTGCTCACTTGCAACAGTTTCTTCTGGGATAGTGCTCGGTGAAAGAGCCTGACGTTACCGTTACTGTTATAATTATAAAATTAAGCTCTACGTGTATTTTATAAGAAATGAGTCCTGTAAATAAATCAGAACGCGGCAAATCTACCGACGAATGAAAGATAACTAAACCCTCCACTATTGACAGAGGTGATCGATCTGAGTGTTTTACCATAATTCTTCCATATTACCTCACATAGTCTCTAAGTGACATCATTAGATTCAGTGTAGCATCTTCCTTCTTAGCCCCCAGAGTACACATTAACATATGAACATCATTGAAAGCCTGAGATAGAAAAATAATTAAAAAAAAAAGAATATGAAGGACATGTGTTGGTATATTGGTCACCGACCTAAACTTTGGGTGAGAAGAAGTCTGGGTGAAAGCAATGGCAGGTACTATTCCTTGTTCAAGACCAGCAACGAGTATAGAGCCCTTTGCGATTGAATATTGCGAAAATAATCACAAAATAATCACAACAGCCAATCAGCGGAAAGAAAAATACCACAAGGAGCAGACTGCCTGAAGCGCGGGAAAACGCTGGTGACCAGGTCGTGATTAGTTCAAGGTTTGCATCTGATTGGTTAAAAACGTAGCGCAAAATGCCTGAAGCGCAGGAAAACGCTGGTGACCAGGTCGTGATTAGTTCAAGGTTCGCATCTGATTGGTGTAAAACGTGGCGCGAGTTTTCTGGTCCAATCACACAATAAAGTTCACCAACCCCTAACTGACAAAGCAATGGTTGACTAGTTTTGAAACGCAATTGGAAACTGTCACTTCCGCCGGATTGTCCATACGCTGGGAGTTCCAAGAGACGAACATCATCTTTTTGGGATTAAAACGCCGTCACTTTCATTTTCTGTGAACGCTTCATCACACCACCTCACTAGAATTGGCAATTTGCAAGGTTTGTTCACATCGCACTGCACACTTGCGACTGTCCTCCATTCTCTAATGAAGATCATAATACCTTGTATGCAAAACCTGCTCGCAAAGCATGACACATACCAAAATATGATCATCTGTGTGTGACTCCCACAAATGAAACAGCTCTCTCCACCGATCATTTACATTAACACCTTAAAAAAACAAAACAAGAAGAAAATAGATCAAGTCGTTAATTCGACCACGGCAAAATTTTCATTATACAATAATTCCAGTACAGGGATTTATTACTTAAATTATTTGCCTTGATTGACAGATAAATTAATTGTGTGAATAATTGATTGGCTCATTTGTTGATTGACTGAATGATAATTAATCAAATGACTGTCAAATGAATAGATGGACCGATTGTTCGTTGATTAATTGATAAAGTGTTCAATAGATCGAACGATTGAAGGATCCATTATTAATAATGATGTGCACAACATATCAGCGCGTTATCTCACAACCTTCCATCTGAAGTCTGTACAGCAGTGAAGAGGCGTCCACTAAGTCAAGCATGGCGCCAGAATGACAACGTTTTCCAACCTTAGAGCGAGAGAGAAAAGCGTGATAGTTATCTTTTAAATAAAACCTTAACGAGAGCACTGTGATATCCATGTATCATCTAGATGCGCAATACTGTGCTTCATATATGTACAGAGAAAGAAATGCTACTTTATTCTCCTAAGAACTGTGCGAATTAAATAAAAACAAAAATGATAAAAATGACTTTTTGATACTATTTTGACATGTATGTCGTGTATGTGTCAATCAGATATGGCCTAAAATTTTTCTTCGAAGATTTTATACTGTACCTCCTCGTCATAAATGTCCACTGCAGCTTGATGTTCTCCCTGGAAAAGAAAGAATGGTGTTTAATCGCAAACATGGCTGAAAAAAGAGAACCAGACAACTTTAGAAAAAGTGAAAAAAAACCTTTTCGATGTGATACAACGCCCAATGCCAGTAGTTGTGACAGGCTAGCATAGCTCCCATCTACACAGGGTGAAATAAGAGAGTAAGATTCATAGTTAAACTCTTGCCAACGACAAAGTAATATCATAAAAAGCAAGAAACTAAACCCCATCTAATGTACACCCCAAAAAGAAAAATTTCCTATAATTTTACCCTTGGTTTATCGAGCCAACGTTAGCACAAGGAGAACCGACTTGACTGATGCGGTGTAATTGCCGTACCAATCACGTTTGTCCTCCACATAGCAGCAAGTTCTCAAAAATTTCCATATGCGGCACTAATGTTAAGTAGAATTCACTGTATGCCTTACAGTCCAGTCATTTAATGTCGTGCTGAGGAATCTAATTCCTTCATTCTGACGCCCTTCCATTTCTATGACATGGGCCTCTGCATGTGTACTCCAGCAATCTCTTGGATTCAGTTCCAGACCCTAAGATAAAAATACCGTGAAAAAAATTAAATTGAATAAAAACAAAATATTATCGTCTGTGTGGCACAGAGGTTTCAATAAATATCATTCCATACCCGCCTGTCGATGGTGTAAATAGGCGGCTATGCCCCTACAAGGCCCATAATGACCCATTCCCTCCGGGGAATCTGCTCCCCCAGAGGAAAAAAATTGAAAGTTATAAGCACTCGTCAATATCGTTCCTGACCAGTCAAGATGCTGCGTTTGTTGATAAACAAAGGAAGTTCGAAAACCAATGGCAATGAGAGGCTCTCGTTACAAGACCTCTTTGCCGCTCGTACCTCGATTGAGTAAAAGCTAGACGCGAAAACCAAACACAAGAGCCTGCTCACAGGCTCAACAGACGGCAGTAACAAGTCTTACAGGCGGTGGTAAAACACCGGTAGCCTGCTTTTATTAAAACCAATGCAAGGGTAGATCAAGATATAATCACGTCAGTTGTGGATCGCCGCGTTTAGACTGCATACATGTAGACCTCTTCAAGCAGAGAACCAAACTATAACATTGAAGTATCACACGATGCCTGGGTCTGCTACCCAGCCACGATCTATACTACCACTCAGATATAAATTAACTTCGCAGACGCATTTCATACGCTCAGACACACGGTAGTCAGACGCGCATATACGATTTTCATGCGCGCACGGACAAAAAAAATGCGCGACTTATGTGCCTTTGTTATTCAGTGCTATAAGTTTCATTTGTGTTACATTGATGTGTAGAATAATGAACTCTTAGGTTCGACACGTCAGACAGCCACACCAATGATACATGTCTCAAATGCTGCTGACTCTGTTATCTAAAACGTTTAAGAGCTAAGCAGTTACAAACTTGCTATCAAGAAAGTTTTAAAGCTAACCTTAAGTGCATGTCTCTCTGCCTGTTTGTAGAATCCTGTCTCTAGCAGGCCAAATGCGTACATTCCGTGAAGATATCTACAGTTGAAAGAAGAGTAAATCCACGTTTTATCAAAACAACAATTGTCAATACAAACTTTTATCTACAAGTATGCGTGTAATAATGGTCAATATGTTCTTGGCGTTAAGCTTTATAACCGTTTGAGTTACACAGTAATTGTATTTAAGGAAATAAATAACGATGAAAAATATGAGACGGAGATGTACATGTACTCTAACGACACACAGTCGCGTGTTTTGTGCATGAAATCATTCCTTTTTTGGATGAATATTATTATATTACAATAATAATTGTAAAATAAAATGAAAATTCTGTAAACTCATACTACTATTTTTAAATCAAACACTCACAGAGCTTACAAGAGTTACTTCTGATTCGATTATTTCATCTTTATCAGCTCACCCATAGAGTGGCATGTTTTCTTTCCATTTCGGCATCACCCGTGCAATGGAATCTCTGATCTGAGGTTGGTATCCAAGGTAGAAGTAAGAGTCGTGAGCCATTTTCAAAGCGAGCATGTCGGTTGGGTTCTCCACTAATACATCTTCCCATGTTAGACATGCTTGTGCAGTGTTTCTAAAGAAATGAGAAAAAGTAAATCGTCAGTATACTAAGTAATTGCTTACAGCGCGGTCTATAACGGGGTACCTCTTATAGGAAAAGCCTATAAGAGTTGAAGGAAAAGCCTTGAATTTTCATCTCAGGCATATTCAAACTTTCGTCACAGGCCTTCATTGCTGTCCTCGTCGTTTCTGAATAATTCAAAGACTTTTGAAATTGATATTAACATAGCTTCCAGGTTATATACTTATGTACTTGTAACTTGTTTACAGTTTCTGCTTTGCTAGCTAATAAACAAGACATCAAATGCATTCCCCTGCTCCCCTGTCTTTGAAGGCACTGCACTACAAGTGGCTGAGGGACAAGAGACACACTGGCAAAACCTACATGGTTGAAGAAGCTGATCTCACCACATCCCCTTGTTTTCCTCCTGATGTTTTGTTTCTTGTGGTGCACTGCCTATAACAACCCTGGTCACAACTTAAGTTTTGTGATAAACTATTGTGCAAAATAAAAATTCTGTAACCAGCTTCAGGGATAGTGGACAATATATGTTTAGTCATTCTGTTGGTTAGATGTGTCTCAAAGAAAACAAAATACTAGTTTAAATAAAGGTCAAAATGCCGCCTCGGTTGAAATAACAACACTCACCCTTCAGCCCATTCTTTCACTGCCTTGACATGCAGTCTCTCTCTGTTTGTGATCTTACTTTTGGCAGCTAACCCTTCAAGGGACAGAATGCTGTTCTTCAGCTCTTCATCTGTGTGGATTCCTTTACCTGATGAGATCAGGTCTAAGCCACAAGAGATCACATGACCCATCACTGAAACAAAAACAGATGATGTCTGTTAAATGGGGCACTCCACTAAAATAATATTGTAATAATCTTTCAGAATGAAGGTTTGGTTAGTTGGTCATTGTGATAAGCCAGATTCTCCAGTACTCTTCTACTGAGCCACAGACTCTCTCTCTCTCTGATAACTAAGACAATTTCTAGGTTCAGATATAACATCTATCTAGCATACCGCTAGAGTTAAGATAGTCGGATCATTATCAGTATCTGGGAAACTGCCCACCTACCCCTCCCCTAACCCAACATTAATCCTAACTTGTCATCAATTGACTGTTGTTAGGTTAGGGGAGGGGTAGGTGGGCAGTTGCCCAGATACTGATATTGATCCAGATAGTCAATGTCAAGAGTGCCTATTATGTACATAAAGGGGGTAAGTTTCTAAAGAAACTGTGGTGCTGTGTCAGTGGGAGTGCTGATGAAGGCTAATGCTAATTTACATTATCAACTCAGTTGATAACAATAAATGACCCTATTGTGTACAAAACAGAATAAGAAAGATCTTCAATCATAAATATGCTACCTTCTTCTCTAATTGTTGACACAAAAGTCAGTCACCACAGGGTATTCCTAAATCACCCAGTCACTAATATGGTAATAAAGCACAAAAGCTCCTCAAATGTTTGTACTGTAACAATTGTTGTTGTTTGTGAAGGAATAGTGACTAATTGGCCTTTAGCAATCATTTAATAACAGGAACTAAGAGAAGTGCAGAAACTTCCCTAAAATGGCAAGGAAGATCCAGGGAATAACAAGTTCTATTATAATTTTAATTTAAGATGTTGAAGAGAAAAATTCTCACCAAAGTTAGGATCAGTTGCTAACATCTTTGAAACAGAACCCTCAATTCCATCAACACTGCTATCATCATACCATCCTGTGTACTAAAAACAAAACAGAAGAAATTTTCTACCCACGAAGACATTAGTTGTCAGTATGCTTTACACATGTTTCAAGAAAATGCCTCACAGAAATTATGGCACAACAAAGTCATATTAAGGGATTCTATGCACTATAATTTGCAGTAATGACAGTACATTACTAGTCTGATTCTCATATGACCCAAAGTCACTTGCCTCTACTGTCATACCCAAGGTATAGCCCATACTCATTCTCCCAGAGTACACTCAATTAATGATTATACCTAGAACATGCTACAGGAGACATGACCCTTAACCCTTCAACTCCCAGAGGTGATTAACAAGTAACCTCTCCCAGTAATATCTTAACATTATCCAGCAAACAGGTCATAAGAATATTCAAACTTATCAGGTTGATGTTTTTATGTTGATCTGACACCAAATTCTCCTAACTTATTAACAAGGAAATGTGTTCCGGCTAGAGGGAGAATTAACAATCAGGTCTTGGGAGTTAAAGGGTTGAAGTGCCTGGGCAGTAACAAATTGCACCTCTTCCAAAAACATGTCATTATAGCCCATTTAATGGATATCAGAAATACACCCATAAAAACTGATTTAAATTTGTGACTAGTAACAAAAAAAAAAAAGAAAAAAAAGGAAAAAAGATGCAAATATTTTCACAAAGATTTTCAATTTCATACCTATTAATTTAGGTAAATACACTTAACCCCCCATTAATATTAATCTGAGTTTTTGGTGTTCATATAAAAAAATTATATCCTAATATACTGTAATTGTGTTAATTACTAATTTCATTATTAAAAATTTTCTAGTTCTGTCAAGATACTCATGATTGTAAACCGCCCCCAAAAAAGTAAGTTAACTAACTTAAACCAACCTGTGTTAAGGTAGCATCAAACATTTTTGCTGCCTCATTGCTAGTTGTTGTTAGTGACAATCCTTCACTTCTCCAAGCCTACAAGTATGGGAACAGAAAATCAATGATTTGCTCCAAACTAATCCTCATTAAAACTCACAGCTCAAATCTTCCTAATTCTCCTTCAGAACAAACACTGGCTTGTTTTGAATTGTCTTCTCATCAGCCACTCAACAAATTAAACTATGTTCTGACTGGCTGTCATCATTACTTTGACTTCCATTTTACAACATTCAATGAAAATGCTGTACCAATAGCAATTAGCATATACCACACTAGTGAATAGTGCTTTTCCCACACTCTGATTGGCTAGTTTGGTTACTTCTCAACTCTGAGAAACCAATGAGGCAAAAGTGAGCATCAACAGTCTAATTTCCATTACCTCCCATTTTACCTCCCAAAGTTTTTAACATCTAAGGTCATTAATATTAATGAAAAAAACGGGACCAGAGAAAAAGTCCGGATAATCGAAAAGTCCGGATAATCAATGTCCGGATAATCGAGGTTCGACTGTATGCACCTCCATTGACACTTTGATGCAAATTGTTAATTATGAGTATATTAATAGTGTAACTGAACTACAAAAGGCAATGATGCATCTTAATTAATATTTGTAAATCATTTTAAATTAGTTTATGTACTGAACAGTACCCTGTCTTTATCCATAAAATATAAAAGGTGCTATCAAAATGATTAGGTAAGGCATTGGCCCAACAAATAGTCCAAAAATGCGAAATGCCTGGCACTACAAACCTAATTACGGGTACTCCATGCGAAGAGATTCTAAAAATCATGTCAGAGAACAAATTTTCCAAGATCGTGCACACGCAAAAAATCAAGAAATTTAACATTAGTGATTTCTAGGTATGCCTCAGTTATAATAATCCTTTAACTAAAAGGAAACAGAAAAAAAAATGGGATCTGTTGACATTTCTAGACCACTTGAAGCTATCGAGGAGTTTGAAAGAAGCTTTCAGTGAAAAGTGGACATCGTAATAAGCGTAGTGTAATGTAATTATTACTGAAACTGTGAAGTGTTAGATGTCACCATTTTTAGCCCAGCGGATACCGCTTTAAAAACAAAAACAAGGGGCTGTCCTGGTGTACCAGTACACGGGGGAATTCCTATTGTTTTCATATCCATACATGGAGTTGTGACGCAGTTCGTTAATGTTTCGTTCCTTTGTGTACCGGTACACGAGGACACCACCAAAAACAAGGAGAAAATTCGCTCAGGGTTCCTAGGGGAGGTAAATGCTGAACCGGTAGTAGAAAAGCATTTAGTTCAGGCCTATCCATCTTCATTGTCAGTTTTCCCCCCAGAATCTTCAAACTAATGATAAACGATTTAGTACTCGCTCATAAAGCTTAGGGGAATTGTACATCATAGGACGATCGAAACGTTATTTATTTGAGGACAGCTGGCACACATAAGCTGTACGACCATCACTCTGCATTACGTTGACTTACTGTAGTTATTCGGTTATAAGGCGCACCGTTTTTTTCAAGAAATTCCTAATTTCTGCTAAAAATTACTGCCAAAGTTTGGGTGCGTCTTATAGGCGAATATTTTCCCGAAACAATTTTTTTTTATCACAGTTACTGGTACGATTTCAAGCAAATAAAAGGACACACAGTGTTGGTCATTGACTTTTATAAATATGGTGGTTCTAAAAAGACGAGCGAAGGGCGCGTGCTTAGTAATTTGATACGTCACAAAACGAAACGAAAATAAACAAGCGAAGAGATAAATACCTTCTTCATCCATTCAGCCTTTTTTGTGCTCTGAGACCTGCATTCTCGGCGGTACGTCAATTCTTGTTTAATCAAGGCTTTTGTTTGTGCGCATGGTTGCGTGTGCGACAATTCTGCTTTTGTTAATTAACGGAAACTAAAATCAATACGCGACTTTTTCGCTTTTTTGTAAGTTTATGAAAGAATTTACAATAAACTTGACCGATCTTTACTCCCCAAAAAATGGTGCGCCTTATAACCAAGTATTTTAGCGATATTTTCAGTTTGAAAACAGGCAATAATGAAGTTGCCGAATTGGGGGTGCGTCATATAGCCGAGTGCGCCTTATAACCGAATAACTACAGTAGTAGTAGGTAGTTAAAAAAAATTTTCTGCTAAAAGATCAAACTACGCGTTCTTTACTTACGTCAAGATCCCTCCAGTTACTATGCAAATAAGACATTTCGAGAAAAGAAAATCCAGTTTTTGTACGCACTGTTTCTATGTTAAGCGCGTAGACACGGAAAAACTGCGGCCCACTGTAACGAAGTCAGCGGTGTTATTGGGAAACAAGAACAAAAATATGAACCAGAAATCTGGAGTCGGAAAGCGTGAATTGAGGACAACGGAATATGCTCGCGGTGCTGCCTTTCTTTCTTTTTTTTTTGTTTTTTTTTTGCAATACTTTACCGATAACTACTTTGCACCTCATTCAATTTTTTTCATTCGGCTGTAAACCTTTATTTTTCGTGAAAGGTTCCCTGTTGCTTACTCGGGATAATGGAACGCATCCAAAGCACAGAGAACATAGTCATGAGGAGACATTACTACATACACATTGTGAAGTGCGTAGCTCGCTGGATTTGTGACTTTATACCATTAAGCCAGAAATGTTCGATAATGAATACAGCAATCCTATTCACAAACATCCCTGGCAAATAAGTCCACATCAGCTCAGCTGATTTTAATTTGATCCTATTGCAGATAAGTATGTATGCAGGTATAGCTTGTTTTCACTGGATTTTGGAGGCATGCTCAAGCTGCTTTTGTTCCATCGTTAGTCTCGTTTGTCTGCAAGACTAGGGGACGGGAAAGGAAAAAATTAAAGAAAAAATAAAAGGTTGCCATTTTTATACCAGGCTAGATACACAAAAATCATTGTGATGGTATGGAAGCCTTTCCTGTTAATAATTAAAGTACGTTTACGTCAAGGTTTGGATTACGGAAGATGTGAAAATGGACCAAACAGATGTCAGGTTTTATACAGCTGAAGGAAGAAAAAGAAGTTCATCGGAGCTCCATAATATGACATGGAGCCTATTAAAAGAGGGATTGGCCTGCTGGTAGCTAAAACTTTACGCAGGACGATATGGAGACGACTGATTTGATTCTACGTTTTACCGTTTTGTTCGTCTGCCTGAAGATAAATCTGGTGTCCGGTGGTAAGTTCAAAGCCATTGTGAGATTGAATCGTACACCTTTTATCAGGAAAGGTTTTTTTCTTTTTTAGTTCACTAATAAGCTTTTGCCTCTATCAGAAATTTTTGAAAGGTCTGATCAAAAACCTTGTAATGCTAAGGAAGATTTTCTTTCAAGTACTACGCACATTAATGATGAGGTTGATTCGATATCATAAAATCTGTAGTAATCCTGAGAAAGTTAAGATTGAAACGCTCACTCATGATCAACCCTAACAATGGGATCTTTTGATACCGAAAATAACAAAAGTTGTTGACGCTTCTAACAAATTTTTAATGGCACGATCAACGTTTATTTACGTGATTCAATGCCAGGCGTAAACGAACAAGAATGACAGAGGTCAAAGAGGAGGTGTAAGATAATATTCCAATAGGATTCCATCGTGGTCAATTTATGTCTACAAAAATCTTAACTTTCCGACTGCACAAAGTAGAGTGCAAATGACGCGCAATTAGAGTAAAATATCCTGCAATACTGAACTGTTATTTGGATAGATGGTTTTTTTGTACTGTAAAAAAACCTGTTTAACCGGTAGGCCGCGCGCGTTACGCTTCTCTATCCGCTTTGCTTTTCCCGCCTTATGAAAAATGAGCAGAGAGACTTAACAGAAAAAAAAAGCAGTTGAATAATAAATTACTTTGTAGTTGTGCATTTGTTTCAATGGCACCACAAACGAGAGAATAAATTTGTTGTTTATTTTTAATTTTTGACAGCACCGAGCATAAAAGCTGGAAAGGATAACGTGACAACCAACTCACCAGGCTTATTTGGTTGCAAAAAGATTTACTTTCAGCATCCCTTCCATGGTAAACAGCAAGTCAAGATATTCGCCTCATTTGGACATAATATAAGAAGTTCAGGTCACCGTTATGGTGGAGCTGTCTGGGTGGAATCTGTTTCAACGAGTGGATTTACAGCCTGTGTGTTAGAATTTGGAGACGGATCGAACAGTACTTCTGAAATCAACTGGTTGGCCTTACAGTCTTTGCCGCTAGGAACTCAGTTAGAAACCGCCCACTTGAATGCATGGACCACCGGAACAAAGTGTACGACAATCAAATTTAAACAGGTTAGATTTCTTATATCTAATTGCCTTCGGCAATTGTGACAAATGAAGTTTGCTTTGTTTTCCATAAAACAAAAGCTAGAATTAGGCTGATCACCTTTCCTTCCCTTCGTCTTAAATCTCAATTCTCCGAAATATTTACAACGTTTGAAGAACGCATTTCCGATATTAACGATCTTTTTTCAATTTTGGAGTTCGAGTGCAGTTTATCGAAAGGCACAAGGTTCGAATCTTTTTCAAAGATGTGGGTTTCCTCAAAGGGATTTAACGTATTTGCGGAAAATTACCTTACTTTGACCTTTTAAGTCGTGATCCTTTTTATGTCAATAGTTAACTTATTTCTAGTCTGTATTATGATTGGCAGTTAAAATCCTTACACTTATCAGGTACACTTTTACAGGTAAAGATGTCTAATACTGCGTTTCACAATTTTCAGCGTTTCAAGACCTCACCAACCATTTTAGTTGCTGTCAGTCACGATATTTTAAGCAGACCTCAGGATGCTATGGCCGTATGGGTTGAGGACTTGAAGAAGGACAATTTCAAAGTCTGTCTCAAAGAAACTAAGCTTTTCGATGGAATACACAAGAGCATCAAAATAGTAAGGGAATGATTTAAGTTTTTCTTTTCCATTCCATAAGTAATTTCTATTGGGAGTCTCCATTTGGACGGATGGTGGTCAGATGTATGGGTGGTCGGAAGGATGAAAGTTATTGCGTGACCAGTTGAATGACTTGCTTGATTCGTTTGCATTGTTCATCCATTTATTGATGCATTCATCAGTTGATCAACTTATCGAATTGATTATCAAAATTTTATCATATATGTTTCTTTGTCACTTATCACATTTTTTTAAAAAGTTTTTTTCACTCGAACTAAAATTTCACAGAACTGGATGGCATTTACTACTGTGAAGATTGAGAACGTCACCTCTTCAAAGAGTGTGTTGCTTCATAATGCAAGCTTAGAAAAACACCATGATAACTACGCTTATTGCCAAGTAAGGTTTTAATTAGCAAATCAACAGAAATATCTTTAACAATAGCGCTGGGATTCACTAGCAATTATTGTTTTTTTCTTTTGTTATTGTTGCTATTATTGTGATCACTATTATCAAAATTATCATAATTAATATTTTTTGCTTAATATTTAACAATGCCTACACTATAGCCCCGTTTAAAAGAAAAAAAAAACAACAACAATAACAACACCTTTAATTCCAGGTCCATATTTGTGAAACTCAAACACGAACTCGTTGACCTTTGTTTTTCTTGTCGAATTGGAAGTATGCAACGTTTGTCGACAAGACCTTTGGGGCAGGTGCAGAAACAGTTCGATTTTTCTTAATCTGCTCAACAGATCTTTTGAAAACGATGCAGAAATACGCATCCTGATGGCGGCCTACTTGCACGTTGATGGTAAATAGGGTTAGATGCACACATTTCTGGGTTACAAGCGCATAGAGTTAGATCCAGGGGCGTTTTTGGGAACTTTTTTTTTTATTTTGTTGTTGTTGTTGTTGTTTTTTTTTTTTCAAGATATTGCCCAACGGACCCTGAATTTAGATGTCACACGATGCAACATAATTTTATCAACAGACTTAAATGTTTACATTTCAGACTATAAACTTCACCGATCCATTTTATGCTCCTCCAGTTGTGGTAGTGACGCCCAGACAGGGTTACATGAATAACTACTCAGGTGTCTCTCGATCTCAGTGTAATGCCATGACAGCATGGGTAGAGGTGAGTTATCAGTGTTGTACCGCCTTTGATAAAGATTCTCTTGTTAAATTTGACTGAGATCGTGTATTATCTGCAAACAATAAGAATAAAACTGTTTAAAAAAGTATATGTTTGTGGGCTAGTCACGACACACTAGGATGCTGTATATTCTCCTTCCCGTCTTGATTATAGTACTCGTCCACTGAAGATATGAAAGTTTGTGCGAGAAGCTACGACGGCGATGCCTATGGCGATGATATCATACGAGTTGATTACGTAGTCGTCGGAGGTTGGTGTGATTAGAAAGGCATACCATGGGCAAAACAATGCATTTATTGAACATGTAGGCATTCTTTACTTGAGATAGCACTAGAACTGAAATTTGCTTCCGTACGAAAGCTCTGTTGCTATTAAGTCACTTAGAACCGGTTATTTAAACAAAGTTTAGCCGTTCTTTAACAAAACCGCCTTCTAAATCATCTTAAATTTAACTGCATCTTTCATTTAAACATTTATTTTTATGATCAATGTCAAGAGGGCCGAAAGTTAGCAGTGCAAAGACATTTATGTAATAAAAACAACCCTCTTATAGATCATGATACATATGGCCCACTGCTTGCGTAAAAACGCGGTTTCAATTAGACCTCGAGTAAATATAACCTGCCCTAAGTATCTTATCTACAGTGTAATTCTTGTTACTGTGCCGGACTGAAAGGGTTCAGAAATAGAGATAAGATCTCTAGCTGTGTCCTCAGAATCGGTCACGATACCTTTATCCAAGGGTTTCTTCAGGGTAAGATTCACCTCAATGAATTTTCGCCTGTTTTTATAATCACTAGACCTGGATCCCTGCCTGAACGTCACGTGTTATTTTCATGGTCTTTGTAAAGCTTTTGGACCGCATGATGCTCGTTGCGTGTGTATAGACCACTGCCCTTCCTACCATGAGCCCATCTGCTCATCAAACGGCACAACTTACGACAATGAGTGTTTGTTTAAACAGGAAATGTGTCGCATGCGACTTAACTTTACAGTGCAACATCCGGGTAGTTGTGAAGGTAGGGCGCATCTTCTGCCCCTCATGTTAATGATTTCCGACAATGGTCGATGTATCGGTATCCTATAAAATGAAATATTCAGCCGTAACAAAATATGATATTTGTTGTTGTAGTTATTATCGTTGTTTTCATTTTACCTCCCGTATTTTAGCTTAAACTTTGAACTGATTTTACTATCATTGTTGTTTTACTCTATTGCCATTGTCATTTTCATTTTCATTGTCGTTGTCGTTATCATTATTATTACCATTGTCATTGCTACTGTCTCCTTTCTGTAATTGTCATTATCATTATCAATGCTGTCGCCATCGTCATTTTCAATGTCATTGTCATTGTCTTTGCCACTGACATTTTCATTACAACTCTCCTTCGTATTGCTATTATTATCAGTGTCATTGTCCATGTCATTGTCACTGTTATTGTCATCGTCATCGTCATTGTCATTATCACTGTCACTGTCACTTTCACTGCCACTGGTTTCGTCACTATCACTGTCACCATCACTGTCATCATTGTTGTCACTGTCACCGTCACTATCACTGTCATTGTCATTGTCATTGTCAATGTCAATGTCAATGTCACTGTCACTGTTGTCTTTGTCACCGTCATTGTCATGGTCACAGTCATTGTCATTACCACTGTCACTGTCATCGTCACTATTACTGTCACTGTCATTGTCACTGTCATCGTCACTGTTACTGTCAGTGTCACTATCACTGTCACTGTCATCGTTACTGTCACTGTCACTGTCATTGTCACTGTAACTGTTAGTGTCACTGTCAGTGTCACTGCCACTGTCACTTACACTGTCACTGTCTTTGTCACTATCACTGTCACTATCACCATTGTTGTCACCGTCACTGTCACTGTCACTATCATTGTCATTGTTATTGTCATTGTCATTGTCATTGTCATTGTCAATGTCACTGTCACTGTCACTGTCACTGTCGTTGTCTTTGTCACCGTCATTGTCATTGTCGATGTCACTGTCACTGTCATTGTCGTTGTCTTTGTCACCGTCATTGTCATTGTCACAGCCATTGTCACTGTCATTGTCATTGTCATCACCACTGTCACTGTCATCGTCACTGTTACTGTCACTATCACTGTCACTGTCACTGTAATCGTCACTGTTACTGTCAGTGTCACTTTCACAGTCACTGTCACTGTCATAGTCATAGTCATAGTCATAGTCATAGTCATAGTCATAGTCATAGTCATTGTCATAGTCATAGCCATAGCCATAGTCATAGTCATAGTCATAGTCATAGTCATAGTCATAGTCATAGTCATAGTCATAGTCATAGTCATAGTCATAGTCATAGTCATAGTCATAGTCATAGTCATAGTCATAGTCATAGTCATTGTCATTGATATTGCCATTGTCGTTATCTCTGAAATTGACGTTGCCATTCCGACCGCCACGGCCATTTTCATCGTCTATATCGCTGTCACTGTCATTGTCACTACACCTGTCGTTCTTCTTGGTAGTGTCTTTGTATTTCTTCGGTTTTTTGTTACAGGATTCCCTTTCCAGAGAGGTCGCCATCACATGCCTCATATTCCATCACTTGGATATTCTCATTGTGAGATTATTCCGCTGAAGCCATTTGTTTTCTATCCTGACAAACCCATTGAAGTGCAACTAACGGTCAATCATATTGACACCAGCGACAAGTTATATGTTCATGATGCCGCTGTTTCGTGGGTCGAGAACATCAGTACCCATCGATTTACTGCGTGTGTAATGGCGGCAGGCTTCAACGAACGAAAATCGAATGCGAACGTAACAGTCGATTGGATGGCGTATCAGGGAGCTCCGGTGGGTGGGGTGGCGGGAGAAGAACGGATGTCACAATGGTGGACTGGAACGACCTGTAAAACTGTGAATTTTCCATCGGTAAATAGCATGCCTTTTTTTGTGTCTGCTGGTGGAGTCTTTTCATTAATTATGACAAAAATCATGGTTGTATCAAGCTACAAAAAGCCTGATTTTTTGTTCCTGTTTTATAACTGCATAAACATACATAAAAATGGGATATGCTCTTGCTATTTCAACATATTGTGGCCTTCGTTCTCTAATTTATAGTGATTTTGTTTGGTTTTCCCTTATGTATTGGATAGAGGAATAAATTACAAATCTAATTCTGTCGTAGTATAATTGCTCCGGTGATTATAAAAATGCGCGCGCTCTGGTTGGTCGAGGATCGTGTCATATCTCGCTATAATCACCTCGCGCAAGGTGATTAAAGCAGAAGCACTAAATTTAAAAATGGCTGCCTGGCGTTTTTTCAGTGTTACCGAGAACGTGATCAACACGATACAGAAAATTAAATTTCGAAGAGCGCAAAAGACGCTCTTAAGTTTGGAGTAACACTTTTCAAGAGAGAGATATTAAGGTTGTGCTGATCAGTTGAATTAAATGAAACTATCAAATTCTAATGGAAACTGGTTTTTTTTTTATCTCGACATGAGCAATCAAAACAACTGAAACAGAATTATTTCATCACCAAGACGAATATGTACAGAATTCAAAAGCACTTATGCAATTATACTAACACAAAAATTCGCCTCATGCCCAGTGGATATTGTTGAATAATTCCCACGACTTCGTCTCGGAAATTATTCAACAATAATCACTTCACCTTGAGCGAATAATTGTTAAATATTAAACAAATAGATTCCACGTTGCAGTGCGTCTGTTTGGTCATAGATAAAAGATGAGGTCAAAATAAGATAATGAAATCAATGAAAAGCACAGCTGAGCTTCGTATGACACTTCGTCGGTTTCTTCTTTCCACACTCATAAGGGGTCTGTTACTGAACAGACTCACTGTAACACGAAAGTATTAGTTAAGCAGAGCTATATTTTGAATACGATAATCTTATCATCGACAAGCAAATTAGACAGTTGATCATTTAACAGGGATAGGCTATCTAAATAGCCTTTCATTTTCAGGGAAAGTTTACCAGTTCACCTTCCGTATTTGTAACTGCCGAACATCACCATTCTGGACTGAAGCGCGACGCAGCTAGTGTCTGGACTGAAGATGTGACGCAATCCTCATGTAAAGTTTGTTTAAGGGAATTACAAAACTACGCAGGATCCCACAAAGACATTTCTGTGGTAAGTCATTGGTTCACAGGCTTATCGATTGCTGTCCTATCTAAACAGCTGCTTTCAATTGTACTCATGAACTTCGAAGGTACTTTCATTGCATTCTACAAAGGAATGCTTTCTCGGTGGTGCAATTCCCAAGTGCTTTCTTATTCGACGCATGCACCACAAACTTAATGATGTTTAGCATAAAGGTTACTCCAATATAAAAAAATGGATGCCTAGGCAGCATAGAGTATAAGAATTCTTTCAACTACATTAAATATTTAAAGCAGTGCAATTGAATGCAATGAATAACAATCAGAGATAATGCAAAATATGATCACTGCGATATACTGCGACCATTTTAAGGTAAAAGATTATATATTATTTCTTTGTTTAGGGATCTTTTAGCAAGGAGTGGATCCCAAAATAAACACCATTACAACAGAATGCATATTAGAGTGCACTTTTAGTCGTATTTTCATTTAACCATTATGCGCAATATAACATTTACTGAGCATTCTTGCATTCTTTCTTATCTATATTAGAATTGGTTCGCGTTTGTGGATCTTGACAAGCCTCCCTTCTTGGAACATAGTGTTATTCACTTTATGAACAACAAACCCCCTTCTCACGATCAAAATGATGCCTTCTGCAAGGTTAGTTATCGATGGAAAGTTTTAAAATATGCCATCGGGCATAAGATCAAATTTCCAATTTCCGAAGTTGTTTGGCTCATGAGGGGTTTATTAAGTGCAAATTGATCAGTAATCATAGCGATATCCATGCTTTCTTCACGTTCTACGAGGGATTGACCAAAGTTATAAGGATCTTCACTAGGGCGGTTATTTAAGTGTGCACACTGATTCCAAAATATATGTAATTTATCCTTTTTTTCACAGGATGTTTCCCTTCTCCATACTTATCATACCGTCCCAAATGTACTTGTATCTGCTAATCACTCAACGAAGGGAAGGAACCTAAGTCCAGTTCACAATGGCATAACTGCTTGGGTAGAGGTGAGATAAAATTTTTGACCTTTCTTGGCTTCTTTTAGAAAAACTGAGCAATAGTTACCACCTATCCAACGACAGAGAGGATAGATACACAGCAGCCAAAAAATGAGTTTCTTTATGAATATATACCGATAATACTCAATCGTGATTTTGTCTTCGTCTGCTCAGAGGTTAATAGTACTTTTTATCACTTTCATAATCGAGAATAAATAGTCCATAGTCAAGCTAAGACGAAAACTTTTACATTTATCATCTATCCAACGACAGTGAAGTTATCTATTTTTTCCAGTAAATACCACACAGAAGCCGAAAAATTAGTTTTCCGGAAACTCCTCAAGCGCAATTTTGTCTCTTTGGCTGCTCGGAGGTTAAAAATACTTGCTTACCACTTCTGATTCAACCAAACAGCGCGCGAGAAAAACACTATTTACCCGTGAGGTATATGCTAATGACACATACATGAATCACAGTGTCAAGTAGTTCATTCTGATGACAGTAATCATATATACATATACACTGTATTTCGTTTATTTTATTTTCTACAGTATATCAACAAGACTGGCTTTCGTGTTTGTTTTAAAGAATTGTTTGAAACAAGATACGATCCTCTTTCTATTGTTTACACAGTCATGTCAGGTAAGAATTTGAAATGCAAAATACCATCACAAGGTAAAAGTTTATAAATTCATTACCAATCATCAATCTAAGAGACAACAACTTGAAGATCATCAAAACTAACACATTTTTAACATCAACACGTCACTGCAGACGTAGAGGTTTTTACGCATAAATATATCTGATCGCCTAACTGCATGGATAAAAATGTGTCGTGCATGATTGCTATGAATTACCCGAATTTCACAAGAGTCTTTGAGCATTAAGAACTTAGGAGACAGAGAGGGACGGTAAGGACGTTGATTGGGCTATACCGATAGGACGTTAAGAATTGAAAAGACTGTCGAATACCGATTACATTTTGATGAAATAATGTATCTCCAAAAGCTGCAATATTCATCATAGAACAAAGTTCAAGGGCAGCTCCGTGTGGTTCTCCCATAACGCAAAATATTCATCATAGAAAGTAGCTTTTCAAACATAAATGGAACGGACATAACAGCATCTATACGAACCACGTACTGATTCTGCTTCATGCTTACGCTTAAGTACCTATTTGCATTATATACAGAGGTATGCCAGCCTGGATGGGATTATTTCAATGGCTACTGTTACTTCACAAGCTCCACTTGCTCCTCGTGGCCAACTGCTGAAAAAAAATGCGCTAAAATGGGTTCACATCTTGCGACAGTCCATAATCAAGAAGAAAACGTTTACATTCAACATCGGCACAATGGAGATAAATCCTGGATTGGGCTCAATGATCGAAGCGTAGAAGGATTATTCGTGTGGACAAACAAAGGCACAAGTAGCTTTAGATTCTGGGCGCCAAATCAACCAAACAATTATACGGATCAGGACTGTGTACACACTCTTGGCGCAAAAAATGAATACACTTGGAATGACGTTTCATGCGATAACTGCTTAAAATTTACTTGTTTTAAAGGTAAACAACTTAGATTTGAACAAACAGAAATGCTTTATCTTGAGCCGTTTTAGTTTCATAGGACATTAGCAAACGACTTGACTTCAACATGGGCGCAGTGATGGCTCATTAAACCTAAAATCTGGGTACTAGGTGGGAGACGAATCTTGTGATATTTGTGCTGCATATTGGATTTTTTCAAGTGGAATATGACATACTTTTAAAGATATAAACAAGTGCACAGCCAAGGCTCATTGGTGTAAAGTCAATGCTTTATGTCCAAATACTGAAGGATCTTACAAATGCGTTTGTAAGGCTGGATTTAATGGAGACGGAAAAAAATGATCTGGTATAGATAAATTTTATACTCATCTTTTAAAATCACTGTCGTAGCTTTTAAGAATGAATTGAAGCCCGTGAGCAATCGTCGGGAAATCTTTAAACAATTGGTAAGAATTTCCTAGTCACTGAATCCGTATGTAATCAGAAGATACTATGTAGGCAATCTAAAGGGAATCTGTGGGCACTCCGTAAGCAATCCGAGGGCAATCTGTAAGCAATCCGTTAGAAATCGATGGGAAATCCACGGGCTTTCTTTAGGCAATCTTTGGGTAATCCGTGGGCTTCCTTCGAGCAATCTTTGGGAGATCTGTGGGCAATACTTGGGAGTTACGGTTTTTTGAGATTATTTTTGCCCGACCCGCTAGGCCACGTGTAATCAGGGCGTGTGTTTCGTCGCCCGCAGGCTCTCGCCACGTAATGACAAGGTGCAATGATAAATACAGTGGAGTATAATTTTTGAGCAGAATATCATTTGCTTCCCAAGATACAAACGAGTGCACAGTCAGTTCCCTCTTGTGTGATGTTAATGCTGCCTGTCAAAATACTGAGGGATCCTACAAGTGCATTTGTAAGACTGGATTTAAAGGAGACGGGAAAAAATGCCCTGGTAAGAAAATCATATTATCATCTTAAACAATGCTATCATCTGAAATGTTAAGCTGATTGGAAAATACATCATAACTATTTTTTTACTTTGAAGAATAATTAACGTCAAGACATTATTTTTTTTTGCTCGGCGTTTTGAAAATGGATAATTATTCGGGTTGGTCTATAGTGACCCGCAATAAAACGTTGCCCTTGTAAGAGATATATAAACCTAAAGTTTAAAACCCCGATGTTTTGACTAAAATTTAGGCTGGTTTCTCTTCCCCTTAGTGTAAAACTTAACGTAACAATTTTTCCCGTTCAACTAATGAAAGATTAGCTTCTTTTCCTACAACAGTATAGAAGGTAAAAATACTCTTTACTGCTAAATGAAATTTGAAAGGATCTTAAGAGTTACAGATGACGCATGCGTGTTTTCATTTCATAGGTCCTTGGGAGTTTACAACAAGTGGGCGAAGTGGAAGATATGGCGTAATTCAGACCTTCACTGTTCCACGTACGACTCTCTACCAAATAAAGGCCTGGGGAGCTCGTGGTGGAACACATTCATACAATTATGGATATAGACCTGGAACATACTATGGTGGTAAAGGAGCATTCATAGAAGGAAAGTTCACATTGAATAAAGGAACAGTGCTGAATATTGTGGTTGGACAGCGTGGTGGAAATTCAGTTGAAGTGAAGGATGGCCAAAGCACTGACATGACAGCAGCTCAACTTGGAATTTCTGTAGAGGACAATGCTGGAACTGGAGGAGGGGGTGGTAGTTTTGTCTATACCACAAGAAATACCCTGTTGTTAGCTTCCGGAGGAGGTGGTGGTGCGTCTAGTGGATATAACGGTGTAGATGGCCAGGTGGGAACAAGTGGAACTAATAGTGTGGGGAAAGAAGCATCACAGGTTAGGAAGGGAGGCACAGGGGGGCAGCCAGGTGAATGTAACAGTGCAGGTGCAAGCTACCACGGGGGTGTAGGTGCCGGTTGGCACGGCACTGGTTGTACCCGAACTGGTTCTGAACACGGACAAAGAGGTGGATCACGTGATCACGGCTGGATTGGTGGTCAGGCCGGTGGCATGAACAGTGGAAATAACGGCGGGCCAGCACCAGGAGCAGTGGGAGGTTTTGGTGGTGGAGGTGGAGGATCAGAGGATAATGGTGCATCAGGAGGAGGTGGAGGGTACTCTGGGGGAGGCAGCGGTACCCACTCTAGCCAGGCTGGAGGGGGAGGGGGTTCGTATTGCCGTGGTCAGAGTTGTTCGGGTGTGAATGGCGGTAACCCCAATGATAACGGACTCGTAAAAATAATTGAGTTATCTTCATAATAACTTGCTTGTCACCAAAAGGATTTAAAATTGAAGTTATCTGGCTGAGAATTGTGTTACGCTTTTTTCTTTCACCGAAACAATAGTATATTATAGTCATAAACAGCACTTTTTAACAATATTTTCCCTTGAAATATTTTTTGACTCAATAAAATCACAGGAAAAGAACAAAAATAGCTTTGACGGGGTCTTATTGAGATTGACCTTTGGCTCGCTTAACGTTGAAAACTTTTAGGCGTAAATTTTACAAGATAATCATGAAAAAAATGTGAAATGTAAATTTTATTATTTTTTCCCGTAACGGAAAGAAGTCAACCGTTAGCTGTAAATCAGCTAAAATGTTAACCATTAGCCGTAAAGGCCATTACTCCAGCCATTGAAAATCCATTGACTTTAAAAGCAACGGGTTGGCAGTACTCAATTCGCTCCTAATATTGCTTTGTCTTAGTCGTACGCATGGCAGGTACTGACGAGCCTGCAGGGAGACTTTTGTAAGCCATTAGCTGAATTTCTACATTACTTTGTCGACCTTCGAAAGTCTTTTTTCGCTAGCCGCAGCAGGCTTCGTGGATTCAACGTATGATGCTGTAATAGGAAAGTAGTCAAGTTTTTATTAAATGCTGCATTTAACCAGAAGTCGTGTTCCCCTTCTTCCTTTTAAAAAAAAAACCTCAAACGAGTGTCCTGCAATAAAGTATTCAATTATAGAAGTAATCCAGTGCCATGGGATTAAATCAGGTTGTTTTCACTTTACGATTATTTCCTGATCATTTCAGGACCCAAAATCAATTTAAAATATAATTTCTATACAACTAGTAGTATTCCGTTAGCCCTTCGTCAGAGCGATTGACAAAGGGCTAACGCTCGAAAATTCAGTCTTTAAACTCTTTACGGTGACTAATTGCAATTTACGTTTTCAACTGGGTTGATAACAACAAATTACCCTGTTATACTCTTCCACCGCAGCAGCACCACAGTTTCTTTAGACTGGACTAGGGATTTAGCCATAAACTGCAAAGCTACACATGAGAGGGCAGCTTGCAACAAAGTATTATAAAACTTCTATCGGAATAATTGGGTGAGATTATCAGTGCACAGAGGATTAAAATCATGAGGTTTTGGACAATCCTTAGATATTTTTCTAAGCTCTGACTTTTGAAATTCAACATATTTCATTGCTACAGCATTTTCGGTAATTCTTTTCCGTTTCACTCCAAGGCAAGAAACTGAGGTGAGAGTCTCCAGGTCATTTCTTTTAATAGTTACTTCCAAATCGAACAGAGCAGCAGCTGTTTGTCTACATGCGCCATTAGCACTATTAAAAGAAACAAAATGACAGGGCACCAGTCTCTAATACCTTGGATCGACAGTCAGCTCATTCACACAGAAACCCCACATAACTTAATAGTAAATTGGAAACCATCGGTTCTTTCGCCTAAGCTTGTAATGAAAAGGGAAAAAACAGCACACACTTGTGACTTAACCGCCTTTGCAAGCACAGTAAGCAGGCTAAATGCTTTCGATATTTTTAAGCACGATAAAACTCCAGTAGAAGTCTTTTCCATCTTCAGTTTAGGACCTTTCAGTCGGTTTTACTTTAAACTGCAAATAGCAATATCCAGTCTGCTCTTCAGGTCCTACAAATGAGCGAAACTCTCAAAGCTTTTCTACCACCGTAACAAGTCTTCATCGTAGCCATCTTTAAATCAGATAATGGTAAATATCAGGAAACCTGATGTCTGGAATACCGGTGAAGTCATCAGTCCAAAACTTACGCAAGAGTGGATGGGGAAGTAATTTTCCTCCTGGCAATGTTATCTAAGAGTTGATCCACTTATCACGTTACACTGTCTTACAAAGCTCTAGCAGTTCTGCCCTTTTCAGGAACTTTCAGATTTGGGAAAAAAAGTATCATAATTTCCCTCAGCCTCGACTTGGTGCTAAAAACTAGTTACCAGACTTTTTCGCACAAACAGTTCGAAACTAGCTCGTTGACAGGTGTCACATCTTGTTTCAACCTTCTAAATGGCTTTCATCATTACGTAAATAAAAATGCTTCGGCGAAGCCTCTTTCTTTCAACTGCATTGCCTCTTTTTTCTCTACCACCTATTTGCTAAAAAGTTGTTCAGTTTATAGAGGATATTGAGTAAATTACAGTTTTAAACAATTTGAGTTTTCTTTTTGCAGTAATTTCCTTAGAAATGTTAAAAAAATAGAAATGTTGTTCCCTCTGTTATTTGCACCACCCTCGGCCAGCGGCCATCAGCGGTATCGAAGACCTCGGGCACAGATTTCCCATACAGACCTCCAGACCGGTGAATGGTATTATATTTATTGAATTCGGTTCTCGCACGATATCAAGCTCAACCTCATTCAATAGTTGCTGCCTGGGCATGGTTGCTACTGGTATGATATTCCAGCCCGTGTTAAACATGCGCTGACTCTATTCGTCAATTTAAATAAATTTAAATCAAAAGGAAACAAGAAGAGACTTTTAAATACTTTAGCGAATAAGTTTTACCCTGCGGCATAACTTCCATGAGTTATGGTATACGGAAACACAGATTGACGGATCGAGGCGAACTGTATAGAGTGATTTCTTGCTTTTCTCTTTTCTGTTTCTGTTCGTTTCGTTGTTTTTTGTTTCGTTTTGTTTTTTTCTGTTCATTTAGCAGAACAATAACCAAGTAAAACCTGTGGTATGTTTTTTTTCTATTTGACGGGTATCTTTGAGGAGAGCTACACTGGAGATAAGTTGTCAAATGGTTCTTGAAGTGAATCAGTAAAAATGGAAATATCACTACAGTGAGTAAGATTTTACGGAAATACCTTTGCGATAATTTTCTTTCTGCGCCTTTACATCTTCGCAAATCGAGCACTATTTCCAAAATAAGAAAAAAAAATAAACCCAAAAAATAAACCTGTTACTGCAGAGTAAAATTTGCTTTTTTTCGATCGGTGCTTCAAGGGTAAACTCAATCGTGGCATGGTAATTGGTTGGAGCGTTGCCATGGAAACCCAACATGTCTTAAAATAAGATCGCAACTTACTGATAAAAAAAATTGGCATATTTTAATACAATTTTCACGGGATCACAGAGAAAAGTGTTTCTTTATCGGCTCACCAAAGAATTAGCGTGTCAAAATTCGCAATCATTTCGAAGCCCCTTAACTTCGTCCAAAAGATACGCTAAATAAAACCAACCAGGCTAGAATTATCGGGATAAAAACTTTGCACATTTTTTTGCATGTTGAAACGATGATACTTGAACCACGATGCAACTGTATATTAGTAATCTGTATCAATTATCATGGCAATGGTCATAGGACTAAGTGGAGTCCAATTCGGTCTGTGATCATACGAGTGATAACAAATTCGAACAACCGTGCAGCGGGAGCCTGATTTGTTATTCACGAGTATGATTACAGACCGCATTGGACGACACGAAGTCTTACTACCAATTAATCATAAAAAATACAATTTCCAAGAAAAGAAGAAAAGCCAAGTTATAAAACAAAGAGAAAATTTCCATAAAAAGATTAATAAAGGAGACGTAAATTGTTTTACTGTTTGATTTATTGGTTGATTTAAAATAAAACTTTGAATGTGATTGGTTGATTTAAAATACGACTTTGAATGTGATCGGCTTATTGAACTGTACGATAACAAACTGTGGCAAGTGAATTAGTGGAAAATAGAGTTTTCTTTAAACCAATCAATCACAATCAAGGAAATTGTAATTTTTATGAGAAATTTTTGTCAGTGGCTATTTAACGGCTTCTTGAGAGGCGAGAGTCATTTTAATTGCGACACAGAAGCGAGATGATAGGGTTGTGATCTCTCCTGAAAGAAACCCATTTATAATTTATCAATGGTAGTAATTTTTACGGGAGTCAAGTTGACGTGCAAAAAATTCTTTGACCCTCAGAAATATCTTGCTGTAATATTTTCGAAAGTTGCTTGTCATTCTCGGTCATGCCACAATTGATTTAGTAATGATATCTGATGTAATCATACGTAGTGTTCCAGACTGTTCTAGCTCGTGTCAAGCTGGTGCCCTTGTTGTCTCCCGATAAACGATCAATAAAGATTCATGTTTTAAACAAAACGTGAATACTACAGTCTAAATACGCACTAGTATCAAGTCCCTGCTGATGATGAAGTGAGTTCACTTTCTTTCATTTTGTTTATTTTTTGCGCGAATATATCATGACTTCCCCTGTATTGCCCACTATACCATCTTGCGGAGGGTGATCATAACAATATATGTATGTTGCAATCACGCTATTACCGTAATCACCAGAACCACTGTATTTGTTTTAAAATTTCAGACGATACTCTACCTCTTCTATTATCACTCACTAAGTACTCCTGATTCTGTTCCGTTATAACAAACGATTAATAACTTTTTTAGCCAAGCTGACAACGACATCAAAAATTATCCCTTAGGGAATTAATTAATTAATAAACAAGAAGATATAACCAATTTCAGTTAACATCCCGAGACAATAGCACTGAGTCAAGCCAAAGTAGAAGGGAAGTAATCATTTTATTTCACCGAAAAGAAAAGCTTTCAATAAGTTGATCATAATGGCGCACGGATACCACGCTTCTCCTTTCTACCTGACGCATGATATGAAAATGCGAGAGTTAGTTTTCCACGTATGTGGATCTAAATTTGAATTTGGATTCCGCTTGCTGGCAACCTTACCAAGTTGATCAAAACTAAACACAACGGCATCTAAAGTAGGGGGGAAGGGGGGGAAGGGCCACATTTAACAGATATCTCGATATGCGAGCGCAACTTGAAATGTACCCAATATAATGCTTGGCATTGTCTGACACATATCTTTACAGAAGTGTCAATAGACTGCTAATTGTAAAGTAAGTCCTAAGGATTCCACGCAAAGTATATCTTAAAGGTGATGAAAACGAACTATATGGACAATCTGACTTTCGTGGATTTTACGCTGTCAGCAATGAATCTTTCTTACTCTTATACTGCTAACATTAATCGCTTCAGTTGCAGTTCCCCTCGGATCAATTCGTGAGTTGCCTGCAAAATCGTGCAAGGAGATCAAGGCGAGTGAAGGAGGAAAGGCAGTCAGCGGTAATAATTATTGGATGGGTTCAATCAGATCTGGTAACTCTATTTTAGCTGGTTGTGACATGAAGACTGAAGGTTTGTACAAGACACGGTTCTTAGCATTTTGTTGCCGTGCCAATGAGAGGACTTTTCTTATTATATTTTCTTTCTCCCTAGTTGCAGACTATTGTGTCAAGCACCAGTGCGAAAACGATGCAAAGTGTGTGAACCGTGAAACGAAGTACACGTGTGAGTTTAACTCATCTGCCTGGACAGGAAAATATTGTGAAAAAGGTTCGCCTTTTGTTAAAATCATCTCCCATTTTTAGGAGCATGTTAAACAAAGAAGATGAGGGATGCTTAAGATATGCTTATCCACCGATGTCAACGAAAGTGTGGAAGGTCTACATGGTTGTGATCGCAACGCCATTTGTGATAACACTGTGGGTTCCTACAACTGCACATGCAGACCAGGACTAATTGGAGACGGAAGAAACAGCTGCATAAGTACAAGTAAGGATATAAACCACTTTGTGTGGAGACGTTGTTAGAGGGATAAGCTAGAAATTACTGCTTACGATTGTACATTTTGACTACTACACTAGTGGTGGAATTTCTTTTTTAATTGTTCCACAAATCGCGCAAGAATTATGCACTTTCGAACAACAATCATCATTTTATCGCTCGTGACTAATATTGTCACACATACTTACCTAAAACCAGTCAGGATGCGTTTCGTTTGTGGTCAAGGAATTCTAGAATTAAAAGAAACTTAAGGAAAAACAACAAGTGGGAAATGGCGACTGCCTTCCCTTATCATGTACATGTATAGTCCGAAAGAATATTTTCTCTACAAACGAAGAGCAGCATCTTAAAAATTATTACAAAATAGTTTTTCATTGGCTCTGTTCAATCAGTTAACTCACATTGGTAGGAAGATTATGCCTTTCATTTAGGTAAAAAAACCGCATTTCCTTCTTTAGGTTACTCTTGTGAGAAAATTCGGAACGCAAGTTCCCATCTTAAAGACGGGATCGCTCTTAAGAATAACGGAAGTCTTTTAAAGGCCTACTGTGATATGACAACCGAAGGAGGTAAGGAATTGATGTTAAGAAAAACTGATAACGCTAACGGTGTTTTTTTACTTCTGCACAAACTGTCCTTCTATAGTAAATGGAGTGCAATATTATTTTGCTCAATCAAGAATTTCATTTTATTTAATTTCATTTCTTTTTTCTAGGAGGTTGGCTTCTGGTCTCCAGCGTTGTCGTCGGCAACTTATCCTCGCTACGGTATTCATACCGTGAAATAAGCAATTGTCCCAACAAGTCGTTGTTACTCACGGTAGATGCCATGAAGGAACTGAGGACACACTCGTCTTTCACTCAGTTGAGATTCCACTGCAGCAAAAACAAGGGACGTACTTTCCATTTGACCACGGCTGCTAACAGCAGTGGTGAAGCAGTAGTACAATACTTCAGTGGTCAGACAGATGCCAATCCGAAAGCATGTGGCTCGTTTGTGAGGATGAAGGATGACAACTCGAAGTTAGCTGCCTATTATAATCAGTGGGGTAATAAAGAGTGGGGATACTTTCGTAGTGGAAAAAGCAGATATCGAATCGTTGCTTTTGTCCCTTGGAAATATATGTGGAATTTGTATGGGAGCTCAAGATGGGAATGTGACGACTACAGCTTCAGTGATGCAGAATATTTTGGATTATCCGCGAGTGACTTCTAGAGGGTTTTTTGTTCGTTAAGGCCAAATACAACTAGTAACTAAACAGTTCTCACTGTCTTGAAAAAAATCAACGGCTGACTATGATCAGTGTCACCTTTTTCCGTTTTTAGTTAGAACTATTAGTTCTAGCTCGTGTCAAGCTAGTGCTCTCATTATCTCTCGATAAGCGTTCAATAGAGCTTCATGTTTTAAAAAACGTGAATACCACAGTCTAATTCTCAAGTACCTGCTGATAATAAAGCGAGTTCACTCTCTTTCATTTTGTTTATTTTTTGTGCGAATGTATCATTCTATCCCCCTGCATTGCCCACTATATCATCTTGCGCAGGGTGATCATAACAATATATGTTTCAATCACGCCAGCCCCTTAGAGACCAGAACACTTTTATTGGTTTGAAAATTTCAGAGAGTACTCTATCTCTTCCATTATCACTAAATACTCCCAAGAAGTATCTACTTTGGAAAAAAAATTGTGTAAACTTCAGTACAAGGCGATAAAGGATTTATCACTGATAAAATATTCATCTCCGGAACTCTTTCTTTTGTAACAATTAGTGAGTTAACTGGAGTATTTCATCGAACAACGATGGATAAATGTTGCACGATTACAATGAACACCGTAAAATTAAAAAAAAGAGAATGAATTCTAACTTTGAAAAATATATCGAACATCATGGGTTTTATCTTTAAATAGTTTTGTGATATCCTTGTGAAACTAATTTATTCATAAAGCTATGTTGTCCAATAGGGACTGAATTTGTCCACACCAATTGGCAGGTGTTAAAAATGCCCGATATCTTTTTTATGCAAAATAGTAAAGTTTTTATATTCTATCGCCTCAGATGTTTACCAAAAGTTACTCTTGTAGCAAAACCAACAGGAAGAAATGAAACTCGACCCATTTCAAAAAGTTTTAATCCATTCGTCTAAAATAACACTGAAGTGATGAATCACGACCCTGCCGTTGCAATTAGAATGACTTTCGAAAGCATCTTTCGTCCTCCAGAAGGTGCAAAGTATGCGAGTATAAAATAGAACAAGATTGCAACGTAAGCTACATCGGTCTCAAAGTGTCACCATAGTAACACACGCAAACTCAAGAAAGTCTCGATTGCGATAGCTGTCGCCTCATATTAGTATTACAGCCTTTATTTCGGATGTACTCGTGACTAAAATAGTTACGTTTCTACTGAAAATACTCCTTGATGGATCGATGCTACTTGACAAAGAAAGAAATATTAAATTGGCCACCTGAACATCGGAAATAAAGATTAATCTCCGAAGTGTTTGTGTTCAAAGTTTTCGAAAAATTCTGTGGTAGCTTTACATAACTAAATTATTCATAAAGACATCATTGAAATAGAGACTAACTTCAGCTCACGCAAAGTGGCAGTTGTTTATGAAAACGTAAAATTCCATTTTTCGATGAAAAACAACTTTTCGCAGCTATCGTTTTCAATGTTTTCCGAAAGGCAAAAACACCTAAAACGAAAGCTCGACTTTTGAAAATTACTTTTATTCTTTTTTCACTGGGTGTGAAGGATTAAAAATGAATTTAACCTCTTATTGGTAGATAAAAATAAAGAGCTGGAAACGACCCTCACGAATTAATATAGTTTTTAGAAACTCCCTACAGTCGAGAGCCTCCTTAAATTTGCAAAACTTAGGTTGAACCAAACGTTTTTCTCTTTTGATTTCTGTTTTCTTTTTCGCTTTAGTTTTTAATGTTTTGTCGCCCAAAGGTGAACCTTTTTACACGATGTACGATTTTTAAAAAAAAGTACATTAATTTTTTTTATATATTTATTTTTTCAAAAACATCGTGAGTTTTATGTTTCGATAAAACAAACGATTGATGAGTTCCTAGCCAGGCTGACAGCACGACATCAAAAATTTATCCCTCAGGGGTCTCAGAGCTCTATCGTAATAATAAACAAGAAGATATAACCAACTTCAGTTAACATCCCGAGACAATAGCACTTAGTCAAGCCAATAACTTCTTTCTTTACTGTTTTGTCTACCTGCTGTGGTAAACGTGGAAGAGAAGTAATCATTTTATTTCACCGAAAGGAAAAGCTCACAATAAGCTTATCATAATGGCGACACGTATACCACGCTTCTCCTTTCCACCTGGCGCCTGATATGAAAATCATTTAAACAGAGACTAACTTCAGTTAACACAAAGTGGCAGGTGTTTAACATCTAAGTTTTTTTCTTTCCTATGAAAACGGATAATTCTATTTTTCAATGAAAAACAACTTTTCGCAGCTATCGTTTTCAATGTTTTCCGAAAGGCAAAAACACCTAAAACGAAAGCTCGACTTTTGAAAATTTCTTTCATTCTCTTGCACTGGGTGTGAAGCTTTAAAAATGACTTAAAAACTTATTGATAGATAAAAATAAAAGCTAGAAACGACCCTCACGTACATAGATACGTTTTGATATAGTTTTTAAAAACTCCCTACAGTCGAGAGCCTCCTTAAATTTGCAAAACTTAGGTTGAACTAAACGTTTTTCTCTTCTGATTTCTGTTTTCTTTTTCTCTTTAGTTTGTAATGTTTTGTCGCCCAAAGGTGAACCTTTTTGCACGATGTACGATTTTTTGAAAAGTACATTTATTATTTTTATATATTTATTTTTTCAAAAACATCGTGAGTTTTATGTTTCGATAAAACAAACGATTGATGAGTTTCTAGCCAGGCTGACAGCATGACATCAAAAATTATCCCTCTGGGGTCTCAGAACTCTATCGTAATTAACAAACAAGGAGATAGAATCAACTTCAGTTAATATCCCGAGACAATAGCACTGAGTCAATCCAGTAATTCGTTTCTTTACTGTTTTGTCTACCTGCTGTGGTAAACGTGGAAGGGAAGTAATCATTTTATTTCACCGAAGGGAAAAGCTTACAATAAGCTTATCATAATGGCGACACGGATACCACGCTTCTCCTTTCCACCTGACGCATGATATGAAAATGCGAGAGTCAGTTTTTCACGTGTCTAGATCTAAATCGGGATTTGGATTCCACTTGCTAGCAACCTTACCAAGTTTATCAAAGTTAATTACAACAACGTCTACATTGAAAAATAAAATAACCAAAAATTCAGCCGTCTCCCATAGATTCCCTCTGAGCCAACAAAGATCCCCGCTGTAAGAAAGACGCACGATTGCTATTTATCTACTAAGAGTTTGTCCCCGGTGTAATATAATTCCCTCACAAAAATCAATTTAGCTCAAATTGGCCATAAAACACAACAACGTTCAGTAGGAGAAAACTTTAATTGCCTACCATAGCATCTCCCTGATCCAACAGAGATGCACCACTGTGATGAATTAAGGATAGGGGCTAATTAATTATTATCAATAATTATCTCAGAACTATCTTCCAGCTTCAGTTAGCCGTTGGCAACCTGCTCTCAACAAATTTGCTTCACACCTCAAGAGAAGACCACCCAGGTGTGTGTATAACTGTTCCGTAGTTTACTATACAATCTCTTTTTCAAGTTAAAATTGAGGTACGTCTGAAAAAGGTGAGCCAAAACCCGTGTCTCCTCAATTGCAGAACTCTTTTTTTTCCTGAAAAGGGTTAATAAGCACTAAAATGAAAGGAAACTACAGAGACTAAAGTCCTCACCAGACGTTACAGTGTACAATTATGAACGATCTTTTCTTATCAATCTCCAATTGACCGTAAAACATAAGAAAGCTTGGTTTGAGAAGAATAATAACTGTCTCCAATAGATTACCGCTGATCTAACAAAGATGTACCATTGTGAGGAAGGACAATGACTCATAATCTGCTTGGAGGTCGTCTGTGGTGTAATATTATTCCCTCTAAACAACCTTTCAGCTTCAGTTGGCAGTTGGTAACCAGCCTTGCTCTGAAGAAAAGTGCTTCACACCTCAAGAGAAGCCCAAGTGGAGTTTAAGAAACAACGAGTACTTTTAACCAGGTGTGTGTATACCGAAATGTTCCACAGTTTATTGTACAATCCCTTTTTCAAATTAAAATCGAAATACGTCTGAAAAAGTTAAGCGAAAACCTGTGCCTCCTCAATTGTAGTTCTCTTTTTCCTGAAAAAAAGTTTAATAAGCACTAACATTAAAGGAAACTACAGATACTAAAGTTTTATCCAGACGTTAAAATATACAATTATTATCGATTTTTACTTATGTGCGAGGCCCAATTTCCTATGAAGGTAGCATTTTCTCGCCACCGAATTTTTAAAAGATGATTTTGAATGGATGACGAAACAGGTGAGTCTCCTAATTTCAAGAAATGTAAATTTTTAAGACTGTAAATTGCACTCGCCTCACGGGCTTGAGCAATTTTGTTGCCATAGGAAAAAATGTATTCGTGCTTTTTTCATCAAATTGCACTCGCAATTATTTTACTACCTATATTTAAAATATTTTCCAAGCTGTCAAAAATAACTGAAGTTTCTCATCTTTCCCGCAAACTCATCAGCAAAGATTAAGACTTCAAAAGGAGAGGGAGGAAAGGCAGACTTTAAAGTGATAAAATTTCGTTTTTCTTCAATAATCATTAATTATTCTTTTTCCAAAAATGTCTTTAACTCAAACATTATCAATAAACAGTGAAACTGCAATAAGCGTGTAAGTCTCCTGGCCTTTAATAACAACACCACAAACCAAGTTCGAATGAAGATTTATTGAAGCCGGCGTGCTTGGTACTAAGAGTGTGCATACAAACAGCGTGGGTTGAAACTAAAACGGTAAAAAAGCAAAAAAGTTACAAGTTGCGACTAAGGTAAATTAGAGTAAGGAAATAACAAAACTGCAAAACGAGGACTGTGAAGTACACTTACATTGTTTCGGCCAGAGAAAACTGCTGTAAAGCGGACTGCGAATAACGCGAAGAGACTTGCAAGAAACTAAACAGAACTGCGCTAAGCGCGGACCAAAATGAACCGCCCAAAACTGTACTGCAAAACTACGATATGAAAAATACACTAGAACATGCGGAAAATAAAACTATAGAAACTTAGAAAGGCGCTAATGAAGATGAAACAGCACAGAAACGCTAACGAGGGCGCGAAAACTGACAGAAAGGAATAAACACTTAAATTAACGCCAAAAAAAAAGACTAAACAAATGGACGAAAAGAAGTATAAACTAATTTGCGTACGCAAAGGAAAAACAAATTACACAAGAACGAATAATAGAAAAAATGTTACGCTTGGATCTTACAAACAGTGTTCATCTTGTTTTCGCAGGTGTCATAAATCTGATATGCTTCTCATGGCTGGTCGTCATGCTTCATTTTTTACCGTGTTATTTTTAATTTCTCGACTGTTCCCTGACATTGCCAGTCAGCAGTGTGTAGCCGGCGGCGACCTATATTCCATTTACCAAATGGTGCTCCAGGGCCACACCTACAAGACGTTGAAGACTGCACCAGGTACTCTGCAATGCAGAGACGCTTGTCTTGCTGATGTCAGATGTCAAAGCTACAACGTCGTTATGTTCATTGCAATATGCGAGTTAAACAACCGAGCTTAAGAGGCCAGACCAGAGGACTTTGTCAAGAACAAGGACATATATTAAGGCCTATTTACACGGTACGACTTTGTCGCATGCGACAAGCTTACGACAGGCCTACGACATGACTTAGGACAATTTACGCGCGCACGACATTTTCACCTACGACATGCCAAAATCGCGTGCAATTCCACTCGTTTCGGCCGCGGTCATTGTTTCAATAATTTGCAAGAGAAGGAAAAGAGCCTCTTCCTCGCTCCACAGTGATATCATATTCTCTGTTTCCTCATCTGAGAATGTATTTTTCGCTTTGGAAGCAGTCTTCGACTTTCCGGAGGCGACTTCCTCCGCCATTTTGACGCAAGAAAATTTCACCTTCCTCCCCTACTCAGTAGAAATTTGTCACAAAATACGTCATTTTCTATCAATTTCGGCTACGATTGTCGCAGCGTTTTAAAACATGTTTTAAAATCCTACGACATTTTTCGTGACGTGCACGACAGTCGTAAGCGAGTGGTAGGTTTGATTTACACGATACAATTCGTGTCGTAGGCCTGTCGTAAGCTTGTCGCATGCGACAAAGTCGTACCGTGTAAATAGGCCTTTACACGATATACGTGATAGAAATGCAAAGATTAAAAAGCAGTATTACAGTTAAGGAGGGGGGGAGGGGAAGGGGGGGAGGACGGTCAGGGGGGGAGTAAAAGTCCTGTAAACATTCCACACAAAGTATAAAGGCGATGTAAACAAACAATATGGGTAATCTGACTTTCGTGGATTTTACGCTCTCAGCAATGAATCTTTCTTACTCTTATTCTGCTAACATCAATCACTTCAATTGCAGCTCCCCTCGGATCAATTAGTGAGTTCCCTGCGGAATCGTGCAAGCAGAACTAGGCGAGTGAAGGAAGAAAGGCGGTCAGCGGTAATAATTATTGGATGGATTCAACTCGATCTGGTAACTCTATTTTAGCTGGCTGTGACATGAAGACTGGAGGTTTGTACAAGACATGTTTCTTAGCATTTTGTTGCCATGCCAATGAGAGAACTTTCCTTAATCGATTTTCTCTCTCCCTAGTTGCAAACTATTGTGTCAAACATCAGTGCCAAAAGGATGCAAAGTGTGTGAACCGTGAGACGAACTACACGTGTGGTTGTATCTCATCTGGCTGGACAGGAAAATCTTGTAAAAAAGGTTCGACTTTTGTTAAAATCATCCCCCTTTTTTAGGAGCATGTTAAACAAAGAAGATGAGGGACGTTTAATTAAGATATGCTTATCCACAGATGTCAACGAATGTGTGGAAGGTCTACATGGTTGTGATCCGAACGCCATATGTGATTACACTGTGGGTTCTTACAACTGCACATGCAGACCAGGATTACTTGGAGATGGAAGAAACAGCTGCATAAGTACAAGTAAGGATCTAAACCACTTTGTGTGGAGACGTTGTCAGAGGGATAAGCTAGAAATTACCGCGTACGATTGTACATTTTGACTACTACACTAGTTGAGTATTTCTTTTTCAAAATTATTACAACAATCATCATTTTATCGCTTATTACTGATATTGTCACACCTACTTATCTAAAACCAATTAGGATGCGTTTCGTTTCTGGTCAAGGAATTCTAGAATTAAAAGAAACTCAAGGAAAAACAACAAGTGGGAAATGGCGACTGCCTCCCCCTATCATGTGCATTTCTAGTCCGAAAGAATATTTAAGAGCAGCATCTTAACAATTATTACCAAATATTCTTTGACTGGCTGTGTTCAATCACTTAACTCATATTCGTGGGAAGATTGTGCCTTTCATTTAGGAAAAAGCCACATTTCCTTATTTAGGTCATTCTTGTGAGGAAATTCTGAACGCAAGTTCCCACCTTAAATACGGGGAGTCTGGATCGGTCTTAAGAAGAACGGAAACCTTTTAAAGGTCTACTGTGAGATGACAACCAAAGGAGGTAACGAATGGATGTTTAAGAAAAACTAATAACGAGAACGGCGGTTTTGTTTTACTTCTGTACAAACTGTCCTAATAAATGCAATGCAATATTATTTTGCTTAATCAAAAATTTCATTTCATTTCTTTTTCCAGGAGGTTGGCTTCTGGTCTCTAGCGTTGTCGTCGGTAACCTATCCTTGCTCTATACCGCTCAGGGTAGCCTCTTCAGATGCAAAAACCTGTCTGTTATCAATGGGAGCCCTGAGCACAACAATGTACTAAAACTATGGTATACATATGTATTACACTGATACTGATAGCATTATAGATAGAAAACTATATACAAATAAAAAATTTAGAAGTAAATAAATACGAAATACCATCAAGATAGTTCGTTAAAAAGAGTGCACCCATGGTAATAGAAAGATCGTTTTGCGATCTCAGTCCTCACAGCAGGCGGATGTAAAAGGTTGCTTCGTCTAGTGGCACGGGCGTAAATTGTATTATTACGTTTAAAAAATTATTTGAAATATCAGGGACCGCGCAGCAAGTTTTCGAGAGGGGGGGCTAAAGAAGAATGCATGAAGCAAAATTTTTTTTCTAAAGCCCCCCCAGCCCCTCCCTCTGCGCGGTCCCTGAATATTGGGGACATTGACCTTGCAGGCATTTCTTAACGAGTTTAAAAACAGTTTTACGACGGCGCTTCTCCAGCGTGAGCCATTTCAAAACGTCCACTACTGGTTGCTGCGCACAGTTCTTGTAACTATTCTGGCAAGCCGGTTTTGGAGGGCTTCAAGGCTATGTTTGTGACCTTCCCCGCAGCAGCCCCACACACTTACACAAAATTCTAAAATTGGCCTTGTTAGACTACAATGAAATAAGCCTTCAAAATAAGCTGCTTTATTTGCTCGTTCCAGCTAAGGCGGTCATCAAAAGCTATACCGAGATAAGTGAAGTGAAGAATTTACGGCAGATAATCTAGGGAAAGTTCCAAAAAGCATAGCTTCAGTTTTTGTTACGTTGATAAACAGACTATTGAAAGAAAGCCAGTGTGTTCCATTTTAGACAGATCAGCAATCAGCTTGTCTAAAGAACATTACCACACGCTACATCAGTTGTGTTCCAGAAACTTATTCCTGACCTCAGGAGCCTACCTGACTAGACGACCAGCTCAAGATGATTAGCAACAGGTATTGGCTTTGAAGAAGGAAATTACCTGACATCGGCATATTCGGCTCAATTGCAGTCGAAAAGACATAACAACTTATGATCTGATTCTACCCTTCGTGGTTGCGTTGTGTTCTTCCTGTACGAGAACTTTTGCATTTGATGGAAAGCGCGGATCTGGTTTATTAATTCGCATCGCATAATTTTGAGCTACTGGAACAAGGAGAGCGCAAAAACTAATATTTTTGTTTTCTGGCAGTGTTCGACATTCGAGCAACGATGTTAGCCTGGCCTTTTTTTTTTTAGTTAAAAAAAATAAGCCTTTTGGTTTTTCAAGAGATGAAATACAACAATACAAGATGGCGCATATCACAACATTTCACTTACTACCATCCCCCCTTTAAATTTTTTTTGCCACTGAATGATGCCTGTTTCATAACGTGTTTCCTTTTTATGCTAAATTATCTAATATCGCTTGCTCTAAGCTTACATTTTAATATGTGGCATAACGTATAAGTTTGAATGCATACGCCTCAAAAACATTTGCAAAGAGATTTGTAAACGAAATGTTGCCCGGTTAGCATTTGCGAAGAACCTGCGCTCATACTGGTTTAACGAAGGAATAGGGAATTGCACAAAAACCTTTCCACGTCATAACCAACTTCCAAATCTTCTTGTTAGAGCCTGATAGCGAAGACTGAGCGAAAATTGTTAAATCACCATTGATTCTTAGCCGGCTAACCTAAGAGTTGGGTAGTAAATAACGCATTTTTCGTCTTGTAGACGCTTTAATTAGCAGATTTTAGGGTCTAATTTTCGTTTCTGTTGGCCCTCTGTATACTATATGGTCATACACTGCAACGGGAAGTTAATGCATAGGAACGAAATGGAAAAATAACATATTGCGTGCACGCAATATGTAGCTCAGCGGAAAATTTGGTAAAATTGTCATTGAAAAAGAGGGTGGATAAAGAATGAAACGGATCAGATTTTCAAAGAAAACATGATATTATGTTCATTCAGCCACTTTCCATGATGAGCTTCAACGCAGCCATATAAGGAAATTTTGCTCAAGCAGACACGTTTTAGCAGTTTGGCTGAGCAAAAATGCTTATTCCTTTCACATAAAGGGACGTATATACACGCAATACGGTTTACACCTTCAGCTGATTAGCTGGAGCTATAGGATCTAAAGATATTACAAACTAAAAATCTGGGCCTTTAGCTCATTCCACAGCCAAGAAGATATGATAAGAACTGAGTTGATTCAACGCCTTGCAGTTGTACTGTTTTGCTTGAGGAGCACGTACATACTTTGTGGTAAGTGCGAAAGCAATAATTGTTTATCGGTTCGTGTCTCGATTAGGTCGACTGTTCATTGCGTCTTCATTGACCGTCGAGCCGAGCTTGCATTGTAAAGGATGCCGAAAACTCTCGCTGCGATAAAAAAAATGCTTACCCTGATTTTTGTTTACTTGTATATCCAGAACTTTCAGTATGCGTGTAGGATTGGAATTTCAGGCAATCCCTTCGCTTCCTTTTGGGATTTTCAAATTAATTTTGTTCATTTAATTGTCATAGGGTGCGTCTGATCCTTTTTCAAATAGCAGACTCTTTGGATAAAATGCAAGTTAGAGGAAAATTTATAATGAACGCAATCTAGCAGTATTGTGGACCATGAAAAAAATTAGTCGACAGAGAACCGGAAAACTATCGCTGAGATAACTATATTCACCCTGAATATTCAACTGTACCCAATAATGTTCTGTTACCTTTCGCCAATTATCATCAGCCAACAAATTGGGGTAAACCCTGTCGGCGTTTTTGATGTAGATTATCGTCTAACAACGGTATTCGCAAGAATTACTGAGTTTTAAAATAAGATATAATATCATAGGCTGGTTCTAATTCTTGTCAAGAAACTCTTTCTCTTAGATCTGCGTGCATAAGCTTTTCATTCAGCTTTTAGCTCTAGCTTTCTGTTAACTTACATGTGTGGAGAATTAAACGCCCTTCAAAATAGTCTGGATTAAAATTTGAAAACGAAAAAGTGCTTCAGTATTAGCAGAGCACGTGCTCATTAAATCCCATCCGGAACACTGACCTTCGACCACAAGTTCGTCGATCAAACCATTCGAGTTCAGTTTTCTAACTCAATCAATCAATCAAATCCTTTATTTTAAAACGATAATTGTTGAAGCTGAAAAGCTTCAACTGGATTCATTTGTTGCTTTTCTCGACAATTTTTCAATCTTCAAAAATCTCTTGGACTCTGTCAATTGCTGATTGAACCGCATATTTGATCGGGAGAAAAACTTTCGGATCGGAAATCTAATTCTTTAAGAGTTACGATAACATTGTCTTCATGCATGCATATGTGGAAAGAGAAATTATAAGCCGTGTACAGCTTTCTTGGTTCCTTGAATACTTTTCGAGAATGATGCCACTATTCTTGCTATGGCAATTAAGTTGACCCTAATTTTTTGTTACATACAGAAAGCTTTCTTAATCGGTGTTAAGAAAAGATATAATTTTTAAGAGTCCCATTTTAGTCAACCAAAGTAAAAAATTGGTCTTAAAGGAACAGCGTCACAGTGCGCTGTGATGTGTCTGAAAGTTTAAAACAGCTGGTAACTGTTTCAAATTTCGTCGTCGGAACTGGTTGTGAATTTTTATTGTTCTCTATCTTTGCCATAAGCGATGATTCTTTTTAAAACACGTTATTTTCTTAAATCAGAATCTACAGCGTGTTTTTTCCTTCTCTTTTCTTCAATAATTTGCCGGCTGAGGCTGCGTTTAGAATTTTGTCCTTTCGTTTATTTGTTTTGTCCTTGGTTTAATTGCAACAACCATAAGTTCGCATGAATAGGAGTGCGGTCTTTTGGTCTTGAAATTTACCATTTGATTGGTTTGACAAGAGGAGGATTTTTCAAATAAAATGCACAGTGGACAGAAATTGACGATGTTATCTAAAGGACTCTCGAGTACAGAATTTCAGAAAACTCTCGCTGAGTCTGAACTGTGCCCACCTCGATTTCCCGCTGTCTCCAATAATGTTTAAAAATTATTTTTTATAAGCCGAAAAATTATGGTTAATGTTACAGCAATTTTTAAGGTTCATTGATGCAGATTTGAGAACGATTTGCGATAAAGATCTTAATTATTCATACTGTTATCGTTACACAAGCAATGGGTTCAACTAGTTGTGCATCACCTTATAAAGCGTTATACTCCGCTGTGACTGACGGGTTTTCATCAGCAAATTCAGAATAACATCACCTCAGAGCATGTCCAGTTCACCAGACAAATCCCACTTTGAAATGAAGCTAAGTGTCAGAATCCGTGACCTCTTTAATTTTTGTTATAAGTTTGTTAGTTAGAAGACTACATTCTCGAAAGACATCAACAAGGGATGATAAAGGGAAATTCTAGACCATGGATGTTGAGACTAAGAAACACAGCAGCAAAAACGCCTTACCATAGCAGACAAACACTTTATCGAAATGCGCTAATGACAGTTGGTGAAAGCTGGCTAATCACAAGCTGGCCCAACTTTTTTCTCTTGGGGTGACGCGTGAACATTCACCGTTCGAAGTTTATGATAGGGATGTTGTATCAATAATTTGTGCATCTTAGCTGTTACGAAATTTGGATGAAGCAAATAGCAAAAACAAGTTATGCCTTCTTTCTTTCGACAGCACCGATAATAAAGGTGGGGAAAGACAATGTAACGATATCGACACCAGGCCTGTTTGGCTGTGAGAAAATTTCTTTCCAAAGTCCTTTCTCTGATGGACAGCAAGTTAAGGTATTCGCTTCATTTGGACATACTGTAAAAAGTCCAAAACATCGGTTTGGTGCAGCAGTCTGGGTGGAGTCTGTTTCTACTGGAGGGTTCACAGTCTGTGTTTTGGAGTATGGAGAAGGTTCAAAAGGTTTTGCTGAAGTGAACTGGATTGCTTTGCAATCTACACCTCTTGGATCTCAGCTAGGAACTGTGGCGTTGGATCCATGGACTACCGGAACCGAGTGTATTACTATCATCTTTGAAAAGGTTTGATTCAAGCAGGTTCTTATTTCCTTTTGATACAAACGGCTGACAAAGGGAAATTAAGCCAAAAAACGTGAAGAGTTATTGCTCGTGGTTCCGATGCTAAGACTGACATGGCGGCATTATTAGTATTACCTGTCCTTGAGAGGGTTTTTATCCATCAATTTTTGCTTCAAACTTACTTCGTAAAAATATTCAATTTTTTTCCTCTTTTGTTTTTTTTTTCTTTTAGCGCTTTAAGACTACACCAAATGTTTTAGTTTCCGCCAGCCATGAGATTCTCAAGAGACCACAAGATGCTATGGCTATTTGGGTAAAAGACTTGAATAAGGACAATTTTAAAGTTTGTTTCAGAGAGACAAAGATTCTTGATGGATTACACAAAGATATCCGAATGGTAAGGGAATCATTTCAACCCCAGTACTCGATAATTGATTTATGCGCTCTCACCATTCTAATTAGCTACCTTTCTTCATCATCCAGTCATCAATACCACTTTATTCTCAGAATAAGTGATTGGCTGTGACATTCATGTCTGATCGAGATAGCTTTATAGCCGTCTAATTAACAGACCGACTATCAGATTGACTTATTGAATGACTGATCAACTGACTAATTAAATGATTGACAAACTTCTGATTGATAGATAAGCTGACTGAGAGACTGGCCGACTGTTTATCCAACTCACTGCCTTAAAGACTGATAGATTGACTCACTGACCCACTGACTCGCTGATCAATTGAATTGAGTGATTGAATAACATAACTCACTAACTGACTGACTTACTTGCTGGCCCCTGAATGAGTAACAGGCAATTCGTATTACCAACTGACTACCAACAGACTAACGGAGTAAATGTATAACTAACCAATGCGGAATAAATCAGTGTTAAATGAATGGATTCTTTTAAATGTTGTCAACCTACTTATCAATTATTAACCATCTCATTTTACAGAACTGGATGGCGTTTACAACTCTTAAGGTTGGAAACTTCACTTTAACCAAAACTGTAATGCTGAACAATGCAAGCTCAAAATTCCATTACAGTAACCATGCGTACTGTCAGGTCAGTTTTAAAGTTAGTTTTATGACATGGGTAACTTAATCGTTTTTTTTTGGTACCAATCGTTTTTTTTTTCCTGAAGTCGATAATCACTCCATATTAAAAGTGAATAGATTAGTAAGTGTAAAAGGGCCTTTATCAAAGAAAGTAGTTCTTTGACGAAGTTTAAATGAAATAAAACAATATTAAATGGGCTAAAGCAATGTGGTTCCCACGGTTGTTGTGGAGGGGGTGGCGGTGATGGTAACGTAACATTATTCGTTCGAATTCAAATAGCATTTTTCAGCAACTTGTGTCATCCATTGTTCTTCATATTTCAGAGTATAAACTTCACCGATCCGTTTTATGCTCCCCCTGTTGTAGTAGTGACACCAAAGCAGGGTTATATCAATAACCACTCGGACCCTCCTCTCTCTCAGTGCAGTGCCATTACAGCTTGGGTAGAGGTAAGATGTCAGTGTTATACCTGTTCTAGAACATGTTAAAAGGTTGTCCGCGGTAGACATTATGTATATGAGTGTGACTTCGCTGGCCTTGAATACAAAATTGATTTAACAAATGGGAACAAACGAAATATTTCTTTTGGCTCTTTGGCAGAGATGGTTAAGTGTTAGTTAATATCGTTCAATTTATATATCAATTAACAATTCTTGAACGCAATCAATATGCACCGTGACATTGCAATTGATCTCTTTTCACTTGAGGGTATTTTGTTTTTTTAATTTCAGAGGTTGGTCGAATGTGAAAAGTTTAATATGGGAATGCTGTGTTTTTAATTTTGTTGGATCGATGAGGATCAAACTTTTGCTCTTGACTTCTTGCAGCTCCTTGTTGTTTCCGTTATTGTTATTTTTGTTTAATTTTTGGCGGTTCAATAACTAACTTGATAGCAAATTATATTTTCCTCTTGACTACAGTTCACCTCAAGGAAAGATACGAAGGTGTGTTTAAGAAAATACCAGAGCAAAGAGGAAAGTAACAGTGCCATTTCAATTGATTATGTTGTCGTAGGAGGTGAGTGCCATCATACATGATATTTTGGGCGATTTGTTTGCGATTTTGAAGTAAACATAAATCTGGAATTGCCTAAATATTTGGCCAGTTTTGCGAACTGAATCTCGAAAGTGTTGGATTTTGAGTGGGACAAGTTATTTTTTCCTAGAAAAATGGCGTGTCCTGCATTGGTATCGTTAAAGGATTCCATGAGAAGTAACAAGAGTTTCGATATAAGCAGGACTCGAGTGAAAACTAACAACAAATAATTTATTTGTCATCTTAAACATAGTCAGAATTTGCCCATTTTTCTCCCCTCTGGACCTTTCTTGTTATTAGAAATAAATGATTTACCCTTCTCTGTTTAGCGTTGGTAGCTATTTGTTGTTTAATTGTATTTTTTGTCGTCGTTGTTTTATTTTTGCAGAAAGGCGTTGCTAATTTTTTTTTAAAAAGTTTCGTTTTTGTATATTTGAAGAATTTTTTAGAACAGTCTTAAATCATTTGAAGATCGCTTTTAGTAAGCCACTCGCATGTATTACTTGTGTCCTGTTTGTAAACTCTTTTTTCGACGACGTCTAAATCATGTCAAATACAATACAGTACTAAACAAATGTACCTAGAAAGAATTGTATTCTTTTTTGCTTTGCAAGACTTGGATCCGTGCCTGCACGTTACCTGCTATTTCTATGGCCTATGTAAGGCCTTTGGACCGCATGACGCCCGCTGCGTGTGCTTAGACCGCTGTCCGTCGTTCCACGAGCCCGTGTGTTCTTCTAATGGTACAACGTACGGCAACGAGTGCTTGTTCAAACGAGAGACGTGTCTTTTGAGGCGTAATTTTTCAGTGCAACATCCAGGTCGTTGTGAAGGTAAGGTTTCCAACGGTTTAGCTCTTTATTGGGCTGAAAAGGTTTGAACCATATTTGTTAAGTGTATGTTTTGATGGTCGGGTATATAAAAATGCGCTACTGACTAAGACACAGACGTTTTGACTGTTTTGACTTCGATTTGCTTGACCCAGTTTAGTATGGCCAACTGACTAACTGACTGATCGACTGACCGATTGACTGACGGACTGACGGACTAACTTACTGGTGGACTTACTGGCTGACGAACTCACTGACTGACGGACTGATGGCTTGACGGAATAACTAACTGACGGACTGACGGAATACTCGTAAAATACTGGAAGAATTTCTCACCTGACTGCTAAAAAGTTGCTAAAAAAATTGCCAAAAATCCATAAAGTTGCTACCGACCCGCAAATATCGGCAGAATTTAGGGATACTTTTAAGTCTAACGGAACAAAACGCATGGTTCATTTGACGCTTTGCCCAACGACATGTGGCAACTTGAACGAAACCGTCACTACTGCACAATTGCATTCTCAGAGTCTAACACCATATATTTCTTGAAATTGTTTATAGAATCGTCAAATTTTTGTGCTTTATGGCGATCAAGGCTAACTTATCAACGTGCTTATTCAGTGACATCGCAGTAAAGCAAAGAGAATTAAGAAACAGTACGGTGCTCCCTCTTTATTTTTTTTTTCAGTTTTTCCATTCCAGCATGGTCGCCAACACATGCCTCACATTCCAGCACTGGGATATTCTCACTGTGTAGTGATCCATCTGCAGCCTTACGTATTCTATCCTGACAAACTAATTAAAGTTCAGATCACTGTCAATCACATCGACACCAGTGACAAGTCGTATGTACACGATGCGGCAGTATCATGGGTTGAGAACACCAACTACAATAGATTCACCGCTTGTGTCATGGCAGCAGGTTTCAATGAGCGAAAATCGAACGCAAACGTCACCATTGATTGGGTGGCGTATCAGGGAGCTCCAGTGGGTGGGCTGGCAGGCGAAGAACGGGTATCACAATGGTGGACTGGAACGACTTGTGTAACCGTGAACTTTCCTTCAGTAAGAAGGCTTTTTTCTTTTTTCTCCTTCATCTCACATCTTTTAACACATTTATTTATTCGTTCGTTCCTTTTCTGTTTAAGTTTATTGCATACACGTACGTATGTCTTTAGGAATAAGCAACTCATTGTCATTAATTATTAATTATAATCATTGGGAAATAATTGTCAGAGTGGTAAACCCCAAACAAGACTGAAATTTCTTTCTGTGTAGGATGCTCGAGTACCAGGATAAGATCGAGTCTTAATGACGGAGCGTTTTGCTGTTTCTACCGCCTAAAAAGTTATTCCTCTTTGTCCAAAACAGACATTCCCTTACATTTCACGCACATTCCTAAATTTCTAAGATACCACTGCTGTTAGTGTGCAGGTCCTCATTAGTATTAAATGGGTTAGAGGTACTGTAAGAATAAGCTTTCTTTGAAAAAGAACATTACGTGGTAACTGGGACAGGGTTGGACCTGGATATTCCTAACCCCTACAAATGTTTCTCTTATTGGAAGAAGAAATTTCCCAGTGCACCCTCGGTATTTGTAACTGCAAAGCACCATCATTCTGGACTGAAGCGTGACGCAGCTAGTATCTGGATCGAGGATGTCACGCAATCCTCATGCAAAGTTTGCCTGAGGGAGCTCCAGAACTACGCAGGATCCCACAAGGATATTTCTGTTGTGAGTATATAGTTCACTGGCTTATCGTCACATTACAATAACAATCTTTTTTCTTCCTTTGATTTGGTATTTATTTTCATTAATTTTTGACGGAATACTTTGTCATGACGAATAGCATTTATGCCATGCAGTTATGCGCCCGCTCTCCAGAACGCCTTAAAGCTATTCACATATGGCGTCAAGGCTAAAGTACTGTTGAAATAGGTGCCTGACACCAAATGTTCACAATGTGTTAAAGAATGTACAATTCTCGTAACTACGTTCGATCTTGGCACGATACTCTCAAATGTCACGAGATACAGCTGAAAATGTGCTTAAACTGGCTATTGGGAGAACATTTTAATGGGAAACATATCAAACTCTTTCCCCAGCGTGACGAACATTTGTTTTTCTCGGTTCCAGGTGTACGCGACCACTAACCCTACGTAATGCGCATGCTCTCCGATGCGAATTTTCAAAATGGCGGATAGGTGGGAAATAAAAAAAGCAAAGCGATTTTGCAATAAATGCTTAACATACACCCCCGTTAGAAAGGCGAATCCACGATAGAGAGATACAAAACTGTATGATATTGAGATCAGGGAGGTTGACAAAATCAACAAGGTTGAAAATTCATTACGTTGGCTATAGCACATGCTTCGATGAATGGACACCCTTCAGGGCCGATACAGGATCTGGATATTTTCCGTTTGTTCACAGCGAAAAGCTGTTCATTCCCTCGGAAAACTCTCTAGAGGATAGAAAAGAATCGTCCCATGGCCAACTTGCTCGTGAAATAAAGAAAAAGCTTTGGTCTGGACGGCGAGAGGACCCTGATATAAACATAGACCTTAATGTTGACCAAGATATTTTCATAGAAGGTCTTGGGAGTGTTTTGCCCGGCGTTCTTCAAAGAGGGAAGATGGTTTACCAATTAGAGTCAAATAGGGTGCTTGATTCATATCTGGGACTGAAGTGGGATGAAAGAATTTTAAATGTAGCTGAAGATTTTGCCTATGTAATTCCAGGAACTATTAAGTATTGGCTGAGACTAAGAAGTCCAATCATTGAATACAAGCTCATCGTTTTAGGTGTTCTTAACCCTTTCATAACCGGCTGCCTCCAGGAACTAAATCCTGTTTTTCTTCAGAAACAGTTGTTTGAGGGCATCAACCCCTTTGTGATTTGTGGATCTGAAGAAATCTTTAGAAGCTCTACTATTGTATTTTTCCAAGCCTTGCTGTGTGTAATATGCTATGTTCTGATAAAGTGACAGGAACTCTGGAACATGATAACATAGTGCATGCATGTAGGGAGTGACATCTTTTGCTTGGTAAACTTTGAGAAAGTGCTCAAACCATGATTTGATATTTCTTTGCAGTTCAAGAATACCCTCTTCAGATGTAAAATCTAGCTTCAAATCACCAATTATGTCCATAAATTTAGCCCAGATCACTTGTATGTCTTTGTTTTGACTGTAATGAGGGACAAGCATAGGTCGGAATGTTTATATTCTGAAAGAGTTTCAACTTTTCTGGTTCAGTAAGATCTCTATATTCCAGCTTTTTGCTCTCTTTGTTGATTCTAAAATTAAAAGTGATTCCCATACTTTTGATAAATTCTTCATAACATGCCATGTGTTTATATTTATCCCTTGGGAATCCATCAGAGGTTTTTTTTTTTTCTCAATAGCATCACTTCTTCTCAGCTCTCTTATGAACAAGTCAATCAAAACATCTGAAATCCTCAGAAAAAAAATGTAATGTATCTATGATGACATGGTCCATAGGTATAAAATCAAATAATGGTTGTGCCTTACAGTTTAATTTCTTTCCAGTGGAAAACCTTGCTATTTCAGTGACAGTTCTAGCACCAAATTTGGGGTCATTAATTGACCATGTTTTGCTTGTGTCCCGCTGTTGCTCCCTGGGACACTTGCACCCCACACAAGCATAATCCTCATTTGCCCTGCCTAAAGCACATACCAGTGCTAAAAATTTCAAATCTCCACCTAAAAAGTATTCAATTTTATAGGTGCAATTATTTGCACTTATCTCCTTTAAGTTTGACATTTCCATTCGAAGGTCTGCTAGGCTGTCTCTCAGATTATCATATGTCTCTGAAGTTTTTATAACAGCAAGTTTATAATTTCCCTTCACACTCATTGCCACATCATTTTCATGGAGAATAGTAAAAGTGAAGTTGACAACTGTAAGCCCCTTCCCAATATTTGTACCATCACCACTAAGCTTGATCTTAATAGTTTCTCCATCATTGATTTCTCCATTCTTCTGAAACCTAACAATGTGCTCTTGCAAGCTTTCTGCAAATCCTAACTGAACACCTTCAGCATCTCCTGGTGTTGGTTTCAAGTTCCATTCACTGTTTGGCTCATTAATTTGCTTCTTGATGGAATATATATTGAGGAGATCATTAGCCTTAATGGCAATTTCATGCCAGGCCTCATTTGAAATAATGAATTTATCTTTGAGGTAGAGCCACATATTTATGTTATCAATGTCATCATTATTAAGGGCCTTTGGGTCAGACTCTGTAAATGGCAGCTCTCCCTCTCCAACAAGATTGAAAGTTTCATATTGATTAGTCTCAGTGTTGAGGACTTCAATTTTAGTTGCAACAAAATTGTACAGCCCAAGAAAGGAGAGTGTAGTTTAGCACTCCTCCTTCTGTTGGTTTTTAATTCTCTTTTGATGGTGCTTAGAATAGTCATTAAACTTCTTCTTAGCTGGGCCTCTACCTTTTTTCCCATTTGTTATCACTTTTTTGGCCAACTGAATAAATTTTTTATCGTAGAAGGCCCCTTTCTTCTCAGCTTTCTCGATAGCTTCTCGGGCTTTTTATCCACTCGCAATCGCTTTGCCTTCTCCTGTACCAACGATTCTTCTAATTTTATTTTTTCTCCCCTCAACTGGCTGTTCTCATCTTTAAGCTGATGTACATTAACGTCGTTGTAATACACCTTAAATTGATACCGAGGGCCTGTTTCCAAATTGCTAAGAAGTGCATTTAATTGTCACGATTACTAGCTTTCTTGACAGCTTTCTGAAAACAGACTATTTTCTTTCTGAAGACTTCTGATATATGGCTATTGATTATTATACCTCGTATACCTGATTGCTCAAACACTTTGTTTACAATTATTGAAAGGACCGACTCATGGCTTTCTCTGAAAACTTCTTTGCTTTGAAATAGTATAGATTAGTAAGCTGAAACGAAAAATTAATTAGGGAAGTTTACGAAAAATCCAGCGAACAAGCTTAAAAAAGGCATTTATTTAGACTTCATACTGCGATGAACTTCGCAAATCTTACTTGTTTATCTCGTAAGTAAACAATGGCAGATTAATTCCCGAAGTGCCTTCTGAGTTTCCCGATCCCTCTCCTACTGCTTTCACGCTCACAAAACAGGAAAAAATCAAAAGGAGGAAGATACAGCTGTTTTGAAACGCCATTTGACGAGGGCAAATCTGCTTTTTGTTCGACACTTTACATATCAAAACAAAGGAAATTTGTTCCTCTTTTTGATTCTGGCGGTACATTTTTAAATTGCGCTCGCGTAAAAGGGATATCGCCCGAGACGCTTCGCTCGGTTGTGTTTTGAACAAAAACGCCTTGTTAATTTCACGTAACCGCTCGGAGAAAAGGTTAAAATGACGAGGGAAAAACTTTACCGTCAAGTTAGAAAATTAGCGAAATAGGAAGTCTAAATATTATATTTTAATATTTCAGAGGTACATTGAGTGCTTTTTCCGTAGAGAATCCGCACGATGGTAAAATGTTCGAAAATTACACTCGATTTGAATGGGGCGTTGAAGTGGGCGTGGTCACTATATTCATGTTAAGACTATTTGTACCCCATGAGTTTGATATGGTGCACATAATTTTTTTGGTAAAGATACACCAAATTTCTATTTAGCCATCTCGCATGACAATGTCCTGAAATTTTCATGTGCTCGTATTTTCATCAGAACTGGTTGGCGTTCATGAATCTTCACAAGCCCCCCTTCTCAGAACATAACGTGATTCACTTTATCAACAACAGATCTCCCCCTGACGATCAAAATAATGCCTTCTGCAAGGTCAGTTGTCCTTGGAGGTTTAGCTAGTTTATTGTCTATTTCGAGCGTTTGTGTGTGGTGTTTGATTTAATAAAGGCCTATTAGTGATCGACCAATGATAAATTCCTTGTTGGCGTACAAACAAGACATTTTCCGTTCTACCTTACCATTAATTCGAAGCCAGGCGTGTGTTCAAGGATAGGTACTGATTCACGCATTTACGCTCTTTATTCTTCCTCTTTCAGGATGTTAACTTCTTCCACGTCTACCCTACAGTCCCAAACATAATTGTCTCTGCTAATCACTCAACGAAAGAAGGAAACTTGAGTCCTGTTCACAATGGCATAACTTCTTGGGTAGAGGTAAGTTAGATTCTAGACAGTTTTTTCTGCCTGGAAAAACCTAAAATATATTATCATATAAAATGCGCTGTTGTAAAAGGATTTCCAGCCCTGAGAAAAGCCGTAACAACACATGAAAAATACGATATTTTTTCACGAGTATTTGATATCGCCAATCAGCTGCTGACACGCCACTCGCCTTTCACGCCAGTCGGTCAGGTTGATGAATAAACGGCAAAGCCTTCGCTATTCTCAAACCATCGTCGTTTGTCGGAATTTTTTAGGGTTGTGGCCGCTAAAACACTGAAAAATCCGTATCGCTTACAGACAGTGACGTTCAAACTTTCCTAGAAGGGTAAGAAAACCAAAATACGAAAAGAAAAACCGAAAGCTACGTATTCAGTGGCTTTGGTAATGGCATTTTCTCGCGGCTGAGAACGAAAATCAACATCTAAAAGATTTGCCGCAGGGTGACTTTCACCGTGTATCTGAAGGAATTCTTCTGTCGGTAAGGACCAAGTCAGTGATTGAGAATTTCGTATATTAAAAATTAGGCCCACAGTTTGTTTTTGTAGTGACTCAACACATTTTTTCATCTCGAGTGCGCCAACGCACTTTACGATTTTTATTGGGAGAGTCGATCCTATTATTTTCATTCATTAATTAAGTCGACTTTTCTTGTCAGTACAGGGCTATTGTGTTTATATGATAAACAAAATAGTACATGGTTGCTTCTCGATATCTCACTCGTGAGCTATCTAGTTAAACTTTCGAGGAGAAATTCTATATATACGCGCTCATTGATTATACTCTTTATATTTACTGTTTTATCATACCACTTCAAGCTTATTGTTAACGTGCAATCAAGAAGTTAAATGTCGTGGCAAATAATGCAATTTATGATAAGAAGCGCACAGCACCATCTAGCAATTTTTCCGTCTGGCCCTTTCATTCAGTAAAAAAGAATATATTACTGATGTACAATGTTTTTCTTTTCAACAGTATATCAACAAGACTGGCTTTCGCGTTTGTTTCAAGGAATTGTATGAAACAAAATATGATCCTCTTTCTGTTATCTACACTGTCATGTCAGGTAAATACTTAGGTTGCTTAACAATGTTGCAAAGTAATGTGTTATTAAATCAGCACCAAACATCATTTTCCACATAAACAAAGTCCTTCCGTACCCCTCTCCCCTTAAATATCTTTTTTAGTCATGACTTTTGGAAGCTCACAAATGGTTTACCAGACGAAAATAGATAGAAGTGGGAGGCAGCCAATAATTTGGCGATATACTGATTTTCCCTATTTCTCATGGCTTTACATGGAAATTGCAGTCTATTATATACCAGACATACGCATTCCCTGTCTCACTGTCCTCTGTCAAGGAACAGTACCTTTAATCTCTATGCTGTCCGTCATTATATCGCTTTGATTTAGAGAATTAGATCGCGTGGATGCTTTATGTGGACCCTAATGGAATTAGACTATGAATAGTGACTGATACAGAAAATCGGTTAAGTTATCATATGTTGACACGACACACGGATGTTGATCTCCTTTGACTGCAACTTTTTTTCGTGTGCGCTTACAACGCTCTAAAAAGATTATTCACGTGTCATGCAGATCTATGCCAGCCTGGATGGGATTATTTCAATGGTTATTGTTATTTCACAATCTCCACTTGTACCACTTGGTCAAATGCTCAAACAAAATGTCATAAGATGGGCTCACATCTTGTGACAGTCCATAATCAAGAAGAGAATGTCCACATTCAACATCGGCACAATGGAGAGAAATCTTGGATTGGGCTCAATGATCGAAGCGTAGAAGGATCATTCGTGTGGACGAAAAAAGGCACTAGTAGCTTTAGATTCTGGGCGGCAAACCAACCAAACAATAATACAGATCAGGACTGTGTACACACTCTTGGCTCAAACAATGGATACACTTGGAATGACGTTTCATGCGATAACTGCTTCAAATTTACTTGTTTTAAAGGTAAGCAACTAAACATACTTGAACAGAAAGGCTTTATCTTGAGCCTTTTTTCAGTTTCGTAAGAAATTAGCAGACCATTTTACTTCACCTAGCTGAGCGTTATGATTGCTTTCAGCACATAAACCTTAAAATCTGGGTGAAGCCCGTGAGCAATCCTTGAGCAATCCTTGAGCAATCAGTGAGCAATTAGTGAGCAATCCGTCAGCGATGAGCATTCCCCGGTCAATTAATTCGTATGTAATCAGAAGATACCACGTGGGCAATCCAAAAGAAATCCATAGGCACTCCGTGGGCAAGCTGTGGGCAATCTGTGGGCAAGCCGTGGGCAATCCGTGAGCAATTTGTGGGCAATTCGTTGGCAATCTTTGGGCAATCTGTGGGCAATCTTCGAGCAATCTTTGGGAAATCTTTGAGCAATACTTGGGAGTTCCTGGTTCGTTGAGATTACTTTTTCCCGACCCGCTTAGCCACGTGTAATCAGAGCGCGTGTTTGTCCCTTACAAGCTATTGACATTTAATGACAAGGTGCAATGATAAATGATGTCAAAGCGGAGTGTAATTTTTCAGCGGAATATCATTTGCTTTACAAGATATAAACGAGTGCACAGTCAAGTCTGACCGGTGTGATGTTAATGCTGCCTGTCAAAATACTGAGGGATCCCACAAGTGCATTTGTAAGACTGGATTTGAAGGAGACGGGGAAAAATGCTCTGGTAAGAAAATCATAATATCATCTTAAAAGATGCTATCTGGTATTGATGCAGCTATTTTTGTGACCTTAAAGAATATCTTCAAGACATAATGTTTTTTTCGTCATCTAGGTGTTTTAAAAACGAATCAGCAACTAGGTTGATTGATAATGACCCGCAATAAAACGTTGCTATAGTAAGAGATGTACATAAACCTAAAACTTAAAACTCTGATGTTTTGGCTAGAATCCAGGCTGGTTTCAATCTGCAATCTGAGGGCGACCTGTGGGTAATCCATGAGTAATCTGCGGCTATCTGTAGGGAATCTTTGGGAAATCTGTGGGCAATACTTTAGAGTTACCACTGATTTAGGCTGGTTTCAATTTACAATATGTGAGCAATCTAAGGGCAATCCGTGGGCTATCCATAGGCAATCTTTGGGTAATCTGAAAGCAAACTTCTGGCCGTCTTTGGGCAAATATTTGGGAATTACTGGTTCAACTGAGATTACTTTTGCCTGATCCACTTAGCCACGTGTCATCAGAGCGCGTGTTTTGTTGCCCACAAGCCATCGCCATATAATCACAAGGTGTTATAATGAATAAAGTCAGTGTAGAGTATACTTTTTCAACGGAGTATTATTTGTTTTTTTTAAGATATAAACGAGTGCACAGTCAAGTCTGACCGGTGTGATGTTAATGCTGCCTGTCGAAATACTGAGGGATCCTACAAGTGCATTTGTAAGACTGGATTTGAAGGAGACGGGAAAAAATGCTCTGGTAAGAAATCATAATATCATCAGAAACGATACTATCATCAACTGAAATATTAGGTTGATTGGAAAACACATTTTAGCTATTTTTTTTACTTTGAAGAAAAATGTCAAGACATGATGTCTTTTTCCTCGGTGTTTTAAAAATGGATCAGTAACCAGAGTAATTCATAATGACTAATAAAACGTTGCTCTGGTTGGAGATGTATATAAAACCTAAAGTTTAAAACCCCGATGTTTTGGCTAATATTTCGGCTAATATTTCGGCTGGATTCACAAAATTACTAGTAATTGAGGGCTTATGTAATGTGCAAAGCGATTGCGATTAGGAAGTTTCCTCTCAGTTACTTCGTTTAAAGATATGGTTAATGACTTGTAACAATTTATTGCCACCTCACGTAGTAAGTTGAAAATGAGATGTCCTGGGAAACATATTTACGGCCCGGACTTAGTACTGTTCACGAATGTATACGAAGAAAATGTTGAGTACCATTTTTCTCTTCCTCTTAGCGTACAAGTTTAACGAAACAATTATTTCCTTCGACTATCAGAAGATTAGCTTCTTTTCCCACAATACTATAGAAGGTAAAAATATTCACTGCTGGATCAAATTTAAAAGCACTGAACGAAAAATTAGATTTGACATAAGATAAATGTAGTGTAAATATGGTTTAAATATGACATTTGTCACATTGTAACATCAGATTTATCTCATATTTGACCTAGAACCGAATGTGGTCAAATCCATTATTTCATCCAGTGAAGGATATTAAGAATTACAAATGACACGTGCATGTTTTCACTATAGTTACTTGGAAGTTTACAACAAGTGGACGAAGTGGAAGGTATGGCGTTATTCAGACCTTCACTGTTCCACGTACGACCCTCTACCAAATAAAGGCCTGGGGAGCTCGTGGTGGAACACATTCATACAATTATGGATATAGACCTGGAACATATTACGGTGGTAGGGGAGCATTCATAGAAGGAAAGTTCAGATTGAATAAAGGAACAGTGCTGAATATTGTGGTTGGACAGCGTGGTGGAAATTCAGTGGAGGTGAAGGGTGGTGGATCCACTTCCTCAACAGCAGCTCAGCTGGGACTGTCTGTAGAGGATAATGCTGGAACTGGAGGAGGGGGTGGTAGTTTTGTCTATACCACAGGTAATATCTTGTTATTAGCTGCCGGAGGAGGTGGTGGTGCTTCCAGTGGATTTGACGGTGTGGATGGTCAGGTGGGAACAAGTGGAACCAGCAGTATGGGGCAAGAACCATCACAGGTTAGGAAGGGAGGCACAGGGGGGCAGCCAGGTGAATGTAACAATGCAGGTGCTAGCTACCATGGGGGTGTAGGTGCTGGTTGGCATGGCACTGGTTGTACCCGAGCTGGTTCTGAACACGGACAACGAGGTGGATCACGTGATCAAGGCTGGACTGGTGGTCAAGCCGGTGGGATGAACAGTGGAAATAACGGCGGACCAGCACCAGGAGCAGTGGGAGGGTTTGGTGGCGGGGGAGGAGGATCAGAGGATAATGGTGCATCGGGTGGAGGTGGAGGGTACTCTGGGGGAGGCAGCGGTACCCACCATAAACAGGCTGGAGGGGGCGGGGGTTCGTATTGCCGTGGTCAGAGTTGTTCGGGTGTGAATGGCGGTAACCCCAATGATAACGGACTCGTAAAAATAATTGAGTTATCTTCATAATAACTTGCTTGTCACCAAAAGGATTTAAAATTGAAGTTATCTGGCTCATAATTGTGTTAAGCTTTTTTCTTTCACCGAAACAAAAGTACGTTATAGTCATAAACACCACTTTTTAACAATATTTTCACTTGAAATATTTTTTGACTCAATAAAAACACAGGAAAAGAACAAAAATAACTTTGAGGGGGTCTTATTGAGATTAACCTTTGGCTAGCTTAACGTTGAAAACTTTTTAGCTGTTAGGCGTAAAATTTAATAATAAAATATGTGAAATGTAATTTTTTTCTCTTAACCGTAACGGAAAGAAGTCAACCGTTAGCTGTAAATCAGCTAAAATGTTAACCATTAGCCGTAAAGGCTATTACTCCGGCCATTGAAAATCCATTGACTTTAAAAGCGGGTTGGCAGTACTCAATTCGCTCCTAATATTGCTGTGCCTTAGTCGTGGCATGGCAGGTACTGACGAGCCTGCAGGGAGACTTTTGTAAGCCATTAGCTGAATTTCTACATTACTTTGTCGACCTTCGAAAGTTTTTTTTCGCTAGCCGCAGCAGGCTTCGTGGATTCAAAGTATGATGCTGTAATAGGAAAGTAGTCAAGTTTATTAAATGCTGCATTTAACCAGAAGTCGTGTTCCCCTTCTTTAAAAATAAAACCCTCAAACGAGTGTCCTGCAACAAAGTATTCAATTATAGAAGTAACCCAGTGCCATGGGATTAAATCAGGTTGTTTTCACTTTACGATTATTTCCTGATCATTTCAGGACCCAAAATCAATTTACAATATAATTTCTATACAACTAGTAGTATTCCGTTAGCCCTTCGTCAGAGCGATTGACAAAGGGCTAACGCTCGAAAATTCAGTCTTTAAACTCTTTACGGTGACTAATTGCAATTTAGGTTTTCAACTGGGTTGATAACAACAAATTACCCTGTTATACTCTTCCACCGCAGCAGCACCACAGTTTCTTTAGACTGGACAAGGGATTTAGCCATAAACTGCAAAGCTACACATGAGAGGGCAGCTTACAACAAAGTATTATAAAACTTCTATCGGAATAATTGGGTGAGATTATCAGTGCACAGAGGATTAAAATCATGAGGTTTTGGACAATCCTTAGATATTTTTCTAAGCTCTGACTTTTGAAATTCAACATATTTCATTGCTACAGCATTTTCGTTAATTCTTTTCCGTTTCACTCCAAGGCAAGAAACTGAGGTGAGAGTCTCCAGGTCATTTCTTTTAATAGTTACTTCCAAATCGAACAGAGCAGCAGCTGTTTGTCTACATGCGCCATTAGCACTATCAAAAGAAACAAAATGACAGGGCACCAGTCTCTAATACCTTGGATCGACAGTCAGCTCATTCACACAGAAACCCTACATAACTTAATAGTAAATTGGAAACCATCGGTTCTTTCGCCTAAGCTTGTAATGAAAAGGGAAAAAACAGCACACACTTGTGACTTAACCGCCTTTGCAAGCACAGTAAGCAGGCTAAATGCTTTCGATATTTTTAAGCACGATAAAACTCCAGTAGAAGTCTTTTCCATCTTCAGTTTAGGACCTTTCAGTCGGTTTTACTTTAAACTGCAAATAGCAATATCCAGTCAGCTCTTCAGGTCCTACAAATGAGCGAAACTCTCAAAGCTTTTCTACCACCGTAACAAGTCTTCATCGTAGCCATCTTTAAATCAGATAATGGTAAATATCAGGAAACCTGATGTCTGGAATACCGGTGAAGTCATCAGTCCAAAACTTACGCAAGAGTGGATGGGGAAGTAATTTTCCTCCTGGCAATGTTATCTAAGAGTTGATCCACTTATCGCGTTACACACTGTCTTACAAAGCTCTAGCAGTTCTGCCCTTTTCAGGAACTTTCAGATTTGGGAAAAAAGTATCATAATTTCCTTCAGCCTCGACTTGGTGCTAAAAACTAGTTACCAGACTTTTTCGCACAAACAGTTCGAAACTAGCTCGTTGACAGGTGTCACATCTTGTTTCAACCTTCTAAATGGCTTTCATCATTACGTAAATAAAACTGCTTCCGCGAAGCCTCTTTCTTTCAACTGCATTGCCTCTTTTTTCTCTACCACCTATTTGCTAAAAAGTTGTTCAGTTTATAGAGGATATTGAGTAAATTACAGTTTTAAACAATTTGAGTTTTCTTTTTGCAGTAATTTCCTTAGAAATGTTAAAAAAATAGAAATGTTGTTCCCTCTGTTATTTGCACCACCCTCGGCCAGCGGCCATCAGCGGTATCGAAGACCTCGGGCACAGATTTCCCATACAGACCTCCAGACCGGTGAATGGTATTATATTTATTGAATTCGGTTCTCGCACGATATCAAGCTCAACCTCATTCAATAGTTGCTGCCTGGGCATGGTTGCTACTGGTATGATATTCCAGCCCGTGTTAAACATGCGCTGACTCTATTCGTCAATTTAAATAAATTTAAATCAAAAGGAAACAAGAAGAGACTTTTAAATACTTTAGCGAATAAGTTTTACCCTGCGGCATAACTTCCATGAGTTATGGTATACGGAAACACAGATTGACGGATCGAGGCGAACTGTATAGAGTGATTTCTTGCTTTTCTCTTTTCTGTTTCTGTTCGTTTCGTTGTTTTTTGTTTCGTTTTGTTTTTTTCTGTTCATTTAGCAGAACAATAACCAAGTAAAACCTGTGGTATGTTTTTTTTCTATTTGACGGGTATCTTTGAGGAGAGCTACACTGGAGATAAGTTGTCAAATGGTTCTTGAAGTGAATCAGTAAAAATGGAAATATCACTACAGTGAGTAAGATTTTACGGAAATACCTTTGCGATAATTTTCTTTCTGCGCCTTTACATCTTCGCAAATCGAGCACTATTTCCAAAATAAGAAAAAAAAATAAACCCAAAATATATTCCTGTTACTGCAGAGTAAAATTTGCTTTTTTCCGATCGGTGCTTCAAGGGTAAACTCAATCGTGGCATGGTAATTGGTTGGGGCGTTGCCATGGAAACCCAACATGTCTTAAAATAAGATCGCAACTTACTGATAAAAAAATTGGCATATTTTAATACAATTTTCACGGGATCACAGAGAAAAGTGTTTCTTTATCGGCTCACCAAAGAATTAGCGTGTCAAAATTCGCAATCATTTCGAAGCCCCTTAACTTCGTCCAAAAGATACGCTAAATAAAACCAACCAGGCTAGAATTATCGGGATAAAAACTTTGCACATTTTTTTGCATGTTGAAACGATGATACTTGAACCACGATGCAACTGTATATTAGTAATCTGTATCAATTATCATGGCAATGGTCATAGGACTAAGTGGAGTCCAATTCGGTCTGTGATCATACGAGTGATAACAAATTCGAGCAACCGTGCAGCGGGAGCCTGATTTGTTATTCACGAGTATGATTACAGACCGCATTGGACGACACGAAGTCTTACTACCAATTAATCATAAAAAATACAATTTCCAAGAAAAGAAGAAAAGCCAAGTTATAAAACAAAGAGAAAATTTCCATAAAAAGATTAATAAAGGAGACGTAAATTGTTTTACTGTTTGATTTATTGGTTGATTTAAAATAAAACTTTGAATGTGATTGGTTGATTTAAAATACGACTTTGAATGTGATCGGCTTATTGAACTGTGCGATAACAAACTGTGGCAAGTGAATTAGTGGAAAATAGAGTTTTCTTTAAACCAATCAATCACAATCAAGGAAATTGTAATTTTTACGAGAAATTTTTGTCAGTGGCTATTTAACGGCTTCTTGAGAGGCGAGAGTCATTTTAATTGCGACACAGAAGCGAGATGATAAGGTTGTGATCTCTCCTGAAAGAAACCCATTTATAATTTATCAATGGTAGTAATTTTTTACGGGAGTCAAGTTGACTTGCAAAAAATTCTTTGACCCTCAGAAATATCTTGCTGTAATATTTTCGAAAGTTGCTTGTCATTCTCGGTCATGCCACAATTGATTTAGTAATGATATCTGATGTAATCATACGTAGTGTTCCAGACTGTTCTAGCTCGTGTCAAGCTGGTGCCCTTGTTGTCTCCCGATAAACGATCAATAAAGATTCATGTTTTAAACAAAACGTGAATACTACAGTCTAAATACGCACTAGTATCAAGTCCCTGCTGATGATGAAGTGAGTTCACTTTCTTTCATTTTGTTTATTTTTTGCGCGAATATATCATGACTTCCCCTGTATTGCCCACTATACCATCTTGCGGAGGGTGATCATAACAATATATGTATGTTGCAATCACGCTATTACCGTAATCACCAGAACCACTGTATTTGTTTTAAAATTTCAGACGATACTCTACCTCTTCTATTATCACTCACTAAGTACTCCTGATAAGTATCTTCTCTGGGAAAAAAATTATGTAAAATTCAGTACAAGGCGATAAAGGATTTCTCACTAATAAAATATCCTTCTCCGGAACTCTTCCTTAATTTTGTAACAATTGATAAGTTAACTGGAGTATTTCATCGAACACTGGATAAATATGGTAAGATTAGAATGACCACCGTGAAATTAAAAAATTAATTCATTCTAACTTTGAAAAATATATCGAACATTATGGATTTTATCTTTAAATAGTGTTGTGATATCCTTGTGGAACTAACTTATTCATTTATTCAGTCAAATAAGGACTGAATTCGTTCACTCAAACTGGCAGGTGTTAAAATGCCCGAGATATTTTTGTGTAAGTTAGTAAAGTTTTTATATTCTATCGCCTTAGATGTTTTCCGAAAGTTACACTTGTAACAAAACCGACAGAAAGAAATGAAAATCGACCCATTTCAAAAGTTGTACTCAATTCGATCTAAAATAACATTGATATGATGAATCACTAATGAGAATAATTTGAGAGATTTTCAAAACAACATTCGCCGATCCTGCCGTTGCAATCAAAATGACTTTCGAAAAACATCTTTGGTCCTCCCCAAGGCGCAAAGCGCGCGAGTATAAAATAGAACGACAAGATTACAACGTAAGCTACATCGGTCTCTAAGTGTCACCGTAGCAACACACCCAAACTCAAGATAGTCTCGATTGCCATATATTGTTTTTTTTTTCAAAAACATCGTGAGTTTTCTGTTCCGTTATAACAAACGATTAATAACTTTTTTAGCCAAGCTGACAACGACATCAAAAATTATCCCTTAGGGGTCTCAGAGCTCTATCGTAATTAATAAACAAGAAGATATAACCAATTTCAGTTAACATCCCGAGACAATAGCACTGAGTCAAGCCAAAGTAGAAGGGAAGTAATCATTTTATTTCACCGAAAAGAAAAGCTTACAATAAGCTTATCATAATGGCGATACGGACACCACGCTTCTCCTTTCCACCTGACGCATGATGTGAAAATGTGAGAGTTTGTTTTCCACGTATGTGGATCTAAATTTGAATTTGGATTCCGCTTGCTGGCAATCTTACCAAGTTAATCAAAACTAAACACAACGGCATCTAAAGTAGGGGGGAAGGGGGGGAAGGGCCACATTTAACAGATATCTCGATATGCGAGCGCAACTTGAAATGTACCCAATATAATGCTCGGCATTGTCTGACACATATCTTTACAGAAGTGTCAATAGACTGCTAATTGTAAAGTAAGTCCTAAGGATTCCACGCAAAGTATATCTTAAAGGTGATGAAAACGAACTATATGGACAATCTGACTTTCGTGGATTTTACGCTGTCAGCAATGAATCTTTCTTACTCTTATACTGCTAACATTAATCGCTTCAGTTGCAGTTCCCCTCGGATCAATTCGTGAGTTGCCTGCAGAATCGTGCAAGGAGATCAAGGCGAGTGAAGGAGGAAAGGCGGTCAGCGGTAATAATTATTGGATGGGTTCAACCAGATCTGGTAACTCTATTTTAGCTGTTGGGACATGAAGACTGAAGGTTTGTACAAGACATGGTTCGTAGCATTTTGTTGCCGTGCCAATGAGAGGACTTTTCTTATTATATTTTCTTTCTCCCTAGTTGCAGACTATTGTTTCAAGCACCAGTGCGAAAACGATGCAAAGTGTGTGAACCGTGAAACGAAGTATATGTGTGCGTTTAACTCATCTGCCTGGACAGGAAAATATTGTGAAAAAAATTCGCCTTTTGTTAAAATCATCTCCCATTTTTAGGAGCATGTTAAACAAAGAAGATGAGGGATGCTTAAGATATGCTTATCCACAGATGTCAACGAAAGTGTGGAAGGTCTACATGGTTGTGATCGCAACGCCATTTGTGATAACACTGTGGGTTCCTACAACTGCACATGCAGACCAGGACTAATTGGAGACGGAAGAAACAGCTGCATAAGTACAAGTAAGGATATAAACCACTTTGTGTGGAGAAGTTGTTAGAGGGATAAGCTAGAAATTACTGCTTACGATTGTACATTTTGACTACTACACTAGTGGTGGAATTTCTTTTTTAATTGTTCCACAAATCGCGCAAGAATTATGCACTTTCGAACAACAATCATCATTTTATCGCTCGTGACTAATATTGTCACACATACTTACCTAAAACCAGTCAGGATGCGTTTCGTTTGTGGTCAAGGAATTCTAGAATTAAAAGAAACTTAAGGAAAAACAACAAGTGGGAAATGGCGACTGCCTTCCCTTATCATGTACATGTATAGTCCGAAAGAATATTTTCTCTACAAACGAAGAGCAGCATCTTAAAAATTATTACAAAATAGTTTTTCATTGGCTCTGTTCAATCAGTTAACTCACATTGGTAGGAAGATTATGCCTTTCATTTAGGAAAAAACCGCATTTCCTTCTTTAGGTTACTCTTGTGAGGAAATTCGGAACGCAAGTTCCCATCTTAAAGACGGGATCGCTCTTAAGAATAACGGAAGTCTTTTAAAGGCCTACTGTGATATGACAACCGAAGGAGGTAAGGAATTGATGTTAAGAAAAACTGATAACGCTAACGGTGTTTTTTTACTTCTGCACAAACTGTCCTTCTATAATAAATGGAGTGCAATATTATTTTGCTCAATCAAGAATTTCATTTTATTTAATTTCATTTCTTTTTTCCAGGAGGTTGGCTTCTGGTCTCCAACGTTGTCGTCGGCAACCTATCCTCGCTACGGTATTCATACCGTGAAATAAGCAATTGTCCCAACAAGTCGTTGTTACTCACGGTAGATGCCATGAAGGAACTGAGGACACACTCGTCTTTCACTCAGTTGAGATTCCACTGCAGCAAAAACAAGGGACGTACTTTCCATTTGACCACGGCTGCTAACAGCAGTGGTGAAGCAGTAGTACAATACTTCAGTGGTCAGACAGATGCCAATCCGAAAGCATGTGGCTCGTTTGTGAGGATGAAGGATGACAACTCGAAGTTAGCTGCTGATTATAATTAGTGGGGTAATAAAGAGTGGGGATACTTTCGTAGTGGAAAAAGCAGATATCGAATCGTTGCTTTTGTCCCTTGGAAATATATGTGAAATTTGTATGGGAGCTCAAGATGGGAATGTGACGACTACAGCTTCAGTGATGCAGAATATTTTGGATTATCCGCGAGTGACTTCTAGAGGGTTTTTTGTTCGTTAAGGCCAAATACAACTAGTAACTAAACAGTTCTTATCGTCTTGAAAAAATTCAACGGCTGACCAAGGTCAGAGTCACATTTTGTCGTTGTTAGTTAGAACTGTTACTTCTAGCTCGTGTCAAGCTAGTGCTCCTATTATCTCTCGATAAGCCTTAAATAAAGCTTCATATTTAAAAAAAAACCTGAATACTACAGTCTAATTCTCAAGTACCTGCTGATGATAAAGCGAGTTCACTATCTTTCATTTTGTTTATTTTTTGTGCGAATATATCATAACATCCCCCTGCATTGCCCACTATATCATCTTGCGCAGGGCGATCACAATAATATATGTTTCAATCACGTCACCCCTCAGACACCAGAACAATTTTATTAGTTTGAAAATTTCAGAGAGTACTCTATCTCTTCCATTATCACTAAATACTCCCAAGAAGTATCTACTTTGGAAAAAAAATTATGTAAACTTCAGTACAAGGCGATAAAGGATTTATCACTGATAAATATATTCATCGCCGGAACTCTTCCTTTTTGTAAAAATTAATGAGTTAACTGGAGTATTTCATCGAACAACGATGGATAAATGTTACAAGATTACGATAACCACCGTAAAATTAAAATAAAGAATGAATTCTAACTTTGAAAAATATTTCGAACGTCATGGATTTTATCTTTAAATATAAATATCCTTGTGAAACTAATTTATTCATGAAGCTATGTTGTCAAATAGGGACTGAATTTGTCCACTCAAACTGACAGGTGTTAAAAATGCCCGAGATTTTCTTCAAGTAAATTGGTAAAGTTTTTATATTCTATCGCCTCAGATGTTTTCCAAAAGTTACTCTTGTAGCAAAACCAACAGAAAGAAATGAAACTCGACCCATTTCAAAAAGTTTTAATCCATTCGTCTAAAATAACACTGAAGTGATGAATCACGACCCTGCCGTTGCAATTAGAATGACTTTCGAAAGCATCTTTCGTCCTCCAGAAGGTGCAAAGTATGCGAGTATAAAATAGAACAAGATTGCAACGTAAGCTACATCGGTCTCTAAGTGTCACCATAGTAACACACCCAAACTCAAGAAAGTCTCGATTGCGATAGCTCTCGCCTCATATTAGTATTACAGCCTTTATTTTGGATGTACTCCTTGTGACTTAAATAGTTGCGTTTCTACTGAAAATACTCCTTGATGGATCGATGCTACTTCACAAAGAAAGAAATATCAAATTGGCCACCTGAACATCGGAAAATAAAGATTAATCTCCGAAGTGTTTGTGTTCAAATTTTTCTGAAAATACTGGGATAACTTTATATAACTAAATTATTCATAAAGACATCACTTGAACAGAGACTAACTTCAGCTCAGGCAAAGTGGCAGGTGTTTATGAAAACGCAAAAATTCTATTTTTCAATGAAAAACAATTTTTCGCAGCTATCTTTTTCAATGTTTTCCGAAAGGCAAAAACACCTAAAACTTAAGCTCGACGTTTGAAAACTACTTTTATTCTTTTTTCACTGGGTGTCAAGCTTTAAAAATGACACAAACCTTAAACAGTCGAGAGCCCCCTTAAATTTACAAAATTTAGGTTGAACCAAACGTTTTTTCTCTTTTGATTTCTATTTTTTTTTCCCATTAGTTTTCAATTTTTGGTGGCCCAAAGGTAAGCTTTTTTACACAATGTGCAATTTTTTGAAAACTATATTTACTATCTTTATGTATTTATTTTTTCAAAAACAGTGAGTTTTATGTTCCGATAAAATAAACGATTGATGAAATTTAAGCCAAGCTGACAGCATGACATAAAAAACTATCTCTAGGGGGTCTCAGAGCTCTATCGTAATTAATAAACAAGAAGATATAACCAACTTCAGTTTATATCCCGAGACAATAGCACTGAGTCAAGCCAATAAGTTCTTTCTTTACTGTTTTGTCTACCTGCTGTGGTAAACGTAGAAGAGAAGTAATCATTTTATTTCACCGAAAGGAAAAGCTTACAATAAGCTTATCATAATGGCGACACGGATACCACGCTTCTCCTTTCCACCTGGCGCCTGATATGAAAATCATTTAAACAAAGACTAACTTCAGTAACGCAGAGTGGCAGGTGTTTAACGTCTATGTTTTTCTTTTCCTATGAAAACGTAAAATTATTTTTTTCAATGAAAAACAATTTTTCGCAGCTATCGTTTTCAATGTTTTCCGAAAGGCAAAAACACCTAAAACTAGAGCTCGACTTTTGAAAATTACTTTCATTCTGTTCCACCGGGTGTGAAGCTTTAAAAATGACTTTAACCTCTTATTGATAGATAAAAATAACAGCTGGAAACGACCCCCACGTACATAGATACGTTTTGATATAGATTTTAAAAACTCCCCACAGCCAAGGGCCTCCTTAAATTTGCAAAACTTAGGTTGCACCAAATGTTTTCTCTTATGATTTCTGTTTTCTTTTTCTCTTTAGTTTTTAGTTTTTTGTCGACCAAAGGTGAACCTTTTCACACGATGTACGATTTTTTTGAAAACTATATTTATTATCTTCACACATTAATTTTTTAAAAATATCGTGAGTTTTATGTTCCGATATAACAAACGATTGATATGCTTTTAGCCAGGCTGACAGCATAACATCAAAAATTATCCCTTAAGGGTCTCAGAGCTCTATCGCAATTAATAAACAAGAAGATATAACCAACTTCAGTTAATATCCCGAGACAATAGCAAGTCAATAACTTCTTTCTCTACTGTTTTGTCTACCTGCTGTGGTGACAATGACAATACTCTATTCAAGAGAAGGAAAATGAAAAATTGTAAAAGTATCTCTCGAAAGGGGATATTCTAGAGGTTAACCCTATACAACTTTTCGCAGCTATCGTTTTCAATCTTTTCTGAAAGGCAAAAACACCTAGAACTAAAGCTCGACTTTTGAAAATTACTTTTATTCTTTTGCACTGGGTGTGAAGCTTTAAAAATGACTTACAAACTTATTGATAGGTAAAACTGAATAACAGCTGGAAACGACCCCCACTACATAGATACGTTTTGATATAGTTTTTAAAACTCCCTACAGTCAAGAGCCTCCTAAAAATTTGCAAAACCTTTTCACACGATGTACGATTTTTTGAAAACTAAATTTATTATTTTTATATATTTATTTTTTCAAAAACATCGTGAGTTTTATGTTCCGATATAACAAACGATTGATGAGTTTCTAGCCAGGCTGACAGCATGACATAAAAAAATTATCCCTATGAGGTCTCAGAGCTCTATGGTAATTGATAAACAAGAAGATATAACCAACTTCAGTTAATATCCCGAGACAATAGCACTGAGTCAAGCCAATGACTCTTTTCTTTACTGTTTTGTCTACATGCTGTGGTAAACGTAGAAGAGAAGTAATCATTTTAATTCACCGAAGGGAAAAGCTCACAATAAGCTTATCATAATGGCGACACGGATACCACGCTTCTCCTTTCCACCTGGCGCATGATATGAAAATGCGAGAGTCAGTTTTTCACGTGTCTAGATCTAAATCGGGATTTGGATTCCACTTGCTAGAAACCTTACCAAGTTTATCAAAGTTAATTACAACAACGTCTATATTGAAAAATAAAATAACCAAAAATTCAGCCGTCTCCCATAGATTCCCTCTGAGCCAACAAAGATATTCCCTGTAAGGAAGACGAACGATGGCTGTTTATCTACTAACAGTTTTTCCCCGTGTGATATAATTCCCTCACAAAAATCAATTCAGCTTAAATTGGCCATAAAACACGACAACGTTCAGTACGAGAAAACTTTAATTATCTACCATAGCATCCCACTGATCCAACAGAGATGCACCACTGTAATGAATTAAGGATAGGGGCTAATTAATTATTATCTATAATTATCTCTAAACAACCTTCCAGCTTCAGTTAGCCGTTGGCAACCTGCTCTGAACAAAAGTGCTTCACACCTCAAGAGAAGACCAGTCGGAGACTATCTAGGAAACAACGAGTACTTTCACCCAGGTATGTGTATAACTATTTCGTAGTTTACTATACAATCTCTTTTTCAAGTTAAAATTGAGGTGCTTCTGAAAAAGGTGAGCCAAAACTCGTGTCTCCTCAATTGCAGATCTCTTTATCCTGAAAAGGGTTAATGGCCCTAAAAATTAAAGAAAACCACAGAGACTAAAGTTCTCACCGGACGTTACAATGTACAATTATAAACGATCTTTTCTTTTATGCGAAGCCCAAATTCCTATAAAGGTAGCATTTTCTCGTCGCCGAATTTTTAAAAGACGATTTTGAATGGATGACGAAACAGGTGAGTCTCCCAATTTCAAGAAATTTAAACTTTTAAGACTGCAAATTGTGCTCGCCTTACGGGATTCAGCAGTTTTGTTGTCATAGCAAAAAATTTACTCGCGCTTATTTACAGCAAATTGCACTCGCAATCAAGTTATTATCTATATAAAAAATTTCGTTTTTCTAGAATAACCTATTCAGGAATTTTTTCCCAAAAATGTGTTTAACTCAAACATAACCAATAAACAATAATCATCTTGTTTTCGCAGGTGTCATAAATCTGATATGCTTCTCGTGGCTGGTCGACAAGCTTCATTTTTTATCGTGCTACTTCTCATTTCTCAACTGTTCCGTGACAATGCCAGTCAGCCGTGTGGAGCTGGCGGCGACCTGTACTCCGTTTACCAAATGATGCTCAAGGGCCACACTTACAAAACGTTCAAGACTGCACCAGGTACTCTGGAATGCAGAGAAGCTTGTCTTGCTGATGTCAGATGTCAAAGCTACAACGTCGTTATGTTCATTGCAATATGCGAGTTAAACGACCGAACTAAAGAGGCCAGACCAGAGGACTTTGTCAAGAACAAGAATAGATATTACATGGTGAAAGGTCCAAAACGAGGTGATAGAAAATGCAAAGATTAAAAAGCAATTTTACAGTTAAGGAAGGGGGAGGAGAGGGAGGGGGAGAGGGGAAGGGGGAAAGGGAGGTAAAGGGGGGGTAAGGGGGCGACATTCAACTGACAGCTCGATATGCGAGCGCAACTTGACATGTACCCAATATGATGCTCGGCATTGTCTGACACATATCTTTACAGAAGTGCCAATTATAAAGTAAAGTCATTACACACAAAGTATATCTTAAAAGTGATGAAAACAAACAATATGGGTAATCTGAATTTCGTGGATTTTATGCTAGCAGCAATGAATGTTTCTAACTCTCATTCTGCTAAAGTTAATCATTTCAATTGCAGTTCCCCTCGGATCAATTCGTGAGTTGCCTGCGGAATCGTGCAAGGAGATCAAGGCGAGTGAAGCAGGTCAGGTTGTAAACCACTTTGTGTGGAGACGTTATTAGAGGGATAAGCTAGAAATAACTGCGTACGATTGTACATTCTGACAACTACACTAGTTGGTGGTACTGACTAAAGAGTATTTTTTTAATTTTTCCACAAATCGTGCGAGAATTATGCACTTTTGAACAACAATGATCGTTTTGTCGCTTGTGACTAATATTGTCACACACACTTATCTAAAACCAACTAGGTTGCGTTTCGATTGTGGTCAAAGAATCATAGAAATAAAAAAAAACCTCAAGGAAAAACAACAAGTGGGAAATGGCGACTGTCCTCCCTTATCATGTGCATGTATAATCCGAAAAGATATTTCTCTACGAACGAAGAGCAGCATCTTAACAACCATTACCAAAAAGTCTTTAACTGTCTGCGTTTAATCACTTAACTCACATTCGTGAGAAGATTATGCCTTTCATTAAGGAAAAAACCCGCATTTCCTTCTTTAGGCCATTCTTGTAAGGAAATTTGGAACGCAAGTTCCCATCTCAGAGACGGGGAGTACTGGATCGATCTTAAGAGGAACAGAGACGTTTTAAAGGTCTATTGTGATATGACAACCGAAGGAGGTAAAGAATGGATATTTAACAAAAACTAATAACGATAACGGGTTTTTTTTTTTAACTTCTGCGTGTACTTTCCTTCTTTAATAAATGTAATGCAATATTATTTTGCTAAATCAAGAATTTTATGTCATTTCATTTCTTTTTTCCAGGTGGTTGGCTTCTGGTCTCCAACGTTGTCGTCGACAACCCATCCTCGCCACGGTTTTCAGAGGAATCATCATACCATGAAATAAGAAATTGTCACAAAAAGTCGTTGTTACTCACGACAGATGCCATGAAGGAACTGAGAACACATTTGTCTTTCACTCAGTTGAGATTCCACTGCAGCACAAACAAGGGACGTACTCTCCATTTGACCACGGCTGCTAACAACAGTGGTGAAGCAGTAGTACAATACTTCAGTGGTCAGACAGATGTCTCTCCGAAAGCATGTGGCTCGTTTGTGCGAATGAAGGATGACAACTCGAAGTTAGCTGCTGATTGTAATCAATGGATTAATAAAGAGTGGGGAGCCAAGATTTCAGGAGGAAACAGATTTCGTGTCGTTGCTCGAGCCTCTGGGGAACATTACTGGTATTTGTATCGGAGCTTGTGGGAATGTGACGACTTAAACTCCGGTAGAGCCGAATATTTTGGTTTATCTACAGGTGACTTTTGGAGAATTTTTGTTCGTTAGGGCCAAATACAACTAGTAACTAAACAGTTCTCACAGTTTTGAAAAAAAATTCAACGGCTGACCTAGATGAGTGTCACGTTTTGTCGTTTTTTATTCTTTTGTTGCTAAAGCAAGCCTACACTGTTGAAATAAGCTGTTATTAGAACTATCGGGATAAAAACTATGCGCAGTTTTTCGCATATTGAAATGATGATACTTGAACCCCGATGCGACCGTAGTTTAGTCATAATTATAATTAATTAAAATAATTATTATCTGCAATAATTATTTTGGAAATGATGAAAGGACTAAGTGGAGTCCAATTCGGTCTGTAATCATAAGAGTGAGTAGCCAAGTTATGAAAGAAAGGAAAATATGCATTAGAAGACTAATTGGCTCATTGAACTGTCTGATAACAGTACTCTGACGAAGGGCTAACGCTAGAAACTTCAGCTTTTAAACTCTTTACAGTGACAAATTTACATTATCAACTCAATTGATGGTACTCAATAACCCTGTCCCATAACAACTTGGTGTAAAATAGAAATTAAATAAAATAGGTTTTATTTAACTTGTTACAATCGAGGAAATTATGATTAACTCTGTTATTGGCTTGTTTAACGGCTTCTTGAGAAGCGCATGTCGTTTTAATTGCGACACAGAAGCGAGATGATAAGGTTATGATTTCTCCTGAACGAAACTTATTTATAATGTATTAATGGTAGTAATTTTTTTACGGCAGTCAAGTTAACATGCAAAATATCCTTTGACCCTCAGAAATATCTTGTTGGAGTATATCCGAAAGTTGCTTGTCATTCTCAGTAATGCCACAACTGATTTATTAACGATATCTGATGTAATCATACATAGTGTTCTAGACTGTTAGTTCTAGCTCGTGTCAAGCTAGTGCTCATATTATCTCTCGATAAGCGATCAATAAAAATTCATGTTTTATACAAAACGTGAATACTACAGTCTAAGTGTCAAGTCCCTGCTGATGATAAAGCGAGTTCCCCCGGCATTGCTCACTATATCATCTTGTGCAGGATGATCATAAAAATATATATTGCAATAACGCCATCACCGTAATCACCAAAACCACTTTATTTGTTTAAAAATTTCAGACAATACTCTACCTCTTCTATTATCACTAAGTAATCCTAATAAGCATCTTCTTGAGGAACAAATTGTGTAAAATTCAGAACAGGGCGTTAGAAAGATTTATCACTAATAAAATGTCCATTTCCGGAACTCTTCCTTAATTTTGTAACAATTGATAAGTTAACTGGAGTATTTCAACGAACAACGAGGGATAAATATGGCAAGATTAGAATGAGCACCGTGAAATTAAAAAATGGACTAATTCTAACTTTGGAAAATGTATCGAACATCATGGATATTATCTTTAAATAGTTTTGTGATATCCTTGTGAAATTATTTTATTCATGAAGCTATGCTGTCAAAAAGGGACTGAATTCTTTCCCTCCAAATGGCAGGTGATAAAATGCCCGATATTTTTTTTATGTAAAATAGTAAAGTTTTTATATTCTATCGCCTCAGATGTTTTCCGAAAGTTACTCTTGTAGCAAATCAAACAGAAAGAAATGAAATTCGACCTATTTCAAGAATTTTTCATCCATTCGCCTAAAATAACATTGAAATGATGAATCATTGATGAGAATAAATCGAGAGATTTTCAACACAACATTCGCCTACCCTGCCGTTGCAATTTTAATGAATTTCGAAAACATCTTTTGTCCTCCAGAAGGCGCTAAGCACGCGAGTATAAAATAGAATGACAAGACTTCAGCGTAAGCTACATCGGTCTCTTAGTGTCACCATAGCAACATGCCCAAGCTCAAGATAGTCTCAATTGCGATAGCTCTCGCCTCGTATTCGTACTACAGCCTTTACTTTGAATGTACTCCTTGTGACTTAAATAGTTACGTTTCTACTGAAAATACTCCTTGCTGGATTGATGCTACTTGATATAGAAAGAAATATTGAATTGACCACCTAAACATCGGAAAATAAAGATTAATCCGCAAAGTGTTTGTGTTCAAATTGTTCTAAAAATACTGTGGTAGCTTTACATAATTAAGTTATTCATAAAGACATCGTTTAAACAGAGACTAACTTCAGCTCACGCAAAGTGGTTGGTTTTTAGCGTCTATGTTTTTTTTTTCCTGTGAAAACGGAAAAAATGAAAAACAACTTTTCGCAGCTATCGTTTTCAATGTTTTCCAAAGGTTCCTCACATCCAAAATTAAGACCTAGGACTAAAGCTCGACTTTTGAAAATTACTTTTGTTCTGTTCCACTGGGTGTGAAGCTTTAAAAGTGACTTTAAAAACTTATGATAGATAAAAATAACAGCTGGAAACGAGCCCCACGTACATAGATACGTTTTGATATAGTTTTTAAAAACTCCCTACAGTCGAGAGCCCCCTTAAATTTGCAAAACTTAGGTTAAACCAAACGTTTTTCTCTTATGATTTCTGTTTTCTTTTTCTCTTTAGTTTTTAATTTTTTGTCGCCCAAAGGTGAACCTTTTTACACGATGTACGATTTTTTGAAAAGTACATTTATTACCTTTATATGTTTATTTTTTTTCAAAAATATTGTGAGTATTATGTTCCGATTTAACAAACGATTAATAAGTTTTTTAGCCAAGCTGACAATATGACATCGAAAATTATCCCTCAGGAGTCTCAAAGCTTTATCGTAATTTAATAAACAACAAGATATAACCAATTTCAGTTGACATCCCGAGACAATAGCACTGAGTCAAGCTAATAACTTATTTCTTTATTGTTTGTCTACCTGCTACGGTAAACGTAGAAGGGAAGTAATCATTTTATTTGACCGAAAAGAAAAGTTCTCAATAAGCTGATCATAATGGCGACACGGATACCACGCTTCTCCTTTACACCTGACGCATGATTTGAAAATGCAAGAGTTAGTTTTTACGTATGTGGATCTAAATTTGAATTTGGATTACGTTTTCCGGCAACCTTACCAGGTTTATCAAAATTAAATACAACGGCATCTATATTGAAAGAAAAAGCCAAAAAATTCAACCGTCTCCCATGGATTCCTTCTGAGCCAACTAAGAGGGTCTGAATGAGGGTACTTCGATAACACCAAACACTTATTTTTTTGACTGTATAACATTAAACAGTTAATTTTTAGCCATTTTAACACTAACATTAAAAAATTCGTCATAACATTATTTTTTTCCCATAAACAAACAAACCACGCCCTAAAAGGGGAAATATCTATGTTGGGCCTATTTTTATTGTATCAAAGAGGTTTTTTTGGCCATTTTCCAACAATTCGGGATTATTTAAAGACTTCCGAAGAGTGAGGAAGATATCCCAAAGCTGCCGAAGATTTCCGAAAGTTGTCGAAGATGTCTGAAGGCTGCCGAAGATGTCCAAAGACTGTCAAAGATGTCCACAGACTTATGATCGACGATATTTGAAGACTACCGCAGATTTGGATTGTATAACTCCGAACAATTCTATTCTTAACGCGCTTTACAGCGAGGATACACCAACCGTGACCACTTGGAGAGAATATATATATGTAACAAATCAGATTACGATATTTAAATCAAACAGCCAATGGGATAGAACATCCAAATAAACAGTAAAAATTAAGCAAATTTACGGATTCCCATCCGTTGTATGAATACCTCAGTATGATTGGTTAGCTTTGCGAGATGGTCCCAGTTGGTGTATCTGCACTGTAAACAAAAAGAGATAAATACGAAAATTACATGGAGAAAAGGAGAGTTAACATATATGAGTGTTTAAATTTGACTAGTAATGAATGCAATAACAGAATATTCTTTTACCAAGAAGATCGGCTACAGTACTCACAATGTATAATGGTCAACAAAAATGACAGACATATCACTCCATCCTGGCCAAAAACATTTGATTATATTCCATACCTGAATAGTCCCGATTGTCCCAACTGTTTCTAGAGATCAAGGCGGAAATGAGCGCGGGTGGCGCGACCAAATCTGCTAAATGTTATGTCTTTATCATTATCCGCATCGCTCTCCGAGTCGGTGTCGAATTTATCCTCTTGCTCGGGGAGGTCTGTCACGTCACCAACTGCGACAACTTCGAGCATGCTTTCGTCAACAAAGGTGATTCTCGGTACTTCGTTTGTAGCTCGTGGAATATTTGTATCCCGGTCGACTCTTTCTTCATTGTCTGTCCCTGGGTCATCTTAAACATCCTCTTGGAATGTTACTCTAGTACACAATGGCGTACTGGAATGTACAGCTGGCGGCAGGGCTCCCGCTTTGTCTTTTGTTGATTCGCTTCTTACCGTCCTTGACAGGTCGATACCTGTCAACCGATTTCTTCATGGCTGCCTCAATGTTGGGGCCAACGTTATCAGCTGGAAGAGGTTTCATCAAATCTACGTCCCTAAACCCCACACTGGATTTAGGCACTGGATAATAAGACTTCTCAAGTGTGAAGTACTTCGCACCCCACTTCGTTGTTCTCTTTAAAGATTCCTTTGAAATTGTTTCAAAGTCTTGAACATACAGAAGAGCGGTGAAAATCTCGTTTTTGAAGTGGGAGACTGCATGAAGGTTCTCCACCTGAGGTTTTAGCAGCGTACGCAGGTTAGTGTCACCAAGATAGTCCTCGTTTACATTCTTAACGTTATCTCGTAGCTGTTCCATACCTCTTTCGAGAAGCACCAATGACTCCTGTGTTTTGCTGGAAACAGTTCCTTCAGGGCCATTTATTGTTGCCGTTTCTTTCATTTTATAGTCCTGCCTCACTTCAGCGACTGTTTTTTTAATATAAGCATTAAGCACCAGGAAGCCCCGAAACTATTTTGATTGTTCCAGCAGCTATATCAGAAACAAAAAAAAATTTCTACAAGGAACAGATTACATGAACTTGTGTAAATGAGCAGCTTTCTTCAGTTCCATCAACGGTTCCTTCATGGCCGGTACCCAACAAGGTCTCGGCTGTTGCACTTAAGGGATTAAAGGTCTTAAGCTTTTGATCTTTGTTGTCGGTGAAAACAATATTGCCCTCATAACCATACAGCCTCTTGATTTCCTTGCAAGAATCTGACGAATTCCGCAAGAGTCGCTCAAGGGTTTGAAAAGTATTTCGCCTTTCAATTCAGTGAAACGGATTGCTGATGAACCTCTCTCTGCAACGAAGACTGCACCATTGGTAAAGCATAGGTCCCGCGCATCCTTGAATACTTCCCTCCGAACATTTACATCGACTGGTCGGTGTAAACGCAGTTCTACGAGACTATCGAGAGTCGAAATCGTAGTCTAACGCCAGTACTTTGCATTGGGGCCCAATTTCAAGTGCAACTGGTCTTTTGCAAACACTACTTTGGTTGGATTTCCGGAAGCGATACTTTTCAGGAACTATTGTGTGAATTACCAAATGTATCCCCTTAAATACATCTAGTACTGAGGGTCTAGTAAGGCGCATTATCTGTTCTAAGGACAAGAACATTTCAGCTTTGGCTCACTGTTCGTGAGTGATTTTCTTGATTTTCTTGCAGAATTTAAAAGAGCAGTTAAAATTTGAAAATGCTTAAAAAAAACTTTGGGGTCTCCTTTCAAAGACTAAACAGTGTTTTTTTTCAAGAACAGTTAATATTAAAAAAATGGCCAATTTAACAGTAAATACTAAAAAATATGGGCAAATAACACTAAACATTGAACCCCATTCAGACCCTCAACTAAGATCCTCCTGTAAGGAAGACGAACGATGGCTATCTATCTACTGAGGGTTTGTCCCTGATGTGATATAATTCCCTCATAAACATCAATTCAGCTCCAGTTGGCCATAAAACACGCAGCGTCGGCAACTTGCTCTGAACAAAAGTGCTTCACACCTAAAGAGAAGACCAGTCGGAGTCTGTCTTGGAAACAACGAGCACTTTCACTTAGGTATATGTATAACTATTACGTAGTTTATTACATAATCTGTTTTCCGAGTTAAAATTGAAGTACTTCTAAAAAAGGTGAGCCAAAACCCGTGCCTCCTCAATTGCAGATCTCTCTTTCCTGAAAACGGTTAATAAGCCCTAAATATTAAAAGAAACGACAGAGACTAAAGTTCTCACCGGACGTTACAATGTACAATTATGAACGATATTTTCTTATGTGCGAAGCCCAAATTCCTATAAAGGTAGCATTTTCTCGTCGCCGAATTTTTAAAAGAAGATTTTGTATGGATGACGAAACAGGCGAGTCTCCTAATTTCAAGAAATGTAAATTTTTAAGACTACAAATTTTACTCGCCTTACAGGCTTCAGCAGTCTTGTTGTCATAGAAAAAAATGTATACTCGTGGTTATTTACAGCAAATTGCACTCGCAATCATGTTATAACCTATATACAAAATTTCGTTTTTCTTCAATAACCTATTCAGGAATTTTTTTCTCAAAAATGTCTTTAACTCAAACATTACCAATAAACAATGATCATCTTGTTTTCGCAGGTGTCATAAATCTGATATGCTTCTCGTGGCTGGTCGAAAAGCTTCATTTTCTATCGTGCTATTTTTCATTTCTCAACTGTTCCGAGACAATTTCAGTCAGCGGTGTGGGGCTGGCGGCGACCTATACTCCATTTACCAAATGATGCTCAAGGGCCACACCTACAAGACGTTCAAGACTGCACTAGGTACTCCGGAATGCAGAGAGGCTTGTCTTGCTGATGTCAGATGTCAAAGCTACAACGCCGTTATGTTCATTGCAATATGTGAGTTAAACAACCGAACTAAAGAGGCCAGACCAAAGGACTTTGTCAAGAACAAGGACAGATATTACATGGCGAAAGGTCCAAAACGAGGTGATAGGAAACGCAAAGACTAAATAGCAGTATTACGGTAAAAGGGGGGGACGGGGAAAGGGGATCGGGGGGAAAGGGGGAAGGAGGGGGGAAGGACCACATTTAACTGATAGCTCGATATGCGAGCGCAACTTGAAATGTACACAATATGATGCTCGGCATTGTCTGACACACATCTTTACAGAAGTGTCCATAGACTGCCAATTATAAAGTAAGTCCTAAGTATTCCACGGAAAGTATATCTTAAAGGTGATGAAAATAAACAATATGGGTAATCTGACTTTCGTGGGATTTTACGCTGTCAGCAATGAATCTTTCTTACTCTCATTCTGCTAAAATTAATAATTTCAATTGCAGTTCCCCTCGGATCAATTCTTGAGTTGCCTGCGGAATCGTGCAAGGAGATCAAGGCGAGTGAAGGAGGAAAGGCGATCAGCAGTAATAACTATTGGATGGATTCAACCAGATCTGATAACTCTATTTTAGCTGGCTGTGACATGAAGACTGAAGGTTTGTGCAAGACATGGTTCTTAGCATTTTTGTACCATGCCAATGAGAGGACTTTACTTAATCGATTTTCTTTGTCCCTAGTTGCAGACTATTGTGTCAAACACCAGTGCCAAAACGATGCAAAGTGTGTGAACCGTGAGACGAATTACACGTGTGCGTGTAACTCATCTGGCTGGACAGGAAAATATTGTGAAAAAGGTTCGCCTTTTGTTAAAATCATCTCCCATTTTTAGGAGCATGTTCAACAAAGAAGATGAGGGATGCTTAATTAAGATATGCTTATCCACAGATGTCAACGAATGTGTGGAAGGTTTACATGGTTGTGATCGCAATGCCATTTGTGATAACACTGTGGGTTCCTACAACTGCACATGCAGACCAAGATTAATTGGAGACGGAAGAAACAGCTAAATAAGTACAGGTAAGGATGTAAACCACTTTGAGTGGAGACGTTGTTAGAGGGATAAGCTAGAAATTACCGCGCAGATTGTACATTCTGACTACTACACTTTTTTTTTTATTGTGCCACAAATCGCGCAAGAACTATGCACTTTTGAACAACAATCATCATTTTATCGCTCGTGACTGATATTGACACACATTCTTACTAAAACCAATTAGGATGCGTTTCGTTTCTGGTCAAGGAATTCTAGAATTAAAAGAAACTCAAGGAAAAACAACAAGTGGGAAATGGCGACTGCCTTCCCTTATCATGTGCATGTATAGTCCGAAAGAATATTTCTCTACGAACGAAGAGCAGCATCTTAACAACTATTGCCAAATAGTCTTTAACTGGCTGTGTTCAATCATTTAACACACATTCGTAGGAAGATTATGCCTTTCATTTAGGGAAAAGCCGCATTTTCTTCTTTAGGTCATTCTTTCAAGGAAATTCGGAACGTAAGTTCCCATCTTAAAGACGGAGAGTTAAGAAGAATGGAAGCCTTTTAAAGGTCTATTGTGATATGACAACCGATGGAGGTAAGGAATGGATGTTTAAGAAAACTAATAACGATAACGATGGTTTTTTACTTCTGCACAAACTGTCCTTCTATAATAAATTCAATGCAGTATTATTTTTCTTGATCAAGAATTATATATCATTTCTTTTTTCCAGGAGGTTGGCTTGTGGTCTCCAACGTTGTCGTCGGCAACCTATCCTCGCAACGGTATTCATACGAGTCATCATACCGTGAAATAAGCAATTGTCACAACAAGTCGTTGTTACTCACAACAGATGCCATGAAGGAACTTACAACAAACTTGTCTTTAACTCAGTTGAGATTCCACTGCAGCAAAAACAAAGGACGTACTCTCTATTTGACAATGGCTGCTAACGGCAGTGGTGAAGCAGTAGTACAATACTTCAGTGGTCAGACAGATGCCAGACCGTAAGCATGTGGCTCGTTTGTGAGGATGAAGGATGGCAACTCGAAGTTAGCTGCTGATTGTAATTTATGGAGTAATAAAAAGTGGACATACTCTTATAGCGGGAAAAACAGATATCGGGTCGTTGCTCATGTCGAAATGAAATATCGCTGGGTTTTGTTTGAGAGCTTAGGATGGGAATGTGACGACTGCGACTGCTATGATGCACAATATTTTAAATTGTCCACAGGCGACTTCTGGAGGGTTTTGTTCGTTAAGGCCAGATACAACCAATAACTAAAGAGTTCTCGATTTCTTGAAAAATATTCAACGGCTGACGTAGACCAGTGTGACGTTTTTTATCCTTTATTGCTAAAGCAAGCCTCCAATGTGGACACTTACTGCTATTAAAATGTCAAAAATGATCCTCAAGTCAGCTTTCATTAAGTGTAACACATAAACACACAGACAAAAGAGAAACAAGAAAAATTGAAAAATAAACCTTAAAGCAAAAACAACAAAGAAATCAAAATAAATATCGGTTGATTTTAAATTGAATTTTACGTGTGAAACCATGATTTATGTTTCCTCTTATATCCTTACGATCTCCTTATGACCTGTCGGAACAAAAGATCAATCGCAGGTTGACAACAGTGGAAACAAGCATGCGCCAAATGATCCAAAATGGCGCTCGGCAAGAAATGCAAACACAACATTCCTTGGGTTTGATTTCAGCTCACTCTCAGGTGCTTGTTCACATCTTCTGTAACAGCACACCATACTACATGCATTCCCTTCCGTTTCACGGTAACACAACGTCACACTATGCAACGGTATGTCAATGAACAAGAAAGGCGCATTTCTTTATCGGCCCATCAAAGAATTAGCGTCTCAAACTTCGCAACTATTTCGAATTAACTAAACTTCGTACAAAAGATAGGCTACAATAAAGAAACCAGGCTAGAACTATCGGGATAAAAACTATACGCATTTTTCGGCATGTTGAAATGTCGATACTTGAACCCTGATACAACCGTAACTTATTGATCCTTTTGGTAATGGTGAAAGGACTAAGTAGAGTCCAATTTGTTCTGTAGTCATTCGAGTGAGTAGCCAAGTTATGAAAGAAGGGAAAATTTGCATCAAAAGACTGACAGTTTGTGCAACTGTTTGATTAATTGGTTGAATGAAACTACAACTTTAAATGTAATTGGCTTATTGAAATGTCTGATAACAATGCTGTGGTGAAGGGCTAACGCTCGAAACGTCAGCTTTTAAACTCTTTACGGCGGCCAATTTACGTTATCAACTCAGTTGATAATACTAAATTACCCTGTCCGGTAACAAACTGTCCGATAACAACTTGGCACGTCAATAAGCGGAAAATAGAATTTTTTTAAACCAATCACAATCGAAGAAATTGTAATTTTTATGATTAATTTTGTTATTGGCTTGTTAAGCGGCTTCTTGAGAGGCGAAAGTCGTTTTAATAACCATTACAATTTCCTCAAATGTGATTGGTGCATCAACTGCTTTATATTTCGCGAATCACTCTGTACAGTTGCAATCGGACGGTGGGCCGTAATCGGACAGTTGGCTGTAATCAGACATCTGTAATCGGACAGTTGAAGCAGCCAATCGTACTAAGTCCACTCAGCTAAATCCACCCATCACAGAATTGATTACAATAATCATAGCAACAACCACTTCCCTGAAAAAAGAATGGAAAATTTCCCCTCAGTCCACTCAGCTAAATCCACCCATCACAGAATTGATTACAATAATCATAGCAATAACCACTTCCCTGAAAAAAGAATGGAAATTTCCAAATTTTTTGCTTTAGACATTGTCCCTACTGGAGATTTTTGTCCTAAATGATATTTTTCGGAAATTGTAATGGTTATGTTTAATGGGTAACAGGACTTTGTGTCGCCCAATTCTGTCTGTAATTATACTCGTGATTGACAAATCGGACTCCCGGTTCGTGTTCGTCCGATTCTGTTAATCACCCGTATGATTACAGACCGAATTGGACTCCACTCAGTCCTATTACCACTATTAATTGCGACAGAGAAGCAAGATGATAAGGTTATGATTTCTCTTGAACGAAACCCATTTATAATATATTAATGGTAGTAACTTTTTTCACGGGAGTCAAGTTAATATGCAAAATGTGCCTTGACCCTCAGGAATATCTTGTTTGAATACTTTTCGAAGGTTGCTTGTCATTTTCAGTCATGCCACAACTGATTTATTCATGATATCTGAAGTAATCATACGTAGTGTTCTTAACTGTTAGTTCTGGCTCGTGTCAAGCTAATGATAGAAAGAGTTCACTTTCTTCATCAATTATTGACAGCTTGCTAACTCTCGCCAATATAATCATAAGCTAGAGACCAACACTTTCCTAGAGAGAGTGGAGTTAGTCCCCGAGCTAGCACGTTGTGTTAGGTTTTTAGGAAAGGAAATAAAGAAAGTAACGATTGTGCAAGGAGTGTTAGAAATTCATCCAACAATTGGCATAAATGACACCAAATTTGATATAAAATTGCAACTTTTAATTGTGGGAAATATTACTAAATGCTGTTGGAAAGTGCTCAATACACATGAGTGTAGAGCGAAATACAGTTAAAAATGACTAAAATGAAACACGCACGATTCCCTATTACTCCGAGTTTCGTGCTTACGCACTCGTCAGACAGATTATCTGTCTGACGAGTGCGTAAGCGCGAAACATAGAGTAACAGGGAATCGTGCGTGTTTCATTTTAGTCATTTTGAACTGTAATTGCAACTTTTATTTTGTTATATGACACCACTAGATTCCACGTTGCAGTGCGTCTGCATTGCGTCTTCCAAAAGAAATATGATTGATCTCCTTTTCAACTGAAAATTTTAAATTAAAAATTTAGACCTAACCAAGACGTACGGGCTACACTCATTTGTCCCAAGACTCTGATGCCCAAATGTTTCCCGAAGGTTCCTGTAATACGAAAACTGACACTGATATGAATCTCGACGCATTTTCATTAATTTTATTCCATTCGATCTTAAATTACATTCTAAAGTGATGAAAACTTAATGAGTCTCATTTAAGAGATAAAACAACATTAAGCAATCTTTGCATCAGAACTGACATATTAAAATATTTTGCCCTCAAGAACCCGCTAAACACGCCAATACAAAAAGAAACGACTAGATCACATTATAAGTTGTGTCGGGTTCTTCGTGTCACCACCTTGACACACCTAGCCTCTATATAAATACACGTAGACTCAATTCCGACTACATTAACTTAATTTGCATATTCCATCCTCCATTAGGAAACATCGTATTAACTACAAACAGTTCTTGATGGATCGATGTTACCTCAAAAAGAATGAATGAATACAAGTTCAGCAAAAACTAGAGATCAACCTCGGAGTTTTTTTTTTGTTCAAACAGTTCTGGAAAGATTGTAGTAGCTCTTTTGTTCATCATTCTTAACCCTTTCACTCCCAAGATCTCATTAGTAATTCTCCTTTCTATCTTCCATACAATTCTTATGATGTTAGCTCGGATAATTTGGTATTGGATCAACTACTAATCCCGGGCCCTTTATTGACATTTGTCTTTTTTCTCATCACTTGTCTGCTTGATATTGTATTGATCTCATAAGGAGAAATTCTTTTTTGGTAAGCTATGGGAGTTAAGGGATGAAACAGAGACTGCCTTCATCCCACGCAAGTGGCAGGTGTTTTAAGGTCTGACAATTTTCTTCGTGTAACAAATATACAACGCCTAAAGCAACAACTATGCGATATTATCGCTATAATTGTTTTCCAAAAGTTCTTGTTTCGAAACACAGTACTTTTTGAAGTGATGGAAAATTAATGAAATTTCAGTGAGAAAATAAAATAACATGATAGGTAAGCTATTCATCTCTATTGAGACGTCTTTTGATAATATTCAACCCCAAAGGTCCTCTTAACAACTAAATGAAAATGACTAATGCAGAGCACAAACCTACGACGTAGCCTGAATGGAGTTCTAAGTATCGTCATCCCAACATGCCAAAAATGTGCACAGTTGGAGTTCTAAGAACTAACCGTTAAGAGTAAAAATCCTCTATTTTAAACTGTTAGCGGTGAGAATAGAAATTTTAAAAAAATAGTTACAAAGTGTTATTTTGGAGCTGTTAAAATCTTAAAATAACATGGGTATTCATTACCTTGTAGCTAATGTGGTTACGAAGGTATCTGCACTAATAACGAAAACAAAGACATTTGGCACAGGTCCGACGGAATCATATTCCTCAATAGGGAAGTGTGGAATGAGTGGACAGAGAGGTGGCTAGTTTGTTTTAGGATCTTCAGTTTGTTCATTCAGTGTATGACTGGTGGCTGTCCTGAAAGGCATAATTAGTTTACATAGCTGAGGAGGAAACGCCAATTGAAGTATTTGAGGCAAGAATTAAAATTGGACAAGAACACCACTCTATTTCAGCATTCAAAAGAAATCTGATATATTTTCTCAGTCCTAACTAAAACGCCAAGAAGTTCGAGCTAACGTCATCTTATCTTACCACTACGCGAAAATCAGCTAGAAAAACAGACAATTGCTCTATATCAACCCAACAGCAACTCGCTAGTCTCTTATGGTGAGTAAATGCGTTTGAAAACAATGACTATTAATAATATACTTTTTTACTTAATTGAAATCATTTTTAACATTTCATCAACCGTCACGGAAAGAAATTAAGCACCAGCCAAAAAATGGCTACAATTTTAACCGTTAAGCGTAAAAGGCATATCCTTATAGTGACCTTCACAGTCGTGATCGTGAAGAATTTAGCCTAATCTACTTCAGTCTATAATTGAGAGAGTTAGGGAGTTTTAAATTTATTTCAATATTTATTTTCCTCCAATTTTTAAAAGTGTTACACTGCGAAGAGCGGCTCTGACTTAATTCAGGAAAAACTAGGTTAAAATGGAGGCCTCCATAGTCGGAGTTTGTATTCCTTTTTTTCTTGCACAATGTGGAATATGCCCTGAAATAACACAAGTAAACAACCAAAGCTCTTAGCAGACAATTTAGCAGAACTATCATCGAATGTTGCTTATTTGCGGAGGTTTCCTAATCATGTAGTCTTTCCCGATTTGGAATTCAGTCAAAAGATGATCAAACTAAATAGACGACTAAGCGGATGTTTCGTTAGATCGATATCATGAGCGAACTTTAGTGAAAACTATTCAACATCTGTGCCGTACCCGTACATGAGTTTTCATGTAGAGAACTTTTCAGGGATTAAACGAACAGTATTTCATTACTCGGTATAATTATCTTCTTGAAATCTCGTAAAAGTTTTTCAAATTTTAAGGAAAATTAAAACTCTTTTTGTTTCTTCCTCAATTTAATTCTTCCCGTAACCTGATCCCTAGTGGAAAAGTTTACAAAAGGATATTGGGGAGCGGCAGCTTCTAAGGTGGCAAATTTCTTTTCCTTCAATTACCAATGATTTTATTTATGAAAATGTTCCACAAATAATTCTTTTCCTCTTGCCTCAAATTTTCCTTGGAACGTAATAACTGCCAGTCTGCATGAGATCTCTTGTTCAACATGATACTTTCTCTCGCAGTTATTTACAGCATGTTTTTATTTACATATTTACTAATCATGAATCTTTGGACTTTATCAGCCTTCCATGTTAATTATAAATTTTCCAATACTCCACCCTTTATATCACTCATTAGTTAATGAAAATGTTCATCTTGTTTTCGCAGGTGTCATAAATCTGATATGCTTCTCGTGGCTGGTCGACAAGCTTCATTGTTTATCGTGCTATTTGTCATTTCTCATCTGTTCCGTGACAATGCCAGTCAGCAGTGTGGAGCCGGCGGCGACCTATACTCCATTTACCAAATGATGCTCAAGGGCCACACTTACAAGTCGTTCAAGACTGCACCGGGTACTCTAGAATGCAGAGAAGCTTGTCTTGCTGATGTCAAATGTCAAAGCTACAACGTCGTTATGTTTATTGCAATATGCGAGTTAAACAACCGAACTAAAGAGGCCAGACCAGAGGACTTTGTCAAGAACAAGGACAGATACTACATGGCGAAAGGTCCAAAACGAGGTGATAGAAAATGCAAAGATTTAAAAGGAGTATTACAGTTAAGGAGGGGGGGTGGGAAGGGGGCAAGGGGGCAAGGAGGGAGAGGGGGGCGACACTCACCTGATAGCTTGATATGCGGGCGCAACTTAAAATGTACCCAATATGATGCTCGGCATTGTCTGACACATATCTTTACAGAAGTGTCAATAGACTGCCAATTATAAAGTAAGTCATATAAACATTCCACACACAGTATATCTTAAAGGTGATGTAAAGAAACAATATGGGTAATCTGACTTTCGTGGATTTTACGCTGTCAGCAATGAATCTTTCTTACTCTTATTCTGCTAACATTAATCGCTTCAATTGCAGTTCCCCTCGGATCAATTCGTGAGTTGCCCGCGGAATCGTGCAAGGAGATCAAGGCGAGTGAAGGAGGAAAGGCGGTCAGCGGTAATAATTATTGGATGGATTCAACCAGATCTGGTAACTCTATTTTAGCTGGCTGTGACATGAAGACTGAAGGTTCGTACAAGAGATGGTTCTTAGAATTGTGTTGCCATGCCAATGAGAAGACTTTTCTTAATCGATATTCTTTGTCCCTAGTTGCAGACTATTGTGTCAAACATCAGTGCCAAAACGATGCGAAGTGTGTGAACCGTGACACGAACTACACGTGTGTGTGTAACTCATCTGGCTTGACAGGAAAATATTGTGAAAAAGGTTCGCCTTTTGTTAAAATCGTCCCCCATTTTTAGGAGTATGTTAAACAAAATGGGGGATGCTAAATTAAAATATGCTTATCCATAGATGTTAACGAATGTGTGCAAGGTCTACATGGTTGTCATCCCAACGCAATTTGTAATAACACTGTGGGTTCCTACAACTGTATATGCAGACCAGGATTAATTGGAGACGGAAGAAACAGCTGCATAAATATAACTAAGGATGTAAACCACTTTGTGTAGAGACGTTGTTCGAGGGATAAGCTAGAAATTACCGCGTACGATTGTACATTTTGACCATTACACTAGTTGAGTATTCCTTTTTTTTTATTGTTCCACAAATCGCCCAAGAACTATGCACTTTTGAAAAACAATCATCATTTTATCGATTGTGACTGTTATTGCCACCCATAATTACCTGAAAAAAAGGATGCGTATCGTTTCTGGTTAGGGAATTCAAGAATTAAAAGAAACTCGAGGAAAAACAAGAAGTGGGAAATGGCGACTGCCTTCCCTTATCATGTGCTTGTATAGTCTGAAAGAATATTTCTCCATGAAAGAAGAGTGGCATCTCAACAATTATTGCCAAATAGCCTTTAACTGGCTGTGTTCAATCAGTTAACTTACATTCGTGGGAAGATTATGCCTTTCATTTAGGAAAAAACCGCATTTCCTTCTTTAGGTCATTCTTGTAAGGAAATTCGCGACGCAAGTTCCCATCTTAAAGACGGGGAGTACTGGATCTTTCTTAAGAAGAACGGAAGCCTTTTAAAGGTCTACTGTGATATGACAACCGATGGAGGTAAGGAATGGATGTTTAAGAAAACTAATAACGATAATGGTGTTTTTTTACTTCTGCACATACTGTCATTTTATAATAAATGGAATGTAAAATTATTTTGCTTAATCAAGAATTTCATTTCATTTAATTTCTTTTTTTCCAGGAGGTTGGCTTCTGGTCTCCAACGTTGTCGTCTGCAACCTATCCTCGCTACTGTTTTCATACGAATCATCATACCATGAAATAAGCAATTATCACAACAAGTCGTTGTTACTCACGACAGATGCCATGAAGGAACTGAGAACACAATTGTCTTTCACTCAGTTGAGATTCCACTGCAGCAAAAACAAGGGACGTACTTTCCATTTGACCACGGCTGCTAACAGCAGTGGTGAAGCAGTAGTGCAATACTTCAGTGGTCAGACAGATGCCAAACCGAAAGTATGTGGCTCGTTTGTGAGGATGAATGATGACAACTCGAAGTTAGCTGCTGATTGTAGTCAATGGTACGGTAAAACGTGGGGAAACTCTAATAAAGGACAAAACAGATATCGTGTCGTTGCTTTTGTCTATGGGAAATATCACTGGCTTTTGTTTGGGAGCTCAAGATGGGAATGTGACGACTACATCTCTAATAGGGCAGAATATTTTGGATTGTCCACAGGTGACTTCTGGAGGGTTTTTGTTCGTTAAGGCCAAATGCAACTAGTAACTGAACAGTTCTCATTGTCTGGAAAAAAATTCAATGGCTGACCAAGATCAGTGTCACGTTTTGTCGTTTTTTATCCTTTTGTTGCTAAAGCAAGCCTCCACTGCTAAAATAAACTGTTATTAGAACTATCGGGATAAAAACTATGCACAATTTTTGGCACGTTGAAATGATGATACTTGAACCCCGATGCAACCGTAGTTTAGTCATAATTGTAGTTAGTTAAATAATTATTATCTGTAGTAATTGTTTTGGAAACGGTGAAAGGACTGAGTGGAGTCCAAGTCGGTCTGTAATCATAAGAATGAGTAGCTAAGTTATGAAAGAAAGAGAAATTTACATTAAAAGACTGACAAAGGAGGCGTAAATTGTTCAACTGTTTTATATAATTGATTGATTTAAACTAAAACTTTGAACGTGATTGGCTTATTGAACTGTCTGATAACAGTGCTTTGACGAAGAGCTAAGGCTCGAAACGTCAGCTTTTAAACTCTTTACGGTGTCAAATTTACGTTATCAACTCAATTGATAATACTTAATAACCCTGTCTGATAACAACTTGTCAGTTGGTGGAAAATAGGTTTTTTTTTTTTTAAATTACGATTTATTCAATCTGTTTAACGGCTTCTTGAAATTTTAATTAATTCTGTTATTGGCCAATATATAATGTTTAATGGTAGTAATTTTTTTAGTTTGAAAAGCGAAAGTTCTATCTTAATTGATAAGTATCCACTTTGGGAACGAACTGTGAAATGATAAGCGATAAAGGATTTATCACTAATAAAATATCCGTCTGAATTTCTCCTTAATTTTGAACAAAAGTTACCAATTTATTTAATTTTGGATTAATGGTAGATTAATTTTTTAAATTTGTGATATACTTGTGAAACTAATTTATTCATAAAGCTATGTTGTCAAATAGTGACTGAATTCGTTCACTCAAACTGGCAGATGTTAAAATGCACGAGACTTTTTTATGTAAAATGGTAAAGTTTTTATATTCTATCGCCTCAGATGTTTTCCGAAAGTTACTCTTGCAACAAAACCAACAGAAAGAAATGAAACTCGACCCATTTCAAAAGTTCTAATCCATTCGCCTAAAATAACATTGAAATGATGAATAATTTATGAGAATTATTTGAGAGATTTTCAACACAGCATTTGCTGACCCTGCCGTTGCAAGTAGAATGACTTTGGAAAACATCTTTCGTCCTCCAGAAGGCGCAAAGCACGCGAGTATAAAATAGAACGATAAGATTACAACGTAAGCTACATCGGTATCTAAGTGTCACCATAGCAACACACCCAAACTCAAGATAGTCTCGATTGCGATAGCTCTCGCCTTGTATTAGTATTACAGCCTCTATTTCGGATGTACTCCTTGTGACTTAAATAGTTACGTTTCTACTGAAAATACTTCTTGATGGATTGATGCTTCTTGAAAAAGAAAGAAATGTTTAATTGGCCAGCTGAACATCGGAAAATAAAGATTAATCTCCGAAGTGTTGTGTTCAAATTGTTCTAAAAATACTGTGGAAGCTTTACGTAACTAAATCATTCATAAAGACATCATTTAAACAGAGACTACCTTCAGCTCACACAAAGTGGGAGGTGTTTATGAAAACGTAAAATTCTATTTTTCAATGAATAACAATTTTTCGCAGCTGTCGTTTCAATGTTTTCCGAATGGCAAAAAAAAAACACCTAAAACTAAAGCTCGACTTTTGAAAATTAATTTTATTCTGTTTTCACTGGGTGTGAAGCTTTAAAAATGACTTAAACCTCTTATTTAACAAATAGAAAAGCCTTGACTGTGCTCTGTTCTGTTATAAAGCACTTAGGAAGCGGCTAGAGCACGAAAGAAGTGTAGGGAGAAACACGAGACGTAGTTTATTTATTATTTTTATATATTTATTTTTTCAAAAACATCGTGAGTTTTATGTTCCGATATAACAAACGATTGATGAGCTTTTAGCCAGGCTGGCAGCATGACATCAAAAATTATCCCCTCAGGGGTCTCAGAGCTCTATCGTAATAATAAACAAGAAGATATAACCAACTTCAGTTAATATCCCGAGACAATAGCACTGATTCTAGCCAATAGCTCGTTTCTTTACTGTTTTGCAGGTAATTTAGTGTTAAAAACCGAGTTGAAAACGTAAATTAGCCACCGTAAAGAGTAAAAAAGCAGACGTTTCGAGCGTTAGCCCTTCGTCAGAGCGATAGGATAATTTTTGATGTCATGCTGTCAGCCTGGCTAGAAACTCATCAATCGCTCTGACGAAGGGCTAACACTCGAAAAGGCAGCTTTTTTACCCTTTACGGTGGCTAATTTACGTCTTTAACTCAGTTGTTAACACTAAAATTACCTGCTTTACTCTCCCACCGACGCAGCACCACAGTTTCCTTAGAAAATTACTCCTTTATTTCTTTATTGTTTTGTCTACCTGCTGTGGTAAACGTGGAGAGAAGTAATCATTTTAGTTCACTGAAAGAAAAAGCTTACAATAAGCTTCTCATAATGGCAACATGGATACCACGCTTCTCCTTTCCACGTGGCGCCTGATATGAACAGAGACCAACTTCAGTTAACGCAAAGTGGCAGATGTTTAAAATCTATGTTTATTTTTCCCTATGAAAACGGAAAATTCTATTTTTCAATGAAAACAACTTTTTCGCAGCTATTGTTTTCAATGTTTTACGAAAAACAAAAACACCTAGAACTAAAGCTCGACTTTTGAAAACAACTTTTATTCTCTTGCACTGGGTGTGAGGCTTTAAAAATGACTGAAAAACTTATTGATAGATCAAAACAACAGCTGGAAACGACTCCCACGTACATAGATACGTTTTGATATAGTTCTAGAAACTTCCTACAGTCAGGAGTCTCCTTAAATTTGCAAAACTTAGGTTGAAACAAGTGTTTCTCTCTTTTGATTTCTGTTTTCTTTTTCTCTTTAGTTTTTAATTTTTTGTCGCCCAAAGGTGAACCTTTTTATACGATGTAAGATTTTTTGAAAACTACATTTATTATTTTCATATATTTATTTTTTCAAAAACATCGTGAATTTTATGTTCCGATATAACAAACGATTGATGAGTTTCTAGCCAGGCTGGCAGCATGACACCAAAAATTATCCTTTAAGGGTCTCAGAGCTCTATCGTAATAATAAACAAGAAGATATAACCAACTTCAGTTAATATCCCGAGACACGGGAGTCAAGCCAATAACTCGTTTCTTTACTGTTTTGTCTACCTGTTGTGGTGAACGTAGAAGAGAAGTAATCATTTTATTTCACCGAAGGGAAAAGCTTACAATAAGCTTATCATAATGGCGACACGGATACCACGCTTCTCCTTTCCATCTGGCGCATGATATGAAAATGCGAGGGTCAGTTTTTCACGTGTCTAGATCTAAATCGGGATTTGGATTCCACTTGCTAGCAACCTTACCAAGTTTATCAAAGTTAACTACAACAACGTCTATATTGAAAAATAAAATAACCAAAAATACAGCCGTCTCCCATAGATTCCCTCTGAGCCAACAAACATCCCCCCTGTAAGAAAGACGAACGATGACTTTTATCTACTAAGAGTTTGTCCCCGGTGTGATATAATTCCCTCACAAAAATCAATTCCGCTCAAATTGGCCATAAAACACAACAACGTTCAGTAGGAGAAAACTTTAATTGCCTACCATAGCATCCCGCTGATCCAACAGAGATGCACCATAGTAATGAATTAAGGATAGGGGCTAATTAATTATTATCTATAATTATCTCTAAACAACCTTCCAGCTTCAGTTAGCCGTTGGCAACTTGTTCTAAACAAAAGTGTTTCACACCTCAAGAGAAGACCAGTCGGAGTCTGTCTAGGAAACAACGAATACTTTCACCCAGGTATGTGTATAACTGTTCCGTAGTTTACTATACAATCTCTTTTTCAAGTTAAAATTGAGGTACGTCTGAAAAAGGTGAGCCATAACCCGTGTCTCCTCAATTGCAGATCTCTTTTTTCCTGAAAAGGGTCAATAAGCCCTAAAATTAAAGGAAACTAAAAAAAAAAAGTTCTCAACGGACGTTACAATGTACAATTAAGAACGATCTTTTCTTATGTACGAAGCCCAAATTTCTATAAAGGTGACATTTTTTCGTCGCCGAATTTTTAAAAGACGATTTTGAATAGATGGCGAGACAGGTGAGTCTACTAATTTCAAGAAATGTAAATTTTTAAGACTACAAATTGTGCTAACCTTATGGGCTTCAGCAGTTTTGTTGTCATAGAAAAAAATATACTCCTGCTTATTTACAGCAAATTGCACTCACAATCATATTATTACCTATGTGCTTTAAGTTTTATCAAGCTGTCAAAAGTAACTGATGTTTTCACTCAGTTTCTCATTTTTTTTTCCCGCAAACTGATCAGAAAAGACAAGACTTCAAAAGGAGAGGGAGGAAAGGCAGATTTTAAAGCGACAAAATTTCATTTTCTTCAATAACCTACTCCCAAAATTGTCTTTAACTCAAACATTAACAATAAACGATGTTCATCTTGTATTTGCAGGTGTCATAACTCTGATCTGCTTCTCATGGCTGGTAGACATGCTTCATTTTTTACCGTGCTATTTTTCATTTCTCAACTGTCCGGTGACAATGCCAGTCAGCAGTGTGGAGCTGGCGGCGACCTGTACTCCATTTACCAAATGATGCTTAAGGGCCACACTTACAAGTCGTTCAAGACTGCACCGGGTACTCCGGAATGCAGAGAGGCTTGTCTTGCTGATGTCAAATGTCAAAGCTACAACGTCGTTATGTTCATTGCAGTATGCGAGTTAAACAACCGATCTAAAGAGGCCAGACCAGAGGACTTTGTCAAGAACAAGGACAGATACTACATGGCGAAAGGTCCAAAACAAGGTGATAGAACATGCAAAGATTAAAAAACCAAATTGAAGTAAAGAGGGGGGAGGAGGGGAAGGGGGAAGGGGACATTCAACTGATCTGCGAGCGTGACTTTTAATGTACCCAATATGACGCTGGGCATCGTATGACGTATGTTTTTTACAGAAGTGTAAAAAGTCTATAGACTGCTCATTATAGAGTAAGTCCTTAACATTCCTCGCAAAGTATATCTTAAGGGTAATAGAAACAAACTATATGGGTAATCTGACTTTCGTGGACTTTACGCTGTCAGCAGTGAATCTTTCTTACTCTTATTCTGCTAACATTAATCACTTTAATTGCAGTTCCCCTCGGATCAATTCGTGAGTTGCCCGCGGAATCGTGCAAGGAGATCAAGGCGAGTAAAGGCGGAAAGGTGGTCAGCGGTAAAATTTATTGGATGGATTCAACACGATCTGGTAACTCTATTTTAGCTGGCTGTGACATGAAGACTGAAGGTTGGTACAAGACATGGTTCTTAGCATTTTGTTGCCATGCCAATAAGAGGACTTTTTTTAATCAATTTTCTTTGTCCCTAGTTGCAGACTATTGTGTCAAACACCAGTGCCAAAACGATGCAAAGTGTGTGAACCGTGAGACGAACTACACGTGTGCGTGTAACTCATCTGGCTGGACAGGAAAATATTGTGAAAAAGGTTCGCCTTTTGTTAAAATCATCTCCCATTTTTAGGAGCATGTTAAACAAATAAGATGAGGGATACTTAATTAAGATATGTTTATCCACAGATGTCAACGAATGCGTGGAAGGTCTTCATGGTTGTGATCCCAACGCCATTTGTGATAATACTGTGGGTTCCTACAACTGCACATGTAGACCAGGATTAATTGGAGACGGAAAAAACAGCTGCATAAGTACAGGTAAGGATGTAAACCACTTTGTGCGGAGACGTTGTTAGAGGGATAAGCTAGAAATTACCGCGTACGATTGTACATTTTGACTACTACAATAGTTGAGTATTCCTTTTTTTCTTTTTATTGTTCCACAAATCGCGCAAGAATTATGCACTTTTGAACAACAATCATCATTTTATTGCTCGTGACTGATGTTGTCACACATACTTACCTAAAAACCAATCAGGATGCGTTTCGTTTCTGGTCAAGGAATTCTAGAATTAAAAGAAACTCAAGGAAAAACAACAGTTGGAAAATGGCGACTACCTTCCCTTATCATGTGCATGTATAGTCCGAAAGAATATTTCTCTACAAACGAAGAGCAGCATCTTAACAATTATTAATAATCAGTTAACTCACATTGGTGGGAAGATTATGCTTTTCATTTAGGAAAAAACCGCATCTCCTTCTTTAGGTCATTCTTGTGAGGAAATTCGGAACGCAAGTTCCCATCTTAAAGACGGGGAGTACTGGATCGCTCTTAAGAAGAAAGGAAGCCTTTTAAAGGTCTACTGTGATATGACAACCGATGGAGGTAAGGAATGGATGTTTAAGAAAAACTAATAACGATAACAGTGGTTTTTTTTTACTTCTGTACAAACTGTCCTTCTATAATTAATGGAATGCAATATTATTTTGCAAAATAAAGAATTTCAGTTCATTTCATTTCTTTTTTCCAGGAGGTTGGCTTCTGGTCTCCAACGTTGTCGTCGGCAACCTATCTTTGCTACAGTTTTCAGAGGAATCATCATACCATGAAATAAGTAAATGTCACAACAAGTCCTTGTTACTCACGACAGATGCCATGAAGGAACTGAGAACACACTTGTCTTTCACTCAGTTGAGATTCCACTGCCGCAAAAACAAGAGACGTACTTTCCATTTGACCACGGCTGGTAACAGCAGTGGTGAAGCAGTAGTACAATACTTCAGTGGTCAGACAGATGCTAATCCGAAAGCATGTGGCTCGTTTGTGAGGATGAATGATGACAACTCGAAGTTAGCTGCTGATTGTAATCAATGGGGCAATAAAGAGTGGGGATACCCTTTTAAAGGAAAAAGGAGAAATCTATTCGTTGCTCGTGTCCAAGGGAAATATCGCTGGTTTTTAAAAGGGAGCTCAAGATGGGAATGTGACGACTTAATCAACAATGATACAGAACATTTTGGATTGTCCACAGGTGACTTCTGGAGGGTTTTTGTTCGTTAAGGCCAAATACAATTAGTAACTAAACAATTCTCACTGTCTTGAAAAAAATCCAATGGCTCACCGAGATCAGTGTCATGTTTTATCGTTTTCTATCCTTTTGTTGCTAAAGCAAGCCTCCGCTGTTGAAATAAACTGTCATTAGAACTATCGGGATAAAAAACTAAGCGCAATTTTTGGCGTGTGAAATGATGATACTTGAACCCCGATGCAACCGTATAATAATTATTTTGGAAACGGTGAAAGGACTGAGCGGAGTCCAATTCGGTCTGTAAACATAAGAGTGAGTAGCCAAGTTATGGTAGAAAGAGAAATTTGCATTAAAAGACTGACAAAGGAGGCGTAAATTGTTCAGCTGTTTGATATAATTGATTGATTTAAACTACAACTTTGAATGTGATTGGCTTATTGAACTGTCTGATAACAGTGTTTTGACGAAGGGCTAACGCTCAAAACGTCAGCTTTTATACTCGTTACGGTGTCAAATTTACGGTATCAACTGAATTGATAATACTCAATTATCCTGTCTGATAATAACTTAGCACGTCAGTTGGTGGAAAATAGGTTTTTTTTTAACTTGTTACAATCGAGGAAATTACGATTTATTCTGTTATTGGCCTGTTTAACGGCTTCTTGAGAAGCGAAAGTCGTTTTAATTGTGACAAAGAAGCGAGATGATAAGGTTATGATTTCTCCTGAGCAAAATCCAATACAGAATTTATTAATGGTAGTAATTTTTACGGGAGTCAAGTTAACGTGCAAAATATTCCTTGACCCTCAGAAATATCTTGCTGCAATATTTTCGAAAGTTGCTTGTTATTCTCTGCGATGCCACAACTGATTTATTAATAATACTTGATGTAATCATACGTAGTGTTCTAGTCCGTTAGTTCTAGCTCGTGTCAAGCTAGTGCTCCTATTATCTCTCGATAAGCGATCAATAAAAATTCATGTTTTATACAAAACGTGAATACTACAGTCTAAGTGTCAAGTCCTTGTTGATGATAATGCAAGTTCACTTTCTTTCATTTTGTATCTTTTTTGTGCGAATATATCATGAAATCCCCCTGCATTGCCCATTATATCATCTTGCGCAGGGTGATCATATCAATATATGTTGCAATCACGCCATCACCGTAATCACCAAAATCATTTTATTAGATGAAAAATTTTAGACAATACTCTACCTGTTCTATTATCACTAAGTACTCCTAATAAGTATCTTCTTTGGGAACAAATCGTGGAAAATTCAGTACAAGGCGAGAAGGGATTTATTACCAATAAAATATCCATCTCAGGAACTCTTCCTTTGTAACAATTAATGACTTAACTGGAATATATCATCGAACAACGATGGATAAATATGGCAAGATTTATTTGACCACCGTGAAATTAAAAAATGAATTAAATCTAATTTCGAAAAATATATCGAACATCATGGATTTTATCTTGAAATAATTTTTGTGCGTGAATCTAATTTATTCATGAAGCTATGCTATCAAAAAGGGACTGAATTCGTTCACTCCCAATGGCAGGTGTTAAAATGCCCGAGATTTTTTTTATGTAAAATGGTAAAGTTTTTTTATTCTATCGCCTCATATGCTTTCCGAAAGTTACCCTTGTAGCAAAGCAATCAGAAAGAAATGAAATTCGACCTATTTCAAGATGTTTTAATCCATTCGCCTAAAATAACATTGAAATGATGAATCATTAATAAGAATAATTCGAGAGATTTTCAACACAACTTTCACCGACCCTGCCGTTGCGATTACATTGACTTTCAAAAACATATTTTGTCCTTCAGAAGGCGCAAATCTAGTACAGCACAAAATAATACGAGAGTACGAGTACAGTTTTTATATTCTATCGCCTCAGATGTTTTCCGAAATTACTGTTGTAACAAAACTAACAGAAAGAAATGAAATTCGACCTATTTCAAAAGTTTTATTCCATTCGTCCAAAATAACATTAATGAGAGGTTTTCAACACAACATTCGCCGACCCTGCCGTTGCAATTAGAATGACTTTCAAAAACATCTTTTGTCCTTCAGAAGGCGCAAGGCACGCGAGTAGAAAACAGAACAACAAGATTACAACATAAGCTATATCGGTCTCTAAGTGTTACCATAGAAACACACCCAAACTTAAGATAGTCTCGATTGCGATAGCTCTCGCCTCGTATTCGTATTACAGCATTTATTTTGGATGTACTCCTGTGACTCAAATAGTTATGTTTCTACTGAAAATACTCCTTGATGGATCAATGCTATTTTTAAAAGAAAGAAATATTGAATTGGCTACCTGAAAATCGGAAAATAAAGATTTATCACCGAGGTGTTTGTGTTCAAATTGTTCTCAAAAGACTGCGGAAGTTTAACGTTACTAAATTATTCATAAAAATCAATTCAGCTCCAGTTGGCCATAAAACACAACAGCGTCCAGTAGGAGAAAAACTTAACTGTCCACCATAGCATCCCACTGATCAAAGAAAGCACCACTGTAAGGAATTAAGGATAGTGGCTAATTATCTGCACGAGTTTGTTCATGATGCAATATAATTCACCCTAAACATCATTTCAGCTCCAATTGGCCGTAAAACTATCAAAAGTCTAGGTTGAGAAGAATAATAATTGTTTCCGACAGAATCCCACTGATCCAACAAAGAGGTACTACTTTAAGGAAGGACAATGGCACATAATTTGTTATGAGGTCGTCTGTGGTGTAATATTATTCCCTCTAAACAACCTTTCAGCTTCAGTTAGCAGTTGGCACCCTGCTCTGAACAAAAGTGCTTCACACCTCAGGAGAAGACCGATAGGAGTTTGTTTAAGAAACAACGAGTAGTTTTAACCAGGTATGTGTATCACTGCTTCGCAGTTTATTGCACAATCTCCTTTACAAATTAAAATTGAGGTGTGTCTGAAAAAGTTAAGCGAAAACCCATGCCCCCTCAGTTGTAGTTCTCTATTTCCCAATATAATGGTTAAGGAACACTAAAATATAAGGAAACCACATATACCAAAGTTTTAAATGGATGTTACATTGTACAGTTATTAACGATCTTTACTTGTGTGCGAAGCCCAATTTCCTATAAAAGTAACATTTTCTCGTTACCGAATTTTGAAAGTTGATTTTGAATGGATGAAGAAACAGGTGAGTCTCCCGATTTCAAGAAACGTAAGACTACAAATTGCACTCGCCTCATGGAACTCAGCAGTTTTGTTTTAATAGGAAAAAATATACTCGTGCTTATTTACAGCAAATTGCACTCGCAATCATGTTATTACCTATACTTAAAGTCTTTTACAAACTGTAAAAAGTAACTAACGTTTTCACGCAGTTTCTCATTTTTTCCCGCAAACTGATCAGAAAAGATTAAGACTTCAAAAGGAGAGGGAAGAAAGGCAGATTTTAAAGTGACAAAATTTCGTTTTTCTTCAATAACCTATTAAGGAATTTTTTCTTTAACTCAAACATTAGCAATAAACTATGTTCATCTCGTTTTTGCAGGTGTCATAAATCTGATATGCTTCTCATGGCTTGTCGACAAGCTTCATTTTTTATCGTGCTATTTTTCATTTCTCAACTGTTCCGTGACAATGCCAGTCAGCAGTGTGGAGCCGGCGGTGACCTATACTCCATTTACCAAATGATGCTCAAGGGCCACACTTACAAGTCGTTCAAGACTGCACCGGGTACTCTAGAATGCAGAGAAGCTTGTCTTGCTGATGTTAAATGTCAAAGTTACAACGTCGTTATGGTTATTGCAATATGCGAGTTAAACAACCGATCTAAAGAAGCCAGACCAGAGGACTTTGTCAAGAACAAGGACAGATATTACATGGCGAAAGGTCCAAAACGAGGTGATAGAAAATGCAAAGATTTAAAAGAAGTATTACAGTTACGGAGAGGGGGAGGGGAAGGGGAGAGGAGGGAGGTAAGGGGGGGTAGGGGGGCGACATTCAACTGATAGCTCGCCATGCGAGCGCAACTTGAAATGTACCCAATGTGATGCTTGGCATTGTCTGACACATATCTTTACAGAAGTGTCAATAGACTGCCAATTATAAAATAAGTCATATAAACATTCCACACACAATTTATCTTAAAGGCGATGTAAAGAAACAATATGGGTAATCAGACTTTCGTGGATTTTACACTGTCAGCAATGAATCTTTCCTACTCTTATTCTGCTAACATTAATCGCTTCAATTGCAGTTCCTCTCGGATCAATTCGTGAGTTGCCTGCGGAATCGTGCAAGGAGATCAAGGCGAGTGAAGGAGGAAAGGCGGTCAGCGGTAATAATTATTGGATGGATTCAACCCGATCTGGTAACTCTATTTTAGCTGGCTGTGACATGAAGACTGAAGGTTAGTACAAGACATGGTTCTTAGCATTTTGTTGCCATGCCGTTGAGATGACTTTTCTTAATCGATATTCTTTGTCCCTAGTTGCAGACTATTGTGTCAAACACCAGTGCCAAAACGATGCAAAGTGTGTGAACGGTGAGACGAACTACGCGTGTGCGTGTAACTCTGGTTGGACAGGAAAACATTGTGAAAAAGGTTAGCTATTTGTTGAGAAAAAGCGCTTCATCTTCATTTTCTGTAATCAATTCTCTTTCAAACAAAAAAATGATCTTACTCTCGATTTTTATCCAAATGATTCAGAAGCCTTGTAATAAATTATAATAATGTCAGAGGAACTTATAAAGCTTTTAAAACCCTTTACCCTAAGAGATTCTTGCAATTAAGTTACAATCGTAACGATAAGAATTAAATGTTTCCTTTACATTTCTTTAAATTTGCAGCCGAAGACTGCAATGATTACAAGAACCTAACTGGTGCCCGTAGAAAGGGCAGTTACAAAACACCCTTCGGTGAAGCGGTTTGTGACAACAGACTCCTTTATGGATGGTATCGTTTTGTAGGAGCTGCAGGAACAAAAATGCCAACAACGCGTGTGCCAGCACAAAGATGTGGTACAGATTTCTCAGGTTGGTTGGATGGTGCTCATCCTTCAGTGGAAGATGGTGAAGTTTCCAGGACGATATGCTTTAGTGATCGTGAACACGGCTGCACGTACAGGACCCAAACTTCTGTGAAGAACTGTGGATCTTACTTCATCTACAAACTTTATCCCCCAAATCGTTGTTCCTCACGCTACTGTGGTACAGACTGACTTTGAAGCAAATGCACTTCACGTAATAGGAGGATTCATAAATAAATAAATAAATCCTTAACTTCATGTTCATTGGGGCTTAAGTGTGTTCTACATTTCTTTATCATAATCATTTTAAATGGAATGTATGTGTTTTAATGCTAGTCACGAACAACCAAAATGTGTTATCTAGAAGAATTACAAAATCAAGAATGAAAATACAGTTGGTAAATCCTAAACTTGAGGGTAAATAGTTCATGTGCAATGCCTCTGCATTCATTTACGAGAGATGCGTAGAGGATGATCTTAGGTAATTGAAAAAGATGCAAGGCAGGAAACGCGATATTTTATAGACTTCATTAATTACTTGCAAACTTGTTTTTGAATGATCTTGTGTATGTCGAAATGGGAATTTTTTTTTCGAAAATACTGAACTGTTCTTTTAAATTTAAATTTACTTTTTCGGTAGCTCTTTCAGAGAGCATAGAGCTTCATTTCATAGCCTGACGCCGATTCTTAAAAAAGCACTTTTTTTGTACCACAAGGTTTAAGGGTTTTTAGAAAAATATTATTAGAAGTAGCAAAATTTGCGTTGTAGAATGGGCTTATGATGTTTCCGCAACAAACTACGCATTTTCATTGAATCTGAGTGAATGTTAAGATCGTGTATCATTTCAGATAAATTTTGATTATGCAAAAAGAGTAGAGTTAGAAGTTTAATGTTATTAAACGGAGGGATGGTGTATTCATTTATCTTTGCAAAATATATGAGACGATGTGTCCGTTTTGGAACTGTCCAAATTTTACACTGAAACGGGTCTTGTGTTTCGGCTAATGTGGTTAGACGGTAGCTATAATCTTACGATAACGGAAACAAAGGTTTCAACGAACGAGAATCCAATGCAAACATAACAGTCGCGCAATGGATCCGTTATAATTTTCATATTGCCAGTCTTGTTTTTGCTTTGCCCAATCTTAACTTGCCCGATCTTAACCGCCAAAGTATGAAATTTGAGGAAGAAACTCGTTTTGAAAAGAGTCAACAAACCGAGGGTACATACTTGGTATGCGGGAACTGTTTCGCGTAATTCAATATGATTCGTTAGTGAAGTGACAAATAGTGAAGTTGGTCAATTATTGACAGCTTGCTTATTGTCGCCTTTATAATTATAAGCTAGAGACCAACACTTTCCTAGAGAGAGTGGAGTTAGTCCCCGAGCTAGCACGTTGTATTGGATTTTTAAGAGGGGAAATAAAGAAAGTAAAAACTGTGCAAGGAGTGTTAGAAATTCATCCAACAACAGGCATAAATGACGCCAAATTTGATATGTAATTACAACTTTTATTTTGTTATATGACACCATTAGATTCCAGGTTGCAGTGCGTCTGCAGTGCGTCTTCCAAAAGGAATATGATTGATCTCCTTTTAAACTAAACATTTTAAATTAAAAATTTAGACCTAACCAAGACGTATGAGCTACGCTCATTTGTCCCATGACTCTGATGCCCAAAATGTTTCCTGAAGGTTCCTGTAATACGAAAACTGACACGATATGAATCTCGACGCGTTTTCATTAATTTTATTCTATTCGATCTTAAATTACACTCTAAAGTGATGAAAACTTAATGAGTCCCATTTAAGAGATAAAACAACATTAAGCAATCTTTGCATCAGAACTGACATATTAAAATATTTTGCCCTCAAGAACCCGCTAAACACGCCAATACAAAAAGAAGCCACTAGATCACATTATAAGTTGCGTCGGGTTCTTCGTGCCACAACCTTGACACACCTAGCCTCTATATAAATACACGTAGACTCAATTCTGACTACATTTACTTAATTTGCATATTCCATCCTCCATTAGGACACATCGTATTAACTACAAACAGTTCTTGATGAATCGATGTTGCCTCAAAAAGAAAGAATGACCAAAAATTCAGCAAAAACTAGAGATCAATCTCGGAGTTTTCTTTTGTTCAAACAGTTCTGGAAAGATTGTATTAGCTCTTTTGTTCGTCATTCTTAACCCTTTTACTCCCAAGATCTCATTAGTAATTCTCCTTTCTATCTTCCATACAATTCTTGTGATGTTAGCTCGGATAATTTGTTATTGGATCAACTACTAATCCCTTTATTGACACTTGTCTTTTTTCTCATCACTTGTCTGCTTGATATTGTATTGATCTCATAAGGAGAAATTCTTTCTTGTTAAGCCATGGGAGTTCAGGGATGAAACAGAGACTGCCTTCATCCCACGCAAGTGGCAGGTGTTTTAAGGTCTGACAATTTTCTTCGTGTGACAAATATACAACGCCATAATTGTTTTCCAAAAGTTCTTGTTTCGAAACACAGTACTTTTTGAAGTGATGGAAAATTGATGAAATTTCAGTGAGAAAATATAATTTTCAACTGTTAGCCGTGAGAATAGAAATTAAAAATCCTCCCATTTACATTCTGTCATTTTGGAACTGTTAAAATCTTAAAATAACATGGGCATTCATTACCTTGTGGTTAATGTAGGTACGACGGTATTTGCACTAATAACGAAAACAAAAACATTTGGCTCAGGTCTGACGGAATCATATTCCTCAAGACGGAAGTGTGGATTGAGTTGAAAGAGTGGTGACTAGTTTGTTCTAGGATCTTCAGTTTCTTTATTCAGTGTATGACTGGTGGCTGTCGTGAAATGCATAATTAGTTTACATAGCTGAGAAGGAGAAGCCAATTGAAATATTTAAGGCAAGAACTAAAATTGGACAAGAACAACGCTCTATTTCAGCATTCAAAAGAAATCTGATATATTTTCTCAGTCCTAATTACAACGCCAAGAAGTTCGAGCTGACGTCATCTTATCTCACAACTTCGCGGAAATCAGCAATAAAAACAGACAATTTCTCTATATCAACTCAACAGCAACTCGATCGGGAATTTCCCCTTTTACTTGACCCTTATGGTGAGTAAATGTGATTAAAAACAATTACTTTAATTATAGACTTCTTTTACTTAAATGAAATCATTTTTTTAACATTTATTCAACCGTCACGGAAAGAAATTAACCACTAGCCAAAAAGTGGCCACAATTTTTACCGTTAACCATTAAAAGCATACCTCTATAGTTACCTTCATAGTCGCGATCCCGAAGAATTTAGCCTGATCTGTTTTATTGAAGTCTATAATTGAGTGGGTTAGGGAGAGGAAATTATTTCAAGATTTATTTTCCTCCAACTTTTAAAAGCGTCACACTGCGAAGAGCTGCTCTAAATTGATTCAGGAAACGGAAGCCTCCATAGTCGCAATTCATCATCCTTTTTTTTCCTGTTCAGTGTGGAATATGCCGCCTGAAATAATACAAGTAACCACCCAAAGCTACACAAATGATTCTTTCCCTCTTGCCTCAAAGTTTCTTCGGAATTTAAAAACCACCGGTCCGCATAAGATCTCTTGTTCAACATAATATTTATTTACAAATTTACTAATCATGAATCTTTGGACCTTATCAGCCTTCTATGCTAATTGTGACTTTTTCAATACCCCACCCTTTACATCACTCATTAGTCAATTAAAATTTTCATCTCGTTTCTTCAGTTTTCATAGATCAGATATGCTTCTTATGGCCCGTCGACAAGCTTTATTTTTTACCGTGCTATTTTTCATTTCTCAACTGTCCCGAGACAACGCCAGTCAGCAGTGTGGAGCCGGCGGCGACCTATACTCCATTTACCAAATGATGCTCAAGGGCCACACCTACAAGACGTTCAAGACTGCACCAGGTACTCTGGAATGCAGAAACGCTTGTCTTGCTGATGTCAAAATGTCAGAGCTACAACGTCGCTATGTTAATTGCAATATGCGAGTTAAACAACCGTACTAAAGAGGCCAGACCAGAGGACTTTGTCAAGAACAAAGACAGATACTACGTGGTGAAAGGTCCAAAACGAGGGGATAGAAAACGCAAAGATTAAAAAGTAGTACTAAGGTAAAGGAGGGGGGAGGGGGGAACACTCACTTTTAGAGCTACCTTGATAGAGAATACCGATCATACTCTAAATCCCTAGAAATCTTCACAGTTTTTTAAAGGTGACGCAAACAAATGGTATGGTAACCTGGCATTTCTTTCGTTCCTAAAAAAATAATAACTATTTTCATTGCAGTTCCCCCTGGATCAACTCGTGATTTGCCCGTTAAATCTTATAAGGAGATTAAGGCAAGTGAAGGAGGACAGGCAGAGAGTGGTGATTATTGGCTGGACTCTAACAGATCTGAGAAGTCTATTTTAGCTCGCTGTGATATGAGAAAAGAAATATTTTTGGTGCTTTTTAATTTTTGAGCTCACGAGAGTCCTTCTCTTCATGGATTTTCTTTTTACCCAGTTGCAGACTACTGCGTCAAGCACCAGTGCTAATACGATGCAAAGTGTGCGAACCGTGAGATTACACGTGTGCGTGTAACTCAGTTGGTTGGACAGGAAAATATTGTGAAAAAGGTTTGTCACTTTAAATCATCCGCTATTTTAGGAGCGTGTTAAACAAAGATATTTAACTAAGGAGATGAGAGATGTTTAATTAAGATATGCTTATCCACAGATGTCAAAGAATGTGTGGAAGCTTTACATGGTTGTGATCCCAACGCCATTTGTGATAACACTGTGGGTTCCTACATCTCTACATGCAGACCAGAATTTATTGGAGACGGAAGAAACAGCTGTACACGTACAGGTAAGGTTGAAAATAACACTTTTTGTGGAGACGTTGTTAGAGGGATAAGCTAGAACTTACTGCGTACAATTGTACATTCTGACTACTACACCAGTTGGTGGTGCTGACTAAAGAGTATCTTTTTTTAATTGTTCCACAAATCGTGAAAGAATGATGCACTTTTGAGCAAACAATATCGTTTTATCGCTCGTGACTGATATTGTCACACGCACCTACATAAAACCAACTAGGATGCGTTTCGTTTATGATCAAGGAGTCATAGAACAAAACGAAAACTCAAGGAAGAACAACAAGTGGGAAATGGCGATTGCCTTCCCTTATCATGTGCATGTGTAGTTCGAAGAATATTTCTCTACGAACGAAGAGCAGCATCTTAACAATAGTCTTTGACTGGCTGTGTTCAATCACTCGCAGACGTTGAAAAGATTATGCCTATTATTTAGGAAAAACCGCATTTCCTTCTTTAGTTCATTCTTGTAAGGAAATTCGGAACGCAAGCTCCCATCTTAAAGACGGAGAGTACTGGATCAATCTTACGAGGAACGGAAACCTTTTAAAGGTCTACTGCGATATGACAACCGAACGAGGTAAGGAAGGGATGTTTAAGAAAAACTAATAACTATAATGGTGCTTTTTAACTTCTGCACAAACTGTCTTTTAATAATAAATGGAATGTAAAATTATTCTGCTTAATCAAGAATTTAATTTCATTTAATTTCTTTTTTCAGGAGGTTGACTTCTGGTCTCCAGCGTTGTCGTCCACAACCCATCGTCGCTATCGTTCTCATACGATCATCATACCATGAAATAAGCAATTATCACAACAAGTCGTTGTTACTGACGACAGATGCCACGAAGAAACTGAGAACACAATTGTATTTCACTCAATTGAGATTCCACTGCAGCAAAAAAAAGGGACGTACCTGCCATTTGACAGCTAACAGCAGTGGTGAAGCAGTAGTACAATACTTCAGTGGTCAGACAGATGCCAATCCGAAAGCATGTGGCTCGTTTGTGAGGATGAAGGATGACAACTCGAAGTTAGCGGCTGATTGTAATCAATGGCACCATGAAACGTGGGGAAACTCTAATAAATAACAAAACAGAAATCGTGTCGTTGCTTTTGTCAATGGGAAATATCGCTGGCTTTTGGAAGGGAGCTCAAGATGGGAAAGTGACGTCTACAACTCTAATGGGGCAGAATATTTTGGATTGTCCACAGGTGACTTCTGGAGGGTTTTTGTTCGTTAAGGCCAAATACAATTACCAATTAAACAGTTCTCACTGTCTTGAAAAAAGTTCAACGGTTGACCTAGATCAGTGCCACGCTTTGTCGTTTTTTATCTTTTTGTTGCTAAATCAAGCCTCCAATGTTGAAATAAACTGTTATTTAAACGCCATAGATGAGCCTCAAGTCAACTTTTGTTTAGTGTAACACATAAATACACCGACAAAAGAGAAACAAAAAACAAAAGATCAATCGCTGTATGACAATAGCGGCATCGAGAATGGGCCATATGATCCAAAATAGCACTCTGCAGGAAATACAAACACAGCATTGATTGGGTTTGATTCAGTTTTTGAACTCTCAGGTGCTTGTTCACATCTTCTGTAATAGCACATCATATTAGAAGTCATTCCCTTCCGTTTCACGGTAACACAACGTCACACAATGCAAAAGTATGGCAATGAACAAGAAAGACCCATCAAAGAATCAGTGTCTCAAAATTGGCATCCATTTTGAATCAACTTAACTTCGTCCTAAAGATAGGCTAGAATAAAACAAACTAGGCTAGAACTATCGGGATAAAAACTATGCACATTTTTTGGCATGTTGAAATGATGATACTTGAACCCCAATGCAACCGTAGTTTGGTAATCTGTAACGATTATTTCGGTAATGGTGAAAGGACTGAGTGGAGTCCAATTCGTATAGGTAATAACATGATAAAACACGAGATAGCTTATCATAATTAAGCAGAAGCAAAGCGAGCGCATCAAGTGCAAAAATAATTCATTCAAACCGTGCGTTTGGTCAAATAATATACAATGATATCTTCACATCTTTAAGGCGCAAGAAAGCTCAAATTCTGGCTAAATAGTTCAAGGAATTGTTCAGTCTGTGTCTGAATCACTTTCAATGAAACAGAATCGTCTTCAAACTCAATGAAAAACAATTTTTCGCAGCTATCGTTTTCAATGTTTTCCGAAAGGCAAAAAAACCTAAAACTAAAGCTCGACTTTATTATTCATAAAGACATCATTTCAACAGAGACTAATTTCAGTTAACGCAAAGTGGCAGGTGTCTAACGTCTCTGTTTTTTTTTTCCTATGAAAAAGAAAATTATATTTTTCAATGAAAAACAATTTTTCGCAGCTATCGTTTTCAATGTTTTCCAAAAGTTCCTCACATCAAAAATTAACACCTGGAATTAAAGCTCGACTTTTGAAGATTGCTTTTGTTCTGTTCCACTGGATGTGAAGCTTTAAAAGTGACTTTAAAAATTTATCGATAGATTAAAATAACAGCTGGAAACGAGCCCCACATACATAGATACGTTTTGATATAGTTTTTACAAACTCCCTACAGTCGAGAGCCTCATTAAATTTGCAAAACTTAGGTTGAACCAAACGTTTTTCTCTTTTGATTTCTGTTTTATATTTTTGTCTTTAGTTTTTTAATTTGTGTCGCCCGAAGGTAAGCCTTTTTACACGATGTACAGTTTTTTGGAAAACTACATTTATTGTCTTTTTATATTTATTTTTTTCGAGAACATTGTGAGTTTTATGTTCCGATGTGACAAACGATCAATAAGTTTTTTAGCCAAGCTGACATGACATCAAGAATTATAACATAGCGCGCGTGCTTGCCTTATGTAGTTCGATTCTTGAAATCTTTATTTGCACACGCCCGTGCGTAAAGAAGATGACGTGAGCTTTTTTTTTCCCGGCTTCAGAGTTTTCGTCCTATTAAGCTGCACTGCAGTTTTCCTTCTCTTTGAAATATGGAAGAAACCAGTGAAGAACTGCTCAATTTTTCTGTCGGCATTGACCTTTTAGGTCCTGATCCAACAAGCAACAAAAACAAAGCCGAAAAAACTCGCAAGTTGCACGTTTCGCAAATTTGTCGGAAGACCAGCTGCAGCAAAATTTTGCTTCTTCGCGGAGATCCTTGTTGTCGCTCTATTATAAAAGAATTTGCTAATGCTTTTAGCTGTACTTATATCGAGTTCTGGATGCAATTAGGAAGTTTGGAGAGCACTCGAGCTACTCTTACGCATTTTTCTTGCTCTCCAAACTTCCCGCGTGCATCCATAACTCGATATACGCACGCTAAGCATGAACAAATTCTTAATTATCCCTTAAGGGTCTCAGAGCTCTATCGTAATTAATAAACAAGAAGATATAACCAAGTTCAGTTAATATCCCGAGGCAATAGCACTGAGTCAAGCCAATAACTTCTTTCTTTACTGTTTTGTCTACCTGCTGTGGTAAACGTAGAAGGGAAGTAATCATTTTATTTCACCAAAAAGAAAAGCTTTCAATAAGCTTATCAAAATGGCGACACAGATACCACCCTTCTCCTTTCCACCTGGCGCATGATGTGAAAATGCGAGAGTTAGTTTTCCAAGTATATGGATCTAAATTTGAATTTGCATTCCGATTGCTGGCAACCTAACCCAGTTTATCAAAATTAAACACAACGGTATCTATATTGAAAACAAAAAAGGGAAAAAATTTAACCGTCTCCCATAGATTTCCTTTGAGCCAACAAAGATCCCCCCTGTAAGGAAGACGAACTATTGCTATTTATCTACTAAGAGTTTGTCCCTGGTGTGATATAATTCCCTAATAAACATCAATTCAGCTCCAGTGGGCCATAAAACACAACAACGTTCAGTAGGAGTAAACTTTAATTGTCTACCATAGCATCCCACTAATCCAACAAAGATACACCACTGTAAGGAATGAAGGATAGGGGCTAATTAACTATTATCTATAATTATGTTTAAACAACCTTTCAGCTTCAGTTGGCCGTTGGCAACCTCAGTGCTCTGAACAAAAGTGCTTCACACCTCAAAAGAAGACCAGTAGGAGTCTTTCTAGGAACTTTCACCCAGGTATACGTATAACTGTTCCGTAGTTTATTATACAATCTCTTTTTCAAGTTAAAATTGAAGTACGTCTGAAAAAGGTAAGCCAAAACCCTTGCCTCTTCAATTCCATATCTCTTTTTCCTGAAAAAAGTTGAATGAGTCCCAAAATTAAAGAAAACTACAGATACTAAAGTTCTCACCGGACGTTACTATGTACAATTATGGAAGATCTTTTCTTATGTGCGAAGCCCAAATTCCTATAAAGGTAGCATTTTCTCATCACCGAATTTTAAAAGACGATTTTGAATGGATGACAGGTGAGTCTCCTAATTTCAAGAAATGTAAATTTTTAAGACTACAAATTGTACTCGCCTTGCGAGCTTCAGCGGTTTTGTTTTCATAGAAAAAATATACTCGTGCTTATTTACAGCGAATTGCACTCGCAATAATTTTATTACCTATATTCTTAAAGTCTTTTATAAGCTGTCAAAAGTAACTGACGTTTTCACGCAGTTTCTCATTTTTTTCCCACAAACTGATCAGAAAAGATTAAGACTTCAAAGGAGAGGGAGGAAAGGCAGACTAAGAAGCGACAAAATTTCGTTTTTCTTTAGTAACCTATCATGGAATTTTTCCCAAAAATGTCTTTAACTCAAATATTACCAATAAAGAGCGTTCATCTTGTTTTCGCAGGTGTCATAAATCTGATATGCTTCTCGTGGCTGATCGACAGGCTTCATTTTTTATCGCGCTATTTTTCATTTCTCAACTGTTCCGTGACAATGTCAGTCAGCAGTGTGGAGCCGGCGGCGACCTATACTCCATTTACCAAATGATGCTCAAGGGCCACACTTACAAGTCGTTCAAGACTGCACCGGGTACTCCAGAATGCAGAGAGGCTTGTCTTGCTGATGTCAAATGTCAAAGCTACAACGTCGTTATGTTTATTGCAATATGCGAATTAAACAACCGAACTAAAGAGGCAAGACCAGAGGACTTTGTCAAGAACAAGGACAGATACTACATGGCGAAAGGTCCGAAACGAGGTGACAGAAAATGCAAAGATTAAAAAGCAGTATTACAGTTAAGGAAAGGGGGGGGGGGGGGGAGAGGAGGAAAGGGGGGGAAGGGAGGGGGGGAGAGGAGGAAAGGGGGGAAGGGTGAAAAATAGGAAAGGGAAAATGGGGGAAGGAGGGGGAAAGGGAGGTAAGAGGGGAAGACATTCAACTGATAGCCCGATATGCGAGCGCAACTTGAAATGTACCCGATATGATGCTCGGCATAGTCTGACACATATCTTTACAGAAGTGTCAATAGACTGCCAATTATAAAATAAGTCATATAAACATTCCACACAAAGTATATCTTAAAGGTGATGTAAAGAAACAATATGGGTAATCTGACTTTTGTGGATTTTACGCTGTCAGCGATGAATCTTTCTTACTCTTATTCTGCTAACATTAATCGCTTCAATTGCAGTTCCTCTCGGATCAATTCGTGAGTTGCCTGCAGAATCGTGCAAGGAGATCAAGGCGAGTGAAGGAGGAAAGGCGGTCAGCGGTAATAATTATTGGATGGATTCAACCAGATCTGGTAACTCTATTTTAGCTCGCTGTGGCATGAAGACTGAAGGTTTGTACAAGACATGGTTCTTGGCATTTTGTTGCTGTGCCAATGAGAGGACTTTACTTAATCGATTTTCTTTGTCCCTAGTTGCAGATTATTGTGTCAAACACCAGTGCCAAAAGGATGCAAAGTGTGTAAACTGTGAAACGAACTACACGTGTGCGTGTAACTCATCTGGCTGGACAGGAAAATATTGTGAAAAAGGTTCGCCTTTTGTAAAAATCATTTCCCATTTTTAGCAGCATGTTAAACAAAGAAGATGAGGGATGCTTAATCAAGGATATGCTTATCCACAGATGTCAACGAATGTGTGGAAGGTCTACATGGTTGTGATCCCAACGCCATTTGTGATAACACTGTGGGTTCTTACAACTGCACATGCAGACCAGGATTAATTGGAGACGGAAGAAACAGCTGCATAAGTACAAGTAAGGATGTAAACCACTTTGTGTGGCGACGGTGTTAGAAGGATAAGCTAGAAATTACCGCGTACGATTGTACATTTTGACTACTACACTAGTTGAGTATTTTTTTTTTATTGTGCCACAAATCGCGCAAGAATTATACAATTTTGAACAACAATCATCATTTTATCGCTTGTGACTGATATTGTCACACATACTTACCTAAACTGCCTTCCCTTATCAACTCACATTCGTTGGAAGATTATGCCTTTCATTTAGGAAAAAAACTGCACTTCTTCCACCAGGTCATTCTTGTAAGGAAATTCGAAACGCAAGTTCCCATCTTAAAGACGGGGAGTACTGGATCACTCTTAAGAAGAAAAGAAGCCTTTTAAAGGTCTTCTGTGATATGACAACCGATGGAGGTAAGGAATGGATGTTTAAGAAACTAATAACGGTAACGGTGGTTTTGTTTTACTTCTGCACAAACTGTCCTTCTATAATAAATGGAAAGCAGTATTATTTTGGTTAATCAAGAATTTAATTTAATTACATTTCTTTTTCCCAGGAGGTTGGCTTCTGGTCTCTAGCGTTATCGTCAACAACCCATCCTCGCTATGGTATTCAGACGAATCATCATACCATGAAATAAGCAATTGTCACAACAAGTCGTTGTTACTCACGACAGATGCCATGAAGGAACTGAGAACACAATTGTCTTTCGCTCAGTTGAGATTCCACTGCAGCAAAAACAAGGGAGGTACTCTCCATTTTACCACGGCTGCTAACAGCAATGGTGAAGCAGTAGTACAATACTTCATTGGTCAGACAGATGCCAATCCGAAAGCATGTGGCTCGTTTGTGAGGATGAAGGATAACAACTCGAAGATAGCTGCTGATTGTAATCAATGGAGTAATAAACAGTGGGGATACTCTCAAGGAAAAAAAAGATATCGAGCCGTTGCTTCTGTCCCTAAGAAATATCGCTGGGCTTTGTTGAGCTCAAGATATGAATGTGACGACTCCATCCACAATGATGGAAAATATTTTGGACTGTCCACAGGTGACTTCTGGAGGGTTTTTGTTCGTTAAGGCCAAATGCAACCAATAACTAAACAGTTCTCACTGTCTTGAAAAACATTCAACGGCTGACCAAGATCAGTGTTACGTTTTGTCGTTTTTTATCCTTTTGTTGCTAAAGCAAGCCTCCAATGTTGAAATAAACTGTTATTAAAACTGTCGGGATAAAAGCTATGCACAATTTTTGGTATGTTGAAATGATGATACTTGAACCCTGATGCAACCATAGTTTAATCACAATTATAGTAAGTTAAATAAATATTATCTGCAATAATTATTTTGGAAATGGTGAAAGGACCGAGTGGAGTCCAATTCGGTCCGTAATCATAAGAGTGAGTAGCCAAGTTATGAAAGAAAGAGAAATTTGCATTAAAAGACTGCCAAAGGAGGCGTACATTGTTCAACTGTTTAATTAATTGATTGATTTTAACACAACTTTGAATGTAATTGGCTTATTGAACAGTCTGACAATAGTGCTCTGACGAAGGGCTAACGCTCGAAACGTCAGCTTTTAAACTCTTTACGGTGGCAAATTTACGTCATCAACTAAGTTGATAATACTCAATAACCCTGACTGATAACAACTTGGCACGTCAGTTAGTAGAAAATAGTTTTTTTTTTAACTTATCGCAATCGAGGAAATTACGATTAATTCTGTTATTGGCTTGTTTAACGGCTTCTTGAGAAGCGAAAGTCGTTTTAATTGGGACACAGAAGCGAGATGATAGGGTTATGATTTCTCCTGAACGAAACCTATGTATAATGTATTAATGGTAATAATTTTTAACGAAAGTCAAGGTAACATGCAAAATATTCCTTGACCCTTAGAAATATCTTGTTGGAATATTTTCGAAAGTTGCTTGTCATTCTCAGTCATGCCACAACCTATTTATTAATGATATCTGATGTAATCATACGTAGTGTTTTAAATTGTTAGTTCCAGCTCGTGTCAAGCCAGTGCTCTAATTATCTCTAAATAAGCGATCGATAGAGATTCATGCTTTATACGATGCGTGAATAATACTGCAAGTTCACTTTCTGTTATTGTGTATCTTTTTTTTGAGAATATATCATGAGATCCCCCTGCATTGCCCACTATATCTTCTTGCGCAGGGTAAACATAACAATATTTGTTGCAATCACGCCATCACCTCAACATCACATCACATCAACCACTTTATTTGTTTAAAAATTTCCGACAGTACTCTACCTCTTCTACTATTACTAAGTACTCCTAATAAGTATCTTCTTTGGGAACAATTTGTGTAAACTTCTGTACAAGTTGAGAAAGGATTTATCACTGATAAAATATCCATCTCCGGAACTCTTACTTAATTTTGCAACAATTAACTGGAGTATTTCATCGAACAACGATGGATAATTAAGGTAGATTTGGAATGACCGCCGTGAAATTAAAAAATGAACTAATTCTAACTTCGAAAAATATATCGAACATCATGGAATTTATCTTTAGATAGTTTTGTGATATCAATGTGAAAATAATTTATTCATGAAGCTATGCTGTCAAATAGGGACTGAATTCCTACACTCAAACTTGCAGGTGTTAAAATGCCCGATATTTTCTATGTAAAATAGTACAGTTTTTATATTCGCCTCAGATGTTTTCCGAAAGTAACTCTTATGGCAAAACCAACAGAAAGAAATGAAATTTGACCCATTTTAAAAAAGTTTTAATCCATTCGATCTAAAATAGCATTGAAAGGATGAAACATTCATGAGATTTATTCGAGAGATTTTCAACA